ATTAAACTCCATAATATTGTCCGCCATATCCGAGGATCTCCTGCTCGAATCCGCCAATTTACTCAGCTTGCTGGTCGAATGATCCCTTCAGATAATTCAACACGATGGAACAGTTGGTATTTAATGGTTCAAGTTGCTATTGAGCATGAGGGTTCAATTTATTCATATACCAAGTCCTGGTATGAATATCTTCAGAAGGATTTTCTTTTTCCGGAAGAATGGGAATATCTTCGAGCGATATCGACTTTCTTACATCCGTTTTATCGAGCAACAAAGGCTACAGAGGGAGATCAAGCGACAATTGACCGAGTTCTATTCACAATGGACATCCTTATTCAGCATTTCAAGAAAAGCCTTTTAACACATCAGTCAAACAGTCTTCTATCTTCTCGGATCGAAAATAGCTGGGCTATTTTCGACAAATATTATTTAAAGACAGAGGACTCTCCATATTACGCAGCAGCAGTAATTTTCCATCCATCACGGCGAACCTTATATCTCAAACAAAACTGGGATAAGAAATGGATACGGCCAGCAATCAACTCTGTCAGAGATCTCTGGGAAAGGCATAAAGATCACTCAGCAAACGCCTCTCCAACACCGCCATCAATGCAGGTTGATGATCTTGATGAATTCGACATCCTTGCTCAAAACCTTGATGTTCTTCCACGACAACAAATAAAGGATGAATTCGAAGATTATATCTCAGAAGCTGCAATTTCGATCCAAACTTCAGCATTATCCTGGTGGCTGAATACACAACAACAACAACGCTGGCCAAGGCTATCTCAACTGGCAATCAACATTTTATCCATTCCGGCAATGAGTGCTGAGCCAGAGCGAGTGTTTTCTGGGGCTCGTCGTACAATCTCTTGGGAAAGAATGCAACTAGGTGAAGATACTATTGAGTTTCTTGAGTGCTTGAAGCATTGGATGAAGTCAGGGCTTGTAAATAGTGGCTTGGAGGAGATGGATCTTGATGACTAAGTGGATTTGGTGGGCTTGGCGAATATTGAAATGATTACTAAGCAGATTTGACGAATATTCGTTGATGTGTCAGCAAATATTGACGAATATGCGATATTTGATTTGTCAGCGAACGAATATATCGCCGCCCACCCTGTCCCCAATCCCCCCGGGGAGGGTACTCAAGCAAGTCATCCAGGCCTCAGATCAAGTCCTTCGATGTCAATACCGACGAATTCGAGGGCGGAGATTTCTATACCAACAAGACAAGGCTAAAATACACAAATCCAGTGTTGGAATAGCGATACTGGTGACCGCACACTAGCAGGGAGGAAGCAGAGATCGCGCGAGTACGCACGTGCAAGTAGGCACGTGTGGCGCGCGGACCTCTCACACACACACACAAAAACCCCGGTCGCAAGCAGAACCTACCTTAGTTCCAGAGAGAATGAATCAGAACAACTTTACACCCCCCCCCCCCCCCCCCCCCGGTAGTACTACCACTTTTTGACCCGTTGGAACACCTACATGGTTGGAATACCACGAACATCCAGGGCTACTAAAGAGTGGTTTCGGACTTGGACAGTCCCCCCCATCGACTGGCCACCTTACAACCCTAATCTTAACCTAATTGAGCACGTATGGAAACGATTGAAAGATCTTATCTACGAATTACATCCCAAATTCGCCGACTTGAAAGACCATGAAGCCGATAAGGCTATGGCCAAAGAGTGGATATTAGATGCATGGGAGCATATTAATCAGGCCTTTATTGATGGCCTTTTGGACTCGGTGCCGCGCCGGCGAAAGGCCGTCCGTGCAGTGCGTGGTTGGTCTATAAAGTATTAAAATTCAGAATCTTAGCTCTATAACCTAGCAATTGGTATTAAATTTGAGTTCAATTTGGCTGTGCAATTGGTATTTGAAGAATCGAGTACAATACCCAATTACTTCAACTTAATTGCCGATATCTCCCAACCATATAACGTTACTGGAAATGTCTCTGTTAATCATGAAGCGAAATCAGTCTTGCTTTCTCGGATCATCTCTTACCGATCGGCAATGAGCACTGCCCACGCCTGTTTGGGGGCTGAGCTGGGTTGCCTATTTCTCGCCCCTGTTCAGTAGGTAAAACAGCAACCACCATTAGCCTGATGCAAGAGATTGCATGCAGCACACAAAGTTTGCGGAAATGGTGCCCAAGCCGACTGTCGCCACCTTCGGTATAATATGCTTAGCCGCCGCATATTCGAGCTCCGGGTCCTTGCTTTTTACTCCTTCATTTCACAGAGCCTCGCATTCTCGTTGAAATATCTCTCATTGCCACTGTGGAAAGATGGTTCCCGACTCTGAAGAGCGCCTATCTGGGGTGCTATTGAATCCGACTTCGGCAGCATCTATGTCAGCCAATGGTTCTGGAAACCAATTAAACCCCGATAACCGAGATGTTTCCAGGAGGCCGATGCCGCCACACGGGATCTCACCAGATGTTCCCATGAGGCTGACATTAATTACAAGTCGTGTTTCGAGAGCGAAGAAGGGCGTAGCTGCCTATGTCTGTGCCATACGCAAGCCATCCAAGGTGAGGCTTCCTACAACTATTGCATACAAATGAGATTTGTAATCTCACACACTAGTTGAATAGACCTTCACTAGGGCCGAACATTTGCGGTATGAATTTGCCTCGTAGTTCGTGAATGATATGTTCTAATCATGAGCACAGTCGCCATCAATTGAGCCACCAAACGCCGGCATTTCCTTGCACATACCCAGGCTGCGACAGGGCCTTCCATAGACCCGACGTTCTCGCTCGGCACCAACATCGACAGTATGTATTCCAAATGACTTCGATTGTCTTTGGTTGGAAGCTGATTGGCTCTTAGTAAACAAGAAGGTGACTTAGCAAGTAGTGATGCGCCGCTTCCTCTCAGACCCGCAGAGTTGCAGGGGGGAGCTCATTCAAACTTGCTGTCCATCAACCGTGATCTTAGTTCGCCAAGTCCAACTGAAAGCGGTATGCTATCTGGTTGTGAGGTTGCCTTTGTACAGGAGTGGGCCACAACTGACTTTAAATTTCCCAGGCCGGAATGTATCCCGTCGTACTAGGTATGGTAACAGATCGTTCTCCAAACTTCGGTGATACTAACCACACCATCGCACAGCACCAACAACTTCAGCACCGGTACTGCCTGTGGACAACCACACGAAGAGATAAGCCCGTATCTGGGCCATGGCAACCGTCTCCCCAGCGTTGGCGACATGGGCATTGACGCCATCATCAATCGCCCAGCTGTCCAACATGTTTCTAGTGAGATCCAGACACCACATAGCGGACCCAGTGTCCCCATGGATACACCCCTGCCTCCAAGATCTGTTGACCACGATATACATCATGGAGATTACCTCTTCTCCTTCGATGATCTCACGACAATGACCGAGCCTACGGACGAGGACAGGCGTAAATTAGCAATGGTAGAGGACTCTTTCCGTCGCATGGAGCAACAGCAAGCATCCCCACGAAAAAAAAAAACGCTTGCCCATCAAGGACCCGCCAAGTGGAGGGGCTTGGTCATCCGCACTACCCCAAAGACCTCAATCTCCCTCTTTTTCTCATGCCGGCTCTATTTCAACCCCACCAGAGACCTTCACCGACTCAGGCTACGGATCGTTGGGGAATCGGCGGAGAAAGCGAGCAATCATCACGACTCAAGCCGTACAAGACTTTCCACGAAGCACTGTGGACACAAGACCCCAAACCGAATATTCGGATGCCGCAAGTCTTCGAGATTCCAGCCTGGATTTATACGTCTCGGAGTTTGCCGAGGAGATTGCAGCCGCGTTTCCGCGCAGCATTTCTAGGGACCAGTTACCCGGTCTTTCCAAGACGCTTCCAGATCTTCTCAAGGCATTTGCGGTTATGATTGGCCACAACAGTGCTGGCCCATCAAAAGAAATTCACAGGCGCCTGATGTACTTGGTCTACAAGTACCGAAAGTGAGTTAAACGACGTCCACAGAGAGCCTAGGTTGCCTAACAAGCTGAATATCCTTAAGTAAAATTACCGAGGCGGTACTGGAAGCTTTTAACTTTGCCGTCGAAGGAGAGTAACAAGACGACGAAAGGCCTCTAGCCCCAGCAGCGGATGGATCCATGCCCATCGCCGGGAAGATGTCTCTGTGGACGTCCAAGGCTGGCGACGCAGAATATAACATTGCCGATCGAGCGTCGTGGGACGATGGTGTTACGGACGATGAGTTCGACGAATTCCCCGAGCTAATTGAATACCGCTACGTGCTTCTGAATTCTCCAGCGTTCAGATGGTTACTGAGTTCGGCCCTGAGACAGTTCAAGCTAAACACTTGCGGGGGCCAAGATGCCCAGGCCTTGATCCGACACCAAATTATCTCCATCCTCGGCGAACCGGCCCGGATCAGCCGAGAAGTCTCCACGACTACCCATACCATGCTTCTCCAAGCCCGCTGGATCCATAAGTTCTTAGAGACCCAAGAATATGGTGTTCCGGCGCACGAAGTATTACCCCACGTCCTTGTCTTAACGGGCCTTGGCTCTAATGCTTGGGCTTCCTCGTGCCAACAGTACATGGAGATGGTGTGGCCTGAGACCGGATCTCAAGTCCTTGATCTGTACACATCCCTTCTCAAGAATGACCCGGAAGTTCCTTCGGAATGTGAGTACTTTCCGATATTTTCCCTTCCATAATCTGCTGACAATGGATTCCAGGCGTCTTGTTTGATGATACGCATTTGGTTGCGCAAACCTGCGTTCAGAGACAGAATGCCACTATAACAGTGACCGGCTCAGTGTATTCCATTGCCGAGGTGGGCGAACAAATAGCATGGCTCACCGCCGCATTATATTCCTCGGATCGCAAGGATGCCATCATGAGTTGATTCCCATCATACTGGATGCCGAAACTAGATGGTAACCAACCGGGCATCGAGAAGGTCTGCTGGCTCACTACGCCTGGGGAGATCGGTATCACTAATATTCCTGGCAGTACCGGAAGCTGCTGGATGAACTTGTTTCGCAATCCGGTGTTAGTGGAGGGTTACCCCATACTGATACGCCACAACGCAAACACCGGCCTGGAGATTTCACTCGATGTGATGGCTAAGCTTGCAAATACTCGCAAGATCAGTCTGTTTGGCGGCAAAATACTCATCAAGGGGTTCTCGACAATCCTGGTGCCCACGCGCCGCCATCTCGGGTTCATATTCTGGCATCGGGTGTTCAACACGGATGGGAGCTACCTCTCCTTTACAGACGCCAGTGTAAAGAAATGCCTCAAGGACTACCCGAAAGACTTGGCAGTCAGTGAGCTGGAAGGATCTCGGCATATTCTTGGCTGGTGTTCAAACGCCAACAACCTCACAGGTGAGAAACATATCCGAATCAATGAGAATGCAGATCATAGTTCCTGACAACCCATTTTCTTAGGTTCTGCAGATGCCAACTACAAGATTGGTTGGTCGGGTTTAATGCAACCTCGTGCCGGCTGTGCGTTTGAGAAAGTTTCTATTGTTGGTGGAATGTTCATCACAGCCGAAGTCTCTTGCCTGCTTGGTAAGAAAGACAAGCCAATCCACATCCGCTCCCGAGACGACTACATCATGCGGCTCAAGTGGATTGCGCAAAAGTTCGTGGTGCTCTACGATACGCAAGAGAGGAGGGCTTGGCTCGTCGACGGTGTCAGTGCTTTATTGCACCTGGTCAGGGCATCCCTCAAGCACGACCAAGGAGATCCGTTTAGCAGTTTGTTTCTGTACAACGAATCCTTGCTTCAAGAAGCGCCCGTCCCACACACGGGGAAACATGCATCGATCCACGTCATCACCAACAAACACAACACGAACCTCCCGCTTTACGGCAACCCAGACAGCACCAAAGAAACGGTGACTACAAACGAGGCGGGCAATCAATCTAGCGTTCTCACCAAAACACAGACAAGCTACTCGCTTCGAGAAAGGATCGAAAGCATTTGCGACGTTCTGGAGCAGATCGTGGCAAATCAGTCCGATGTCTCAAGTGAGGATGGGGTGGGAGTCCGGCTCAAGTACACCCGTCGCCGGCAACTGGAAGGATTCGACTTCATGGACGTGGCTACCAGCGAAGATCCGCTCTGGCCACGCATCACTACCCTCAAAGCCACCGGCAGGGGATGGGTCGACTTCACCAGAGCCATCAGTGCCATTACCCTGTTTGGCACCGGCAGGGGATGGGTCGACTTCACCAGAGCCATCAGTGCCATTACCCTGTTTGGCACCGGGTTTGGGGAACTAATCTGCCTAAAGACAGACGAGTTGGCTAACAATGCTAGGGACTGCTGTCAGCTGAACGCTAAGGTGCCCAAGGGCTAAGACTATCTTGCGGTCTGTGTCTCGGAAATCCAAGAGATCCTGTAGAAAAAGGGAAGCAAGAGCACACAGCCCTGGCGACTGGTCAAGGATATCTACTGGCACACACCGGATAAGATGTTTGAGCCCTGCAGATGCGACAAACTCTCGATAGGAAAACACGATCGAGTGCAAGTGCTCCTTCCGGCTTCATTCCCCAAGCTTTGGGCCAGGGGCTTTAAAAGTCCCGTTGATCTTAGCTCAACGCCACGCGGGGCTATTCTTTTTGGCCAAAGCTCACGATTTCCGCTCCGGTGGAAGGACCGCGGGGTGCCGGAAGAAGGAGATCCAGACCAGGAGACGGAGGAGATGGAATTGTCCTTTGAGGACAGCGGCTTGGGAACGAGCTTGGGTTCATCGTCCAGTGTTGGGGGGTACAGGGCAGTCCTTCGCAGTCCTCTCCTGGCTCAAACGTTCCAGCAAGCCCTCCTGACACGAATATGGTTCTTGGTGAGAATGATGTGGAAGGCGCAGAAAAGGGGAAGAAAAGGGAGCGTTCTCCCCCGCTGGAAGTTTCGGGGGATGGTGGTGCGGAAGCGTGTGAAAAAAGCCACAAGCGCCGATTGGGCAATTTCATCGATACGATGACCAACTGGAACTTGAAGGGCAAGGGGATATGAAGATTTGTTTGGTTCATAGGCTAATAATCCCTTAAATGTTCATTGCGCGGAACCAATCTGTTTATTTTCCTCATTTTCTAGCTGAATCGTGAACAGCGGCTCCCGTGACCCCCTTTTTAGTGATCCCCTAGCGATCGGGTACCTCGTCCCTTCTCCCACAGGGCTAAACTACCAAAAACGAGACACCTGCGCGACTTGAATGGGCTTGTGTGCAGACAATGTCTGTGGAGATCCTTCGGACGCGGGGCTGACGAGATGGGGTGACAGATCACGTTCCCCCCCGCCGTCCCCCCCCGGCTCCCCCCCCTAAAAAAAACCCCCCCTCCCCGAGAAAACAAATCCCAACCAAAACTCGTAAAACATGATCGCCTCACACACCACCATCATCCGCGCCGCACTGCGAACTGCCACCTAGCAGCTCCCCCACGCCAGCGCTAGGGCCTTCGCGACAACACAGCGCCGCTTCGACAACACGCAGCCCAAGTCGTCGGAGCCAGTGGGCGAGGTCAAGGGCACGGCCGGAAAGTTCAACAAGGACGGCACGAACCCGAACAAGCAACTGATGTAATTTATGCTCCTTCTCTTTTCTCGCCCTCTCTTTCTCTTTTTTTTTCTGCCAAGGGAGGGAACTGCACTGACTCGGCTTATTGGAATTTACTAGCTGGTTTGGTCTCGGAGCCCTCGGCCGGGAGCTCTGTACGTGTAGTTTATGGCGCGTCCGGACGCGGTGGCTGACACGGCCAAGCAGGCGGACCCCCAAGCAGTCGCACACCAGCATCAGCTGAATACGCCTGGCCAGGCTCGTTGAAGTTGGGAGATGGATGGATGGATGGATGGATACTTTTGAAAGCACGACGGGGTATTCTAGTGGTCACACATGGGAAAACGAACTAGGTTGTCCCCCAGCTTGGCGTTGCTTCTTCATGTTTAGTTTATGTGTATTAGGGGCTAAGCAGATTAGCTCGCGGGCTGCCTCGGCCATCTTGCCTTATTGCCTTTTCATCTTAAACTAATTTTCGTCCCAACTCTCCCCACATTGAACATTGAACGAGCGGCAGGTGATATGTACCCCTTTAGCTGATCACTTTCCTAGCGAAGTAGTTTACTAGGTTACCTCTGCATGGTCAATTGGTGTGCAGACCCGTCCGAGAGATACAGTGGTTGGGAGGGCCTCTGGGATCCGGGTTCCTTCGCTTCGTGCTCTTTTTTCCTCTTCTTTTTGCTGGATCTCGTCTGTTTCTCCCCAACACGTAGCTTTCCGATAACGAGAGCAATAAAACGCCCTGCATCTCATGGGGGAATTAACAACCATCAAGAGCGCATTGACAGTTACCAAAACTACACATCATCTTTTGTATAACGATTAGTGACTGAATTGGCTATGATGCTATCTCTCATGCATGGAATGATCACTACCTAACGCTATGTGCTTCCCAGTCCTTGAGAATATACACACCTGCAGTCCAAATACCTCGACAAATACTATTTACTCCTTCATATGCCGTCCAGCCCCGCGACCCTTGTACATACAAGTACTACGGGTATGGACGATACTATTCGCCTGTGACGAACCCATCATCAGCGCCCCTCCCTCACAGCCCCAAAACGTCCACAGCCACAAGAGGGAGCGAGCTACCAGGGTCCGAAAGACAGGTCTCTTGCTCGATAATGTTGGCGTCGACAATCTGGGGCACGTCGCCCTGCAGCTCCTTCACTAACTGCCGGAAAGGACACGCGTTCTTGCTCGTGCACTGGTGCCTGTTATCGGCCAAGACCAAGATCTGAACGTCGTCCGCAATCTCCTGGAGCGACTTTCCTTCATGCCAATCTTCTAGTATTTCAGCGTTCCTGCCGGCTTTATCCCTTGCCACGGCAGTCTGGGTCTCACGAATTACAAGAGCACGTGGCCTATAGCCTCGAGGTCATCTCGCCGCGATTATTCTCGACTAAGGTCAGTATTGATGCTCATATACTACGCGGTGCCTAAGAGTGACTTGTCTTCCTTATAGGGAATATGTTGTTTGGTTTTTGGATCTCGGTACTACTTGGCTATGCTAAAATCGATAACATGTATTATGTTGGCGGTTGGCGTTCCCGGTCTCTCGATCACGAAATGTTCTGGCTTGATATCGCGGTATATCAAATTTTTCTCGTGAATTCCTTCGATTCTCTGAGCCTATGAAGGGAGTCAGATCCTTCTACGAACAATTCAGACCTACTCAAATGTACATACTAGCTGGTCATGTACTGGTATACTGTGGGACATCCCATCGGTGCTGGTATATCATCATGTACCATCCCAAATTTCGAGCTGGGGTACCATGTACCGTTCCATTAGTGCTGGAATATCATGTACCATCCCAAATTCCGATCTGGATATTATGTACCGTCCAACGGCGTGTACTGGTATATTCTGGCCAAAATTTGGGACTGTGGCCCAGATTTAGGCCAATGAGCATTTCGGGTTGCTGGCCGCTTTTGACGGAGTGTGGCTTAGTCCCCTTTCTGCGATTAGCCCCAAGCAATATCAAATCTGGGAGCAATGCTCGACAACCTGAAACTGGGCCTATTAACCTAGAAGGAGGTATTTAATCAGCCAAGTATCAGCATTACGGTGCAATTTCCGATGGCTTCGGTGTTTTTCCAGGAATCACAAATGACTAGTGAATTGGTGAATGCAAACAAACACACACCACACACACACACACAAATACGTGGTAGGCCTTTCACGCGAGTGTCGCGGATTGACGAAGCGGGCGCGGATAACGCGCGTCGACAGCACCGTGATGGTGCTCTGGTGCTACGACTGTAGCGCGTGGCCGAAGGTATCGAGGTCGCGGACCACAGCGCACAGCGACGTGAAGAGCAAGCAGCCTCTCGGCCTCGAACTAGTTGGTCACGACGGTACCAAGGGCAAGGTCGTTGAAGCGGATCGTGATGGTTGTGGCGAAAAACTGGTTTTTCGCAATTGCAGAATCGAGCTTCTCAATTTACACTGGTCGCCTGGGACAAGTGAAGAAATGACTACCATTGCTACCGAAGTATGTATAAATGCTCAACTGCTGATGTGCCTAGCTGGTTCCCTCATCCATATCATCCCCGTTCTCCAATGCCGTGCCGCCTATGATGTCCTATTAGCAGCTGACATTACAACCAAGAAATTGATCGCCTTACCGAAATTTCTTCAGATGGTCCGCTTAAGCGAGTGCAGCGTTGCCTTTCCCTTGCCTGAAGCCGCCATCGCCGTCATATCTTGAACGATCTCTTGTATCCTTTGGATGATCGTCGAGATTTGTCGTGGTTGCACCAAACGGTCATGGCGCTCAGCGATGCGTACGCGGACGGCCGGTTTGACCCTGTCATCGGCGCTCTGGGACGCGGCGGCAGTGGGCTTGGACTCGCCCGCTTCGGCTGAATCGACCAGGCGATGACGCGCCCAGAAGACGACAAGCTTAGTGTTCCATGAGCTGATGCGGTTGAATTTGTTACGGTCATATTGCGTCGAGACCAACACCCTGGCTTGCTGCGGTGTCAACGCGTCTCAAAGACCACGCTCCCTGTCGGCACGCCGGCGCCATTCTTGCCCACCAAGTTTTAATGAGCGCCATAGCTATCCTAGGTAACGTTTGGCTTGATGAAAACCCTGGCGCCTGCCTTGCGCCAGCGGGACATGCCGCCGTTATTGCCCGGCAGGTCCGTCTTCAGAAAGCCGACTTCGAGCTGTGAGTCCCCGGCGACGCGCTCGCGCGGCGCGTCGCTTGGAGGCACGATTTTGTCGTCGGTGTCCCAACCTGAGAAAACTCTGTCTCATGAGCCTTTGCGAGTGGCTTCGTCTGGAGTGTCGTCCGTCAAGTTGGCGCGAGCGGGTTGGATGATGAGGTCATCGCAGCGTGTCTTCTGATCGTTGGTGAGATCTTCAAAGGCCTTCAGCGTCACAGCCAGCCCGGAATGGTACTGCGAGCTCGGCGGGTTGGGGGTGGGGTGCAGGAGGCATTGTGAGCTTCTTAGGGATCGACGGAGATGGTTTCCAGATGGGGTTGTGTGATGCGCTGAAGATGCGGTTGTGTGGTTCTGTTCTGGAAGAGAAACGCGTTCCCGCGGCGAGAGCAAGATATGGAGGGTGAAGTTTATTGCATCTATTCAGTAGTAATAACAATGGCTACGTGTAGGATAACAACAGTGTGAATAATACGCCCCTCCATGAGGTACCGTAGCCGCTCCTTCCCTCCTAAATCTGCCCCTCCTGCCTCGAAGAAATCAGCACCTTCCTGGAAAGTATCACTCCTGGGAGCCCCCGCGCCAACTGGGGCCGCGCCTCCCTGTCCCACATTCAGATCCGCCAGCCCGCCACGCCACACACCATCTTGTGATGTATCACCGTGATGCAAGTCTTAGTGTTAAGGGGTTATCGCGAAAGCAGTACTGCGCAGCCAACATCAAAGCAGTCTGACGTATGTAAAGTAAGTCGCCCAGTCTGCTGACGTTGTTACTGTTGTTGCTGTTATGGTTACTATTGCGGTCGCCGTTGAGATCGCCCAGATCCCGTCGCTGAGGGTACGGAGAACGGTGCCCATTGCTAGCTGATATGTGCGTGTGGCGTACGTTGGATTCTAAACGCTTCGTGGTGCCTCGAGAACCCCTCGAGGGCCTCTAGGGCCGCTTGGGGCACCACAAAGCTCGTGGCTATGCTTAGAAACAATCACCTTTCCCTCAGCTTCTTCCGCGGCGACTTGTCGCGGTTCCTTGTATTGCCTGGCACCGGGCCGCTGGTGAATGCCAATGATCGACCTGGGGCTATCCGATGCGAGAGATTGCTCCTTCCTTGCGAGGGCCTTGTCTGTCTCCAAATATTGCTCCTTCCCATAACGACACCGACGATCTCCTACCCACTCTTTCCTTGCGGAGACCCAGACAGTTACATTCTCACTTCTTCCCCGCGAAAACTCTGACGGCCCCTTCCTTGTTTATTTCTCGTCTGGAGTCGATCAAGGCCTTTGCGTCTATAGTCCACTTTCATTTGTTCCAGCTATAGCCATCAACGAAGAAAACTCTGCTGTTATCATCCAGGTATGTTGTAGTTTGTCAGGGTTACAAGTATCGGCGTGAACTGATACTGAGGACAGCACAATGGCGCCGCTGAAAATGGTTATCATAGTGTCACGTAAGATTTGAGCCACATCCGAGCCATAACCGAGTTGAACCTTAAAAGGCCCTCTATGACGCTCACTTCCTAGTATCACGAGATTTCCTTTATTTACTTTTTGGGTATAAATAGGGGCTTCTTTTCCGGTATCTCTAGACCTTTTTTAGACAGACAATTCAATGCGCTGTCAACTACGATCACGTGCAAGACATAGTGATCGTGATCCATCCCAAACTCCAAGGCTTAGACAGCTTGATCCAGCTGTTCCGAGACCACCATACCACGGCAAACCACCAGGCCATAGTACAGGCTATCACCAGTGTCAGAGATGTCTTCACAGAAGATGCACTTGTCTAGGCTAGGGGATAACGAGATGACGCCATTCAAAGTCGCGATGCCATTGTAGCTGCCAAAGCTCTTGTCGACCGCGGACTCAATGAGAGTGCATTGCCTCTCAGAAAAGCCGAGGCCGAGCTCGAGAAAGTCGCAGCCGAGCTTCGCCACGCTAGACAGCAACGAGACGAGGCCGTTGCAAGCTGCGATGCCATCAGGCAGCATTTGTGTTCGGGGCTACCTCGGCTCACCCGGACCCACCAATTGAGGTGAGCCGAGGGTGAATTAGGGTGTGCAAGTGTGCGTCGGCTCGCTGATTGCGCTGGGCTCATATAACTCTCACAGGCCCAGGCACATGACCATGGACCCGCTGAATCAATACTTTATCCTCCTGACGAAAAAAAAACTGCCAGCCTCTTCCCAAACACCATTTTCCCAGGGAATATACCAACGGCCCTCGTTGGTATACCGATATATCCTACACCAACTGGTTTAACTCCCACTGCTCGCAAGACCAAGTCAATCGTTCACCGATCATAGTTGTATCGAGTCAGGAGGCTGGCCTCCAGTCCTCGTGGTGGACTGAGCGCCCTTGGCACTGGCTGCCGTAGGTGCCAGTAATTGGCCCCTGCGTTGCACAATGAGCCCTGGAGCTTCGAACCTTCTTTGAACTCTTCTTTTTCCTTCCTCATGCGAGGATCGTAGCAAATTGACCAGAATAACTACCGCAATCCTGTCAAGCCTCGTGACATATCGCCTGACGATATCACCGTACGCACGACCTATCTCTAACCTATCCCCAAAGTTTGCTAACCTGCTGTAGATGGCGGAACGAAACCCGCTGGTCCCGGGCCGAACGCGCAAGGGATTATTCTCGCATCCCAAAACCTTCGTCACCCACACCCTCCCAGCCATCCACGAGAACACCGTCATCGTCGCAGCGACCCACCCCACGGTCCAAACTGGCGACCAGACTAAGGATGGGTGGTTCCTCTCCGATTTCTACGCCTTCAACTGCCTGCTGAAAGGCTCCGTTGCGGATCAGACCTGGCTTACGGCTGCCAAACCAGCAAGGCTAGTGGAGAAGTATGGTGACTTTCTCCACGGTTCCCCCGATAGAGATCGCAAAGTAGTCTTAAACCACGACCTCCTTGACTCGGAAATCACCCCAGTCACCCTCGTTGAGCCCGCCGAGATGATCGACAGATTTCTCAGCGAGGTCAACGAAGAATCTCTTCGCGCCAAGAATAGTGGTATCCGCTTCTTCTCATGGTTTTCTGCCATGGTATCGAAGGTCATTACCTTTGCCTTGACAACGGCACTCGACATAAGGGCATCATTATCGTACAGCTGGAAGCAGCCCTGGAGCCAGGCGTATCCGCCACCCTATTCACGACAGCCTGTTTCTCTGGAGGTTGGGCTGTCACCCCTGAGCTTAACACTACGGCAATGGCTGCCGCACAGCCCGACGATAAATCAGTCTCGTGGCAATTATCTAGGAGCATGGGACGAGCCTGCGGGTCTGTGTTTGCTGGAGCCAGTGTGGCCAACAACACTATCAACCAATAACAACAGGTTGATAACGTTGTCAAAAATTATCAACAGAACCCCTGCCACTATTCGGACCCCTGTACGCCGCCGTCCCCCCCCACCTCCTCCCCCCCCTCTCCCTCCTCCCCCTCAGAAATAATCCCTGAAGCAAACCAGCTCTTCAAGCATTGCGTCTTCTCAATAGTAGACACTCCTAGCTGCATTCGATCCCATGAAATCGTCCTCCGTGCACCTGAAAAGACCCTTTCAGGTTCGTCGCTCATCGCAGGGATCGATAAGATATCAATCGCCATTTGCGATAACCTTGGCCAAGTTGTACGTCGCTCCTCCGCTAGCCACCAGTTGAGTGCAGACATCTGAATTGGGATCGCTTTCTCTCGTGTGTACGATTCGTACTCGTTGCTGTCTTGCATATCAATAGCCTCGAGCTTTCTTGCGATCTGGTCGTACTCATCGAGATCAGGTTCGTCAATCTGAGGATTTTCGATGACATCCCGGTCTTCGTACAACTCCCAAAGCTTCTTGACCCCTGTGAACGCTGGCTTCTGCCACTCCTTCTTCCAGTTCTTCTTGATGTATGTAAGTCGACGAGATGGATGAAGGATAAGTGCAGCAGCATACACCACAACTGCTTCCGTCTTCGCGTAATACTTGTCAAATAGTTGCCAACTTCGTACGATATTTGACTGAAGTGGTGACTTCGCAAAACGCTTGAGGGATTTGTCGTAATGCTGAACCAGAATATCCATCGAGAGAAGCACACCATCAAGTGTTCCGCTGTGGCCTTGAGTCGCGAGTGTTGCGCGATGAAAAGGAGCGAGGAATGCTGCAATGTCCTTGAGATAGCCCCAGTCGTCCAAGTCGAGATAATCGTCGCGAAGGTCGTCAAGCCACTTCTCTAGATACGTATGAATTGAGCTAGAGATCTCGATTGCAACCTTGAGCATGGTATACCAGCTATTCCATCGGGTCTCGTTATCGAGAGGGAGACCTCGACCAGCAAGTAGACCGAATTCTCGACTTCGAGCAGGAGAGCCACGGATATGCACAGCGATGTTGTGCAGCTTGCCGAGAGGGCCTCGCTGCCTCCATTGTGTTTGCCGATCGCTGTCGCTGTCGTCATCGAAAGTCTCAAAGAGAAAGGCCTGTACAGCAAGGTTGATGACATGGCCGGTACATCGAAGCCGGTGTTGTGAAGCATTCCATGGCAAGGCGAATTTCGATTCAAGCGATCGGCAGAGAACGTCATTCGATGGGTGATTATCTCCAATGAAATACCCAATCTTGTTGACGATCCCAAAGCTTTCGAAGACCTGGAAGATTTCCGCCGCTTGTTCGTCTCCACGATGGGTGAGAATTGGCCGGAGGCCAAGAAGGACTCGTGCCAGTTGAGATGTCTCTCGGTCAACAAAATGGACACAGATGCCGAGGAAAAGATGGCGATTTGGTGAGGTCCAGATATCAGCCGCGAAATGGATCATCGAGATAGACGATTGGAGGCGCATTCGTAGGTCGTCTTTCGCAGACAGCCAGAGAGAGTCAATCTTGTTCGAGACCGATGAATGACTGGAGATAACCCCTTTCTCAACCTCAGGATGTCCCAGAGACAAAACTGCGCGCATCGCTGGCCATTCGACAGCTCGAAAAGGGAGGTTGTGCCGTACAATGAGTTGGAGAAGAGCTTTGTTGGTTCGCTCTTGTAGCTGATGTAGCTGATGAACGGAGGAGGCCGAGGGTATCGAAGCCGGACTGGGTAGCTGCTGATCTCGTTCAACCTTGTCGACTAGAATACCATGATGTGACACAAGATGGCCTCGTGCTGCAGTTGTGCTTATACAGCGGTATTCAGGGCAGTATTTGCAATACCACACAAGATGCTTGCCGATGTGTTTGGGTTCGTCCGGCTTTGGTGGTCGAGAATGGTCCCATGTGGCGACAGCCCTCTTCTGACGGCCTTTGGTCCTGATCCCGGTCCCAGTCCCGGTACTAGAGGGAAAATTCGTCGAACCATTCGATAGAATAGAGTCTGACATCTTGAACGAAAAGACTAAGGGTTTGATGCTGTAGATATAGGAAGAATGACAGGAGTAATGAGGGATGGAGGGGGGAGGGGTAAAAAAGTGGGTCTGTGAGCCTCTGTTGATAGTGTTGATAACCGTTGTTATCGTTATCGATTGATAGCTTATCAATGTTGATTGTTGTTGGCCACACTGGCTGGAGCTACTATCTCGGCGCTTTCGGACGCTTCGACGCCCCTACTTGGACAGCAGCAGGGCAGCAGTTCGGTAACACTAACCGTACATGAGGCCTGCCTCCAACCCAGTAAGCCTACTACGATACAGGCACAAACGTACAATGAGTTTTGTCGTTCCATCACGGATGTCTTAGGGGCGCGGGGATTCTCTCGCATCTTATCCGAGGACTTCACATTTAGCGCTCAGGATGATAATTGGGAGTATTCCTGGACTAGGAGATCAGGGATCCCACTGGCTCGTTTCAGAGACCGATGGGAAACATTGCTCACGTACCCCCACTAGCTAAGTGCCGACGACGATCAGACCGCGCCTACTACCCATCTTACGGGCAGCGCCGACGCCAACGCCGACACTGTCATCGATAAGATGACGCGCGCAATGATACACTCACGAGTAGCCAGCATTGCAAAGCTGTTTTTCGAGATTCTCTGCCCCGGTGATTGGAATAGGGGGCAGAATGTCGCTGTTGGGGGTGGGCTCTTCCAATTCCTTCACAATCACCCCGACGCCCAGTCTGCCTCCGAGATTACCGATATCATCTGTTTCCGATGGGACACGTGTCTCCTTATCGACAGGTTTGTCGACGATCATGGCCTACATCGTCCGGACGGCAAGATCTGCGCTATGTGGGATTCTCAGGAGTATCCTGCGGCTATGCGAGATAGATATGGCCGAGAGGGATGGAGTGCGCGTTATTCCCCCGTGTGGCGGGCATTGTTGGAAGGCGGCGCTAAGATTCCACCTGCAGATCATCAAGGGCCCGTGTTCTATCGCCCTCTCGCATATATAGCGTCAGCTATCGCTGAAACGTGTACAACCGAGGAGGAGACAAAGAGGATGGTTTGAGAGTACTGCGAGTACGTTGCGAGCATCCGGAAATTTCACCTCGACCGTGCTGTCGAGTCGGCGGCTGTTTGGAGTAATGGCCAGAAGTGGCTGGGATCCGTCGGTAGGCGCCTCCACCGCTTGTTGTCGCCTTCGAAGAGTCTTGGCCCTTCCATGGCGGCTCGTCCGATCACTAGCGAGACCGATGACGCTTTCCTTACAGGGGGGGAGCAAGAAGCTTGGGAAGGCTCCTAATTTGTAGTATAATAATTTCAGCCTATAGTTACTCCACTCATTAGGAGCTAAGTTTGTAACTACTCCCTTGATGTGTTTGGTGGCTGGAGTGCTAGAGAGCTGGATGTAGTTAAACGCCTTAACAGAACTCCTTTGCTAGTTCTTGCTCGCTGCCACCATTGTGACCACCTTGATCAGGCGTACCTGCCTTTTCTTACAGTAAGCCCAGAGCTAGTGGTACACGGATTGAACTGGTCGGTCTACCCGAGTTAGTAAACCAACTAGTTTAAATTTAGCTTTGTTACACAGCATTTCCAAGGACGTTAGCTAGTTAGATTCAAAGAGGTCACAACCATTTTCGCAAAGACGAACATCAATCTACTTAAAGTTGTGAAGCGGTAAAACCGAGAAGGAAGCAAAAAAGTGTGAAAGGTGATGCTTTTTCTAAGGCTAGGTGGGCGCGGCGGATTTCTTTAAGGTAGGAAATCCCCAGACCCCGCTATGTCACGTGCTAGCGCCGAACGCTATTAGTGGGGCTCCCACCAGCGCTTCACGTAATGAAGCTATTTACACTTTTCGTGCATCAAGTTGTTAACGGTCGAGCGCGGTACCATAGCATCAGGCTAGTTTTATATGGAACATAGCTACTGTAAGAGAAGGTAGGTACGCCTGATCAAGGTGGTCACAATGCAGGCAAGAAGGTAGGGGAGCAATGACTTGTATTGGTGTAAGACTTCAACCTGGCCCTCGCAAAGGAAGATGGGCGAGGGCCATTGTTTATATACCTGCTCAGGGGTTCGGCCCGGGCATCAGTCTGCGGTCGTGGCGCCACGGCGTAGCGTATGCCAGCTGGCAGTGTTCTAGCCAGTTGGTGACAAGTGGTGGGCGCGCACCCTGTGCGCGCAGTTGGTGTTTGGGGTGTCCTTTTCCTTACAGCTACAATCCTCTAATACATTAGACTTCTATTCTGTGTTAGTTAAATGAAGCCCGTAACCACGCGATATCCGGCATGCGCCTAGTAGCTGCTCACTGTAACACAGTATTCGCTGTATCCGGTCCTTAGATAAAATACGCCTCCTATGCTAGGTCACCTGCTGTTATCCCTCACTGTTGTCAATATCTTTACTCTCTTCACCATTGCTAATAAATGTTAGTATTCTAGTTAGCGGAGGTTAAACCGGTTGGTGTAGACTATTTGTACACTAACAAGTCTAATATCGGCTTTGAGCCGTTGGTAGACTTAATACTTCTCTACATCTTCACTTTGGATAGTCTCTCTAGCTTAGAGAAACGCGCTTGGCTTACCCGCCCTTTTTGCCAGAACGGAAGCACCAACCACGAGTACCACATTAGCAGTTCGCTAACCTCAGGTAGATCATCTTCACATGGTTGCTGCCGAGATAGGTCTTGTGATACGACGTTAGAAGCAGACCATACCACGGTCGGGATGGACTGATGAATCTTTTTATCTGATATTTGCGTCGTTTGACTGCATTCCAGTATTTCTTTCTTTTTGGGGGGTGGTGACATTCTCCTCCTCTTGCATCGGCTTCCTCTCGCCTCTTTTCTCTTCTCTCTTCTTGTACCTCGCCAAGTCATGTTCCAGCAGCCTCCGGCGGGCTCAAGCCGTTGTAGAGGATGGATTTCTTTTCGCTGCTGTAGACGCTGTTGCTTTGCGCGTGTACGCGGCTGGCCACGAAGTGTGAGTGCTTACATCCCTGCGATAACCATGCGATATGATCATTCTCTTGCCAAGATGGCTATTCGCTGACTATCCCTTGCAGCCCGTTCTACCAGCCACAGGTCACGCTCCAGGCGTTCTGGCAGACGCTTCAGAAGAAGCCGCTTACCCCTACTTGATGGGTTTTCGGCGCTGCTGGGGAATTGGGGAATCATAACCGGGGCTGCATGGTGTCGAGGCAACAAGTTTAACCCCGGAGAAATTGTAAAGTGATTAATGGCTTCAAAATCTGTATTCAACACGTGCATGATCCCGTGTCGCTGCCGTGCCTTCACACCACCTCTGGGTATCGTGTTGTGCACGATGCAGCTCAATTGAAGTGTATGTAAGTCTTTTTCTTTCGCAGGGAAAAAATGAAAGAAAAGTAGGGCTTATTTATCCTTCGATCAAAAACCGGTATTAGGCAACAATGTAGGCATCAAGGCCCCTATAGGGGCCGATTATCGTTGGTGGCCTGGTTGGTGGCGAAGATCATCGTTGGTGGCCTAATTGGTGGCAAAATCCCGTCAGGAGGGCATTATTACGTAACATATCGTGGATTGATGTCTGTGGCTTGTCGACTTGACTTCATTATTTGTTGATAGCAGCGACGGGGGTTACGGCCTAGCACGACTATGACCGCGTAGGCCGGGACCGATATTAGCCCACGAGACGCGAGCTCCAAGAAATAGGTGAATTTGCGGCAAACTTCCCGCTGAGGCACAAGATGACGAATACAAAACCAAGCCGGCCCAAGCCGGGGAGACACCCAAGGGGCTTGTAGTTCCGCCGCAGCAGTACTTCGTACAAATTACAGTCTTGCTATACAGATGAACCATAATTAACATGGTGATAGTACTTTCGGCAGCCAAGCAGCCGGCCGGGCGATTGCTGTTTGAACGCTCGCTTGGCGGCTCTCGAGTACGACGCGAGAGCGATTCTGATAGGCCTCGCATTCCGCAGTCGGGCATGGCATCACTTAGCTAGCGAACAGTTTGCATCAGCGAGCAAATACAAAGACGCACGTCTCTCCACGGAATAATATTCAAATGCGAATTTCTCGGTGGTTCAGTCTTGTTTTAGTCGACGGACGGAAATTCCCACATTGAAACGACACCCGCGGCGCGATCCCAGCCATTCACCAAAATGTGGTCAAGAGTTTTCGTCCTGTCGCTTCCCATCTTTGCAACTCTCTCGTCCACCCAGTACACGGGCCCCTGTTCAGAGACAAACTGCGGCGCCTCGGGCAAGGTGCGTCCGAGGGGCTACCTCTGCGTGCCGTACCCGAGCTTCGATCCCGCGCTGCGCAAGGGTTGCACATGCAGCACCGCTTAGATGGCGGTTTCAAGCGGGCTTGGTAAGTGGCGCTCAACTTGCTGCAGCGAGAAGCTTGCTAGCGTGTCAACAAAGTCGAACAGCCTGGATACGTCGTCGAGTGAGTGAGTGAGTGAGTTGTTACTAGAAGTTGATGGATACTGCGCACATTTGTATCTAGACGGGCTATGCAACAACACGACACGACGGACATTCGGCTATTGGACCTCTTGGCCGAAAATTGGCGAGAATAATGTGATGATGGGGATGTCGATGGAGATTAAGAAGCTGCCGCGCAAGTCACGGACATTTTCCGTGTAGGGGCGGAGGTAAATCGGCCACGACGGTTGATGCAATTATAAATTCTCAGTACACTGCAAGGTGTTAGAAAGGTCATACTAAATAGGCCTCTACAACAGGGCCGGCACAGACTAACGCAATTTGACCGCATTTTGTTCAGGGGGTCAACAGAGTGCTCTGAATGCGCCTGACTGCTCTGTGCACTATTTGGCTTTTGAGACAAGGCCTGCCTTTGGCTCGCCGGTATGTTGTTATGAAAGTTAGAGCTTCAACCTTTTTCGGCGCCTTTTTAAGGAATATAGACGGGAATTCGAACCTATGATATATATCCTCAAAGGGCTAAGATGCTGCTATTCTAAACGTCAGTAGCTGCGACGTGGTGCTCAAGTAGCTCTACTACATCGGCTTTTTCTCTCTTTTGTTCTTCCTCGTCCCGTGGATCCCGCCAAGTCGTTTGTATTATGCGGTCGTCTGGGATGTACAACTGCGTTGCCTGGAGCGCCGTCCCCTAACGTTTGTTCTCTAGCTTGAGATTGATTTCGGCCCCGGCGGCTATTAAATATTTCACACATCTCTTCTATCCCCAGTATGCTGCCGCTGCCAACGCGCTACCGTAATGTCTATTCTGGAGCACTTGGGTTACGTCGGCACCGCTCCTAAGGAGCTTAACGGCCTCGATATTTCCATACGCTGCTGCCGCGGCCAACGGGCTACCGTCATCTCCAATCGAGTACTTGGTTAATGTTGGCACCGCTCTTGAGAAGGAGCTTAACGATCTCAATATCTCTATGCGCTGCTGCCGCGGCTAACGCGCTACCGTCATCTCCAGTCTGGAGTACTTGGTTTACGTCGGCACCGCTCTTAAGAAGGAGCTCAACGGCCTCGATATTTCCACGCGCTACTGCCGCGGCCAACGCGCTACCGTAATCTCCAGTCTGTAGTACTTGGTTTACGTCGGCACCGCTCTTGAGAAGGAGCTCAACGATCTCGGTATTTCCACGCGCTGCTGCCGCGGCCAACGCGCTACCGTAATCTCCAGTCTGGAGTACTTGGTTTACGTCGGCACCACTCTTGAGAAGGAGCTCAACGATCTCGGCATTTTCATCCGCTGCTGCCGCGGCCAACGGGCTACTAAAGATCCCTTTGTGCTCTAGGTTCGCGTCGGCACCCCTCTTAAGGAAGATCTTGACCATATCGACCTGTATTGCATCTACAGCTTCCATTAAAAAGCCGCTGTATTGCCTAGGTTGGATTGCTAGGCCGACATCAGCTGCTTGTTTCAATAGTGCTTCACAGACAGGCCGGAGATCTGTTCTGGCAGCAAGGCCCACTGGAGTGTGTTCTCCCAAATGCTGCGCTATTAGCGCGATGTCTCCACTTTCCCACCAGTCCGACAAAAGGGTATGGCTGGAGAAGAGGCACATGGCCCACAAAGGGGTCGCCTCGTTCGGGATTGCGTCAAGTCTAAGCATCCTAAGAAAAGATGTCATAGGACTCTCTGGATATGATTTTGTATTCTGGAGCCAATATCGGCATTGCGAACTACACTGGTTCATGGAGCCGAGGAAGGACCTCAACAGCTGAATCAATACGGAATCAGCTTCCGGTGAGACTTGAGTTTTGATATGGATAAGCCAGCGATGCCGGGCGTATATCTGAATATTGTGCTTTGGATGCTGCAACTTGCGCGGTTTGCTGTAGCTGTAGCTGCGGCTGTGGCTGTAACTGTAACTGTTGCTTCCGCTGTCGCTACCGGAACCGAGGAGCTGATAATCGCATGATTTGAGAAGCACTAGACAAACTTTGGTGGCATAGTAATCGGCCTGCAGACGGCTGAAGTGGTATTCTTCAAAGTACTCAGCGACGGACAGGTGTAGGAATTGCCAGAATTTTCTCTGGGGATCGAGAACAAGCAGATTATTGCACATGTCTAATAGGACGTCATCGTCGACTTCCTCAGACACGACCAAGCTCTTTCTGTCCGGGTCTAAAAGAATCGTAGAGAGAAGCTCGGAGCTCTCCAGCGGGTAAGCGGCGCATATGACCCACATGAAGGCACGATTTGCTAGGATTCTGTCGTGTTCGTTCCGAGCTGCAATCTTGGCGTATATTTCGTCGTATGCCTCCTTGAGGTCAGGAGGCAATTTTCCAAGCCGGTCCCGGATCCCTTCTTCGGTTTGGAGCCCGAGCAGCTGTTTGATTTGCAGGTTTGCCCACTGGAACCTATCCCGGTATTAGAAAGTCAGGGATACATTGGTTGCTTCCCAATTTCTCTCGAGACACTCACTTGCCGCTGCTCTGATTTAAAAGGGTCTTGAGAATATCTTCACGCAGGGCCGGCGACATCTTGTTCCAGCGTCGATGTCCGGCGATCTCTTTGTTGACGAACTTTTCGATGTCATCTTGATTGTCAGTTGCTTGGATTGTGATGTGAGGCCGGGAGAGGAAACGGTCCCGTATGTCGGCATCAGGCCGACTTGAAATAAAGACGCTGAGGGGATGTCGGGCATTGGCCATGAGGAAATCGATCGTGTCAACGAGCCGATAACGCGATTCAGGTTTGCATTCATCCAGTGCGTCTAAGACAATAGTAGTCTTTGGATACAGGTTGACCGACTCGAGCAGCTACTCTCTGCAGTTCTCGAAGCTGAGGTCCGAGCCCTCAAGCTTCAATTCGCGGTGCAGATCTCGGAGCTTTCTGCGTAAGTCCCCAGGCCGGCCCATCTCGTGCGATAGCTGGCGGACAAAGCTCCGGAGGACAGAAAGTGGCTAGCTGCGATCCTCTTCGTTCCGGTTGCAGTAGAAATAAGTAAACCCTTCTGCTGGTGAAGTTTCGGACTGGGTTTGAACATAATCGATGACCTTTGACGCAAGAAATGTCTTGCCGGCGCCAGCTACGGTAATTTATCTAGTCAGCATTATAACAGAAGATTCGGAGAGGGATTGAACAGCACTTACGAGAGCCTTGTAGCGCGAGGATCATGGAGCTACCATTCGACCATTCACCGAACTCTTCACGCTGCAACAGCCAGTCGCATGTGTCTTTGGCCCGAGCCTCCTTGACCGTGATATGGTTTAATCCGTACAGCATCTTGGAGATCCATTCGAGAATCTCGAATTGTTCACGAGCATCGATCCGTTCTACTATCTCTTCGACTCGACGTTTAGCGTATTTCTCCCGGACGATATGGCTTATCTAAAAAAGTGCGTCAATAACTCTGACCAAATTTCCGTTCTAGCCAAGTAATATCTTACGTATTTAGCAACTTCTTCGTCCACCCTCTCGACTTCTTTCTTCTTGGCCGAAACGTCTCGGTCACCAGCTGATACGGTTGCGTGAGCAGAGCGGCCTAAGTAAATTCGAGGTCAGCAGGTTGCGCTTGGAGGGATGACGCGGGAGGCCGTACTCCAACCGCTTTGCTAGAGGTGGTCATTCACTGCTATCATGTACAAGAACAAGGCCTTGTATACGTCCACAATGCGGTCTTTAAACTTGCTGTCGGTTACCTCGCCTCTATAGAGACTCTCGTACTCAGTGTATCTCGACCGTAGTTGAGCGATGGTATCAGAGCTTGTAAGAATGATGGAGTGGGCATCCTTGGCATTTTTCGCAATTTCAAGGCCAAAAGACACGACGGACCAAGCCAAGGCTCCGTACCCTGACAGGTCAAATTTCATGGCAGCATCGCCCAGTTTCTTGAAACTGACAGCGGCGTCGACGATCTTGTCGATATGCTGATGAGAGCGTCATCAGTAAGATTATTCAAAGGCGAAAGACTCTCAACTATAGAGAGCAAAACCTACCGGCTGCCAGGCATTTCTCTTTTCATCCTTCATGTTCCTTGCCTTTGAGATGACTGCATCGATGTCATCGGTGGAAGAGCTGATCGCTTGTTTTGGAAAGCCTTAGCTGGTCCTTTTCGTCCAGCTTGCCCTTGGCTTCTTCCCAGAGATCTCGCAGGGTGGTTGGTAGTGGGTACAGCGTGCTGGTTACAGGTAGACGCTGATGCGGCGAGGGATGTCTGACCTGGTGGCGCGGCCGGAGCGCCTCCGACATCACCGCGGCATGTCAAGCTACTGACTACGTCGGGTTCCTGATCGGGTGCAGCTACAGCTTCGACGCGGCACTGGCGCGCGCGCGGGGCTGGCGCCGCGGTACGTAATTTTGAGACGTGTTGCTGATATGTAGACTCGGCCATTTGGCACCCAGGGGCAAACACTGACCTCAATGTTCTCCAAGTTCGTATACGTTTATTCGTTTATATGTCTTATATATCCTCTTCTGGTCCTGGACTGGCAGGACGAGGCGGCACTGTCCTATCATCGCGCGTGTCGGCCCAGTCGGCCACCGCCTTCTTCGATTGCTCCTGCCTGCGCCTTTCTGCGGAAAATGTCAGCATCCATACCGAATCACGCTTTGGCGACTCTCGCTCAACTTTATGCTTAATTATGAAAGGGAATAACAACTTACTTCGCAGTTCCACCGTCGCCGTAGCATAGGCCTGGATCTCCTCTTTGCTCAAAACGCGCAATACAATGACCAAGTCGTCGCGGACCTCAAACCGCTCCTTCCCGATTGTCAACGCCTCTGGGTTGACAAATCTGCGGTTTATCTTGGTCTATCGGGCCTCCGCAGGAGCGTCTTTCTTTGTCTTATCATCCTTGTGAGGAGCAACGCCTGGTCGGGTTGGGTTGGGGTCCTCTGGAAATTTTGGCGTCGGCTTTTTGAGAATGCCTTTGATGGGCTTCTTTACTTCACCGTCGCGCTTGGGCGGCATGACGATTTCACGGTATGGATTTCGCCGCCCCAGGCTCCGGTCCCTGTTTTGGTCGCTCTCGATATTATCATCTCCGCCGCTAGAGAGAACATCAGAGTGGCCGTGGTAGTCCTGACGCTCAGGCTCAGAGAGACGTATACGGCTTCCGGTATCGTAAGTCTTGCGACCACGACGCCTCCAGTCATCAAACTCGGAGTAGGTGCTTGGCCGCTCCTCTGGGCGTGCTGGAGTCCCATCGGCGCTTTCGTTGTCCCAATCTCGGCGAGGGCCAGGGTGAGAGCTGCCAGGGCGCGGTCCCCGCGTTCCTCGTGGACGTGCAGAGTCTAAATCGTATCTTGCCAACTCCGATGGCCTTATGTACTCATAGTCATCGACATCGCCCTCGTTGGTGTTTTCGGAAACCCGTTGTGGCATGGCTGAGTTAGACCCCTTTGGTATTAAGCGAGGCGATGTTGGAGATCCTGTCTCTTCTATTGGCTGCTCGAAACAAGTTAATCTTGGTGGAGCCCTTCCACCAAAAAGCACAATTGAATGATGTGCTCCCATCCAGCCAAATTCTCTATGTGATTTATCTAGCCTGTCAGTTTGTCGGTACTTGGATCTTGGTTGCCAAAGAAACGTACGAGTGAAAGGATGTGGCCTGTCTACCAGGTATGCGCTGGCTTGTTGGCAGCATCACCGACTGGGCAGCCCTGTTCAAACAAGCCTACAAAAGCCTGAAGCCAGGAGGTGTCGCTTGGAGTGGTGCTCTGACTTTGGGCACAATAAGCCCACTTCCGGCCCGGCATGGAAGACGGGCCTGTATCAGGCACGGAAAACACTACAGATTACACACAATTGACGTGGTATGCGCGCGTTGGCTTACCCATTGTTGTATTTGACACTACACTCCCTTCCGTCAAACCCCTCCGGTCTCGAGTGGACTCAGATCTTGGGCCTGGCCGCATAATTGGACTCCATCAGAGCTGATGTCATTCGCAAAATATGGCGGCAGCTCCATTTTCATCATTGTCCTCAGCACCCTCTTATGATCTCTCGTACCTTCCCCAACATCTCGGACAAGCCCACCTTCCTGTTGGTCTTTTCCCCAGAGCGAACCGGACTGGCATTTAAGCCCAAGTGGTGCAGTGGTCATTGCCAATGATGAAACTAAAACGACTTGTTACGATCTAATACATCGTGCGAGTTCAATTCACGCATTAGACGCTTTAAAATAATATTTCAAGGGCCTCTCAGAGGCTTACCTGGCTACTATTAGTTCCCAGTCTGTTGGCCCCTGTAGAGAGGATCAGACAAGTGATGAAAAAAATTAGTTCTGAGGCACCAACATTTTTTTGTTAGCATTCCCTTGTGATCGAGTTTTTTTTTTGGGGGGGGGGGGGAGGGGAGGGGGTTGATACTCACACCTTGAGGTGAGAAAAAAAAAGATTAGAAAAGAGAAGAGAGAAAAGGAGCGGGGGAAGAGTGCTTGGTATTTATACTGTTGGCCCAATGCAAAAGCTTGTTGCTTGCCAAAGCTTGCTGCTTGCAAAAGTTTGTTGCTTGCCAACGCTTGCTGCTTGCAAAAGCTTGTTGCTTGCGAAAGCTTGCTGCTTGCAAAAGCTTGTTGCTTGCAACCACGGGTCAAATCTTTGGAGGGCTAGGTGCACAGCGTACTGGGACCCGAACGCGCCCACAAACCGGCTATACATCAAGCTAACAGACATCCGTGGCATCAAGGTGTACATCGGATAGGTGTTTCAGGGAAGGGTGCGCGCAACAAGCCGTTCGCAGAGCTGTACTACGACAGCAAGGGCGTCGTCCAGATGGGCGTGGCCGGGTGTCCGCTGGGCGAGTCGGCGGGATGCAGCCAGACCATGACCTAGCCATCGTGCCGCTAGGCACCCTGTTCTCGTACGACATCTGATTCGAGCAGGGGGGGCTGCAGGCGGGGGTCAACGGCGAGATGAAGACGCTGAAGCAGAACGTTAGGACGCCGCGGGCGTCGTTCAAGTTTAGTATTCCACGGCGGCAATGGGACAGATTAATGCCTGTGAAGTTGTGAATGTTCAGGTGCCCCAGTTCTGTACCCCTGCTCTCATACGAGGACTGTTTTTGGGCTCCGGTAAAAGTTGCACTTTTGGGGAAACTGTGGTGGGCCAGTTGGTCCAGCTTTTAGCCGAAGCTGAGCCGGGGCTGATCGGGCTGAGCAAAAGCGGCGAGGGGTCACGTGGTGAGCTTGGCCGGTTTGGGAAGGGGGTTGTCGGTTTTTGGGGTCATGAAACACCAGAGACAGCGCCTTGCCTTTACTGATCCGCTAGCCGCCTTCCTAAAGTGGAAACGAATCCGCCATCCATCTACCAGGCCTTCTTCTATCTACGAGGAACCCGATCTGAAATTCTAGTGGCGAACGAAAACGAGGTGAAAGTCGGGGGCAACGTCGCCCAGCACCCCCCCAGTCAGTCCCTTCTCACGTGGCGTCAAAGGTGTGAACAATCAGATTCGCCAAGCTGGCGTTGAAGGCGTGGTCAGCCGGCATGTGGTGTGCGCCGGGGAAGCGCACGGCGAGGCGCGAGGGAGCGTCGAAAAAGCCGACCAGGGCCTCGCTCTCAGCGCGGTAAAGGTCGTCGTCACCGATGACGTGGATAGTGTCGACGCCCGTGACGACGTGGGCCGCCGCGGCGCGCTTGATGTCCGCGGTAGGGGCGCTCTGGAAGTACGGCGCGGTGCCGCAGACGGCCACGACGAAGCCGACTCGTCGCTGCTGTGAGTTTGGTGGCGTGACGAGACTGCGTCCAGCATCGGCCGCGGCCGACTCCTCCTCGAGCCGCCGGAGCAGGTGCCACGCGGCCTTGGCACCCTGCGAAAAAGCGAGGATGCCCACGAACGGTCCCTCGCGCCGGAAGTCGCTCACCAGCTTGTCGAGGTCGCCTTCAGCCCAGCCGCCGGCCGCCTCTTCGGCGGCGGCGCTCGAGTCGTTGAGATATCCGTAGAAGGGGCCGGAGCCCTCGAAGAAGGGCAGCACGCCGGGGCCTGGCGAGGCCTCGGCGGGACCGTTGATGTAGACGAGCTCGAAGTGAGGCTCGAGGAGGGCTGCCAGCCGGCGCGACTGGATCTGGAATATCTCGGCGTTAGTGCCCCAGCCGTGCAGGCACAGGATTTTGGGCCGCATTGATTCGGCGTTTGAGTCTGTTGGGCATGTTAGGGCGGACCGCCTCGCCTGGCAAGAGGCAGCACAGGCACGGAGTGACCAACGAGAGGGCCTAAATCCCGAAAATATCTCGGTTGCAGTGCTAGTGGACCAGGCGACGATGACGGCTGGTCCGCTCTAAATACGGCGGGCAGGCACTTAATTGACGATTAAGGCGGTGGTGGTTGTATGGCCGGAGCGGCCGGATCGGTCTGCTTTTGCGTATGCGTGCGTAACTCGTAAACGGGAAAGTCCGATTGGATCGACCCGTCACTTTAAGCTTGACCAAGCAGAGGGTGCGGAACGATCGTGCATGCAAGTTTTTTGCTGCACCGTACAAGTTCCCCACTTGTGCCTGCAAGTTCTCCTGTGTTACCTACTTCGTCCAGACGAAACTCTAGTGGGGGCTGTCAACATGGGACTGAAGACAGTGACGTACAGCACTGGGACGCTCGGCCTCGACCGGCTTCGACGCTGCATGAAACGGGTATTTTTACTTTATTTCTCGTATAGGTTATCCCCAGTGCTATCTAGTGGGGGACATGAGCTGATACAGCAACGGCTTAGTTGCCTTTTCTGGTATGTGCCTCTCCTTGGTTGTGGGCAGGAGCACCATTCTCGGCGGCAGGCGGCTGTTATACAGGTACATAGCGGCCAGCACGATGGCCGCGCCTCCCGTGGACTGCGGGTGTTCGTCAGCACGTGCCAAGCAAAATGCACATGTGGGCTGAGCAAAACGGAAGAAAGAAACTCACAGGTCCAGTCATGGGCGTTCGGAACAGCAACGCCGTAGCCACGTAGCTGACGACGATGCTGAGGCTCGCGGCAAAGTTCTTAGCCACGTTGTCCGCATAGGCGATACACACGGCCACAACGAGCCCGCCGAACGCCTGCAAGGCAATGGTAACCCACACTATCGGGCCGTAGCCGGCAAAGAAGCCGTCCCGCGCGATTGCGGCGCCGTCCTGCCAGAGCACGCCAATGAATAGCGCGGGAAACAAGCTAAAAAAGGACAACTGCACGTTGCGCGTCCAGAGGGACACCGACGCAAGCGAATCCTTGACAAGCTTCTCAAAGTACACGCAGGTCAGTCCCGACGTGACGGAGGCAGCGACGACGGCCGTAAATCCCCTAAAGGCACTCGACGTGGGCGCGTTGAGTGTGGCGCCGCCCCGGATAAGCGACGAAAGCCGTTCCCGCCAGTCTTCGGAAGAAATCTGGCCGGAAATCTGCACCAATGCGACGCCGAGCGTGAGCAGGACGAGGGCGAGCCACTGCCGCAGGGAGATGGATCTCCCCAGCAGCAAGATGCTGAACAACACGGTGGTGAGGATCTTGAGCTGGTATGTGACCTGGAAGGTGACGGCATCCAGGTTGCTGATTGCGACGTAGACAAGCGAGTTCTGCAATGTGTAGAGGGCGGCAGGCACAACGAGCTTCCAGCAGTCCGGCGCGAAGATGGACTGCCAGAGCAACGCGGAGATGTCGCTTGCCGGGCTGGCGGGTGCGACTGGAGCAAATCGTAGGTTGCGAGGGACAGGCTTACGGCCAGCTTGATGATCTCGACGAGTAAAACAGCCGTCGAGGCCAGGTATCGGGGTTGGTGGTTTGTCGGACTGTTGCGCGAATGGTGCATTACCTGGGCGCAAGCAAAAGCGCAGAGTCAGCTTTCGTCATTGCAAGGCAGGCCGAAGGAGCGCCCGACAAGATCAGATGGGACGACTTGCCATTACAAGCGCAGAGTTTTGGAGCACCAGCTGGGCGACCGATGCACGTCAGTCTACGCCTTGAACGACGTCGTGGTTTGTTTCCTGAAGCTCACTAGTATCAGGGATGTACGCTGGACCGACAGCTGCCAGTACTGCTGGGGAGCTTGAGCCAAGCTCCCCGCAGCAGACCGACGCGGGTCGCCATGGCCTTTGGCGAAACCAAGCATCGCGGCCCTATGTCGACTGGCCGTCCGATATCCAAAGGTCGCGATCCAGAGCAGTGTGGCCGCGCCGGTGTAGGTTCGCCCACAGTCGTCGGAAGTGGAGGTGAAAGTTTCGTGGTTGTTCAAGCCAGTGGCTGGAGTGGGTGGGTTCTTGGACCCTGTCACCTAACATTCGGAAGTGGAGATTCCCGGAGCAGGTTCCAGGTTTCCGAGTGTCGTCGGTCGCTTGGACCGATCCGATTAGTGATTGTCTAGCGGCTTGGCTCTCAGGGTTTGCGGTGAATCGCTCCCTTCGCCGTTTTGTCTTAGTGCTCACCAAACCTCTGCCAAGTGTCTAGCAGCCCGGCCGGGTTTCCCCCAGCAACTTCCATGCTGAAGGAAGCTCCCAATCTTTTGCAGTGCTGGCAGCTGAGATTAGTGGGGTGGGCAAGGATAAACCTGAGCAAATCCGCGCCACGCTAGCCAGTGGTCCGTTTTCAGGCCGCCCGCGCAAATGCCATCTGATCCTCGATTCCATTGGCGACCTCGCCAGACGCCCCGTCGTTGGTGCTCATCAGGGCCTAGTGCTCTCAATATGTGGACCGCCGAAGTGCGGATGGGTGCACAGTGTGGCAAACACCTCACCCGCGAAACTTGAAAGACCCCTGTCCAACACCAAAATGCCCAAGGGATTTGATGACCAACACTCCCGCGCATTGAAGTTAGAACAGAAAGGGCTCGGCCTAGGCCCGTGAAATGTGAGGCCTTTCCGTCACGCGCGCGGGCCTCAATCTTCCCACTTGAGCCGCTTCCACTCTGACCATCCAACTCTGCCCAGTCCAGGCCTGACCCTCCGTTCATTTCAGACTGCGAGCGTATTCGGGTCTCGCATTTCAACCAGCGATGTCGCGCTTCTCCTAACACACACATGTGCTCAAGATGCTGCCAAACAAGCCCGCGCAGCTGCTAGGCAAAGTGCCGCAGCTGCTGAGCAAAGTGCCGCAGCTACTGAGCAAAGTGCCGCGGCGCGCCTGGCGCTGGCTCGTACGCATCGCCCTGCTGGCGCTGGTGATTCCACTGCTTCTTCAGTGGATCATCGCCTATTTGGTCGGCGACGATGCCCGCATCCTCCCGCCCCAACTTTTGGCCGCCAAGAACCTCCTGATCGTGACGGCACACCCAGACGACGAGTGCCTCTTCTTTTCGCCCAGCATATTGGGCGTGTTAGACCGCAACAAAGCCGTCACTGGTGGTCTTTTGGTCATGTCAACAGGTAAGGACGGGAGCTCGGGGTCCGTTATCACGGCATACCTCGCTATTGGGGCGCCACCGTAACGCCGGGGTTTTTATCGGCCTTCGGGCTATTGGGCCGCACTTTCGGCAAGCGCCAATCCCCCCTCTTCACTCTGCATTTGCATTCCATCTGCCGCTTCCCTCTCGGAGTGTTCGCTAACCCGAGCCCACAGGAAACAACTACGGCATTGGCGAGACACGGCGCCAGGAACTGTTGGGTTCTTGCAAGGCCCTGGGCATCCTTGAGAAACGATGCGTCGCTCTCGACGATGCCGCTCTGCAGGACAGCCCCACCGTCTGGTGGGACACGGCGCTGATCGAGTCTATAGTCGACAAGCACGTGAAGAAGTGGGAAATCGATGCGGTAAGCACAGAATTCGTCTTGGGTCGCTTTCCGCCGGCTGACCGAGCTGACTTGCACCTTAGATAATCACGTTCGACGAAGGTGGGGTCAGCGGGCACATCAACCACAGAGCTGTCAGCGCTGCCGTCAGGTAAGCTTTCCACGCCCCCCCCCTTAGCCCCTTCCCACGTCCCTTCCCTCCAATTGCCAATCGCCACATCCATGCCCTACGATGTGCCCAGCCAAAGATATCGCTGACGGTGCGGCGCGTGTCTCACTAGCAATTACGCCCTAAAAAATCCCAATGCGCCTGTTGCTTTCGCTCTGACGACCACGGCACTCCCTCGCAAATACACAATTCTAGGCGACCTGCCGCTGACAGCGCTTCCTTTTTTCTGGCGCATCCTCGCCGCACTCACCTTTCCCACCTCGACCGCCACAACCAACGGCGGTGAGCGCGCCCTGGTCGCAAACACCTGGCATCGCTACCTCCTCACCCGCGACGCTTTCGCTCAGCACTCAAGCCAATACACTTGGGACCGCCACCTCTACATGGTCGTGAGCCGCTATGTCTGGTTCAACGACCTCAAGAGACTGCCCACAAATGCCGACCAGCCACAGTAATAGCGGTGATTAGCGGTCATGCACGCTGCACGTGCGGGAAAGCGGCTCAGTCATCAACTTGTGGCGTATCGTATGCACCATGTATCCGCTAGCAATTAGACCAGCATTCTGTAAACAACAGCATAATACAACATCACAATCACAATTGAAGTTGAATCTTTATCCATTAATCGCTGGTGCGATACCATCTGATTATCACGCGATGTCGCGACCCTCTGGACCGACCCCGTGCTTGGTTTGTTCGGTGCCTGTCGGTCCAGCAGCGCCTAGACGGGCAGCGGGTTTGGCCGGCGGAAATGTCGGTGGGGTGCTTGGCGCAGGTGCGATTATCATTTGCCCGTTGGTCTCGACTCAAATCAGAGCCAGACCCGCCCCGCTTTTGCTTGTTGCCTGTCTTGCTAGCCTTATGCGTGCTCTGTCCGGCCGTTCTAGAGCGCCCCCGCTGTAAGACTCGAAAATCGATGGCGGCGGCCCCTCTCCACACCCCCCCAAGATTATAATGCAGACCGTGGCAATCTTACACAGTACGAATTAGAAGCGGCTTTCACGGCGCTGCACTCTCAGTTAATTACGGGCAGCTTCACTTCCACTGGGGTGCCACCGCTTGGTTATCCCCATTTGTTCACCAGGAAAAAAAGCTTATGCCCTGCATCCCCGTCTTGGCGTCCCGCCTGTTGGAACTGCTCTGGATGCCTTCTTCTTCTCCCGATTCCCGTTCTTCGTTTCGTCCGGTCACATTCCTCTTCTCCCCCCCCATGATATCATAACCCAGAATTAAAGTATGGGGGTAATACATCGTCCAGCGCGTGTGCACCGCGCACACCCCGTGCTCTTCACGTGTGGAACCGCCCTCCTCTTCCTCGCCCTCTTCTGTGCACGCCATGTCCTCTACGACTCCTGGACGCTAGCCGCCCTCCCCTTCAAGTGGTTCACCTACTCGGACCGCTTCCTCCTCTCCGCCGAGGCCGACGGCTTCGATCTCACCTTTGCCAACTACAGCAAGCACCAGGTCAGCGCTGCGCCCTTTGAGGATCGCGTCCCGCCCGTCCTGCACCACATCTCGCTCGGCACTGGCGCCGCCGCCCACTCGCGATGGATGACCGTGCGCCAAGACTGCCTCGACATACACCCGGGCTGGGAGGCGTTTCTGTGGACGGATGAAACGGCAAACACCTTCGTCCGCGACCACTATCCCGAGCTCAAGGACATGTGGGAGTCGTACCCGTACCCCATCCAGAAAATCGACGCGCTGCGCTACATGGTACTATACCACTATGGAGGTTGGTTTCCGCGCGATGCACGAGGCGGCGATTAGGCGGCCAACAAACTTCGCCATGTGCTAACATGATGTCATTCATTTCCAGGAGTCGTTTTAGATATGGACCTGCAGTGCAAGCGCGCCCTCGGGCCGCTACGTCGATTCGAGTTCGTTGCCCCCGAGGCCCACCCCGCCGGCTTCTCGATCGGGTTCATGATGGCGAGTAAGCGCAACGAGTTTGTCGGCAACCTGGTGGCCAACCTGCGGCGGTACAACAGGCGCTGGATATTCCTGCCGTATCCCACTGTCATGTTCAGCACGGGGTGCCACTACGCATCGTAAGGCTCATCCCTTTGCCCCTTCCATCCGGAGATCTGTCTCGTTGTGGGAGTCTAGAGGCCGAGACGAAGGACAAGAATCGGTCTGAGAAGAGATGACATGAGAGCTAACACCCGCGCGCCTCCAGCACCATCCACGCCTTCCAGCGCGACCGATCGACGCTGAAGATCCTCGCCGGCACCAAAGACAACTTCCGGATGCACAGCCTGAACGGGCCCGTGTCGACCCCGATATTCAACCACCTCGGCAGCTCGTCGTGGCACTCATACGACGCCGCCCTGATCGTCACGCTGGGCAGGTCGTGGCGGCTGCCCGTGATACTGGTCGGCGGGGTGGCCGTCGCCTTCTTCGTCGTCAGGCGGACAAAGAGGAGGAACATGCTGCTCAAAGGATAGCAGCCGCAAGCATGCCAAGCTGTCCTACACACAACTCATACGCTACGACAACGACCGCAATTATATATGGAGAAGGGGGCCTGACTGCCCCCGTTTTTGACACGGCCAGCTACGAACAAAGCAATTTCTTGTTCTTTGACATTTTTTCTGCAAATGTCTCGGCTACACCACCCCACCACCCACTCACCTTTTCTCACTGTATCTAATGTAACAATAATTGGGAGACGAGCGAACTTCTCTTGGCGGCGGTATCAGTCTTGGGGAGGCAGGGAGGGGACAACGACATTCATCAGCGTACTGAATAGAAAAGCAAAGCATGGCGAAACTGGTTTTTGTTTGGTGGTTTTTTGAGGGAGTTAATTCATGTTGGGGGTTGGAGTTTTTGTTGATGTCTTTTTCTTGAAGACAAGATTAATTGCGCTGGACGTGTAGAGAGACAGAGACGCAACGGTTAGGGTGGAGGATATCTGTTGGCAATGCCGAATTTTGTGTTTGTGGTCCTGGGTGTTTGCACCGCCGTCACACCAAATCCTTTGTCTAGCTAGCTTTTTTGCCTTTTTGCCCTTGGGTAGGCACTTTTGCCCCGGCCTCGGCCTCGCAGGTTGGCGGCTGGCTGGCCGGCTGGCTGGCTGGCTGGCTGGCTGGCTGTACCAATACAGTAATTTGAACAAAACCGGACTGTTCCCGCCCTTGCGTCTTACGTCTGCTTGTGGTGGTAAATTACTACCCTGTCTCTTCCCTACCCTACCTTATCCCCTTATGCGATTGATAGCGCCGAGGCTAACGTGGCCGTCCAGTGAGTGCTGCTGCTGCTGCTGTTCTGCGTCAGGTCTCTCCGCTCCGTGCGGCGTCACGGGCCCGGGTTTTGGCCGAGTCACATTTATTATATTGCACTGTGCTACAGTGCCAGAACAATGCCTGATCCGACCCCAGTCAGAAGGTTGACGACGCTTTGCCGCTGTGTTGTGTCTCAAAGTGCCGCTTATTATGTCTTCTTTTGGCACGAAAACACTACGTTGGCGCTCATGCTTGCGTCATCCGCGGGATCCTGAATCCGTTGCTTAAATAGGTACCTATTTGGATGGCTATGTCATTAGCTAGGTATCTTGGCTAGGTGCTTTATATTGCATTTTGTCTGCTCAAGGAGGGGCTTTCACAGTTTAATGTATCGCAGAAGTACATTTTGCTTATGCCTACTAATTACTACGCACTTCCTAAGAACATGGTTAAGCATTTGCAGCCGTGCAGCAAAGAGCCAAACAAGCAATTCAACGGCACCGATAGACTTATATCGGCCGACCTATAAGCCTTACCGCGCCATGCGAGATCAAAGTTTTCAGCACATAATTAAACCGTACCAAAATGTACCCGTTGAAAGCTTGAGCATAGGTAGGGGAGTGTCGGTTAATTATTTGTTTCTCCGGTCAGCCCTTGCCGTCGCTCTGTGCCCGAGTTTCTTCATCTCACGAGTCGTCTCATTTTCACGGGGTTTGTCTCCAAAACTCAGCATTCCAGCTTTGACTGGTGCCAATACTTAGCACTTGCTGGTCTTGCATTTCCGAGGTGCCAATACTTGGCACCTGCTGGTCTTGCATTTCCGAGGTGCCAATACTTGGCACCTGCTGGTCTTGTATTTCCGAGGATTTATCAATGCTGAATCGCGCCACCAGTATCATTCTGAGTCCAAATGATACTTGGATTGGTTGGTTCATCATATCGCAGAGTCAATGTCAAAGGCGATAATTTGCAAGTTTTGGTGACATGTGATTATTCCGGTGCTGTGATACATTAATACTACAACTCAGCCCATGAAATAATAGACTGACTTTCTTCCTCCGCTTGGTATCCCGTGTGCCTTCCTCCGACACTTCAGTCCATGGAATAGTCTTCCTCTTCTCTGCTTCATGAATGTCCCATCTTGCTAGCTTCCGTGTAGAAATCAGTCCGTAAAATGGACCGGCTTTCTCCGTTTCGTATCCCGTATGTCTTCCTTCTCTTAGGTCTCATCCCTCGGGCAAGACCGTGATCTAGCGGGATCGGGGGTTGATGGGAATAGGGAACATGCGGAACCGGGCGGCAGAGTCAGGCCCTGCCAGTAACGATGCAGAGGACCTGACGTCGTATTCAGGGCTGCGTCGCTTCTCGTTCCGAAATTGTAATAGCTTTCGCAATGAGTGGGCTGCGGGTTATTCACTTGGTGAGGCGCTTGGCTGGTGGGTACTGATGGATGATGATGGAATCCGCACGCGGACGCTCGAGGAAGAGGTTGCCAGGGGAACGGTGGAACAGTTGTTTCTACGGTATTCTGACAGCCTTGGGGGTGAAGGTTGGCATCAGAGGGAAAATTATGGGACGGGATGGATCCATTATTCTGTGCGCGAATGCCACCATGTCCTTGGTTGGTAGGCGGACTACATTACAATTTCAGTAGGTGGGTAATCATACACTACCGCTCGGAGACATGATTGGGCGAGCCTACTATGCTTCGTTCCGTCCCTGAGCCTCCGATGCTGGACGCTGCTCCTGGGTCTGGTTTTTCTTCAGAGGCTGAACAGCGAGCTGCGATGCGGTGGATGATTCGTCAATGTTTTGGAAGACCGACGAAGGCGAGCCAACAACAAAGTCCTCGGGTCGCATGGCGTCGAGCTGGGCGTCCATCTCTTCCTTCGTCACTGAGGTGATGAACTTGAGGTTGGGTATGTTCGGAAGCGCCGTGACTGCCATATCGAATTATCGCTTGCTGCTCCGAAATGCGGCTTGAATTGCTGCTCGAATTGCTGCTCTGAATTGCTGATCCGAATTGCTACTCCGAGAATGCTGATCTGAGAAGGCAGAGCGACTTCCCAAATTTGGTATGAAAAGTATAGGGGACGTGCTCTTATAGGTGAATTTTTGCGAGAGGTGCGGGTGTTACTATAATGGACGAGAACAAGCATACTGAGCAGGTGGGAAAAGATGACCGGTCCCTTATTCGTCTGAAATATAAAATCTATTTCGCAATAGGGCTTTTCTCCACAGTGTCAATTACATGCTACGCCCACTCAATTATGACTGTGTTTTAACTGCAATCATGCTGTTTCTTAGCAGCACGGTTACAGTTCCGGGGCACATTTTTCAAGAGGTTGAGTGGGCCTGTTTTGGCAATTGAATTGTTAGCAAATGCACAAAAGGACGAGTGGTGTGCTACTTGAGTGGCTCAGAATTTTAGATGAATGGTTGCATTGGGGCCTTTCTCCGACTTTTGCGACTCATATATCGCTCCTAGATAACTGAAACAAACTTTCCATTGTGGTTAAGGTGGTCGGTAAAGAATACAATACCGTCAAGCAGGGGAGTACACACGCCATCTACAAAGAAAAACCACATTGTTTCCTACAAGCTCATCTTTATCTCAAACTATTGTCTGGGCCCTATATCTTCCAATATCACCCTCTCATGTACATCTCAACCATAGTTCCCAAAACAAACATCGTACTTCACCTCTGGTTTCCATGTTCACACGCCGATTGCCACCACCCTGATAGCTGTGCTGTACACCGATCACATACTTGCTTCAGTCTTCATCCATCTCCACCGCCTCTGAAGTATGAGTCGGCAGTGAGGCCGTTTGTGGGCAAGTTTGCGTGACCAAGAAAGTACCCCAGCCCGTGTAGCACTGGTAACACGGAGTTTGGGTAGGGCAGACGGTGACGGTTGTGGGCTGGATATCAACTCTAGGGCAGCCGCATGGGATGGTGACGGCCGCTGAGGGGATACGTCAGTTTCTTTTTTCTTGACCATAGCTGGCTGTTCTTGTCAGTCATCACGGTTTAATAAGAAGCGCACCGTCAATGACGCAAAATTCGTTCCCACAGGTTAGGGGACACCCGCTGCTGGAGTAGAAGGTCTGCGTCGGCTTGTATGTGCAAGATGCAGCGAGGCTGGTGGTAGTCAGGGGTGGCGGATGCCTTGTCCTCGAAGTAGTAGACGTCGGGCTGGCGGGCAGCGGATAGCAGCTGGGTCCATCGTCGTCCCTTTTCGCCAAGGCCCGACTCGCGTGTAAGCCGCTGTCGTGCACTGCCAAGTCAGTAAAATGGGCTGCTGCCGGCGAAGAACTTTGCGCTTCCGCACCTGGCAAGAATTAAAACGGCGGCGAGACGCATGGTTTTTTTCGGCGAGAACCTAGATAAATTTTGCTTTGGTTGTTAACGATGTGCGCACGTCAAGGGTGACGGGGAAAGGTAGGTAACGAGGGGGAGCTGGGAGAAAATTAAGGTTAGGCCTACTCAGGCCCAGAATGACGGCCCGAGACATCCACCACGATGCTGCTGATCGACCCTACCTGCCCACCTGCTGCTAATAATAGCCCGCAAACAGTTCCACACGTGCAACTTGTAGTGGAGGCAATAAAGAGCGGCGCTCGTCGAGAAAGCTTCGCACTGGAGGTAGAAGGTTCAAGGGGCGGGCAGCATTTGAGCCTGTGTCAGCGGCGGCTCCATCGGGAACAACACCGTCCGCAACACTGTCTTGGGCTCTTGGCGGCGAGGTGGATGCAACATGCAAATGTGCCAAGCACGGAAGGGTCCTCCCGTTTTGCGGGGTGCCTAGAAGTGACAGTTCCACAAAGGATTTTGGCTTTCGCATCTTGCTTGGCTTTGGCGATCCCATCTCCACGGACTTAATGCACGCCGGTTCTGCTCGTTCTCATGGCATACGTCATCCTCGACCCAAGCCTCGGAACCGCCGGAAACAGCTGATGTAACACCTCGTGGCAGTGCGGCGCCATGGCTGAGAAGAGACAAAGGCAAGTGAAACTCTCTCGTCGATCTGGCAGGTGCAGGATACGGTAAACAAACACGGCTGGTGGTCGTGCTGTCCAGAGAAGTTCAGACGGACCTGCGTGGCCTGGCGCTGGGAAGCGCCAAGGTATACGACACAACACGCAAGGTATTGCCCATCGTCGGGACACACAGCACAAACGATTCTCCGTCTCTGGGACGCCCAGCACAAGACATTGCCCATCACAAGACATTACCCATCACGAGACGCCCGGCACAAGCGCCGACTCCCGAGATATGTCCTACATCGCAGAGTACTGGCCCAAGGCGGCCATCCAAGAGGCAGCAAAAATGGAGAAATCGCATACGAAACATCACGAGTCGAGGAAGTTGTCTGAGAAGACTCGGAAGGAGAAGCTCGAGACCCCACACGTGGGAGTTTGCGGGCCCTACGATTGCAGATTCCAATACATTGACGCCGATCTTCAACAAGGCTTCAAGTCTTCGTACGGTAAAGTCAAGTCGTGGGCTTTGACAGTCGAGGAAGATTTGAAGGAGAACAGCATTGACGATGCCGTATTTCAGCGGCTGCAGCAGCGCTTGAGCCCCACAAAGCAGCAGGACTTGATGGGGTTACTCGCCTCGAACCCTGTTCAGCAAGAGATGTGGGTGACTCAGCTGAGGAACGATGACAGGCATCTCTACGAAGTTGTCTTTCGCGTCATCTGGAGACTTCTTCACGATCAGGTATTCCCCAAAAAGGACCCAATCGGCACTCGGCTTCCTGGCAGCTCTGTCGAGCAAGGTGAGTGAAGAGGTGGGTTCCCGAGCTCCTCCTCAATGATTATCACAAATTGTTGGCTAACGTCTTGGGTCTGGATGATCCAATCCCCGCGCTATAGGCGAGAAAGGTTCAATCTTTGCCACCGTGCAGAAGCTCCTTGGCGAGCAAGACAAGGGAAGCAAGGCGAGGAACCAGGATATCGAGCAGGTCTGTACGAAAATGGTCAACACTTGGCCAATCAACCTCGGCGGGGTTTTCAAATTGAAATCTCAAACAGCACACAGAAAACCTCCCAAGGGTATCATCGAATATGCCGCCAAACTGCACCAAAGTATCTGCTCTGCAGAACTCGCGTCCGAGAAGTACGGTGCCGTTCGGCATCGCTTCTTGGAGCGAGTATCTTTCAACGAGTGGCATCAGAAGCACCACTGTGTCCCCATAACGCCCGCCATTGTTAGAGAGGTTTTGGCCACGAGACAGGAATTTCTAGTCATCAAAGAGACGGTCTCGGGCTACAAGTTTGGTGAAGCAAAGTCCAAAACGGCCGAGCCCCTGCCAGCTCAAGCTCCAGTCTTGTCGCAGTCGAACAAAGAGGTCTGACGGTGAAGATGGTTGCAACAGGTCCAGTGACAAGACGCGAAGGATACGACAGGAATTCGCATGAGATTGGCAAATCTTCCTTTTCTTTCTCTTTTCCTTTGTCTTTGTCTTTACGGGGGTGGATGGGCACACATGATTTGCGTCTTAACTTGGAGATCTCGAGTGCCATAATGGAGGTATTAATATTCACTGCTGGCTTTGCTTAACACTGCCTTTCTTTTACATTAATATTTACAGTACAGAGACTACCTGACTCGTGACTCGTGACTTGTGATGGAAAAAATGGAACCCGCTTTCTACCAGCGGATCGCCTCGTGGAATCGGCTTCAGGGAAGTCGTCAGCCTCTCCGATGTTATTGTCCGCGTCATCCAAAGAGGTGCCCCACGATGCAACAGTACCCGAGAGTAAGCCAATCCAGAGAACAAAACAAGACACACATACCGCGTGTCCTGATCAATGAAGATCAATGAAGCTCAACATCTGGCGCCTGCTTCGTGTACGGCTGGCCCCTCGACCAGACGCTGCGCCCGCGCGCCGGCGCGAGACGTGGGAGATTTCGAAGCGGAAGAAGAGCCAGGTAGCGAAGCCGAGGAGGCCCGAGACGGCGGCCCAGACGTAGATGGGGGGGCCCGTCGTTGGCGTTGATCTCGCGCACGTTTATGCTGAAAATGGACGTGGCAAAGGTCAGCGGCACGAACAGCGTGACTAGGCGCGTGAGCTTGGTCACGCCGCGCGCCTCGGCCATGGCCTTCTTGGACTCCTGGATCGTGGCGTGGTGCGCCACGATGCCCATGCCCTGCACGCAGTCGTACGCCAGCGCCTCTGCGTACTCCAGCGCGCCACGGTAGTCGTCCAGCGTAGTACTAGCGGTCGTGGAGGCCCTTCACCCCCCCCCCCCCCCCCCCCCCCCCCGGGCAGCTGCCGCCATGGCCTCAAGCCACGGCCACGGTGGCCTTTCGCTTCCAGCCCCTGAGAGCCTCGCCCAGTATGTGGAAGGCGGTTGGCAGATACGTCACCTCAAATGAGTTGGTGCGGATGGCCTTCTTCTGCCAGGGCCCTGTAGTCCGCTGGCCCATTAACCTTCGTTGGTGGCCCACGAGTCACATGCTGCCGTTCTGACTCCAGGAACCAATATAACGCTGGAGCTTGCAAGACGGCTACTAATTATTGATACTCTACAAAGGCAGAGAGGATCTTGTGGCTTCCTTACCAGACTTTCAGAGTCGACTCTTTAACCACGCACAGCTGTCTGAGGCTGGCGGGCGTATCTGTCCTGGAGCCCTGTCTTGGTACCATCGGATTTCTGGCCCCTTGTGGTTATCCCACCACCACATTCACCTGTTCCTGTTGGCCTCGGAGGGGTCGTGGATCCCGTAGTGGTGACTATAGCAAGGCACAAGTTGTGCAACGCGACAAAACGTGGACGAGGGCGGCAACATGCAGAAAACCCCTCAATCCTTTCCGGGTTGACAACATTCGCTACCGCCCATTAGCAAATAAATCCTAACACACTTTTCAACCCCCTATCCGCAACCCAAAAAAAAAAACGTCGAGCCCGACCCGGCAGTTGCATCCATGATCCGAGAGTAACGAATTGTCTTCGTCGGCACCACCCTGGAGCCTTATCCGACGGTGACACGACAGTACCATCTACAGCAAAAGTCCCGTTTCATAAGGCTACGGGGCCTGTTTCCGACAACGCTTCGTGTGCTGGCTGGTGGGCATGTGTAGCATGGTGTTCCGTCCTTTGCTGTTGCTCCAACGAATTAGTAGGTATCCATATTAGCTGCTTGGGCGAGCGGCGGGAGCTCGAGGGGGGGGATATTGCCGTTCTGCTTTGATGAGAGAGAAGAGACCGGAATAAAAGCCGCGCGGTCCGTGGCTCTCCTCGCATTTCCCACCGTCCCAGCCCAGTCTCTCCTTCGACTCAAGATGCTGTTTCCTCCATAGGCAACACGCCCATAATAACTGCAGATATTACTAGGTATGCATGTACACAAACAGACATTTCCCGCAGGAATGCCTCGTCAGGCGCTAACAAGGTCCTTTTCAGTAGCCTGCCTGCCTGTCTGCTTGCCTAAACAACAAAGCGAACACGTAACATGGAGTCCGCTGTCACTGCCACTGTCACTGCCACCGCCACAGCTGCCAAGGCCCAGCCGTGGAAAGCCTACTGGCTCGCCATGACCAAGGAGTAGCGTGACAAGGCCGCAGCGGCCCCCTGTAGCCCTCGATACTGCTTCGAAATAGGCTAGGTTGTCGCTATAAACAGAATAGTCAAGGGCCGCTCTCTTGATGTTGTCACCCAGGAGCCTGATCGGGCTACTTGACCACAGCCCAATGCAGCACGTGCGGATCAAGACATCTTTCTGTGTTGGATTGTTTGTCGGATTGTTTGTCGGATTGTATTGGCGATGTGGATGGTCCATGTCGGTGCAATTAATTTGCATGCAATGGTTGAAGGGGCTTTCTGAAGATAATCACACGTGAATCCAACCCCAGTTGCGGCATTATTGCGATTGATGTGGCGGGAAGCTCGTTGGGTTTGGAGCAAAATATGGCTTGAAGAATAGCGGGGAAGTCAGTCTGTCGGGCCTCAGACTCGTGCTTGGTTGGCATTTGCAGAAAGAGACTCTATTTAGTTAGTAACCTGCACCTTAGCTGATTGAGTTTGGCCATTGTTCGTCTGTCAATACGCGTCAAGTTGACTCGATGAGGACTATTTCCCGTCTGGAAAACTATGCAAGTTGGTTCTCTACCACAGTAAAAGTGAAAGCCCAAGATACCCAGCCCTAGGCCGTTCCTCGGCATAATTTGTAACTAGACTACTGTCAGATGGAAAGGGGTAGAAAGAACTAGATTGGATTTTGTCAGCATGCTTACATATTATCGCCACCTGTTATCGCCACCCACTGTACAATATTATGGGCACCCTGGATCAGCCAGAGAAGACAGAATTGAAACAAGATCTTAAACCCAATCATCTTTACCATTAGAAGTGCAATACTTCTGACAATTACCTAGGGGCCTAGGTTGATACGTACAACCGTGTAGTATTAGCATCTCACGCCATTCGCAACCTCACCGCCTCGCAAGGCTGTTATGGAGAGTGTTCTGCTATATCAGCAGGCTGTAGGCCATGGAGGCCACGCTCGTGACCGATGCCAAACGCCAGCCCAGCGGCGAGGAGCCCCCCCCGGCGGCCGTACATGTCTGTCCATCGTCCAGCTAACGGCTGTGTCGCCGCGGTAGCAACGAGGCATGCGGTGCTAAGCTAGGAGAGGTTGTTGAAGGACGAAAAGGACGTCGAGATGACTGCGGTTGTAAGAGAAGGCAGGTACGCCGGATCAAGGTGGTCACAATGCAGGTAAGAAGGTGGGCGAGCAACGAGTAGTATTGGTGTGAGACTTCAACCTGGCCCTCGCAAGGGAAGGTGGGCGAGGGCCACTGTTTATATACGTGCTCAGGGGCTCAGGCCCGGGGCGCCATGGCGTGGCGTAGTGGCTTGTGCCAACTGGCAGTGTTCCGGCTAGTTGGTAACAGGTGGTGAGCGCGCACCCTGTGCGCGCGGCTGGTGTTTGGGTTGTCCTTTCCTTACAGCGGTGAGGGTTGCGACAATAGTTGAGTCTGTCTGAGCGGGCGGGCGGCTGGGGTACAGCGTAGAGCGTTAATTAGCAGCCGTCTGTCTGCGTCTGGAACGCGGGAGAGAGAATCTTACCGAGAGTTGTCAATACGGCAATGGTCTAGTGCCCATCCAGTTCCTGCGAGACTGCTGCCCACTGGGGTTGGAGCTATTTTTATCATTGTTATTGTATCGTAAGAGTGGAGTCTGCTCAGTGTTTTCGGCCTGACAGTTTGTGCGCAGCCTTCGAGAAAAAGATTTCCGAGCTCCGATGTGACGAGTTGGAGTTGGGTGACCAGGGCATTAGACACGTATGAAGTACCCCTAAGGAGCTCCCCGTAGGATAAAACCCAGAAGTGGTGGCTTGCCCAAATCCTAGTACCCTGCGTATTTTCCAGCGTATGACACGTCTTGAATATATTTATATAATTAAAAATAAGTACCTACGTATAACGTCTTAAATCTATGGATATTATTTGAAAATATTGATATGACGTTATAACAGGTCCTCAGACGGGTTTTTTGGGCGTTCTGATTGGCTGGGGGTGGTAGGGCGTGAGATGGGGCCAAAAGATACATCTAAAAAAACACCCTTCAGCAGAAGGGTCTGAGCAACAAAATGTAGTACTAATGGCTGTGCGCTGGCGGCCTCGGTCAAAGCTTCTTCAAGTATTAATTAGGTGTGTATGTTGTCCAACACGGAACTACAGCCACAGCCTCGATAACAAACTTCAACTAGAGCCCCACCATAGTAACCACTGATTCAGCGGCATATAGGTTCTCTTTAAAACCGAAATAAAAACCCAAAACCCTAGATTAGGGAGTTTAATAGACATGTCTATGGCGCGAAGCTGTCTCGAGTACGTAGCGCACCTTCTCAGACCCAGGGGGGCTATCGTAAAAAACCCATGTACCTTGCATCGATGCTCCCTTCGCCACGATGCCGATGTGTTCTTCGGCTTCGAGCGGGTGAGATACGCCGCGATCGGCTCGGTCCCGGTAAGATGAGGCTTGCTTCCCGCTCTGTGCCGTGCCGCCGGCCATCACCGCCGCCACATGCCCTTACCTCGTCACCCTGGTTCCCGCAGAGCGTGGAGTCCCCGTCACACCGTCGTGGCTTGGTGCGCGCCTTGCCAGCATGGAGAAGTGCGACGACGCCAACCCGAAGCCGCAGACCAAGAAGCCATACGAAATCCTGTATCTCCTCGACTACCTACCCGTACCCAACCCGTAGCAGATGCAGCTGACGATGCCTTTATCGCCGACGCCAGCCGCAGCCTCCCGGCCGCCGTGACCAAGCTGTCCATCCGCTCGGCCTAGAAAGCCAGCCACCCGGCGGGGACGCCCGAAGACGTCGACGCGTACCTGCAAAACCTCGTCGCCGAGACCTTCTACTACGACTTCTACCATTCGAGCGACGCGTTCCGCAAGAGCTATGTCGACTCGCACGGCCGGCAGCTACCGTACGTGATCCCGTTTGTGCAGCGGCGGTGGGCCAAGGGTGCCGCCGTCACGCCGTCGCAGAACCAAGAGGCGCGCAGGAAGCTTGGCGTGTACAGCACGTGGCTGCACGAGACCTTGATTGCGGCGAGGGAGGCCGAGGCGTTGGTTGTGCTGCCCGTCGCCAACGCGGCGCCCAAGAACCAGTCTGCCCTAGACGAGCTCTTCTGCCGCCCATCCTGGGCGCCCTCGACATCGTGGTTCCCGTCGGGGACGTCCCGTACAACTCTAGAATCACGGGCAGGGTCGGGTATCTCCCGGTCGTGGTCGACGTTATGGCGGCACCGGGGAAGGACTCCGGGCTGCTTGACGGGGCGGAGCAGATCATGGCGAAGTCGGAGCGGCCAACCGTAGTAGCGACGGGGTCGTGAATGTTTCCTGATCTGTAATCAAGGCAACATATCTGCTACCTGGTATTTTACCTGACCGTGGTCTAAACGGTAGCCGTACCAACAGGTAATCGGTTTAAAACGATGTGGTATTACCGGATGATCAATAAAAAAGGCTTTAAGAGTGGGTTGATTATACACCTTGAACGTTCCACTGCCCATTGAAATCAATAACGAGATGATGGTCTTCGGGACGTGACATATTCCAAGCCATTAAAGTCGTTCGTGGTCGCCACATCTGGGTTAGGATAGTACCACGCCGCGATGGCGATGATGATGTAGACGATCTGCGGCAGCATCAGTAAAAATCGCATAATCAGATATTTGGTGCATATTATGATACATACCACCAGGAGGGCCCCCTCAAGCCAATTGGACTCTCCATCCCTCAAGAAATTTCCTACAACCAAGATGGACAGCACGAGCAGGCCAATCATGAATATCTCAAAATTTAGGTCCATGGGCTTGCCAATGGCCCAGCCGACAATGACCACTAGAGGCCCATTGAACAGAGCGGTTTGGATGGACGGGCCGAGACAGTGATAAAGCGCGACATTAATCACGCCGTCTGTAGATGATTAGTCTCTGATCGGTAACACAAGCTCCAAATGGAAAGGAGGATAGACTCACCCCAAGCCTCGTCAATGGCCGTCAAATGCTCTGCGGCCTTTTCGACAAGCGGAAGTAGTATCAAGCCCAGGAACTGATCCGGGACACCAAAGGCCACAACATGCTCAATCTCGTCAACTAAAAAGATGAGCAGCAGCGTGACGAAAACCAGCGAGATGAACAGAGCGACAAAGGTCTCCGTCATGGTGAACTTCTCCTTGGCCAGATCCGCCTCGCGGTCCGCGTCGCCGTGCTCGTCCTGCTCGATGACCTCGTCGAAGATGCTGTGCTGGCTACTGGCACAATACCAGATATACAGGAAGAAGGCGACCATGAGCACGATAGACGACGCCTGGCTGATCTTGAGGATGTCGGCCCGCAGCTTCGCCTCGGTGAGCTTGTCGTGCAGAGCATGCAGCGTGTTCGACGAGAAGACCAGCACCGTCTCTGGCTTCAGGGCCGAGTAGAAGGCGCTGGGGATGAGGAGGCCGAAGGCGGCGACGAGCAGCAGGCCGCTGCTCGTCTCGGAGACGATGGCGTGGAACTTTTGCGTCGTCTGCCGGAGGCCTCCAAAGAAGAAGCACAGCCCGAGACACAGGAGCAGGTTCGTAAGTATCGAGCCCAGGATCGCCGCCTGGATGATGGGGATCAGGTTGCCCTCGTCGCCGTTGCCCTCGTCCTCGCCCTCGGGCTCGTGCTTCACGATCAAGACGATGAACAGGATGATTTCGACAATGGAGCCAAACGTCGTCTCGATCAGGATGCCCGCCACCTTGGGCATCTTGCGCGCGAACTCCCGCCCTGCGAAACCGAGCAGGTTCGCCGCGGGCACCATGGCGATGTAGCTGAGGGCGAAGATCCAGAGGTGCGCCGTCGGCGCGACGAAGTGCAGCACCAGAGCCGCCGGCACAAAGGGCCAGAGCACGTTGACCAGCATCGACACGGTACACGACGACTTCCAGAGCACGCGGAGGAAATGGCGGAGATGGAAGCCGCTGCGGCCGCTCTCGCCCTCGTGGGCAACCCCATTGCTCAGCAGTGGGAGGCGGCCGACTGCTGTGGGGAGGAGCGACGTCGATTCGTGGGCGCCATGGCTGGGACTGACGTTGTTGGTCGCTGGTCCGTGGACGCCATTGGAGTGGCCGCCCTGATGTCCCGACATTGCAATTGCTACCAATCCAAAGCCCGAGGTCGAATGCAGACTTTACAGACGCGCTTCAGATTCCAAGGTCGAAGTCAAATTGGTGGAGCCCTGGAAATGAGCGAGGCATCGCGCGGTGAGGGGAAGCAGCCAAACGCCGAGCACCTGCCCAGGTTCAGCTCTGCGACTCTGGCTTAGTCATCCTGGGCAACCTGGGGCTGAGAATCTCACACAGCAAGAGCAACCCAAGAGACACGAGAAACACGTTCTGAATTGACTTTGGAAATGGAAGGCGTCATGGTGTCGGGGTGGGGAGTTCTTCCAAAAACGATGACTACCTCGAACACCACCCTGGAGAGTGAGGAGAAATGGAAAATATTGAAAAGCTGATTCTCTGGAGCTAATCCACGGCAAATCTGTCCCTCAAGAAAGATTATCACGTTAACTAGCGCACATTTAGGAGTCTACCTACTCTACGCGAGTGAAACGTGGCATCCACCAATTCAGCGGCAGAAAGACAGATTGGCTGCAGAGTTTTTGAGATGATGAAATTGGAGAAGGGCTCCGCCAAGAGTCTGATTCGGGTATCTGTCCCAACGACAAGGCTCATAAATAGGAGCCAGACGAGAATTGAAACCACGGAGGAGCATATTATAGGATGTAGCCCCTCGGACTTGGTCAAGGCAGGCAAGCTTATTCCGCCTCCGCTTTATTAATGGCCGTGTGTTATATGCAGGCGGGCGACACGCATGACCCCACGAATGCCGACCGCTGCATGAGTCGTCGGCGTCGAATATAGTGTGGGCTGCTTAAAACTGCCAAACCAGTACGGCACCCCCTCAAGGGCTTGGCTGCCGATTGGCTCCCTTGCCTCCCCTCGCATGACGCTCAACCATGGAAGGCCACCGCTTGTTCATATCCTGCTTAGTCTGCTCACTCTAGTCCGGTTAATTAACATTATTCAGACCAACTGAAGCGACGCCGTCTGGCTTGGCCCAGCCCAACACAGTCCCCTATTGATTATATCCATGCCCGGCCAGGACCGCAACGGGGGCGTGTCCTGATTAGTGGAACCAGTGTAGGGGCCCCACAGCTACCCCAACCAGAAGGACAGGCAATATCGCTCCTGTAAGTCGAGTCTAGACCGGTCCTTGTGGTCCGGAGGGAGCCTCACGAAAAACTGCCGTCATCGACCCCGGCTACTCAAAGTCATCTCCACGGCCCTATCGCAGCAACCCTGGAATCCTCCGTCATCTAATCACCGGGGAGTATGGGGAAGCGGGGGCGGTAGGCGTTTATATCATGACTTGGGATCTCCAGCCCAGAAGTTTGCAGATGACAGCTGGCCAAGATTCTGCATCGTCTCCCCGGTTTCCAGAGCCATCATGGCCCCTAAGATGACCCTTGGCGTCATCGCCCTGCTTCTCACCCAGCTTCTTGGCGCGGTATGCGGCTTCCCTCACAAGCAGTCCGCCGGCGGGAAGCAGGCCAAGCCATGCACCATCAGATCCCCAAGGAAGGCTTGGTGAGTGCCCGGGCAACGCTGAGCACATCAGCGAGCCAGCCAGCCTTTTGTATCCAACCTATGCCCTCTAAACCAACCCACCCTGACTTGATACTTCCCCTCGTACAGGCAAGCCCTCACACCCTCCGAAAGGGCAGACTACATCAGCGCCACGCTGTGCCTAACCAAGGCGCCCGCGCGGCTGGGCATCGCCGGCGCGCAGACACGCTGGGATGAGCTGCACTACGTGCACATTGCGCAGTCGGGGTACATCCACTTCGTGGGCGCCTTCCTGCCGTGGCACCGCTACTTCCTGGCCGCGCACGAGACGCTCCTGCGAGACGAGTGCGGGTACAGGGGACCGATGCCGTACGCACATTTCCTCACCATCCCAGTAGCCCCTCTCCCCGTCATCCCATCGGAATCCGAAACGGCTAACATGCCATGGCTAACAACACCACAGGTACTGGGACGAGCTGGCCGACGTTGCGGACCTGCGCGGCGCGGCTGTGTTCGACAGCGCCACGGGCTTTGGCGGCGACGGCAAGAAGACTAGCGTCAGAGCAGCAGCTGCTGCTGGCGGCGGCGGCTGCATCGCCGACGGGCCGTTCGCCGACCTCAGGCTGCGCTTCAGGGAGGACTTGACGACGGTCCCGGCCGGCGACCCGGGGTACTGCCTCGTGCGCAACATCAGCGAGTGCGCCTTCTCCAACGCCGCGCAGACCACCCTCGACACCTGCCTTGCGGCGCGCACGTACGAGGACGTCTGGCACTGTCTCGAGGCCAAGCCGCATATTGCCGGACACTGGGGGGTGGGAGGGATTGTACGTTCTTTTTCTTTAGTGCTTTTATTTCAGTCTCTGCCTCGCACAACCCTAATCAGGGCATCAAGGCGAGGAGCAAAACGCTGACATGTCTGCTCGCCGACAGATGTCCAACACGATGCTCAGCCCGGGTGACCCGCTCTTCTACCTGCACCACGCCTGGCTCGACCGGCTGTGGTGGCTGTGGCAGTCTAAAGACCTCGCGACGCGGCTGACGGAGATGGGCGGCCCCAACGTCCCCACGGCCAACTCGACGCCCCCGGCTGCGAGCAGTTCTGGCCATGACAGCGCTCCGGGCTCGAATGTCTCCTGCACCTCGCCGCTGGGGGGCGCCGGGGCCGCGAGCCTCGCGCACGCGGGCAGCAATATCACGACGGCGCTGACAGACTACTTCAACGACGGGGGCGGGGCCGTAACGACGCTCAACCACACGCTGTGGTCGGCGGGCATACTCCCCAACGCAACTATTGCTGATGTCATGGACCTGCATGGCACGTTTGTCTGTGCAGATTATCTATAGATAGGGTCATTCATTTGTTTATTTTGTAGTCAACTGTCGTGCCTGCCAGTCTCAAGTGCAGCCAGGTTTGTCCCAGCCTACTTGTAATTAGAGGACTGAACCCTGCGCAAGTGAACCCACGTGAAAGAAGCCACGAAACAAGGGAAATCGAAGTAAAAGCCACCTTTCCTATTTCCATCAACAAAGCAGCCAACACACCACTAGGCTGGTGGTATGGCTGCGATAACTCCAAATATCTACCTCTATAGTCACCCCCGACAACTTTTTTGGCCAAATCCGTATTAGGCTTGAAACCTGAGCAGAAGCTGAGGCGCACTGAGCATCGCGCTGAGCCGAGCTGAGTTCAGAGATGACGCGGTTATACTTGCCGTGTCCAAACTAATCCTAGTTTTGGGACACCAACCCACAACTTCCGTTTTTTTCTTACGGGTGCAATCAGCTACCGTTATCAAACTAATTAGAACCACTATTTGTATTCAAACTGAGAACTAGTATATGCCAACTTGCCCATATTCTTTTAAAAACGATGAGACGACGAATTTTATTTCGCAAAACATCTATCTAGCTTCTATCCTCATAATTTAGAAAGTAAAGATGACTAGAGACTTTGTAACTATTAGTCTAGATTTCCGTTTCGTAACGTTTCTATCTTACCCTTTAGTGGTCGAACATGAACTAGGGAACAGTAGGCGAGCCTAAGGATATGGGTAGGCGAAAATGAGAACTGCTGAAAGAGCTACTAAGAAGTTTCCTTAGACAGTACCGGGGATGGTCCTCTACCCCTCCATCGTACTCATGCCCGTAAGAGCCCCCCAGACTTGTAGGCAGCACTTTAAATTCCTATATTACTAAGGGGCGTGTTGAGGCTTTCCCGGCATTGCCGATAATGATACAACGGCCACCTTTATGAGGGGAAGATCGATTTACAGGACCTGCCGTATAATGGCCAATGGTTCTATGCAATGACTGTGGGTTCCCAATCGACTTATCCGGCAATTGTCTCCAGCTCGATTTCGTTCACGCAACGGTCCCTCTCCCCCGACCATCGAGTGTCTCCTTGTATCTGCAGCCCTAACCAGTAGTTACATCGGCATGAATGCGTCGAGTTAATACCACCTCTACCCAGGGATAATTCATGCCTGTTTTACTTGGGTGTGCTTGAAGCTGAAGAAACGGACAAGGTACTCTCACCTTTTGACACCGAACATAGAACTAGAAGGTCACACCAATATACGTTACCTTGCCCAGGCCGGTGATCACCTAGTTCATCCTTCAAAGATAATACGGCGTGATGACGAGGCAGAATACTGTTCGAGGTAATGTTGCCACCGCAGATCTAGGAATTAGCTTACTCCTCAGCTCGGGGGCGGCTGATTTCGGATATATGAACTGCTGCAGACCAGGCAGCAGTCCTCGGTGAAGGCGAAAGTGGCGGAATGAAGAATGGTCAAGGGCAGCTCGGAAGAGGAGAGGCTCTACTAGAAGGCAACCTCAGCAATATAGGGGCACGGAGGGAAGAGCTAGACTTTCCGCCCGATAGCGACCACTCTAGGTGGACGGCACGCCCCGTGAACTTTGCTGCGCCTCTCCTACTGCAATTTGCCGTTACCATGATTCCCACCATCCTGCTTCTCCTAATTCTACTTCGTCGGCACGACACTTAACAAAAGATACATTAGCAAGACTGTACATAATGTTACGATCCTGGTTCAAAGGTGCAGAGGGCGCTGCCCGCCTTCTCTGGATTGGCTGGAACAGCATTTAAGGTGGGGGGCTCTCGCTCGAGGGAGCATCCAATGAGGGAGTGCTCAGTGGGGCCATTGCCGAGACCCACTGAGCGCACTGAGCGGGGAGCTCAGTAGGATCAGTGCCGAGACCCACTGAGCGCACTGAGCGGGGAGCTCAGTAGGGATCAGTGCGTCTAGGACTGAGCACGACTGAGCATGTGAGTCAGGAACTCTGATTGGTCCTCCTTAGATAGATATATACGACGACCGTAGCCACGGTCCTAGATAGTTCTTGCTTGGTTCTTCAAGCAAGCAATACACATTCACTGCATTCATACACTTTGAGTGGCATTCCGATTTGACTGTATTACCCGTGCGATAGGAGCTTGCCCTTTGTTCTATCTTCATAACTACCAACCCCAGCATCCTGTGGAGCCCGTGCTCCCTTACAGACGGACGACCCTAACAGTCGAGTGGTTTGTAATACATAAGCCCCAGATGAATTTAAGACTAGTATATATACCGAGCTAATGAAAAGACCTTAGGAATTAGTCAAGGCGGCGATCAAGAATAATTCTTACTTAAAGGCTTGAGAATCACGGAGAATATATTCTATTATCACTAAAAATTATTATTATAGACTAGCATTGTCGTTCTTTACCTCCATCTACTCCTCTCCCCGCTTTTCCTCTCTACTACATTCATCCTCTCACTATACTTCTATTCTTATGTAAGGAAACCACCCGCGTGGCCACAATGTACTACCGCCACTAGGGCCACGCACCACCGCTACCAGGGCCACGCACCACCGCCACTAGGGCCACGTACTATCGCCACTAGGGCCACGCACCACCGCCACCAGGGCCACGCAAGGATGACTCATAACCCCTTTATGTATATTAGACCATGGCCCTCGCACATCTCTTTAGCTTAGGCCAGGTTGAAGTCTCACGCCAATACCAGTCATTACTCAGTGTTACAATCTGGACAACAGGTCCACGGAGCTAGGCCCGGCCTAGGATTGTGGGGATCTGGACGGCAGGTAGGAGATGACAGGAGACAAGGAGTATCGTGCACAGATTGCGAAAGACAGGCTTTCAACACACAACCAATGTATGCTTAACCAGATGCATTGATAGCTGCAGAACCGTTCTCCCAGAGAGAGCGTGCTGCCAGCTTCTATATAGAACTATGAGCAACCAATCAGAGTTCCTGCCTTACATGCTCAGTCGTGCTCAGTCCTAGACGCACTGATACCCACTGAGCTCCCTTCTCAGTGCGCTCAGTGGGTCTCGGCACTGATCCTACTGAGCTCAGCCATGCTCAGTGCACCTTGGTACTGGCCCCACTGAGCACTTCCTAATTGGATGCACCTTCTCTTAGCGAGAGCCCCACCCTAAGTGCCGTTCCAGCCAATCTGCAGCGGGCGGGCAACGCCCTCTGCACCTTTGAACCAGGATCGTAACATGATATAGTTTGCTAATTGTGCACTGATTCTACATACTGTGGACTGTCTATAATGCACTGCTAACTTCAAACTGGTTAGAGACTTCTCTGTATATCAATGGGTGGATTGGGTACGTTCTTCTTGATATCTAACCTCAAGTTCAGGGATAACAACTATATTTCTAGAACTTTCCAGCATGCTGAGATGTCTCATGCAATAAGGCGAATACGCTTTATGGCGATATTTTGCTTGGCTGGTTTGCTAGGCTTAGAACCTTCGATAACGGGTGGTTGCTCTGCCAATTATGAGTTGGAGCATGAGTGTTGGTGTCGACGACCGTGCCGCCGCTGCACGATTTCTTCAGCGGCATATCATACAAGCAAAAAGCTAGGTGGTGTCTTGTTTATGACTAAAAGTCAGAACGCTAGTTCGATATACTAGGAGATATCTTGTCTATTAAGTTTGAGTATGAGATATATGTTCGGATCTGAATTAGGACTAGTTCGCTAATTTACCTCGTTCTTATACATCACTGGTTCGAGCCATTCCTTATCTCCACTTACAATGCCTTTCCTTAAGTCCTTGAACTCAATGAGTGGAGAAGACCCCTGCCCTGCTAATTTCAAGCCGACTTCAAAAGTCCTTTCCCATTGCTTTAGCCACTCATCCTCCGTCCCCTTACGTTTCTTTCTCTGCTTTCCCATCCTACCAGGTTTGTCCGTTGCCTTGGTTACTGTCTCGGGCCCTGATTTCGAGGGCGGCACAATAGAAGGTCTTGCTGCGAGATCTTCAGGTGCGCCGGACGTATCCGCTTCTTCTGACTGCTTCACGTCCGCAATGTCCTTGGCTTGCGTTGAATCGAACTCGTTGTTTGCCTTGACGTTAATCAAGTACTACGGAAGACGTTTAACACTCCAGACCAGGGCCGCAACTTCCAGTTCCGAAGGTCCATATCGAAGCTCTGCTCGCACGAGGAATCTGCTGAGGAACATTACTGGGAGCACTTTGGTTACTGGTATCACAGTGCACTGTGAGGGGTCCCAGGTCTCTCCGTCTTTTAGGTGGTAGAGCATAATGCCGAATCCTCGTTGAGCTGAGGCATCGATTTGCAGGAATAGCTGCTTATTTGGGTCATGGTAGTGAATGATGGGGCGGGTCGCGGCAGTTAAGGCCAGCCGTGGGTACAGCTGGAATCGCTGGCCTGCGGAAGAGCTTGCTCGCAAATCACTCAATTTGGCGCGAATACCGTCAGCTTGCGATGCTCACTTAGGCGCTGAAAAGGCCACTATCTTCGAGGCTTACGGACAACTCTCCAACGCTGAGACTCGCCATGCAATATCTCCTGGGCAGAGCCGGTAAATATCATAGGACGTAGCTAATAATACCATCATATAGAAGCCATTCCATTGATAACCACAACCCCGCTCCAGCTCCGGCGGGGACGGCGCAAAGCCATTTGTTAATCATGACGCGTGCGTCGTGGCGCGTCGAGACGTTGCGCCGCCTGCACAATGTCAGATCAAGATCGTGGTGGGGCGGCACGCCGGCGTCGACCATACTAGTTGGGGGCACAACCTCACTTGGCGTCCCCGGTCTTCCAAAAGCCGCTGTACGTGGGGCGGGAAAGCGCTCCTGTCGTATTTGCCACACCGCTGCGGTGCAGTGGGGAACGACCACGAGTGCGTGCGCCGACACGTCCGCGCCGTCTGCGCAAAGGTCCGTTCCATCAGAAACGGAGGGTTGTGTCGTTAACGATCCGGGCACATCCAAGCCGGTCCAGAGGTACGCGCAGCTTTCGACGAACTTTGCACAGCGATCTCGCGACGATAGAGGAAGCACGTTGCTGCCATTCGTTCATGGCACGGCCGCGGTTCTCACTTCGCCTATTTACAGCCACCGAGCAGCTCAGCCCCAGCCCGGCCCGCAGAACTATTCAATTCACTTTTATTAATGCTATCTCCGTCACTATGGGAACGAGCATCTGCTATATACCTAGCGTGGGTGTCTTGTCCTACTAAAAAATCTATCCTGTCCGGGTAGAGAAAAGGTAGCCTTCGTTGCTGTTCCTCCTTCCTGAGCTTTACCCGGGCTTCTATACTTCTCACGTAGCACACCCCCTAAAACTCCCTTCGGGACTACGGGTTCTTATCCTTCCGCTTGGACGGTCACTTCTTAGTTAGAAATACCTTCCTCCTGGCTCTCTTCGGTTTCTGCTGCACCGAGCAGCCGGGACAGTTCCTTGGTGTCGACCATAATCCACGTTCCGTTGCCTGAGTCCGCCTTGAGTTCCCTCAACTCTGCCTGCTTCTCATTGGTCCTTCGGTACCATTCTAGGAAGGTTTCTGGGTTGTCTGCGCCTTTGTTACTCGACCACCCCGAGGTGACACAGTTGAAGATGTGTCCTCTGGCCCTCGGGAGGTTGTATATATATATTCTTTGTCTTGTTTGGTCTTTCCACTTGCTCCGCAGAGTTCCTCTTAGACCCGATCTTTCGTTAAGGAGGGTGGCAAACACCACTCTGGGAAGGTCAACCTCTCCTGATTTCTGTCGTGTTTTTCTTGCTCCTGGCCGGCCAGGGCTGCCAGAACCCAGGGGTGTAGTTCTTTGGTTTCTGTCTGACCCACATCTTCTCTGCCGCCCTTTGGCACTCCTCCAGGTCTACCGGGGGGGGGAGACGCTTGTCACTTTTTGGGAAACTCCTCCTTGCTTGGACCTGAGATTGTGACAGTTTCTGTATTCTTTGCGACCTGGGAGGTCTGAGACTTTGTACTGTGCTTCAGGAGTTTGGAAGCTTTTTGGGGTTTTGTTGCAGGTGTCGCACTTTTTCGCGTCGTTTCTCACTAGTTGAGCGTGGCACTTGCACTGTTGGACCTTTCTCAGGCACTTAGTGCACCGCTCCACATTGACCCTGCTTTTCATGACCTCGCAGGTGCGGCACAACCTTTGGGTGTCTTGTGCCTGGGTTGTCGAAAGTTTTCGAACCGGAACTACAGATGGAGCACCCATCCTAGTCCGTCGTCCGGCTACCAAACAGGTCGCACCTGCACCCAACTCTGAGTGTGTGGGGCGGGGGAAGACTGTTGGAAGGGACCTGGACACTCGCACTTGGTTCTCTTTTTGCCGCACTTCTCGCAGAACTACACGGAATGCGCCGTCAACTTCTCAACGTCGCTGCTGTGACAGAAGCTAACCAGCGATCTCAGCTGCTCCCATATCAAAGATTCTCTTTAGACAATCGTAAGGAGATGTAGATCTCCAGCAGCTCGCTCAAACGCTCTGTAGCGTTGCCACCTTGGTAACCCGTCACGATTCCTGCGTCTTGTTCGATCTACGGTAATACCACGGTTAGCCGGGCTCGCAACCTGCCGGGCAACTTGGGATGGAGAATGGGCGCAAGATAGCTCACTGCGTATCCTGAACCGAACCAGGAGACGCACCGTAGATTCGACGCGGCTCTGCCTCTGCACCGCTTTCCTACAGAAAGGTAGCCCGCCCGCCACTTACACTGTCCGTTCTCGGTAGCATACGACATCGGCGACCACCATTCAATACCGGCTCTGAAGATCTCTGATGAAGGTGCACAGTCCACTTGCCCCACCGCGGGGTAGGATCCGAATGTTACGTCCCCACACCAGACCACCGGAGTGATTTCTCAATGTGAGAAAGAAAACTGTTACTACGCGGATAGAACTGCAAGTTAATTACGGTATGCTAAGAGGGCGCTAAATCACAATTGGATAGAGATGTTCGTTTAGTTGTCTACGCTTATAAACCGAAACAACTATGTAATTCAAATTTGATTATCTAATCCCTATAATATTAGCAAGTATAAAAGAAAGCGATCGAAGACTCTGGAAAACGCAAGAATATAACGACGTACTATATAGTAACTCGGGCTCCCAGACCCTCCTGTGGCCGCTATGAAAGAAAAATATAAGAGTAGAGCGAATGTAGTTGTGAAACCATCCGCACGGTTATAAGTTACGATATTTTTCTGCAAGACAGCCTGCAAGGTTCCTCCTACTCCTTACCGTAGACGGATGCTCGCGGCCGAGCACCTTCTCTTTAAGCTCTAGCGCCTGCCGGTGCATCTGCTCGGCCTCTTCGTACTTGCCCTGGCTCTTGAGTATAACCCCAAGGTTGTTCATGCTAGTGAGCGTAAAGGGATGCTCGCGGCCGAGCACCTTCTCTTTAAGCTCTAGCGCCTGCCGGTGCATCTGCTCGGCCTCTTCGTACTTGCCCTGGCTCTCGAGTACACTCCCAAGGTTGTTCATGCTAGTGAGGGTAAAGGGATGCTCGCGGCCGAGCGCCTTCTCGTAAAGCTCTAGCGCCTGCTGGTGCATCTGCTCGGCCTCTTCGTACTTGCCCTGGCTCTCGAGTATAACCCCAAGGTTGTTCATGCTAGTGAGGGTAAAGGGATGCTCGCGGCCGAGCAACTTCTCGTAAAGCTCTAGCGCCTGCCGGTGTATCTGCTCGGCCTCTTCGTACTTGCCCTGGCTCTCGAGTACAAGCCCAAGGTTGTTCATACTAGTAAGCGTATCGGGATGCTCGCGGCCGAGCACCTTCTCTTTAAGCTCTAGCGCCTGCCGGTGTATCTGCTCGGCCTCTTCGTACTTGCCCTGGCTCTTGAGTATAACCCCAAGGTTGTTCATGCTAGTGAGCGTATCGGGATGCTCGCGGCCGAGCACCTTCTCTCTGAGCTCCAGCGCCTGCCGGTGCATCTGCTCGGCCTCTTCGTACTTGCCCTGGCTCTCGAGTATAACCCCAAGGTTGTTCATGCTAGTGAGCGTATCGGGATGCTCGCGGCCGAGCACCTTCTCTCTGAGCTCCAGCGCCTGCCGGTGTATCTGCTCGGCCTCTTCGTACTTGCCCTGGCTCTCGAGTATAACCCCAAGGTTGTTCATGCTAGTGAGCGTATCGGGATGCTCGCGGCCGAGCACCTTCTCTCTGAGCTCCAGCGCCTGCCGGTGCATCTGCTCGGCCTCTTCGTACTTGCCCTGGCTCTTGAGTATAACCCCAAGGTTGTTCATGCTAGTGAGCGTATCGGGATGCTCGCGGCCGAGCACCTTCTCTCTGAGCTCCAGCGCCTGCCGGTGCATCTGCTCGGCCTCTTCGTACTTGCCCTGGCTCTCGAGTACACTCCCAAGGTTGTTCATGCTAGTGAGCGTATCGGGATGCTCGCGGCCGAGCACCTTCTCTCTGAGCTCCAGCGCCTGCCGGTGTATCTGCTCGGCCTCCTTGTACTTAGCTATCTGATAATAGCTCTCAGCTATATTAAAAAGGAGATCGGATTCAGCCTCTTTATCTGTACAATAACCTGGAGACTCCGAGATAATCTGCATATGTGGTAGGTACTTCATCCAGATCTCTCTATTTTCGTGTTTTGGGAAGGGGAATGCCATAGCGAGCCGTTGAATCACATCAGTTATGCTTTCCGTTAGCTCTCCTTTTTCCTCTAACCAGTTCCGCATCGCTAACCGAACAAGTCGGTGAATGTCGAATGACTCTTTTCCCCGCGGGATGATGAATGCATACGCCTTTAAGGTGCCAATCGCTTCGTCTACTTCCAGTTCATCTTCTGCTGGCGGCAGCAATGAGAAGGGGATGTCTTTTTCGTTGAGGAAGCAGATGAATCGCAAATACCGTGCAGCAGTCGGATTGTCTCGCGCAATATGCTCGAAGGAAATTAGCCAGGTGGTAGCTATAGGATTTTTGATGTTTTCGTACCGGGCCTGGTCGTTAAAGTCCTTGCTGAGTAGTCGGATCAAGGTCCTATTACTCGAGCGGCAACGATCAAGGTATATAGCCGCTGACATGCCTATCTCTGCCATATATGCTGATGCCTGTCTGATTGCAAGAGGCAAGTTGTCTAGGAAGTTTACTAGGCGCCGTATGCTCTCAGCATCGTTAATTTGGTTTCCTCGGCCATGTTGTAATAGCTCTATTGCTTCAGTCTGGTTCATTTGCGCCAAAGTAATGATATTTTTCTGGTCAAATCGGGCTGCGACTTTGTGGTTTCGCGTCGTGAGAAGTATTGAGCCATTGCGACTAAATGGGAGATATTTGGTAAACCCTGGTGACTCTCGACTGCCAAAGACCAGCTCTATGTCATCGGCATTATCAACGATGAGGAGCCAACTGTCTGAGCTTTCTCCTAGGGCCCTCTTTACAAGCGACTTAGAATCTGCGTCATCGTCATCGATCCCTCTTATTCCCAGCTTTTGACCGATGTTGCGGTAGGCGTTCTCGAAGCTTATTGTATCAACGGCAGGCACCCAGAAAATGGAGCAGTCTGTATGATCGCGGCACACCCGGTAAGCTGCCTCGAGAGCCACTTGAGTCTTGCCAACGCCACCGAGGCCTTCGATGATAGTACGCTGGCAATTATCCTTGTTCGTATTTGGAGGGATGCGCTGAAGGAGTTGCTCTAGGATGGAGTGACGTCCGACGAAGCCTTCGTTTCGACCGAGCGGGACCATAAAATGGCGCCTTGGTAGCGCTTGAAGATGTTCAGTATCCTCTCTTCTAGTGATATAATATAATGTACGTACCTCGGTTTTCGTCTGTTTTTGGATAGAATTCCAACAACGCCTTCATGGTAGATGCTGCCGTCGCCGCCGCGTAGTACTGCCACCGCTTGTTTTTGTGGCTGTCCGCATAGTCGCAGACACCCTTGATGATAATGCAAGGGATCTCATCCCAAACTCCAGCACCTTCCATCTCGAATGCGAGGAGGCCGTGCTCCTTAGCAATCCTGTCACGGTCTTCACCGGACTTGACTACTATATCGGCTGACCCGATGCGCCCGAAGAATACAAGGGGAGCAGGGGACTCCGGATTATGCTCGCGTTTCCTCGTCACCAGAAAAGTATCGCTACAGCTGAGTTCGTCGCATGTCTGCGTGCGGGACAGCTCGCAGGTATTTTGTGGGTCCATACATTGAGAGCAATCGGTCGGAACCTGGTGTTTGTGCCGGTAGCGCGACTGGTAGAGCTTGTCAAGCGCGGCTCCGGGAAACTGGTATTTCGCTGACTGACTCGGACGACTAGCACTTCGTAGTTCTTGAAGAATGACTGCGATACGCCTCTGAAAATCCTCGCGACGGTGATTAGTCCCCAATATACTTAGTAAGTTGCGGACTGTTTTAGGGGGGTTGATCATGTCTTTCACGGTGTTCTTTGTTTGGAACCCGTCAGGATACAGTTTGGCGAAATCGTACTGGACAACCGATCCGGCAAGGACCACATCTCCCAGCAGAATCTCCTCGTTGGCGTCAGTACGGGGCATACCGCCACAGATGCCTGTCAGGAGGACGAGCTCCAGGTTCGGATAGCTTGACCGGACGCTGGCCGCAGCACTAGCCGCACTGGCTTTCCCCATATCCGAAAGGAGGACGAGGACGATGCTGATATCACCAATACGTCCGGTTCTGTAAGTATAAGGGTCCCCCGAAGTCCGCCCGTACGGGTCGCCATTTTTATCCCAGAACTCGTCGACGAGGAGACTGACCGCATCATATTCGCGGGGTAATGCGCAGACTATGGCGAAACGGAAGCCAGCGCGGCTTGCCGGCCGTCGGGTGGCCATCGTTGTGAGTGGAATATTGGAGTCGCTACCTAGAAAGTTCGTAGAATCTCCGGTTTCTAGAACATGACTAACGAGTTTCTATCGCAAGGGGTAGCTAGAAGTTTACGATGATCAAGCAAATGGGCGGCCAGCCCAAGGCATCCGTTCGGCACAGCATGCTCGCGGGTAAGGCTCTCGAAGCGCGCACGTGCCGAGCGGGGTTGCTACCTAGCGCGGTTTCCGTACGGCTGAGCATCGCGGCGGGCGAAATCGCAGATTGTTGCCGACACACCAACATTGCAGTGCAGCTCCCATCGGCCAAGGCATGCGGGATCAATCCACAGAGGAAGAGCCATCCGAGAGAGGATCCAGGGCTGCTAGATGTAAGGTGGGCTAAATGTCGCAGGGCAACCTTGACCTAGCCCCCCTGCACAGTGTGAAGCGCTCAACAGCTTGTCATTGAGAAAATGTTCAGATTGAAAGAGATGTGGTCACTACCCAAAATCTACTTCCCCGTTGGCGTCCCTTATCTCAGTAAACTCAGACGTCTTTTTCCAGGCAGGGGGGGGCAGGAATGGCTCACTTCCTGGGCCGGATGGGCGGCTTGTGACGAACCTGGTTCGTACTGCACAGGCTGCAAGAGGCGGGCGCCTCAGGCAGACTGGGGCCTTCACCCGGACGGACCAATTAGACGGTGCACGGTGCCAAGGGTCTTGGCACCAGGCAAATGGAAGGATAGCCAATCAGGGAGTACTCGGTGCCAAGACCCCTCTTGGCACCAGGCAAGTTGCCCGGCACGCTAGCGGTGCCCGGCACCGGGCAGGTCCTTCCTACCGGGCAAGTAAGAGCGCAGCTCTTACTAGCCCGTCTCAGATAGATATATACGATGACCGTACGGAAGCGCCTCCCAAAAGTCTTTTCTCACCGCTTTCCATTTTTTTCTGCCGGCAGAATTCCTTCAGTGAGCCTTCCAGGGAGCCACAGCGGCTAAAACCACCGTAAGGGATTGGCTCGGTCCAAGCCAATCAAAGCAGGCTCCCTGAGGCTTCGTACTAGGCCGTGATGCAGCCTGTCAGCCACGTCACCACCTGTAAGCCGCTGTAAGCCACGTACAGCCAGTAACCAGGGGCCAGCGCTCAGGCTTGTGGCAACCCTGTTGTCGTGGCGGTTGCCGTGGAAATCCATTGGAACCAAACTGGGCTCAAGATGAAAATATATAAAGATGCGCAAGTCGTAAGATAAATCCAAGGGTTGTTTTTCTTTCGCCTATCTATTACAACTACCACCTTATCCATCTTTCAGCCATGAAGCCATATACTGACAGTATAACCCGTGCTCAAGCCTTAACCCTCAAAGCCATCGGCTGGTCAAACGACAAAATCGAAGAAGTGACCGGTATCACCGCGCGTACCCTCATTGACCGCGCGATCCAGGCAGGGTACGTTTCTCAGACTCCTAACGGTCTTCCTGGGCGGCTCGAAAGCTCCCACGTTGCCAACGCACCGAAGTCGGGTCGCCCTCGAAACCAGGAAGGCTATCAGGAGGAGGTCCTTGCCAAGGTTCGTTGTAATCGTTACGGTCGTGAGAAGTCATGCGCTCAAATCTCTCTTGAACTAGGGGGGCAGATCTCCGCAATGACGGTGTGGCGGATTCTGCGTAAGGCCGGCCTGAAGAAGTTGAAGCCCACTCGAAAGCCTGGGTTAACGAAGGAAATGCGGGCGCAACGATTAAAGTGATGTCTTAATCATAAAGATTAAACCCTCGAAGATTGGATGAAGGTGATCTGGGCCGATGAAACATCTATTATTATTGGTCATCGCCGTGGAGGGTATCGACTATGGAGGAATTCGACTGAGCGGCACCTACGAAGCTGTATTCGTGAGCGGTGGAAAAGATTTACGGAGTTTATGTTCTGGGCTTCTTTTACTTATAATCGGAAGGGCCCTTACCATATTTGGAAGCCGGAAACTACTACGGAGAGGAAGGTGGCTGATGAGGACTTGAAGAAGATGAACGAGGAGCTTGAGCCTATCTGTAAGGCTGAGTGGGAGTTGAACAAGCCGATGTCTCGCCTTCGGATTGATCGGAAGAACCCCGGCCGCGTCCCTCAGTGGAAGTTCACTAAGGCAAACGGTAAGCTAACGAGGGGCAAGGGGAAAGGAATCGATTGGTATCGCTACCAAAAACAAGTACTGATGCCGAAGTTGATCCCGTTTGCGCGCGAATGCAGCCCTGACGCTCTTGTGATGGAGGACAACGCGCCGGCTCATGTACACCGCGCTAACGTGGTGGTGATAAGTGTCTCGAGGATTCAGCGTTTGTTATGGTGTCCTAACTCTCCGGATCTCAACATGATCGAGCCTGCGTGGTTTTATATGAAGAGGCAAACGACGAAGAATGGCGCCCCGCAGAGTCGGAAGGAGGCGGAGAAAGCTTGGAGGAAGGCTTGGAAGGAGTTGCCGCTGTGGAAGATTCGCACATGGATTGAGCGCATCATGCACCATATTCAAGAGGTTATTCGTTGTGAGGAGGAAGTGCCAGCCCCAGTACCGGCGCCGGCGCCAGCGCCGGCACCAGCGCCACTACGGCGATCAAATAGAAGAAAGTAGATAAATAGATACCCGCAATTGACTTTGACTACGCGCAAACTACAATAGTAGTGATGGTAATGGTGGGGTTTGGTGGAAGCCCTGTAATTTTAGTGGGCTACAGTGGATAGGCCCTGTATTGGCTGAAATGCCAAGAAGGCGGTGAGTAAAGACTTTTGGTAGGCGTATCCGTACCCACGGTCTTAGATAGCTCTTGCTTGATCTCTCAAGCAAGCAATCACATTCATTGTGTGTTCATACATTTTGGACAGCATTCCAGTTTGACTGTGATCACCGTGCGATAGGAGCTTGCTCTTTGTTCATTCTTCATTGTTTACCAAACCCAACCAACCCCCTTACAGACAATTGACCCCTACAGTCGAGTGGTTTGTAATACACGTCTAGTATGAGTTGAAGTAACAAGTGAAAGTAATGGGAGTAGAAAAACAGAAGGTTTAGCTAGTAATAAGGAGGTACGAATGTAAGGAATATATAAGATAAGAGAGAGAACAGTCGTGCGGTAGGTAGTAGGCCGAACGAGCTGCCTCTTTATTTACCGTATTGAGGAACAGTCGTGTAGTAGGTAGTAGGACCGGAATGTAAGGAAAGGACAACCCAAACACCAGCCGCGCGCACAGGGTGCGCGCTCACCACCTGTTACCAACTGGCCGGAACACTGCCTGTTACAATCTGGACAACAGGTCCACGGAGCTAGGCCCGGCCTAGGATTGTGGGGGTCTGGACGGCAGGTAGGAGATGACAGGAGACAAGGAGTATCGTGCACAGATTGCGAAAGACAGGCTTTCAACACACAACCAATGTATGCTTAACCAGATGCACTGATAGCTGCAGAACCGTTCTCCAGAGAGAGCGTGCTGCCAGCTCCTATATAGAACTATGAGCAACCAATCAGAGTTCCTGCCTTACATGCTCAGTCGTGCTCAGTCCTAGACGCACTGATCCCCACTGAGCTCCCTGCTCAGTGCGCTCAGTGGGTCTCGGCACTGATCCTGCTGAGCTCAGCCATGCTCAGTGCACCTTGGCAATGGCCCCACTGAGCACTCCCTAATTGGATGCACCTTCTCTTAGCGAGAGCCCCACCCTAAGTGCCGTTCCAGCCAATCCGCAGCGGGCGGGCAACGCCCTCTGCACCTTTGAACCAAGATCGTAACATCTCCCCGGATTGCCTCGCTTTTGAGCATTGAAGCAGATAAAAGATGGTTCCAAGGGGATTGCCCGACGGGCAGGACTGTACGAGCGGACCCACGAATAAGGCAGCCCCTCTCATGGAACCCTTAATCTCGCATGCCTAGGAAGTTGTAGTCTTTAGGGGCTTAGCACGGTTGCCTATATGCCATCTCAATATCTTCAGCTTGCAAGACCCCTGTCACGGCTCTTTGCCACTGATCAGCCGAAATCACGAGAGCGTCATGCGTCTGTCTAGGTAGCCTTCATACGCGTCATTAGATCGGCGGTTGGTTCTCTTGCCCCTCAATAGGCAGCTGCTGTGGCACCTGCTCTACTCTCCAATGAAGAACTCATCCTCGTATTCACAAGCTTGTTCGGCATAGAGTTACACCAGGCAACTATGACTGCGCCATCCTTTCCATCCTTCCAATTCAATTGTAGGTAAGCTGGGTAATCGTTTACTCTGGTAGGGTGGGAAAAAAGAGACAGGGTGGCCAGGCGGCGGGGCGCCAGTGTCCCGAAATTGGGCTCAGAATGCCATTTTCAAACCACGGTAAGTATAACCGGGGTAGCCCAAAAAATGACCTTTCGCTCAGCCTGGCTCAGCCTGGCTCAGCTTAAGGCGGCAACTGCTCAGCTCCGAAGGAGGAAATGGAAACTCTTGTTGTCGGTTTTGGGGTCATGTAATCGATGTTTCGCGGGGTTGTCGTGCGTGCCGCGCCTTGCATTCGTTCACTTGCTCCTTGGATGCATCGCATCCGGATAGACATGATTAGTCTGACTTGACGATGGGTCAGACAGGACCCTCGCCGACTCGTCCGCGCTCGGCGTCGGCCAGGAATTGAGCCATTCCTGTGTACTTGCCATAGTACTTCAGCCTGCAGGTTGCAGCGGTTCAGGCGGGGAGGGAGCTTGAGTGAATTCGTCGGTTTCGTCGCAATTCAGATCTGGAGTAGGCAGGCATCTTCTCCTGTCTCGGTGCATGTGAGTGAGCCCTTTCAAACTTGAGACCTTTTCGTTTGCACGTTTATTAGTTTACTTACAAGTAGTGGCTGGCACACACACACATTTTTTTTTTTTGGAACTGAGATATCATCGGTAGGTAGACACGGTAGGTAGACAGAATGTAAGTTTCTACGGCTGCTTTCAGGAACGTTAATTAGCAGAAACCGCGGCGAACCACTGGTAGGTAATTAGGTAAAGCCTAGCGAGGAACCACTTCGCTTAATCTCTTTCCATTTCGTTTTTTTGCTAGTTTTCATCCTCCTTTCATTCTTCTCCTTCTTCTCCTTCTTCTCCTTCTTCTCCTTCTTCTCCTTCTTCTTCTTCTTCTCCTTCTTCTCCTTCTTCTCCTTCTTCTCCTTCTTCTTCTTGTCCTTGTTCCTTTCTTATCCCTTTCTCATTTATAATTTGCCCCCTCGGTAGCCATCAACTCTATATTTATCTCGTCGACGGTCTGGATAGACTTTTCTTTAAAAGTCCTAGCAGACTCAGTCTTAACAGAAATGCATGTGGCTATAGTCGTTATCTTGTGAGTTAACTCGGTAAAGTATTCTCTCTTTCGAGGTGGCTTCTGGGTTTGTGGCAACCTCAGTACCGAACTGGAGACTTCGCAGAGCCACCTCAAGGACTTCGGTCACCGTCGACTACTACGCAAGGATCTTATCTTCCCTATCTTGGAGCAAAAAACTGAAAGCCACAACTTGCACAATTGGGACAAAGTGCGAAGGCTTGGCATGGCCTGGCAACCCAACCCGGGCTGGTCATAGCCTCGCCTCATAGGTGATTTATTCCAATACCTAAGAGTCCGTCTACCTTCAGCTCACAGGTGGTCTCACCATCTCTTCCCCGCACGCACGCATACACGGCTTTTGAGCATGGGCATGGCCGTTCGCAGTCGCCACCATGGCGACGACAACGACAACGACAGTTCTGTCCTGGGGCGACGCGGGACCCGTTACTACCGTCTTCGCGGCGCGCCTCATGCACGACAGACCACATTTACGCGCCAGCCAACGACCTCGATTACATCTACAGAATTGATGGCGACAATTAGGCACTCTGCCTTCCACCAAAGCCTTTGATGTCCAAAGCCACTTCTTCTACTCGCCGGGACTGTGCCCGTCGGGGTGGTATGTCGCTTTTGACGGCTTCGAGACCCCGTGGGAGGGACCTGCTCTATCTCCCAGGGAGTCTATTGCGGCATATTGTCCCGTATGAGCACCCAATCCTTTAATGTAATCTATGTATGTATTGTAAGTACCTGACCAGCCGCCGCCCCTCACCGCAGCGGATACGCAGTGTCGTCATTCACGGCCCCGACAGCCAGCGGCACCCCGCCACTCTCGTCGTCGGCCGAGTGCTTTTCTGTTCTCTAGACACCCGTGTCAGTCCGAACATGCATTCCATGCTCCGAGCTCTCCCTCCTCCCCACTAACACATCAAAGGCAACCTCATCACGGCGCATCAGGTTACAATTATGGTACGCCGGCAGAGCTCCGATATTCCGCTGCTTGCCGCTGCCGGGGGAGAACAAACATACCCAACCATCTTGACTTCGAGCAGCGGGTCGACTTCGAGCAGCGGGTCAGCAACATCAATCGACCAGCCTCTAGGCGGCTTATCAACAGGGGCAAAGGCCGGGGACGGAGGAGGAGAAGAGACACCACTGGCGGCGGCGGCGGGTGGAAAAGCAGCGGACAACAAGGCCCCTTCTAAATATAACCCCGTCGCTGCTGCTCGTGGAGGAAGAACAGAGGTGGAAGAAGAAGAAGAAGAAGAAGAAGAGGCGGCGCGGCTGGTCGAGGAGGAGAATCGGCTGGCAGATCGCCGAGCCGCGCTGCAGGCCGCGCTGCGCCTCCTCAAGGGGACGAGAGGCTCCAGAGGGAACAGGAAGCCGTGCGCCAGCGGCTGAAGGAACTGCGGAAGTAAATAGCTAATTAACAGGTCAAGGTCTTGATGTTTGTCGGCGCCACCATTACGGACGTGATGGAAGATGGCAAGGGGTTCTGGTCAGGTTTATGGTTCGGTTGAGTCGCTTATCTGAGGTATGTTGGTATTTAATGGATAATTATATGGAAACATGTGACGTATTGGAATACCTAGTCGATTCTTGATGTAAGAGATGCGCTGCAAAGAATAGGGGCTGCGACATAACTTAAATATATATAACGTGTTTGATAAGCGAGTGGCAGTGACAAGCGAGTGGCAGCTCCACCTCACCAATTTCACCTCTTGCGCAACATCACGATTTAATTTCACAACACAATATGCCTATCGTACGAAATGAAGCGCAAATCATCCTTGCCCTCCAAGCTATGGAGCGCGATGAGGAACTCAATCTCTGGACGGCTGCAAAGGCTTATTCGGTACCCTACAACACACTCAAGCGGCGATATAAGGGAATCTCCTCTCGAGCAGATACCGTCGCTAACTCTCGGAAACTAGACCCTCTTGAAGAGGAGGTTATCGTACGAAGGGTTCTCAACCTATACGAGCAAGGATTTTCGCCTGGATACGATATGGTGGAAGATATGGCCAACTTGCTACGCGCGTCGCGTGACGCGTCACGCGTCGGAAAGCGTTGGGCTTTAAACTTTGTACGACGACAGCCAGAGCTTCGGACGCGTCCAACGCGTCCGTACGACTACCAGAGAGCCAAATGCGAAGATCCGAAGATAATTAGCGCGTGGTTTGACCTTGTTCGCAATACAATCGCGAAATATGGGATCCTCGAGTCGGATATCTGGAACTTTGACGAGACTGGGTTCATGATGGGCCAGATCTCACCAACCCTTGTTGTTACCTCGTCCGAAGGCCGTGCGAGGGTGAAGAAGATCCAGCCTGGTAATCGGGAATGGGCTACGGTGATTCAGGCCGTACGGTCGGGTGGTGATACTATCCCTCCGTACGTGGTGGTTGCAGGTAAAGTCCACCTCGAAAGTTGGTATCGCAACAGCCCTTTCCCACCCGAGTGGACAATTGATCTCTCAGAAACTGGATGGACGAATAACCAGATTGGTCTTGACTGGATCAAACACTTTGACCAACATTCTCGCCATCGTACGATAGGTGGAAAGCGACTCCTAATTCTGGATGGGCATGAGAGCCACCACTCGGCCGAATTTGAGGATTACTGCAAAGAAAATAACATTATTACACTTTGCATGCCTCCGCACTCATCTCATCTACTTCAGCCCCTTGATATTGGGTGTTTTCGTATATTAAAGTGGTTCTACGGCAAGGAAATTGAGAAGTTAATGCGCAACCATATTCACCATATCACCAAGCCCGACTTCTTCCTCGCCTTCTTCAACGCATTCCAAGCAACATTTGAACCTGAAAACGTAAAAGGAGGTTTTCGAGGGGCAGGCCTTGTTCCGTTCGACCCAGAAAAGGTGATTTCCCAGCTGGATATCAAGCTTCGTACGCCGACACCGACTAGCCCCCCCGAGGTCTCGTACGACAGCTGGGTCTCTCAAACGCCACGAAATGCTACCGAGGCCTCTCTACAATCAATACACATCAAGGATCGTATTACCAGACATCAAGGTAGCTCACCAACTCCAATTCTTGAGGCACTTGATCAGATTGTAAAGGGTACGACAAAGGTTATGCACGAGATGGTGTTGATGAAAGCGCGGGTACGAGAGCTTGAGGAAGCAAATACAGCTTTAAGCAAACGCCGGAGAGCTAAAAAAAAGTCGTATCCGGGTAGGAGGACCATTAACTATGCAGGATGCGAGCGATATTTTGGCCGAAAGGGATGCGCACGCATTGGTAGAGGAGGAAAAGCGATCGAGGGGTGGTCGTGCGAGGAGCAACGCAACAGGTAAGGCACTGCAGCAATTGCGGCAAAATAGGACACAACTCTCGTACGTGCCAGGAAGATACGAAAATGGATGAGGAATCAGATTCTGAGTAGTTTTAGTTAATTATTTCCTTTGTAGTATTAGTATCTCGTTCGGTAGTTGTAATGAGGTAGTGAGAACTGCCACTCGCTTGTCACTGCCACTCGCTTATCAAACACGTTATCTATATCTATATATCTATATCTATATATCTATATCTATATATATCTATATATATCTATATATATTTCTTCAAGCACCTACCTCGGTAGTTTGTTACCTCACCTATGTAGCAGTGTCTATTCGCGGAACGCTATTCCTTAGTCTGCTAGTAGTGTGAACAGACTCTGTCTGCCACAAATGTCCCTTTTTGGGGTGGCTATTTCGAAGAACGAGTGTGTGGTTCATCGTCATTTGTGCATAATGGGTTTTCATCTTTCTTCTTTCGTATTTGATCATGGACTGTAATTACTTGGGCACAACGAAGAGATTATACTCTGCCATGTTTTTTTTTACCTGTTTTTCAGTCTCACCGCACGGTGTTGCTGTGGCATTGAGGCGAAGCAGTCTTGCGCCCCAGGCAGAATCTCTCCCAGCCAATCGGATGGGGCTGCATGCAACAGGCCTGTCATCGGCTTGGCATATCCAACTCCATTGATTCACACTTCCCAAATGAACGCTCAGCCCGACTCCTTCCCTGGGTCCCTAATTCTTGCGTGCGACGATGGCCGAGGTGGTCGGCCTAGTGGCCAGCGTGATTGCCGTGGTCCAGCTCACGGCCAAGGTGACGTACTGCTGCAGGTTCTACATCGAGAATGTCAAGGACGCCCGCAAGGACCTCCGCAGGGTGCTGATCGAGACGAGCTCGCTCCACGGCGTCGTCGACAACCTGCGGTTCCTGCTCGACAGCGACCCGGACTTTCAGTCGGCAACCGAGCTGTCTGCCCTCTATGCCGCCGACGGGCCCGTCGCAGGCTGCCTCGAGACCCTCAGGCGGCTCGAGGACCTGGTCCCGACGCCGACTGATCCCCGCCCGGCGCCCCCGGCCCCCATGACGCTCAAGTGGCGGGCCGAGGCCATCTCGCTGCGTCTGGCTTGGCCCCTAAAAAGAAACAAGGTCATGGCCCTGCTGGACGACCTCCAGCGGCACAAGGCGAGCGTGTCGCTGGTCATTTGTGGCGACATTTCATGAGTTATCTGGCCTCGTTGCCTAGCAAAGACGGTGCTGACGAGGAGAGCAGGAGAGACGTGAAAGCCATCAAGGGCGAACTCGTCACAGTCCGACAGCTTCTGACCGGTAAATAGTCGCCTCTAATTGCCCCCACAGAATCTCTGCCTGCTCCTGGCTAACAGCAAGAAATAGCAAACGAACGCCTCCAGTTTTACGACTGGCTGTCCCAGACCAACCCCTCCGATATCCACAACCTGGCCACGAGCCAGTACGAAGAGGGAACGGGCGAGTGGGCTCTCCGCCACCCTGCGTGGGGCCAGTGGTTGGACCCGAGCAAGCCGGACTCGCGGTGCGTTTGGCTGCACGGGATCCCAGGCGCGGGGAAGACAGTGCTGGCGGCTCGCCTGTTCTCGAAGCTCCTGGAGGCCCAGGAAGCAGGGGGCGCGTTGGCTTCAGTGTCGGCCCCGTGCATATACTATTACTGCCACCACACGCGCCGCCACGACGAGGCGCCGCACTTTCTGCGCTGGGCCATCAGCCGGCTCTGCCGCCAGTCGGACGAGATGGCCGGCTCCCTGCTCCAGCTCTACAAGGACGGCAGCCAGCCGAGCCTGCCGCAGCTGCTCTCGGCCCTCGAGGCCTCCCTAGCGCCCTACGACGCCGTCTTCGTCGTGCTAGACGCCATGGACGAGAGCATGCCGCGCGAGCGCCTGCTGGCCGTCGTGCAGGACCTGGCCACCGACTTCCGCTTCGCCAAGATGCGCCTGCTGGCCGTCAGCCGCGTGTACGTCGACATCAAGGCCGTCATGGACGCGGTGGCGACGCCGCTGTCCATGTCGAACCCGTTCGTCGAGGCCGACATTGCCAAGTACGTCGACGCGGCAGTCCGGCGGCAGCGGGCGACGACGTTCCGGCTGCTGAGCGACGAGTTCCTGGCGCGCGCCTGCCGGGTAATCGCGGCGCGCTCGCAGGGCATGTCCCGGTGGGCCGTGTGCCAGCTCGACGTGGTGCGGCGGCTGCGGTGGCGCGACGAGGAGGATCTGGCGGCGGCACTCGACGACCTGCCGCGCGACCTCGAGTCGACGTACGAGCGCATCTTCCGCTGCATCCTCGAGCAGTCGCCGCCCGACGACTGCCAGCTCGTCACCGAGGCGCTGGCCTGGATCTCGTACAACACCCAGATCCACCGGTCAAAGTACATGTCGTTCCGCACCCTGCTGGCCGTCGTGTACCCGGACCACGCCGACGCGCTCGGTCCCGTTCTCGCCCGCCGCGCCGAGCAGGTCCGCGACCTGCTGGGCTGCCTCGTGCGCTTCGAGGAGCGTGCCAAGGACGACCGCTACGAGCGCAGGACGTACTGCACGCCAGACAAAGAGCCGTATCTCCCCGACGACGGCCTGGGCTTCGTGCTGCTGAGCCACTTCTCCATCGCGGAATACCTCAGCTCGGCCCGCATCGCCAGCGGGCCCGCCGCCTTCTTCAAGCCCCTGCCCAGCGCCCAGTTCTTCACGTCGCTGATGCTGTCGGCCCTTGACGCGACCGCCCCCTCCCCGCCCTCCCCGACACCCGAAGATGACTCACACGAGCCCAAGCAGCAGCAGCAGCAGCAGCAGCAGCTCGGCGCCTTCGCGCAGTACGTGCTGTTCCTGGCCTTCGAAGCCATCGTGCTCTGGGGCGACCAGATCGCGCAGGTGCCCGCGGCGCGCGAGCTGGTGTACCGCTACTTCACGCCGGGAGCAACGCACAACGCCGCAATGCGGCTGTGCCTGACGCGGGCGGCGGGACAGATCTACGCGTTCATCTCCACGGACCCGTTTTGCTCCTTCTTCTGGCTGGCGTCGCTCAGCGCAGCGCAAGACCCCGACACGCCGCCCGCCACGGCCGCGGCGGCGTACATCGCCATGTGCCTGCTGGCGACGCGGCAGTACGCGCTCGCGGCCGCGCTGCTGGCGTCGCCGCACCGGGTGTCTGGCGGCGCGCCCGCGCTGCTGTGCGCGCGCCTGCGCTGGGACGTCGGCTTCGCCGTGCACCGCACTACGAGTGCGAACCACCCGCGCGCCCGCGTGCTGTACGGCTTCGCGGGGACGCTGCCCGAGTGGGCCGCGGTGTGGGGCATGGTCGACCGGCAGTCGGACCTGGGCGACGCGTTCGTGTTCCTGCTGCGCACGTACGGCACCATCACAGCGCTCGCGCGCCGCACGCCCGGGATCCTGCTGGCGGCACTGCCCGCGCACGACGACGACGACGACCGCGACGCCCGCACGCGGTGCCAGCCCGGCGACGAAGGGGGGTGCGTGATCGAGCAGCTGATCGCGGGCGGCGCCAGCGTCGAGCCGCAAGGGCTCCAGATCACGCCGCTGCAGGTCGCCGTGCTGCGGCGCGACGTCGCCGCCGTGCGGATCCTGCTGGACGCCGGCGCGGATCCGAATGGCGTTGGCGCGCCGGACGGCGTGCCGTTTGATTCGCAGCATCCGTTGAGCTATTTTAACGATCTGCACGGAGCCAGCCCGCTGCACGTGTGTCGCAGTTTCAATTTTCGCTGTTTTCAATATGATCTGTTCCGGGAGAAGCATTACGCGGACGGCATCGAGGAGATGCTCGTGCAGCGCGGCGCGCGCGACTTTCGGCTCGCCGAGCCGGGTGCGTTTGACGGCTTTGGCGTGGTGGATGACGGATGTATCTGGGGGGTTGTGGATTGATTGGGTTTGGGTCTGGGTCTGGAGGGACGCTGGGTGTGGGTCTGGGTCTGAAGGGACGCTGGATTTGAGTCTGGGTCACGAGGGACGCTGGCGTTGGGAGGGAGGTGTGGTTGCGGTTTGGGTTTGACTTTTGTTTCTGCTCTTTGCTTTGGCAGCGTGTGGGGATGCGAGATATTCCCCCTTCTCGACGGTGTTATTTGTTAAATTGGGTAGGTGGGTGGTTGAGTTGGGACTTGGAAGATGCAGAGATGTAATTAACCTTGAAACCTTGAAATACACGAGATGAGAAGGAAAACAGTGTGTCCTGCATTCATTTGCGTCATGCGTATCTTACGACGACTGTTACCGTCTTTTGTAACTGTTTCATTTTCAACGTTCCCTGTCTGGTCATGCCAAGTCGTTGAAGCAAATACTTTTAGACACTAATCCTTCCATTAGCCCTAGAAAAATAGAGTTTTAACTTAAAACTCTCTTTTTACAGACATTTCCAACACCCTCTGCCTAGGACGCCCTTTCTTCCCCAGTCCCCATCCGGGGGCAATGGTCAGGTTGTTTGATGTCTTCGCCTTTAGTGATTTCTTTACATGAAAGGGATCCCATGATAAATTAGCCTTATTGCAGCCAAATGTTTGTTGGCAATGGCAGCGCCTTTCCATGATACGAAGGTTTTCACCCGAAGGTTTTCACCCCTTACGGCTCGCCCTGTGCCGAAGGAGGTAATGGTTACTGGCATCCACGTGGTCATGGCGTGAAACAAAATGTTATTGCCGTGTTGAAAATTTTCTAATTTCACCCTCACCCTCTCTCTCTGTCCCTATTGAGCTTGTTGAGCGGGCTGTTTCTGCCGGGCGGTTGAGGACAGGCTGCAGTCAGAGTGAGGGGAGGGAATCAAACCCATTTTCGGCTCCTTCGTCTGACAGGTTTGACTTTGGATCACATCGCGGCCTTTACTTGGCCGCCAATCACCGCTTAAGCTTATTCTCGATACGTCAAGCACGGTGAAGCTGATCAACACGACGACGCTCAAGCTAGGGGAGTTCATGGGCCCCGCGCTCGAGTCGCTCGAATACGCCATCCTCTCGCACACGTGGACCGACGAGGAAGTGTCGTTCCAAGAGTTCACGTCTGATCGCACTCCTGCCCACAAGATTGGATATCGGAAGATTGTCAAGAGCTGCGAGGTTGCCCGGTCAGCGACGTCCAAGCCGCTTGGGTACATCTGGGTCGACACGTGCTGCATCGACAAGTCCAGCAGCGCCGAGCTGTCCGAGTCCATCAACTCCATGTTTGAGTGGTATCGCAAGTCGGCCGTGTGCTACGTCTATCTAGCCGACGTGACTGCTGTCAACTGGACCCTGGCTGAAGACCACAAACGCTCGAGATGGTTTTCCCGCGGCTGGACTCTACAGGAACTGATAGCGCCCGGCGATGTCTTTTTTTTCAACACAGACTGGGTTTTTCTGTGGTCCCGGACAGAGCTGGCCGAAGACCTCTCGCGCATCACTTCCATCGACTCCAGACTGCTCCACATGTCGGGTTCGGACCACCGGGCGCGAATCCAGAGCACGCTCAGATATGTCAGTGTTGCCCAGCGCATGTCGTGGGCTGCAGGCCGACACACGACTCGGTTAGAAGATATCGCCTACTGTCTTATGGGTATTTTTGGCTTCAACATGCCTTTACTTTATGGCGAGGGCAACCGAGCCTTCTTCAGGCTGCAGGAAGAAATCATCAAGCTCCAGCACGACCAGTCGATATTGGCCTGGAAGAGCCCCTCTCTCCGACTCCTTGGCACCGAATCCGAGTCACTTTTTGCGCCCTCGCCCGATTATTTCTGCAAGACGGCCGACGTCTCTCTCTCCAAGTCACGACTTCTAATGTCACTGAGTACGGCGGGCCTTTCGCTAGACGTCCGTCTTTGTCCCGTCAACGACAACAACCCCGGTACTCAGGCCATGAGGTTGGCGATCTTGGAAGGACACCTAGAAAACAACTATCTCTGCAGACCGGGAATTCTGGCGGAGGGCGTGCTCGGGATACAAGGGCTGTTCAAGAGAGTATGGCATGACTACCTGTTTCCCATTACGGGGCAGCCGGCAGTCGAACTGAAGATTGGCCGCTGGACCCAGTCGCGGAAAGTGAAGTGTACGTGAGATTCTATTGCCTTTGTCAAATCGTTCCCTTCCGATCAAACACTAATTTGCGACCGACGGTAATAGTGGACATCGACTATGTCGGTTCGGTAGAGCAAAGAATCACTCTAATGACACACCACCAAGGGTTGCCTGAAAGAGCCAGGCGCTCGCCACCTCTAATGTTCCGCATCCAGCCCGACTAGAACACCGGGGAGCCATATATGGAGGCCGTGGTAGGGTTCCCGCCCCTGACATCCCCCACAAGCGTCATAGGGTACGAAAGAAACAGGTTTCTAAATGTGCCTGACAGTGCCGCACGAGTGTGGATTTGCGGAACTCTGTATCTCAAAGAGCTCGGCATACATGTCGAGCGTCGGGGGGTGCTTGCTTTCTGGGGTGCTCGGGAAGCAGCCTAACCGGGAGAAGACGCGCCGAGAGTCGCGCTGTGGGACGCCGCCTCCCCCGTTGTCTAACTTGCGGAATCGAGACTCTACGAACTCGACGGGCATGGAGGGCGAGACAAGAAGGAACAAACACTGCGACAGTTCGCCGACCGGCGGGTCACAAACGGGGGGAAACACGAACTCACCGGCAAAGCGAGTGACTCGTTTAGCTTGCCGCTGTCGAGACGCCCCGACGAGCCGAACGTCACCATCCATGCACAAATCCAATCGCGGAGCTTTCTCGAGTGGACGGGGTTCCAATTGGAATTTTTTTCCACGACGAGTGATTTTTTCCACGACGAGTGAGGAGACAAAGGCGTGAACTTGGAAAGCAGTTGCGGGAGAGTGAAAAGTGTGGCACCCCACAACAGAAAACGAGCCACCGCTGCTTGAGGTACACGCCGGGAAACCAACCGCCCGGGGAAACTGGTGCTTATCCACCCTCGTACTAATACGGCGTTGTCAAGTGTCAGTGTGCTGGTTGCTCTCCTGGGCCAAGCACGAAGAGACAACGGGAATACGGCACGTCCCCGGCATGCTAGACGAAGTCGACGACGACCACGATGCGTGCCCCTAGTCCAGAGTCGGCCTGTAGTTGTTGCCGGTATTGACCAGACTCTAGACAGACCAGGCGACAAGGGACGGAAGATGGCTTCTGGCAAATCAGACAGCACTCGCAGGAGGACCTCCACTTCGGTCGTCACCGACTGCAAAAACACTAATCTTGTGTTGCAGCGGGACATTTTTCCCAACTCGGGCTCACAATCCGTCACATAGCCCTTCATGATAGCCATCACCTTCATGACAACTACCACCTTCATGATAATCACGTCGCATCATTAGGCGGCTAGACTGCAGGCGACTGCCAATACTCGTCGTCGTCTTGCGATCCCATGCAGCCCGGCTTGCTGGTTTGGGACAAAAGACGCCCCTGGGCCAGCCTTACGCGGCCGCGCACTGCGCGCAGGCCCTCGTCCCAGCAAATGTTGGCAACAGGCTCCCTCCCCTCACCGGGTTCGTGGCTGGCTGAGGCAGCGGTAGGCCCGAATTGCGGGGGATGGCTTGGCTGCCTGGGCGGCCGTTACATGGCGGACGAGCCAATGGCACCGCTGCCCCGCGAGGTGCAGCTCGGTCTAGACCGTCCTCGGCCTAGGTTCTAGCGGCTAGGCACTCAGCCCTATGCAGGCTAGACGAGACGATTTGACGCTATCGTGTCTTGCTCTGCTATCTCTGGAGATGCTCTGGCAGCGGAACTCGGAAAAGAACGTCCGGCCTCAAGGGAAGAGAAGAGACGTTGAAAATGGAAAATGGGAGACGGAAAACAGGAAGAAGGAAAGGAAAGGAAAGGGGAAAGCATATAAGGCCCGGCCTTGACTCCCCAAATCCCAAAAGCTTGTCTCAACAACCACCTCTGCCTCTCACTGCAACACATCGTGGCTGCAACACATCCATTGGCTGCGACACATCCATTGGCTGCGACAGACTTTCTCCACAAATCCCCATACCTTGCCTATTTACCTACTCCCCCCAGACAACCCCCCAACCGCCACCATGCTCATCCTGTACGACGAGGAAGACTTCAAGCTGGGCTCGACCAAGAAGGCCTTTGGCGACCGCGCCGTGCTGCAGATGGTATACGTGCGCACCGACATGCTGGGCAGCGACAAGATGAAGGCCTACGTCAAGGCCAAGGACGGCGAGCCGGAGCCCATCGTGTCGGGCAAGCCCAAGCACTGGGTGTACAACCACTACGTGCCGCACGGGCGCATCATCAAGGCCATCGAGGACGTCATCGTCAACAAGATGATGACGCGCGCGCAGGTGCTCGCGTGGCTGGATAGCGTGACGAAGGCGCTCAAGATCGAGCCCGACGAGTTCCTCAAGCAGGTCCAGAACCCGCTGACCAGCCGCCCGGCCTTCGACGTGTGGGTCGACTGGGCGGCGGCGGCCATCTGCGACTGGCGCGAGAACATGTTCTACGGCCCCGGGACGGGCGACGGCGCCGGCACGCGCATCGACTCGCCGTCGGGCGGCGCCAACAGCGCCGCCCAGCTCGCCCGCGTCAAGCTCGGCGCCGCAGAGCTCAAGAAGAACCTGCCGAGGCTCAGCCTCGCCGACCACATCCCCAACGAGGAATTCGAGTACTCGGCCGACGAGGGCGACGAGCAGCGCGTCGCCGCCCCTAAGGGCGACCAGTGGTGGGAGGCCCTCAACAAGACGTGGAAGGCCAAGGACGACAAGAAGGACCCCAACTGGAAGCCCGGCGACGACGACGAGTGAGCGCAGCGGTGGAGTTGTCTGCGGTTGCGTGGTTTTTGTTTTTGTGTGCAGCAGTGGTGATGTTCAGGGCGTGCGCCTTTCTCTTTTGTCCTCTTTCTCGGGAATATACATGTAGCTCGCTTGCACGTACCAACGGTACCCATTAGCGCATGTGCTTTGGCGAATGCTGCTCTCTCGAATGCTGCTCTCTCGAATGCTGCTCTCTCGAATGCTGCTCTCTCGAATGCTGCTCTCTCGAATGCTGCTCTCTCGAATGCTGCTCTCTCAAATTCCCCTTGTCGTATGTGTCTCTGATCAGCGGGGACGATGTGTATGTTTCAGAAACTTTCAGCCTCTATTGCAGTGCAGTGCCAGATGCATCTCATCTTGACTAGAGTTTCCCACTTTCTCGCAATTTTGAAAACAGAGAAAGTCGGGGCGCCAACACTACCGAAAGGCGGATGACCAAAAAGGAAAAGTATAAAAATGAAAAGCCAGAAGACGTTAACCCCCTGCCGCAATCTATTGATCAGACCCGGGCTTGAACCGGAGACCTTCAGTGTGTTAGACTGACGTGATAACCAACTACACCATCCGACCAGCTGTTGTTGAAAGCAACGACTCTTGCGTATCCATATCGAGGCGGGTACTTCTGTGCGCCGATTCTCTGCCCTAGGTCTAGGGTTTTGGTGGAGTTGGGCCCGCAGACAAGACATGGGTCTTTCTTGGCTAGAGCTTGGAAGGTCTTGTCCAAGGATGTGGAGCAAGCAGGTCTGATACGATAGCATGTGTGCCTGCGGAGCTGTGGTGCGGATCCCCAACGGATGGTATCTGGTCATTGCACGCACCGCCTTCTCACGGAGACGGACACGCGCTGTCGAGTGCATCCGTCACTTCGTTTGAGTTCCGTTTCTCGATTGTCACGGTAGCGGAAGTAGGAGGGCAAAAATAGCACCTACTCGAGCCATAATTACTGTGCGGACATTCTTGGGCTTCGTGTTTTCGGAATAATTACCGACTGGGTGTCGTCTGAGTGAGTGTGGAAAGCCATGTGCCATGTGCCATGTGCCATGTGCATAAAACGGCCGCTCGCTGAGTGCCTCGAGGGGCTGCACTTTGTACCGGGCTTAATTCCCTCGGCGCGGCGCTGTAATTAGACGTGGCCTGTGACGAGGTGCAGTGGTGCACGCTGCGCCAACTCTTGGCGTCGTCTCGTGAAGCCGGTAGCTAGGGCTGGCCAGTGATTATTGAGGCCGAAGTGGATCGGGCAGGCTGCAGCCGAGATGAGGGAAACGGGGAAACGGGGAAACGGGGAAACGGGGAAACGGGGAAACGGGAAATCGGTCAGGTTGGTAGTTAGCCATATGCAAAGGCGAGGCAAAGTGCAGAGCTGAGATGGTGACAACCGCCTCCCAAGCTGCCAATGGAAGCTACCACGTGTTAGTGTCACATAGGTATAATACCTAGGGTTTATACCTGGGTAGGGTGTCTGTCCGCACCCTAGAGTCTTCAGGGCTGCAGGTAAGCAAGCGGGCCTGACCAAAATGCTGACCGAGCAGCCGTACAACGCGGCGGCAAAATTGAGCTTTTGTGTTAGTGTTTCTACTTAGGACACCCAATCAACTTCAGCAACAGCCTAGACTATTGAAAGCTGATGGTGGCGTTTTAAGGTTTCCTCTGCGCGCCGTGCTGATCGTAGGACAGAATTGGACAGGTAATTATGCCATTTTGCCGGAAATAGGAGAACTGCCCGCAACAAGCAGCGCCGTCATCGACTCAACAGTACAGATGCAAGACCATGTTTGACCAATGGTAAGAGACCACTGGTCTGGTACAGCCAAGTGCATTGAGACCTGATTCGGCTGGATTTATCCTGCGCTGGCTTTGTTAGGTGAAGTCAGTTCCGCCAAGAATACGCATGCCTGGCCTCGAATGTTAGCCCCTATTCTAGACCTAATTAAACAAAATTTGGACAAAAGGGAGCCCCCGCCACCAAAGTAAGAAGGAATGAATCTAGCGTGGTTCAACATCGCGAACTCGCCGCCTCCCCGCCATCTGATAAGATGTCTCACAGGTGCTGGGTTCTTGTTTACACACGGATTTACGCATTTACATTCCACTAGCGCAGGTGCTGAACTCGACAAACCATGACCAAGACGTGATGAGATTTGTGGATGTGCCGTTTGGTGATGGGGGGGGGGCAGTTTCTTACAGGCGACGACCTGGAGACGTGTGAAGAGACTGAGATTCGCATCATTGGTCTTACTTTGGGATGAGGGACAAGGGGGTGGAAAGACCATCGTGCCCTAGGTCCAAGGCAAATAGGGTCGACTTTATGTCTTGCTAGCTTCGTTAGTATAGCAGAAATCTGTGCTGGGCACAGGCCAAACCTGGCCCAGCCGGGTCCACCAAATAGCCCTTGCGGATCCACCCTATCCATGCCACATAGATATCCCGCCTACGGGCCGATAGATTTTAGCTTCCCCAAGCAATTCATCACGTTTCATACATCGCCGTGCCTCGCATAAAATCCATATAAACCTGCCTGTCCGCTGGCTCCATTGTCAAACTCTTAACTCGATCAACAACCCGAAAGCCAGTCAAAGCCGGTGAAAGCCTTCCTCATTTCTTGCGAATATAACCGACCCACAGCACTCAGCTCACCCCTGACCCCAAGTTTTCACTTGTCAAGATCTTTTCGCTCTTCTCTTTTCGGCTTCGCCCTGTTCCTAATTTGTGTCTAATTACCTACATTACTATGGTCAACCGCAACAAGCTAACCAATAGCCTCTCGTAAGTTGATTTATAGAAAGTTGGTACTCCAAGCCCGGATGGGCCGCCAGCTACGGTCGCACCAACCCGGGCACTGGCTTCTGCTTCTGAGAGCGTCGAGTTGCTGCGATGGGGAGGGACTTTCTGTGCGGCTGCTTTGGCTCTCTGTTGGCAGCAGCCGTGATGGAAACCAGTACTTTCCGGGACTCTGACTCTCTTGGTCTCTGAAGACTGTCTTTATTACAGTTCTCGTTGCGGCGCGCCATTCGCATTCTCTTCTTTTACTTTCCCAGGGGATCGCTCGCTGGCTTGGTCTCGCTTGACAAAGTCTGTTTATGGGCTACGAAGCTTGCCTTGGCTTTCCAAACTTCACCCACGCGTCTCATGTCGATAAGAAATTAGCATCTAGAATAGTTCACGCCAGTGCCGTCTAGACACCTACCAACCTACGCTTCAATAATGTTTTCTCGGCAGAGTGAAATCTCGGCTTCACGCTCCATTGTCTGATGATGGGATGGTCTGATGGGAGCCAATAATTACAAGCTTGGCGACAGCCATTGGTCATGAGACTCGCAGCGAGTTTAGCTCTGTGCGGCCCACGCCGCCAATGGCTGGCGGTGGCGCCTGCAGAGCTGAGTCTGTCCGCCCTGAAGATTGGCAAATGGTCTGACAGCCGCTGGAGTGACCTGTTCCAATGTAACGTGATGGGTTAGTTCAACAGCATCCACGGCCGGAAGATGTATTAAAATGCTCGATTTGCTGCAAATCAATTAACTGCTTGATTTGCTGCAAATTAATTAAATGTTATTCAGAAGGAGCGGCTCCACCATCGCTCATCCTAGGCGCCGATAATCAACACAAACTTAAATCCGCTTTCCGCCCGTCAAGATCAATTAAACAACATGAATGCAGCCCGGACACCCCGGTACGTGTCGGATACCCCTAGCGACGCCCGCTCCCGGCACTCAACCACATCGCAGCCAATGGACCAGGCAGCCGAGTGCGCAAAGAACTCGCACGACACGCAGCGCGTAGCCGTGCTGCTCCTCCTCCCCCTCAGCCTGCTCTTCCTCGCGGCCTGTCTCGGCGCCATCGTCGCGCTGGCCGTCCACGGGCCGGTCCTCGTCCCGCAGCAGGACACGCGGATCACCAGCACCATCATCTCGGCGAGCAGCAAGCTCGCGACGCTCGTCATGGGGCTCGTGTTCGCGCGGTCGGCGTGGGCGTCGGGCGTGGGCGACGTGGTGCGCGGGCGGCCGATGACAGCACGCAAGCTCGTGGCCGCGTGCAGGCCGTTCCTATCGCTCGAGCAGCTGCAGAGCTTCGGCGCGCTGCCGGCGCCGTTCCGCCTGCACGTGGCCGCCGGCGGGCTGTGTCTCGCGGCCATGGTCGCGACCTCGCCGTCGTTCCGCTACGACTCGCTGCCCACGGCAGGCTCCAGAGTGGCGCTGGTGCCCGACGTCGCGTTTGCGTGTCCGGCGGACAAGGTCGCGCAGACAGGGCTCTTTATATGCGACCAGGGCGGATCGAGGCTGAACATCCTGACCAACACGTCGCTGCACGCGTGGGACTACATCGGCGAGGTCAACTCGGGGGGCCAGCGCACCGTGGCCAAGCAGGGCCGTGTCGGCGATGAATCGCTCGGCGCCAACGTGACTCTGGCCACGCTGCCGGCCGGCTGGAAGCTCGACCCCGGCGGCGGCGGCAGCGGCAACAATCTCCCGTGGATGGCCATGTCGGTGTCGTGCCGCGCGCGCGCCATCTCGGTGGGCTTCGCGGGCAGCGGCTACCGCAGCAACGCGAGCGTGTTCCTCGACGGGGACCTTGCGGCCGTGTTCGACATTGGCGCCATGCCGCAGTGGAACGCGGCCGTGCACCTGCTGCTGCGCGTCAACGAGTCGGACAGCGCGTTCAGCAGCCTCGGCGAGTACGACGTCATCATGCTGGGGCGCGACGAGGACCAGCCCGGCGGCAGCAGCATGATGCCCGGGCTCGACATGGCCAGCGTGACGCCGCTGGGCTCCGCCGTGCTAGACCTGTATGGATACGGAGCCATCGAACAGCCGCTGGCGGGCGCGGCCGCGCGGTGCACCTTCTGGGCCGACGCCGGCGGCGGCTGGCCGCCGGGCCCCCTGTGGCCGCCGCTCAACCACACGACGAACACGGTGTGGGGCGCGCTCGTCGATGACCGCCCGACGCCCGCGACCGCCATGCTCAACTACGGCGCCTCGTGGCAGTACACCATCGTCAGCGACAACGACGTGCCCGGCGGCTCCGTGGCGTACATCGCCAACAACACGGGCCCCGGCGTCGCCTTCCACCACCTGCTGGCCGCGTACATCCGCAACCAGTGGGCCCTGGCCGCCTACGCCGTCTCGCGCCACACGTACTACAAGCTCGAGCGGCCGTTCGCCGGCACCGGGCCCGAGCAGCTGTTCGTCTCGGCGACGCTGGTGGCTGCGTTGCCTGCGGCGGCCCTGGCCGTGGCCATGGCCGTGGCCGCCCGCGCGTGCGTCGCCGCCTGGGGCCTGGGGTACTGGATCAACCGCGTCGAGTTTGGAGGCTGGTGGCTGCTCAAGGCGGCGAGGCCCGATCTCTATGGCGCCGGCTTCGCGAATGCTACTGAGGGCGCCTTTATGCAGTCGTGCGAGGCCGTCGACGTGCAGTATGTCGATGTCAAGCCGCGTGACGGCGTCGGCCAGTTGCTGCTCCGGCGCGCGGGAGAGGGGTTGGAACCGTTCCAGAGGGGGCGCGTCTATCAGTGAGCTGCTGAGGCACGGTTGTTTGTTCAGTTGAAACCAGTTTGTTCAGTTGAAAGTCATCAGGTTCCAGCGCATCCCATGGATCTCTTGCGTGCAGCTGGTCAAGTTGTGTGACGATTCACCAAGTACCTGATATCGTTTATCATTGCTACCCAAAAAACCCCGTCCCGAACAACCAAACCTTTGCGATCGCCTAGCGTATTTCCCCCCTGAAATACCCATTTAGTTATTGAGTCTCGTCTCAACAAAGCCCCTGATCAAGCCTCGAGAAACAGGACAGCGTGCTTGGCAAAGAGCGACGCATACTGAAAGAGCGCGCCGTGGCCGCTATCGGGGTATACGACGAGCTGCGCGTTGGGCAGGCGCTGCTGCAGCACGAAGCTGTTGGCGGTCGGGATCATGTAGTCGTCCTGGCACACTGATTAGCAACACCATAACCGCACACCGCCCTTCCAACAACACACGTTCCCGCCACCCAGCAAAGAGAAGAAAGGCCAGCGACAAACTCACATGTCCATTCACCACCAAGACGGGAATCCCCAGTTCGGGCAGCCGCTCATATGAGCCATCCAGCCCCTGGCTCGTCTCCGGCGCCGCGTACCCCGCGATCTGCGCGACCTGCGCCTTGAGGCCGGCAGCGCCATCAACATATCCCTCGCTGAGCCAGGCAGCCGGCTCCTCGCCCGACGTGGCGCGCGAGCGCTCGTGGACGCGGGCCCACCACTGCGCGGCCGCCGCAGCGCCCGCAGCTGTCTTGGGGAAGAACAGCGTCTCGAACGCGGCCGCCGTGATGTGTTGCGCGGCGGCGTGATCCCGGACGTCAGTGTGGCGCGAGGCCGCCACGTCGGGCCCGGCGCTGGACGCGGTGCCGGCGAGGATCAGCTTGCGGACGCGCACACCCGCAGCGTCACTGCCGGTGTTGAGCGCGAGCAGCTGCGCGACGTAGCCGCCGAGACTGAAGCCCAGCACGTCGACCTCGCGCGCGCCGACCAGCCCAAGGAACTCGGCCACGTCGTCGGCCGCCTGCCGCACCGTGGTCGCCACGGCCCCCGTGCTCAGACCCACGCCCGCGTAGTCGACCAGCACGACCGCCCGCTGTGCTGCTAGCGCGTTGACCAGCTCCGGGTCCAGTTTGTCCATGACGCCGCGAAAGTGTGTTAGGACGACTAGCGGCGTGCCCCCGCTTGTGCCCAGCCGCCGGTACGCGAACTTGGTGCCGCGCGGCGTCGAGACGTATTGTGTTTTGGCTGTTTGGTGGGTCGCCATGTTGAGGTTGGTCACTTTAACTTGAGCAGGGGTTATATCGGGGTGGGTGTGTTGGTGAAGGGAGAGAGTGGCGGTTGACGATGAGATGGACTGAGCGAGACGCGGAAATCTTTGTTGATATCATCATGGCTGTTTGTTCCGTCAGCTCTTCTTAAATATAGTTGTCTCTGCACACTTCTCTGCACACTTGTTAGTCTCTCGGCTAGCTCGGTGTCGTGGCCACTGATTCCTCCGCAACCACGGACCGATTCTATTTCCATGCCGAGCTGAGTGAGACTGCCAGCTTACTAACTCCTGCTCGACGACATCCTGTCTCCACATCCGGCTAGCTTTCCCGACGCTTGAAGATTCGAGACTGGAAAGGCGCTTACCAAGCTGCGTCGCGATTACTGATCGGCCCAGTTATCTACCCCTGACTGGCGCCGTCAAAGTCCAGCTTACAACACGCTCGTGCACACCCGAAACGGCTGTTCACTAAACATTAATTCAGCCAAGCCCGGTGAACCACCCACTGATGCATTTTCGTCCTACTGAAAAACCAAACTGCGATGGAGACAGGTGCCCGCTGATTAGTGAACATCTGGTTAATTATTAAGCTGAATGGACTTCATGCCAAGACTGTGGTTCAATTCACACGTTCTCAGTCGCTTGGCGCGCTCAGTCGCTTGGCGCGGCGAAGAGGTTGTGCTTGTCAGAAATGGCAGCTCAGAACTATTACGTGGACCTTGGCACGGCAAGTTGTTCTCCCGTCCCGTGTGTTTCTGTGGTGGTATGCTAACTCTTTAGGTAGTCTACGCTCTCCTTGAAATCCCGGGCTGCTCCGAGTTAGTTAGCTAGTCAGCCACTTTACCAGGATAGTGACGCTTGGAGCCTGTTCGGCTGCCAGCGCGATCAGGATGATGCACATGTATAAAGTTGAAGAGAGAAGTAAGAGCTGGGACAACAAAGCCGAGGAAGAGGAAATGCCATCGCTTCCAGCAGAATCAGCCAAACCTAAAAAGAAAAACGTCGATTTCAACGTCTTGGAGATGGGATGACAATGAGCAGGGCTTGGAGGATAAAAATACAGGTAGGTCCCTGGTAAAATGTTCCGCTTTTACCCTCTCGGTCTCTTTTGCTTGCTTACTACCCCGTGCGGGCCGGGCCTGATCACCATCCCGGGATATTGACCATGGCTGAGGTTAAGAGCCGGGAGCGTGGCATTGAATGGAACGGCACATGCTATCCCGGCATTACTGGTCTTCCCCTGGCTGCTCGTCAGAGCAACCACTCTCAGTGGGGAACGCAAATTAACATCCGCCGCAGACGTTAACTGTTCAGCCGAGCCCTTTCCTCCCGCTAAGCAAGCAGCAACGATCGTTTTGAGTGAAATGACATTCTTATATTTACAACGCAAGAGAGTCGTCCTGCCCGTATTTTACTCCTGGCCTTCGGTAGCCTGCATATTCTATCCCTGTCTGGCCATTACTAACCTCTTCTTATTCTGTTGTTCCATTGCCATCAGTTGCATTTGGTAATCTCGCATTTCTCTCTCTTTGTCTCTCTCGTAACTTACCACGGCCTCGTATCTAGGGTCGCCGGCTTAGCCAGCATAAAGATATCAGCTGCCGCACCACAACGCGGAAATATCTCAGGGAGTAACTCACGCTGCAATCCTTTCATTCCGTCAATTATGGTCACGATACTACCAAAGGCCTTCTCCTGAGCGATATCTCTACACCTTTTCAGATGGTCATCCAACAGCTGTATGTTTCGGTATCTCAGGAGCACCTCGGCATCTGATTCCTTCCCAGACCTAAGTGCTTCCACGACCTCCTGGTCGCCGATGATTTGAATCTGCCCGGCTGAAAGAATGGCCTTGATTAGGCTACTATCAAAGTCGATATGACGCGAGGCCGTCATAAGCAGACTACGATGCAGAAAGACTTCGTAGTCCTTTTGCTTTACGAGCTCTTCTATAATTCCTCGCTGACCGCTCGGGATCGCGCGGTCTAGATGCTTTGGGTGAGCTTCGATGTCTCCATATTGTAAGAGTGCTTTCAGAATTGCTTCATATCCATACTGGATCGCAGTAATTATCGTCCCCTCGCGAACTCTGTGGTCTTCTTGGGTTTTGAGTCCGGCGAGCAGGACAATAACTAGCTCCAGGTCCCCCATGCCGACAGCCACATCAAGTACGCCCTCTCTCGTATTGCATGACGCCCCACGAGATATCAACAGTTTGCAGACTTCAATGTGGCCGTTCTGTGCAGCGAAATAGAGCGCAGTGCGGCCCCTTCGAGATGCCGGTGTGTCGACATTAACGCCAGTATCAAGGATCGCCGTAACCATGCCAATCGACCCTTTCTCGGCAGCTGCGTGGAGCGTCATCAGTTTCTTCCGGGCAAGCGCGGGGAACATGATTGCTTCATCCGATGTGTCGTGATAGCGACTCTTGTGTTGTGAGAGCTTGGACGGGCCATTAAACCCAGGCTGTAAGCGAAGCAGCCTTCGTAATGGCAGCGAAAAGGCAGCTCATGACGGGCATTGTGTTTTTTCCGCTCTTCGGCCGTTTTCATGCCGCTTGTGAAAGAACCGCACCAGGGCTTGGAGCACTTGTATGTCTTCCACGATCCGTATAGGTTGTCCAGAACCTCCTCGGCTTCCGAGGTGACTCGCCCGTCTCTCAGCATCTCAATGCATTGTCGAATGGCGAGCGTCCGGGCTTCGATGTTTCGACAGGAATTTCGCTCTTTATCATCCTCTGGCAGCGCATGGATCGCAGCCTGCAACTCCGTAGGGGTCATGACCTCTTCTACCGCCTCACCGGCTTTGGAAACCAGGCCGTACGATTGCATAAAAAGCCCTCCCAGCCGGCCTAGGGCTTGCGCCACCGATGGGTCCTCCGGCTCTGGGGGCTCTGCCCAGTCGAGGAGATGGACGTACCAGCACTGGACCGCGTAGTCATGTAGGGCAAAGTACCCCCTCCTGGCGTGCACTGAGATTTGGTGATGGTCGGTTTTTTTGAATGGCTCGGAAGTCAGGTATTGCAGGCACAGAATTCCGTACTGTGCGTTCCCGAGACTCATGTTGATCTCTCCTCTCCGAGACAGATACCTAGTATGACCACGCGCTTAGCCGACAGCTCGAGTATCCATTCAGAGCAGCAGAGGATACTCACTGGCAAGCAGTAGGATGAACAACGCTGACCGTACTTTCAGGACCTGTTGTCGCTCCTGGTGGGTGGCGGAGATCTAAAAGTGATCCACACAGATCCTTACAACTGGCGTACAGGCGTTCAGAATAGTCCACGGTTCCATTCGCGGAATCGATGCAAAATATTGCCTGTATCTCTCTCCAGTACAGAACCCGCTTCGCGCACATCACCAGAGACAGGATCCTGAGCGCAGTGCTCCGTTCTGCCTCCACGGGCTGGTCCAAGATGCGTGCGAGAACTCTTTCATATCTATAGAATTGTCAGTTGAAGACATACCACCTGCAGAGAGCATCTCCTTTGAGCGACATTGCTCAGAGTTGGTGACATTGCTCAGAGTTGGTGACATTGCTCAGAGTTGGTGACATTGCTCAGAGTTGGTGATAAGGGGCACCTACGCTTTGCCGATGTCCCGGGGGAAGACTTTGTTCCTCAATTCTCGATGCAGGTCTGGAAGCTGTGGTTGTTGTAGAAAATTGTGCATCACCAACTTTGCGTAAAGAAACATGCCTAAAATAAGAGTGCATTAGCAGGAGCAAAGCCCTACATAAACAAACACGTAATTACCTTGGGCCCAGTCGCCCTCTGCCGCGATGATAGCTGACGAGGCCAACAACAGCGACTATGCTCAGGTCTGGGAGGCGGTCTTGCAATACGTGCGAGAGGGAGGAACATGTGTGGTTATGGGTGATTTCAGCTCTTTCGTTAAACCGTTGCTGATGAAGCAGTTCTTCGCAAAGGCGGGCTTGTTTTGGAACCAGAGCTCCTACCGCCGGGCAGCGCTCGCGCTCAAGCCAAGCACAATGGGACCGGACTTGGCCGTGAAACTCCCTTCGTGGTATGGGCCAAAGGCTGTGAGTGTGCAGAATGTTGCACATGGCGATATCTGAGTGTGCAGAATGTTGCACATGGCGATATCTGGTACCACGCTGATGAGATTTCGGCGGTCAAAGATCTTGGCCTTGACGATATGGGAGAGACACCGGTCGCGTTTGCACGAGTTGGAAATGGGCGGCTCGGATACGTTGGTGACGTGAACGCCGAGGAGGATTCAGACACTATTATTCTTGCGATGTGTGGTGTTTTATAAAAGTTCACCGGGTTTACCGCCAGCCGACATCAATCCACTGAGCTTTTAGATACGACAGAGCACACCGAAGCAGGGACGAGGTACCTCACAGAACACAATACAAGACATTCACCCTCGTGCAATCCAAAGTGCCATGCTTCTAACAGGGGCCAGTTCCTCGGCCCAGGAATTAAGCGCGGCCTTGATCTAGGCCCTAAATTGAAGCAGCCGGGTAAATTTATCCTCACCGCCCTTGAGCTCACCGCTTACTTAACTTCATTCCGATCGGTAGGTCTTCGAGACTCAGAGAGGTGTCTGAGATTGGCTAACCAGGAACAAACTTGTCGTCAATGTAATGAATCTGCTCAAAAGGTTGTACTCCTCTAGAACCAAGAGGGCACTCGCAAAGGCCACCAAGAACATCAAAGTTCACGAGAAGCGTTTCCTCCGAGCAGTCGAACAGGCAGATCGCGAAGCTGTTACAGCTCGCGACATCTAGACATCCAAGGCGTTAAGCGCCATCACAGTCTGTCTGGGCCTCGACCTGGGAAAGGACCAGAACCCAAGCTCGCCTGCTACTTAGGAAGTAAGAGCGGTTCGCCTGCCGATAGTTCTGGGCGGGCCCAACCTTTGTTTGTAGCTTGACAGCACGAGATTGACCAGATCTAGTATCACCTAGCCCTAAATAGTTCTTCTCGCCAACTAAGTCCCGCTTGCTTTGTTCTCCATGGCCTAGGGGGCTAGGGAAAGACGCAGACGGTGCTTGGGTATCACTAACTTCATCGTAACACCTTTAAGGCCACCTTCTAGATCGACTCGCGAGAAGCCGGAGGCATCCTACTTGGCTATTGCCCAGAAGCTACGGCAAGCCAATCTATTCAGCTACACGCCGTCGTCAGGCATAGACGTGGACGTTGCATGGGGGTTAGTTGCACGCGCGAGTGGCTCGAAGGAACCAGTAAGCCTCCTTTTCCTTTGCCCTAGTCGTGTATTTGTAGTCAAAGTCATAAGGATAAAAGGGATACGAGAGAGAACAATAACATGGTAGGTAATAGAGCTAACTGAATTACGTTTTTATTTACCTTATTAAAAAGAATCATTATACGGTAGGTAATAAGAACGGAATTACCGAAACGCAGCGTTCTTATGGGTTCGGAACAAAATATGTCTGTCATGGCTAGTCGGCTGCCTAGCATCAACTGGCACGGCGATGGCGCAGGCGGAGGTGTGAGGGCTGCCACCAAGCAGGAGCTCGTTATTCGTGTCGAGGGTGAGTTGGCACGGGATTGATCCCCGACAGAGACTTCCATCATTCGAGCTCGCGTCTAATTCTCGGTTGCAGAAATCATGCGCTTTACAACGACCGCGGCCGCGCGCCTCCATCTTGTTTAATTGCAACTCCAACAGCATGCTTTGTGCTGTCCAGAGACATTTCCCGCTGAATACGACTTGCGAGACGCCAGGAAAAGACGTTGCAAGTTTCCTTCGTCGTGGGAACGGAATTGAGAGTGGACGCTGACTGTCGTAGGGCGTTGAGATTTACTGCGATAAGAGGATAATCATGATTGACGTGCCGAGTGTTGGGTTGGATATACGTTGTGCATTCTCCTACCCGCAACCTCGAGTCTATGTGCGTGTGCCTCATCTCTTTAACAATTCGAAATGTTCCTCCGCTTCGAGTCTTGCAGGGCCCGTCTGATTTGCTCCTGTCGCGGATCACTCTGTTTCTTTCCTACCCGCACGTGCGGCCGTGGTGCGATCGGGCAGACGTAAAGTTCTGGTATGATACGCGCTGTTGGCGCGACAGCATAGGCCTCTGTTTGGCTAGGGATATGTCCTGCCGGCGCGTGCGTTGAGTGACGGCCCCCGCAGCTTTGGCACTCGACTTTCGCTCTGCATCTTGACTCTTCTGTGCTTTCCTGGTTGGCGTGTGGTGCTTGAACGCTAATGTAAGTTGTCAGTCCACCACTATCTCCTTCGTGTTCCTCCTCTCCACCAGCCCCTAGATTGGCCTTCCGATTCAATTCCGATAGGCCAAAGATATCGAGAAAGGTCTCAGGCTTCTGCCACACGCCACAGGGACACGTCGAAGACGAGCAATAGTAGGCATGCGCCTCCTGCCAGCTCTGATAGCGTCCCTGACCGATCTTGAACCAGTCATTCAAAAGGGGCAAGACCTGCTCTCTAAATTCCTGCGGAGTGTACTGAGCCCGCCTGACGTGATCCGGCCAGTTGATAGCCGCGTACTGGAGCCCGAGGCATCCATGCCGTGGCTGGAGCCTCTCGCCCATTGCTAACACCCATTTGTGTTCGTCATGGCTTTTCAAAACCCCTAGCCCCCCGTGGAGGCCTGCCAAGGGGTTGCTCTTTTTAGTCTTCTCCTCGTAATCCGCTGACGATGCCAGGGGCGCCAACGTCTTGTCTAAATCGCGCATTCGAAGAAACCGGAGACACTCTTTGGCGAGAAATCTCTGTGATTTCAGGGGATCCACGTGAAATTCTCGAAGTTCGGGATGCAGGGGGTCTGTTTGCAGCAATGCTCCTGAGGGGAAGAAGACCTCCATGGTCATATGGCTGAGGTTCACCTCGGGAGGATCCACGTGACGGTCGAGGTTCAGGAGCGGACCGAGGCGCCAGCAAAATGCCTCGGGTCGGATTGGAATGGCATTCTTGTTGATCGTGCCGTCGAGATTGGCCTTGAGGTTCGTCATGGCAACAAATTCGGGAAGGTCCAAGCAGTAGTTAGCTTGACAGAGCCAAATGAGCATGCATTTAAGAACCTGGCGGTCTTCGGCTTTTGGAAAGTTGGGCAGAATGTCTATAAGGATCTGCTTGTATGTAGCGCCCAGGTCGCTAGACATGTTTTCGACTGCATCCTCAATCTGCTCAACTGTGTAGAGCTCCCCGATGCGCTGGACATGCATTACAGCTTGAATGAACCTTGGAGACATCAGATTGATGCATTTTGAAGTACAGGGAGAAATATGGGTTGCTCACCTGCCATCACTCTTCTTAACGATCTGATCGATTGCGGCTTGCTGCAAATCCGGTCCCATGGCATCAAGACATTCATTGTCCATCTCTTCGACCTGGTTCTCGATAAAGGCACGTATGTCGGACTCCATGAGGTGCTGATCTAATCTGAGGTGGTAATCGATCTTCTGGGCCAGCTTGGGTCGCTTTTGGATTTCGGAAAGGTGTCGGGTCGTGATAAAGGTTCTCAGATCGAGGCCAGACGCGATTGGTGGTGAGCGTAGCGACTGCTCTTTGGCCGTGTCCACAATCGTTGACACGACTGTCGTTGACACGACTGTCGTTGACACGACTGTCGTTGACATGTCTGACTGCGAACCTTTTGTTGCCGTACCAGATGATGTGTCCATGGTCGATGCTGCCTTGGCAAACGAGACGAGGTCGTCAAGGAACTCCAGCAAAAGCCCAAACTCTCGGCACTCGAAAGAATCAACCCCGTCCACCACCAGGTACACTCTTCCCATTTGTGCCAGTAGCTTCTTGCAAAGGTTGAAATAGGCGTCTCGTGTTGGGTGTTCCCCTAGAAACTTCCGCTTCAGATCCGCGACATCCTCATACCCGACCGAGCTGTGCAGAAGCATCTGCCGGACGATGGTGTCATAAAGGGCTGCCAGAAAGTTTCTCGTCGCATCCTTCATGGCGAAGCAGAAATACAAAACAACGTGACCATCGTTCTCCGCTCGGTTTAACAAGTCTTCAATGACAACAGAAGCTAGCACCGACTTTCCGCTCCCAGAAAGGCCGTCGAGGCAGAAGAAGTCGCCACCGCCGTCGGGATGGGAATACCAATGTTGGTAGGCCCCATGCTCTGACAGCCAGCTTCCGGTTGTTCCAAAGCGTTTGCGCACGGTCATCTCGTGCACCTCCCGGTACATGACCCTCAAGGGTGAGATCCAGCCTAGTAGATCTGCTTCCTCTTTTTCGCGTAGCGTGTCTTGGATACTGGTAAGCATGACCCCCTGGTGTTGGATCTCGTCTTTGACGTCACGGAGATCGCCACTGCAGCTCGGTTAGAATGCATCTGGTAACAAACTGACTTGGTGCGAAGAAGCCTTGCCTGTTGCTTTTCATAAGCTCAAGCGCCATGCTTGACTTGTATCGCGAGATATCATCGAGGAGCTTCCTCGCTCTCTCCTGTTTGCTGGGCCATTTGAGGCTGGCCCACGCTCGTTTGATAGAATTACGCGAAGATGAAATATTGGAACCATTCGGCTGTGTACACTCATCCCTATTATTCGTAAAGGGACGTAAAAGCGTCTCCAATTCGTCGAGGGCACGCCGGCAACCGGGGAGCAGTTTGTTCAGGTTGTCAAGGACCAACTCATTCGACTCGTGGAGATGTTGCAGGCTCTCTAGGGTGGTTCTCAGCGAGAGAACCTCGATCCGAACTACGAATACATCTCCTGGCGTGCCTCGAACGGTTTCAATGTAGTTTGTTGTGAGCTTAATGATCTGTGCAGTGACCTGAATGATGCCAAGGATGGCTACGCCGGTCTCAATGCCTGCCATATTCTTAAGTAGTAGTAGGTATAATGGGAAAAGAGGCGGCATTGAGAAGTAAGTCGCACAGAAAGCAGAAAGGACTACAAAAAGTTGTTGGGCTAGTTGATAAGGCCCGAGAAACTGGACCGTCAAGCGGGAGCCTGTTAATGCAACTCGGTGAGGCGGTGGCTCAGTCGAGAGCCCGCAGGGAGGGGAAATGGCAGTGCAGAAGGTCAATGCGCCCGCGTCACACCATCGCACCTTGCCAACCTATCGTTAAGCAGAAAACTGCCTTCGACAGCCGCCGTGGCTGGGCTACCTGTTTAGTCACCCCCACAACATTTTCTGACCAAGTCAGGATTAGACATCGGTTGTGAGTTCCGCGTATTGCCTGATTCCGGGAAGCTCGAGACGGGATGCGTTACGGAGGTAGGTAGGTAAATTGCCCCTGGCAGGGACCCCGCATCAACGCCCCCCGCGACTTCCCACTTCTCAATCTCTACCCCTCTGTCCTCTGTGCTTTTATTCAGTGATTGATTCACTGCCCGTCAGCCCCTCGATCAGACCGTGGTCTTGATCAAAATGGATGTACCAACTCCGCCCCTCCTAGGTTCTCAGCAAGCCGTGACACGGACCTCGGCCGACCTCGATATGTCGAAGAAAGAGGATGTGTGCCAATCATGTGGAAATTTCGACGGCCGCCACTAGGACCGAAATTCCTATGGCTAGGTCTATCGCTATGTTACCATTGCTGAGATGCAGGCTGCGTCATCCACCTGCCTCGCGTGTAAAGCGCTCTTCAGTTACTTCAAGCTCCGCTTCCTAGTTGCCGACAGCCAGATTCTCTACAACACTATGGGCACGGCGCTGATTCTCCAGATTTCATCCATTGGGACGACGGAGCTCTTTGAATTATTCCGCTCCAGCCCAGTCCTCACTATGGCCCTCCCGGAGGGCCAGCTCTGGCCGCTTGTCAGGACAGCCCTGCCATTGCGGCCGGAGTTTTCCCTCCCTGATGCACGGTCGCGCATTGCCTCGTGGCTGCACGATTGCCAGTCGAACCACCCGAATTGTGGGAGAGATGCCCCGTCGGTCATGCCCACGCGCGTCATAGCCCACGCGCGTCATAGCTATTGGTCAGGACGGGGATGAACCGTATTTGTATGAGACGTGCCCAGGCGCGACTGGCCGTTACGCTGCTTGAGCCATTGTTAGTGCGCGCCAGAAGACTGCCCGCCCATGACATTCAGAGGAAATCTATCTCAGAAAATGCAACGTCCTGGCCGCGCCTTGCACACCAGCCACAGGCAACCCGTATGGGGTATTGCGAGAGGGCTCTCTTACTATCAGAGGACAGATAGCAAAGTTCCGCAACCGGACTTCGGCAGAGGTGTCAGAAAAGACTGTAACTATTGATCGGAAGGACGTCAACTATGAGATGATTCTGTCCCACGATATCCCGCGGCCCAAGGACAGCGAGGAAGAGAGTCTCGTTGTGAAGGCAGGTATAAAGGAGAGTCAAGGCTGCACGTAAGGAATGACTGAATTCGTAAATAACTAAGCTAAAGAAAGGAAAAGGAAAGGAAGAAAGCCTGCGGTTCCTGCAGGCCGTGGTTTTGTGGTGGGGAGAGGGGCAATTGGGCTAGTCCCAACTGGAAATAGGGGCTGCGGGGTGGAGCCTGCAGTCAGGCATGGTTGCGGCACCACGGACCATAGTTCGGCCGGTTCCTACCAGTTCTCGGAAGCTGGGGGTGTCACGGTCGCCACAGAGCTCATGTGACAGGATTGATTCTATTGGCTGCATTGTGTTTAGAGTGTGGCCTGTGCGCACTGCCTCCTACGTGCTCAGCACTACTATTTCCCCGCGCTCTGCGCGGACCCCGCGATAGATTCCTTTCTCTTCCTTAGCTTTAAATCCACATTCGTTACTGCCTTCAACTATTGACATCCCTACTTCGTAAGGCGGGCCGTCACAGGGGCTGGGAAGCAAGGTTCAGGATCTTGTCTTGGAGCCTGTAATTGGACGAAGTGGCTGTTTTACTCGGAAAGGGCATCTATTACTGGAATACCGGAGTATACCACTGGACGACTGGAAAAAGGTTGTGGAAGCTATATCGGTTGTGGAGAAGACTATTACGATTCTATAACCTTTTAAGGTAGCTGGGAAGGCCTCCTTTATGAGCCTATTAGGTATAGTTGTTAGTGGTCATTTCTTCGTTGGACAAGCGGGCGGTCATTGTGTTGAGAACTATTTAGTGGCTACAGTGTGAGTCGGTCTAACATGGACAGGTTAATCAGGCCCCTTCTTTGAGAGGAAGGATTTGATGGATTTATATATCGCAAATAAAGAAGTTCGGGATTTCTCCGAGGTTGAGGGGATGGTGTGTTAGGGACCGTTAATTGTGTGGCATGTTACGCTAGGTGGGAAATGTAAATGTGTATGGCCGGGAGATAACGGGAGTCAGACGAAGTAACTATCGACGCGCGTTATGTGCTGTTACTGCCTTCATGCGGGCCTATGTGCCAATCTCAGATAAGGCAAGAAGGAGCACAGCATTAGGACTAGGCCTACTTCCTTCCTTCCCCATAGCACTCTAATACAACCATACCTACGAACCACTGCGCGTAAGCCAGTGAAATTTAGTGTGCCGTGGCATGCCAGCGAAGTAGCTGAAAACCAACCATTTAATTACCGCAATTTACACAAGTGCTATACCACCGCCAACTACGAGTCGATAGAGGGTTTCGACTCCCACCCCGATTGATTGGAAGTCCTTCGCTTAACCTTTTTTCCCACTGTTCTTCTTCGTTACCGATCGGGCGTGCAAGGAAAACCCCAAGCGCACACGCACGCGCACGCGTGCGCCTCACCTACGATGGCGCGTGCATCTGTCCCACCTTGTATTTACCTCACTCACCTGGCTCAGTCCAGGTTGAAGTCTTGCACCTTTCTTGCTCGCGTTGCCCCATTGTGGCCACCTCGATCGGGCGTACCTGCCTTCCTGCCCAAACATGTCCCAGCCTGTCACACGGTTGCGGTGAGGGGTTAGGGATAGGTATGCCTCAGGCTGGTGGTCACTTTTCCTCAAAAACTGTGAGGGATTGGTCAGAGAGTCCTCCATTCATCTCCAACAGCCGACGTGGCTTGTGACCATTGGCGGAAGACAAGGAGCATGGAATCCAAGCGAAGCCCTCAGATTGTAGCATAAGAAGAAGGCCTGCCCCCCCCCAAGATCTTGGAGGGTTCAACCCTTAGGGCCATCCCCTGTCAGTCGACCCTTGTAACACAGCCTGATGCCCGATTCCGAATCTCAGCTTGAATCGCCCCCTACTCAAGAACTCGACCAGTGTATCCCCTAAAACAATCGAGATGGGAGAGCGAAAGTACTTTTATGCCATCGCTCGAGGACATCCCAGCGGAGGGGCCCCGGGCATCACCACATCTTGGTATGGATGCCAGAATTTTCCAGTCGAGGCCGACTCGTGTCAGGTACATTGAAATATCTGACCGAACTAGGGGCGTTGCGCAACCGATCACATCTGGGTTTCCCAATTCCCGAGTGAAGGGCTTTGGCACCTTAGAAAAGGCCGTCCGGTACATGTTGAATTCTGGTTGCAACACATTCTACTTCCTCAACGGCCCTACAGACGGTGAAAAGTCTGTATCGAAGCTAGATGGCGGGAAGCCATCATCTTATGCTGTCGCAAACGGTCGTGAAGTTGGACAATACTCAGAGTACAGGTGGGAATTTTTGCCCTCATGTCTAGCTTTAGAAGAGTTGTTGGTAACAATCCACAATTAGCCTCGAAGCGGAGCCTCGAGTCAACCGATACGGCCACGCCTGCCACAAGTCCTTCTCAAGCATCGATGCTGGGAAGAGTTTTATTGAAGGGTATAAACAGACCTGGCGCCAGATACATAACAAGGGTCCTGTCGATAGCAGCGTGGATGGCGATCATGGTGTTGCAGGTCTCGTCGATAAGTTATATATGGTGTCTCTGAGGGATTGAGCAGAGCCAAGAGTCGAGCATGTCTTCGGATGAGGCTCTTTTCTTTTTAGCGGCCGACTACCCATGTACGCAGTTCACGAACGAGATGAAAAGGAATTATTATTCATCAAGTCGCGCTTTTCGACTAGTAATAATAACAAGAATATCAGGCTTAGATATTATAGATAAGGTAGCCCTACTTCTGGCGTAAATACTAATTTACGATATAAGATTATGGCGGAGTAGTAGTGGTAGGGAAAGCAGAAGCCGAAAAGAGTAAATGAAAGTTGGTCGAACTATACCGCGGAGTTAGTGCCGGCCATGCTAGCGCCCGGTGCTAGGCTTCGCCGTGGCGAACATATTTGCAATCGTTTGATATAGCTGTCACCGCCACGGGGCGAGAACGAGGAAGGTGGCGCGGGCAATGCAAATTTCACACTGGGAGAGTGGCAGGCTCGGCCCGGGCCGTGGCCTCGCGGATGGGCTGGGCCCAGGGGAACTTGCCGACCATGTGCTCCTCGCCCTCGACGTACTCGAAGACGGGGGTGCGGGCGAGGGCGCGGGCGTTCCAGGTGGCAAAGAACTTTTGGAGCGAGGGTTTGGAGAGGACGTGGCAGTCGACGAAGCGGTGGGTCATGTCGGACCAGGTGGCGGAGCCCGTAGCCTGGCTGGCGGCGGCGAGCCCGTCCTTGACGGTGCCGAAGCGGACCTGCTGGTAGTCGTCGAAGGCGGCGAGGAGCCGGTCGCGGTCAGGGAAGGCTGTGGCGTCGCCCGACGCGCCCCGCACCTCGCGGGAGGCGTGGTACATCTCGTTGGCGAGCGCCACCACGTCGACGATGCCGTTGTTGCAGCCCGCCCCCGTGCTGGGCGTGAACTTGTGCGCCGCGTCGCCCGCCAACACGATGCGGTCCCAGCTCCACCGCTTGAGGATGCCCTCCTCGAGATTGACCATGCCAGCCTGCGTACGGTCCAGGCGCTCGTAGATGCCGATGACGGACGTGTCCTCGCCGGCGAACAGCTGCAGGGTGCAGTCGTAGCCGTGGGTCTCGCTGGCGTCGCCGGGCTGGACGGGCGCCACGGTCGGGAAACGGACCCACATGGCCCGATGCGATGTCAGGAAGGGCTTGGCGTCGTTGACCTCGACGGGCGTGGCCGACTGAAGCGCCGCCGTGCGCATTAGGTCCCGTACCTTGCTGTGGACGCCGTCAGCCCCGACCACGACAGAGCCCTCGTACGTCGTCCGTCGGCGCACGTCACCTTAACGCCGTCGGGCCCTGTCACCACGTCCACAACCTGCTTGTTGGGCAGCAGCTTGGCCTGCGCCTCGGCGGACAGTCCGTCGTGCAGCGTCTGCATGAGGTCGTGGCGGCTAATGACTCGGGGGTAGGCGCCGTGGCTGCGTATAGCCGATCAGCATTACTGTTGGGGGTTGGGGGGGGGGTTGGGGGGGGAGGGCGAGACAGTAGCAGACCTACTTCACCTTGAAATAGGTAAACCACAGCGTGTCACCGAGGTTGCGGCCGTCGTGGTCGATGCGCTTAAAGCGGCTCATGGGCGAGCTGACGCGCTCGATGACGGGGAGCAGGCCGAGCTGGCCGAGCTGTCCCAGCACGCGCAGGCCGATGGGGAGCAGCACGAGGTTGGAGCCCGCGTCTAACACAATCTTGCTGCGGCTCTCAAGCACGACAAAGTCGAGGTTGGCGCGCGAGAGCGAGTGCGCAGCCGTCAGCCCGACCGGGCCGCCGCCGACGACGATGACTTTGAAGGCGTTCATGGCGGGCTGAGAGTAGCTAGACGCCGACGTCTCTACATGGTTGTAATTGTCTACAGACAGACATTTTATACTTGTCCTGACAAGTGAATCTACCAGGCAGACGCGTACTCGGGCGGCCCGGCCTCACCAGTCGCTCGCCTTGACGAGAAATGGTCCGATTCCGTCGTAGCATAAAAGCGCATCAGTAAGCACGGTCGAGGGGACCGCGTCGTGACTCGTTCGGGTACGATGTCGTCGCGTCGCCAAGCCATCCAGCTCTTCTAGCCCGCATGGGTATTCGCATCGTCAACTGCTGTTGGAGCGTGGAGCGGGGCAGAGTCGATGGGTAGAGCAGAATGACTAAGTCCCTGCAGAAATGCAGAATGCATGTCCTCAAGACAGGGGTACGTTGGGACAAAAACGCGGGGTTGGTTTTGGAGAAACCCGCCAATGCAGGTGTCGGCTTCGGTTAAGGTGGAAGAGGGTCTTTCACGATGGTCACGTGGTTCCCAGCTACCATCAGTCATGAGAAAGAAATTGGGACTAGGTTCTAGAGTGTGGGGGGAGCACTAATCTGGGCGAAACAGACTACCTACACAGTAAGTAATGTACCTGCGGGTTCTCAGGCTGCCGCTCCTTTCATCACCCAACAATAGGTTGCTAGTACTAAGTATGATGCGGCTAACACACATTACGGTATTGAAGCTGTATTACCGTACGCTATCTACCCTAACACCCCTGGGTCGTCTAACACCCCTGGGTCGAATCCAAGTTTAACTTTCATAGACAGTCGAGGCCATTAATTTGCCAATAAAATGAAAGAAAAGCAAAGACGGCAGAAAACAAACATCCAGAACCTAAACACCCCCATACGATTCAAACGTCTCGTCCTCGCCAAAGACAATACGATGCGCCGTCCTGGCATAGCCCTCCGCAGCAGTCACCAACTCCGGCGCGGCAAGATAGTACGCGTCACGGAGGAGCAGCCACAAATCCACCACATCAGTAGCCAGCAGCCCCCACCGGCGGACCACGAGCGCCGCCCCGGCGTCAATAACAAACCCGAGCGCCGCTAACGCCGCCAGCAGCAACTCGACCATCCGCACCGGCCTCAACACCACCGGTCCCATGCCCAGCCCGCCCGCCTTCAGCATCTTCACCAGCGCGCTCTGCACGGCCATCCACACCGCCAGCCGCGGCACGTCGCTCGCCGGCGCGCCGTACGTCGCCGCCATGGCGTCCGCCGCCCCCTGAATCCTCACCGCGACCGCATCCCCGTCCCTGAGCTCCCGTGCGCCCAGCGACAACACATACCGCCGCAGCCCAGCAGCGAGAGCGTCCCGCTTCGCCAGCGCTGCAGGGGACGTTGCCTGCGCGCATGCACACGCGAAGCCCCAGTGGCTGTGCAGTTTGTTGTTCTTGCTTTGAGCGGGCTGCCGCGGCCACGGCTGCTGGTACCACCACGTCAGCTCGGTGCCCGCCGGCAGGTCGCGCGTCGCGCGCGCGACCATCATGTCGCCGACGAAGCTGCGGCGCGCGTTGCTGTCGCAGCTGTGGTTGATGTACGATGCCGTTGGCCAGAGGCCGCATGAGTGGAAGGCGTTTTTTTCTTCTTTTTCTTTTTCCAAAGCACTGGTGGTGCTGAGGCTGGAAGACAGGCTGCGGTCGTGTTGGTACGAGGTCAGTGTCGATAGCGGGCAGCCGAAGCAGTTGAGCGCGATGATGCGGCGGATGAGGAAGCTGTGGGATATTAGGTTGATGTTTCGTAGTAAGATATTTGGGGGGGGGGGGTTCTTACGTGTCGACTACGGGCTGGCCGTCGACTTCCGCGGCGTCGACAGGCTGGTACGCGCCGTGGTGGAGGTCGGTGATGAGCGGCAGCAGCGAGGGGTTGCGGTGCAGCTTTTGCACTGTCATGTTGATCAGGTCAGACTGTGAGCCTATGGTGCCGCTTCTGCTCTCCGGGTCGATCAGCATGGTGGTGTTACAGCCGCTGTCTGCCTTCTGGTCGTCGAACGCGTGCGCGAAGGCCTTCTCGCAGAAGAGCAGGTCGCCGGCCTTGACTGCCTTCGTCGTGAAGAGCCCGCGGCCGCGAGACCCTGCCGGCTGCACGGCGACTGGACCCAGGTAGGTGGCGCGGTCCAGACGCGGCGGTTGGAGGCAGGCTGCCTCAGCATACATTTGCTTGAATGGGTACTTCCCGTGGGTCTGTTCTGCGAGGCGGCTGATGGCACGGGTCAGCTCAGATTTGGCTGCCGTGTTGTCGGGATACTCGAGACGCAGGTCCTTGAGGACTTCGCAGCACTCTCGGTATCGTTCGAGACTGTACAGGGCTTGGGCTTTGCGGAACAGGGCTTTCTCGACTGGCTTCTTGACCGACGACGCCGAAGTCATCGCAAATTCAGCATCTGAGAGAGCAGCATCGTACTCCTGGGTCTTCAAGAACGCAAGAGATCGATTGAGTCTGATGGTGTGCGTCTCTTCTGGTGTCGGCGCGCAAACAAGGGCCCGAGTATAACTGTCAGCACGCATGTTAGTGTTTGCGCAGTGAAATAGCAGCTTCGATGGACGTACCACGCGATAGCAGACCGATACGACGACTCTTTAACATGGCTGTTCCCCTTCGTCTTCCAGGCTAGGGCAGTGGCGCTCTGCTGAGCGGATTCTTGTTGCCAGCTGCTCGGGATCCGCTCGTCATTCGCCGCGAGAAAAACGACGTCGGACAAGTGGTCGACACGAAGCCCGTAGCCCCCGTCCGACATCAACTTGAAGTATGGTTCCTTGATGATGAGGACCATCCCCTCGACGAGAATATCCTCTGCCCGACCATCGTCTTGGTGGTATAACTGCGCCATGAGGACGTCGCCCTTCTCGTCTTCGACAATGGCCATCACTGCAGTGATGTAATTCTGAGGGGTGACTGCCCGCACCAGTAAGTAGGTACCTCTGTGGTGCGTCTCGAGAAGCAGATCATCGATCATGGTTTTCTTGAGAGCCGAGAGGGGGGCCACGCACGGAACATAGGCTAACGGCACAAAGGATGACTTTATCGTGAAATCTTGCGGCCCCTTGGAGAGGACCCTGATCCGAAATGCCATTAGATGCAGCTGGAACCGGAGAATGACCTGATTCCGGGGATGTCGTGCCGGGCGCTGACCCTTGCGGGCTTGGGAATCTGCCAGTGTCTTTTCCCGCCTTTGAATGGACTGGGCAAGCTCTAGAGTGCCTGATACGTCGTGCGTATCCATTGTCGCTGATACTGTCGCCTGACCTTCAAGCTGGTTACTCTCGTCTCTGGGTGCCAGGTGTGATTAGATTCGTGACAATGGTGAGAGGGGTGGATTGCTGCCGACGTGATTCTGCTGACCCTCCCCCTTTTGTGGTGTGTTTGTGTAAAATTGGGCACCGGCACAGGGAGGCGGGCGACAAACGCAGAATGCTAGCACGGGATAGGAGTGGCTGGCGACAAACGAAACAGAACTAGAATACGAGCTTTCGAAATTTGTGCGGAGCGAACCAGGGAGACCAAGACAGCGCCTCTGCACTGAGGCCTACAGCAACTCGAGCAGAGCAAACGGATTCGTCATGCAAATGCGCGAGAGCCCGAGCTAAAGCGCCGATCAGCGTGATGGACGGTGGAAATGATCATCACGGACCCCAGTAACACTGCTCCCGTCAATCACATTGTTGAGCAATACAGCACCGGGCATAAGCGGTGTGCGCAAAGGCCGCTTGTCAGTCTTTTGCACTGCGGTAGGCATATGGCTCTTTCCGATACAAGCTACTGGAACAGTACAACATACTTCAGTCCAATCCTCAGCTCAAGCGTAATGCCTGGCAGGCTGCATTTGTCGTGCAGTGGCACGTGTTTATTCAAGTTCTCGACACACTCGGCGCCAACCCATTAATTTCGGACGCAGAGAAGGCCGGGGGGGTTTCATTGCTGCTAGGTACATACGATAGTAGACTTGCCATGATTCACGACATGAGGAAACCCACTCATATCGCAGTGCGAACGAACCTTTACCGCAAAGCATCCGAGGCCAGGCCCGCCAAGGGCGATGCAGCAAAATGGAGCCGTGTCTTCATGGCCTATCCCCGGCAACGACGTGGGCTACGGGCCAAGAGGTGTATCAGAGTACGGCTGCCTTCTCAGAAGGTTCCCGACAAGCTAGCAACAATGGGATACTTGGCTGACGGAGTCTGACTCCGTGCTACACTCGCCAACAGCATGACAGGCAGTCAGCCTCGGAGTTTTTCCCAATCTCTGAGCGGGTTTGGGGCTCCGAGTTAGCCGTGCTAACGATTCGATAGTTTGTCGTGAATTGGTGCGCGAATCCTGGTGTATGTAGTATCGATCTCGGACGACCATCCGGGAGATATGGCTACATCAGGCAACCAGCGACTCGGAACCGGGACACACGGTCGCTTGCTGTCCACGGATGCAAGGCTGTAAATTACCTGATTCAGCCGAACTAGCGCGCCCGTGTCCCAAGGGTCTGGGCATTGGTTTTGGCGGGAATCTCATTGGCGCGCATGTCGGATCCCTCCGTGGCAAGTTAAGCGCTCCTGTGAGCCGTTGTAACCTTCTATCTTGGCTCACCATGAAGCCTCACTTTCGGTGTTTGCTAATCTATGTCGAACCTGGCGTCTAGCACGTGAAGCTATTCGAGTCTATCCCGGTAATCGAACTCGGCAGTCCGGCTGCCAGGTTGGGCCGCATGGAATTAGAGCCGTGAGCAGTATATAACGTACCTGTCTCAGGACTTGTTCTGGAAAATGAACCAGACACCGCCAGAGGATTACACAATTTGCAACTCGGTACATATCGCATCAAAATGGACCGACGGCCCAACTTCCTCGTGGCGCTCGCCCTCCTGGTGCTCAGCTGCGTGGGCGCCGTCATGGGCGAATCGTCGGCCGGGTGCGGCAAGACTCCCACCATCACCAGCAAGCAGTACTCGATGACGGTCAACGGCAAGAGCCGGCAGTACATCATGAAACTCCCCAACAACTACGACAAGAGCCGGCCGCACCGGCTCGTCTTCACGTGGCACCAGCTTGGCGGCAGCGCGCAGAAGATCGTCGACGGCGAGGACACCAGCCGGGGCGGCGCGCTGCCGTACTACGGGCTCAACGCCATCGCCAACAACAGCGCCATCTTCGTCGTGCCGCAGGGCCTCAACGCCGGCTGGGGCAACCAGGGCGGCGAGGACGTCACCTTCTTCGACCAGCTGGTCAAGGCCGTCGAGGCCGACCTCTGCGTCGACACGCGGCTGCGCTTCTCGACCGGCTTCAGCTACGGCGGCGCCATGTCGTACGCGCTCGCGTGCGCGCGGCCCAAGGACATCCGCGCCGTGGCGGTCATCTCGGGGTCTCAGCTGAGCGGATGCACTGGCGGGAACGATCCCGTGGCCTACTACGGCCAGCACGGCACGTCGGACTCGGTGCTCAATGTTTCTGGAGGGCGGCAGCTGCGCGACCGGTTCGTGCGCAACAATGGGTGCACGGCCGTGGCGGAGACGCAGCCCAGCGGCGGCCGGTCGGTCAAGACCGTGTACCAGAACTGCAAGCCGGGATATCCTGTCACCTGGGTCATACACGGCGGCGACCACAACCCGAGTCAGAAGGACGGTAGCGTAATATTCGCGCCGCAGAACACCTGGGACTTTTTCACCCAGTTCACCTGAGGAAAATAAAAAAAGTTGGATACAAGGGCAGGAAATTTAAATAGGACGCCTGTAAAAGTACATATCAGTGAAATCTGAACCAGTTTTCGTTTCAACTATTAACCTTTCTCATCTACCTACCCCTATAGTCACCCCCGACAACATTCTTTAGCCAAATCCGTATTAGGCTTAGAACCTAGCAAAAGCTGAGGCGCACTGAGCATCACGCTGAGCCGAGGTGAGTCCTAGGGATACACTGGCTATACTTGTAGATGGATGAACAGAGGGCAAGCTCCTAATGTACGGGGGTACAGTCAAACTAATGCTACTCGTAGTATGCGAATACAAAGAGTGGAATTGCTCGCTCGAGGAACCAAGCAAACTCTATTCTGGACCATTGCCACGATCATCGTATACCTATATGTAAGAGAAAGAAGACCAAGGGAACTGTGTCACTGACCAACAGAGCAGCCAACGAGAGCCTTGCTCTCCTGCTCACAGTGACAGGCGCCCAATCCAAGTGCAGATGCGAATCATGACAATGCAACGTGGTTGTGTGGGGAAGCTAACTACGGTGGAGCTCCAGGCCGGTATTCATACCCATGGAGCTGTTGTGCAAGGCTAGTCTACTGGCTGGTGCTAGGCACTTAGTACGTGCTGTGCTCGTGACACTTTTCATATTTCCACAGATATTGCCTTGTTTCGGGGCGGGCTCAAGGCTGATAAAGGTCGGGGGCGGCCTCCCAAAGCTAAGCAGGGTGGCTTGACATAGTCGCGAAGAGTGGCAAATTGAGCGTAATAGAGCAAAGCAGGGGAGGATTGGCTAGGGAAGTCGTAGGTTGGAAAATTATCGCAAGGTCTATTCGATATATATGCCCAATCAGCACAGTTATTACTGTAACATGGGCTATAGACTAATCGAGACCCCAGTGGTTATTAGAGGAGCCCTCATATATATTGCTTGCATGCATTTAATGGTAAAGACGTGGCAGAAAAATTTTCTCTAAAGTCTAAAATACGCGCTCTCGCAATGAATTGCAGCTGGCTGGCACTGGGCGAACGGGGCAGGCAAGAAAGAAGCACAAGCGAAGGACCTAGTGTTGGAATGACAAGGTCATTCGTTCCATAGTCACTGCAGTAACCGATGCGAATGGGGTGGCTGTGGTGGCTGTATTCTGGTCCTGCTCTATCTCAAAAGGGTCACGAACTACGGGGACAGGATGCGCGTTGGAATTGGCGATGCCGGAGGTCACGTGAGAGGTGCGCCTTGCGCACGTGCCGTATAGCGGCCCGCGCGCTGGTTAGCCACTGGGGCTGTGCAGCCTGTTGACCAATCACGTGCGACTGCATCCTCTGATTGACTGGTAGTTCCTACACCTAGTATCTAATAAAATGAAGGGTTATTTGCGGACTTCTCGCGGCTTTACTACTCGTGATTGTAAGACTTAGCTCCGAAGAGGGGAACTGTTGGAATAGCGACACTTTGGGGCATGCAACGAAGGATGAAGAAGGTCAGGTGCGCAGGCACGTGACGGAGGAACGTGTTGCGCGGGCGTTGCCCCGCACCTGCTTCATCAGGCCCCCACAGCTGGAACCATAAGTAGCACAGAACATGAATCAACGACTATTCATCACCCCCCCTAAGGTTGCATCGGGACACAACGCTTAGGCATAATCGTGGCTAGAGCGCCACGAAAAGAAACGGAAATTATCGTCGCCAGTTTTCGGATGGAAGAATCTCCTGTTTCCGGCACATCCCTCCTTTCTTAGTGCTCTAGTCTACCTTTGGTAGTGAGAGTTACTTTAAGCCACCAGCGCTCCCGTTGAGACGCATGCGCTCAACGGAGTCTTCACGAGAGAAGCAATCGAAAAGGGTCCAACATGTTCGGTTCAGAAGTTAATATACAGTCAAATCGGCAAAGATGAGCGAGTATAAACTACCTGGTGTTTCTTTTGGCTGGCGACTTAGCCTTTTCCACGTCGGTCTCGGCCTTGGCTTCGACTACCAGCACCTCCTCAACCGGGGCAACGGCTGGCTCGGGCGTCTTCTCGAACTCCAGTTCTAGCTTCAGCTCGAGACGCAGTTTGCCGTCTCTGAATTCTGGCTGAATGGCGGCCGTGATGGTCATTGGGTTCGCTGAGCCCTTGCCCTTCATCGTCAATCGGTCGGCCTGGCCGCCCTTGTTCAGGGGGCTGGCCGCATTGTTGGACTGCGCGATGATGCCCAGTTTGGCCTCGAGGCTCCTCCACTCTTCCAGGGAATACAGGCGCACCCACGTTCGCATGTCCGAGGGGCTCTCTCCGACATGCTCCACGCCGCCCACGACGTAGCAGTGACCGGATGGGACCTCGCGGTCGTCCCCTGGTGCCTCGCCTCGGCGCCGTGCGAGACTGGGGAAGAGCTTCTAGTACCCAGCGAACACCGTCTCCCCTTTGGTGAGGAACTGCATCCGCGCCACGTCCCAGTGGTCGCTTGCGGACGCTCGCTGGATGACCTGTAGCGCCCGGGAGAGATGGTAATCCCGAGACACGACGTGGATGGCATGCTCGTCCGCTCGTGCGAGCTGGAGCTGGAGTGGACCAGCGACCCTGGTGATGATATATATCTCCTCGACGTCTATCCTGTGATCCTCGGCGTTGGTTTTCGGGCTTGCTGCGTCTCCCGAATCGAGGACGCGACGATCCTCGTACCGCGCGAAGAGACCGGGGCCTACTTTGCGAAGATGCATCCTGGCGACTGTGGCAGACTCTGACGGCCTGCAGTTGAGGAGCATGCTATAGGAGCCGTGTCCGAGGTCGGCCTGGAGCTTCGCCCGCCGAAAATAGAGGCCCTTGTTTGTCAAGGCAATGGCGTCGTTCTAGCGCACGCTGGTCTCCTCCATGTCGACAACTTTTTCACAGCCTGCAAAGTCCCTCGGTGACGCGGCGAACAGGTCGCAGTAGGGCTCTAGCGCGCTGTCTACCAGTGAAGAGCTGGGATCGTCACCTCGCATCGGCTGGTCTAGAAACACAAAGATGGAAAGATCATTGGACGTCTTGATGATCTCCTCCTGTAGCCTCATGAAGGCTCTGGCGCCTTCTCCGTACAACATGGGCATGTGAACATCGAAGATACCGAGCAAGCAGTAGGCCATGTCTTCCTCGCGCGTGGTCTGCCTCGCAACAGCCCACGACATTCTCCGGGCCACGGGAATCGAACAAATGAGGCCGCTACCGATCAAGACTTGCTCGTCGATCTGCGTGATGCCTGAGATCACGGACGACAGATCGGCCCTAGTGCCGATGTGATTCCAAGAGGCGTCGAAGAACTTGACCCTGCGCGGTGCGATAAGCTCTTGCAGGCACCAACCTCTCGTAAACCACCTACATCGCGGCAGGTCGACCTCGAGAGCGCCAGGCTCGGCGTGCAAGTCGGCTAGGAAGGCGAAGCAGACCTCGGCGTTCTGGTACCACCGGTACATGGAATTAATGGCCTCGCTCAACTCGGAACTGCTCGTCTTGTCAATGCAGCATGTGTCGACCCACGCATAGCGGAGGCCATACTCGGCAGCTTTCTGGCAAGCCACGACGACCTTTGCGTATCCCGACTTGTTGGCCGCGGGGGCCGCGGGGTCTTGGCCGATGGCCTCCATCTCCTGGAACGAGATCTCGCCTTCCGCCTCCCATGTGTGACAGGATGGCGTATTTGGGGATCCTCGACCCCATGAACCAAGTCAGGCGAAGCGTCTCGGTGTCGATGAGTCGGATCGCCATGATTACCTGATTTGCATCCAAACATTAACAAAAGGCTGCGGCAGACGTTGATAAAGCCAATTTGTTGCGAGAAAGAGAAGTTACGCGAGTTAGGCAGAGGGCCGTTGGCCGTGCTGTATTTAAATGTTTGGTTGATGCAAGGAAGCCAGCCCGCCGTGCAGGGGCCTGGACTCCAGGCCTCCAGCTGCACTGCGATTGTCACGTCCGTGCCGTCCTGGATGCAGCAAGGCACAGTGTGGTGCAGGGATTGTGTGCAGGGATTGTGAAACCTAACTTAATGCGTTGCCAAGCTCCGACAGCTGCGCCGTAAAAGCCCCACTACAGGATTATTCTTAGGGTTAGGGTATACCCCACACCTAGAATCGCGCTTCATAGCTGGTGGCCTTCGGTCTGTAGTTTTTAGAGAGGACAACCCATTCCACACCATTCTTTTCAGCCGAAAACATTTCAAGACGTTGGTGGTGCCCTGAAAGGCAGCAGATTAGACCATGGCGAAAACGGGAACCACAGCCAATCGAGAGCAGCACCGCCGACCAAACACTAACCAGTGCTCACAGACTAATAGAATCGCGGGCTTCTCATGGATTCGGCTGAATTCTGAATGTCCCTCACAGGCAGATGCACCGCCGCAAGCTTCATCGCTGCCCAACCCAAACTTGATGTAATGCGCCCTCTAATCATAACGCACCTCCCGCAACTAGGTTCGCCGATTGGCTGCGCTACGAAGCAGAATTGTCCCAGCAGGAGAAAGCAGAAAACGCGGGGTCCTCCGCATAGCCTGGCTAGGACAGGGAAGGCGGTGCGAGGCGTTCAACCGGACCCCATCTCGCTGATGCTGGCCACACCTCATGCGCTGCAAGTTTAGTTCACGAAGTGCCTCGGGGGGGGATAGCCGCCTATTGGCTAACAGTCATGGTTGGGCATCGACTTTGCTCCTTAATGCTCCTCACTACTGCGCAAGGCGTCTGAGGTGAGTCGACTATGCAGCTACTGGATACGCTGGCCGCTAGGTCAGACGTGTCAGGCTGCGCGTTGTCGCTTCGAGAGAGCCGCCCTCTTCTTGGTGGCTGCTGGCACTACCCGTTTCGGTGCAAACATGGATCAGGGAGGTGAGTGTAATTCTCTGGGTCCCCCGGTTGGGAGAGGCACTAATGACCTCGTCCTCCATCACCCCATCATCGACGCTACAAGCGACATTGTACATCGACCATTTCCCTACTTGCGAAGCTGCTGGCCCTCCCGCGGCAATTATCGCTCAAGCACACTCTAGCTTTAGAGAGATGGTGTCCTCGGTATGTTCAGCTGCTTTCCATGAGCTTGTAGCCGCGACAACTTATCTCCTTTACAGACAATTAGCGCGAGGGAGGCTGCCCTCGCACATATCCTCGCAGCGTACTCGTACCATGGCATGCTGGCCGCGTCCGACAAGGAGTCGAGTGACGATGATTACTATGATTCCGACGACGACAGCGAGCTGTCTGCAAACGAGAACAGCGACGACGAGTTAGTTGGAGACGAGAAAGACGGCGAAAACGAAAACGACAATCATGACGATGACGATGACGATGACGACGAAGATGACGAGGATGGAAGCTCGGAACCAAAGGAGCCAACCATAGCTCTCACCAGAGTTGGGCTCGACGACATCCTAACCATGTCTGAATTCCAACGCCGCCGCGGACACGGCCGCGACCGCGGATGTGCAAACGCCGGCCTCCGAGACGGGCTCTGGGCGCGTGATCCCAACTTCTACTTGATGACCTCCAAAATGGGGTTTCTGTCTCAGTTGGCCCAGATCTGCATCCAAGCCAAGGTTCGGGAATGCACCAACTCGGAATGCTTGAACCAGAGAGATGCCATGAAGCTCACTGCTCCCAAGTGCGACTCGGAGAACTTCCGAGACTAGGCCCTCATCGCCATGTCCTACCAGGCCACCATGAGCCCCGAACAGAAACTGACCTAGGCCTATACCCATCTCGCCAAGGCGGCCTCGGGCTGCTCCATTGTCCTCAAGGACTGCGTAACGGCCAAGGACAGCAGGGTCCGCTCCGTGCCCTTCCTCGACGAGAATCCATACAAGAGAGTGGACTTGGTCGGTGTTTCCAACGTCATCTACTGGATGGTCAAGATCCAGGCCGACATGGGCATCGGGCCCAGGAAGTTTGGAACATGGCACCACCGGTTTTTGCCCCCGAGGGTCACCATGCCTTCAGTCGAGGCCGCCCTGTTCAGGATCCGGGACCTGAGCGTGTGCAAGAATCGCCTCTGGAACCTAGTCAACGTCAGCGACCGCAAGCAGAGCGATCTGCCCGACATCATCGACATGATCGAGTCCCACCCGGGCTTCGGCGAGGAAGGCGACGGCCAGAACGACCACCGAGACTGCACGCCAAGCAAGTGCCAGGGGTCGCACATGAACAGCGAACTGGTCGGACGCTGCACAAATGCGGCGAGAGGGACTCGGAGGCACGCAAGGCCTGCAAGCAGCAGGTGTATCCGGTGGACCTGCTGGAAACGTCACTGGAGCTCGGCAAGAGCACGGCCTGGCTGTGCAACCGCGCCCTGCTCAGCGGCCCCAACGACGAATACATAGTCATGTCCCACGTCTGGTCCGACGGCACCGGGGTAGGGGCCAAGAACCCCGGCACCGTGAACCAGTGCCTCTTTCGGTTCTTTGCCGGCTTGGCGACGACAACGGAACTCGGCTGCAAGGCCGTGTGGTGAGATGCCTTGTCCATCCCGCAACAGTCCGACACCCGCAGCAAGGCGCTGGGCAGGATGCACTGGAACTACGCCCACGCCAAACACACAGTCATGCACGACAGCTTCCTCGTTCATTTCGACTGGAGGAGCGATGGCAGCCCGTGCCTCGCCCTGGTCCTCTCGTCGTGGTTCACACGCGGGTGGACGGCCCTGGAGCTGCTCATGTCCAACAGGGTCAAGGTGCTTTTCAAAGACCCTACCAAGCCCAAAGGTGCCCCGCCCTTGGTCAAAGACCTCGACGACGATATCCTCGCAAAGGGGCCCGCGCTCGTCTCTCGCGCCCACTGGCTGGCGACGTGCTTGATCCAGCGTCTGCGCCGGCCCATCGACAACATCGGCGATCTCCTCGCCATCCTCGCGCCTCGCGCCACGTCCTGGGTGCGCGACAGGACCATCATCGCCGGCCTGCTTGCCGGCGTGCCCAACCTGGACTCCAAGAAGGGCGAGAGTCACATCACGCGCGATATCCTCAAGTACGTGGGCAAGATTCCCTACACTTGTCTGCTACATGGCAAGCCGACCATGGGGGACACTGGGGCCTTCTCGTGGTGTCCGGCCGTGCTCGACGACATGCCCATCGACCTTTCGGTCGACATGAAAGGCGGGGCTGGCGCCCAAAATTCGTCGCTGCTCGAGATCGACGAGGGCGGCGCTGTTGAGGGCTACTGGCGGTGTCGGAGGTTGACCAAGGACGAGGTCAACAGCAGCAAGATCAAGCCCCTGGAGAATAACGTGTCAGCCACGGCAAAGGTCAGCAATGCGCTCCGGTACTGGAAGCACTGTCTCCTCCTGTGGCATTCTCTCGATCCCGATGACCCCGCGCTCCTGGCTGTGCCACTCAGAGTGGTCCGGGCTGACCCCCTCCTCGAGTGCCACTATGTGGGTGCAGTGACTGAGGATTGTAAACCCTCGACCCTCGAGGAGGGGCACGACGATTTTGCGTGGGACGACGAGCACTGGGTGCGCATTGGGAGAGAAGACGAGAACGCCGCGGCCAAGATTCACGCCAGCAAAGCGTTGCGGCTGATGGACGAGTACTATGGCGAATACGATGACCATGACGACGACGACGACGACGACGACGACGACAACGACAAGAGCAGGCTCGAACCAGAGCTTTCAGACTACGAGCAGTCGTCAGACGAGGAAATAGCCGACTCTCCTCCAACCAACACCGACAAGGCGTGGTACAAGGCCGAAAACGCCCTCGTCTACAGCCGCTCCGGCGCTCTGGACGACGCCGGGTCGGCCGTATCCCTGCCCAGCGCCCCTGTCCCGGACGACCTCCTCACTGCCATCCGGAGGAATAAGAAAAAGGCTGTCCAGTATCTCGTTAGCTACGGGGTCAGGCTGACAGACGAGCAAAAGGAGAACCTTGTCAATAATCTTGGCCGAGACGACGAGTACACCTTTGACAAGCTCAAGATGCTGGGCGATGTCTACGTAGAGCATGGCATGCTGTCTCTAGCGATCGAGACGTACGAAAAGGCTGTCCGTGGGTATGAGTCCCTCCAACTGGTGGACTCTAGACCACCTCAAGGCCCGGCACGCCTTGAGCAGGGCGTACGTGAAAGCGGGCAGAAAACAGCAGAAAGAGCGCGGCCCGTGGAGGCCAGTCGGTACCGCAACGAACCGGGACACCAAGGAGCTTTTCAACGACGCAAAACGCCTCCTAGAAGACGTCTGGAAGAAGTGCAATGAGAAGGTGATCCGGAGGCAAAAGAAGAAGTCCGACAAGTCGGCGCAATCAAAAGCAAAGAATACCGACGAACCTACCACGACCACCACGGCGGCAGCGGGGATCGGGATGGCGACGGGTGCAATCCAACTAGACTCGAGGTCGAAGGGTAACAAGGCCGGGTCCACGGACAAGAAGCCAGAGAAGTCGAAGGAGGCGAAGGAAGCGAAGGAAGCGAAGGAAGCGAAGGAAGCGAAGGAAGCGAACTCTGCCGACCACGCCGACGAATGGTACAGACTCGAGCTCGAGGCCGCCGCCGACCTGACCCTGCTCTACGCCGACGACGGCGAGTTCGAACAGGCCGCGGGGGCTTACTGTAAGGCGCTGGGCAAGTTTGGCAAGCCTCCCGACGGCAAGGTCGAAATGTTTTCCGGGCAGTGGGAGTCCCGCCTCAGCCAGCCGCACGAGGAGAAAAAGAGGCGCGACGAGGAGACAGGCCGAATCTACGAGGGCGCCCTACGCAAGTTCGACAGTCTATTCCGAAGAGAGAAACACGTCCTGAGCATGGTCACGGCTGCGAATCTCGGAATCAACTATTCGTACCGCTCAAAGTTTCTCGAGGCCGAGGGCCTGCTGAAACGCGCTGTCGAGGGGTTCGAGGAGTTGCTCGACGGGATCAGGCCCGGGGAGCCCAGACCCAAAGACGCCAGCGCGTTCGGTCTCCGGCACATGGTGACACTGCTCACCACCCATCAGCTCGGCATTCTCTTCACGCTGCGGCATAATTTCGACGGCGCCCAAGAGCAGCTAAAGAGCGCCCAGACAGGCTTTATGCTCAAAGTCGGCCCCGAGTCGCTGCTGATGCTCGTTGCATGGTTCGATGTAGCGCAGAATCTCTTAGCTAAGCGGCCGCCAGCCCCAGAGGAGGCAGAGGCTATCTTGTGGGCCGTCAAGAAGCACTTGGAGAAGACGCTGGAACCAAAGCACTACCGCCTGACGCTCCGTGCCGCTGCGGGCCTGTGTAAGGTCGACCCTCGAAAGGCCGTGGGGGCGACGCTTGAGACGTGCAACGGCATCCTGCGGCAGCTCCGAGCCTATATCAGGGGTATGACGCCGACGAGTGCGACATGCTGTCGTTTGTGGGCCGTCTGCACGAGACGCAGGGCGATCTGACGCGCGCCGAGCTGACCCTGCGGCGGTGCCTCGCGGGGTTCCAGTTCCTCGACGGCCCGACGTCGGTCAAGTCGCTGCAGGCGTCCAAGAGGCTGGGCAGCCTCCTCTGCGCGACCAAGAAGTGGCCGGAGGCCGAGAAGATGCTCGCCGACGCGCTGGCGGGCTTCCACGCCGTGCAGGGGGCATACCATAGCAGCACGCTATCCGTCGCCCGGCTGCTGGGGTCGCTCTATCTGGGCCAGAAGAAGCTGGCCGATGCGCAGGCCCAGTGCGAGCGCGCGCACCGGGGCTTCCAGAAGGCCAACGGCCAGGACAGCCGGCAGACGGCTGAAGCCGCGCAGACGCTCGGCGCCGTCTACCTCGAGCAGGGCAAGTTCAGCCTCGCCCGGGACATGTGCAACGCCGCCTTCACCTCGCTCGAAAAGGTGCTCAAGGACAAGAACAGCTCCCTCATTCTGCAGGCCGCCATGGACATGGGCAGGGTCTGCACGGCGATGCGCGACGCAGATAACCTAGAGATAGCCGCCAACATGTACAAGCGCGCTGTCCAGGGGTTTACCGAGAGAGAAGGTATCAAGGCCGTCCCGACGCTCGACGCTCGCCTCAAGCTCGGGGAGGTGTATCGGCTGCAGGGCGACTACAGAAAGGATGGAAAGGCCTAGAGGGAGATCCGAGCTGCGCTAGACGGCCTGAGAAGCAAGCTCGGGCCCGACGACGCCAAGGTGTTTGAGGCAATGTTGCGCCTCGGCCATCTCAAGTTCGACCAAATGAGCCAAGATGACGACGAAACGCCGCCGACCGACGTCAAGGATGGCGGTGATGATGATGATGATGATGATGATGATGATGATGATGATGATGATGATGATGATGATTATGGCGATGATGATGATGATGATGATGGCGATGATGATGATGACGATGATGTGGAGAACATGATCCAAAAGGCTAGGGACGGCTTGATCAAGACGCTTGGCGATGGCGCTGGGGCCGCGCCACGCCGACACAGCGTGCACGGTGCAGCACCTAGTCTATGTCTTGCGACGTCTCGGTCTAGTGAGAGAGGCGGCGCGGCTGGAGGCGAGCATGATGGGCATTCAAGGGAGGAGGGGTTGAAGGACGGGAATTGAAAATATAGGATAATAACCGACCTCTGATTTAATCGCGGATTACACCTTGATCATGCAGCAGTTGCAAGTCGACCACTTCCAATTTGAACTGAATTGTATACGTTTCACACCTCCCGTCACGCAACACAATGGCTATGATCATTGAATAACCAGATAAGATCTATCCATCTGCAACACCACCTTGCCTCCCTGGACCGTCTTCGTTTCTGCCTTGACCTTTATTACCTACAATTGTGTGATTGCATTCCTCCTCTCGGCTCTCCTCATAATTGCGAATGGTGGCAAGCTAAGTGGAAAGCTCTGCGGCGACAACTGCGTGTCTGTAGTAATGGTTACAAATCCGTGGTTACCCCTTTTTTCTGACGAGGCTAGAATGCCCTTCTTTCTGACAGGGTTCCGCGGGCCATGTGGATGGCTAATCAAAGGCGTCAAAAAAGGTGCCAATGTCATTACGACGCCGTAGACGGATCTGGACTCAGCTGTGGGATTGGGAAACGCGGGGGTTTGAAGACGCCATTGAACTCTATTCTAGTGGTGTGTGCGAACGAGCTACGGCAGGGGGGGCCTAGAACCGACGTCTCTGCCGTCCAGCTCTGCTGGCCGACCGGGCTGACACGTGCCACTTCTCGGTAGCAACCTAGGTACCCTTTGTCCCGTAATTACATATGAGGGAGCCACACTGCCACAGAGCGTTTGGTGGGGAGGGGGAGGGGGGGCGGGGGGGCGGGGGAATCCATCGATTGCCTCTGGATTGTCAGGTACTGTACCTGATTCGCTCCTGACTCGCTCCTGGCAACCACACTGCCTGTGGAAGGCATACTTCAGCATTCAGCTTGATTACGCGTGACAGCCTGATGTGCCACAACAGCAAGACCTCTCTCAGATAGCTACTTCATTGGCTAGGTAGATTTCCGAATCATTCTCATTGGGCATCGACGAGTGCAATGCTTGACTCGGCTCGATATGCACTCAGTCAGCAGCTGACAGTATAAGGCCATGGCCCCTCCTTTGGTCATCCCCCCTCCTCGGGTGTTTTTGAGCTAAATTCTGCGTCACCCGCTACGAAGTGCCGAATTCTATGATGTCTAAAGTAGTAGTGAAACCACCAGCGGGGCCACTAGTCGAAAGCCCAGATGAGTCCACCAAGCTCTACATCCCTCTCAACCGCGGCACAAAGTCGATAAGATTATTCCGCATCTCTCATGGACCCGCAGATCAGCTCGAGCTCGAGCTAAAGGCCTTCTGCCTCGAATCGGCTGAATGTCCGCCGTTTGCATCGCTCTCTTACATGTGGGGAATTGATGCTCCCTATCACGATGTCGCCATAAACGGGACGCCGCAAAAAGTTCGACCCAACGCATTCCTATTCCTTACCACCTTGCGAAGCCACCAGAAACGCCAAATTGAAGAAGAGGCCGAAAGTCTACCGCTACGAAATTCGCGGGAAATTTCATCCGTCCCGCGGTCATGGAGAAGGGACCATGGCCCCCCTGCATGTAGTCTCGAATGGATGTGGATGGACAGCATCTGCATCAACCAGTCCAACCCCAACGAGCGAAACCACCAAGTCGGACTTATGCGGAAGATATATAGCCTGGCCGAGCATGTCCTGTTTCACATCGGCCCTGATGCACCCAGCGCACAACGCCACATCGACGGCCTATTCCCCGAAAGGAACAAGCAACTCCTTCAGAACTGGGCTGAGAAAGGCTGTCCGAGATATGTCATGCAAAATGTGGCCAGCGTTATCAACAGCTCACCCTATGCGATGCGTCTATGGGTCGTTCAAGAACTGGTGCTCGGCCGTCACGTCTTCTTTGTTACCACAGACTGGGTCGTTCCGTTCCCAGATCTCGCAGACGCAGGGGCCCTTCCCAGTATCCACATTGCAAGGAATGACTGGCATGGAGGGAGAGCAACAATGGATCGCGGGTCATCGCTCGTCTCATTATTGAAGGATTATCGCCACCACCGCTGCGAGAAAACGGTAGATCGGGTCTTCGGCTTGCTTGGCATCTGCTCCGAGAAGATTCCGATCGACTACAACCTGTCGCCACGGTCGGTAGCTATTGAGACCCTAGCTTATCTCATCTTCAAAAAACGTCGCAAACCTGCCTATAACCTCATGTTTGAGGGGATCCGCCGTAGGTTGCGAATGCCCGACGTGGTCAAGAATGTCCAGACTGCGCTGCGTTACGACCTTGGCAGTGACGACTATCGAACTCTACAAACGCGCCTGTGTGAGATGGCGCACTCCTCGGGCAATTCAAGACTAACGGACTACTGGTGGTACTCATCTGATAGTATTGAAAGCCAGAGTGCCGATTCACTACGGGCCAGATTGAAGGTCGCTGACCCAATGGACATGTGGGATATAAACTACGACTCGACAAATGAAGCCAATGTCTTGACATCAACAAAGAAGAGGTCAAACATGCAGTCATATACACCAGAGTCCTCTGAGGATGTATCCGAGGATAACGTTAGACGAAAGAGGCTGAAGAATACCGAAAGCGAGTGTGGGGATGCATCCTAGGATGACTTTCGGCCAAAAGAGGTCGAAGGGACAACATTGCTCAGACGAATCCTATCCACGCTCCGACTGAGTACCCAAGTAGAGCTAGGAAACCTGATGTGCTTCCGTCAACATCTGATGCACACCACCCTGAGCCGAGCGGATTCAACACTGCCTACCTACCTATCATCACCGTCACAAAAAAAAAGGCTAGAAGGGTTGGTATTATCATTTGGGAAAGAGCCCCTAAAAAAATTAGGCCGGCTCGGAGTCAAACCGAGATCATGGGTGATGGGTGATGAGATGAGTTGAGATTGAGGATGGGCGATAGGATAAGATATTGGGTTCCCCAAACCGGGACCTATTATCATGGTTAGATGGGTCGAAGCACACGCCACTGGAAGTTACCTGCGTTTTCAAACCGCCGCGTTTCCCAATCCCCTGGCTCAGTCTAGACTCGTCCATAACGCCTCTTAATTTTAACCTGCTTACCTCGGATCACCTGTTTTCTAGGCAGGTAGTACGATAATAGATGTTCAAGTTTGGAAGACAACGAAGCGGACTGTCTAGCACACTCGCTCGTATTGACGCCTGCAGCTCACCAGCCGTCGCCGCCGCTCAGCTTCTTCTACCTTTCTTCAATAGTCTAGAGGGTCGTGTAGTAGTTTTAGTAGACCCATTACGCGACTGTGAGAGTTTCCGGACTTAGGTGCGGCAGGAAACACTGGAAATGACTTCTAGATTTACAATGGTTATGTGTTGCTAAATTTGTGCGAAGGTGGACGATTGAGACCCCTGGGTGCTCTCTAGGCTCCCTAAGATGTTCCTAGAAGGTCCTGGAAAACCCTGAAAAGTCGTAACTTACAGGGCACTACAGTGATGTATGAAACTAGAGGGCCGTGGATGAGCATGTAATGTGGGAAATACAATAGAAATAGTGGGGGACAAAGGGGGTGTTTGAAAGCTCAGTACTGTAGCGTGGGTGATAAGCTTGGCTATAATGTACGCATATGTAAGGAGACTGCAGAATCGTCTAACTACTATTTATGATTCAGTTATAGCTATTTCCTAGTTTTGCCGTGTTGCAATTGTAGATAGCTGCAGCGGGGTGGAATAAAGAAACTAACTCGCTTGGATTATTGGGTTGCTTATCGAAAGATGTTGTTTTGGTCATAACGAGTGAAGAATCTGGGACTGATGAGCCGATAAGCCGTTATAGATGAACCTTGTGCGGTTCTTCGGCCGGGCCTGCTACTATAGTAACACGTAAACAGAAAGAGGACGGCCATGTTTTATTCAGCGCAGTGGCAGCTCACTCGTGTGTTACAAGAGAAGCTGGCCTACGACAAGGCAATAATAAAAAGGCCGGAAACTGAAGCAGTGAAAGGCACCGCAACACAACAACCACAAAAAGCAGCACTGAGGCGAGCCGTAGGCGAGCTTTACAGAATAAAGGTACAGAGTTCGCATAGCCAGGGGAGGTCAGAAAAAGGAACAGAGGAAAAGGCACTACTACGTGCACTGGTTTAGGGATCTCAATTCATAGTACAAGACGTCCCTTTTTCTCCTGAAAAGAAGAGAGCCGGGGAAAAAGAAAGATGCCGCCCTCTGACGATGCCGCACTCTGTTCCAGGGGAGGCCGGGCTACCCACCTTATACGAGGTGGGTAGGCCAAGAGAAAATGAAAAAGTACACTAGATTATAATTGGTAAGGGTGTAAACAACCCCCTCGTTGCCTGGCCCCTGAACCCCTGATCAAAACCAAGGAGTTGCCCCTAATACACCGCGAATCGCCGCAAGTATGCTCGCTCCAGCCTGCAAAAAATATTGATAGAACAAAAGTGCAGCTAAAATAAATTACTCATAATGCATTACTAGTGAGATCCCTGACAATCTGCGCCGACGCCACCTCCCACAGCCGTATCCCGCCCTCGAGACGGAGGGAATTGAAAGCTCTCTGGTTAACCGCTAGGTCTACCGGTAGAACGCCGGTGCAATGGCGGTCCCGTGCATCACATGATCCATGTGATAGCTGAGGGTATCCTGTCGTGAGAACGGCTTGCTGAAGCGACTGCAACTTTCACGTGGGCATGGATATAGTTGAGCATGGATATAGTTGGACATGGATATAGTTTGGCCTTGTCGTGACATTGTCTTTGTGACGGTTGAGGTTGGACGATTTAGAGAAAGACTTGTTGCATACCTTGCAAACGATGGTGGACGATTCCGCTCCTCAATTGGATGGTTTGCTTCTTCAGAGTAGACCGGTTTCACCTCCACTCCCTAGCTGGTGGAAGGTTCGCACGAATAGAGGTTTCTGTAGTTGATGTCTAGTCGAGCGGAGTGTGAAAAAATAGAGCGACCTATCTCTCTGCTAGATTATATGCTTCTTCGAAAGTCAAATTTTGCGTTAAGGAATAGCATCTGCACGGGGGCGGTGTTAGCTACTCTGCCGATAGTCGCAGATGGCGCTGATTGACAGATGGTGTCGCCGGCGGTGCAGGTGCAGGTGCAGGTGCAGGTGCAGGTGCAGGTGCAGGTGCATGTGCGAATGTGAGCGCACCTTCTGTCAGTATACGGCACTTTTCGGTTGATTGCAAGAGTTGTATTTTTCTGGTTCATCATTCTAAGGCCCACGGTCAACAGCGGTGTGCATCTATCGCGACACATCCTGGTTCGTTTTCAGTGTGCAGGTCAACTGTGCAAGTCCCCTGCACCTCACCTGTCCCACTCCACTTTTTTCAAGGGGTCCTGTCTAAAGTATATATATGCTTCCGTTCCATATCGTTGTCTCATAAAGTATCCAGCGAGACCGCCATAGGTGGCCGGGTTTTGCTTTAAATACCTTTCGTTCCCCCATCTCCTTACCAAATCTCCTCTATATCCTCACTAAATCTCCTCTTGCCGCAAGAAACACGTCTCTCAAATAGCCCTCCGAAGGACTGCACAGAGTGGCCAAAAGCAACAAGGTCTTGAACATGTCGTCCCTTATCGTCCTCTCTGTTACTCCCTCCGGATCGGGCAGCCTCGCCCCCTCCACGCCAGGAAGCAAACGCAAGATTTCACCGTCGGCCGAGATGTCCTCGCCAAAGCATATTTCGGTCCTAGTTACCCCAAGCAAGCAGCCATCCAACGTCTCCCCGGGTGCAGCATTCTCCACCCAACCCCTTTTTGCCCCCAAGCAGCTTTTTCCACATGGCGAGGCAAAGATAGCCCGGCAATACACGCATAGTCATCCGCCACCACCACCATGGAGGCAAGATGGAGAAAAAAATGCCATTTGGCACAAGAAGCACGTCTTGCTCCCATATAACTTGCGAGACCTCAGCATCAACATTCACTCGGAAGAAATACAGAAGCTACTCTGTAGCATCTTTCCCGGGGCCTATAACGTCGCCAGGGCCCGGTCCCATCTCATCTTTCAGCTCAGTAGGTGGCCCAGCCCCCCCTGGCCGCTCACGGTCGGCGGCTTGCCCATCACACTTGTGATTAGGGACGTTTTGACTGCGGAGGGTCGCCCCTTCATATTCCCGAGGCATATCTTTGGGAACGGTAGCATCTCGATCTGCTCCGAAGCCCATTATACTAACGCGGCCACGTTCTCCGACGCACTTCTCTGCCGGCTGGGGTCTGATGTCAATGCCTACTTCCTCAAGTACGCGCCTCCGGGTTTCCGCATGCTGGAATTAATTCACACGTGCTACGCACTTTCTACGTCGTCCTGGACGATCATGTAAAGATACCAGCTACGTGGATGCCAGGCAAGATTGCCAACCGGTTCGTCGGGTATATCCACAACCAGGAGCTCCGCCGGCCGTCTTGGGCTGATCTGCCAGCCAAGCGCGAGATTCAGCCGCATCCTATGACTGGCGTTATTGACGATACGACCTACGATGTCCTGAGACCGGGCGTCTTGATCCGGAGCAAGATGCTTCGGGACCACGCACACCCGGCTGTCTTCTCCACCACATCGGGGGACATCTTCATGACGAGCGCTTCGCACGGGATCGGAGAGGGCGAGATAGTGTGGCATGCCCACCGCCCTGACCGCACAATTAGCGAGGCCGTGGTTGAGATCCCCTTTACCGACGTCAGCCTACTCAAGCTCAAGGACGATGTCGTATTTGTCAATAAGACCTTTGAGACGGATGCCGGCGCGGTGCCCTAGTTTACTCGCCTAAAGACTTCGACTAATGAGCTGTCGTACGGTTCCCTATGCTTCAACAGCCCATATACGGGTAATGTGGACGCGGTCTTGGTGGCCAATTCAATACGATATTTTAAAACCTTCCCGTATCTTACCGAGAGTCAGCTAGCTTATACTCTCTACGACTGGTCATATACGGGCTAGGAAGAGGGCAACGAAGGCAAGTTTCGACCTCCAGACGGCACGTGCGGCTCGGCTATTTGGAATGACGAGGGCGTCATTACGGGCTTCTATCGTTATTACATTGAGGGTGGGCCGTGGGCTGGGTTTGCGATTTTTGCGAGTGCCGGTACTGTGGTAGATGCGGGATACAGTCTGGCTAAGTAATAAGACACTCGATCTCGGGCCCTTATTGAGAAGCAGCGTTACAATGACCTCGTAGCCGAACCTAGAAGCAAATAACAATGGCATCATGCCTTCGTTATCTTTTGCTTCGAAGTTGGCGCCCTTATCGAGAAGCAGCTTGAAACTGGCATCGGAGCCACTTGTAAAAGCCACCATTAGTAGTGCCCTGCCCTTATCATCCTTTGCTTCGAAGTTGGCGCCCTTATCGAGAAGCTGCTTCACAATATCCTCATGGTCGTGTTTACAAGCCATGGCTAGCGGTGTTGTACCCCATGTATCTTTTGCCTCGATTTTGGCACCCTTGTCTAGAAGCAGCCTTACAGTAGCCTGGTCGCCCTCGAAAGCAGCTCTCCATAGCTGCGTGCGGCCCAAGCCATCTTTCAACTCTAGGTCATCTTCTTTCAATTCCGGCTTGACCCCTTTCTTTCGCAGAAGCTCCATGACAGGGTAGTGTCTATTGTGTTCTACCCATAACAGCGGCGTTTGGCCATAGACGTCCTTGGAGTTGATCTTTGCACCCTTTTCGAGTAACATGCCGACAGTTTTATCATGACCATTCACCGCGGAATACCATAAAGGCGATCGCCTGCGTGAATCCTTTTTGTTCACGACAGTTGATAATCCTAGGGCAATCTTAATCTTTGGTATTCGACCAAGAATTAACTCCACGACAGAGCCGTGTCCGTTCTCACTCGCCCATGACAGGGCGGATCGACTGTAGATCCCATCTAGGCCGTCTAGGCCTATGTCTTTCGCTTTGCACAACTGGCGGACAACTTCATCCAGTCCAAAGTACGACGCAACCATCAAGGGTGTAAATGTCTCTAAAAAAAGGTGGGTAATCTGACATCTGATATGCCGTCGTTGTCCAATATGTCCCGAGCCATGCCCGGTATCTTTTAGTGTCCGCACAAAGCTGGTGAGCCGTGGACACTGTCCTCGTGCCACTCATTTTTCCTGTTTAGCGAAAATGGGCCGCCCAGTTCTTCGCGGAATAGTCTAGAAACATGCATGACTTTTCGTTGTCGAGGGTTTCGGGGTTTTTGTAGTATGCTGGCTCCGCAAAGTCATCCAAGAGAAGGTACCGGATGCATATCTCTGAGAGGATGTGGTGCGATTCTGCTGGACAGAGTGAGTATTGCCACTCGAACGTGCTTGGCTGAGGAGAAGGGGGTCGGATTAAGAATTGTCTTGCCGTTTGGTGGAGCAGGTAGAGTCTTGAGTCTATAACCGAGACAAAAAGGCCGCAAATGTCTCTGATGGTTTGATGGAATTGATTCTCCGAGATGAACTTGATGTCGCGTCGTGATTTGTGGCCATCCTCGATAGCCAGTGCTGTAGCAACTTCCCGAAGAGAGAGTGGCAGCCTCGCTGCTACAATAATGTGTAGAAGTTTCTCGGCCTGGCCCCTGTCCGGACTGCTGCGAAGAATCTTGTCATATGCAGCTTCGACCGTGTTTGGAAGGCTGCGTATCTTGGTAAGGAGGTCGCCCTGCGTAAGAGGAACGTATTTCTTCATGACCTCAAACACCAGGTGAACCCAGAGATATGTTCGGTTTTTGACAGCAATGAGCTCGTTTCCCAGGAGCTGGCTGTCATCGGCCTCGAGTTCGAGCATTTTGCCGAGCTCTTCGGTTCGTTTCCGAATGACAATCTCGATCTCGTGTGAAATCATGTCGGCCTCGGCTTGGTTTTCACCACTAAGGTGAATTGTCGGCTGGCGGTCCTCGAGATCCTAGAAGCCCCGCCGAATGTGGAAATATGGCCGGCTAGTTATGAGGAACTTTATGCTCGAGCTGCTTGGCTCGGACTTGTAAAGCTCGCCCAGCCACTCTACCAGTTCAGACTGTCCACCGTTGTATTCGTCGAGGGCATCCAAAATGCAGATAATCTCACCGCTGTCAGGGCCGCTAGAAACGTCAAGGAGGATGTCCCAGAATTGTCGAGAAGTCCAAAACTCCCCACCGCCTTTTAGCTTGTCGATGGTCTTGGGTGAAAGAAGGGCAGGTCGTTGGCAGAGAAGCTGGCGAAGGATGCAGCGCAAGGCGCTCTCGAGGGTCTTCTGTTCCTCGCAGTCGTCCTTGAAGAAAAAGTAACAGGTACTTCTGGTACTGGAAGGGGAGAGGATGTCATCAATCAAATATCTTGCCAATACCGATTTCCCACATTCTGGATCTGCGGATACCCAAATCAGGCCAGAGGTTTTCTCTTGCCAGCCGCGAAAAAGGGCGTGGCTGGTGAACCACTCGCAAGTTCCGCCGGCCCGTCTCGGATTTCTGTTCTTGTGGGCCTCGTTCTGCAGGCTAGAGAGGCGCTCGAGGACGTTGTTGGTTTCGTTCCCCCTGATTTGTGGCCTGTCCGTCGTCTGGGGATATCGTTCTAGCATCGCCTTCACTGTACACGCCGCCGTGGCCGCGGCAAAGTCCTGCCACGACTTGTTCTTGTGGCTGTCGGCGTAATCGCAGACGCCCTTGACCATGATGCATGGCAGCTACTCCCAAACACCGGCGCTTTCCATCTCGAAGGCCACAATGCCATACGTCTTGGCAATTCGGTCGCGATACTCGCCCAATTTCAATACTGTGTCGGCCGATCCAACGCATCCGACAAAGATTGAAGGAGCCTGTGCCTCCTTGCCACGCCCTTCACGCTCTAGCTGCAGATTCATAACGACACGCTTCCGCCGCACGAGAAAGCGATCGTCGCATCCGACCTGACCGCAAGACAGTCGGCGCGACTCCTCACAAACCGGGTCTGAGACTTTGCGCCAATCGTCGCAAAGGCATTGTAAGGAAGGGTTCTGGTGCTTATGAGGGTAGCTAGGTTAAAACAATCTGTCCGTTGCGGCCCCGGGGTACTGGTATGAGGCTCCACCCGACGTTTGGGCCTCGCTGCTGCTTTGCATGGCTTGTAAGAAAAAGTCGGTCCTCTGCCTCAGTCGCTCGCGCTCAGGTTCCGTCTCGAGCAGAGCGACAAAGTCTAGGATATTCGTATTGGGCTTGCCGAGGCGGTCTTCGGGTGAATCTTCGGTGGCGAAGGTATCCGGGTACTGCCTACCCAGATCGTACTGGACGACAGACTTGCTGATAACCACATCACCAAGCAGAACCTCTTCGCCCATCTTGGTGAGGGGCACACCGCCGCAGATGCCCGTCAGAAGAACGAGATTCAGGTTTGGATAGCTCAATCGAAGGCCCGCGGCGGCAGAGGCGGCAGCTCTTTTGCCCACTCCCGAGAGAAGAACCAAGACGACGTCAAAGCCTCCAATGCGTCCAGTCTTGTATACGTTCGGGTCTCGCTCGGCCCTCCCATAGTCTTCGTCGCAGAACCGGTCGACGAGACGGCAGACGGCATTGTATTCGCGGTCCCACGCACACACTATGGCGATCTCGAACTGGTGGCGGTTGTCGGGAATGGGATGGGTAGCCATGGTGGGAGATAAAACGCTCGAAAAAGTCGTACACCAAATATCTGCTACCCATAAGAAAGCAATTTAGCGCATGAGGCTGAGCAGACAGCAGGAAATACCACAAGAGTTACAAGACCTTGGAAGGAATGGGTAGTAGAGGCTGCAGAAGAAGTGCGTATCAGATAGCGGACGAGGAGTAGGCGGGCGATTAGTGCAGATTGATTTTTGGCGCGGTGTTCGTGATGAGATGACTGGGGGGCTGCGAGCGACGGTGAAGGGGTACGCCGCTACCCACCACCCACTCACCGTCACGGGAACAGCCGTCGCCAAAAAAAATGTCGCACCCTGCTGGTTCGAAGCCGTCACGTGCAAGCCAACGCTTTGCATTATCGCAGTGCGGGTTGTGGAGGCGCAGTAACCGCCTGATACGGGCCAAGTGCAGGGCAGTCTGAGACTAAGTTGCCAGTGCACTAACCTCTAATGTATTTGCGGATTTTATGTGAATTAAACCCAAGAAACTTAACCCCTTAATTAGAAAGCTGGATGACCCAAGTTCGACTCGTCCTCTGTTGATGGCTTTCATTTTTTCTATCAGAATCTAACTACCAACCTCATGAGCGAGTAATGTGAATCTGAGTGCTCTTCAAGCTCTTCGCTCTCGCCTAGATGTTGCATAATTGAAGCGCACCTAGGTACGAAGCGCTTCATGTCCGAACAGACGGCGACCGCAGCACGTCTTCACGCACAAAATACCCAGAGAAGTCAACCACTTGAAAATTTAAACTGGATTTTATACGTTTGATAGCTCCCGCTAAAGGTTTTACATGCATTTACGTGTTTTTCGTCTCCGGCAAGGAGCGAACCTTCAAACCGCTAGTCATAAAAACAAACAGAAGCGTAAAGGACCGGAAATGCAGAGAACAGCACAATGGCTATGACCAATGAATACATAAGATCTAGCCACCAAAAACACCCCCTTGCACCCCTAATGAACACCACCCGCCGCCGCCGCCGCAGCAGCAGCAGCTGTCCGCAGCTCGAGCTGCTGGTCCAGGATGCTCGACACAATCTCCTCCATAGGCTGCCACTTCTTGATCCCGAGCTCTTGCTGGATACGCCCGCCGTCGGCCGTGAACGGGGCGTCGAACGGGCCTTGCAGCTTGACCTCGATCTGGGGATACTTGGTCCTGACGAAAGCCGTGATGGCGTCCCAGGTCGTCGGCTCGCCGGGCATGAGGACCTCGGTGACGGCGCCAGAGGAACCATCCACCTCCAGGTCCAGGCTGCGCAGCACGCCCAGGCTGACGTCGCGCACGTCGACCAGGGACGCAGGCACGGCGGGCCCGCCGGGCGGCGAAGTCGCCAGAGAGTTGAGCAGGAACGCCGTCACGCCGCGCGGCGCTGCCGCGTCCGTCTGCGCCATGTCGCGGCCGCCGACGAACGTCGGGTGCACTGCCACGAGCGTAAAGCGCGGCTGGTGCGCCGCTGTCCATTCTAGCGTCGCCCGGTGTGCCAGAACCTTGGATGCGCAGTACTTGAGTCCGTGGCCAGCTGGGCCGGGGGGGAAGACCATGTCCTTGTCTACGGGGATGGAGAGGTTGGAGCCGGCTTTTTGGGGGAGAGGGAGAGAAAATGTTAGTCCTGGCTAGGGTCTGGGGAGGAGGTGTCAAACACCCCGAGGGACGAGATAAGAATTACCCTTTATCTCGTACGCCGGCACGCGTAGGGCGCCTACAGGCAGCAGCGCCAGCAGGGACGACATGACGACGAGGCGTTTGACGGTGGGCGCCGCCTCGGCAGCGTTCAACACGGCCTCGGTGCCCTGCACGGCGGGGCGGAGGTAGCCGGTCTCGAAGTCGTCACCGCTGCCGGGCATGGGTGAGGCAAGGTGGATCACGTACTCGACGTCGTCGGCGAGGGCCGCCCTCAGCGCGGCGCTGTCGCTGAGGTCGGCCACGACAACAAACTCGAGCTGGCTGGCGTGCGCGGCGAACCGTTGCTGGAGCTCGCCGATTTGCGATTCCCGCCGCACGGAGAGGCGCAGGCGGTAGCCGGCCTGCAGCGCGTCCAAAGCGACCTGCGAGCCGATGAAGCCGCTGGCGCCGGTGATAAATAGGGGGGATGTAATAGGGGCGGCCATGGTGTGGTAGAAGGCGGTCTGGTGGTGATGTATTCCGTTTACTTTAGAACTACTGTTTAATATCTTTGTTGGTCGGTGCGAGACTGTGGCTGAGTTCTCGCTGTTCGTGTAGGACTGATTGTTTCGTTGTACCATATCCACACAAAATTCGGGTGGGATGGACTGTCTTTTAACGTCATGGACGAGATTGTAAGCTCGGCTGGCTCGGTCCATGATAACAATGCCAAGATCCTGGCGCCTAGGCATCTTTGACCCAATAGAACTACATGAACATGTCTGGGCTTGGTCACGCAGGCATCTACGAGATGTACGACGCTACGATTCCGCATTGTCGGGTGAGTCGGCACCAGGGCCACCATTTCTGGCAATTGAAGGCTTTCACGGGAATAACCGGATCCGACAATATGATTCTTTGGTTCTTTCTTGACCATTTTCTGATTACTTATCAGACTCGGCTTGACCATTTTGTCATTTTGTGATTACTTATCACGACTTGACCGAGCTTCTGTGTTACCCAGCGAGCCAAATAAAATACATTGCCCACGCCTACTGACATGTATTGCCCTCATCGTCTACGTAAGAACGCGTATGCCTGATACGGATACTTGTGCGAGGATGACCGAGACCCCGTCGTTCCGGTTGTATTTCGTGGCAGAAGCGGGGGATATATACCATCTTTTTCTCTCCGTAATCAAGCTCTTCCCAAAGCGCTTTTCTGGTATATAAATATTAAGGCCTAAGAAACACTAAGACACCGTGACAGCTAGAACATCTTTCACATTACAACCCATTGTCTAGACCTAATCTATCTATTCTGCCCTCCAACTCATCTCATCCGCAACCGCCATGCCTCTCTGGGTAATCTACCACCCCGAAGACTCCTTCCCGACGCCCGAGTCCAAGCAGGCGCTGGCAGCCGACATCACGAAAATTTACACCAGCCTAGGGCTTCCGGTCTTCTACGTCATTGTCAACTTCGTCACGCTGCCCAGCACCAGCATCTTCGTCGGAGGCAAGAACCACGACAAGCCCTACATCCGGATCGCCATCGACCACATCGCAGTCCACCGTGCGGGCCATCCCGAACACCAGTTGAGGATGGTGAACAATATCGACACTGTGCTGAAGCCACACATTGCCGATAAGGGATATGGCTGGGAGTTCCACATCGACGAGACGCCGAGAGCGCTCTGGAAAATTAACGGATTCATCCCCCCACCCTGTGAGCCTCCTCAACTCACCCACTCACTCACATCTATTGCGTGCTGTCAAATTAAGATGAGCATGTACTGACGTGCAACTTACCCACGTAGTCCAGAGTGAAGCGGAGAAAAAGTGGGCTGAACTGAACGAGGCGGTAGAGTGGGCTGAACTGAACGAGGGGGTAGAGTGGCAGGAATGAATGACGAGGGTTGCAGATTGGAAACGACGGATGAAACGGGGTGTCTTCTCGGGGAAAAAAAAAGATTGAAAGTGTCCCGAGACGTTGCCTCTATCAACGGTTATGGATGATTCGTGTTGAATATTTTTGGATCTCGCGCTACATAGAAATCACAGAATGCCTTCGATCTCCCTCTCTGGGGGGGCAATCGAAAAGGCCTCGTTGGAACTTGGCTGAAAGCCGGCCGTTCCTCCCCATACGGCTCATCTGCTGAACTTGAGTCGCATGAAAGCGTAGGCCTCTTTGTGGGGCAGGAGCTATCTGGAAACGGCAGGCACGGATCGCCGTTCAAACGGCTGGCCGTTGGATCCCGCGTGCCGTCGACCGTGTCTACAGGGCACAAGCCACAATCCTGGTCGCCTGCGCTCTTCCCGGTGGCCGGTGCTGAGATCGCACCTGCCATGGATGCACGATCTCCATCATCAGGACGGAACTGCGGGGTGCTCTGCTGACAAGAGAGAGAGAGGGTTGGCTCGTTTCTGCTGGCGGACGAGCGATCGAAGCTGCATACATGCCTAACTCTCTGTCCGCGCCTCTGGACTTCCATCGATACCTTCCTTACCCCACTCTTCCCTTTCAGAGCATCAAACGCAATTCTCCAGATGTACCTTGGGGGTAAATTCTATCATTTGTCGGCAAGCGGTTTTGTCACTTTCCGCTCCCATCGCATCCACTCGGGCAAATACAAAGGCAATCAAGCATCCCGACCAAGTTGGCTGTGACGAGTCCCCTCGAATGGGGAGCCGATATTGTTCTCGGAAGGAAGGGAAGACGCGGACGGATAGGCCGGGACCACAGCCAAAACAATGAAGCATCAGATAGGTCATATAGTCTGGTCTACTGTCGACAGCGAGGCACTTGCCAACCCGGGTCTTCCCCCCCACCCCCTGTCGTTGCGGCGATTTGAGATGTTACAGTCGATGCCCAACTTGCGCACTTAACCGATGAAGAAGCCCTTCTTCGCAAGCAAGACAGCCAAAAGGTATGGTTTGCTGCAGTGCAACGGATTGCTCCTGGTGTTCCGGCATGCGAGGCATTCCCAGAATGGCAAGCGGGAGCGCCTCTCCGGCTTCAAGGGCCTAGCGAGGACTGAGCTGACAGGTGGCAGCCTTGCCGAAGTCGTCCCCTTTGTCCCAGCTACCGTCGCGTTAGCGCTTGCTGCCGTTCATGTTTTACACACCAGAGATGCGCCGCGTCGAGGACACGCCGAAATGTGACGACTCCGTTGTTTGCCCTCACGACGCCATAATAGCCGCAGTAGGCTGACGCCGTAACAGCGAGCGGCAGCAGCCGCACCCCCAGCCCCCCCGGACACCAAGAAGTTAGGAATGCTGCTTGCATTTGACTATCACCCAAATCGCCCATTAGTCTAGACTAGTATGATCTGCTCTGCAGAGTTGCATCACCCACCCTGTTGGGCCACCAATAGAAGCTCATCGGCTCTGCCAACCACGCGGCGGCGAGCGGGTCTTCCCATGCAGCCCCATGATTGCTTGCTTGACGAGACGCAGAGTCATCTGGCAAACCAAATCGCATTAAACTGCTGAAAGGTGGGGGTTCCTGGGGACTGGAGAGCGAGCCGCCACCCACGCAGGACGTAGAGTGGGACGAAGGCCCTGGGCGAATGCGAAGGTGAGGGGAGCCGTCTGAGGTGCGTTGCCGCGAGACGACGCCAGGCCACCGTTTGCACTCTGTGGCTTTCGTACTGGACTCTTCCAGGACCAGGGCCCAGGCAATTGGCCAGCCAAGCCAGAGAGGTTTCTGGGTCAAGGAAAGCCGGGCGTGGCTAACCGCAACAACTCCCCATGCATGGCGCTCTAGACCTTGCTCGCCAGTCGCCACAAGTGGGACCGCAAACCACCGAGCCTCGCTATTTTCCGAGCGAGTAAGCACCGCAACTCACACCAATTACCCTGTTCCAGCCGAATATGAGGACTGAGATGTGATATCGGTCTTTCCAGAGGACTCAAGGAGGAAAACAAAATTCTCACAGAGGACGGGCGCCTGGTGGTTGCCGTTGTGGGGTTGAGACGGGGAGAAAGAGAAACAGAGGCACGGAGAGAATGGGAGACTGAAGCTGGTCCGTTGCGGGAAGGGAACGAGTCCCGATCACATATGGTAATCCACCGTCCATTTTCAGCAAGGTCTCCGGCTTCACCCTCCACAGCCGCATCTCTACCCCCCTTCCCAATCTCCTGCACGGGGACAAAGAAATCACAGGATGTCTAGGCGCTAGCGGGGTGGTTAGAGGGAGAGACAAGACCAGCAATGGCTCAGACTTAGCACGTCAAGCGTCGGTGGCTTGCAATGCTCCCGCCTTGGAGTGAGTGGTTTCAATGGCAAGCCGGGCGGAGATACAAGAAACCCCCAGCTGATGACCAGGAATGGGAACATGTCACATTTCCCCACGTCCCCCTATCACCCTTCTCTCGCCCGTTGCCATTATGGTCTGCCCGCTTGCCCGTCACCGACCACCGTCTCAAAACTTGTGCCCTGACAGTCTCCGCTTCCATCCGATGCTTAAAGTCAGGCATCACCACACCCCAAAGCTGAAACGAAACCCACGCTGCATTGCCACCTAAGCATTGTCACAGGATAGGCCAGCATATAGTGATGACTCAATGCTGCGCCGGGGCACTGCCAATAAAAACCCGGCACGATCAACTCAGAGACCCCTCAACCATTCCGAGGTGTTCCTAGCCATCGGGAAGCCACACTGGACCTGCATACGAACCAAAGCCTGCCATTGCCATCGCTGACCGCTCAGACGTATCAGCCCGACGAACACTCCACCGGGTCGGGCAGCACTCCAACACTAGGATCTAACCGCAAGGCGGCGCAAGGCGGGGATAAATCGAGCGGGCAAGAGAACCGTTGGGGCCACAACAACACCCCATCCCTCTCCGAGAGACCATCGCAGGAATCGGCGGTGAGGACGAGGGGGAGGCAGGAGGAGAAGAAGAAGGCGGGCGCAGACAACTACGTCGCTAGCACCGGAAAGGCAGCGAGCGGGAAGACGTCTGGAACGGATCGGGCGAGGTCGACATCCCTGCTTTGGAGGCGATGAATAACGAAGAAAAAATGTTTATCAGTTGCACCAAGCCCCAGACGAACGTAGTATGGCCCGAGGCGGATGGCTTTGCCTCGACTGCTGCCGCCGCCGTTGCGCTTGAAGCCTTTGACCAGTGGATCTTGGACAAGACTGCAACACCACAGCTCTTCCTCAGCCAGCCAATACCACAAGAACTTCTACAGTCTGGATACATGGCGCCCGGCTCGTCGAGCCCGGCCGGAGGATGGCCCGAGCTGCTGCCAAAACCGGATCCTCGACTGCGGCTACAGCAAGGGCAGAAACGGAGCCGTACTGTCTCTGATGATGTTAGCAGTGCATCGCAGGCAGGTCTTGGACGAGATGAGACCTTTCTGGTACGTCGACAGCCCCCCCCCCCCCTTTTTCTTTGTTCAAGCGAACCGAGACAGGAAAGCTAACGGGAAGCACGTTCGTGTTGGCTAATGGGCAGACGACGAACGGCCTCGCCGTCCCAGACTCCAGGATGCTGATATCCCCCCTCACGCGGAGCCCGAATCAGCTGCTGCCAGAACAGCCAGAGAAGGGGGGCTGCTACTATAGTGCATCCTTCTCCACAAATCCCGAGCTTGCGGAGCAGAATTATTTGACCCAAACATCGGCAGTTGCCCCCGACTTCTCGTTTGCCAACCAAGCGGAGGGTCTAGGATGGCAGCAGTCGTATCATGGTGCTAACACGGTCATGCAAACCCTGCCACACTATCAACAATTTTCCACGGAAGAGCTGTCCAGCGGGTTTCCCCAGGCGTCCTACGACCTTGCAGTGTCGCCTGAGAGCCTGGAAATCAACGGGTTACCCACCGGCATCAACTACTACGATGTCGACGCCAACAACTTCTCCCCGTTCGGCAGCTTCTCGTCGACAGGGGCGTCGGACTTGATGGAGTCGATGATGCTGGACAACGAGCACAGCAGTCCACCTTGGCCAGGTCCGTCGCCTGCAGACGGCACCTTCTACAATGGCCTCCGACCCGAGCTGGCCCTCCCAAACCCGCAATTCCAGGACGGCAGTCCCTGGCTGTCGCCAGACCACAGCGTCGAAGCGAAGCCAGCGTCGCCCAAGCCGGAGTGGGTCCCGCCAGCGCCGAGCCCGGGCACGTCGACAGACTCGATTAACACCCGCTTCTTCATTGGAAGTGGCTCGACAACCGACTCCATCTCCTTCGGCCCAGCTCGCACTGACAGCTCGTCGACACACAGCAACTCGCCTGCCTTTCTCGCCCCCCAATCCGACGCTCCAAAGGCCCGTAAGCAGCTGCCAGACAAGGCGCTGCGGCAAGCCCTCCCGCCCGTTATGCGGAGCAGCAACAACTTTGTCAACATGACGTGCACGGACGGCAAGCTGCGGCGGTCAAACCGACACCACCATCCATACAGCCCGTCAAGCCGCAGAAGCCGTTCGCTCGTCCAGGGCGAAGGCGGCAACGTGCTCAGCAGGCTAGCACCGGCGCCTGGGTCCGGACCAGAGGGCTTCCATAGCACCGGGAAGGTGGAGACACCTCTCGACTCGTGTGCGTCTCAGCAGCACGGGGGCGGGTTGTCGGCCACGGCCAGCCTGGCCTCGCCGCAGGGGCACGGATCCCCCAACGACAGCGACCGCGACCGCGACGCCAAGAACGAATTCCTGATCCACGGACGGCGCGTGGGCATGAAGTACCGGGAGATCCGCGCACAGGGCGGCTTCACCGAGGCCGAGTCGACGCTGCGCGGGCGGTGGCGCGCGCTGACCAAGAGCCGCGAGAAGCGCGTGCGCAAGCCCGAGTGGTCCGACAAGGACGTAAGCCTGCCTACATCCCCACACTTGAATATCCTGTCGTCGCTGTGATAGTAGCTAACAACGCCTGTCCTTGTCCAGCTCCGCCTCCTCGAAGAAGCCGTCCGCACGCTGGCGCGCGGCGACCTGTCGCCCACGGCAAAGGTGCGGGCCAAGATCTCGTGGAAGCAGGTGGCCGACTACATCTACAACAACGACGGTACGTACCTGTTTGGCAACTCGACGTGCCGCAAGCAGTGGGACGAGCTGGTGGCGACGCACGTCGCCGCCGGCAAAGACGTGCGCCTGCCGTTTTACGAGCAGGGCTCCGTCGGCGTGGGCACCTATGGGGGTCCCAAGGCCTAGTGAGCAGTGGTGGGCGGAGGGGTGCAGCTGGCGGTGGAAGCGCTGTGTGTGTACAGTAGAATACCTGTAATGGGAACAAGGTGGTGATGGCATCTCCTGGATCAAGCACTGGGGGAGATCGCTTAGACAACTGGGCTGAGGGGGGAGGGGGAGGCGTAACTGAACACTGGGGTAATTGGGGGTAAGAATAATGACGGCGGGCTCTTTCAGGGGCACAATGATACCACGGAGGGAAGGGGGGAAGAAAGAAAAGGGGTTCAAACCACAATGGACGGCGCATTAGGCACAAGGCGTCGCGAGAGATGGGCTGGGCGGGTCGGATAATATCTTTCGAAAGCTTTTCTGTTTGGGGTTTTCTGTTGGGGGCTTCGCCGGTTCTATCCAGTAAGTAGGTAGTCAATGGCCGTGGCCAGAACGCAGGGACACGCCGGGCAGATGCAACGATAGTCGACGTTAGCTAGCGAGAGGATGGATATCATAGCCAGACGGAGCATGCACCTCTTCTCTGCATCACATTCTCTCTCTCTCTCTCTCTCTCTCTCTCTCTCTCTCTCTCTCTCTCTCTCTCTCTGTCTCTCTCTCTCTGTCTCTCTCTCTCTCTCTGTCTCTCTCTCTCTCTCTGTCTCTCTCTCTCTCCACAGCCTGACTCCCGTGACGCGAGGACCTTCTACCACATCACATCGTCCGTCTTTCTCTCCATAGAAACTTTGCTACACGTTATCTCCAGCAATATAACAGCTCACAGCGACGACGAAGGCCCGTCCTCCCCCCACGGCACACCTATCCGCCGCAGAATGTCGAGCACCTGTCCCGGGTCCTGGCGCAGCGCATGCCACTCGGCCGCGCTCTTGACGAGCGCCGTGCCCGCCAGCACCGTGCCGTTGAGCGCCAGCTTGCCAACAGTTTTCCGAGGAGTTGCACCACCACCACCACCAGCACTTGCTGGCGACGAAGGGACAGTAATCTCGCCCCCTTCAGCCAGACGCGGGACGACCACCATGACGTCCCGTGTCATAGCTAGGTTGTAGCTGATCCTTGCTTCTCCTTCTTCTGGTATTATACCGTCAATGTCGTGGTGGTCGTGAGCGGACACGGCGGCGCACGCCTGATTGTATAGTGCGAGGTATGCGGCGTGCAGCGCGTCGGCGTCAGGCGCTGGGCTGCCGCTGTTGCGGATGCGGTGCGCAAAGGTCTGGAACGGCAGCCGTGCGCGTGTCGTCTCGTCGAGCAGGCTGCTGGCTAGCACGTCGGCCCATTCCACCGCTGCATCTGTATCGCCCGTCTCTCCATCGCCGCCACCGCTGCTGCTGCTGCTGCTGCTGCTGCTAGTGTGTGTGTCGGGCAGCCCATCGCGCATGCGCTCGACCGGCAGCAGCTGGATATGCCTGTGCGCCTGGCTGGCGCCCGAGTGCGTGCCCGAGTTGAAGAACGCAAACAACTGCCCGCCCTCGGAGTCGTAGGCGTCGATGCACGCATACACGGCGGCCAGGTCGGCGGGGGCGAGCAGGTGCGTCTGGCGGGCGAACGCGCGCGTGGCCACGATGGCGTGCTCGGGCACGACGGCGAACTTGTTCAGCACGAGGATGTGGGATGCGCCGAGGCCCGTGACGAGGAGCGGTGTGGGTGGGTTGTCGAAGGGGTCGAAGGGCCTTGCTGGGGAGGGGGGTGCATTGTGTTGTGGAGGACGAGGAGGGGGGCCCTTGGGCTTGTTGGCGAGCGACGGGGCGAAGCGCAGTTGGAACTGTTGCCGAGCTGTTAGTAGGTCGGTCGGCCGGTCTGCTTCGAATGGGGTACGTAGGCAGGTTCAATTGAGATGGGAAAGAGGGCAAGAAAGAACACACTGGCACGGAATTCAAGTCGAGGACGGCGGCTTGGGTGGGGTAAAAGTTGACGTCCCCGCTGGCGCGCGCCCTGTTGAAAGCTGTCCGGACCAGCTCGGGCAGGTTCTTGGGAGCCAGGAGTGGTACGGCGCTGGGATGGGGCGACATGGCTGCTGCAGCACAGCTGGCAAAGAGTGCGTGGGGTTTGTTTGCGGGAGCGGGGGAGGCCGACTGCGAATAGCTTCGATGAGGTCATCGGAGCTGGTCCGTGCACAGACCCTAGTCAGCTAAAGCGTAGGTACGCGCCACGAATTGAAGGGTGGAGAATGGCATTAAAAATCATCATTAGATTCCCAGAATCCCACGAGAGTCAAACGCGGCGTGTTCTCCAATTTAATGCCCTTCCAAAGCTGGTACAGATACTCCAAGTCATGGCCATTGGGAAGTGCTAACGAGGTGGAGAAAAGGCATGGCAACGCTGTACTCGCCAGGGTTACACTTGGAGCTTGCGACTTGGTCAGGTTGTTTTTGTAACCCTGACGAGCATCCATAAACACGCCCATATCACTTCCTCACATCATGTCTTCAGGACCAACAATAGCAATAATGGCATTCTATCCAGTGTCTTTAAGGGCTCCTTCACTCGTAGCCATCAATGGAAGGCCCAGGCACATAGATCTAAACCACAGCACCACAGCAATTTGTTCGCTTTCTCTTTTAACCCAACCTCAGAGCGTCCACACGCTCAAGAAGCACTACCTGGCTGTCCCATGGGAGCACCCCGACGACCCAAAGCCCATCGATATTAGTCTTGGTCACCGCGAGCGGAGTGAGCGTCGCAACGACGTGCCACTCCCCGGCAGGAAGCGGGACAAAGAACTCGGCGGGCGCCTCGTCGAAAGCGTGGATAACAACGAGCACGGCGTCGGCCCAGGTCCGGACAACGCCCTGCCAGCCGGTCGGGTGGCGCCAGCTGGCGCCCATGTCACCGCCGATCCGGCTCTTCCCGTGCTTGATGACGGGCACGGCGCGCTTGTAGAGGCCGATGGCGGCCTTGACGAGGGCGAGCTGGTCGGCGTCGAGCGCGAGGACGTCGCCCGACAGACACATGCGGCCGAGAAAAGCGGCGGCGAGGCTGTAGGCCATGCGCTGCGGGGAGTCGTCGCGGTGCAGGACGGCCCAGATCAGGCTCTGGCGCGGCAGGACGAGGCGCTGCACGGCGGCGGCCACGATGGGGATCTCGACCGTCTCGTGCGCGTCCGAGTAGCTGGCCAGCGCGCTGCGCTGCAGCAGCGACGACTCCATGCGGTGGCCGCCGGCCGACACGAGCTCGATGACCAGCTCGGGCAGCGCCGCGCGGATGCTGTCTAACAGGGCGTGCGTGCCCTCGCCGTGCCGCCGCAGGCCCTCGCCCAGCCCGTCGCCGGCCCCGTCGTCGACCCCGACGCCGAGCGTCTCGCTGTAGTCGAGCTTGAGGTAGCCGAAGCCGGCGTCGCGCAGCATGCGCACGACGCGCTCGTGCAGGAACGCCTTCGCGAACGGGTCGTGCAGGTTCCAGGCGCGGCGGATGCCGAGCGTCAGCGGCTGGCCGTGCCGCGTCAGCATGTGGTCCGTCTCGTGGAACGCGGCCGAGTCCCGGGCGACGTGCTCCGGCTCCATCCAGATGCCCGGCACGAGGCCGCGCGCCCGGATGGCGGCCGCGATGCCCGCCAGCCCGTCAGGGAACCGGCTCGCGTGCGCCTGCCAGTCCCCGAGCGACGTCGCCCAGTGCGCGCCGCTCGACCCCCCCTCTCCCGCGGGCGTGGTCGTTGGCATGTACCAGCCGGCGTCGATGGTCAGGTAGCGGACGCCGAGCGGCGCCATCTTCTCGGCGACGGCCAGCAGCTGGTCGTGGCTCGGCTCGCCCCAGCTGGTGCAGTAGTCGTTGTAGCCGACGGGCAGGTCCTGCTCGGCGGCGGGCTGGGCGTCGGCAGCCGGCACGTCGACGCTGGTCAGGCGGTCGCAGGCGTCGTCTGGCGACCCGGCCACGCATGTCAGGTACGCCGGCGGCGTGGCGAAGGACTCGCCCGGCGCCACCGTCTTGGCCCAGTGGCCGAACTCGAAGTCGGCCAGCCCGCCCGCCAGCACGACGTCGTCGAAGCGGCGGCCGACCTCGAGCTGCCAGCTGGTCGGGACGGCGAGGCGCGCGCCCCAGACGACGCCGGCGTCGGTGTCCTCGACGAGGGCCGTCGGGAACCAGCCGCGCACGGGCATGGAGCCGACTTGGCCGAAGCGCTCCGCGAAGTTCATGTTGCCGGCCCACGACCGCTCGAGGTGCAGGTTCTCGATGGAGTCGGTGACCATGCGGCCCTCGGCCGACCACACGGAGCGGAAGCGGTGCACGCGCAGGCGGCCGGGCGCGTCGTCGGCGGCGAACGGCGTGATGCCGCCGAGCGAGAAGGACGTCAGCAGCTCGAGGCGCACGGGGTCGAGCGAGGCATTGGTGAAGACGGTCTCGCTGGTCACGGTGTGGCCGCGGAAGCCGGGGGCGAGGCTGTGCTCGATCTCGAGGTTCGGCTCGTTCAGGTTCTTGTGGTCGTGGCGCAGCGTCGTGACCACAGCGCCCGTCGCTGCGTCGACCTTCTGGCCGGCCAGTCGGAAGAAGCCGGTCGATGGCGACCACATGGACGTGCGCCCCGGCCCGAGCTGCGGCGCCTCGCCATCGCCGGCGATCTTGATGTGCACCAGCGGTTCGACAACGATGGCGGGGCGAGCGCGGTGCGCAGGTCGGCGTGCCCAGCTCTCGTTGGCTACAGTGGGCCGCCGCTGGGCCAGGCGCCCGCGCAGCGCTGTGGGAAACAGCCAGAGCCCCACCTGCCCCGCGTCGTCGGTGACATACTGCGCTGTCATGTCCCCCAGTCCGTGTTCGGACAGCACCTTCAGCACGCCCGCCATTAGTTTCGCTTTCGCTTTCTTGAGCTTCTGTGGGTTTCAGAGGATATTTGGGAATATGCGGATGCGATTCCTGGCACCGTCGGGGCAATGCGTGATTAACGTAGAGGATCCAGTTCACCCCACTATCCAGGTAGTCAAACAATCCTCCGCGGATTCGGCGAATCACCGACAGGAGCTTTACCTTGGGCAACAGATTCCCTTCTTGAGGCGGCGGCGCATGCGTGGGCTAGTCGAATGCAGCCAGCTAAGGTGGTCCACGAATGGAAAGCAGGTTGTCGGCGTCAGTGTTCAAAGCACTTTGCCTTGCTAGGTAGACGAAATGGAGGGTAGGGCGGGCGGTGACCATCACCACCACCAGACAGCTACCCGTCTGCCCATTGTCCATCCATAGGCCTTTGAGCCGTGGCAGGTAGCCGCGTCTCGGGCTACGGAGCAGGGTTGCTCGTCCAGAAGACACGGGAGTCGGCGTCCAGGTAAATAGGTAGCAAGATAAGAGAGCCAGCGAATGTCCGGCCAGTGTAGTTGTATTCTAGTGTATGTACTCTGCCACGATATAGTACAGCAGTCTCGCGTTCAATTTTTCTCCTTTCCACGCTGTGTCTGAAGCAGTGATTAGATGCCCGGGAGCCCGACCAGCCCCCTCAGTGCCGGCACCAATCGCGGGAGGACGTAGGTGAGGTACAGCCCAGTAAAGGCGACGAGGAGCCCAGTAAGCTACACCGCAGACGTTAGCACACGAGCAACAAACCAGCCGGGGACCATGGGGATCCGGAGCGCACTTACCTTCTCGAACCACGTGTGGAAGTAGATGGCCGTCATGAGCAGCATCCACACACAAAGCCCAACCACAGCAGCCGCGAACCGCCCGCCATGGCCGAGCGACGCGACGAGCGACGTGACGAGCGACCCGAGCGGCGCAGCTCCCGCCTCGCCGGTCTCGTCCCCGCCAGCTCTCCCCCCAGCCGCACCAGCACCAGCCGCACCCGCGCCCTTGACCGCGCCGTCGTGCATGACCACGCTCCGCTCCTCGGCCAGCACGCCCGCCCACCGCGCCGTGGCCCAGCCGACCTCCTGCACGAGGAAGAAGCTGCCCAGCACCAGCAGGAACACGTGGCCGCTGATGTCGTGGCCGCCGCTCCACTTGCCGCCCGACGCCTTGCACGCCGCCGCGGTGAAGAAATCGCCCGCGTCCGCCTCGCCCCCGCGCAGCGCGTCGCGCGCCACGTCGCACTTGCCGCCCGACCACCGGAACCCGCGGTCGATCAGCGGCGCGCCAAAGCACCACTGCGTGACGAGCACCCACCACAGCGTGACCGCCGCCCAGCGCGCCACGGCGCGGCCGCGCAGCGGCAGCCCTCCCCCATTATCCCCATTATTGTTATTACTATCCCTCGTCGCGGCGGAAGCGACGGCCGGGTGCGAGAGCACGAACGCGAAGAACGCCGCCGACACCCACGCCCAGCCGCGCTTGACGAACAGCACGTTGAACACGTTGTCCTTGCGGGCGAAGTACGACGGCGCCAGCGCGGGGTCCTGGGTGTGCGCGTGGCGCGCCGCGTCGTACGGCGCCGCGCGCGTCTCGGGCGAGAGCAGCGAGAAGACGGCGCCAAAGACGAGGAGCGCGGGGTAGGCGGCCAGCAGCACACGCTCGGTCGGGGTGGGCAGGTAGGGTGTGTTGCGGGGGCGGTGGGTTGGTCTGTTGCTGTTGTTGGTGCCTCCGCCTCGTCCTTGTCGTGGTGCTTCTCGCCCTGGTGGTGGTGGAGCGGAATGCCACGCGTCCCACTCGGCTCTGGCGGCCGTCGCGACGTCCTCTGCCGTCAGCAGTCTGTTTGCCGGCTTCGCGTGCGTCTGGGAGGGCGCCATCTGCGCGGGCGTCTTTCGGCGGCGAGAGGACGAGCGCGTGCCCGACGAGGGGGGGGAGTCGAAGTTTTCCATTTCCAGTCTTATCTAAGTACGAAAGTGTGGCAGGAGCGAGAGTCTCGGTGGCTGGAAACTCAGTCGGTTGCAGGGAGCGCTGGTCGGAGCAAGCGGCGTGCCCTTTTCGACAGGGCAGCAACGAGACGGAAACCGGGGCGGAAGGTGTCTCTCTCGAAGCAGGCTCGTCCGTAGCAAAAATGAGTGGTGGTTTAAATCAGAGCGATGCTAGCTTGCAAGGAAAAAAGGCACAGAGATAGAGATCGTAGTTTGCCGTTTCTGTGGTCAGAGGTTCGTTCTTCGTCGCCCTGCTGGAGCGAGGTAAAAAAAAAAAAAGGCGCCGACGAAGTGGAGGACTGGAGCTATGACGTTGCCAATTCGCCTCGCTTGCGGCCGCTGTAAGTCTAAACACAGTGCGATCCCAGGATGTCCTGTTAGGGGGGTACTGTGAAAGAGAACCAGATCATCGCATTAAAACCGGCTAGTAAAAGCCTTTCAAAGGTATTTCTTGGAGAAGAAAGGGTCTCCGAGCTTCTTTCAAGATGGTTTTAATAGCTATTACCTCGCTCGTCAAAAGAACTACAGCACGAGCGGTACGATATCGGCGTCTTTCCGATCTGAAAGGTCCCCCGCTAGCAAACATCCAGGGATTAGACGGCGGCTGCTGCCTAAAACCGCCTCGGCTCTCTTTTGCGGCCCCAGTCTGCTTTAGGCCCCAGTCTGCTTAGCGGCCCCAGTTGCTTTAGCGGCCCCAGTTGCTTTAGCGGCCCCAGTCTGCCTCAGCTCTTACGTTCGCGGGGCATTTAACACTAAAAGGAAAATCACTGGTGCTCACTTCACTGAAAACTCTAACATCATCATACTGGAAAGAGGAAAATATGTATTCTCTTTTGCTGCCGGCTCATCGCAGCCGCCTCTGGCATCAGTATGCCTTTTGTTGCCAGCTAGTTACCTAGGAATATCTATGTCCATGCCGATGGATGGATGAATGGTATTTTGTTGCCTTGCCTTGCCGCCCCGTGCCTCACCACCACTGCCACCACCACCTCCACCACCACCAAAGATCTAATCCACCACCACCATTTGGTATCCAGTAAACGCCAATATCCCAAAAGCCACAAATAACCACCCGTGCAATGCCACTTGGGCCGAGAGTAAGAAACAGAATGCAAACCCAAATATAAGCACGAATGAAGAAAGCAGAGAGAAAAATAAAACCTCGTGTCAAGGTAAAGTCGGGTTCAAAACCACACTGGCGTCGCTTCAACGCAATGACCATGTTAAAGAAGGGAAGAAATAACTAAAGAACTAGGTGATGTTGGCGGGTGATGCTCGGCGGGCCTACGTAGAGGCGAAAAAGGCGAGCGTGGCGCAGAAGTTGTTGCGGTTGTCCTTGTCGAGCGCCGCGCTCTGGCCGTTAACCGTGAGCATGTTCACGCTCGCCTTGGTGCTGAGCCCAAAGAGGTGGACCGTGCTGTCCTCGAGCGAGACCATGTTCGTCTGGCAGGACTCGGTCTCCAGGCACGTCTGGTCGTAGTTGTCGAAGAACGAGTACAGGCCGGCGCCGTAGATGAAGATGTCCTTGGAGTTGACAGCGCGCACGCCCCACGACCGCTCGCAGCCGCCGTCCGTGCCGCTGGGGCACGAAGCGGCAAAGTCGGGATCGCCGAACTTGTCGTTCTTGGTGAAGGGCGACACGGAGACCGGGTTGCCTTGGAAGTAGGGCGTCTCGGTCTGGATCAGGGCCAGGTAGACCTCCGACGCATCGCTGAACTGGTAGTTGTAGAGGACCGAGTGCTCAGACGCCGTGCCGAAGCCCCAGACGGGCCCCTGGCCCTCGACCAGCACGCCGCGGCCGTTGAAGACATCGATCTGCTGGTTGTTGGCCGCAGGCTCGAGATCGTGGTCGGCAACCCAGTACCAGGTGTTCTCGAGATAAGCGCTGCCCGTCTTTGTGATGTGCAGCATCAGGAAGGATCCGAAGCAGTTGGGGTTGACCGGGTTGGTGACGTTGGGGTTCTTGGCGCACTGCTCCAGCTGCAGCTGTGTGCCAGCATATCCACCGATGCGAGTGTGCACATCCCACAGACCGGCGGCGCCTTGGCTCGTACCGGCGACGTTCCACTCCATCATGATGGCTCCTGGCTGTGGGCCTGCGGTCCCGAAGATGAGTTCCGAAATCTCGACAGCGCCCTTGTCGCCTGCTTGTCCGACCTGGAAGACGGGCTGCGGGTTGGCCTGGTCCTTGAAGGAGCTGTCGCCACCAGCCATGATGAGCGGCCAGATCTCGCCAGTAATCTTGATGTCCTTGGGAACCTTGACGGTCTTGGTGACGAGATAGGCACCGTGATCAAAGTACACAACCTGGTCAGGAGTAGCCTTGTCGAAGATGGCCTGGATGGCATCCGTGTCGTCGGTGACACCGTCACCCTTGGCACCGTTGGACTTGACGCTCAAGAAAGCAGTGGAAGGCAGGTTCTCGTACTGGGGCTTGCTGCGCGTAAAGACCTTGCCAGAAGCCGAGTCCAGGAGGGACGCAGGCTTCTCGACAGCAGTCTGAGGGCTCTGTACAGCTTTGCCGGCACTGCCAGACGCCCCACCATAGGTGCGGCCCTGGACAAAGAACTCGACCTTCTGCGCGCCCGGGAGGATGACTGCACCAGTGGCGTTGCTCCAAACGGCCTGGGTAGCGCCCGTCATATCAACGTTGTCGAGAATGAGGGTGCCGTTGGTCTGGGGCAGGGAAGGATCGTAGGCAGTCTTGATGCCGACCGGCGTGCCAGTAAAGACGCTGTCGACAACCAAGACCGAGCCCACTGTCTGGCCAGTGCTGCCGCCGTTCGACATGTCGATCCCAACCGCGCAGTTGTTGATCTTGACGTCCTGGAAGGTCCATGCCCAGTTCCAGTTCATGAAGATGGCGGTTTGGCAGTTGTTGAATGTCAGGTTGCGGGTTGTGAATTGCTGGTTGCCAAAGAATGCACCGTATTTGCCGCCGTTGAAGGTCAGGTCCGTCATGAAACCACCAGATCCGTTGTCCATGAAGATGCCTTGCTGCCCGTTGGTGTTACCGCCATCAGTGCGCATGTTGAAGACAATGTTTTGCAGGCTGGTGGCTTGCGCGACTTGCCAGTGAATGCCAGCACCGGATGTGACGGGCATGGCAGTCAAGTCGATGACAAAGTTGCGGATTTGGCGGAAGAAGTTGTTCTGGTTGACCCAGAAGTTGTTGCCCTGGTCGTCGTATGGGTCGGCATCGATAACCGCCATGCCAGCAAAGCTAGCCGCTGCCTTCAGGGTCGGCGGGCTGACCGCATCGCCCACGAGCTGCGTGTAGTAGAGCTGGAGGATGGGCTTGCTGACGAGGTAGGTACCGGGGGGGAAGTAGACGAGAGCAGGAGTTGTCGTGCTAGACGAGCAGCCCTCGCCGCATCGCTTGCCGTCGGCAACGGCTGCGTTGATTGCCTCCGTGTCGTCGGTAGCGCCATCGCCCTTGGCCCCGTAATCCAACACATTGCGGAAGACCTTGTAACTCGCGTCGCCATATGCTACCGTGCCCTGGCGCTGGATATCTGCCAACCAGTAGCCCGAAGCCGCCCTTGGTGATGGAGCTGCGAAGGCTGGCGAAAGGAGGCGAAAAGCCAAAAGGAAAAAGGTGAAAATTGCTGAAAGGCCCATCATGATGTAGTACCAGCTATTTGCTGATGGCCTTTTGTGGTGAGGATGTTCCGAGAAGGTTTGGAGACTGCAGAAGTTGCGTTAGCTTAGCTGGTGGGCGCAAGACGAGCTATATAAATAGTTTTGAGTTCGTTTCAACAGGCTTTGTCTGTTTCGGTTCGCAGCTTGCGCAGGTATTTATGGGAAGTGTGACACGCAGGATGTGTTATGTGGGGGGGATGGCAAGAAGGAGCGCTGGTGGTTTGTAATAAATAGACACAAAACCAGTGCTCGCGAACAATTGACGCGACCTCTATATTGTCGAAAATGGTATTGTCGATGTCCCTATTGTCTGACGCTCTGCATTTGACAGTGCGCATTGTGACCCAGAACAATAGGCGACAATAGCAAAGGGTAAAAATGCTGCAACATCATTGGCTCCGGCGCACAAAGAGTAACCACCTCACTTGAGGTCATCGAGCACTGAGCCCGCGCCCAAATAGGAAAGCAGCGCAAGTGGTGTTCCTCAGGGGCACATATGCCGGGGGGCTACCAGAACAAACGTACCTTGGTAAAGCTTTTGAGAAAGAATTCTGACGGTCAGTCAAGACCGGAGGTAAGAAAAGAGTGCTGAAAGAAGAATAGTGTGAGCAAAGGAGTGAGGGCCAGCCAAAAGGGAGCCGATGGAGGTGGTGGAAAGCTTCTCGGAGGTGCAGAAGGGGTGGGATGCCCCGGACCTTATAATGCAACTCTCACGCCCGTCCTGGGCACCCATGGGCATGGGACCGTCCGGCGCCTCTCCCGTCTCCGCACTTGTTTCCCTCGCTGGCCATGTTTCTCCCAGCATAGTTTCAAGTGAAGATTGGCGAGGGGTGTGGTCGCTGTGGTGGCGGGCGATAACCGCCTCGCAGGGTTCTGGCTCGATGGTGCATGTGGTGGAGGGAGCTTCCATGTGGGGAAACCCAAGCTTGCGCAGGGACATGCCGCCGTGTAACGAGGTACCTGACTCCGTCCATTATTATTAGCTTCCCATATGCGAACATGATCCGTACAAATGCGATAGGCTCTCGTAAGTGCGAGCGTGGTGTGCACTATCTGGTAGGCATCTAAAACCTCCCCGGCACCCTGCACTACGCCGCCACCGCCACTGGGAAGGGAAGGCAAAAGGATGACTCTAGGGTGGCCGCGCCGTGAATCAGTGCGAGCAGATGATCCCTGACGTCTTCGCATTCCAGCAATATTTCCATTTCCACAGTCGGGACTTGTTCGGCGAGAACCGAGAACAGGTTGCAGAAACACGAGGTTCACCAGCTGCGCAATTGGCTGGCAGCACGAGAGGCTCAAACAGAGCTAGCGACACCAGAAGCCAAGTCCTGGTTTGGCCCACGCAAACTTGGGCGCGAGGAAAAACCAGCCGCCCGACTGGGGGAACTGGGAACTGTGCCTCGGGGGCAGTCCCGTACAGGCACGAAAGGGGGAGAGAGCATCGGACGAAAGCGAGGGTCTGGTCGAGAGGGACCGGGGCCGTACGCACCCAATTCAGCAGCCCAAATCAGGGGTTCGTCAATGCATGCGCCGATCAAGCGACACGTTCACAGGCTGTCTTACGTGTTGTCATAGGCGGCTGCCAGGCGGTTGCGTGTGCTAGACAGGTAAATTCGAGGAGCGTGCAGGGTATTGAGGACGGAAAGCTGGCTGGGGCAAATCGATGCAATTTCCAGTCATGGTGATGTCTGCCCAGCTACGTTGGAACGGGACGAGGCCGACTATCGAATCGCGAAGTCTTGCTTGGCAAGCCCCCCAGCGGGGCTGATCGCGATCGCGCTCTGTGCTCCGCGAGGAAAGCGCTTGGGCCATGGCCATCCATAACTGGAAGTGGCGTTTTGGGCGCCCCTCCGCCATACACTACATTTTTCGAGAGAGCAGACTTTTTCTCGAAATAGCATTGCTTGAGCCTTCGTGCTGCATCCACGTCTCCCTCCAGCTGCATCTGCATCTGCATTCCTAGAATTACCTAGGCCGGAACATGCGACGATGACCTGAGCTGAATCCAGCTCCTGCCATAGGATCCAGTCGGTGGGTTCTGAGAAGGGACGACTTCGGCGGGAAGTCTTACCCCGTTGCAGAAGCCTCGTGTTTCAAAACGAGTCGGTGGGTCAGACTTCGTCGAACCAGCCGCATGCATGCCTTGGCCGATTTTGGCGCCATTCTCTCGTCCCTTCTGCTTTCCAGAGCCCCACGGCGGGAGGGGCCTCCACTGTAAAGCTAGTTTGAGGTTCTGTTCCTTGCAGGCCTGTCGTCCTTCGTGTGTGGCTGCATTCCCCGTGCCGCTTCCCGGTGACCCCTGCTGCTGCTGCCCGTAATACCCCCGCGCCAATCGATTCGAGATCGCCACAGTGTCTCCACGATTTTACCACCGAGCAGGCATATTCGCTGGCGTCAAGCATGAAATGCGCAGTGGCCGGACTTGCAACCCTAGGCGAAGGGCAGGAATTCCCTAGGACTCGGGAAATTTGGCTCGCTGTGGGGCGCTGTGAGGCGCTGTGAGGCGCTGCACCCGCTCGGCACGTTTTCCCACAGAGTTCCCTGGTGCTTCTGCGCCCGCCAAACAGCTTGCTTGTCTCTGTCTGCCGTGCGACGTCCACGTCAAACATGGGCTTCTGTTGTACACAGGGAGGCTGTGGCTGCGGGATGCCTGCCAGATTCTATTCGCCATGCCTTCTTCACATCACCGTGGCCACTCTGAACTATATTTACCGGCCAGATCACATGCTGAGTCGTACCCACGCCAGCCAGGCTGTACAAACTTTTTAACAGCAAGAGGGGTCACCGCTGAAGGAGCTGGTCCCCCGCCTCCGGGCCCCGCCCCTGGGACCATATGGAAGCTCGGTGGGGCGCAGCCCAGCATTCATCTCGACATTGCTTCACGTATATTGTCGATTCCCTTTTCTTATCTTAGTCCCCTTTTCTGGGCCTTGTTTGTCTTTGACGCGGTCGCTGGCGACTTGTTTGTACGATCTCGGCCAACCTACTCAGGAACTGTCCAACTCTGTTGTCACGTTGCCCTCTTTCCATTCGTCGCACTACGGTGAGAACCTCCGCCGAGTCTATCAGACAACGGAAATGCAGCGCCGGTAGCTCTCTTCAGGAGTCTCTGCCTCATCATCGATGCCGCGTCTCGTGGCTTTGCCTTTATCCACAGTTCAAAACAGGAAATAAACATCCCTTCTCCGTGTTGGGTTGGAGTCTAGAGTTGTCTATTGCAGTTTGAGTTTCTTAACCCCTTCCCCGCCCTCGGGCCCCACAGCACTCCATCCAACACTTCGACTCAGTTACCGAAGCCCTGAGACACAGCAGTTACGTTGCAGAACGAATAGCGAGCCTGGTGTTCTGCGAAATGCAGGTACGCTCTATCACGTCCAACTGTTCAGCTACACGTTGCCATTTATCCGAACCCCTGCGTTGACCTGGTGTCTGTCATTCATGCGTTACCTGCAAGTGCTCACAGGTGGCGATCAAACCTCCCCTGTCCGTCAGGAGCGGACCCTGTTGGCCGCCGCGAGCCGCCACGTTCTGGGCTTCTCGACTGCCCGCCTTATTTCCTGGTCGGGCCGCTCGGGCGCTGATCTTATGGCTATCCCAACGACAAGCTGCCACGCTTATATAATAACGCCTCGTTTTATACCGTGAAATCTTCTGCTGCAATATCGAGCGCAAGATAACCAGCTTCCGCGTGGCGATATCGCAGTGACTCAAATCTCCAGGTTGTTAATTATGCCTTATCGTTCGTACGGCCGCTGTCATCATTAATTATTGTTTATAATTTGGATTGACGACTCCACTGGTATCTGTGATATTGGCATAATGCCAGTATTTAGATCACATGGCGGGTAGCTCTAAGCCTCTAGATGGAAACCAGTGGGGACAAGCTGAAAGGCGGCCAGACCCGTCTAGACCAGCGTGGCACAGCCACGCGTCCTTGAGACATTGTAGACACATTTAATATGGCTACAGCTCAGAGGCAACTTGATCTTGCCGCAGTGATGCCGACCTCTCAAGTTAGAACGAAGAGTTGCCTACTACGTTAGACATAGTGGATACGCGAAGTGCGTGTGCGAATAAGACGGAGTGAGCAGGTGAACTATGATGATTTCACTCCGCAACTCGGTAATCTAATACCAGACTGCCATTGTAGGGCAAGTCGACTTTAATTTTCCCGACCGAACCTAAATTACTTTAACCTCGGAAGGTTGTTCGGCGCATCAAGCTATTAATTACGCCAGAAACTGGGGACATGTGAGCTCCACTGTGTCTCATGACGTAAGACTGCCGCCATTCAAGGGTAGTATTGAAGTTAGAAGAAGAATGATATTATAACGGAATAAAAATAAAAAAATGATGGCGGAACCCAAGCTCAAACCTGGGCCCTACTACTGAGCGAAGGGTCATCTTGAACGGTAACTCGTAACAGTTCCTTACCCGCTCGACCAGAGTGTATATGGTACGCCCGTATCTAATTTCAGCTACTTTACTGGAAGGAAAATGCGAAATCAGGGTAACGTTATGCCTACCTGTATTAGTACAGGTCGTAATTGAAACACCGCAACATCTTCCGGGTGCAGCACGTGCCCAGGCTTAGCGTCACCCAGCGGTCGAGCACAGACCACTGCTATGGACATACCAAAGCGCCTCAACGAGCTCTGCACGTGTCTAAACCGCCAGAGGCGCGACATACCGTGGGGCGCTTGCAAGCCATCTTCGAGCGCCAAAGGTCGTCTTGATGCCCCGCCACAGCCAGCACATGTGTCGCCAGTTCCGCTTTTTCCGTCTCCTAGGCGTCTCGACAATGGCGAACATACACCAGTTGCATCAACCTCGCCGCCCGAATATCTTTTCCGCGGAACAAACACACGACAAACCCTCCCGGTCACAGATGAGAGGGCCCGGTCACAGATGAGAGGGCCCGGTCACAGATGAGAGGGCGTTGAGCATATATCTGCGCGTCCTATTCCCGGGTTTGCTGTTTGCTAATTATGGTAGGTAATATTCTGCTTATAATAAGTGCTCGAGTCGTTGAGATAGATCGTCTAGATTCTTCATTTTAGCGATGGCAGGAAACTCGAACGACCTCATCTATACATCACTAGTAAGGTTAGCGTGCAATTGTCCACTTGATGCACTCGTCGAGGTAATACGGTATCTATTGGCTTAGTAAATCACCTCAGAGCCCACTGAGAGGGTGGGGTGACACATATAGGTCCGCGTATACCCCGCATCTTACCTGAACCTCATTTCCAGGCCACCTCTCATCCCTCCCTACTCACCTTTGTCGCAGCCAGACGCACTTTCTACTGTTCTGAATATCATAGTGAGTATGGCTCGCCACAACCACTTTTGTCCCTTGTGCATTTCAACCCATCCATCACTGACACCAACTTCCAACATCTATCTCGCATCTAGCTTTCGGGCAAAAGAGAAAATACAAACCAACTGCCATGAACGCAATTGGACCCGGGCTCCAGGCCGTACAGTACCGCGACGAGCGCGAGCTAGAGCTGATGCAGCTCAAGCGAGACCGCCAGATTGCCGAGGGGCAGCACCTAGTTCGCGAGGTCGAATTGGCCGAGGCGAAGCAGCAGCGCGAGACCCAGAAGCAGCGCGAAATCACGCGGAACCGCTACGAGTGGGCGAGGCACGAAAACGAGCTACGCCAGAAGCGCGAACGTGAGGCCGAGGACCGGAGACAGCAGCGCGCCGCAGACCGCCGCTCGAGCAAGGACCCGCAGGATGGGGAAGACATCTGTCCCTTGGACGATGATAACTTGAACCGCTTCCTCAACCCCCAGACCTCGCGCGACTACCCGCGCGACTATGTGTATAGCGAAAGAGACTTTTCTGCTCCTTCTTGCCGTGCGGGTCAGGAGGCTAAGTAAGATGTCGCCTGGATTTGAGCCACTCTGAGCCACCTTTCAAGCCGCAGTCGAATGTTCCGTCATTCAACGCATATCCCTTCAAACAATGCATATCACTTCTTTCCTTACTTTTCAGCCCTTTTTTGGACCTCCAAATGCCCTCTTTTCTCCCGTATTTCGTACGGCTGGCTCCCTTGCTGAACGGTGTTTCCTTTGTCCCTTTTCTTGAGTATAAGAAGGCTTTCTTCCGTGTATTGCTAGACCTGATTTTAACCAGACAATTCAATGCGCTGTCGACTTCGATCACGTGCAACAGTTATGAGCCCGGCCTAACCACCAAAAATCACTTCCGCCACAGCATTTCGGCACCTCATTTCCAAGCTCGTATTCTTAGCCAACAGGCCACTCTCAACACCTTTCAATCCTTTCAATCCTTCCTTCTTTTCTTCCTTCTTTCGATCAGTCAAACCAGCAATGGCTTCGTCAGCTACAGCGACAACTACCACCACCGTCTACAAGCCCATTCTGACACGCTCGTCAGAATGGCTCGCATGGTACACTGCTCTCAAGAAGGTCGCTGGCAACAGGAAACTCAGTGAAGCCGTTGACATCAACAACACTGACTGGCTCCCGCTCCCCGAAGTCATCTTCTACGACTACGAAGACTTCCTCGATCGTCGCTACCCTCAAGCCACACTGAGCACCGCTAAAGAAAAGCGTGACCTAGCCGATAACGCAACCACTCAGCAGACGCAAGCCTGGCGGTCCTTTGAGGCCCGACAAATTCGCGATGACAAGGCCTTTGAGAAGCAGGGAGTCTTGATTCGAGAGATCAAGGAATGGATTCGCTCCAGCACGGCCGCCACATACGCCAACGTCGCTGAGCCGGAAAGTACGATCCTGAAGGACATCGTCAAGAAGATTCACACCCTGGTTTCAATCTCTACGGGAGAAGAGATTGAAAGAGCCCGGGAGGCATACCGATCGGTCCTCAAGAAGCTAAGGAAGTCGTTATCACCCTTTAAGTGGCTGCTCTAGTAATAGGAAGCCTACAGCGAGGCCGTCAGGCTCAACATCGAAGAGATCAAAGGAACCCTAGCCCTCAAGGACTTCTTCAGGGCTGCAAGAGTGTGAGAAAAGGCAGGTACGCCGGACCAAGGTGGTCACAATGAAGGTAACAAGAAGGGCGAGCAATGACTGGTATTGGGGTAAGACTTCAACCTGGCCCTCGCAAAGGAAGGGGCTCGGGCCACTGTTTATATACATGCTCAGGGGCTCAGTCCTGCGTGTGCTTGTGAAAGCTTGTGGGAGTGTGGCGCCATAGTGTGGCTTCAGTGGCCTGGCCAGTTGGTGCTCTTTCCTTACAAGGAGCCTATGACGCCAACTGGAAGAGCACCGTGATGATGGAGATCGTGAAGGCTGAGATAACGGGCTCTACACAACAGGACCTGCCCTACTACGCCAATAAGTTCAGGCTCATCTGCGAAAACCAGTTAGAAAAGGCTACTACTTCCAACTGCTTTTCCTACCTTCCACGGCAAGCTAGAGGGCGATCGGCCAGCCTATATAAGAGTTGTCTCGAATGGTGGGCCTTTGTGAGGGTTTCAGAAACCCCAAAAGTATGTCTGAATACTGCGCATCTATTTCAGGATGCCGGTACGGATCCTGACTTACCGTCTGAAGTCTAGTCAACGCACCGAGTTCCTCGCCTCGACTTCGCAAAGTCCGAGAATTCCTAAAATGCGCCTCTTGCACCGCACGGGAGATGGAAACATCAGCTTGACTAACGATCTCATAGCTACGCGACGTCCCCGCATACGCAATTCTGTCCCATACTTGGGGTAGAGACGATGAAGAAGTTACGTTCAAGGATCTTCAGGAAAAGCCCGAGAAAGCGAAGCTGGAGGCAGGCTATCATAAGATCGAATTCTGCGGGAGGCAAGCTACTAGCAACGGACTGGGATACTTTTGGGTCGGCACTCGTTGCATTGACAAGTCCAACTATGCCGAACTTGTTGAAGCCATCATCTCGATATTTCGATGGGCCACCCGTGGATGGATACTTCAGAAACTGATAGCTGCCGACTCAGTCGAGTTCTTCTCGTCAGACGGCGGCAGGAGATCTCTAGAACAACAGCTCGTCAATATCACGGGAATCGCTCCTACAGTACTCCGAGGGGGAACCCCTCGACTCTTTCAGCGTCGAGGAACGAATGGCATGGGCCGAAAAACGGACAAAAAAGAGGAAGAAGATAAAACCTATTCTCGTATTGGCATCTTCAACATCTTTATATCACTAATATATTACGAGGGCGTGGAGCACGCATTGTACCGGCTCAACCAAAAGATAGAAACGGACGGGGGCATTAGCAGCTCCCAGTGCCCCCCAGCTGTTGAAGCATTGAAGTCGACGGTGGATTGTCGAAAATTAATACAGGACAAGGTCAAGAACAGACTCAACTAACCCGAACTCACAGACCGAGCGGGCGTAGGTCCCTTCTTTGCAAAGTTGACGTTGGCTGAGTATAATGAAAATCTTCGCTTGGTATGCTCAGCGTTACGAACTAATACTTCTAAGGATCTCCTGGGGAGTCTCAATCACCTGATCCAAGTGGAAGACACTTGAACACTTCGTTCCGAATTAGCGCATACCGCCTGAGGTGTTTCGTAGGGTTTCAGGGAGGCCCTTGAAGGCATCGAGGACAGGCTGGCAGCGATTCAGGGGTTCGGGGGCCGGGTAACAAAGGGGGTTATTCACACCCTTGCCCAATTTAATCCAGTGTGCTTTTTTACTTTTTACTTGGCCTGCCCACCTCATATAAGGTGGGCAGCTCGCCCTCCTCTTATCAGAGGGGCGGCTTCGCCCTTTACCTTCTTTTCTAGCCATTTCTTATTTATTTTTTTATTTTTTAGAAATCACGTCTTTTTACCACAAATTGAGATCCCCGGACTAGTGTACGTAGTAGTGCCTTTTTCTTCGTTATATCGACTATCTGGCTATGGAGTCCCATTTCTGTACTCTATAAGGCTCCCCTGCGGCTCGCCTTAGTGTTGTTTTTGGGTTTTTTGTATTGTGGTGCCTTGTCACCGCTTCGATATGGAGAACTTCCGGTAGGTATCCGGGATTACCTGTCTCCCTCAAGTAGTGCCGCCTTGCGTGTTTTCTAGGTTGCCTTCCAATCCCTCCGTGTCTTCCACGTTGGCTTCCGTGATGTCCGCGTCATCTTCCACGCTTTACTCGTTGTCTCGGATAGCCCGAAAAGGGTTGTCTATCAATAGTTTGCAGACGTACAGCTCCACTAGAGGCAAGCCAAAGTTACCGTAGTCATACTCGAATATATAGTTAATTTCTTCCACTGACAAGTCGTCACACTCGGCGCCCGATGGCGTGCTAATCCTGAATCTCCGATAGGATTTCTCCTGCAACGCGTCTAGGGCCTCTTCCCAGGTGCCAGTTCGCAATTCGAAGAGATGCATACCCAACGTGATCAACGTCGGCTGTATTCTCTTTAGGAAGATGCGAAGGTCGGACAGGTCGAGAGTAATGTTACGCATCTCAATGTTTGTAAGGTTCAGCCACGGGTGTGAGGTTAAGGCCGGGCCCATTAGGGCTAACCCCCAGCTATTTTCATTTTCACACAAGGAAAAGAATAGGTGTTCTAGATTTAGAGTATCCAAGTGAAACTTGAAAACCTGTTCCGAATCGTTCTTTGAGCCGCACTTGACTATTTGGAGTTGAAAGTCTCTCAGCTGCTGCATCGTGGACAAAACGCCCTCTCGGTACCTCGGGCGCGGTAGTAGGTGCCGAATATCGTTCAGAAACGATAAATTGATGACGATACTATGCAGCCGTATTCCGGTTTCGGGGATATAATGTAGTCTTGGGAATGAGCATGCAGGTGTCCACGTCGAGTCCCTGATCATCCGCATGCCCTTCCGTTGGTTGTAGCATATTATCATAGACTGCGCCGTGAAAATCTCCTCTATGACTGATGAACGAGCGTGATTCGAAAGGCAAATCGTCTATACTGTCAAATTGTAGGCTTCTTACCCGCGGCATCCTAGCCACAGCATAGCCAACACCTCGGGGGAGGACCGTGTACCATCTGATCGACTCTTGCACGTCGTAAAGTCTCTAGTACTTTTGATGTGTCGCTTCTAGAAATACTCGATTCTGCTCGTCGTCGCAAGAACCTGTTTCTCGGAATTGACGCCAGGCAGCGAGAGTTGTTCTGGCCTTTGTAACAAGCTCCAGCCATTGCTCCTCTGAAAAGATTCGCCTCTCACTAGGGCCGTCACCGTGCACCCAAGATTCCTTGAGTTCGAGTACACTTAATACCGTTTCGACTTCCTCGAGATGAAAATCAATCAACTCATTGATATCGTCGTTGAATCTCTGTTTGTAAGTATAGACTAAAGGACAACTCGGATGGCTTCGACGCCCTTACTAGACCTGGTGACCCAATAAGGAAATCGCCCTACAACGAAATCTCTGCCCCTGTCATCTAATTTCCCATCCTACAGCTTTAAAATACCATAACTTCATCAAATCAAGCCCAAATTGCTTCAAAATAGGCCATGTCGGACCGTCGCGAGCAGCTCATTGAAGCTGCAATATTTTCTGTTGAGCAGGGCGCTTCGCAGAAGGACGCTGCCAAGTTACATGGCATCCCTGCCTCGACCCTCTGTAAACGCATCCATGGCGCAGAAAATCGAGCAAAAAGTAACAGACGGAAAAAAATGTCTCCGATGCGCAGGAAAGCTTCCTAGCCGACTGTTACCTTAATGAGGAAGCTGTAGGGCGTGCGCCTAGCCGTCGTTAGGTCTAGAGATTCGCTCAGGCTATACTTGATGAGGCTGGCACGAAAAAGATGGTGGGCGAGCGATATGTGGATCGCTTCCTACGCCGCAACCCGGCGGTAAAAATGAAGAATTCGGCCTTGTCGGAATCCTCTCGCGTCAGAGGCTCTACTCGTGAGGCTTACGAAGACTTCTATAAGCGCCTGGACTTCCAGATCAAGGACAAAAAGGTCAAACCGGCCAACATCGCCAATACGGACGAGCACGGTATGTAGGAGCTTGAGACCCGAGCCGGAAAGGTCATCGGAAGCTCCCTAACGAACCGAACCTACCTATAAAGCTCTAATGTAACTGCCTGGGTCATAGTTATCGAATGCGGCACTGTAGGGGGTATTCGTTTAAAGCCCATAATTATATTTACCAGGGCCAGTCTTCAAGGGTAATACTTTCCCTATGACTTCAGCCTGGAAGCCGAACTCCCGGATTGGAAGTATGACTACTTAATAATAGGCTGGAGCAACGCCAAAATCGCTTCAAAATGGCTCAAGGAGGTCTACCTGATCCAAACAATGCCCCAAACGCCGGGCGAATAGCGTCTATTAATCCTTGACGAACATTCGAGCGATGTAGACGAAGAATTCATATTGACGGAATAGAGAAACAAGGTCCAGTTTGTCTTTCTGCCCTCATATACATCGCAAAAGTCCCAGCCTCTCGATCGCTCAGTCTTTTCACCTTTGAAGAACTATTTTAGGCAAAACACCAAGGCCCTCGCGGGCTTCACTTCGTCGGCGCCTATCAACAAGTAACGGTTCCTTTTTTGCTATAGAGATGCCTTGGCCCGGGGCATGAACGCCCGTAACATTATCTCGGGCTTTAGTAATACGGGGATCTGGCCGTACAACCCGGCCCGTATACTGGATGATCCCGAGGCGTTCGTCAACGAAGATGCCCTCCCGGCCAGGCCTTCAACGCCGCCGACGGCGGCCCCGAACGACGACGACAAGCTCCTCAAAACACCTCATGGTAGTCAGGACATTAAGAAGTACCAGGATAGTATTCGGAATGCCCTCAGTCCGGCTTACCGGCGTGTGAGGGCCTTATTTACCAAGGTAGGGAGGTCCCTGGATCTGAAGAATACGGAGATCGCGTCTTTGAAGGCACAAATTACGCATCTCACGACCGAATTAGAGGCTTTAAAGCCTCGCACGCGTAAGAGGGTATACGAAGATGGAAATGAGAAATTTGCAGGTATTCAGGACATTGACAACGCCCAAAAAGCCTGGCAGATGCCCCAAGCGAAAAAGACCGGCCCGGGCACCAAATCAGCCACATGCAGTCGAAGAAGCCCGGGAAATAATCGCCCGTGGGCTCGAGCGATACAGAGAGGCTGAAGAAGAGGATTGAGTACTTTTTGGCTAGTTATTTTCTGTAGAAGTGGATGATTTGCGCCCGTGGAGTGGGTGTGGGTATGGTGTGGGTCAATTTCGTTGATGGGCGATTTCGTTGTTGGGTCAGCTCTTCTAATAGTGGGGTGACGGGAAATTTCCCCCAGGCGCTCAAAAGACGAAGGCGTGAGTCTAAGGCGTATAAGACGAATGAGCATCGGGTCGCTGAGGCTGCAAAGACGCCGACAGGTCAGACGGCAGTTCCGAATATCCTCTGTACCGATATGCCATTCTGAGCACTCGTCGGGCTGGGAGCCGCGCAAAAGGTTGAGTACCAAGAGAAGAATCTCGTCGGGCATGTCTAGGATGTACAGGTTTCTTAAAAAACGGGCGCGAGAGTTTGTTGATCGAGTGGCGAAGAGCGTCTTGGGTTTCTCGAGGGCTGTGGCTCGAAACGTTTAGTCTGCTGAGCTCTTCGTCGATGCTGGTTTCGGACTCGAGGACAGCGTTTCGGCCGGCGTGGGACCACCAATCTCTGAAGCTCTCCCAAATCTCTCGTTCACGACGAGACGGCCGATTGTTCCCTGTTTGGAAGTAAATCGCTTTGGTAGCCATCCAGCGCTCGCGATCACGTTCCAGCCCCGCAAGCTCTTCGTTTGCAGCCCGGAGGCCGTCGTAAGCCTTCTTGAGAGTTGCGCGATCTTCGGTGTTGGCCACCATTTGCACGTGTCGGTGCAATCCAAACCCCCCTTGGCAGAGAGGAGGCGTTTCTGCGTCGGCCATATCGACATCAGCAATTTTTCTTGTTTTTGTTGATGTTGTTGTCTGGTGACGGTGTGTGTGCCTGATTGACGCGACAGTGGTTGTGGGGTATTGAAAAACTGTCGATAGAACGGGTTGTCTTTTCTAAGTTCCCAGGCCGAAGGCCTGAGGTACGAATGCTGGATCAATCTCCCCTGGCGGGGCTTTCAGTATGCTTCCGGGCTGAGAGGAGAGCTCTACTTTGTGCCTAATTAGCTCCAAGGCCGGGGAATGGAAAAACATTAGTGCAGTGATTTTGACTAGGGGTTTTTAACCTTTAGTAGGGTGGGTTGGCGGGACCTCAGGCCCCGGGCGAAGTGGACCCCATTGCCGAAGTCTTCATCTGAAGAATTCGATATATAGATTAAAGTTGGTCACGAAAAAAGCCAATACCCGGCGGAAGCACGAAGCACAAGTCCAACACCAAAGGTTCTCGGATCCGGCTACAACTAGCGCATCACATACCGGCCGCTCCGCTCCACACACCCGAACTCCACACACCCGAACTCTGAACGGCCCGGAACCTTCAAGGTTCGGCATAACCATAGATTTACGACCCGATGACACGTACACCGAGAAGACTCACGCCGTGCCGTAGTGTCAAATTCCGTCTCTTTCCATAGATAATTCTCTCACTGAATCTAACGAAGCGTTGTAGGCAAAAGAGCACATGTTTTGCACGCGGACACAGTGACGGGATATTTGCCTGGAATGGAGAACAGGGCAAATAAAGAACTAACCCAAATTTGTAACTGTGTGTCGTTGCGCCATCAGCAAAACAGGGTCCAGCTAGATAGGATTTTCTAGAACACGGGATGGGATGTATTACTCCGGATTACTGGAACGGCAACGGCGACAAGAAAACCAACATTTTGCGCCAGTCGTTGCTCTTCATCTGCCAGACGGGCCGTCACGGCCCGCAGAACGGTTTCCGCCTCTGTGTCGTCCACCGGGGGTATTGCATTGAGTCGCCGACAAAGGTTGAAGGCACGCCCGAGGACGATGTTGATCGCCTAGAAAAGCCAATTGCGCAGGTTGTGGTGCTGGGACAGGCGCCGATTCTTAGCGACAGCGAGGGCGAGGAAGAGGACCAGGAGGGTACTACTAATTAAGGTGTGATCGGGGGCGATGATTTCGTTAACCCTTCCCGATCCCTGCCAAATTTCACAAGATCGTGCACGACGAGTTCTGAAGAGCCAGGAGGAAACAAAAGATGTTTTGTCCGCTACGGTGTTTGAAGGTGATTGATGGTGCGGCTGATCATTGTTCTGGCGGTCTTCTCTGAGATATTGCCTCGAACTTGACAGTCAGTTTGATGTCGCAATTTGCTTCGCATACATACCGGTGCCTTGTCTTCTTGGACCAGGCCCATACCAGAGGAACAGACCTGCGGCTTCCAGACTCGTACCGCCCTGCTGTGACGCTGGGTGCTGGCGTCACCAAAGACACTCTCGCCCAAGGTTAGCTTACTCCTGATTTCCAAAGACTCTTCTTGTGTGGTGGCTGACGTAATTCTTACTCTTTTAGCTTGCATGCGAATGCGGAAACCAGTCCGTGACTTTCTGCGTGTCGACAGAAATACAGACTAGGATCCGCAAGCTGCGAGGTCTCGGCAGCGAACGACCGCTTCAGGTGGCCGACGTCCTGACCTGGTCTATATCGGAGACATTGGCCGAGATAGGTCGAAGCGGACCGCTCTGGGCAGCCTAGGGATGCCGCCACCAGTACTGGGAGGCGATGTGGGACAGGGTCAGGGAAACTGGGCACTTCACAGCCGTGGATGTGGATGCGCACCTGGAGGACGAAGCTTAGTCTCTAGATCGGCGTTATCGGCCGCGTATTGCCGAGACCGGCCGAGCCGGGCCTTCTGTTTTCGTCTCCAGGCTCGAATCAATGCCGGAGGTGGACTCTCGTCTAGCAGAGATTAAGAAGAAGACCCCACAGAAATGCGAGGAATTCCGACCTGGGATGACGGAATCATGGGCTGGCAGTCTCCAAGAGGAGCAGGAGCGCGAACTAGCCCCCGAGATCGAGGAGGAGCGGCAAATCGAGCGCCCGGCTCCTCGAAAGGCGGCTTGCCACCGTCTCCACGAAGACGTCGTCCTATTCGTCCGTACCGGGCGCACCCCGCCCGACAGCAGAGCATTCATGCCTGCGTTCACGGCGATGCAAGATTCCAGCGCAGCAGAATATACCTCTCACCCGCCGGCTTTCCCAGCGACGAGCAGGATCTGCTCGTTACGGCCGATTTCGCGCGAACCGTTGTCAACAGCGACGGCCAAGCGGTCTGTTCCGACACGTACCAGCGCCCTGTCCAGTGGATTCTCACGAGCCATGTTGACGACGACGACGACGACGACAACGATGACAACAGCCTTCGCTACGGGATGCGCATGGTCGTTGTCAGCCAATGGGAGGCAGACCAGCTCAAGTCCTGCATCGCGAACACCGACGGTGCCGAGGCCTGCGCGGTGGCGCTGCACGCCTATCTCCCCCAGCCAAGCCTGACATTCCCTTCCCTGGACGACCTCCGCGCGTACACTGTCCCTCCGCTCCACCCCCAGGGCTGGGCAGCTTCGCCCGAGCTAATAATGCAGCTCAACCTGTTCGCAGGCCAGCTCTGCCTTGCATCATACAGCGAGTACGTCAGGCTCTGCCGCTTCTTGGGGCTTGCGTACACTCTGAACACGGGGGGCATGGACATCGCCGCAGACAGGTTCGTGGAAGCCGTCCTGGTGAATACGAGGAATGCAGTTTTAGTGCCAGTCCAGTTGCGTTTCTGAACGCGCTCTACAAAAGGATTCGCCGCGACTGTGTCGGAATTGAGAAGACGCACATGGGTTTTCTGATCATCGCTTGCTGGTAAGATGTAGATGAACACACATGGAGAATTGCATGGTCAAGGCAGTTGGTACTCCGTACGATAGCTTCAATTAGCAGGGCTAGTCATAGGCTCAGAATGACAAACCAACTACTTGATAGGCAAAGTTGTGAGAATTTGAGGTGTGACAACCACTTCTGGGCCTATTGGACGTGCGATTCACAGGATTGCCTGGCACTGCCACCACCACTTGACCTTGCTGCCTTTATTACGCCGACATGGCCTAAAAACTGCAGTTTGACAGTCAAAACCGATTCGCGTCACAATATAGTTCTAGATGAAGGCCGCCTGAAACCGACTTGATATCCTCTTCGCGGCCAGCCTCGCCGCGGGGCGACGCTGCGGTTTGCTTGTGCGAAGCATAAAGCAGCTGAAGGCAGGCGAAACCGGCGTGTACGGCCTGGATTAGCGCAGACGGCGGAATAGTCGCCACAGCGAGGCTGCAAATGTTGGTAGCCACGGCCTGTGGAACTATCTGTTGGCCCTAGCTGATCCGTATCATGCAGGGCAGCAACGGACGAGAACTGGGCCGCAAAAAGAGGTGGGAGAAAATCCCAACTGGCGCGTGTGCCGGGGGTGGCAACCGGTGTACAAAGACCCCCAACATATTTCATACATTCTTGCGTACCCCAGAATAGCCCCACGATAAAGCACTTTAGGCGAATACCACTGCATTACATGTATTACAACAAATCCCCCATTGGTTCGGCGAATCGCAGCGTACCTACCGCCACAGTCGTTGGCCCATTCATTATCGAAATAACTGGCTCCCGACGGAGTCTTCCGAGAAGAACCACCAGGTTTAGTGTCGGAGGCGCAAGTTCAAAGGTTCGATGCCATGTGGGTGGGCTTGTTGGGAGCAAATTGTGTTATGGAAAAGGAACTTGAAAGGAAAGGAAGGTGGAGCGTGGAATGGGCAGAGTGTGGTCACGCCTGTGGGCACCTTTCAAGTGAAACACCAAAACATGATAAATTTGCGCACTACTACGTGTATCGGGTGTCGTTAGTAGCTGAAAATGAGGCACATTTCTTTAGCGGTGACAAGTACGCCCTCATCGATACCGACAAGCGCCTCATCGTCAACGGCCTACACACAACTACTACTATGGCCTTCTTTGCGCTCAGCCAACTTCACCCATATTTACGCCGTCCTTCCGCACCCGAAGGGAAATGGCGAAGCATACCTTTTCAGCGGAAACATGTATGCAAACATCAAGGTAAAGCCCGGTGCACGAGATGACTTTATTGTCAACGGGCCGAAGCGTATACGTGCTCGTCAAGATAAAGCCATGGGGCAACGATAATTACATTGCGAATGGGCCCAAGTCCGTCTCCGAGAACCGGCTCTCGTTGCGGGAAGCGTTACATACATGCCTCGCCAAGGCGGGTTTCTATATTGTTGATTCGTATTCTTTGTCTACAGCAACGCCAATAGGTCGTCAATGACAAGTAAGACAACTTCAAGAACCTGTTTATTTTTATCATCGCTCGTTTCATAACATATTGTCTCCTATTTCACACGCCAACTGCACGGCAGTGGCTAATCTAGAGAGGCAATCGCCGCAACGACTAGCTGTATTAGAAGGACCGGGGACATTGAACATTGCAAACTGCTCACCTCCAAGTCCGCGACTTTCGCTCTTCGAGGCTTTCTGGGCTCAGCCAACCTTCTTCGGATAACAATGGCCAAGATCCCAAAACCCGAATACTAACCCACAGGCCCGGAAAGTACCTTACCCTGTAAGCAAGCAGTGAGAAGTGTAAGAATGCAGCCAAGCAGAACACAAAAGTCGGAACTGCCGAGGCGAGGCGAGGGTGCTCGGGAGCGGTCCAAAAGCATCCTGATTATCCGGCATTTGGGCGCGACCGTCTTTCAGCCGTCGACACTCCGTCTGATGGGGACTTTCCAAAGCCGCGCATATTTTACCCGACAGACGCTCGGTTGAAGTTGGCGAGTGGCAATCTATATCCCTTATTACCTATAACACGACGTGCAATCATACCCGGCACTTCAGCCAAGCCAAGGCAAGCCAAGGCAAGCCACGTAGCTATTTAAGTGGGATCCCTCGTTCAAAGGAGACCGGTGTCCCCTGTGTCGTCGCAGTAATTACCATCCCTACGCACCCATCCGACCAAAAGACCGTCCACGATGTTTTTCAAGGTCGTATTCTCGGCAGCCATCCTGGCGCTCTGGTAGGAGGATCCCCGGCCCGAGATGGAGAGACAGACCAGTGGCTGACCAAAGACAGCGTCAACGCGGCGCCTGTGGCCGACCCGGCCAAGACGTTCAAGTTCCTGGTCGACGACCCGACCAAGGGCAAATACTACCTCGCCAGCAAGGGCGCGGGCACGCAGGATGTGTCCAAGGCCCTCACGTGCGAGCTGACGGCCGACGTCATCAAGTGCGGCGGAAAGGGGTTCCCGGCCTACTCGGGCGACATGACCAAGCTGGCCCCCGGCGCCACGGCGAGCACGGGCTGGTCGATTGACGCCGATGGCGGCATCCACTGGAGCGCGGCGCCGAGCATGAAGTTCAGCCTGGGCATCAACGGCGCTACCGACGTGTGGGCAGAGACGTGCCCGCATCACTGGCAGACACACGGAACTGCCAAGGCCGTCTACGACGACGCCACCGCCGCTGCTTAGAGAAGGACTCGGGCTGTCAATGTATACTTACTACCCGTATCGTATTCGTGTGTAAAAACTTTTATTGCTCTTGGAGGGAAAGGATGGTTTCGTGTAAGCCCCTTTCGTGCGAGGAGTGGACCGACTGATGGTAAACCCAAACGACTGCCGCGGCAACCTTCCATGCATCAACACCACCTTTCCGCTTCTGTTGCGCCGCACGATGAAGCTGCCTTCCCCCACCCCCCTCAACCAAGGTCGACCGACCCCTCGCTAATCGAGGGCTTCCCCGCCGTCACACCGACTGCACGCCTACGATCCCCAGCAGCCAATCCGGGCTTATTAGACGTACGATTTATACGCTTGCCTGGCACAGCCACCGCCACTCCGCCTTGGTCCGACGGCGTGCCTTTGCTGCGCCGACACGGGCCCAGGCGCCCGAATTTGACCGTTAATAACTAGGTAACAGTTACCGCATCACATATTGAACGCTTTTCAGATTTTGGGTTGTGCGTGATAATGTCGTCCTCTGGAGTATGTCCCGCAGACAGCCAGGCGTCGCCGTTTGGGCGGCGGGTCTTGGTCGTTGATACCGGGTACGTCCCCGTAGCGAGCGCTGGTCCGTACACTAATTATCGGCTGACATCTCGCCGCGTGGGCAGATCGTATACGGTAAAAGCAGGGTTCGGCGGCGATGTGAGGCCCTCGTCCGAGTTTGGTGCGTCGATGCTCCCAACAGCCTCTCATATAGTTGGGATTCGCTTGCTAACTGCAGTGGTCCTCAGCATCCATTGTGGGATATCCGAGACACGTCCCGTAAGCGTGATTGCCCGCCGCTTCCTGTTGCGAATGATATCACGCTCGAATTCGAACTTATTGGTTGGCGGTAATTAGAGTGTGCACGCTCGGGATGAACTGGAAGAGCAACTTCACCGGCCCCGAGATCACCGACTCCAACCGCTTCATGCTCAACGTTGTCTCGCCGCTCCAAGACATAACAGTCACGAACTGGGACAGCCTCGAAACGCTCTGGGCATATACCTTCGGCCGCGAGTTGAATGCCAACGCGGAGGACCACGCCGTCGCCATGACGGAGCCGGCTGGCTGGGGGCCTAGGGACAGGTATCCCCCATCATCTGCATCTGTATCCACGCAAAGCGTGTCAATTATCCACGCAAAGCGTGTCAATCTGCACTGCTAACCATCAACCCCCTCTGCCACGAAAGAGAAAAGTTCGCCATGATCATGTTCGAGACCTTTGACGTGCCAGCCCTCTTCTCCTCCACCACGGCCCCGCTGGCTTTGTACGCGTCGGGACGCACGACGGGGCTGGTTGTCGACTCGGGCCACGGTGCCACCAGCGTGATGCCCGTGTACGCGGGCTTCCCATTGCCGCACGCCGTGCGCCCGTTCGCATTCGCCGGGCGCGATGTCACCTCGCACCTGCGGTCGATGATGCTCGGTTCCAGTGCCGGTTCACCACGCCCACCCGCTGCTGGAGGGGTAGGGACTGCCCGGGCTAGAATTACAGGGACGGAGAGATGGGAAGACGACCTCGCCGTCATCCGCGACATCAAGCACGCGCGCTGCGGCGTGTCTCTCGGGGTTTCCGCCGATTCCGTCGCCAGCGGTAGTGACCCGGAAAAGTCGGAACTGGGAGAGAGGTTATACACCCTGCCCGACGGCCAGACAATTACCGTTGGTGAGACCCTGGCGTCACGCGCCCCTGAGCCAATGTTTACCCCCATACACGGGTTGCAGTCTGCAGTCCTTGAGGCCGTCGCCAGGGTGGATCATCAGCTGAGAGGCGAGTTGCTGGGAAATATTGTGCTAGTATGTTATGTCTCTCCCATTAGATACTTTGCCTTGGCTTTCCGAGCTGCGCAGTCCCATATTCTGACATTCACTACGCCGGCAGGCCGGAGGCAACACCCTGCTTCCGGGGTTTAGCGACCGGCTGCGTAAGGAGCTGGATGCTGCCGTCCCACGGGACGCACAGGTCAATGTCGTCGCACCGCACGACGCGCAATACTCTGCCTGGCGCGGCGCGTCGATGCTCGCCGGTCTCGGCACGTTCCGGCACATGGCCATTCCCAAGGAGACGTACGACGAGTATGGCCCTATGGTGCTACGGTGGATGTGCTTGGGTTTGGGAGTTTGATGTGGTGTTTTTTTGGTCTGCATGAGGCATGTTACAAGTTGACGGCGCTGTTTTGTACATTTTAATGCCAAAGAAAACAAACCCTCGTTATTTAGTTGTTGTGATGTCGAGACATGCAAGAGAAGCGTTTCAATCAAGACGCCTCGCTCCTTTTCCTGTAATGCAGAACACGCTGTTGCACCCGCTGGGAAAGGCGCCCCTCCCGATCGGGTATAGCGCCGCGCCAGACCCGCTTGCTCGCTGGTTATAATGTGTGAGTGTATGCACGTGTTACTACGGGCCCTGGTCAAGGACGTGAGACACCTGTTGACCTTAGGTGAGCCTAGCAGTATGATATGAGGCAACCCCCAAATGTCAGATACAAGTCTAAACGAAACTGCCCGCAACGTGTATTATAACTATGGATATAATTAATTAGATATGACATCGTGGCCATGGTTATAATCTTACCTCTCTTTCCTTGGCCTGCCTACAGACCGTTCACGTGGCTGAGGAGCATCGAGAGTCTTAGGGGTCTACTTTCTTAGCGCGGCTACACGTAGTAGACTGGCCAATCAAAGCAACTGAGCCCTCTTCCCTCGACCTAACTCACAGCTCGTCATCTCCCGGTCCCGGCTGTAGGGGTTAGTAGAGAGGGGCCTTACGTAGTCCCAGGCGGTTGGTTTTGTATCTCCCCATGTCTAGCTAATGACCGAGAGCCCTTGATAGGAGAGAAGGAGCGGATCTTTCTGCCAACCCACCGCAGCCAATCTCGACCCTTGCGTCGAATGTCCGAAGAGTGGATAACCTTGTCGAGGAAGTGTTGCCTCTGGCTCTCGATGTAATCGCAGTATGCTTGTGCTGTGCGGCGCGCTTCCTCCTCTGTGTCTGGCGTTTGGTATGTTTCAGCAATAGCATGTGATACGTACATGCAAGGGCGTGGGAAAGAGGGTCCTTGGTGTGTTGCTGGCTTGATCTCTGTGCGATCGGCTACCATTATCCGCCATACCAATAATTGTCGATTGTTGTATTCCTGGTTCTCACCCTCCTCACCAAGCGGCCGGAAGTCGTGTATACGGCACCATACGCAGCTCTCTCCGTTCGGGCGCCCTACCTTGTAGGTCTAGACAAATTTATCGGCCAATAAGCAGACGTTCTGGCGAAATTCGATGATGGCGGCCATCTTGGCGACGGACGGCGCGCGTGGGTCGCCCCTGAGGAAGAACAAAATCGCGGACGCTACTTGGTTGCCATAGCCCCTGTTCCAATCGCCCAAGCAGAGTTGCTGAAACTGCTGCGCCATGCTGTAGACCCGCGCATGCTCCTGGTCTTTGAACTGAACCCCGCCGGATAGAGAGACAGATTCTATAGAACCAGCAGCGTCCGGGAATATATGGCGTGGGTACGTAGGTAGTTAATCCCAACGTTCCTTGAAGCCGGCCAAAGGAATCGCGGTTCTCCTAGACCACGAAAAAGTCCACTGGTCGTCCTGGGCGCTGAAGCAAAAATCCTTGGTCAGGACGTCAGAGATTCCCCGCGCTTTTAATACCGTCGTGACGGAGCGGCAGAACTCGTTGTACGTTTCTGTCTGTATTTCGGTTGGCTCCTCGGGCTGGATGCTTTCCGAGCCCTCGCTGTCGTCTAGCTCCTTCCTCGCCTCCTGCGTGAGCAACGGCGAAGAGGCGCTGGAGAGCGCGTCGATGATCGCTCCAGCGAAGAGGGATCCGCAAACTCGTCCTAGGCTTGCTGAGACTGGGAACGATAAGGACACGTCATTAAAGGTAGCGGCTGCTAATGCTGTGCTGTTGAAGTCGGGCGCAACCACCCATCCACCCGAGTAACATGATGTTACGAGTAAGGTTGTTCGGGTATTTCCTAATGCGCTCTTTAGCCGTACAAGGCTAAACCCCTTCCCGGAGTTACCATGGTCGAGGAGGAGACTGTGGTCTCGTGACCCGTGACAGGATACCATCAGAAGGATTGGGTGCTTGTCCTTGGCGCGAGCAGCGGCTTTGGAGACCTCGTCGAGAAATTTATCAACCATCTTGGCGGGTGGAACGACCGTTACAGGAGTGATCTCAGACTCGAGAAGCTCAGGGCTGAGGACGACCTTGGGACATTCAGAAGCGGTACCGTGGTAATAAGGGCCATACTTCTTCAACAGTTTGCTAGGCTCGGCAGCCGTAAGCCATACTTGGTTGGTAACTGAACCTTTCAGGAGGTAGTTGAAAGCGTAAAAGTCGGAGAGGAACCACCCTTCGTCAAACTGGGAGCCGGAGGAGACTGTCGGGTGGGTTGCTGCGACGATGATGGTATTGTCAAAGATGTAGGGGAACGTGTGAGTGATAAAAGTCCCGCGCTCTTTATCGGGGTACGGGGCAGACATTCCCTTGTGCACGCCGCCCGTGGTAAGCGTAGCTTAGCTCTGCCATCTAACTGTCAAAAGAAGGGATAGCCTAGGACGTCGTCGACGGAATAATGTACTTGCTTGACCTGAGATTCGGTGCTGTGGTTGATGTGCCGGCGTGGCTACAAGTCGATTGGGATAGGTTGTGCGGTCGTAATTGCGGCAGCCAGTCCACTGAGGAGTATGTTGTTAGGTGAAAAACTGGCGGGGCCCGACCTTCTCATTGGCTATTTGGAGTTTCCTCTTTGTCGGGAAGGAATTACCTTCAACACTAACCGAGGCCCGACCGAAGTTATTATGACGTCAAGCGTGTAGAATGGGCCGCTTGGTCCACGTGGAGTAAGTTGAGTAAGTCCCGCACTGTCGAGGTCCCCGAGAATGGCGGCACTGCCCTGCCAAATTCGGCGGTCACAACAGCAAGTTCTGTACTTGTTTTGTAAATTATTATCCCACGTGTCTCAATATTAGCTACCCAAATTCCTCCTGAAACTATCGTAACGCCTCCGTGAAGTCGCGCCTGTATTGTTTAGTTTCGGGCCTTATTTAAGTTTACGAACCCGTTATCGTAGAAGAACCTCGGCTATTTTCTTTGGATGCCTTATTCTAGCTTTTAAATTCCTTAACCTAAAAGCACCCCGTCCACTTTACTGCTCCGAAGTTAAAGCAGGTTGGAAAAGTTAGCGCCCCTCAGGCCGCTGTGTATGAAGAACATGCCCCGACCTCTGTGCAATTTCTTTTGGACAATTAAAGTAAACAACTAGACCACCTCGTTCCCGCTAGCCCTGGCTCGCACCCTGGTAAAGACCCGATCTCTGCTCAGAATTATCGGCTGCACTCACCCAACTACGACTTCCTCAATAATTCAACTCCGCAACGCACGGTTCTTCTCTGACAACCCTCTCAACACGGAACATCCTCACAACGATCCGCGCCTTGGCTGCCCCCAAGGGGATATCAAGGGCCTTGAAGAGACCATCGCCAAACAAAATGACAAAATAGCAGAGGTACTCGCGATACTCGTGAAAGTTAATCAGGGCTTGGATCGCATGCAAGAGAAATTAGGCCAGGGCTTTCACCTCATCCAACTCCAAAGAGAATTTGATCAGAGCTTCATCCGCATCCAGGGGATTACTAGCAACCCCGCAAAGACTGTCGCGAAAATGGATGACCGAATGGCACAGCCAGCCGCGAAACCGATACAGCGCCATGCAGAGATTATCGCGAAACTGGTTCGGCGCCATGCAGAGGTTGTCGCGGGACTGGTTCAGGACCACGCAGAGATGATCACGGAACTGGTTCGGCGCCATAGAGAGACTGTCGCGAAATTAGGGGATCCGCGCCATGCAGAGACTGTCGCGGTACTGGATCAGCGTCATGCTGAGGCTGTCAAGGTAGCAGTTCAGCGCCATGCAGATTTTGTCGAGGAGACGACCCTTCGCCATGCAGAGATTGTCGCGAGAATGACTCATCGATATATGCATCGACAGACAGCTGACCAACATCGCTAAGAAAGAAAGGGGCTTGTGGATACACGAATAAGCCGCTCAGCTAGCGAAGTGCGATATTAGGTTGGAAGGTTCGCTTATTTGCTACGCACGGAATTTTATGGTGAAAGCTTTGATCAAAGCTTTGGGGCTGTGTGAGTTTGGCTCGATCGTGAACCCTCTGCCCTCATTACCCGGTATCTTTCACATGGGAATTCGCTGGGTGGGGGGACAGGCCCTCTCTTGCAAATGGTTTCGTCATCTTCGGCAACGTTTTCGGGGTTTTCCAACTCAACGTGGAGACCAGGAGAGAGATCATCGGGGCAAGGACAATGGGTGGTAGCGCCAGGGTTTTAATTGAGTAATTTGCGTGGTAATTAACGTCGTCTTGTGCATCATCTTGACCTCAGCCACCGTTATTCAACCTTCCAAGTGATTCGTGGTTCGGCCCATATCGGTCCTGCCACTCAGGGCGGCAAATCTTTGTCCTCGCTCCTCACTCTTCTTGTACCTTGACCACGGGCTTCTTCGTAAACTTGCCGGCTTCCAGATCGGCAATACTCTCCATGATCCTGTCCCACCCCGCCCCCGGCACGAGCTGGTAGTCCAGCGGACGGAGGGCGCCAGTCTCGATGTGGCCCTCGAAGGCGGCGACCAGTTCGGCAATCACGCCGGTGACGTGTTTGCCAAGAGGCTGTTCGAGACGGCCCAGCGTGCCGAACTGCACGCGGTAGACGTTGATCGAGTCTGAGACGTTCATTTCGGACCTGGTTGATGTTGTTTTCGTTAGCGGACAATCACGATGGAGGCACCATGTAATAAAATCTTGGAAGCACTAAATAGTTTCTGCACCCTTGAAGGGGGAAGAAGACGGAAAGAGGGAATGATACTGTAAACAGGGGAAAGCGCACCAATCATCGACAGTCGCGAAGAACTTGTCCTCCTCACGAGCAATGGTCTCGAGCGCCTTGATGGACAGCTCAAACGCCTGCGCGCTGGCATCGACGACGTGTCGAAATTGTCCGCCGCCCGTGACGCGCTCAATGATGCCCAGCTGCTCGTCCAGCGGCGCGCGGTTGTCGAACGTGGCGTCGGCGCCGGCCTTACGCGCGATCTGTCCGCCGCGAACAAACCCGCCTCACACATCAGCGACGGAACACATAATGCCTGCCTGCCTGCCTGCCTGCCTGCCTGCCTGCCTGCCTGCCTGCCTGCTTGCCTAGAGGTGACAGCGCGGCGGATGCTGATAGATAGGCCTCACCTCGGCCTTGGACGGCGAGCACGACGCTAACACCTTGTATCCGCACAGCTTGGCGATCTGCACGGCGTACTGCCCGACAGTGCCGCTGCCGCCCATGACGACGACCCACGAGTCCCTGCGCGGCGCGGCCGTGCCCGGCGATGGCAGCTGCAGCCTCAGCCCGTCAATAAGCGCAAGGCCAGCCGTCTGCCCAGGCACTCATCAGCACACACTCCCATCTTTCTATTCTTCTAGAGGCAAAGACAGAAACCCACCAGCGATCCCGCGCCGACCGTGCTGCCCTCCTCGAGGCCGACGCGGGCGGTCTTCTTGAAGACCCACGCCTCGTCGACGAGGAACGTCTCCTGGAACGGCGAGAAGCGGTTCAGCCCCACGGGCGCGCAACCGAACACGTAGTCGCCGCGGCGCAGCTTGGTACACTCGGCGCCGGCCTCGAGCACGACGGCCGTCGTGTCGCTGCCGATGACAGCCGGGAACTCGGCGATCAGGATCCCCGAGTGCTGCATGAAGGGCTCGCTGTTGGTTTGAGGTGGGGGTTGGGTTAGTTGTTACCGGGCTGGCTGACAGTCTGGCTGTGGGAAGGGGAGGGGTTAGACGTACACGGGGTTCAAGCCGACGTAGAGGCTCTTGACCAGCGCCTGCTTGGGGCCGACAGTCGGGCGCGGGATGGTGTCCACGACCGTGTACGGCTGGTTGGGTCCCGCGATGGTGATGCCGGTTTGGGTGGCCATGATGAGTTCAAGTTGATGGCAAGAGGTGGTTCGGGTATTAGGAGCTGCTGGGACGCTGAAACCGAAGGTGATGAAGCAAGTCTGTTTCGAGGAGGAGCGAGGACCTTGGCGATGTTAAATATTTGTCATCAGCACAAGGCTCTGAGAGCTCAACCGCAAGTCAACAATACCTTGCGGTATCGATGGACGGCCAGTTAACAGGGCAATGACGACAACGAGAAAGCCTGGGATCTGCAAGCTGCCTCAAACACCGTCGGCAAAGGGTGCGAAGTCGTAAACACCGGGCGGCGATAACAGACAAAAGCCGTTGGATATTAGTGGGCTGCTCTTGCGGGACAAAGAGAGCATGGTGCGCGGGGAATGCGCCTGAGTCGGCCCAGATATCGTCCGTAGCTGACATGCCGCACACTTATCGCCAAGGCTGTGTGGTTCGGTGGTTGGACGGGGCTGGCGCGGCGGCGTTAGTCATGTCGCCTGTCGTCTGCAATGCGCCGTGACAAAGCAACCATCTGCCTAAAGTGTCTGTTCTGAGAGTGGTTGATAATGACTTTCAGGTTCTCAGCTGCGTGCGCACGCCCGATTGCATTCAACCTGGGATAGGTCACGGTGGCGAATTTGACGTGGCGTCGCTCTACATTTCGTAAGTTGAAGTCTCAGAAGTAGTCACCATTTGGGGATAACATGGGCCTCGGCGTAACAAACTTGTCACACTGTGTAGGAATTACCGATCAATCAGGTTCAACGCACGGGCCACACCCGCCCAAACACGTAGCGCAGCACGTGACCGCGGGGCACTCTAACTGAGCGCCTTCGTGCCCCCGTAGTTCGTGATCGTTTTAGTAGACATAGAAGAATACAACACCAGAAACCCCCCCCCCTTTTCGCAACGGTTACTATAGTGACCATTACGAATGACCTTGTCATTCCAATACGCTGGACATGTTGCAGTGCCAAAAAAAGAAAAAAGAAATTGATAATTAATTGTCAGTGAACGAATACAAAAGATGGAGAAAGGCACCCCGGAGGAGTGCGTGGGAAGTAAAAATACACAGAAAATCAAATTAGAAGTAACAACACAGCAAAAAAGCCCACTAGGCCGGAGCTGGATGGCAAGCGCACTCCCGAACTCGGACGCGTCGTCGCTGCCACCCCTGCGCCGGCAGCACTCCCCGACGGTGGCGCCAATGTTGTCCCCGGAGTCGTCGCTGACCCCGCCGAGTCCCCGCCAGACCACGTCATGATGCTCGAGATGTTGGCCGCGGCCGCGTTCCCCACGGTAGCCCGGCACGGGTCGGGCTTCTCGGTGACGGCGTCCGTCTCGACGCACGCCAGCGTTGTGGGCGTGGCCTGGTTCGTCGCGGCGTACTGGGTCGTGGCGCCGAAGCTGACCTGGCCGGCCGCCGAGGCGCAGGTATTGGCCGGCTGGAGGTCGGGCCACGGCGCGTCGTCGGCGACGGTGATCTGGAAGGAGCCGTTGTTGATGGGCCAGGAGATGGAGTACGTCCGCGACCGGTCTTCGAACTCGCACCACGGCCCGATGCTGAACGTCCACGCGAACACGTAGTCGCCCGGCGGCATGGGCTTCAGGGGCTTGCCGGTGCTGGGCACAAAGGTCAGCGACAGCCCAATGAACGGGTCGCCGTCCTGGACCGTGACCGCTGGCTGGTAGAAGCTCTGCGGCGTGCCGATGCTGCCGGTGTCCGCGAACACCAATAGCCCCGAGGACGTCCAGGTTGTCGAGCTGACCGTCCAGTCGAACCTCCATTTGTGCGGGTCCCCGACAGCTTTGTTCTGCACCGCGATGATGACGGCTAGGCCCGTGTCTGGGTTGACGCGGTACCGGCTGCCCGCGACGGGAGAGATGAGGTCGAGTTCCATGGTCGTGTTACCAGCGGACCATGCCGGCGCCGGCCCCAGCGCCGCCACGAGCAGCGCCGAGAGCAGCCATCGCACCCGTCGAGACAAGCGGTCGCAATTCATTGTGCTTTGTGTTTGTACCGTGCAGAGATGAAGCTGACGGCCGAAATTCTGTCGCGTCAGCTTGGGCGGCCCTTGAATGTGGGTCCGGAAATAAGAAGACATCTCGGCCGCTGCCTACCGATCAGGACCGTCAAGCGAAGTTGCAGCGAATACGAGCAAGGGGTTGATTCTTCAGGTCTGGGTCAGTGGGTCTGCAATGACGGCCGTCTTGGAGGTGACACGAGCCTTTCGCAGATTCGCATCCCCATATTGAATGCATATCGGATACAATATACGGTGACACATCTCCCCACAAGATGGCGAGTCTTGCAGCTATTAATATCGAGCAAGGCATATTCGGGATAGAGAACTGCTCAGCCACGACCTCCAAGTTCATCGAATCAGGCTAATTGGACGGCTTGATCCTTGGAGTCCTTTTAACAACATGATGATCTTGTCGAACTTCTGGCAAGTCGACCCTCCTCTTTAAATCACCTTCCCTTGACTAGTAATTATGCCAGCATGTGGGCATAATTAATACCTCCAACTATGGACCCAAAAGCAACTCCGAAAGAGTCTGCAAGCGAGCTGGGAGCTTGAGTCTGGCGCGACGGACCTGCCAGCCAGAGCAGAGCAACCACCGAGATGCTACAAGCCCACTCCATTGCGGTGGCCATTTATCGTCACGCAGATATTTCTTCTCACGCATACCCTCGCCTCGGTTGTGTACGTTTGGCATCTAAAGCCTGGTTCAGACAGGCCACATACCTCAAAGCAAGAGCCGCAGAGACAGACCTTCCCGGACGGAGAGGTAGAGAACAGGACAACCGCCCAAGAGAAGCAACCACTGTTCTTCCAACCACTGTTCTTCTTCCAACCACTGTTCTTCTTCCAACCACTGTTCTTCTTCCAACGACATTCACGGTTCTGCGGCCAACAATATTCGTGTCGGGACAATGGACTACAGAAACAACGTCCGAAATAACCACTGGTGCAAACCCCTCAAGATGGATAACATATACCGAAACACTCATCGCGATCCGCACGACAACACTGACACTAACGCCATCCGTTCAACCCGCCATGAGCTCCGGGGCCTTGACCGTAATCCTGACGGGCACACGACCCGAAACACAAGCTATCATGACCACAAGTCCGAAACCGCGAGTTACGTCCACCACCAACCAACATGGGCTGACATCCGTGTTCTTGACGACGCCTCCTGCCGAGACCCTCACGACCGTCTTTCCCACGCAAACATCAACAATGACCCTGGAAGCCGCCATCAGCGGCCCGTCAGCAATCATATCATTCGTCATCTACACGACATTTGACGCGTCGACACCCAGCGCACCCACCACGCAGCCCCCTTCAGTCGCGTTTATCACGGCGATAGAAAACGGCACCGAAACTACGCTGGTTTCCATCCTAATTCCGATCATGGAGGCCGGCGGCGCGGCGGAACCGCTACTCCACCACGCCCCTTCTGCCGGGAAGGAGGAGAGCCTGGAGCGAGGTCGACGCGACAGTGACACCACTAGAAGGGAGAAGTTTCGAGGCACGCCATTCGTCTGTCTCGAGAGGGTCCACTAAGCCCCCTCAACTACATCCTGTTCCGGCCCGGCGGACTGATATGATTCCTCCAATGTCAGGCGTCGCTACTGTTAGCCCATTCTTCCTCATGGCGCAAGCCCCCGACGGCCAGCCCGCAGCCGCGTCCTTGCTGCTGCCACGGCCCACGAATGAGTTCTACAGCCTCTCCGCCTCTATTCGACACTACAGGCGCCACCCGTTTCTCATCATGGCTGCCGCGGTAGCGCTGCTGGCGAACTTCCTGCCCATCATCATATCTAACGTGGCCTACAGGCTGCAGCAGACATATGTATCGTATCCTGTCTGCGCTAGGGCCAGCATCGGGATACTGGCCATTATGATCATGGCACTTCTGGCCTCGATGCTAGTCAGGTGGCCATATCTGCCTGTTGACCCGCGAACGATTGCAGGCAGCCTGCACTATGTGACGAACTCTGAGAAACCCTCGGCCATCTCGCAGGCCTGTCGCAAGCCTGTCGCATCTGGCGCGAGACGAGCGCGAAAGAAGGGTCGTGGCGCTGCAGTACCGATACTTTTATGGCCAATTTCGCGGACTTCCCGGGCAACGCCGGATGTGCATATGCACACAACTTTCGCTAGATGAGTGAGGCGAGACCCGAAAATCGCTTGTTCCACGACGAGTTCGTTGTAGGAGAGGGAGTGTGAATGGGAATATCGATATGCTTTCCCCTCAAAATATAAACCGCTCTTCACAACTCGTGGCAAATGCAGGTCCGATCCCAAAAGACAACTGGATATCACTGGACACATTGGAAATTGAGAAATTGTCTTGCGGCGGTGACAGGATCGAGACGATGTGACCAATTCTGCCACCTATCATCTGTGGCTCACAGAGCCATCGCAATGTACTTCTAGCAGCACGCGGAATCTGCCAGATATCTTAGCTAGAGACGAAAAACATTCCACCCCGAAGTGGAGGAGAGAATGGAAGGAGGGGAGGGAGGGGATATTGGAGGACTCCGAAAGGTTGAGCATATCACATGTTAAAAACATCTAGTAGACTCTCCCGCCGGGTCAACTTGGCTACTCTCCGAGCAACTCAAGCTAGGAGAGACGTGGTTCAGCTAGAGTGCGGCTGAAAATGATCCAGAAAAAAAGGAAGAAAAGAAAAGAGTGAAATGCGACATGTGAAACGGGCTGGGAAATGTCTCCACTCCGGCTGCACTCGAGCAAAATTGGAAACCGGAAATAGAAGTCGCCAAAACAAAGAAAGACTGGGAGTAAAAACACGGAACCTGAAAAAAGCCCTTTTAGTGGAAGTCAGCCAGCCTAGTAAAAGCTTGACGCTCAAAGGGGTTATTTCACGAAAGGACTTCAATCAAGGCTTGAAGTCGTCTAACTTCAGCCCGAGGGATGCCCGAATGCCGGTCGCCTGGTGGGGTGGCCGGAGCGCTAGAAAGAAGAGTGGAGGACAGCACCCAGGGTGCGGCTGAACGCCCCTGACGTATGGGGAAGGCCGTTGGCAACTCCGCTGCTCAGCTAGGTCCGCCTCACCCACGCACGTCTGCTGATTTTTCTGGGTGGGCACGGTCCACCACACGCAGTCCGGTGTCCACGGTCACACCTTTCGTTCGCCGTCCGTGGTCGACGTGATTCGCAGTTAATTCGTCATCTGTAATACGAGGCCAGCTGCTGCGCACAAGGAGCATAGCGAATGAACGGCGTCAGAAGACAACCCACTAGACACTGTAGAACGCGAGCGCTCGGCCTAGCCGTTGCGCCACGCAGCAAAAGCCAATCACAGCACTCTCCGCGCCGCACCAGGCCCCGTCAGAAAGTCAGATGCATCCAGGCGGAAATACACTAAAAAAAAGATGGAGCCAGTCCAAGCAGCAAGAGCGCCGCTCCCTACGGTGGGGCAGGGGCCTGTTGCCTCCCATCGTGAAACAAACGAACTAAGAAAGGCGGGACTGCAACTCAATCCGAAAGATAGGGGAGAAAATAGAGAAAAATGATGGAGATTCAAGACCGAAATGCACGCTCGCAGATCGATGCCAGGTTCGCGGGGCAAATGCCAGGGAAGGCCGAGAGAAATTGCATTGTTCCGTTGTTGTGAATCATCCCTCCTTTTTTGGTTAGGCCAAGTGATGAGTGATTTCGAGAGGAGTTCCTTAAAGGAACACACGGACAGGGGTAGGGGGCGACGGCGTTGCTCAGGGGAGCTGGGGGCCATGCCGTGCCAGGCCACCGTAGTAGGGGGGTCGGCCACTGTACAACGGCAGGCACACCCCATGAGATCATGGCCCTGGCACCCCAGATTGGATGTAAACAACGGGGAAAGCGCGGCCCCGATAGCGAACCCTCTTATAGCCCCTGTTTTCCATCTATCGATGGGCAGTTTCGCATTTCCTTCCCGCCACTCAATCACCGCGGTCCATTGACCGGATTTTTGAGGTTTTGGATAAAGCAGCTGTGCGTCGCTACCGAACCAAGTCGAAACCTATCTGTAGACCCATTAAAATTTTTGTTGCCTGCTCACACGCCCGCCGACCTACAGTGCGCACCCGCGTCGGCTGACACAAGCCGACTTTTTTTTTTGTTACTTTCGTCGGTCGCCTGCGGCCGGAGAATCCGTGGGAGGAAGTCGCTGGCAGTTTTGCTTGTCCCCGAAAGATCACAAAGAATTTGTCGGTCTCGAATCTGCAATTTTGCAACCCGCTAGTCACAAGTTCCTGTTGCCGCATGCAGGGCAACCCAGCCCAGCACTCAACATCTGACCGCCGCCCCCAGGGCCAGACCACCGAAAAGTTTTCGAGCTTTCCGGTTCGCAGCGCATCTCGCCCCCTCTTTTCAGCGCACTCGCAACCTACACCCGTGTTGTGCCGCTTCCATCTCCAACAGCCCACCACCCCCTTGATGTAAAAACAGACATCATCGCCGCACACGCCTCTTTTAGCTTCGCTTCCTCTCGCCTCCTGCCGCTCCCTGGTTCCCTTAACCTGCATGCCTTCCCGCCTGTTGGGGTCCTGTCTTTTCTGACTTTGTATGTTTGTATGACTTTCGAGCAGCCCCAAAAGTCAGGACGCCCTGCCGACCCGACTCGACGCCTGCGACTCGATCGACTCGACTGTCACGACTCTACCTTCCCCGACGCTCCCTTCTCGATTTTCATTCGCCCCCAGGCTCCACGCCATCACCCATCGCTCCCCCGACTGACTGTCTTGGGCAACCCGACCTGCAGGACGCCTACCATCCACATTCGCTGACGGGTGTCGAACCAAGCAAAACACTGTTAGGGTCCTTGCGCTTCGGCGCCACCGCAAACTACTGCAGAGAAAAAAGGAAAAGGTGTGGGATCCCGACAAAAGCCACTGAACACGACTTGCGCAAGACGAACTCGCCACTGCAGGGAGAGGAGACAGCCATATCCATGGTAATGGGCCGATGATATAAAGAGAATACACTTTGGAATACGACCCGTCCGAATTGACTTCGGCTGCGACTCCGGTGCTTTCCCCCGTTGCTCGGAACTCCTTTGTCTACCTACGGAAGCTCTCGATCGCGTCGAGACCATGGAGACGACTGGCCGCAGAGTCGTCCAGATGAGCGATTGGGCTCCTGCCCAAGAGGCCATGTTCGAAGAATCCACGTCGGGGGTGGCCAACCAGACACTCGTCGAAGAAGAAAATCGGACCGCAACCCCAACTCAATCGCGGTTCAGGAGCATGAGTGTCTCGCTCGCCTGGCGATCTCGGCCAAAGTCTGGCTTCTTCGAGGACGATCATGGGGGACAGAACCTGGCACTCGAGAAGAGCAAGAGCCACGGCTTTGGGGGTAGGCATGACGATGGAAATAGCAGCCAAGGTTCCTCGTCGAAGCCGGAACACCACCACAACATTAAGCGGATGCTCCGGCGCGCCTCGGTTTCGTTGCGGTCTGGAGTCAAGGGGTTCGTCCACCAGAGAACATCGGTCCCCGCTGCGGCTGCTTTGGACGCCGATGGCCAACAGCAACGGCCCCGTTTATTTCTCTCGCCAGGCCAGGGCGCTTCGCCCCATGCCGCTGCTCGACCCACGACCTCCCACTCGACGTGGCACCGCCTCCGACAGGCTACAAGCTTCCACCGCCATTCCCGCATGCTCTACACCGGACACGGCGAGCGCACGTTCGAACTCGACCCCAGTCCGATCGAATCCCCGACGTTCCCCGTTCCGGGCTCCGGCGAGCAGCCGCCCATCATCCCTCGCAATACGGGCGCGGCAGCGCGGCAGGCAGCTGCAAGCGCATGCAATGGCGTGCAGGGATACGAATTCATGGAGACTGTTGTGCCGCGGCCGGGTTGGCTAGCCGAAGACGGACTTGACGATCGCGAGAGCGGAATTGGCATTGCTCTTACAAGCTCCGAGATGGAGACATATGTCCCGGCCGACGAGGTGGACTCGGACGTGGATGTCGGCGTCTCGCCTGGTATCACCGAGACTGATATTGTCAAGGTTGACTTCATATCCCAGCTTCCCACCGAGCTGGCGATCCAGATCCTTGCCCAGTTGGACGCCACAACGCTGTCTACCGCCAGTCGAGTGAGCCGAGACTGGAGTCAGGTTGTGAGGAATCAACACATCTGGCGCGAGTCCTTCTTGCGGGAGCATACAACGACTTATGCGACAAGCCGGCCCGTCAAGCCAGGCACAGGCTTGGGTGTGCCCGCCATCCAACCGGGTAACGACTGGAGGGAGATGTACAGGGCCAAGTCGGAACTGGATAAACGATGGAAGAAGGGCAAGGCGGAAGAGGTCTACTTGAACGGGCATACGGACAGCATTTACTGCCTCCAATTTGACGAGTAAGCGGGGCTGCGGGCTTCTCTTCTGGTTCCGCTGCCAGCGTACTGACAAACCTGCAGGTCCAAGATCATCACTGGCTCTCGCGACAGGACAATCCGTGTTTGGGACCTTCACACCTTCGCATGCAAGCTCGTCATCGGTCCCCCGGAAGTGGTCAACGACGGATCATTCGCTTTGCTCTACGACGAGAACGGCAACCCAGTCCATTATGCTACCGTCCCGGACCTGCTACGCACTACCGACGGGCAGCCCCGGAACCTAATACGTGCCCACCACTCAACGCCAGCGCTCTATGCTCCACCCATCCACCACAAGGCTTCGATTCTCTGCCTGCAATATGACGACCGAATCTTGGTAACAGGCTCCTCGGACTCCACATGCATCGTGTACAACATTCACTCCGGATACCGTCCAATCCGACGACTCAAACATCACAATGCAGCGGTGCTCGACTTGGTTTTTGACGATAAACACATTGTTACGTGCTCCAAAGACATTTCTATCTGCGTATGGGATCGTGCCACCGGGAACCTGTTGAAGCAGTTGCGAGGGCACACTGGCCCGGTCAACGCGGTTCAGATGCGTGGAAACACCATTGTGTCGTGCAGTGGCGACTTCCGCGTCAAGCTGTGGAATATTGACACGGGCAAAAACATTCGCGAGTTTTTGGGCCACAACAAGGGTCTCGCGTGCAGCCAGTTCTCGGAAGACGGACGATACGTCGCGTCGGCTGGCAACGACAAGGTCATTCGTATCTGGGACGCAAACACGGGCGAGTGCGTACACGAAATGAAGGCCCACGATAACCTCGTGCGCAGTCTGCACGTCGACAGCGTGTCTGGGCGGCTGATTAGCGGCAGCTACGACTCTGACATCAAAGTCTGGGACATGGAGTCTGGAGAGGCATTGCTCGACTTCCCCAAGTGGCACAGCAGCTGGGTCTTGAGCGCCAAAAGTGACTACCGCCGCATTATCAGCTCCGGACAGGACCCCAAGATCCTAATCCTGGACTTTGGTGCTGGTGTCAGGGGCATCGAAATGCTCGAGAGCAGACCGCCTCTGCGGCAGAGTGGGGTGGCTGTTGAGGCTGGAGGATACATCTGAGTTGTCGGCGTCGCTGGCAGACCCGTCGACCTAATCGCGCTCGTTCTACGGGACGTGAGCTACGAATTTCCTTATTATGACTTGGTTTCTTCGTCCGCCGGCTCTGCGTCGGTAGTTGCCCAGAAAATTAGGGTGCGCGCGCAGTCGGCGACAAGAGGGGGGCTTTGGAGCGGCGACAAGAGGGGGGCTTTGGAGCGGCGACAAGGGGGGGCTTTGGAGCCTTGGGGGAGCTTGCTTTGGGGAGTACCGGATTTTCGACTGGCTGGATCAGTGTTCGTTCAATTGCCTGTTCGCTCTGATATCGCCTGGACACGAACACATACAGACAACGCGCATTTCTCAGGGGTTGTTGGGTTTAAATAATGGGGATTTTTGAGGTGTTGTCTTATTTTGTTTTATAATTCTACTAAAAGATTGCGGAGAGTGCATCGCGACCGGGAGTCTGCTTCTCTTGTTGAGGTTTTTCTTCTTTGTTTATTCACGTTTTAGAATAGATCACAGGCGTCTGCGTCTATCTCTTCGTTGCTTCCCTGCCTTGGTGCTTCTGGTTGATTCGAGTTCTGTAACAGCGCCTCGTCAGTCGTAACTGAGGCTGGGTTACAACTACAACCTTGTCTCACACTTCGAGCTGACATGCAGTGAAAACACAACACCGGGATGACTCGGGCTCTGGAAATTCTTCCAAATATATCAACAAGCTTTCAAACTAGCAGCCTACAAATCCCTGGATATTTATCGCCAACGGTACCTGAGATTTGATAGGTCAAAGTTATCAGCCAAGCAAATCCCTCACGGTTGATGCTGTCTAACTGCCTAGGTGCGTTTCTATTCTGCTTTGCCAATAGCGACGGCAGCTGCCCAGGTAGCCAGTTAGGCATTGGTCTTAATGCTGGCGGATCCCTTGCCGCTGCACTTGACACCCTCGAGTCTGCCGTCAGCGAGTCGGTTCGCGTCTTCTTTTGCGGCGGCGACTCGTCGCCGCGGCCCTCGCCGTTGGCAACAGATCGACTGAGAGGTTCCTTGACCTCGTCGGCGTAGCGGCCAGTAGCGAGCAGGCGGCGCGAGCGGTCGACATGCGCCCGGCGCGGACGCACCCACTCGATAAATGGAAGCCCCTTCTCCTCGGCTTCGGCTCGGCTGTAGCTCGCGTCCCACCCCTTGACGAAGTCTGCCGGGCCTAGCCAACACGTCAGGCGCAGCGGCGCCTGCGTGTGGTCCGCCACGGCGCCCGTCGCCGCCGCCGCCGCCGCCCCCGCACCCACGGCATCTGCTCACCCTGCTCCCAAAGTTGGCCCTCGTGAAGAAAAGACCTCATGCCAAGATCACGGGCTCAAACGGAATATCCCCATCGGCCAACTCGCCAAACATGATGCCTTCGATATGGCAAGCGCCAACCAGCCTATATACCGACTGCTTTCCTTTAAGAAGAATATCAAGAGTACTGGTACCCATCAAAGTCTCGAGGGTCTGGCGGAATACGAAGGGGTTTTCGGCGCCCGCGACGACGGCGAGACGGTCGCCCGGTTCCGTGAACGCCGGCACCAGCCCAAAGTAGCCGCCCTCGGTGAGGCAAAACCGCTTCCCAATGGCCCACTGGAGCAACGTGAGGATCCTGAGCCGGTACGTCAAGAACGCCATCCAGTGCACCTGGAAGCGAAGTCTATCCCCACCCATGTTGTGTCGTAAGCTAGAAATGTCATCTCTCATGACCTTGGCATCTTTTTCCAGCTGCACTGTTCCGTCGTCCCCCTGCTGCTCCTTGAGCAGCACGGTGCGCCAGAGGAGCTTCTCCCCGCCGCTGTCGTTCGGGTATCGAGAGGAACAAGACGCGCGCTCGGCCATGTCCAGGCCCATGTCGATCCCGGACAGGAACGACGTCATGGCGTTGGCCAGCGAAGCGCGGTCTGCCGGGGCCGCGGGCGGTTCCCAGACGGGCGATACGGCGTGGATCGTGTCTATGAGCCCGACCGACCCGAAGAACAAAAGCTCGGGGTGGCCGGGGACGGTTTGGATCAGCTGTCTCGCGACGGAGATGTCGTCCGTGGCGCAGGAATAACGTCCGGCGGGCACCGTGAGATTAGCCGTGGAGAAATGGCTCAGAGCAAGGTTTGACTTTGTCCAGTCGGGTGCCCAACTCGGCAGTTGGGAGCCGGCTTCGAGAAAGGGTGAGGGCTGATGCCTGTAATGGCCAATTCCCGCAAGGTCGAGCGTCTCCATGAACCCTTCATGGAGGAGAGTGAAGCGGGCTGCGTCTGCTAACACGGCGGCGGCAACCTTGGTGTAGTCGATGGAGACGGTCTGTCGGGCCTGCCGGGTCGAAAGGCCCAGAAGCCCGTAGACCCTGTCCCGGGGGTCTGTAGATGCAAACATGCCGCATCTCCTGACGACCTCATAAAACAAAAGGCCTCGAACATGCGGCGATCTCGAGCTCGAGACAAGAGTATCGCGGTTTTCACGCACCCAGACTCGGATGGCGTTCAGGGAGACTACGTTCTGCAGCGCCGCTCTTGCCGCGGTGGCCAGCCGCTCTGGGCTGCCTGGCCCATTGATCAGGCCTTCGAAGACGGCGCCTCTTTGGTTGAAAATCGACACAACTTCTTCAAAGGCTTCCCACGAGACCTCCGTATCACCCAGTCTCAGGGTCAGAATTTTGGCAAACGCCGCCTCTTGGACGATCCAGACGCGAGAGAACCACTCGTTGGTCAGCAGGAGAACAACGTCGAGCCACCTCCGGTTGCGGCGCCCGCGAAATAGTGCGGGAACACTCTTGCGCAGCTCTCGAAGCGGCCCAGGAAGTGAGATGGTCGCCAAGGGGTTGGAGCCCCTGGTGGACGGGCCGAGCCAGCCGAGCACGGCGTCAGCTGCGCGGTAGATGCGCCCCATGCCCATGACCTGCCAGCTCTTCTCGTCGGTGTCTGCCTGGTTGATGCAGACGGCATCCACCCAGAGCAGCCGAGGCGAATCCCTGTGTCTGAGACAGGCCAACATGGTGTACAGGGAACCAGAGACCACAGACCGCTGTCCGTCGAGGAGTATCGGCTGGGGCGGGCTGTCCGGGTCCCAGCGGTAGGAAACGGCCTCGAACCGCGGGGCTCTGCCGATCTGGCACACGACCAGCGTCGCCTGCACGGGGGCCAGCAAGCCTCCCGGCAGCAGCTTCAAGAGGCGGACCTCGAACTTCTTCCTGTCGAGGCGCTGGTACCCGAACGCCGCGACGCTAGGATACGACGCCCAAAGCACCAGCCGATGGGCTCTGCGCTCCGCTGTCTCGGACAGGCGAGATATGAACGCCAGGGGCCGGCCGAACATGATGCGCCACGACGCGGCGAGCATGCCCGGGTGCAGCTGGCCGAGCATGGGGGCGGCGAAAACGGCTGCCGCGCAGAACTGGACGACGGCAACAGAACCGACGACCCAGGTAACGCGGTCCCAGTCGCTGAACACGCGAGGAAAGATGCGCACGACCCTGGGCGCCGTGTACACGCAGGCCAGCTGGTACGCTGTGAGGACGACGCGGTCGGTGCGTTCCAGCCAAAACGTGTCCTCGTTGAGCTCTGGGCCCGGTATTAATACGGCTATGGCCGCTGCTGCTGCTGGTGCCGTCGGGAGCCTGGCCCTGGGGACCATGGCCAGCAGCGTGGGGACGGTGGACGAGGCGGCGATCCAGATGGCCATAGCCCAGTTAAACGCTCCGACACTGGTCAGCCGGCGGCCTGCGGCGACAGCGAAGGGCACGCTCGTCATCAAGACTCGCCACGGCTGGCCGACAAAATGGGTGCCGATACCGGCCAGGCCCAAGAGAACGCTCGGGTACAAGTCGGGGTCGCAGAAAATCGCAAACAGTCCGTCGGCGAGGAGAACTAGCGTCCAGGTCGACGTGGCTGTTATCAGTTTGATGGTCAGGTTCAGTGGCGCTGGCACTGCGAGTCCCAGTACGTCTTCCGCGTCCAGCTCCGAGTCGGACCACGAGTCTGAGTCTATGGCGGAAGGTATTGAAGACATTGTGAGATCATCGAATTAGGCGAGTCAAAATTTTGATTAAGGCTCAAATTCCGACGTTTCCGCCTTGTTCGCTTTGGAGCACCGTGGTCAAGTGAGGGAGCGTGTACGTGTACATCTGAGATGAGGAGGCTAGATTGGGTTGAGCTATCAGGGCAAGGTACCTACGTACCTATTTTACTGGATGGATGGTCACGTGCAGCTGTGAAGGCAGCATCTTCGAGACTAAGCTGCCCACCACCGTTCACGGCTGCGAGTTGGCTTCTTTCCATGCTGTAGACTCGATGCACGCTCTAAAAATCCTCGAGTCACTGACATGGGTTTATCTCGACCTGAACATGTCTCCTTTGGCGAGCCTCTGGAAGGTTGCGGCGAGCTTCAGCAATCGACTTCCAAAATCTACTTATTTTAAAGGGAAAAAAAGGTCCGAAGTTAAACGTAAGTGATAGGCTACCCGGAACCATGGAGTTAAGGGTTTGTTCAATATTTACCTCGCAGACAAAATTCTCAACCTCTCTTCTGTACAATTCTTGCTCCCCGTGTATTTTCCTTATCAGCTAGTAACTTCAACGACATTGTGTCGTGAGCTACCGCTCCACCAGCTAGACAAAACGGAGACCTGCTGCCTAGAGGTCTGGGCAACAGTACATATATATGCTGTAGGCTGGAGGCTGTAGTAGGCTGTAGGCTACCCCAGCACACCTTGTATCATGGGCCTAGCCTGGCAGCGGCTATATGTCTCGTCTAGGCCTAGCAGCGGCTATATGTCTCGTCTAAACCTCTAATCCCTTAATGAATGTCGGCGTAGAACTTTCTGAGACGCGAAAGGCCTAACTGGGTAGGTAATTGTATTTCCGAAAAGAGTATGCTTTCCTTTGCGAGCACTCTGTTCTTTTCCTATATCACGCCAATATCAGTTTAGAGATAGCACTTCCCGGTAGTCCGGCAGTGAAGTCCATCTCCCACAAAACCACCAAAACAGACACAAGGCGAGTCAAAGGCTAGCCTCAAAGATAGAAACTAGTTATACAGGTAGTCAAGATATCGAATAAAAGCATAAAAGCTTGATAAAGAGAAGAAGAGAAGAAGAGAAGAAGAGAAGAAGAGAAGAAGAGAAAATGTAATCTGTTTTAATTAGGGGCGTGTCCCCCTTTTAGTTGTGTTTAAAGAACCCTCCTTTCCTTGGCCACTCAACCTCTTGTCAGCAGTAGAACAAGAATGTCGAACCCCGGCTACGTACCTACCTAAGGTACCTAGTAAATACGAACCATGGGCCGAATAGTAAACCTATCAGGCCTTCGTAATTAAGACCCAAAAGGCCTCCACGTAGACGCGTCTGGGTTGGGAAAGGCGGAAAGTGAAGGTGTGGATGCTTTGCCTGGCTGCGGAAGCCAGAACTGGCAGGAGTACGATCATCCTTATAGTGGCGATTGATGATCTATCATTGTTAGGGGTGCATTGTGGCACTGGAAGTTGCTTGTGCTCGCGACTTACGACACAGGCTCGCTACCCGCGTCCCGAATGTCGCCACCGTGCTAGCACATTCTCATTAGTGTCTACCCAGGGAGCCAATAGTTTATGATAATGGTAATCATCACAGCGTTGGATTCGTGTCCATTTTTACTTTGCGTCAAACTCTTTTACTCTTTGCTCCGGAGCTTTGCTATTGGGTGAGGGCTATTTGTAATGAGACCTCTTTGTAATTGGAACCAGGTGGTTGCCTCTATTACCTCTGGCAATAATTAGGCATCGTTTTAGACTGATTTGTAACTTTCCAAGGACAACTCGCAAAGCAACCTGTCTAATGTCTTACGGCTCAATGGCATTAATTCGCATTGATTATGCTTCTTTGTGCTGCTGCCTAATATCCACGCGCTCTGATGTATTGCCCGTTAATATTTTCCCTTCCTCCTATGTGGTCCACGCCCCACCTCGCATTATTGAAAAGATCAATCCATTGGTAATAGCCGTTGCCACGGCACTTCCCTTCAACCGGGCAGCACACGACCCCGTGCCACTCACCAATTGGCCATTGGTTCAGCAGTCGGAGGCTTTCATCGGCTGTCAACTTCCAAAAAAAGCCATGGAGGGGCAGTGCTCACCCAGGAGTGCATTTCGCTCATGCATGCGTGGCTCGATTGGATCAAACCCCCCCCCATCTCACCGACAAGAGGGTGCCGATGACGAACAGTAAGGGAGGGAGGGAAGGGGCCGAATAGAGCGTCTCGCCGAGTATTAATACTAGGGCCCGCCGGCTGTACTGCCCTCTCCCTCACTGCTGCGTCGACATCGAGAAGAGGGGCTTTTAGATATAGGGACTTGTTTCTTGACAAAGCCTCAAAGATGCATATCTGTCCCATCTCCTGGCCGTTTCTGCGGCACGACAGACAGCAGCACAAAGCGGAGCCTCGTCAGCATTACCGAAGACGACCAAAACCCCCAGCTACAGAAATTGTCAGCACTCAGCAGACAGCTCCGATTCATGCGACACGTGGAATATGGGAGACTGACCAAATACCAGCTGTGCGGGTCAAAGCGGGCGACATGTTTGAAGTACTGAGAAGCACGTTCGGCAAGGGCACATTCGAGGTGGAACTGAACGAAGACGTCTACACCATCACAGCACCGCGTCGGCTCACAGAGGCATGTGGCGAGTTCTCAAAAAGAAATGATGCGGAATGCCGCTAACGATTTCGTGCAGTGGGAGAAGAGGAAATTTTGGGGGTGACCACACACAATTGAGGAGACAAAATCGCCCTGGGCGGATTCGGAGACGGCCTCTTGGGGGTTGAGGAGATTTCTTGCGTCGCGTGTAACACACCTTAGCTCGATAGCCAATCTCGCGCACATCCGCCCCCCCTCCAGAACCGGGGTAGGCGTCTCTGCTGGATAGGCTCCCCACCCAGATTGCGCCCCGAAGTGAGAAAAGAGTGAAGTGGAAATGGAAAAGCCTTGCGAGGGGCCTCGTAGGTTTATTCAAGAGACAGTTATTCATATGTACATATACTACTAGCTAAATAAACCATCTCAGTCTTCCAATTTCCTTGATTACGTGCACCCAAGCTTCAATCAATAAACCCCACGGCCATCAATACTAAGAAAATCTGCCAAGATCGAACGGCCTAGCAGCCTAGCAAAACATGAAGGCTCTAGGCAGAAAAGCCCGGCGCATATGGCGCAGACTCAACAGGGTGAGGAAAGGAAGCCTGGTCCGAGATCGGCCTCGATCTAGAACTAACAACTATGCTTAATTATTGTCTGAATAGTCATCCCCAGCCAGCCAGACTCAGCCCCGGAACTCGACTGAATCGAATATATGCCTGTCTGTTCAACCCGCGCCGGACGCAATCCGCGGCAATATCATTGGGGGGGCCGAAGGGGTCCCTGGCGAGAAGTCGCTCAAGAACTGCGACGACGGGAGCAACCACCTCTACCTCACCTCGGACGAAACCCAACCTATTCACGCCAGGACCAACGCTGACCAGGGTACCTCGGTTCTCCATGCCGGCGAGCTGTTTTCCGGCGACGAGACGCGCCCGCTGGCCAACAAGAAGGAGGTGAAGGAGGGCGTCGTAGACCACCATAAGGTCACGGCGAGAGAGAGCCTAAAGAAAATGGAGGCCGCCTTGCGAAACGCTCGCGAAGTTCCCTTCAATGAAACCGTGACGAAGTACTTCATCCCGCTCTCCACTTTGAAGAGCATTTTGTCGTACGATGCAATCAAAGCAGTCCTTCCCGCCATAACGGACGAATCTAGAGTGCCGACGAACACGCTCGGGACCCTGGCCAATAGAATCTTGAGCCTAACTCAAGAGGGTTCATCGGGGCTTCCATCGTTCTACAATGTCTTTGCCGTTCTTGTCTTGATCGGAAAGGCAGAGACTATTGTGGATTTCATGGACGAGGAGATCTCAGACGATAAGCTTCCACTGATGAAGCTAGACACGGGTCCCAAGGGCCCCTATCGCCTGGGTCTCAGCCCAGACGGGACGCCAGTTCATCTCTTTGTGCAATGGGTGGACCGCCTTGTTGAGAATTTCGAGGACAGGCAGTGGGAAACGCAAGCTCCGTACTTCTCCATAGAAACCCAGAACGACTCCGAAGTTCCCCACTATGAACTCTCAATACGGATACCCCTTCCGTTTCACATCATCAAGGAGGCGGATGGCAACACGAACAAGATCAAGCTCGGTGGAGGCGCTAACCAGGCTGACTTGATTTCCGGCGAGTCGAGAGAGGCAATGTCGGGAGGTTACGGAGTGGTTAAGAAGGTGACAATCAACCCGCAACATCACAGCATGAGAGTGCGGGTAAGAGTCCCCTCATACCTTGCTTATCTCCCATTCACTTGACTACCTATCCGGATAGTTCACTTCGGCTTCAAGTGGCAACTAATCGATTTTATCAACGAGGCAGGATGGACCCGACAACCCGCGCATCGCCATCAAGCAGCTATACTCGACCGACAGAAAGGCTTTTAAGAACGAGGTCGCGGTACTCACGAGGCTTAACGAGTGCAAGGACCCTCACCTCGTGAAGCTCATCTTCACTATGGAAATCCTCCACAGCAGCCCCGAGACAGAGCTGACGCGCGCTTTCTATCTCGTCTTTCCGCTCGCGGACAAGAACCTACGACGGTACTGGCACAGCACAGTTTCCACCTCCAAACACGCCCAGTGGGTTTGCCGACAGTGTCTAGGGGTCGCACGTGCACTTTCGAAGCTCCACGATCTTCACGAGATGAAAAGCCACGGCAAGACGGCCGAGGCCGACAGCGCCCAAGCCCAAGAAAAGAAGACCGGAGGCGGTGATCCGTACTACGGGATCCACGGCGACATCAAGCCAGCTAACTTGCTGTGGTTCAAAGAGTGGGATAGAGACACGAGCGTCGCAGATGTCATGGAATCTATGGGCGTCCTCCAGCTGGCAGACTTTGGCATTACTAGGATCCACCACACGGACTCGCGATCCAACGCGGACCTGACCAAGGCCACCAAGACGTATGCGCCACCAGAAGTCGAGTGGGCGGGCGACTCTTGCTCCCGATCGTTTGACATCTGGAGCCTAGGCTGTGTGTTCCTCGAGTTCATCTGCTGGCTGGTCTTCGCCGATGGCAGCAACAAGCCCGACCCAGTCGATACCTTCCGCGAGGCCCGGAATCTCGATCGAAAGAACAAGAGCGTCGAGGGCGCTATCCAGGACACGTTCTACCATGTCGTCAAGGGCGAGAAGAATACCCGCTTCGAAGTTAACCCAGCCGTCGAGGATGTAAGTAAGCCTGCCATATTTTGATATGTCTAGGTAATTAGGCAGCACAGCTAACAACAAGCCCGAGAGCCACAGCTAATCAAGGAGGTGAAATCGCACCCAGCGTATTCCGACTTCATCAGGGACTTCCTGCAATTGATCCTGTACGAGATGCTTGTCATCGAGGACGTAAAGGGATCCATCCCTGTGAAAACTACGACCACTGGCAACAAGCGCATCGACTCCTTCAAGCTCACATCCAGGCTTACCGCTATTCTTGGCAAGGGCGACTCGAACAGCGAGTATTTTGTCAAGTCAAGCCCACGGTCACAAAGGCCCGACGGGAAGCTGCCTCGGGCTGTCACCCTCCCCCAAACAGCCAAGAGCTTGATACAGGTCAAAAGACAGTCCATGGGCCGCACGTAATCCATGGACAGCAAGGCGCAAGGAGCAGGAGCCGCGGCGGACTTCAAAGCTGAACATGGTGGAGATTAACTAGGAGCAATGATTGTTTATTTTGCACTACCAAGTATAGAACCAAATTTAACCACCGATAAATAGGTGCTCTCCCACCGCTTGAGATAGAGCTTTCATATGCGAGGTGCACTGTTACTAGGAAAACATCATTTGTCAGAAACCAGATGTATGCAAAAGCAGCCCAGAGGGTATTCGCAGTGTGTGTATTGATTGATGTATGGAAGAAGAAAAGGCCTGCGCCCGCAGGGCAGGGAGCTAGCCATGTTGACCCTATAAAAAAGCAGTCGAATTTAGGCACCCTGTACGGGCCCTGCCCGAGCCCTGGCTCCCTAGATCATGCCGAAAATGGTATAGTCTTTCTGATATTATTGATTATTACTTGAAGAATCTAAACTATCTGCCCGCAGGCGAAAGTCTATGGGTGGGATAAGCTCGTGGCGCATGGACCATTATGTGGTCCAAGCTAGCCAGGCTTGGCCTGTGCCAAGCACATTTCACCCTCGCCCCCGCAGTGCTACGCGCGATGCCCAGACACCCTACTAATACGTGCCGCCGGGAACCTCGTAGTGAGTGTATACACCAGGACGAGAACGCAAGTACTCAATCTCCTCCTAAACTAATGTTAGTCTTGATGGTTCCGGAGGGCGGAGAAGGAGCTTTCGGGTTCTGGCACGAGCCTCTGTCAACTTCCGCACTCCCCACAAGATGACTTTGTCGTTCGAATACTTTCATTGGTCAGATTAGCAAAAGGAAAACCGCGCAACTGGTACTCAGGGAGCTTGGTGCTCTGCCACGATTTACTCTTACCTCGAGCTCAAATGCTTGCTGGCTTCCATAGATTTCCACCAGATATACCAGCAGTAGACGCGTATCGAGGTACGCTAGGCGGAACGGGAGAGCTTGCTTCTTCATTTTCGGAGCTAATCAAGTTGCCGCGATGGTTTGTCTCGAAGTGTCTAGGGCCAACAAAGTTGTCGGGAATCTGCCTTGCGGGCTGGGAGGAAAGTGCCCACCACCGCAGTCGATACGCCTTATGTAGGTAGCTAGTCGACATTTCCCTACAGAGCCTCAACTCTCAACTCACCGTTCGATTGTGCGAATTAGACCAAAAAGGAGGGCAATGGAGATGGTGTGTACCGGGCGTCGTCGTTACACAATAAGAATATCAGGTCATTTTTTCTGTCTGGGCGCACGCTACGACAGGCAGGCTGCGATAATAATCAAGGTTGCGCCCACGTCCAATTGGACACTATCATGCACGCGCATGCTAGACATGCGTCAAGCTTGACAGATATGCAGCATATGCATTTTTGCCTAATATTGGGCTAGAGCCTTGCTCGGCCATGCTCATTACCTCGCTTGAAGACATGAAAACGTCATGTCCCGCGACAAAAACCGTCAGAGAGAACGGGATCAGAACCCCTGCAAGTGCAACTAAACATTCCGCCCCCCCGACCAGTTCAAGTTGTCCTCAAATTCTTGCCATGGATCTTGCATGGAAGACTGCCGCTTGGGACCGGACCGGCAAGCAATCCAAGCCGCCCTTGTTTTACTACGACGGAAGACCGACATCAGTTGTGCAGATCCGCCAGATGCGCGGACGGCCGCCGGCGCATTTTGATAGGGCGATGCACTCGACCAAACTCACTGCTGAAAAAGAGTGGAATGACTGGCTGGATGCTGTAAGTGGCGATTCACACACCTGCAGTGTCTGCGGGCGTCGCGAGACGGAAAAATTACGGAGAAGGGAAGAGGAGGCGAAGAAAGGGGTTGCTCCAACGCAAAATGCTGACCCCCGGACAGATCCCCAACCCCGATTCTACAGACATCGAAGCATCTCTCAGCCTGATGTAAGTGGTGGTCACAGGACAAGACTGAGTTGGTACTACCATGGTACCATGGCTCAATGATGCCAGATCAATTAACACGCACACCGTCAGCATATGCCCCCGCCAGCCAGACTTAATTCACGGCGGAAAAAAGCTCCGAAACCCATCAAACCTCAAGTATCTCCCGTTCCCCAGCGAAGGCGTCTTCAGACGTGTCGTCGACAAGCTGCACACACACCAAGCCATCCAGGTCATCATCAACCGCGGATGGCCCGCCATATTCAAGAGCGAAGAACTCTCGGGGCCGCACCGCAAAACATGTACTCGTTCCTGGTTCTCCTACCCTCAACCACGACTGTCCATTGACACACCTGCAATGCCAACCCTTGCTAACCGCCATGTCAGTCTACAACCTACGCACGACCAATTCACTCGACGGAGACATGGCGCTGTCGCTGACCGTGATCCCCTCGCCCACCTCCCCCTCGTCAAACCCATTCATCTACGCCATATTCTTCGGCTGCACGCCACAGCAAACACACACGGTGCTCGAGCGGCTCGCGTACGCCGAGCACGGCGCGTGCCAGCCGTTCATGCTGATCAACGCGTTCCTGCAGATGGAGAAGGTGGCGCGGTTCGAGCAGGTCGAGCGGCAGGCCGACGCCGTCGCGGCGCTGGTCAAGAACTTCCAGCTCGGCGTCGTTGCCACTGCCGAGAAGAAGACATCGGCTGGCCCGGGCGCCCACGACGACGACCCACGCGACCTCGTCGGCATGGGCGCCGACGTCGCGCTGCTGCGCAACAGCCTCGTCAGCTGGGCTGGCGAGATGGAGCGCCTGCGGCAGCTAGTCGCGTATTCGTCTGCGTCTTTGACATCGAGCGGCGGCGTCGGCGGCGGTGGCGGCGGCTTGACGTTGTTTCCTGCTATGGTGAACAACGACCCGGGCCTGCCGCTGCTCGACGCCGGACAGTACCTCTTGCGCATGGTCGACGAGTACGGCGCCGCCGTGCGCAAGTGCGACGGGCTCGTGCAGCTCGTGACTATGACGTTCCAGATGGTGAGAGACTGCTTGATTATCTACCTCCTTTGTCGCATTCTATTTCCATTCAAGGCTGTTGCCCACGCACACTCCTCAGGGGTTATGGCAGGAGGGAGCAAGAGTGTGTGCTGCCAATTGGACCCTTGAAGTATACTTAAGAGGAGACGAAACAAACTGAATGTTCGCTGATACTTCCGGCTACTTGCGCGCAAAAAAAAAGGAAACATCCAGCATCGCGCGCCGCGAAAACAACAAGATGAAGGCACTCGCCTTTCTAACCATGATCTTCCTGCCAGCAACCTTTGTCGCGGTAAACCCCCACGACAAGTCTCCCCAGTCGAGTCTTTGTGTTTCTAACTCCTTATTTACTTCCCCCCTGAGCGTGCAACCCCTTTGCTGACTCCCTCTCTCACACCAGACCTTTATGTCGATGGGGATGTTCAACTGGAACCCCCAGGATGGCGAGGCGGTCTTCTCTCCGCTGTGGTACGCATACTTTGCTGCGGCTGTGCCGCTGACGGGGCTCGTGTTTGGGCTTTATTTCTGCTGGACGCCGGTCACGAATGTTCTGTTTCGCAGAGCTTCGAAACTGTCGCGCCATGTCGTCTAGCCAATGTCGATCGAGGAGTTAGCGGTGTCACATTCATTATTCCTTCCCCCCAGGGCGAGACATAATTACCAGTGTCAATTGTTTACATTGCTGGCTGGCCGTTGTCTCGGCAACCACACCCCCGGCCATTTGGATAGGCCAGTACGGCCCGGTGCAAATGATTTGTTCGAGTTTTAACGTGTCGGGTAGACAATTTACACAGTCTGACTGCCTTGTTCAAATGATGCTCTCGATAATTACTGGCTGACATTCGGCCGATCGCCAAGCTGTGGCACTTAGCCCATCGATCTCGTATTTGGTAGCGATCGGCTATTGATCAACGTTTGATCAGGTTAGGCCTCAAAAGAGGCCACGCCACCCAAATTAACAATTTGAAGACTGCCAATTACTGAAAAGTTATCATACTGCAATAACTGGATTTGCGCATGTCTATGCAGATATGATTGATTGCTGGTTTCATGTAAATCTGCTTTCCTCAGCTCAGTCTGGGCCCGCGGACACAATGTATTTGTACCGGCGTCTCGTCCGTCTGCAATATCTCTCTCCGAATTCTTTCGTGAATTAGGTATTCCAGATCGGCAGGACTAGTTATCTATCTCCCTCTTCTCAGTCTTCACAAGGCCGACCTTCTTAGTCTTCTCGTCATGTCCACGCTGGGCCACGAAGAATCGACCGAGGGCTCTGCATCCACTGCCAGTCTGACCCAGCAACACTCCGCCGAAACCACTATCATTGCAGCAACCACCAGGATTCACGCCGCTCCTGTGAGCGAGGCTCAAATGTTCCAAGTCTTGCGAGCCGCTTTCGAAGAGGGAGATTTCGAAGTTGAGCTCTATGACGACGTCTACATCATTACGACGCCGCGGAAGTTGACAGAGGTATGTGCTCTCGAGTTAACACGACTGAACAGAGGCAGAGACACTGGTGTTGACGTTTGCATAGGAGGAGTTGAAAAACATCCGTGCTTGAATGATATTTGGAGGCGAAGGAGGGGGAGACGAAGAAAGGGGGGACGAAGGAAGGGGAGACGAAGGAAGGGGTGACCAAGGAAGGGGTGACCAAGGAAGGGGGACTGAGGATAGGGAGATGAAGAGAGGGGAGAAGGACGGAGATAAATAGTTTCGGCCTATCTTAGAAACTATTAGAGATATGTTCTTCAACCTCACGGGCCAAGCCCCTGAGTTCCTGCGCTAATTTGCAAGCCCTCAAGCTAAATTGTTTTCCAAATTCTTGAACATCGTCTTTTTGTGCCCAGTATAGCAGTGAAAATGGATGAACAAGTAGCTGGGCTACTAATTAAACCAAGACGATATCCTGAAGGGAAAACCCAGACAGATCCAGACCTTCCCCGTACATCAACCCATCTATATAACACTCGCCGACGAGCTGGTAGTGCTGCTCGCCACCGCCACGGCTTCCCACGTTGCGCACAACAAACGGAACTTGGGTGCCGGACAACAGGCAGATTTCATCGCCCTTCTGCGTCTCGACGGGAACCTGGCCCAGGAGCCCGTCTGTGGTGATACAGAACCGTCTCCGATAGCAGCCTCGAGAAACCAGTGTTCCGAAAAGCTCTGCCATTAACATGGCCGCTCGGAAAGAAGACCTTTGTGGTACTCGAAACTCAGAGCGAAAGCCGGTAGTGGTCGAGACCGAGCGGTTCCCGCCCCAAAGGGGCAACACTGCTGTCTACAATTAGGGACCCCGCATGGGACTCCACGCCTCCCGGTCGTGTCACCGACGCAAACATGACGGTTTGTTTATACCAATCGGATGCCTCTGGACTGTCGGGAAGCTACACAGACTGGGGATCCCGAAACAGACTGGATCCGAGCGTCGCTATCTTTGAAAGGGTGGAGCCTCGGACGACGAGAGCTTTGTAGTCACAGTCCCAATCAAAATGGGCCACGGGTGGCATGTTCCGCGTAGAGTCATAGGCTGGTTTGTTTTCAACTGAATCGTTGCGCCCGAGAGTGGCAGTAATCCGACAAGCTGTCCAGTCTGGAGCCCAGGAGGGTAACCTGTGATTCTTCTGGTAACATCCAGCCTCGTACAGGAAGTCTAGTTTCTTTAGAGCCTGCACAGAGTATTTGCAACAGTCCGCAAACACATCCTCAACCGACTTTGTGTAGTCGGGCTGCAACTCGGGCGCATCGTAGTCTTCGGTAATTCCGAGGCAGCCGAAGACGTGGTCACGCGCGTCTGTTGCGGCCGGACCGATCCCACGCCCCAGGAGACTCATCATTGTGGGCCATTTTCCCGATTCTCTGCAGGAACGCAATGCGCCGAGTCTGTTCATACAGTAGAGAGATGTCTGGAGGGCTTCACGGATTTCGTCGGGTTTCAAAGTCACAAGGAACTGGTTGTATAGGCCCAGGCACCGGAGATTGAACTCTAGCTATCCAAAGTACCAGTGAGGCAGGACGGCGCGTCCATTCCCGTAGGTGAGGAGAGGCACACCAGCAAGCGCGAACTCCTAGACGATCCAGACGCGTGTAAACCAAGGGCGGAGAAGTAATTTCTCGACCGCCTCCCAGTAGGGGCTATTGAATGGCGGCAGCCCGTATTGTCGCGGATCCGGCGGCTAGTTTGCTTGGTAGACGGGAAGCACGACTTTGGCCTGTCGCTGCTCTTCGGCGTATTTCTCCTCCCGAAGCTTTTTCGCGAGGTCGTAGATACGCCCCAGCAACTGTATAGCCAGATCCTCACCACCCTGGGCCTCTCCAAGGTACACAGTGACCTCGTCGGCCCTTCGGTAGATGTCGTTCATCATGCAGACCTGTAAGCTTGCCGTGATGCTGATCTTGGAGCCGCGGCACTCGATTGAATGGGTCGGCTCGCTGCTACCCCAGGTGTAGGAAGAGTTGAGAACTTGGGAAAGTTACTGTCGTCAATGCAGGCGTGCCGGATGAGAACATTGACCGGCTCCCCAAGTTTCCCAGGAAAGATCTTGAGCAGCCGTATGGTCCTGGGCCGGTTGATGGGTCGATAAATGAATGGCTTCATGGTTTTATCCTAATCGACAACGATGGCGACAGGACAGCAGAAGCGAAATTGACGGAATGCGTCAATTGACAGGCGCGACGACTTGGATGGATTACTTGCGCGCTTTGTTGCAAGGCTTGACGGTGGAGGGGCGCAGCTGCCCGGAAAAAGCTTGCATTCGGTAATCGGTCTCCTGGAAAGTACGACTTGCAAAGCGGGCAGGAAAGTGCCTTCTTGGCAGCAAGGCGTCAGCTTATCGCCCAATGGCGCTCGATCGCTGCAACCAGAAGAGCAACCGAAAATGCCTTGCCGGATCGCCGGCGAGCAAGGTGTACTGGTGATACTAGGTCTAGTCACAGATTATCGTATTGTTCCATGGGGAACTCGGAGACTTTTGCAGCGATGTTATACTCTTGTATTGCTCTAAATACTTATCCATCTACGGATACTCTGCTTGTCGAAACACGAATCACTTTAGTACTCGATCATGCGAATCCACATCCATCTCTCAGTTAGGTACCTATGTTCACCGACAGATCGTTCTCGACTCACCTTTGGCTCTTCCTGTGCTGCCCTAGTTCCATGCGCACCTCTCCAGATCTGAGCGGGATGGACATCGATTCTGTTCGGTACTCTTAGGCAGGATCGCTGTCAAGGAAAAAAAAACATCAAGACTCTGAGAGAAATCTGGTCACCTAAAAAGGGATTCACCGGCAGATATATCACGACAGGTGGGAGTCAGAGGGTTTGCGCCTGCGGCCACACCCTGCAGAGAGTCACATACTTTCCAAGGCGGGGCGGTTCTTTCTCAACGCGTCGCTACCGGCGATGACACGCCGAGTGCAGACCTTTTTGTAGCTCAGTTGAAGAGCTCCAAGGCGATGGCATCGTCATTCGCTTTGTGCGCCTCGCTGCTGGTAGTCCAGGGCGCATTCAATGGCCGTCTGGATCAAGCGTTGCATAACAATGACTGGCGGTATGGCTGTAAACTGAAGAGAATCTGCCGTGTCGCACGGGATTACCGTCATCTCCAGAAGTGCCTCAGAAAATGCCGCGTAGACTCGGATTGTCTTGCCCGAGCTCTCGGCCATCCAGTTGTGGCCGTCCAGGGTGGCCGTCCAGTGTGGACGTCCAGTTGTGGCCGTCGCTGTTCTCGCCGTCGCGTCCATCGGCGAGGTGCTCAGGTTTTTTTTCGAGCCGAGGTATGTGGGAGCTCGGCGTAGCACATAGGTGCCTGTGACCTGCATTTGCCTCGGAAGTCGTCAGCCAACTCTTGTCCCATTCTTCCAGTGTTCTTGTGCGGGACGCCAGCTGTTCTACTGACGAAGCAGCGGGCGGCCTCCAAGTTGGCGAGTTGACTCATTTCTCCATGTCGCAACCGCCGTCGCAAAATAGGATCGCAGCCGAGACAACAAGAACCAGAATCGGGGCGGGCTCCTTCGCGGGGATGGAGTCCCCCCGGGACGGCCGTATCGTGACGACAGAGACTGGGGGACCGGTGCAGCGACGAGAGCGGGACCCACTGAGGGTGATCGTAGCCTGCTGGCGGCCGGCTGCAGGTGAGTTTCAAGGCGCACCTGATCGTCAACCACAAGGAGGCCGCCGCGCTTGTAGTTTCAGGCCATCGTCCGTCGCATCTCCCCCCGAGGCGGTTTTCGGGCGCAAGTGAGGATTGGCGCGCAGCCTCGGACGTCGTGTCGCGGGCACGGTTGGTGATGCTGTCATCGGCGCCCTTGTCTGCGCCCCGAAACATGGCGGCGCAAGGCTGTCTAATGCCCTGCTGTCGGGTCGACGTAGAGTTGAACCTCGGGGGTGAGAGGTTGCTGCATCAGTACACCGACCGGTGCACTGGGTTGATGCCCAACTCGGGGGAACCGACCGCCGACCAACGCGACGCGGGAGACGAAACGAAACGAAACGACACAAGCCTGATGAGCTGTCGTCGAGACAGATTGTCCGGCCGGACCGAGGTCCCACGATGGTAGTTTCGTGGTGGTTTGGACCTTGGTGGCGAAAAAGGTGGTTGGACCGTCCGTGGTTCGCACTTTTGGCGCCGTTGCCTTTTTCTTTTCTTTATTTCCCAAGCGTCGCAAGACGGGAAAAAAGGCGACGGTGGGCGCTTAGACTGCGATACGGGCCGACTGGGTGAGGAGTGAGGACGAAGCCTCGTCCGTCATAATTAATAACCCAACCCTGGGAAGCCGGCTCTGGGTCAAGGCATGCTTGGTGTGCGCTTGCACAGAAGGGAGGACATGAAAGAGAAGGAACGGGGAACAGGTGCGCGGGGACGGGTGAAGAGATGATATGACAAATCAGGTAGGGAAGGCCCGTGACCAGACCGCCAGAAACCGCCTTGACTCCATTCTTTCCCACTGTGTTTGTCGGCGTCGGTTCTGGCCTGGCTGGCTGACTTGCCGGCCCAGGCTCATGGATTCTCCCCAGGCCCCCTTATGGTTGGTGGTTACACGGTGAGGTGCTGTGCAGGGTCATGGAAGGCAGCGATTACCGTCCCGCCTTCTCAGCGCACCAGGGATGCTGCAGCGTGCCCGCATTATCTTGGAACCCAACCTTGTTTTTCGGACGGGATTGACTCCTCGGGCCTCAGGTTGTAAGGTTACACGCAGCACAGGTGGGTGGGTAAGCCGCACACCGGTTCCTTTCAACCAAAACCGTGAGTGCCAAATACCCGAACGTCATTTTAGCGGCCATAGAAAAGCGTCGATGAAAAAGCGTCGATGAAGGCGGCCCGAGCCTTGCGCTTTGTCCACCAGTCCTTGCCCGTCCCCATCCTCGGGGTGACCGTGTCCTCGAGCTGAAGGAAAGTGGGGCGTGGAGAAGGGCAGGACGGGAAAGAGCCATGACGCGGCTTGGCAGCTTCTTGGGAATGACAGCCAGTATGGCCGAGGTTTTGTATGTACAGGTACTCACACACCTGCGGGGCTATTCCGGGCGGCCGGGCCCAGGCTCGACTGCCCTGGTCTCCGGCCCCATCACGGCAACCTGGGTAGCAATTTACGGAAGCACCAAAGCTGAATTATACCATCGTCCCTTGCTTTTCGGGCCCATTCGCTCTTGCTGGACAGCGGCCGGCACCAATAACCTGGTGTACCTTGTAGTCGCAGGCTTCTCCTCAGGGAGGCCTCGTGCTCACCGATCCCAATTTCCTCAATCAGGCTTCCGCACCCCGGTCTCGGCACGCCAACAAGGAGCTTGTGCGTAGCTCTACCGCCGAAATCCCGTCAGCGAAGCCGCTTTCTCGCTATTCCGCAGAGCGCCTCCATCATAAGCCGCCTCAAGTATTCTCAGGTCCAATTGCTGACCCGAGGCATCGGTGCCGCCCCCACACAAGCAGGGCGGGACGAAACATGGCAGTTAACGGCAGGGGGCTTGCAAGGCCCTCAACATTGACCGACATCAGTACAGAAAACGTCTCTCTTTACCTAGGCTCCTACAGTACCGAGCCACGTTTGGGGGCCGCCACGAATACCCAGCTGTGCGTCGCTCCACGCTAACCATTTGCCGGTGGAAAAGGTAGTAAGATTTCTATCTTGCAACTCATGCGCAGGAATAAATCGACAGTGGACCGTCCGCCTCGTGCTGCTATCATGGCAGATCAGTGGGTGGTGCTGCGTGCACGGCCCCAAAGCCAAAGCGCCTTGGGCTATGGACGGGGGTGATTGGGCAATGAAGCGTCGCTGGTGTCCGGGCGTGCCAATGCCAGGTGTGGCAGCCAGGCCAGGCACCCCCGCCTTGTACAAGGTTTTTTCCACTGGCTGGAACTTGCCGGCGATACGGAGGCTGAGGCCAAAGAAAGGGCCCACCAGTGCGCATCGTCCCGTCACCCACTCTTGCCCCGTCAACAGGCCAATCGAGGACAGTGCGTTGGACCTTTCCCCCTTCAGAAGCCGTGACCACTGAAGGGCTGGGTTTACAGTAATGGGAACAATTTCCTCAAGCCTGAATCGCTGAAGCAAAAATCAGTGCGTAATTTCCGTCAAATCCATACCCACACGGAGGGACGTGCCTTTGGTACAAAAGGTACGGATGTCGTATGAACGCAAGTATCTCGAGTAAATACAAGCCAGGTGTTTTTCCTTATTTTTCTTTAAACAAAGGCGTCGCAGGTAGCCGCGTAATCGTAACAACGAAGGAACTGATCAAATTTATGAGAGACGGCGCATTGCAATTCTCTCTTTCCAGTCTGGAGTAGGTAACTTGGGCTAGCGTCCCCCATGATCTAACCAAAAACGGCTCGCCGGGTCCTTCATCTTACAATTACGTAGAGTAGGTACAGACGACGACGACGACGACGACGACGACGACGACGACTCCTCCGTTTACGGATACAGTGACGAGAGTTACTAGTATCACACGGAGGACGCAAATTGCTCAGCTAGTCACTGCCTCGGGGTTTGGCCTCAAAACAGGGGACGGAAACAAAAGTACAACAGGGCTTGTGGCCTCGGGACGGCCCTCGGGTGGTCCTCGGGATGGTGCACGGATGCAGTGCAGTGCAGTGTCAGTGGTGTGCAGTGTCAGTGTGCAGTGTCAGTGGTGGAAGGTTGCGTTTTGAAGGGCTCCGCAACAGAGCCGAGCAGGCCGGTCCAAGAAGCCCGAGGTTGACTTTAAGGTTGCTCCTTCCACACGAAGCCAGTTACCTGCATTCCGGTAGATTTAGAAATGAAGATTGGCTGCGGTTGTGTGCGCGTCGTACAACACGTGGAGCCCTAACATCACCGTGTCCCACCGATACTTGAAACGGGTCATTGAAGGTCCAATAGTGACTCACAGGGGGATAGCCCTCACAGGGCTTGACAGTTGGTAGTGTGGTGCCTGGAGGCTGGTGGGGCGTGCTGCCATCCCCTATTCTCCTCAGCCCTACAACTGCACTCCCTGCTTTCCATTTTGCCCAACGAGCTGCGAGATGCAAAAAGAGACCATCTGACAATGCGGCTGCATCATGTACGTACTAGCCCGTACCACCTGGCTCTGCGCCGCCCATGAAGGTACACTGCGGTACCTCGCGCTGCCGCTAATTATATTGATGGCTGGATTTAAGCTTCTGTGCATGCGGTGCAGTTAAGGGACCCGGGAGTGTGCCCAAAGCCTGGTGACGGAGTACGGCACCGGTGGGCAGTGCATGTGGCGCCCTTTTCCCCGAGGGCACTTCAGACAGTACTCCGTACAGGACACAGCAAGCGTAGACTTGGACGTTCGATGAAAATGGAAAGATTTGAGGCCCAACTTGAGCCGCCTGGCCAGGTGCAAAGAAGATTTAAGTGTAGAAAGGTCGGCCGTCTAGAGCGTGAAGTGTTCGCAGCATGTCTCAGGTGGCTTCCAAAGGCTGTTGCGGAACGAGAACCACTTGACGCGCGACATAGAAATCATGAGCCGACGACAGCAAATCCCGGGTTGGGGCCAGGGCGGTCCAGGCGCTGCGGGGCTCCCTGACCACAGCGAGACCGGGCCGCCTGGCTGGGATGACCCCGCTGCCCCCCCCTATGGCCCCGCCAACGAGGAATTTGCCTATGCTCCCGACCCCAACAACGTCAACAGCTACTATCAGCCCCCCGCAACCTTTGTTCACGATGCATACCATCAACATGACCACTGGCAGGGCACCTACAACACCACCTACGCGGAGCAGTGGCCGCCGCACTTCGACCAAAATGAATTGGGCACCGCCACGGGCCACCAGTACTCGGCTCCCCATGATGACGTCAATCATGGCGTCGAGAGCGACAATTACTCAGTCGGATATGACCCTAGAATTCCTGAAGCCGAACTGGATGGCCTCGAGAACGACATCAATCACATCTCGCTGTCGCCGCCGCACGACATGGGCCCGACTGCCGGCTACGAGTATGATTATGACGCCGCTGGGCCGTCGGGCGAGGGCAGCAGCGGATATGAGCAGCCCGACCAGGCCGCTCAGCAAGCTGACCGGTCGCACCGACACCACCGAGCACCAGGTTCATCGACGAGCGGTTTGACATGCGAACTCTGCGGCGACACCTTCCCCACCAACAAGAACCGCCAGCGGCACGACCTGAGCAAGAAACACACGGACAACCTCGCGGCCGCCAGCCAGACCTCGGACGTGGTCAGATATTACCGGTGTGCCTGCACCTACACCCAGGCCCGCAAGGACCTCTACAGCCGCCACCTGAAGAAGTGCAAGTATCCCTCCCCGGCCCCGTTCGGGTACCAGGTCATGTACCGCTGCAGCTGCCTCCAGGAGGACGACAACAAGGACGCCCACATCAGCCACATCGACTTGTGCGGCCGCAAGAGGTGGGGAAAGAGAGGATTCGGCGGGGCAGCTCGACCGACCTGAGCTGCTAGCATGCTGGGTAGAGTGGATCCTATTGCGTGGCGGGGATGAGAGGATGCTGTGATATATTGATACCCTTTTACATATGTTTTCAACAACTTCACGAGGCGCTGGATGCTCTCTGGGTTATCAAAAAAAAAAAGGAACGGCGGACCAAAACTATCACGCCCTGGCATTTCAAAAAAGGGATTCACGAGATGAATGAATGGACGAGTAACGAATAAGGACCCCAGACCACTAGATAGATGTGACCGTCATAGAGGCGGAGGGTCAGGGCTTGCGAGGCATTTTGCATTTTTGGACATCGGCATAGGCCCGATATGTTTTGTTGTTACTAGTGTTACGTATGCAATCATTCAGTTCCGATCGCTGAAAAATCTGCAATCCCGAGATTTTCTGTGATGCACAGTGTGTTTTTCTCAGTCTCCGCTTCCAGTTCCTTGAATTAGCCGACGTGATGAATTCCCAAATGACCGCGCATCAATCCCCTGCTGTGATCGTCGTCAATCAGAATACTACCACCCATAAATTGGATGGAGGTTCGCGCCTAATTCCTCATGTGCCAAGTCTGTGCCGATGTTCGCAACTTGCAAGTCGAGGGCGGTTCCGCCGCCAATTATCTTATCTCCGACCACAGGAGCCACGCGTGACGAACCACATTGGACTGCAAGTGAGACAATGGTGGTTGAACCCACGGGATCGGAACCATCTGCAAGCTAGCCAGCCTGCGTGCCTGTCTGCAAGCCTGCCTGCCTGCCTGCCTGCCTGCCTGCCAGTCTGCCTGCCTGCCTGACATAATTACAACAGTGAGTAAGCGCCCAATTCGTCTTGTCCTATCGGGTGATACGGATTCTGGCTGACTGCCAACTGCCACAAAAAACGAAAAAAAAAAAAGGAATGGCGGATATCTCAGGCAGGCACCACCCCCCATTATGTCCGTGTCGCAGATCAGCCCATCCACACCAAATACAGGGTGGCAAAAGAGTGTGGTGGGTGGGTGGTGGTACTGGCCCAGCCCTACAAACCGGCTTTCCCGCCCGAGCGCGCGGCGGCTGGGCCGCCTTTCTGCAGGTCATCCGGCGGTGAGGGGAAGAGACGGGCTTGCCTCGGAAAGCCAATGACGGAACATGTGTTGCCAAGCCAGGATGATGGCATGCCAACGGCCGGCAAAAAGATGCACTCCCGCCCCAGGGGGGCTCGGCTCTTGATGAGGCCCTCGCTTTCCCGGGGGGTAGCTCGTCATCATGCCTGTAATCATTCCGTTTCTATCTAGCACCTCAACACCTAACCCATTTAATTATAGCCGTTCTGGCCGTTTTGTATTAATTCACATCAGCGTCCGACGCCTGGTAGTAAGCAAGTACCACCCACCCGTCTAAAGCCATCCTTGACCAATGGCTGCGCGCAACCTTTCCACTGGCGGCTTCTGATTGCGGTTATATGTTCCGTGTTCCGGCACAGGAGTGGGCTTCTAAGCCCAACCTCGGCAATTACCCAATCCTGCGGGAGCCGAGGTGTTGGTCCTCACCCACCAAGTGTGCAGCAAACTACAAAGGATGATCAATATCCGGTTCTGGTTTGCCACGGAATAACCTTTCCCCCTCTGCGCGGAGAAAAAATGAGAGAAACAAATAAAGGAGCGAAAACCAAGAACAAAGAAAATTCAGGGGCTTTGCCAAGTTCAGGGGCTAGCAATGGGAGTCAAAAACGCCACAGTTGGCGGGGCGACACACTAAAATCGGAAGCCAAGGCATTGAAGGCGGCGCTAACTTCGAGCGACATCTGTAAAGGCCTTTGTGAAATTTGGTAGTATTGAGATGACGGAGTCTTGTTGATGTTCAGATTTGGACGGGAAATGGACGACTGTATTGCTTGCAGGAAGGAAGTCTAGCTATCTAGGCCACGGCGGAATATATATAGGAAGGTGATGGTCTGGACCGGTGGAATCCAAGGATCCAGATATGCCTCGGCTCGGCTGCACTAGGCGGGTCAGCCTGGTATATGCGGGGCTAGCCACATCAGATATTTGGTAACCTTTAGGCTCCTTGATCGTGGCGGTGTCCGCGTCTTGAGAAATTGATCTTTGATATGTGCCTGTCTAGTAATTATCTACCGTAGTTATGTATTAATATTTAGCTCAGGGCTTGGCAACTACCATACTGACACTTTTTGTAGCTGCCCTTCACGTAGTTGGTTTGATCGCACTAGAGAAAGAAATATCTAGAGAGTACTAACGTACAAGGCCGTGAAATAACTGTCCCTAAGCGCAACTGGAAAGCTGAGTCGAAGGAGCTCTGGCTGGACCTCGTGTAGGGAGATAGATAGTACACTACTTGCTTAGCTGTCTTCAATCTATCTAGAAGATGGGCGAGTTTATATAGGCCGTAGATGACTTGAAGACTCGGTCCATAATGGGCAGGCGATGAGGGTCTAGGTTGCGAGTTAGATATGGCCCGACATCGCCACATTCGTGCCACAACAGATACTTGTCGTGATGCAACGACTGCGGTTTATCGTTTTTTTTTTGATTGGCTAAGGCACCTACCTACCTAGCCGCAGGGACGGCACATTTCCGCGATGGAATAGAGCTTGATGGCATTACCAACGACTCCACTTAGATGGAACAACCTTGTAGAACTTCATGGTAGTTAAGAGTCGTGACGCCACGCCATCACCGCCATGCACGAATAGACACGACCTCCCCTCTACCCTACCACATCTCACCCATTGCCGATGGAAGATGCGCTTGTATACTTTGCAATAAATCAAGGTAGTTCTAGAACTAAGGCAGTTTAGAAATTTAAGTAATGCGTAGCTCAAAGACATTTTCTGTGTGATACGCAATCCCAGAATCCACTAAAGTGTAGAACAGAGTCTAAAATGTGTTGCATAATTCCCATTACACGTCCCGGGAAACACCTCGATGACCCGGGACAAGCGTCAACCTGTAAGAGAGTCAGATCCGAGAGAGCCACGATGCCACCCCACAACCAGGGTTACTATTGACGAATAGAGACAACTTTACGCGTATCCGTGACGGCCAACGCAGCATACAGGATGCATGTACGGCCCCCAACCAATGCGAGTGCGTCTTCCCTCTTTCACTCAGTTGCATCGCATGTTGGCATCTCGGCGTGGAATGGATACCTGACCGGGTTGAGCGGCTGCCAATTGCATTTGGTGCAGCTGGCCGGCTCCCCGCTGCTACCCCTGGTGGGGCTCCATCTTATGACTATGTTGTTGGTGTTGTCGCGGCTACGGCACAGCAGTGTAACATGGCTGTCAAGACTAATCGAGCCGTCCATGCAACCAAAGCGCGTGTGCTGCCTAGAGTTTTGCTGGAATTTTGACTAGTTTCAGGCACCTTCCTCAATTGCGGCACTGCGCCCGGTTATGCTAGCCACCGCCTTTAATATAATTCGTCTCGTTCCCAGGAACTATTGGCCGTGTCACGCGGAGTTGTCAACGCGCCCGCCTGGTCGGCAACCAGCCGGCGAAACCTGTGTAGTATCTGCCTCGGTGTAACCCTCCACCCGGAAACTCGTATTCAACAGGCACAATCCTTCAGAGAGCCAACATATTGCCTTGCACACGATAGGAGTTTCTGGATGCAGCCAATACGCGTGACTCTCTGCCTTGTGCTGAAAACGGAAAACAAAACAATAAACGGCTTCACTGCCTAGGCTGCCTAGCAAGTCTTGGGCGGCTTCACGCATAAAGACTTGGTCCTTTGCCGTCCCTTCACGAATGGAACTTTCGAATCACGCACTCCTCAGCTTCCACTCCTCAGCTTCCACTCCTCAGCTTCCACTCCTCAGCTTCCACTCCTCAGCTTCCACTCAGCTTCCACTCCTTAGCTTCCACTCCTCTCTTCAGCCAAAGAGTTAATTCAGACTGCAGCTACCATGCCTTTTAAATTCGCACTCGCCGCGCCGTTCCTGGCTCTGTGCAGCGCCGCTGCCGGCCAACTCTCGCAGCCGCAGCTCAACAGCTGGCGGCAGCCCTCTTTTGGGTATCCCGAAACGACGGACGGCAACGTGGGCACCTTCAAGTCGGTCGACCTGAGCCGGGCACGCTTCTCGCTGCTGTTCAACAACTACGACAACTATGCCGGCTTGTACATCCAGTCGTCGTCGGCCAACTTCATCACCGACTACAACGTCGACGCCGTCATAGGGAACACGGACCCCGTCGTCGGCCGCGTGTGCGGCGCCACGTCCAACTTCACCCTCATAACCTTCACGGACCCGGCCACGGGCAACCCGTGGATCCGCACCGCCACCATGTTCGTCAACGTGATCAACACGCTAGGCTCTAACAGCAACGCCATCGTCAACGAGATCTACCCCATTTACCAGGGCGACTCCATCTTCGACCCGGGCAACACGGTGCCGTGCCCGCCCGACGGCCCGTCGCCGCCCGCAACCACCACCACCACGGCCATCCCCTCCGCCACCACGGCCCGGCCCACCGGCACGGCCACGCAGCCGCCCGCCTCGCTCACGGTGCCCGGCCACCCCGAAGCCACGCTTGCTCGCTGGGTCGCCGGCACGACTTCGGGCGGCTTCACGCTGTCGCCGATCCTGATCGGCACGGCCGACTACATCGACGACTACGACCCCAGCACCGCCAACACGCCGTCCAGCAGCTTCTCGTTCCTCTTCAACACCGCCCAGCGCTACCGCGGCCTGTACGTGCAGGCGCCCGCCGGCAGCACCGCCGGCATCCCCGCCCTCCACGTCACGACCTACGACAACAGCATCCAGACGTCGTGGACCGTCGGCACGCTGGCCGCGGACCCGACGGCCGAGTTCGCCGTGATTAGGTTCGTCGACCACACGGGCGTCGAGGCCACCGTGTCGCTCGACGAGCTGTTCTTTGCGTTCGACGGCCCGTCCGCGCCCATTGCGGAGATCTATCCCATTTACGAGGGGGATGCTATTGTTAATGTCTGATTTAATAACTGCCAGTGTGCCTGGAGAAAGGGGGTGCTTCGAGTCCTCGACGGGAAGCGGTTGAAGGAAATACCAGGACAATAATAGATAATAAATTAATTACCTGCTCCCCCCCTGACGATACACGCGTCGTGCAGTGTTGCCGCCTATCGATGTTGTCCAGACCCCTGACGATACACGCGCCGTGCAGTGTTGCCGTCTATGTTGTCCAGACCTCTTGGTCACCGGTGCCGCAGCTTCTCGCAAGGCCTCATACTCAAGCAACTTGCCACCGCAGCCAAGCCACAAGAAACCTCCTCACGCACGCCCTCAGTCAATCCGATACACGAGCTTCTTCCCGCTAACCTTCCCCTCGCGCATAGCCTGCAGGCCCTCAAACACGCCCTCCAGCCCACCCTCGCCAACCTGCACCGGGTGCACACGAATGCGGCCCTCGGCCAGCAGCGCCTCGGCCAGCGGCCAGAAGGCCTTGCCAAACTCGAACTCGTCGGGGTTGCCCGGGATGTCCATGGTAGGCCCGAGCTTCAACCGCTCGCCAATGATCATGTACCCGAGGGTGAACTGCACCGTGACATCTTGGCGCGGCGACTTGCCCTGCGCCGACAGGCTGCTGATGACGCCGCCGGCGGGGCCCAGCGCCGCCGCGCACACATCCGTGCTCGCCTGGTCGCCGATGCAGTCCAGCGCGAGGCCCAGGGGCGCGCCCGCCGTGTGCGCGCGGATCTTGGCCGCGCACTCAGGGTCCTTGTAGTCGAACACGGCGTCGGCGCCGAGGGACTTGACCAGCTCGAAATTGGATGGCGAGCATGTTGCGATGATGCTCGAGCAGCCGGACAGCCGCGCGAACTGCACGGCGAGCGTGCCCGTCGCGGTGCTCGCGCCGTAGATCAGCAGCGGCACGCCGGCTTTGGTGCTCGCGCCTGGCAGCGGAAGCTTCAGCGACTGGTAGAGGGCCTGGCCGACGGTGGTGATGCCGATGCCCAGCGTGCTGGCGTCTTCGTCGGAAACGCCGTCGGGGATCTGGCGCGGGGGTTTTGTTACTTGTTAGACTGTGGGTTATTAACTTGGGGATGCAACAACAACAACACACACCTTGAGCCACAGGTCGCCCTTGGCCACGAGGTACTCGGCAAAGCCGCCGTCCTCGAGCTGCAACGCGTTGCCGCCGTGCGCGAAGCCCGCAATGCGGTCCCCCTTCTTCCACGCTTTGGTCACCTTGGACCCAATCTCCTCGACCACGCCGGCGAAGTCGCAGCCCGAGGTCGCGCCCGCCAGACCGCCAAAGTCAATGTGCTTCCTGTCGGATCGAGATTAGACCTCGGCCGAGCTAGCAGAGCACTCTGGACGGAGAAAAGCGCCTTACCAGTCGGTGGGATTCAGGGCAACGGCCTTGACCTTGACGAGCACGTAGTCGTCCCGAAGCGCAGGGATAGGCGCGTCCTGGATTTCGGCCTTGCCTCTGGCGATGATCTTGATGGCCTTCATGGTGTCTGATCGGTATCTGCGGTCCCGTGGCTGGTTGGGTAGACGTATTGGGGACGAAGGCGAGCGAGCGGGGGATGTCGAGTTGAACTGGCGAAGACACCACCAGCAGGCGGGTGGCAAGCTCTTCTTATAGGCCGACGGGCGAGCCATAACGGGACGGCGCAACCGTCCCACCACGCCACGCCACATTTGGATTTGAATATGAACAGGAGCCTCGAGAATGCGAATGGAATGAAACAGGAAACTGATTGCAGCTCCCCTGCATCAGCCAAGCCCTTGACCGAATCTCTCGCAAAAGTCACCGACCTGTGTCTCAAACGCTCGATGTGCGGGCATTGGCTTCCTATCTCGGGACGGTCCAGTTTGGTCTGTTGTTGCCGCGCCACTGCCCGGGGCAGTGGATTGGTCAGCAGGCGCAGCGGCCCGTTCTGTCGCTTGGCCTCAGCATACGGATACGCAATGCGGCGTTACGCCCTCCTCCTAGACAGTATTTATCCGCACCCCCCCGCATACCTCCGCGGTACCAGAGTTTGCTGCTGTATTCAATAGAACCCGTTCTCGCCCCGCACATTTTGAATTTCTAAGCAAGTCTTGTTCAGTTTTAAATTTCTAAGCAGGTCTCCTTCAGTCACCCCACGCAACTTTGGGAGCGGAGATTGCGGCGATAAGAGCCATGTGGAAGGGGGCGCGTCTTTGGTGCCACGCTCCGGCGTATCAGGTTCTGCCTGCATCTCTCGGAATCAACATCCTTTCAAAGCCGATCTGGTTGTTTTCTCCACTGACCGTCTCGACTCATCCAAGAGCGGTCAAAGTTCGTTGGCTGTTCTCTGGAGAATCCTACTGGAGAATCCCACCGTGCTAGCAACAAGCAGCGACAACACCTGAGCCACGGAATACTTGCACAAAATAGGTGCCTCAAAGCCAACTTGTGAAATCCGTCTTGTGGGTGCAGAGGCAAAGCGAGCGACCTTTCCACATGGCAGACTAGACCCAATATCCACCATGTCACCCAGCGCATTCAGCAACAACAAGACAACCAATGTCAACAGCAAGACAAACAATGTCAACAACAAGACAATCAATGTCAACAACATGACAATCAATATCAACAACATGACAATCAATGTCAACAAGACAAACAATGTCAACAACAAACCCGTGCTCAATTCCGATATGCATGCCCTAATCGGGTGAGTGCGAAGTTGAACTATTTCACTCCGCCGAACCACAGATAATACGCCAGCTGCAGCGTGTTCGCCACGAGCCCCGTCAGGTGCCGCGTGCTCTGATTCTCCAACATGACAGCCGGGGACCGCTCCAGCGTATAAAACTCCGCCAACACGTCCCTACCCACCTGCCCCCAACATCGGCGGTATGCAGGAAACTGACCGTCTGCACCAGACTCACAAAGTACAGCCGCCACGACAGTCCTGGCGACGGCGGACTATCGGCCTTCTCGCGCTCGCAGCGGCGGTACGTGGCAGCGAGCGAGCGCACCGTCGTCATCCCCTCGTCCCCATTCACCCGCGCCGCGTCGGCCAGCATGGTGTCAAACATGGCCGGCTGGAACGTGTAGTTGTCGCCGTGCCGAAAGTCGAGCCGCGTGAACGACACATCGCGCTCCACCACGCCGTGCCGCCGCATGTCGGCCAGGTCGAAGGTTTTGGTCTTGGTGTGCCGGAAGGGTTTGAGTTGGGGGGCCAGCGTGTGTGCCAGCACGCCGTCCATGTGCAGCGCTGTCATGAGTGCGGCCTCGGCGCGCGCGATGCTGACGTTTTTGCCGTCGCGGGGGCTGGAGGGGTGTTAGGTGTTTTCCCCTTTATTCTTTCCTTTGTTTTCCGTTCCTGTTAAGTGACAAGTACGGAATGGGGAGTGAAGTATCACAGAGTGCAAAGAGAGGAGAGGACTTATAGACATCCCTGGTTGGCCAGCGCGTTCAGGGCCGGACACGGCCCGCACGCCGAGATGTCGCCCCTCACATGGCCGTTGTCCTTTTCGGCCCGGATCTTGGCAACCTCTTCGTCTCGTTCGCGAGATCCGAACGGCAGATGGCTCCGGAGGGCGTGGAAGATGGAGAGCTGCATCTTTGTTTAATTGTGATCTGCTAACGGCTGCAGGATACCTCGGCTGGTGATGGCGAGGGAGAGTTGTTCGGGTTTATACCCAGAGTGGCGGCAGAGGCGACCTCGACCAGGCGAGTTTATGGAAGGAATCAAGTGCGTACGAGAGTAGTCTCGTGAGCATGCCAGTGGCAGGCACATTTTGCGTGTGGTTGCATTCCGAGCCATGTTGAGCTGGGTGGTAACTTCTCACGTCAGCCTTGCTCATCGGTTACCACGGCCTTATCCCTCGACAGGTGGCCCAGAACCGCATCTGTGGTGCTCGGCCCGTCGTCTGTCTGGGACCGGCGAATTAAGCCAAGGACCCCTAATGTCTCGCAGTCTTAGTGGCGGCACGCTAAAGCGGTTGGGGCTACACGCAAGTAGGCTCCCCGCCAATGGCAGCGAGGCCATGGTAATCAGCCCCCCGGACCCATGCAGCCAGCCCTTTGAGGTTCATCACAATCTCGTCCGACCGACCGACCAACCGCCCTCCGGCTCTCCCAGCTGTGTGGTTCGCTCGCATTTGCCGCATTTTAGGGGGCCTGCGCATGTAGCGAACTAACATCCTTCACGACGCACGCACAGCCATGGCTAGCCCAACAGCACGCACCGTCTGCGAAGCACCGCACAACAGACACGCAGATGCGGCCGCTGCGAGTGCCCCTTAAGGCGCTTCGTAGTAGACAAATGGCGCCGGCGCAGTGGCTGCTCGCCGGCTCGGTTTTAGGCCGCTCCTTATTACTAGTTCCGCTCGGTCTCGTTCGGACTGCCCCTGCCAGTCTCTCGGACCTTGCCGCCGGCATGTGTCGAGTGGGGGGTGGCTGTCTTACCACGCTAAATTCCACGCCAACATGGGACGGTGGGAATCGGACGTGACCGGGGTAAATACACGGAATTGGCATGGCCGGGCATTCCATGGCAGGGCATGCCATGGTATGGCATAGCATGCTCACGTCAGGCACTCCATGTGCACACATGCCGGGAAGTGCGCGTCTGACAGGCCCTCTGATAGGGCTGGATCCGAGTCCAGCCCGCCACAGTCTCATCCGTCGTCCATGGCAGCCTGCACTGCACTGCACCCGCCGCACCGCCCGCGTCAGCCCTGCCGAGCTATGTTTGGCGTGAAGGAAGCTCGGCAGGAGGTGGTTGTGAGGGGGGGTATCGACCATTGCCACCCTAGAGACAAAGTATAATTATGCGTGGCCCCGTGTCTGGCAGCTTATCCGGGCATCTACCTTCATCACATCCTATTTTTTTTCCAACTCATATTGTCATCGAGCCGCCCAGCAAAACGAGCCCAGTTCAAGACATATTTCGGGACGACGTCGCTGGTTCCGGTCAGCCATGGCTGCATCTGCCCCTGCATCTGACAGCAACAGCAACAACGGGAAAAACAACAGCGTCAGCAATAACGGGAAAAACAACAGCGTCGGCAACGTTACCGTGACAAAGCAAAAGCCAGAGGACCAAAATGCCGAGCCTCTCCCGTCGTTCCAGCCCGGCTTCACGGACCGGCTCGGCATCGGCGCCTTCAGGCTGGTCAACAAGGTGATCCCGTGGTACAAGCTGCCGGGGTTCCTGGGGGCCTTCAACCTGGCCTTTCTGCGCATCGAGCTGCGCCAGTTCAACCTGCACGACGGCTACGCGTCGGGGGTGGCGCAGGGCTCGGTAGCCTCGGAGCCGCTGCTCGACGAGCGGTTCCTCGGGGCGCGCAACTCGGACGGCAAGTTCAACTCGCTCGAGATGCCACTGATGGGGTGCGCGGGCATGCGGCTGGGGCGCAACTTCCCGCGCCAGTTCACGCCGCGGCCCAGCGACGAGGAGCTGATGAATCCCAACCCGCGAACCATCAGCAACCTGTTCATGGCGCGCAAGGAAGGCGGCTTCGTGCCGGCCACGACGCTCAACCTGCTGGCGGCGGCGTGGATCCAGTTTCAGATCCACGACTGGTTCAACCACGAGGAGAGCGCCACGCAGACGCTCGACGTGCCGCTGCCCGCCGACGCCGGCGACCCGTGGGTGCAGGAGCACATGCGGCTGCACCGCACGCAGCCCGACGCGGTCCTCGACCCGTCCGACGTGGCCTGCCCGGGCTACCGCAACCTCAACACGGCCTGGTGGGACGGCAGCCAGATCTACGGGTCGAGCGAGGCCGTCACCCAGACCCTGCGCTCCAGGCTGCCCGACGGCAAGCTGGCCCTCGACGAGCGCGGCTGCGCGGCCTTCCTGCCCCGCGACCCCGGCGGCAACCCCCTGACGGGCTTCAACAGCAACTGGTGGATCGGCATGGAGCTGCTGCACACGCTGTTTGCCCTTGAGCACAACGCCATCTGCGACAAGCTACGCGGCGCGCATCCGAGCTGGACGGGGTGAGGCCAGGCCCCTTTGTTTCGCCCGCGACTGAGAGTCTGAGCTGACACCCGTGACCCACACCAGCGACCAGATCTTCGACAAGGCGCGGCTCGTCAACTGTGCGCTGATGGCCAAGATCCACACGGTCGAGTGGACGCCGGCCATCCTGGCCCATCCGGCCCTGCAGGTGGCCATGTCGGCCAACTGGTGGGGGATCGTGGGCGAGAAGCTGACCAAGCTGGTCGGCCGCCTGTCCAAGACGAGCGAAATCATCAGCGGCATCCCGGGCAGCGGCGCCGAGCAGGACGGCGCGCCGTATTCGCTGACCGAGGAGTTTGTGTCCGTGTACCGCATGCACTCGTTGATGCCGGGTAAAAACTCCTCTTCTCTCCTCTCCTCTCCTCTGCCCCCCCTCCTCTCCTCTCCTCTCCCCTCCCTCCTCTCCTCTCCTCTCCTCTCCTCTCTCCCCTCTCCTCTCCCCTCTCCTCTCCTCCCCTCTCGCCGTGCTTTTGTTTATACTTACGCTGTCGGTTGCCAGACAACATCGCCTTCTTCGACGCGACGTCGGGCGCGCACAAGTCGACGATCCCGCTGCCGGACCTGACGTTCGCGCACGCGCGGGACCCGCTCGTCGGGGCCGAGCCCGCCGTCAGCTTCGGCGACGCGCTGTACTCGTTCGGCATCAACTACCCGGGCGCCATCACGAACAACAACTACCCCGACTTCCTACGCGGGCTGACGACACCCGACGGGCAGACACGCGACCTGGGCACGGTGGACATCCTGCGCGACCGCGAGCGCGGCGTGCCGCGGTACTGCGAGTTCCGCCGGCTGCTGCGGCTGCGCGTCCCGCAAACGTTCGACGAGCTGGTCGGCGGACACAACCCGGAGCTGGCCGCCGCGCTGTCCAAGGCCTACGGCGGCGACATCGCGCTCGTCGACGCGCTAGTGGGCTCGCACTCGGAGCCCGTGATCCCAGGGTTCGGGTTCAGCGAGACGGCGTTCCGCGTTTTCATCCTCATGGCCTCGCGCCGCCTCAAGTCGGACCGGTTCATTGCGACGGCGTGGAACGCCGACACGTACACCCCCGAGGGCTTCCGCTGGGTCCAGGACTCGGGCATGAAGGATGTGCTCGGCCGCCACTTCCCCGAGCTCGTGCCCACGCTCGCCCGCAGCAAAAATGTCTTTGCGCCGTGGGAGATGCTGGCCGAGAGCAAGAACTACGGCGGCGTCGAGACCAATGCGCCGGCTAAGAAGTAGCGAGTCAGGGCACGTGGGAGCATTGGCTTTGGAGTTTCGGGCGGCGATTGATACCAGTCGTTGCGGGCTAACTAAATTGCGAGATGGGTTAATTTGCGAAGCGTCAAGATGAACCAGGTACTGAGGGCTGCAGCTCGGGATCAGCTCGGGATAAAGCAGAGAGTGGCACGCCGGTTAGAAAGATTGAAACCAGTTAATAGCTTCGCAGGAGACCCCACAGGGTCTGCAAATTCCATTCTCATGACGTGACAAGAAGGAATAACATGAGGGGAGTGAATCTGGCAAGCACAAGTGGAACGATTACGTTCAAAGAACTTTGACAAAGACCACATCCATATTATCTGTCGCATTTTCTGTCAAATGGTTTGGTCGGCCAGTTTGTTTCCACAGCAACAGCAAACACGCCCTACCGCGGGTGCGTAAAGACGGCGGAACGAAAAAGCCAGAGGGGTTGAATAAGGCTCAGAGATGACATGTGGAGCAAATGAGAAATAATAAAGTAAAAAAGAAGTACAGCACCAATGTCTCTACCGGGGGCTGTCAGGGCCTTGCTCTTGTTTGACTGATCATGAGAAGCAACGAATGGCCACTGGGTCTTGTACCTGTCAAGTTTAACCCGAGGGCGGGGGACAAGGTTCTAGGCCAGCTCACGTGGATATAATTGCTAGGTAGGTGTATGGAATTGCTAGCTAGGTGGATGGAATTGCTAGGTACGTGGCTGTAATTGCTAGGTACGTTGAAGTGGCACGACGTATTTACAGTAATAAATAACTTTTCTTTCATTCCCTGCTACGGGGTATCTAATATCTCCCATTCCACCACCACCACCATCACCGACGCTGTGTCCCTGACTACGGCACACTCTTAACACCAGCCTTCTCATCAACACTGGCACCGACCTGGCGACTCTGTAGACTCTCGGCATCCACCTCGACGACAACCGCATCGCCCTCGTACTTGCTGTGCTTCAGATTGTTGAGCGCATCCTCGTCGCGATCAGCCACGCGGAAGGTGAGCCAGAAGCCGATCGCACCGATCATGGCGATGACCGCGACCGACCCGTAGTTCCACACCAGCAGCGGATCCTCCGAGAGCGCCGTCAGGCCCTGGCCGATGGCGCTCGAGATGGCCGACATGGCGAGCGCGATGGCCTGCACGGTCGACCGCATGTTCTTGGGCGCCTTGGTGTACGCGTACTCAAGCTTAGTGATGGAGGCGAGGACCTCGGACAGGCCGATGAGGGCGTAGGGGAAGATCTGGATCCAGACGGTGAAGGGGGCTGCGCAGTCCTTGCGGCCGGCCTTCACGGAGGCGTTGATGTGGTCGCCGCACGGCGACATGCGGTAGATGTAGTACTGGGTGACGCACGCAGCCACCATAGACAGCGCGGCCAGCACGAAGCCGGCCGTGATCTTCTTGATGGGCGTCAGGTTGACGCCGCACCTGGCGATCAGCGGGTACAGCACAAAGTCCATCAGCGGGATCAAGATGATGATGGAGATGGGGTTGAGCTTGGCGATGATGTCGTTGGGCACGCCGCCCAGCGTCATGGTCGACGCCTGCGACACCAGGTTGCCCGTCATCTGGTTGTAGGCCAGGTAGTACAGAGGATACCACAGGAACACCTTGCACGCCAGCAGCCCGCGCCGCACCTCGTCGACCCACTCGTCGTCAAACGTCATCCACGCCGGGCGGTCGGCCGGCGCGAAGTTGGAGGGCTTGACCACGTTCCAGAACTCGGGGTCCTTGAAGTTGCGCTTGGTCTGCGCCAGGTTCCACGACCACCGGCCCTTGAAGGCCAGCCGGAGCAGCTTGTAGGCCGTGGCCATGACGGAGCCCGTCGGCGGCGACAGCGTGTAGAACTTCTTGTAGTAGAGCAGGATCATGGGGGCGATGAGGAAGACGATGGTGGGCAGCAGGAACGACAGCCAGAAGCCCACGTAGTGCTCCGAGTACACCATGGCCAGGGACCCCGTCAGCGAGCCGACGTTGATCAGCATGTAGAAGTAGATGTAGATGCGGGCCGTGGTGACGGCGGGGTCGACAATCTCCCTGTTGCCCTTCTTGTCGACGCGCACGTACGCGTGGTCGTCTTTGTACTGCTCGGCAATCAGCGGGGAGATGTTAGACTTGAAGCCGCCGGTTCCGATGCCCATGATGACGAGGCCGACGGCGAAGACAGCGACGGAAGCAGTGGGGTGGACGATGACCGGCGGGATCGCCGAGAGGATGAGGATCACGTGGCCGACGAGGGCGAAGACGATGGAGTACTGGATGGTCAGATACCGGCCAAAGTACGTGTCGGCGACGTAGGCGCCCGCGAGAGGAGTGACGTAGGACCAGAAGTTGTTGAAGGTGGTGAGCCCGGTGGATGCGCGCTGGCCGAGGCCCAATGCTCCCGAGCCGGGGGAGATGAGAAATCCGGCACCCGTGTGGGATCCGACGGGGAGCGGCTTCTGGATGAAGTTGACGACTGATTACCAAAGGTCAGAAAACGTGGACAAGGTCAGACAGGATCCAAGTTGACTCACAGACAGCAGTGGTGCCGTAGTATGAGAAGCGCTCAGCGAACTCGACAATCGCAACAGTCCACGCCGTCCACGGGATGGAGCCGGGCACACGGGGGAGGGTGGCGAACTCTTCCTCGGTGGGATATGGCTTCAGCGGATCGCTGCTGCCCACCGACGCCTTCTCGGCCTCGGAATGGACCCTGCTCAGAGCAGTCGCAGGCTCGACCATGCTGGTCCCCTGGGTCATCTCCAGGCTCTTCTTGGTGTCCGACATGGCGAAGACGTGGGCGAGGTTGTCCAAGTCGAGACACGAGGGGAACGGGGGGCACCCGCAGCCTTTTACATAGTGTTGTCCCGACTAGCTTCCCAGTCCAGGTGCTGAAGCAGATTGTATACCGAATGTCACCATCGCATCCTCCGATAGTGAGACCTGACAGCCCCACCCAGTGGCCGTATGAGGCAGCTCTCTAAAGCGCCAAGACCCGCATCTGGACCCTTGAGCCATAATCATTCCAGCTTTGCGGATGCTGTCCCCAGGTCTCAACGGGCTATTGAAGAGGTAGCGTTGATGGCTGTGGAGTCTGTGAGTAGAATACGCTCTGCTAACCCCCTTGGGCTATGTCGCTATTGTTTTGCTGATGTCGGTGATGCTCCATCTCCGATTAAAGTGAGTAGAAGGAGGTGCGAGATGGATTTGCTGGGTAGATGCGGGAGACTGGATGCTAGATATTCTTCGAATTTATAGTAACACCTTCTACAAGCAGGTAGCTTACTCCGCCTTGGCGTTCCTTGGCTCTCCTTTGCGGGTGGCAATTGGGAACAAAAGAGGCCCAGACCACAACGGGTGTCGCCGCGCTGCGAAGACGGGTCTGTCAATGGATTACAAAGGGCCCGGCCTTCAACAGGTTGTACAGGCTGGGAACGGGAATATAATTTTTTTAAATTTCAGGTCAAAAATTAGACGCACTCCAGAGTCTGGGACCTTGAAAGTTGACATTCTCGGTGTTGAAGGTGTAGAATGTGGGGCTCCATAGGAGTTAATTAAGTACGGGGGGGGGGGGGGTTGGGTTATCAACATTAGTAATTCCGAAATAAAAAAGGGCACTAAAATCCAAAAAGGTGGCAAAGAAACATACAGCACCCACCAGGGATTCGCTAGTGGTCACCCACCCAACTACTAGTCTGGCAGTCAGAAGCCTTATCTTTAGGACTTAAAATAGCTGAAAATGAGGCTACACAGGAGTCGAAAATGGGGCTCTAGAAGGGCACTGGATAAAAATGCGGCGTCTTATCTCTTTCTTGATTAAAACGAATTTTGTATCAAGTTTAGCTGATAGAATGCCGTTTTTAGAAACGCCCACTACTCTGTCTCGCAGAGACACGTAAAATGGAATGCACCCAATTAAAACGCTACGGAATATACCGTGGATCTCTTAGCGGTACCATGCAGGCTCTTGTAACCGATATTGTTACCCTGCCAAGCGGTTGACAAAAAAAGACGAACTCATTACTTTAAGGTACATCCCTGGGGGCCAGATTTACATATAAATCTAGATATCTCTATGTAGTGGCTGTTACCACCCTGTCATACGACCATCGCCCTCTAACACATCTTGCATCCGCCTTACCATGGAATCTACGTACGTTGCCAGCAGTGGTGGTGTGAGTCGAATGCCATCGAATATTGTAAAATTGGTAGTGTCTGCTAGTGTAAAGCCGCCCGCACAGACCAATCCATCTTTGTAGTTCGTGTTATTTTGCCAACCGCTTGCCTGCTAGCGCCGCCTGCTGCTGCAGGCAGGCGCCTGCGATAGCTTCCTCTTTTCCTTCCTTGGCTTTAGATTCTCCGAGTACAGTAAAGAACGAAATCAATGTCCACGATTTCAATGTTCAAAACTTTCTCCGCACGGGCCATTTTGTCACTAGCAGTGGGTCACACAGTGCATCGCAGGTAGCTTTGTACCGAAACAAGTCAGCTCCAAAACTTGCTAGAGCCGGGAGCCGGGAGCCTAGGGAAAAAAAATGCATTGACCGCTTTTGGCGCTTGGCTCGCGCGCCACCACGTGCGAATAAGTGCTGTAATGAACGACCAATCAAATATAAGCAAGGTCACAAGGCGCAAATCAACCCGCTAATTGCATACCTAATCTATAGTACTGTTCTGTACGTACTATACGTATCACTCATCTCATTATAAGGAAAAGTTAGAAGAATCCTCCAGATACGTACAAAGTAATAACAAAGCCCACTCTAGCTAGTCCAATTTGCAACGGTGGCCAAAGACGATAGCGTATCGGGATGCTTTTGGCCAAGAACCCGCCGTTGAGCCTGGGCACAGTCCTCCATCAGAGCTAAAGCATTGGCGTGTCGACCTTGACTTTTCCAAGTAAAAGCGAGGTTGCCCATATACGTCAGCGTATCTGGGTGATCGGCCCCGAGCTTGGTCTTGCTCGTCTCCATCACCTGCACAAAGAGCTTCTCGGCCTCCTCCCACCTGCCCTGGTTCCAAAATGTCGACGCTAGGTTGGCCATGCTCGTCAGCGTAGAAGGGTGATCGGCCCCGAGCTTGGTCTTGCTTGTCTCCATCACCTGCACCTCTAGCTTCTCGGCCTCCTCCCACCGGCCCTGGTTCCAAAATGTCGACGCTAGGTTGCCCATATTCGTCAGCGTATCTGGGTGATCGGCCCCGAGCTTGGTCTTGCTCGTCTCCATCACCTGCACAAAGAGCTTCTCGGCCTCCTCCCACCTGCCCTGGTTCCAAAATGTCGACGCTAGGTTGGCCATGCTCGTCAGCGTAGAAGGGTGATCGGCCCCGAGCTTGGTCTTGCTTGTCTCCATCACCTGCACCTCTAGCTTCTCGGCCTCCTCCCACCGGCCCTGGTTCCAAAATGTCGACGCTAGGTTGCCCATATTCGTCAGCGTATCTGGGTGATCGGCCCCGAGCTTGGTCTTGCTCGTCTCCATCACCTGCACCTCTAGCTTCTCGGCCTCCTCCCACCGGCCCTGGTTCCAAAATGTCGACGCTAGGTTGGCCATGCTCGTCAGCGTAGAAGGGTGATCGGCCCCGAGCTTGGTCTTGCTCGTCTCCATCACCTGCACCTCTAGCTTCTCGGCCTCCTCCCACCGGCCTTGGCCCAAAAGGACCCTTGCAAATAGTGATGTACTCGCTAGAGTCGCCATATCCTTCTTTCCATGCCTCCTCTCTTGAACCTCCTTCACCTTGCCTAGCATGTTTTTTGCAACCTCGTATCTCCCTTGCGACCAAGCATACCATCCCCCATTATATAACAGAGTCGCCCATATTTCAGCCTTATCTTCACTAGGCCGGTAACTAAGGACTACTTGAACGTGTGCGAAGAGACTTCGACATATCGCCCAATTTTCGTACTTCCCCGTTGGGAATGACGCTGCCATTTGCTCAATACACTTCTGCTTAAATGTCTCCTGCTGCCCAGCCGCTTCCAGCCACTTCCTCATCGACAGCTGCACAAGCCCGTGCATCTCAAACTGGTCCCCCGCCTCGTTCGTAACGATAAGACAGTAGTCCCTTAGTATCGCTATATCATCTTCAAATCCGCTGCCTATCTTATCTTCCGTGCTATCTAGATTGGGCCCATATATGGGAGTTAAATGGCGGCGGCAGCGCCATGGGTGGCGACACCAATGATGTCTTCTCGGTGTTGGTATTGGAACGTTAATGGCTCTGGAGGGTTTTAGAACCCACTCGGGGATACCTTGTCGGTCGAAAAAGCTCATAAGTGATAGGAGATCCGCCGCAGATGGCCGCTTAGACCGAATGTGGTTAAAAGATATCTGCCACGTCGTGAAAATTGTATTCGGCGTACCTTCGTCCCGCCGTAGATCCCCGGCATCGTGCTCTAGAAGCCTAGTCTTTTTGTACTCACTCTCCCGGAACTCAGCTAGGTATATTTCAGGCGAGCTTCGCGGCGCCCTTGCTTGTATATACGCGGCGGCTTGGTTGATGGCTAGCGGAATAAAGTCGAGCGCCTGGACGAGATCGGCGGCTACAGTAGCATCTGGGAAACCCCCCAACTTCTTCTCCAGGAGCTTGAGGGCACTGGTCTGCGTCATCGGCCCGATATCGATAGTGTTTTGGCGGCACCCAGTCAGCCTGGAAGCCAGATCCTTATTGCGCGTTGTGATAAGAATCGATCCGTTTCGACTCTGTGGTAGGTACGCCGTAAATTGCCGCCTATTATGCGTGTCACCGCCAGTCGGGCCGTACAACACGTCACGGTCGTCGGCGCTATCAAGGATCATAATCCATTTGCCGTTCCGTTCGTTAGACAGCCAGCCGTACACAAGTTGTAGGATATCGGCTTTGGTTTGGTTACGGCCGGGCAACTTGACGGCGTCGGCAATCGTCCTAAACCCCTCTTCGATACGCGGCTGCGTCCCGGCGTGGACCCAGAATACCCATATATCGGGCTGCCCCGTGGCAATTCGGTGAGCGAACTCGATGGCAAGCTGCGATTTGCCAACGCCACCCAGGCCCACAAGGGCTATACGAGCGGCGGGCTTGGAATATCGCTGGTCAATTTGGTCGAGAATATCTCCACGGTTGACAAAATCGGGGTCGCGGGAGAAGGGGATGATCGCGAAGGGGGCTGGCGGAGTTTCGGCTCGTTCTGTGGAAGCGTCAGCGTGGGCTGGGCGCAGGCACGGACGGCGCTAGCGTTACCTGGCGGGAGATTGAACTCCGCGTTGACCGTCCCGTAGTTCTGCCCCACCTGCTGGCCCCGGTTTCCGGCTCCGAGAGACGTGGATTGCATTATGTGCCGTGGACGGTTGCTTAAGAGTCGATTCTCGATGGCGACGATTGCAGAAGAGTTGATATTTAATAACGACGATTGCTGAAGAGTTGATATTTAATAATGACGATTTCTGAAGAGTCGATTCTCGATAGTGACGAAGTAGGAATACGCCAACTTGTTCGAAAACACAAAAGTGGACCAAAGTTTTTGGGCAGATGCAATAGACTGATTGTGTGTAGTGTCCAAAAGGTAGGTCCTGGGGACATGCCAGCAGGGGACCCCATTTTACCCCCAAAAAGAGGGGTTGCCTTGGGCTAGGCCCATTCCGTTGGCTGCATTGGCCTGTAAGCCTGTCTGGGCGCAATTGGCTGTATCAAAATAGAGGCTTTTTTCCAACACAACAGCAGCTGCATGGTCGCAAGCAGGTCAGGGGGGCTGATCTTCAGCTAAAATCAATGGGGTAACCAGTTTGCCAGTCAAGCTAGTGTTTTAGAGTGCTGCATGCCCCATAGGCTGTCTCGAGTCATCACCAGCACTAGATTGCAGTAGAGAGTCGCCACCAGGGCTAACCCAAGTTTCGATATAAGCCAGTGGTATAACGAGAATGATCTTGATTGCCAAACTCCCGAACTTACCTACAGCAGCCGCGGCGCGAGTCCGGCCCCGCATGATCAGCCGCAGAGAAGCAGACCAGGGCTGCCACTGCTCCAGCTAGTCAACTGGAACCCTAGCCTGCCATCTAACGAATCCCCATCCACATGCATCCACTACTCCATTAAGTGGAAAATGCTATCAAAGAAAGGAAGACTGTTGAAGCTTATAGAGCGGCTCTACTCCGCCTAGAATTTTGAAGCAAGGTCTCTTTCTGTTCGTGGTATTCCGGAATAGTTCGTAGTAGTAATACTGTGGGGGGGGGAATGGTGTTCATTGATTGTCTGCAGAAGTAACTAAGGTTTCTGGGTGGGCTTGGTTTTAGTGGATCGGCACGCAGGCTCCCGTGCGCTCACGTACACGTGAGCCGGCACGTGCCTGGCGCTAACCCCCTCCTGCACCAAAAGTACGGTCATGAATGCCGCTGTTCTAATGTAAGAGAAGGTAGGTACGCCTGATCAAGGTGGTCACAATGCAGGCAAGAAGGTAGGGGAGCAATGACTTGTATTGGTGTAAGACTTCAACCTGGCCCTCGCAAAGGAAGATGGGCGAGGGCCATTGTTTATATACCTGCTCAGGGGTTCGGCCCGGGCATCAGTCTGCGGTCGTGGCGCCACGGCGTAGCGTATGCCAGCTGGCAGTGTTCTAGCCAGTTGGTGACAAGTGGTGGGCGCGCACCCTGTGCGCGCAGTTGGTGTTTGGGGTGTCCTTTTCCTTACATCTAACACTTTCTGAGAAGGGGTCAAGTGAGGGATCGCCATCCAGTTTGTTAGCAAGATCAAGGCTTGGCTAGATGAGGCGTAGACGTATTGAGTCGGGTGTACGTATTCTATTTCTGTGATAATTCTATACCACTATTCGGAAAGTTCGGGAGGGTGCTCAATGGAAATGCTAGAGTAACGAAAATGACCTTCAGCACTCGCCGCCCGAGAACCCACAATATCAACACACATTTTCAAGAACGTCTCAAAGTCTTTCTCAAAGAGGTCGGCGTAATAATGCCGCTACTGTGTGATGTATGTCTTGATCTCTGTAAAGAGCTCCTCGATCGGGTTCATATCTGGCGAGTGGGCCGCTAGTTTAAATAGTCTTACTTCAGCGTCGATACGTATCTACTCAAGCCTCTCTAAGCGATGGATAGAGGCATTTTCCATAACAAGGACTAAATTCGTCTCCGGCCATTTGCCACAACAAAGCAGCAGCTGTCCAATAGAATCTTCAAATATAACGGCATTAGTGGATCCAGGGTAGATACTTGCTAGTCTAACGCCACTCTGTGTATAAGCAGCAATAATCTGAAACGTTATTCGTGGTTGAACTCGTCAACCTACACGGCGTTACTCCGCTCGGCGCCGAGCCCTAGCGTCGATGCCTACTCCGTTTATCATGGCCAGACTCGTCAATAAATACTAGTTAAAACGAGTACCAGTTTATACAGATATAGTTTCCGTAGGTCCGGGTTCCTGTGACGGCGCCAGCTCACAGCACCCACTACCACTGCGCTAGAACCCCCAAAAGGATGCCAGAATTGCAAGTCGTCGACTTGCAACCTGTAGTGGGTTATAGTGTGCTACGGCCGTTGCGCGCCGTGACAGTTCCGTTGCTTCGCTCACGGCCATTGGTCTTTCTAGTCCATCTTCAGGGTTCGAGAAATGGTGGTCGGGACACCTCGAGGCCGAAACTATCGTATAAGAAGTGGATCATCTTGTTGGAATAGCGATACTGGTGACCGCACACTAGCAGGGAGGAAGCAGAGATCGCGCGAGTACGCACGTGCAAGTAGGCACGTGCGGCGCGCGGACCTCTCACATGCACACACAAAAACCCCGGTCGCACGTAGAACCTACCTTAGTTCCGCAGAGAGAGAGAGGGGGAATAGACACAACATGACCGCCGGTAGATCTACCAACCCTTCGACCTGTAGGATCCCTACGTAGTTTGAGTACCACGAACACATCTCGTATCGAAATATATCGGGTCATTTAACTAGCTATTCAACCAATGCATCGCGCATCAGAGGGGTGATCTTCGCCTCGCGGCCGACGCGGTTCGAGGGGCTTGTCGTGGTTCCAAATCGTCAAAGTCTCGATCGGATTCTGCGGGCTGCGCGCTCACTGTACTCGACAGTTTCGGCTATCACGTTATTGGGCATTTCACGGAGTATCGTAGCATATACCTGTTCACGTTGGGACGGAGCGAGTTATGGAACCATCGGGTGCTGTGATATTGTGCGGCTTATTGGTGTGAAGAACGCAACTGAGGCTGAGGAGGTAATCTCGCTACATGCATCGACCTACGCCACTCAAGCCACGATCCGTCTGTATCATAATTTTAGTGCGCCTGTTCAGCAGCGGCCAGCCATCCTTTGCTTGGGCAATTAACTTGACTTTAGCCATGGCGCAGATGCCATCCCGCATCGTTCAGACCTGGGGACCATGTTTTCAGTTTGCAGAGCTACGCACCTGTGACAGCGGAATTTCTCTGCTACCGGGTAAGTTCCAGCCGTTTCGCAGCGTCGCGACGCCGCTAACCTGCCCAGAACGACCGGAAATACCGCCGCCGCCGTTCGCGATCATCTCCTTCTCACGCGGCCGACCGCGATTTTGCCGACCGCGGAGACAATCTCGAGCAAATCGACATGCGACATTCCAAGCCAGCTGCCCGAGTGGTCTTCGTCGGCCTCAGCGGTATCGGCAAAATTCTACCATCGCCTTCTATATAGGGTGTTATAAGCAGCTACACCTAAACCGAACTAACCAAATTACGGATTTTACGTCTTAATAACTCATTATTTCGTCGGGACCAACCAATAATACAAGAGACCCCGTCGAAGGACCCGCGCGCGGCGGCAGAATGATGTATAATACAACTCCTCTCAGTCTTCTTCAATACTTCTATTGCCCCCCGAAGACCCTGGCTACAGGGCAGAGTCCCCTATAGTCTACGAGGTAGACTGCTGAGCAGAGTCCTCACAGTCTAAGTGGCAGGCTTGTAGCAGAGTCCTACAGACCTGTAGTTGTCAGCCTGCTTCCCTCGGTGCCCTGCACAGAGCACTGTTGTACTGGACCGTAGGGCACAGTTCCATACAGTCTACCCTTGCAGTACTATCGACCTACCCTGCACTTAGCTCCCGCCTTCGCTACCGCTTCCGCCCCGCCAGCTACAGTACCGAGCCCACTGTAGCACCCTGTACAGGTACTCTCCTATAGGCCTGTCAGGCACGCAGTTCAACAAGGTCTTACGGGCGGGTAGCTCCAAAGCTTCTACACTAATTGCATAGGAAAATACAAGTTCTGAAAGTTTCCTTCCTCAGGAGATAACTAAAGTCACGTGGCCTAGGAGTAATTACGTACGCGCCCACTCCCCCCCGATGTCGTCAACCAGAATGAAAAAAACAAGTCTCGTAAAATCGAATACAGTCGTTAGCGAAATCGGCTTCCGTTTTTCTCACTTATATCTTTTCGACGCGCGGACCTTTTATGTATCTAGCCGCCTACACCGTGCGCCCTCGCACGCGCCTGGGTACTCTGATGGCCTATCCTCAATGTAATTACACATCATAACAACACTGCAGCAGAGGTTCTCTGGGAGAGGCATTCCAATTCTCTACAAGTGCTGCATGCCATTGCCCTAATAAACGATTGCCTACGACTTTCCTGAGTACAAATGAGAATCCTCGCGTTTGACGCGTCTAGACGCCAAAGTGGATGTAGGGAATCCAGTATGGGTTTGCCATCTTTTGCACCCGCAACCCGGAGAGCTTCAGAGTTGCATCTCTTGCCTTTCTGTCCCTTTTCTTTTCATCCTCCTCCTTTTCGTCCTCCTTTTCATCCTCCTCCTCTTCATCCTCCTCCTCTTCGTCCTCCTCCTCTTCCATCTCCTCCTTTTCATCCTCGATCCCCCGTCACGCAGCGCGCGAACCGCCCGATGGAGTCCCCTGCAGACCGCTAAATCCTGCAGGCCGCTAAATCCGTCATCCCTTCGTCCCGCAGCGTCTCATAGAGCACCCTTGCCACATCGACGCAGTGTTTGTCCGACACCTCCCAGAGTGTTCCGACCACGTGCCGGAAGCCTGCGAGCTAGAAAGCGTTGACAAGATGGATCCCCTCGTCGGCAAGTTTCGCAGCCTCGTTGGATCCGGTCGAGCAAGCCAAGAGGTATCCAAGGAACGGCCCGTTCTCCTGGAGCCTGTAGTCGCGGAGGTCTCCTACTGTGAGAGGGTTGGTTTTCCAGTCCTCGAGGAGCAGACAGCTCCGTGAAGGCTCCTTCGGGTCCGTCTGCCCATGGCCGGCGAAGTGGAATATCTTGCACGTCTGCAAGTGTTGGAGCACATTGTCCTTACGCATAATCGGTGAATGGTCCAGCAGGCTCTCGAATAGGGTGTCGACGCCCGTATATTAAGGCCTTGATTGACGAGGCGTACGACGAAATTACTCTATCTAGTACTGTCTCGGTAGAATTACGTATATGTCGTCCTGCTGCGTGAAGGGGTAGCTGGCTGAGGGGTCCTGTAGGAATCCACCACACGCGGGGCCACTTATCATCGGAGATAGAGCCTTCAAAACCAAGCGCGCCAAGAGTAGAACGTGCGACGCTGTCCCAGAGCCATTCCAGGAGAGTGTGATGTGGAAAAAGCCTGTTGCACGAGATAATCGAAGATCCTGTGTCCGTTCCTGGACTTCTTTCGTTGTCAGGCCAGGCAATTCCAGTACCGTGATCCGGTTGTGCTCAACCAGGAACGCATCACAGCGATACAGGCTCAAGTTGACGACAATAATAGGGTCTGGATCCGCCGCGCCCATCATCTCATCTTCAGCTGGCGGAAGAAGAAAGCGTTTAAACCCAGGCTGAGTACGAATCCTTTTAATAAGTTGACTAAATTTTTGGTCTGCTTCACGACGCCGTTTTTCCCGCGACTCCTATGAAGACGTGTTGTCGTTGGAAATGGGAGTTGACCGGTCCGATGGCGAGTCTAATTCGTCTCGAAGGGATGTGAATTCGTCTGCTAAACTGGGATGCTCGCGCTTGAGATCGGAAATGTCTCCGCGTGTATCCATCAGCAGACTGGCAATAACGCCGCGACCGAGTTCAAGGAGCTGCAAAGCGTGAAAGGGCTTCTTTCCCGCACTTAGGGCCGTGGCGGCTGCCATTGAGGCCAGGCCAGCGGACCCTGCGAGCATATGCTGCTTGTCGGTATGGTTCAGAGACCGTGGGCTCACAATTGGGAGAAGCTTTACTCCTCTAGCAGCTTGCTTGATTCGTCCCACTCTCGTTGAGACGTAAGAATATTAGCAGCAGCTCGAGCGAGTTCAATGCGTCGAGATGATGGGGCAGTATGACAAGACCAGCCTTCTTTATACAATGAAAGCATACGATTGAGGTCGTCTATCGAACCGGTCCGGCGGAATCGCGTACCAAGCCAGCTTCCAAGGTTATTCAACCAGCTAGCTCGGTCAGGGTAGTCTTGAGGTGTAGCCTCTACTGCTATACTAGTAACATCGACGGCACGGTTGACGTCGTCTAGGTTCCAAGGTTATTCAACAGGCTAGCTCGTTCGGGGTGGTCTTGAGGTGTGGCGTCTACTGCTATACTAGTTGTGAGGACCCGTCCACCAAACTGGCCCTCAAGCAGCCAGAGCCGCCCAGAACCCCGGGCCTATCAGAAGCCGCCTCGAGGCCCCACCTACCCCACTGATAGATGAAAACTTATTCGCGAGCACGCGACGCGTCGTTGGACTTTTCCTTCTTTCCTTCCTCAGTTTAGAATCTTCGTCGATAGCACCCAATGGACTGAGTTCACCTCAATGCCTTGCCCTGGTTGTGACACTAGTAACATCGACGGCACGGTTGAGGTCGTCTAGGTTCCAAGGTTATTCAACAGGCTAGCTCGATCGGAGTGGTCTTGAGGTGTGGCGTCTACTGCTATACTAGTAATGTCGACGGCACGGTTGAGGTCGTCTATCGAACCGGTCCGGCGGAATCGCGTATCAAGCCAGATTCCAAGGTTGTTGAATATAGTAACTCGGTTGGGGTGGTCTTGAGATGTGGCGTCTACTGCTGTACTGGTAACATCGACGGCCCGGTTGAGGTCGTCTATCGAACCTATCCGTATGAACTGCAAACCAAGCATCGCCCCTAGGTTGCTTAACATATCGGGTTCGATATATGCTCCTCCTAGCTCTAATACCTGTTCCATAATCTTAATGGCCTCTTTCAAATCTTCGAGGTGGCCGATTTGCTCGTAACTCTTCGCTAGTCTTACCGCTTGACTGCTTAAATGACGTGTTTGGATGCCGGTTTCGTTAACTACTGGCTCTTGGTCTGTTCTTCGGCTAATAGTCATCATCACGTTAGCAACTTGCTATTTCTAGGATATCACTACCTTTTGACGGTATTAAGCGCCTCCCTACATCATAAATGAAGGTTACGCTAGAAGCATCATAACGATTCTGCCTAGAAAGGTTTAGGGAAGTTGTAACTCACTCATCTCCCAGATTTGTAGCCACAATGTCTTCTGAGGCGAACCTAATTTGGTATCCCCAGGCCAACATCATCTCATGAATATGGCTTCGCCGGGTGCGATCCGAATGGTCTGTAGGTGTAACTGCAACCCATCTTTCTGCTTGCTGAATAGCTTGTTCGAGGTGTCCCATTGAACCTGACTTCTTGGAGACGAGGAAGCAGGTGTAGACGTATAATTCGAACTGGTCATCGTTCGTGGGATCTTGCAACTCTGCAAAAGAATCAAGATCTTCGTTGCTCAGGTCGTTGAGGAAGGAGGCCATGTCGGCCTCAACGTTGAACAGCTCCATGTCGGCCATGTGGTGGCTGGCTGCCATGGTTGTCGGATGATCTGAGGCCGTTTGCAGAACTGCGGTGTTGCAAATTGTTCGCGGTAACGAGGTGGTGGAAAACGGATTCTAGAAACGTTTAGCAAGGCGTAAATAGATGGCACTATCGCGCTCGGGAGGTCCCAATGTCTGTTTGCAAACTGCGGTGTTGCAAATTGTTCGCGGTAACAAGATGGCTAATAACAGATTCTAGAAGCGTTGACAAGGCGTAAATAGATGGCACTATCGCGCTCGGGAGGATGTGGTACTGGCAACTCATCTGGTCTGCCTTGCGTTGGGGTTTTCTCCGTCGGTAGCAAAGTTGGGCAATGACTCCAATACGCCTCGCAAAGTTGCAGAAAGCTAGCATCTGGCCAAGCTCGCCATGCAAGTCCCGTATTCCACATAGCCCTCTATCCTCCACACCGCTTTTCCCTTTCATCACCGGCAGTCGACATGACCAGTTGCCCTGGGCTAAGCCTCACCCGAAACAATGCAGAACTAGGTCGTCTTACCTAACTGCTAGCCACTACTGGCCCGCTGCTCTGTCTGCCTCCTCAGCTGCTCCGGGCGTCGCGCCCAGCTGACTGAAATCTGCCTTGGTTTCGATAAGAGTCAACCAAGTCAGCGTATCAAGCATCACATAACTCCAGGGAAGCTCGTTTACTGGTGCCACGGTACAGTACTTGGTCTAGGAATGCCTCGTCTAGAGGCGAATTCATGCAGCTGTCGCAGGGCATTTTTGTGGGCGCCCAACGATGCATGCGCCTTGAGATGTGCTGGACTGCCTGACCGAATGCTGCGCACGATCTCCACTCGGGAGGCGGACGTGGGCGAGGGGCCATGCATCTTGGCCGCGTATGGTAGGCAGGTATCGCTTGACCGCCGCGGGGGGGTGTGTTACACTGCATAGGCCAAAGGCCTGGGCCCCGTTGGATCTGCCTTGGGCTTTCAGGCTCAATTTGATGGGTCTGGCTAACACCAGTTGACCCTTCAACCATCCCCGTCTGCCACAACCATGCGCTATTATACGGCAGCGCGGTTCTCGAGCCCGGGCTTTGGATGTACTCGTGCCCCGAGTGCAGCATCCGTTACTTGTCCTCTTCAGAATTCACCCTAGTGTCATTCATCATTGTCATCATGGCCAGCGGAGGTGGTGTCGCCCCGGCACACTGGGCGGTTTTGATCGGGATTGATTTCTATGTGGGAGAGCGATGCCTTCAAGGCAGCGTGCGGGACGTTGAGACGGCCAAACAGTATCTGGAGGCAGGACCTACGCCTGTAGATATCGCCATCCTCACTGCAACGACGCCTTCGGACCCCGGCTCTCGCCATCCAACTGAGGGGCCCGTCCTCTGGCCCACATACGACAATGTTCTTGCAAAACTCAAAAGAGTCTTGGAGAAGGCGAAAGGAGGAGATTTTGTATACATTCACTACTCCGGCCACGGAACGCGGAGGAAAGGCGACGAATTCACTCATCCGACCGGGAACCTGGCTTTTGTTCTCTTCGATGACAAATACGGTAGCAGATACCTTAGGGGCGAAACGCTAGCAAAGTGTCTCCGCGAGATGGTGGAACAAAAGCTCCTAGTTACCCTTGTTCTCGACTGTTGCCACTCGGGAAGCGTCCTCCGCGCTGGCAGGGTGCAAGGCGCCGACATTCGGGCCATCGACTACAATCCCGCCGTCGACGCAACATCGCCACAGGATCCAGACCCATTTGGTCCGGATAGCGCCATACGCGGCGCCCAGATGCTGCTGCAGCCATGGTTCATCAACCCCGATGGAGATAGGTACACGATCCTCACGGCCTGCGGTCCGCACGAGAGGGCATGGGAGCTCAAAACCGAGGGAGGGGAGCGAAGAGGAGCACTCAGCTACTTCCTCGTCGAGGCTCTCAGCGCCCTGAGGAAGAGCGGCGTCGCGCTTACGCACCAGTCCCTGTACCAGCATCTTCAAACGAAGTTCCACGCATCCTGGCCGCAGCAGACCCCGATGCGCTACGGCAAGCAAAACCTTTCCTTCTTCGGGGGGCTCTGCATTGCACCAAGTGTGGGCTTTACCTCCGTCTACAGAGCAGATGGCGCCCGCCTCTGCTTGAGCGCGGGGGAGGCGCACGGCGTGCACCAGGGCGACGAGTATCTTGCCTATCCGTTTGACACCCCCGAAGATGGTACTGGTGGAGCATCAGTATTGTTAAGAGTTGAGACTGTTCACTGCCTCACTTCAGATGTGGTGGGAGTCGAAGAGACGACAGCAGCGGCTGCCCAGATCCGGACGGGTTGGAAAGCGAGGCCGATGACGCAACTCTCGTCCCGCAAGACTCGTGTGCGCCTCATGGCGAGCGCCGCCTCCCAGCTCCAGCGGACAGAGGCCGTAAAACAGCAGCGTTTTCTGCATCTCTGCACCGAGGGCGAGGACACGGAACCGTGCATCTTCCACGTCGCGGTCAACGAACACAACGAGTACGAAATACTGGACGGGTCGCTCGAGAGGATCGCCAGCTTGCCAGCCATATCCCTAGATATACCTGGAGCATCCAACCATGTCATGGACACCCTGCAGCACATAGCAACGTTCAAATTCTTCGAGGGAATCGAGAACCAGATACCCAACGCCTCCTTCGAAAACTCATTTACTCTTTCCCCCCTCGACGGAGCCGAAGCTTCCAGCATTTTCAAGGTCAAGCACGGCGATACGTGGGGGTTTAGGGTCGAGAACCGCGGAGACCGGCCATTGTATCTGGCCATATTCGACTTTACGCCGTCCTGGCAGATTACCAACCTTGTGTCACAGGCAAGCGATGGCACCACTTTGGTTGTGCAACCCAAAGACGAAGATGGTGCCGGCAAGGAAGAAGTACGGCTAAAGATGGAAGTACCGCCGCTGTTTCAAGGGGGCCAAAGGCAATGCGAAGACATTATAAAGGTATTCATCACCAGCAAGCAAACCTCCTTTCCTTCGATGGTCTTGCCCAAGCTCCCCGTCCATGGCAGGTCTCGTAAGAAAGCAACTCGTGGGAAGGACGACCAGCTGCTCACGTTCCTTTCGGAGCTGACGACGCCTTTTCGAGGCCGAGATCACGCGCAGGAGGAGTGGTTCAGTCGGAACTTCATTATATACACCGCTATGGAGTGAAGTGGACATTTGGGGAGTGAAGCCACACAGTAGTGTGTGGTTTGAATTGTTGATCGGTCTATGGAAGAAGAAAGGTGGGCGCCGAGAAGGAAAAAGAGGTGTGGGTGTAGCCTGTGGCCGTACAGGCTAACTAGGTCATCCCGCTACAACACCCGCAACAGGATAGGAGGGGAAGACCATTCTCATAAGCCTCTCGAGCTCGACGGTACTGCTAGCTTACTCGAAGTCATTATAAAATTCCAGTTCTTCTTCCTTAAACCAGCCATCATCCCCAACCGGGCTCTTATTCTCACCGCAGAGCTTGTAGCGTCCATTCTGCACAGCAGCCACCGTATAGGGTCCTGCTCGAGTCGATGTTGGAGGGACGAGTACCCAGACTCGGTCAGCTGGGCGGAATTTTGCTTTCTAGCGACAGTCAGCAACGTTGACGCAACTCGGAAAGATATGCCTACGTTTGTGTACTTGAAGACGGGGCGATCACCATCTTCGCAGAAAGAGAAGCTAGGTATTTTAGCATCTTGCGGAAAGAATACGCAACAGCTCATATTGGTAAGGGGCCTTACTTGTCATTCGTGTCCATGTTGTCAGTCTTCTCGCAAAAAAACGGATTTTGGCAGTTATGGTCGTCGGGGGGAGGCGGGGAGGGGGAGGATTTGGGTGCAGTGCAGGAGTTGCAGTCAAAAGTGGTTGGGCCTGGTCCCTACTTATCATTCGTTCCAGCTCTTTCCTTCCGCCTGCCTCAGGCACTAGTTTCTTTCACCCTCTTCTAGCAATAGCCAATCAATTTGTGCAACGTTATTTCGCCTCAGCATGGCGGGCTGGCAGTCTGCCTGACGTGTTGGCAAAAATAATGTCTCTACTCCGCCACTCCCCCTCCCCCCCGGCTCTTCCCTCTCAACGTATTCGAACTTTTGATGCACCAAATGTAAAAACATGGCGCATCCGACAGCCGATATCGAACTGGGGCAGTGCAGCGATTTTTCCTCGACGCCGTGTCGGGATACAAACATCCTAGGAATCATATGTGGCATTCCTCGAAAAGAAGGTCACGGGAGGCAGCTGATGCAGAGTACGGCATGACCCGGGTGTTGCACGATTGACCTGACGCTGACATGACTCAGTCGAAGACTACCCGCTTGGATACCCCCGATTCTCGGCGCTTATTGCATCTCACGACTCCTTCCACCTCTGCCGCCGATTTTCCAACCTGCGGGCGCGCCTACTCCTGCTTAAACAAGATAGATTGTCTCTGCTGGAAAAGCGACTGGAGAAGATCGACCGAGAAGAAGTCGAACTACTGTCTCTGGGAAGTAGCCGGGACGATACAAACAGTGAAAGAATCTCCATTCTCGTAGAGATCGACGCGGCTTTGGCCGACTACGGTACGCCACTAACCATCGGTCTCGAGCAAGCACTGATAACGGCACAGACGCACTGATAGAGAGGAACCACAGGGTCCTTAGCCTAGAAGACGCATCGTATAGAGACGTGGCGAGCTTGCAGGACTGGGTAGATGGGAATGGCTGCATAGCTCGACAGGAGACGGCATACCTCTCACGAGCCCGAGATCTTGTCAGCGTAACGTCCCCGGATGACGGAGCCACGACGTGGTTGGGGGTGTGGGCCGAGAGGTGCCGCGTCTCTCTCTACACGCGTATCGGCTATGTACGAAACCTACACTTATCTCCGTATTCGAGATACTGACATGTGGCAAAGGATCCCCGGCTCAACGCCTCGCGAGACCCAAACGTGTATATATTTCCTCGGTCATCTATAACGTGGGTCGCCAGGATGCTGATGACGCCGTTCGTCGTTGTCTTGCTTATGGCTCCCGTCATCATCTGCAGCTTGGTCGGTAACTTGGCAGCCAGACTGGTTATCATTGTAGCTGCCACCACTGGGTTCGTCGCAGTATTGTCCGGCTTAACTAGAGCAAAGACTATTGAGCTAGTCGTAGCAGGCGCAACGTAAGCACACCTTACTCTACCGGGCCGAGAAAGACTGCAACTAACTTCTGTCACAATTACAGCTATACGACCGTCCTAATCGTTTTTATTTCGAACACAAACACAAATACCTAGGAAAATTAACCCGTTTTTATGCTTATTGCTTATCATAATGGCATGTCAAGCGCATGGGAATTTGACAGAATCTTAGCGTACTTATACGTACTTCAAGTGAAAACAGAAGTATAGTGGGAGGAGGAATATAGTAGAGCGAGAAAAAGGGAAAGGGGGAGATAGTAGTAGGAGAACGAAACAGCTAACTCATATCGACTAATATTAGCCATAATAGAGTATACTCTTCCAGACGTGTCAGGCCCGTACGGCCAGGGTGGAATGCTTAAAGTGGGGGGGACAAGCCAAGGCAGAGTCACAGTGAGCGCAGCGTGAAAGCAAGGACTCAGTGGGGAACTGTCACGGTCGCCACAGGGCTCACGTGACAGGATTGATTCTATTGGCTGCATTGTGTTTAGAGTGTGACCTGTGCGCACTGAGCACACAACCTGCGCCCCTCGGCTTGCCAACAGGAGACTGGCCACCGCCCAGGCGCCGAGGCCGCCCAGAGCAAGTCGACAAAGGTCAAGCACCCGGCGCTGGACCGGTCCAGCCAGCTGAGTCCGGCTGCGGCGCCGCCGACGAGCGCCGCGAGGGCAAGCTCTGGCCGCGCCGAAGGCCATATTGCTTGTGAAAGGCCCGTTGCCTTGACAATGCCCGGGATAGGATCTGCATTGTCATACATTGCCCGGGATAGGATTTGCATTGTCATACATTGTACGGTGATATCCCGAGACAGTGTGCCAAAAATACGGGATGATAAAAGGCTAATGAATTAGGGCTGTACCGTCGATGGTGAAATGCAGAGCCTGGTCTTCGGGGAGCGACAGGCTCGCCGTCTTTATCGCTCTTGCCCCGGGGGGTACCAGGTAGGTTCTTTCCAAGTCTGTTAGATGTATATATCCATGTGCTGCCTCACTGGGCACGGCTTAGCAGCGCCCTCATGCAAGGAAACGATCAGGAAGGCGCCGTATTGGCTAGTTAGGCCCCTGACAGGCACCTGCTGGATACAGCCCCGTCCGACGGTTCCCCAATGATTGTTGCTGCGCACCTACCTAGTTAAACCGTTTCGCGACAGAAGGAGAGATTTGGAGCACCTTATGCAGAATCTGTTTATTTGCCAAAGGTTCTCAGCACAGGCTTCTGGAGACCGTCTTAAAATCACTAGGTAATTAACGAAATTTCTCACCCAAACTCCGTTTCCATTCAATTACCGTCGCGAGGGCCACCGCAGCTCGGCAGTCACCTGTTCTCTTACAGCAACGAACATTGAAGACTCTCCACTTTCGAATCCAACTGTCACCCCTAGTTCCAGCCAAACCAAACGAACAGCCAAACCAAACGGACAACGTCAGATATCAACATGCTCGCCCCCTACCTAATTAGTCATTTCAACCCATCCGCTGCTTCCTCCTCACCCAGACCTCCTGCTCCCCCCCGGCGTCGCGCAGCTGAACCTCCCACATCTTGAGCCTGTAGCTGCCGCGGTCCGCCATGCCCGAGAACAGGTCGAACGACCAGCCGTGCTTGGGGCACGTGATGCCGGCGCTGAGGGCGATGCCAAAGTCCTCAATGTCGAACGGCGCACCGTCGGAAAGCGGATACGACGAGTGGGGGCATTTCTGCGCGTGAGAGTGGTCAGTCAGTCACTCGGTAACTCATCTATAATTAGTCGCAGCCGTACGAACTCACGTGGTCGATGGCGTGGAACTTGCCCCTGAACTGGAAAACGAGCACCTGGTCCGTCAGGTCCGCCGGGTTGGGTCCGGTATCGGGGGGCTCGGCGGTCGCAAAGTCTAGTTCCATTGCCGTGGATAATAAAGCTGCCGCGGGCTCTCGTGCGTCTCCAATTGGCACCTCAGTAGCCTGCGAGCTCGACAAGCCAGGAGCTGGCGGCGGGACGTGGAAAACCTTGCACGCCGGCCTTGTGGCGCCGACGCTTGCACCGGGACTGGCGCTGCTGCTGCTGCTGCTGCTGCTGCAAACTCGGGGCCGGATTAAACTGCCGTCGTCATCGTCCCCTGACTCGATGTTGGGGAACGACGAGGCAAGCCCGGCGGAAAACCACCCGGCGTCTGCCCGCGATGGCGCCCTGAACGGGTTTACGAGGAAGTTCATTTCCGAGCCTGTATATGTTGGAGTGTGACTCGCTGTGGCGCGAGCCTGGAACAGTGGAAAGGGTGCTGGATGCTCCGCAAGACTCCGCAAACTGGTGGGGTTGAGACCCTAACCCTATCAGACACGCTTGCAGAAGGGGGTAGTGTCAAGACACGGCACGAATTTACGTCTTCATCTTCCAGGGCTTCTTTGAGAACCGACGTTGACGTTTAAAAGATATTTCACGTAAAAGCCCTCTTCTTTTTATTCACAACGTTGAAGCCTTGAGCTTTTGAGAGACACAGTAGCGAATATTTCTAGTTCGTAAAAGAAAAGGTACAGCGAGAATAGTAAAAACGTCTACCTACATTTTGGTATCTACGACGCTGGAACGAAGCATGGGTTTGACGAGCGATACCGGTAAGGCGGAGATAGGGCTTTATGACTGTATTAAACATGTGATACTAAGACCGGGATAAGACCGGGAAGTATAAACAAGAAGCACCAACTATAATTATATTCTACTGTCTTGATATACCGTTTTAGCTTGAATCTTGCTTTAAAAATATTATTTCGCTGTATATTCCCTCAAGCGTCGAAGATTATTGGGAGACAAAAGATATCCGTTCAAGTTACTTCTAAATAGCGTAAATTAGGTAACGTAATTTAACATCGCGCCGAACATAACATCGCGCCGAACACTTTCGCCCCCCCAAGCCGATCCCAACCCCAATTACTCCACCACAACGCTGAAAATTTAACTGCACTCAATGCAGCTGCCTTCCTCAGACGTCTCTTCAATCTCCTGGCAGGTTCGTATATTATGGCCAGTCTTACCGCAGCCGCTACAGCGCGGCTGCGTCGCCGGCCTAGTGTCTGATGGTCCACCTCCCGACGGCTCCCTACCCAATTCCTGGCCACCAGGAGTCTTTGCAGCTAGCAAAGCTTGTGCATCCTTTACAGTAAGTGCACCCCCTGCCTGGAGACGCGTACGTTTGGCCTTTCGACGCTTTGCAAGCGCCTCATTAGCCTTCCGAAGGGACTTGAGCTCATCCTCCATAAGGACCATCCACTGGGCAATCAGCTCTGTCCCCGTCGCTAGCTGCGTTACAGCTGAAAGCATTGACGTTGGTGAGCTTTCTTGGTGGATATTGATTCGATTTTGTACGAATGCCGACTGCGATACAGCTTCAGCTGCGTTGTGGGGGGTTTGGGAGACCCAAGTGTCGGCCTCTGGGGGGGGGGTCCTGTTGGTGTTGGCGTCCGAAGCTTTACATCGAGCTTTGATAAGACAGCCTGGGGGTCGTACGGGACTAGCCCAGCACCACGGAACCCAGCCTTGACGTTTTCAGACGTCATTGTCGCAAAGTGGGCAGCCTTGAATGCAATGAAGAACTCAGGCTTAGTGATATGGTTGATGTGAGCCTTGATGAAAGCTTCGATTTCCTTGCTGTACATGCGTTTGAGTACGCTATAACAGCCAACATCGAGAGGCTGGGTAAGGTGTGAAGAGTGAGGAGGGAGACAGAGGGTAATAATGTTGTTCTCCTTGCAGAACAGCTCAAACTCGGCCGAAACGTGGCTCTCGTGGCCGTCGATGACAAGCATACGATATACCCCCTTCCGCCGTACGGATGTATACTGGTCGAAGTGCCGAATCCAATCCATAGCTATCTTATTATCTGTCCAGCCATTTGGCGAGGGTTGGACAACCCAAGAGAGCGGGAGGTCGGTATCAGCATACCAAGGGGCAAGGTGGTATTTACCCTGTACAATAAGAAACGGCGGCAGTACGAAGCCGTCGCCACTCACGCACTCGATTGCTGTTGCCCATTCTCGATTACCAGTCTGAAGCTTCTTCCCTCGCCCACGTCGATCAGCACGGGTAACAACCATGCTGCTGCTTGTGATCATACCCATCATAAAGCCCGTCTCGTCAAAATTGTAGAAGTCTGCGTCTTGAATCCCGCATTTCGCTCGCATATTGGCTACCAGCCGGAACCACGGGTCAATAAGCTCAGGGTCTTCGCAGAGAGCTCGCTGGAAGTCATAGGCGCGTGAAAAACGCGTCTTAAGCTCAGGGCGGCGCCGTACAAATCGATGGGCCCATAGCTTGCCGACAGACTTCTCATAACGCGTTACACGAAGGAGATTCGCCATATCTTCGACAACAGAGATCTGGGGTGGAAATTCTCGTGCATCTAGGTCAAGTACATACTGTACAAGCGTCTCCTCTTCCGTCAGGGTGAGCTGATGTCGGCCGTTGCGTTTCTCAGCCTTTGCAACGCGTCCCTTTATCCTGTCGTAAAGGGTGGTTAGAGGGACGTCGTACACCTTTGCAGCCTGACGGATCGACAGTCTCTTGGTCGCACGTATCGCGTTAATGGCTAAGACGACTCTAGCTTCTTGGATTTGAGCAGGCATGGTGTTGGTGGTGGTATTGGTGGTGGTGTTGGTGATGGCGGTGGTGTTGAAGTTGGTGGGTGGTGGTCGGACCCACAAAAAAGTGTTCGGCGCGATGTTATGTTCGGCGCGATGTTAAATTACGTTAGGCACGATATGAGATCCTCTTAGTGACTTCTTAAGTTGTAGATGGCTCGATAATTCTCATCACCTCAGAACACGCCTCTAGTTTAGGTGTCCGTAGTACCGTATCCACTCATTTGATACTTTGATACGGAACTAAGTGATATAGGCTATATGCCTTGAAAACTAAGGCGTCTGCTCCCGGCCCCATGAAAACACGCCATGTAGGATTACCGAAAGGTATTTGACTGCCTAGTGGAGATCTCAGAAGCTAAATAGCATGCAAAACAGTTAAGGATGAGGGTATTCGCAGTGTGTGTGTTGATTGATGTGTCTAGGAGAAAAGGTCTGCGCCTGCAGGCCGGGGCCTGTGTTGACCTCGTGGAAAAGGTGGTTTAATTACAGTGGCCTGTGCAGGCCCTGCCTTGCACCATACCCGATTTAGGTAGGTCTTTCTGACAGGGACATATTTGCTGTGTTCTATCACGATAGGGACTTACCTTGTCATACGCATTTGTCTTCTAGGCGTATTAGTCGGGTAAATATGCTCACAGCCGAACTGATTTACATGTACGTATCAAGCCTATCTACTTGGCCCGTCAAGCACATCCGCGGCATCAGCCGTCTCGGTTGGGTTGTAGCTGGCAATCATGTGGCTAAAAAGATTGCTGTAGAACGGAAGGCGGAAGCTGAGTATTGTGACGAAGTGCACCCACTGCGCAGTGTGCTGCAGAAAGAACTCCTCGGCGCAGTCGATTCCTGCATGTGCGCGGAGCATGAAATGGAACAGCCGGTACTCCGGATCAGTCCACCAAGCCTGGAGGCTGCCATCGAACCTAATCTGCGACAAATCCTTGAGGAGCACCGCAAGGTTGATTGTCTTGTGATACGAGGGACATCCCCTGCCCATGTCCGGGCCCGTGGCGGCCAGCTCCGCGAATAGATGGGTTCGGGCGAATCCGGCCCCTAGCCACATCTCGTCCCCGGGCCGGGCGGGCATGGTGATTTCCTCGGGCCGCCATACGCCGTGGAGAACTACCGTGACCTTTCTGGTCTTGCCCTGTGGGCCTTGACGACACGGTCTCATTATTGGTGTATATGGTGTGCGAAGGGAACCTCTCTGACCTCCCGCCTGCGTGATCAGCGTGTTCAGCAGGTCCACCACGTGGACTGTCTGCATGATTTGTAACGTAATTGGCCATGGTCCCATAAATCCACCGCCGTGAGGCAGCGTCTCGTTCTCGGCATCTGCCAGCCTCCTCATATCCCGGGCCAGCCAGCCTGCGAGGCCCACAAAGGCAGTCTCTTCGTCGACGTCGTAGGGCGTGAACTGCTTGTACGTGCGATAGACGGGGAATTGGCGAAGATATCGCAGGTCTTCCGGCTTTATACACGCATGTTGCGCACCCGTGCGGAGCAGCGAATAGTAGCTGCCAGGCTGCGGCGCCGATTCGTCAGTGCAGCGCTCAAGAAAGTCAGGTATTCTGTCTGCGCGGATGAACGGCTCGTTGTAGGCCATCGAGAGCGCTGCGCCAGCAATGACCAGCCGGTATATTGTCGTGTGCAGCCTCTCCTTCCAGGCGCGGTGCATAGCAGGGAAATCCGGATCGTTGCGAGGCCAGTGTCCCACCACCGCCTCGAGGACTGTCTTGTCAGCCGGGACGTTGCCGACAAAGGCCGGCATGGTTGTTTTGACGAGCATCAGATGTTCCACGCAGCGGCAAAAGTGTTGCAGAGGGAATAGCTCTCGAAACTCGGGCAGGGAAGGGGGTCGATTTGCGCCGCTCAACTGCTCCAACGGGTACATGTCTTGGGGGCGAAGCATTGTATCGGCCCGGTAAGCATCCACGGCCAGTTTGGTGATGCGCATGGCGAGAATTGCCATGTCCCAGGCAACAAAACGGCGAAGACCGATGGGCCGGGCGATGGAACCCGTATTGGCCTCAAAGACGGCGAATAGGCGTCTGCATGTCGTAACGGCCGCGAACAAGTCGGCGAAGCTATCGCAGTCCTGGAGGATGAGACAGGTTACCTCGACGGGCAGGGACAACAGGCCGACGAGCGCCATATCACGAGGTTTGCCGGTGACAGATTGTGAGTAAGTCGTCGAATTTCCGCAAAATGGTGATAGAGGAATGGCCGAAGAATTCAAAGTTGCCTCAACCCGGAGGCGATGATCGAACAGAGGCTGCGTTGCGAATGTGTTTGGACATGCCCGAATGTGCGAATCTGATGTCCTGGCGCAATAATTAGATAGTTGCTTGGACAAGAAATCATAGTTGCTGGTTCGGTCTGTGGGCTGTACTTCCGCACCTCATGAGTAAGAGAAGAGATGAAATTGACTCTGAATTTTCCGCGGAAACTGGAAAGCGGCGCTGCGCAATTAATAGGCAAGAACCAAAGGTACTCCCAAAAGGCTGGAACTCGCCTTCTGCTGATTTAGGGTTGTTGCGTCTTGTTGGCTGCATCCTGCACATAGTAGTACATACTGCGCCTGTTTTGGCCGCCTGCATTCTGCGTATTGGGGCATCCTCTTCCATACCTATTTGATAGGCGGCCTTGATATCCGGGGACCCTGACCCACATCTTATTACCAGTCCCTGGCTCCCTGGGATGCGCCTTACCCCTTCAGAGGGTTCACGCGTCGCACGGGCCAAGAACAGTCCGGAACCCACCTCTCAACGGGGGGGGTTTTTTTGGGTGTGCGCGCACCATCTGCCGTGTCAAATCCACCGCACCACACTTTGAGGAAGGCCCATGCGGCATGGACGCAGGCTCGTGTTGGCCTACGGGCCGTCAATCGCAGCTTACCTCCTTCTCTCCACACAAAACGCAACCCCAAATGTCGTCTCCATCGGCGCCGCCCAAGCCAGTATCCTGGTCTGGCGATGTCGGCTCCCACGCCCCCACGGCCAAGAAGAGAAGAATGAACACCGGGCCGGATGTGGACCCGATTTATCATGCCAACGCAAGGCGTCTCGAAACCTTGCCCCCTCCCGCGACGCCGACCATGGCTGTGACCCGGCCCGGCTCTAAACCTGCTGGGCCCGTCATTGTGATCAGCGACAGCGACGACGACGACGACAACGACTCTAGAGACGGCGAAGACCATGGTGATATCGAAGAGGAGAACGGCGCCCCAAACGACCGCCCACGCGATTTGCCCGACCGAGGTCAAGATCACGAACCCAAACAGCAGCACATTCCGCAGCCGAACGACGGCCAAAACGACGTCCCTCTCGACCACCTCGGACGGCCCTTGTCACTCGCGGCGCTCACCGTCGCCCGAAAATACTGGGACTGTCAGCGCCTTGTCGACCTCCATACATTTGAAGAAAGAGACGCGAGGTCCACACCAATCGACCCACTCATTCGCATGGCGCGCCACAGGAGGACCTATACCATGCTCGTGCTAGGCGCTCAGGAGTTCCAGAAGAACTCGCGGACCTACGAGCCGCCATATGTGGAGGCGCAAAAGATCGTGCCTCCTTCTCTTGACCTCCCGCCCGAAGAGGTCGAGTCAGGCGCACAAGTTGCACTCGCAGCCCCGCGGAAGGAACCGGCTCTCTGTCCCGAGCAAGCCGAGATCGTCGAGCTTGCCGCAAGCCGGCGCAACATATTCTACACTGGGTCGGCGGGGTGCGGAAAGTCTACCGTGCTACATGCTATCAGGCGGCGCCTCAGGGAGATGGGGCTGAGAGTCGAGGTCTTGGCACCCACTGGACAAGTCGCTCTCGCCATCAACGGGAAGACGACCTGGGTGTTTGCCGGATGGAGTCCTGGCCACCACAAACGAAAGCTGTACGACCTGAAAAGCATGGCGCGAGGCAACAAGAATATCCGGAAGCGGTTCAGGGATACCGACGTGATTATCATTGACGAGATCAGCATGATCGAGAATTTGCACTTTGAGCGCCTCAACGAGGCCTTGAAGTCGGCTCGGTACATGGAGGGACAAGCATTGGCCACTGGCGTTGACGCTCGCCACCTCCCATTTGGCGGCGTCCAGGTTATCGTAACGGGCGACTTTTGTCAGCTACCCCCCGTGAAGCCGTTCGAGCACTGCATCGACTGCGGGAGCGATCTCAAGGCGCAGTCCGTGGGCGGGGAGACTATCCACACATGCCCTACCTGCCCCAGGCGGTACAACGATACAGAAAAGTGGGCTTTCCGCAGCAAGGCGTGGGAGGAATGCGAGTTTGCCCATGTGCATCTCAAGACCATCCACCGCCAACGCGACGCCGGGTTTATCTCGATGCTACAGAAATGCCGCCTCGGTACCCCTTTTACCCCTGACGAGGTCGACCTCTTGATGAACCACCACTCCATCACTACCAACGCCATAAAACTCTTCTCGACGCGTGACGAGGTGCGCCTAACGAACGAGGCTGCCTTTGCCCGGCTCAAGTCGCAGCCTCTCTCCTATCAGTGTTTTGATGTTTTCGAGTGGCGGCGCGAGGACCACCCCCATCTCGAACGCAAGGGCGAGAAGCTCCCCGACGGATCACTGCGAGAGCTTCGCGACCATCGGTTCGACCGACGCATTGAGCTCAAGGCCGGCATGCTCGTTGTCCTGCTTGTCAACCTCGACCTCAGGAGTGGTCTGTGCAACGGCAGCCAGGGCATCGTCGCCGGGTTCGACCCGTATGACGAGGCCAAGCTACCGTCTGCAGCGGCCAAGGGCGACGTGCGCGGCGAGGGGGTCCTGGTGGGCGAGTATGCGGCCCTCAAACAAGGACATATCAAGCGGTTCGCCCAGAAGCAGTCCAAGAACCTTGGCTGGCCCGTTGTTTTCTTCCTGGCAAGCAAAGAGAGGCGCGTCATTTATCCCGAGTGCCAGGTGAGCGAGCTCGGCGACGGGGAGCCGTACTCGCTGCTATGCCGGACCCAAGTCCCCCTCGCGGCTGCCTGGGCTCTGTCGATTCACAAATCGCAGGGAATGACGCTCGACTGCGTCATCGTCAACCTTTCTCGCGCGTGGGAAGAGGGCCAGGTCTACGTCGCGCTGTCGCGGGCCACGTCTCTCGAGGGTCTCAAGGTCGAGGGCAATCCTAACGGCCTCATGGCTGGGATGGGCGGAAACGAGCAGGTGCGGGCGTTTCTAAGGGATAAGTTTGGACTGTGACGCCCGCTTCTTTCCTGTTCCTTGTTGGCGTGTTTTGTATACATGCATACCCGCTGCTGACGCGGCAATTTTCTTTCTCCTATCGGCATGTTTAGCGGGTGTTTCTTCGTCTTACGGCTGGGGATCAAGGGATACTCGTCATTCGGTCATGGCATGGGGTATCGGGTTAGATACTAGATATTTCAACGCTGACACCTGACACCCTTTTCCGACATGTTCGGTATATCGCAAGTGCCTAGCGGCGCTACTCCCTAGATATTGTAGTGAGTCTGAGCTTGGTGCTATCTGTCTGATTCACAGTTGTAGCAGATTCGGGCCGTGATTTTATTTACGCTAAGTAAACGTTGAAACGCTGGAATATGGGGAGACACTGAGAGGGCAGGTTATCTGAAAGGGGACTAATTAGATTCTGCTGGACGACGACACTGATGCACAAGAGGATAGAGGAGAGGGTTAAGATATTAAGGACATCAACAGGTTGCCTCATGATCAACGTGACATGGGCTAAAACTGGTTGGACGTAGCGTTACGAACTAGACAGTGAGACTGGTAGTGAAATTTTTGACGGGATTCTAGCAGGGGAAAGAATAAAAAGCACTCGGTCCTCCTTGCATGACACTAGAAAACACACTGCTAGAGTCATGTTGCAAAGGCAAACCGTTTCCCGGGCTGGTTTATTTGCCAACCCCTGTACCAGCTCCCCTCATTTCATACCCCCCCCTATTCTATTCTATTCTTCTACGGCGTTAGGAGATGTTGTGCAAGGCCGAATAATTCTCTAAATAGTAACGCGATAAGCTAAAATGTTTGAGGTATTGACTCGACGGTTGCTAATTCATATTACAACACGAAGAAATGGTGCTGCAAAGTTCCCGTACGGAGGCGTTCCAGTCCTCTCGCCCAGTTGATTCTCCTCGGCACGAAGCCTATCAATCCCACCAAGATTGTTGCTACGGGACCTGGTTTGCCAGATATTGACTTTGGCGTCTCAAGGCTACAGCAAAACCAGTTTGGCAGCGGCTTTGTCTATATTCCTAGATATCTCATCGTTTGGTCCTCCGAGCATGGCATGGCATGGCCTATGTGCCCTTCTTCGTTTCCTGGTCCTTATCGGCGCGAGCCTTCTGGACAGCCAGCTCCGGGGGCTTTGGCTTGTACACGAGCGTTCCGTACTCGTCCGACTGCGGACACGCCTTGCCGAACTGCGTATACGGCCACAGCACGGCCGACGACCGCGCGAAGGTGGACGGCCGCGGCTCGCGCCACAGATAGTTGGACACGTGGGCCTTCCACACGGGGTCGTTGCGCGTGGCGCCCTCGCCGTAGTTCTTCCACATGGTGAACACCCAGAACGACTCCTCCTTCTTGTTGTTTGGGTCGCCGGGCGCGGTCGCGGTGGTGACGACGGTGAAGCAGAAGTCGGTGTCGCAGCGGTCGCAGCTGCGCACGACGCCGGCCTGCATGTTGGCCGGGCAGGAACACGGCAACCTGCCGTCGTGGTAGTGCGCGAGCGCGCAGTACAGCCGCGGGTCGATGGTGGACTTGTTGAGCACGCCGGCCGGCAGCGCGTCGGTCGCCGCGTGGAACGTGTCCGGCTCTAGCGTGAAGGCTGCGTACTTGCGCCAGCCGTCCTTGCCGCGCACGTACCGGCTGTATACGCTGCTGTGCTTGAGCGCCGACACGGCCTCCGTGTTGTTGAACAGCAGGAACGGGTACTCCGTGTTCCACCGTCGGTGGTCGCAGATGCGTGACGACCACCGAACGTACCAGTTAAGTTCGTATAGGTTGCGCAGGCTCTTCTTGTCGCCGGCCCCGGGAGAGACGGGCAGGATCTTCTGCACCATCTGTAAAACGTTGCCACCGCTGCCGCTGCCGCTGGCCTCGCGGGCGAACCGAGTCTTGGACCAGAATGCGCCGCGACGCAGCCTCGCCTCGGGGTAGCCCCTTGCGCCGAGGCCGGGATCGGCTATCGACAGCAGCTCTGTGTAGTTTCTGCCGGCGCGGTGGTTGCGCGTGATGCTGTGGACCATATTGAACGGGAGCATGGTGTACTGGCTGGTGGGCCAGCCGTCTCGGACTGAGTCGTCAACCTGCCAGGCGGCGTACGGCTTGTCGGGGTCGTGGAACGGGCTGTGGATGAGCTTGCACACGGTGCAGTACACTAGAACCGTCAGGTCGCGGTCGAGGAGTTTGAGGAACGCGTGCCGGCTCTCTGGGCCCATGGGCGGGACTAGGTTGCCGCCCTAGGCGAGCACGGATAGGGTGCGTTTGTTGACGAGCACGGATAGGGTGCGTTTGTTGACGAGCACGGATAGGGTGCGTTTGTTGACGAGCGCTAGCGCGGTCTGGGATGGCGCGGGCAGGTGGCCATTGATGAGGAGGAGGAGGAGGTCGGGGAGCGCGAGGAACGTGGGTTGCTGTGAGTTGGGTCTGTGCTGGTCCTGGCTGTTCTGGGTGTTTCTGCCCTGCGTCGTGGTATGGCGAAGTCGAAGCCGCTTACTTGCGTTTGGATTGGGGGCGTCGAGGTGCTGTCCGTATCCTGCATATTTCTCTTCGGTGTTTTCGTTCTCGACTGTAGGTGTTTCCGAAATAGTGGTCAAGGTTGAGGCATTACTGGAGTGCACTGGTGGTGCTTCGCGTGGTGGCCAGGATCGTGACTTGTTCGTGGGAAAGTGAGTCATGTTGGTGGCTAGTAGCTGTACAGACAGAGCAAGATTGCTGGAAATGTGGGAAGAAGGAAAGAATGGAATTTTGTACGTGCAGTAAATAACAAATAAAGAGAGTCCACGTCTCTCGCTTTGCACGTCATGTTGGCTTTTCGGCTTACCCGTTTCGCGAACCTTGACCGTGGTTGTGGGCCGAGAGCCGGTGATAAAGAAACCTACTTCACTCGGGTAGGCCGGGAATCAAGATTCTCTGGGGTTTTTGTCCAGTCTTGCTGGGTTCTCCCTGAACGCCCCTGGACCGGACCCCAATCGGTAGATATGTAATACCTACGCGATTACGGTATCTTAGGGGAGAACGGTGCAAGCCTTCAGGGGCAACCAAGTCGAGAGAACATGTTTATCAAACCTCATACTCTGCCCGTGAGGCCCGAAGGTCCACGATGTGAGACCCGAAGGTCCACGATGTGAGGCCCGAAGGACCACAATGTGAAGCAATGTCTAGGCGGGTCGCCGAGTGCTTAGTTTTTCTTTTTCTTGCAAGAACTGGATTGAAACGACATCTACATTCGAAAGTTTTAGGCTTTTCTCTAACTGCGGGAGTCTCGCATGGCGGGCCATAATCATGCACTGGAACATCAAAAGGTTGTTCCAAGACCATATCAGCCCCCTTCTCGCCGTGCCCGCCTGAACCACAAATTCCTGGGATTACCGCGCCGGGACAGGCGCTTCAGTCTGGACAGCCGGGCTGTATGGCACCGTCACGCTGCCCTGCATGACAAGGACAGGCACGCCCTGGGCTGTGTACCCTGGCGCAGCCTGTGAGAGGACGGGCACGGAATTGGCGTTGGCGCCCACGGGTGGGCCGGGAATCACGTAGGCTTTGGTCAGGGGCTGGCTGATGTTGATCAGAATACCCGGGTCCGTGTCCTTGTACATCTGCGTCGCCGGGATGCCCGCAGCCAGGTCAAACGGTCGCGTCGTTTTGGAATTACCGGGAGCCGCAGCGCCCTGCACCCACAGGTTCACGCACAGCGGGTAGTTCTGCGCGCCGCCGGGCTGCGCCGCGTAATGCAGCGCAATGATCTCGTGGCGCAGCACGTATGGTCCGGGGGCCAGGCCCAGCGGCAGCCCGACCTCCCAGCTGTTGTTGTTGGCGGCGAGGTGGTTGGACGCCCAGTCGCCGGGCGGCGGCGTGTCGGGAAGGAACAGGCCCGGCGCGCCCTCGTCGATCTTGGTCCACGCCAGCCTGGTCTTGCTGACCGACGCGCAGCCATCACCTGTTGCTGCTGCAGCTGCGTCGCACGGCGCGAGGTACGACAGCACCGGGCCGCGGTGTCCCTCAGGCCACCCGTTCCACTGCACCTTGATGCGGTCTCCTGGCCGTACCGGCACGTGTGCTGGCGGCGGCGTCCCGCCCCGGTGGCAGACGATGTCGGGCGTGTTGTAGCTGGCCGGGGACACGAATCCCTGGTCCGCCGCCGTCGTGAGCCATCCTACCCGGTCTGCAAAGTTCACCGCCCCCGGCCTCGGGTCATAGCCGTGGTAGTTCTTGCCCGATATGACGACGCCGACGAGGAGAGAGTGGGAGAGGGCGGATGGTATTAGGAGTGAGATTGCCAGCCCGCAGGCGCGCAGACGGGTGGACGGCCTCATGGCTGTGTCTTGTCCTTGAAAGCGTTGAAAGAGGCGGGATACCGGCGGGTTGCAAATTAGGGAGAGATAGGAGCAATGGGATTAGATGGGATTAGATGGGATTAGATGGGATTAGACGGCCGGCTTATAGGGAGGGGGGGAGGGAGGGAGGGAAGGGGGCGGGGGGGGGGTTGGAGGAGGGTGCCCGGTTGGCGGGTAGAAATGGAGAAGGCAGAGAATTGATTGCAGCGGAGGGAATGCCGTGCCGTATTTATCCTTATTGCTTATGACTTTTCCATTCCTGTTAGAACATGGAAGAACCTGTTCCACAGACGGCATAAATGCCGCTTTCCTGGTGTTGGAGAGAGCTGTAATTACCTACCGCATTTGCCTTTTCGTCCACAACCTGTTCTGGCCGTGCCGATCCCGCTTGTTTATGCGGCATATCGCTGCCGTCCTTCTTTTCGACCCGGTTTCCGGGCATGTGAGGCACAGTTGGCCATAAGAACTGGCATCCGTGGATGGAGCGAGATAGACAGGGGCATGTTTATTGTTTCAGAATTGCTAAGGAATGCCGGAAGCAGTCCCATCCATGGAGCGTATTTCTTAGGTAGTAGCTAGTAAGATCGACTTTGCAGATCACCGGGAGATCATCTCCAGGTGTGAATTGCAACGTGCCGACGAAATACACAATATGAGGGGTTTCTTGGTACTATTCCAACCCGCAAGGTGAAATTCACTCCGCAGTTGTCTGTCTCCTCATCATATAACGCTTTGCCGGGTAAATAGCGCTCTTCACTCAGCCTTTAAGATGTAAATCCAGATTACTTCCTCTATGAGCCGTCTGGCTGGGTGGATCTGGGTGGTATTGGATTCAAGATTGTGGGGTACTGCTCATATACACAGTACCTGAGGAGCGTAGCATTGGAGGTCGAACACCGTCTTCCGCCAGTCAGTGGCACGGGACACGCATCCGCCAGTCAGTGGCGCGGGACACGCATCCGCCAAGAACTTAAGCGGGCCGTACCCCAGATCCCGGGAACCCGTAGCGAGTTTGCCGCGTATCCACCCGCATTGAGAACCCCGGCAGGGGCTCGGAAGAGGAGCCTGGGAGGATTCGAGCCAGTTGCCTTTTGGGGCCATTGTTATCCATTACTTCCCTCGATGATCTCGCATATCATCAGTGTGGGGTTGACTGAGCACGCTGTTGGAAGAAAATGTACTGCTACATTTGCGTATCCGATTAGAACACCTTAATTTCTTGGTGTGGAGATATGGACAAATACTGGAGGCAAATTGGACAAGAAATATCAAGGGCAATGGAATGCGCGAAGTCGGCAAAAAGAAACGCTGCATGATCAGACCCGGGCTTGAACCGGAGACCTTCAGTGTGTTAGACTGACGTGATAACCAACTACACCATCCGACCAGATGATTTGATGATATGCCTGATCCACAGAAGGGTTTATGCAGCAGCCCAGAATGCGTGCAGGGAAGAAGGTGGACGCGGTGGAGTTGATGGAGACATGAAGTGTCTGGAGAGTGCTTGCTCGAGTCAAGGCATGGGGCGCACTGAAGAACTCACTTGATTCATATTGCACAGCACAATTGCGCAGGTTGCCGAATGGCCGGGTTCCTTGGGTGCAGCTTCGTATAATGTTCCTCTTGTATGAATTTGTGTTTTGAGGAAGCTCAAGTCGTGCGGATTCTCGACGGCACACGAATATGAATGCGAATACTTGAGGCACGCGGACGGTCCGACAGGCAATGCTGCAATTGCAGAATCATAATTTTGAATTCTCTGTAATCCTTGTTGGGTTTAGAACCAAGACTATGGAAGGTTGCTTCTTAAAGGATGTGAAGATAAGGTGAAGATAAGGAGGTGAAGATAAGGTGAAGGTAAAGAGGTGAAGATAAGGTGAAGATAACGAAAAGAACTCCTACGAAGCTTTTCCGTTCTCGTGCTCTTTTATGCTTTTGGCACTTGGATACCGCGTGTTCTATTCTATCTAATCAAGGCCCAATTAAACTCATTGAATTAAATATCCATTCCGTCTTGTCTAAAGAAGAACACGTCGGGCAAGGTTTATCAAATCGTCAGAGCTGATTAAACGTCCAAGGGCAAAAAGAACAATAGCAGCCACTGCAGACTCGAAAGCTGGCACAGTCCTTCAACATTGGACGTTAATTTAACTGTTTTTGTAATTAACTATTCCTAGCACCATTTAACATTTTCCTGCTGCGAACCACCGCGCAGCCCTACGACTTGGGGAAGAAGCGGTTCTCGGGCCGCGGCAGACCGAGGTGTTCGCGCAGCGTCGTGCCCTCATAATCCTCACGGAATAGCCCGCGGCGCTGCAGCTCGGGCACGAGCTTCAGCGTGACGTCGTCGAGGCCCTGGGGTAGGAACGGAAACACGACAGTGAAGCCATCCGCGGCCTCCTCAGCCAACCACACAGCCATCTCGTCGGCGATGGTCTGCGGGGTGCCCACAAAGGCGAGGCCCGAGTATCCGCCGTAGCGGCCGGCGAGCTGGCGCACGGTGAGCTGCTCGTCGGCGGCCAGCTTGAGCACGCTGGCCAGGCTGGTCTTGCTGGCGTTGGTGTCGGGGATCTGATCGACGGGCAGCGGCGCGTCCGGATCAAACCCCGTCGCGTCGCTGCCCAGCGCCACCGACAGCGACGCGATGGCGCTGTCGTAGTGCACCAGGCTGTCGAGCTTGAGCCGCTTCGCCCGCGCGTCCTCGGCCGAGTCACCCACCACGATGAAGGCCGCCGGCAGGATCTTGAGGTGCTCGCGGCTGCGGCCCGCGGCTGCCGCCCTGCCCTTGATGTCCGCATACAGCGCCTTGGCCGACGCGAGGTCGCGCGGCGAGCAGAAGACGGCCTCGGCGGTTTCGGCGGCCAGCTGCCGCCCCGGGTCCGACTGGCCGGCCTGGATGATGACGGGCCAGCCCTGCACGGGGCGGGCCATGTTAAGAGGGCCGCGCACGGCCAGGTCGTCACCCTTGTGGTTGAGCACGTGCAGCTTGTCGGGGTCGAAGTAGACGCCCGAGGCCGGGTCGCGCACGAAGGCGTCGTCGGCGAAGCTGTCCCACAGACCAGTCACGACGTCGTAGAACTCGCGCGCGCGCTTGTAGCGCTCGCTGTGCTCGAGGTGCTCGTCACGGCCAAAGTTCTTAGACGACTCGGGGTTGCCCGTGGTGACGATGTTCCAGCCGGCGCGGCCGCTGCTGAGGTGGTCGAGCGACGCGAAGCGCCGCGCCACGTGGTACGGCTCGTCGTAGGTGGTCGACGCCGTGGCCGCCAGCCCAATGCGCTCGGTCACCACCGACAGCGCCGACAGCAGCGTGAAGGGCTCGAACGATGTGACGGTGTGGCTGCGCTTGAGCGCCTCGACCGGCATGTTCAGCACCGCCAGGTGGTCCGCCATGAAGAAGGCGTCGAACTTGGCCGCCTCGAGCTTCTGGATGAAGGACTTGAGGTGCCCTAGGTTGAAGTTGGCGTCGGCATACGCCCCCGGGTACCGCCACGCCCCCGTGTGGAGGCTCACCGGGCGCATGAAGGCCGTGAGGTGCAGCTTCTTGGATTCAGCCATGGCTTGTTTGGTCAAGGGGTTTGTGGTTAATTTAGCAGACTTTGGTGAGAAGGGTGCTCAACAGGAGGCTGTTTCTCTATATAAATGAATCAAAATGCAGCTAGACCGCCTCAGCATTCTTGCGTGCTGTGTGAATATAGCCTCTCGCAATTACTTATCCGTGGCTGCCGTGATGACAAATGGTGATGGTGAGCGATCACGACATCGCTCGATGTGGGGCAGTCGGCCCATTCCCGAACTGGTTCGATCCGACGGATCCGTGGAACGCTGGGGAGGTGAGAGGCACAGCCCTACACTACCATTCATAGTTGCAGTCTTGTTGGCGAAGACTTCAAAGTGCAAATCATGGTGTCAATCTCGCCAGGTTTCGGTGTCACCGCGAAGATAATTCTTAATTAGCGGATCGATCATTACTTGCGCGTCAAGTGTCTGTTATTTAGGACGTAGTGAACTCGTATGACTAGAAGTAGAGGCTATCACCTAACTCCCTGATCAGAGAGCTTTCGCTGGCCCTGCCGCCGCCTCCGACTTAGTCATGATAGACGCGCTGACGAGGTTGGGTAGTCATTTTATATTTCCGACAGTACTTATCCTGCTCATTCTCCGCTTCAAGGGCTGATTCGAGGAGTTGTTTAGCCTCACCCGCTAGCCTTTTCGCATCGTATTATGTTCAAGTGAGTCCGCCAGTAAGAGATACATGTGTTTAGTCTAGTAGTAGATTCGATCAGACACCAATTAACGCTTCGAACTCTCTCGGGCGGTGTTCTGTGGTTGTCAGCCGATGCCCTGAGGCGCTCCATCGTGTTCTTTTTATAGGCTTCCAAAGTCTTGTTGAAGTTGCAGGGTGGTAGACTTCCATACAGCACGTAAACAACCGTTATAATCAGAGCGTACACGTCGTCCTCATGTCCGAGAAACGTCTTCGTTTCCGGGCGAATGAACGGCCTGTACTTGGGGTTTCTCATGTTCTCCTCGAGCAGAGGTACCAATAAGCGGGCAACACCATGCTCTGCAACCTCAATGATGAGAGGGTCCTTACTTTGGACGCGTATTATGTGCGGGCCAACCGACCCGTGAGTTTGCCCCTTGTCGTGCTGGAAGTCGAGGGCGCAAGCGGCTTGGTACAGTATGTCGTCAAGGCTAGAAATCTTCCACTCCGCAAAATCGGGCAAGTCAGCGTAATGCCTTGAAACTACAATGTGTAGTTGTGGTCCGCCCACGAGAGGGGGAATAGCTAGTCTTGATTCAAATTCGGAAAAGATGTCTCTAGCACCACATTAGAACCATAGCTTCGATTTCCGTATGAAACTGCTAACATGTACATTCGTCGCGATGAACACACCACTGGGGAGGCAGAGGTGGGGATGAGCGGCTTACATGTTCAGGGAGCTTGAGAAAACCCTGTAATATTTGAAATTGCTTCGTGTTTGCTTTTATGAATTGGTTTATGTGCCTTCCACGACAACAAAATGTCGCGCTAGTGTCGCCGGTGTTGGCCCACATGGTGAAACTGGCCCCCAGCCTATCTTTCGGCAGAGCCTTGCCGCGTTTCCAATTCAGATACTTCAGAGCAGGCATTGCGCGAGGAACTAACTGGTTGGATCAACCCCTACAAGATGTGTGAAGAAGCCGCATAACTGACTAGATAACGGTGCTGAGCGCGAGTCCTGCAGTAGGTAGATTGAAGTATCAACAAAGGGATGGGAAGACTTAGATCTTGAAAGACGCCAAACGAAGGGATTAAATACCCAGTTGCGAGGGCGATGACACAACCATCCCAAATTCTGTCGAAACTGGGTTTGTTGTTCATCAGGCCGCCCAAATGTCGAGGCGTCGTATTCGGCTGTTGGCGTTAGTTGGCTGTTGGCTGACCTCGCCAAGTGACTTGACGTTGTTTCTTATTAGACTGTGCTCAGGCCTGGCCGGCCTGTCTCGGTCGATTCAGTTTACGCTCACGCGTATTTAGGGGCAGGATCTCGGAAGGTTATCGATTCTTGGAAGCCAAGCGCCGAGGCCAGGCTTGCCGCTTGGTACTTCTGTCATGCTTGCTGTGAAGCGCAGAATCCTTTCTTTGGAGAATGGAGAGGATGAGAAGAGTTGGGTGCGTATTATCCCTTGCTCAGCACCGCCGCAATCACTGTTGGAACAACGCGCATTCCAGCCACATAGAGGTGGCTGTAGCAACGCATTCATCAGCCAGACAGGCGGCGGTGGAGGCGTAGGGGTCCCAGATTCCATATAAGTGGCCTACGGCCACCTCTCTCTTCTACACAGATATAGACAACAATGACCATCACTTGAACCACCAGCTTTCGGCGTGCAGCACGCCCTGTTGTTTCCAGTACCGGTACCTGGTGATTCCAACAATCACCTTGTTCAAGTAACGTCACCGTGAAGCAAGTCAGCGCAGATGAAGAAAACCCGCCGCACTTGTTGGTTTCGGAGCCGCGTATAAACGCTTAGCACCAGACGGCACAGTGAAGCAGCAGCGCCGTTGCTGGTTTCCAATTTAGCCGCCCGCATTTAACATGTGTAAGTGGGCGGCGGAACCCTTCTCTTTCAACTTGCAAACGTTTGATAGCTAGGTTCTGCTTCAATGGTCCCTTTGCCCCTCCCACCTACCCACAAGAGCGTCTGTATGTACTTTCATTGGAGAAAGTCTGCCCGTGTATGCATCCTCGCAGAAGCGCGGCCATGGTCCACGGCTTATGCATTGCACCGGACAGGGTCAAGGTCTCCCATCTGTCGGGGGAGATGCTCTGGATGAGTTCATGTTTGTTTTCGTAGATCTAGTGGATCAGCGTTCGCGCCAGGCCCTCGTTGGATATCTGAATTTCGGTTCCAGAATTGCAAAGTAGAAGCTGACGCGAGTCAAGGAATGTGACCAGTGCTGGAGGTTCTCTCCCGTTCCGCTGTTCATCTCCCAAGCTATAAGCCATTTCAATAAACTTCAAGCTTACGCAGGAGCCTGAACGTCTGTCTGTCGAACACCTCTTGTGGCGAGCTGGATATGGGCCAGGGGTCTGTTCGTGTTGCCTCCTGTTGCGCCTGGATCGCACATTGACCTCTTCTCAATACCCACCGCCAGCTTTTCTTGTATTCTCATTTTTTCAGACATTCGAAGTTTCTGCAGGTGCCACTGGCCAGTTTCCATGTCGTCGAGGGGGGGGCTTCTTGGTAACAGTTTGTCGTACAAGTCTCGTAGCTTTTCTGTAATGATGTGAGGTTAGCGAAGAAACCTTCGTTGCGGCGATATGTACGGGATGAAGAGCTTACCGAAAGAGTCCAGCATTCTCAGAATCAGGTGCTGCCAAAATCTGTCCAGTCTCCGTTCCAGCGTCTGTCCAGTCTCCGTTCCAGCGCGTCAATATGATCGGCCCGCTATATAGTTTTCTCAGTGCCTCTAATAGCTCCGTGGCGACCGCTCGTCATTCGATACCAAGGCTTGCGAGAGCATCGTGGGTCTACCTGCCTTGCGTTTGGGCTTAATGGTTTGCCTAGATTATTGTATGCCCCCTCAAGGTTTTTGGTGGCAGTTTCCAAGGATTCGATGTCGATGGTCTTGCCTCTGCCAAACAGAAGAAAGAAGAAAGAAGAAAGAAGAAAGAAGAAAGAAGAAAGAAGAAAGAAGAAAGAAGAAAGAAGAAAGAAGAAAGAAGAAAGAAGAATGAAGAATGAAGAATGAAGGAAAGAAGGAAGGAAGGGAGCCGTGTGCTTTGGAGCCAGGGTTGGTGTCTGGACGTGTGCACTGCACAGCCCGTCTCAGTAGTAGCTAGGTGTGTATAGTGCAAAATCACTCCCGCAGCCACGGCAACTTTCTCAGGCTTGCAAACTCCCCAGGTCTCGTTGGGTGCCTGGTAATGGTCACTGATGACGTGAGCAGCAAAGCATTCTGATTGGGTCGCATGGCATGCCTGGCTCAAGAAATTCTCAGAATCAGCCCACTTGATCTACCAGCTTGAATAGCCCGAGTACCTATCTACACAAAGGTTCCTTCCCTGCTTCTCCAGATCCACAATAGTGCTCGTATTTGTGCAATGTAGTTGCGTTCTTTCTGTCCAGTTAGATGATTTAGGTACCTGTGTGATTGATTTTGGTGCCGGAATCAAAATAATTAGGCGTGAAAACTGGGATTTCATCCTGCTTGTCACAATAAACGGAAGTCCCTTCACAACCGAATCAAATCACGGTAGCACAATATCAAGTTTCCTGCCTCGAAGTCTCCACTTTCTCCTTCCTAGTTGCTCTAGCTGCTGCTTACGAACCTAGGCCCCATCTTGGACTAATCCCCGGGTATAAATACTCCACCTGCCTGGCTGCGGGGCTCTCTTTCTTTTCTCCTTTCCTTTCTTCGGCAACGGTCCCGCATTTGATTTCGATCCCCAGCTGGGCAAGAACGTTTTGCCTCCTCCTGCTCTCGTCCAATCGCCACAATGCAAAATGCTCGATCGTACCAGTAGCGAGGAGGATTTCCCTCGTAGTGACCGGGGCCTCCCTCGCACTCATAGGCCCCCCGTCGCCCTAGGCCTCGCCGCCGCAGCCGCAGCACCCCCGGCCAGCAGCCGCCACCGCAACGACTACTACAGTGAAATGACTCGGGAGGAACGTGAAGGCGTGAGTATTTCCTTTTTCCTGGCTAACTTGAATGTACCGCACACACGCATGTTGCTGATACATCTTTGCTCATAGAGGCGGCCCTTCCCCCATCCGCCTTCCACCCGCCAATCTGCTGTCATCAGCCTGCCTCACTCCTCTTAGCCCCGGCCCCGCAACTATCACCAAGCTCTTGCCAGGGGACGCGCGCGTTCGCCGCGGGCCGCGCCGACTCCTAGTCTTCTGCCGCCGCCTGCCTTGCCCGCACCCGCGCCCGCGCCCGCGCCCGCACCGCGTGCCGCAACTTGCATGGGGTGTTTACAGGCGTCTCGCCCGTGCCATTTCCCGCTCGGTGGCAACATATTCAACGACCCCTGTGGTTTTTGCGATGCCCACGGAATCGGCTGCGTCCGATCGCCTCCCTTGATCACTGCAACCTACGGAGCTTAGAGGGCTGCCGAGGACGCAAATGACCGCAGGTTTAGTTTGGAGTCGCAAAGGGCAGCACTGAATACGCGGGTCCTCTTCAATGCAGCACACGCCGTTATGGAGGCTCTAGAGGTGCTTGTTAGCGCTGGCCTGGTTGAGCAGTATGTGTTGGCCCCTTGATATTTAGTTGCCCCCTTGAGTTATCTGGCCGCTAATTGTATCATTCTAGAAATGACGCCTACCGCATCCTAGCCGCCCGCTCTCTTTATCAGGCTCCGCCCACTGCCCTTTCGCCTGCTCCCAATCAGGGTGAGCTCGCCTCCGACACACAGGCGGCCCTTGAAGCTCGCGTGGCTGCCCTTGAGGCCCAGATGGAGCGCGTCAGACCACAGATGCGGCAGAGGGATTACTAGAACGTGAGTAACGTGTGGGGATGTCTCGCCATAAATAGCCTGCTAGGTAGATGGGTAAGCACTAGGGATGGGCAGTTACTTCTCTAAAGGGGGTGTGCAGTCTGCCATTCTGGGCTCAATGTACTCACTACCCACCTTACCCAGCTTTGCTGGCCATCTATGATGCGCATTCTCGTAGATTTGTTACGTTCGTATTGTGATAGATCTGACTGTGGAAGTCCCTTCTGCAGAGGTACAACAGTGGTAGTAAATATGCTGGATTTGCAAGGTGTGGTGGGAGACAATTGATTCCGGCTGTTTGCGAACGTGAATTCGATTCGTGATCGCTGGCGCGGGAGTGACGGTGATAGGTTGGGTTGGCCTTGGTTGTGGGAGAAATAACCTTTGCACTCACTCTGGCTGTACGAGCCAGAATTCTGAGCTTAAATGAACTAGCAGTCCTGCTAAAGGCTACCGTGGGGCCTATCGTTACAGGTATTAAGCGACCGACGCTACCGCTGCTGTGCCCGCCCGACATGGTTACATAAACTTAACAATCGGGGAACGCACTACTAGCCAGAATCTCCATTTTGGCGAATGGCAATTCTAGTCGAGGCGTCAAAATGAGGCCACGCGGCTTTGTAGGTAAGGCTGAGGTCGCCCATAGCCCACCCCATATCAGAGCAGCTCAGGGCCACACACAGATATGGAAACTGCTGAGGGCAACTTTTGCGTAAAACATTGAGCTGTTATTTTAACTCAAATTTTTCTTCGATGCTCTGCCTAGCAGAATATCTTTTTTCGAACCAAACCCAACCACTAGACTAGCTAGTTGGAGAATATAACTGGTTTGCTTATTTATTTCTTTCTTTCCATGTTCCGGATATTTGCTTTATTTAGCCTCCCATGCTTTCTTGTCGACAGGGATGGATACCTATCCACCGTACACTCACGAGACGACTTCGTTTCGAACCTTCTTGAACACATAGTTTTCAAGTCGCTTTGCCGCCCTGTGTCCTTTTTGCCATCGGTTGAACGATCGATAGCCACATGGATCATGCTACGAAAGTGTACTACATTGCCAACCCCCGTTTTGCCTAGGCGTATACGCATCATCCTCTTCAGTTTGTAGTCAAGGACAAAGCCATGCTGTTGGGGTGACAATGTGTGATGTGCATTGGCAAGCTGACCCTAGCAGGGGGAAATCCCGGTACTAAATGTGTGGGGGAGAACCGGTGCGCGGGCATATGGCCCATGCGCCTGCCAGCTAGGGCTAAGCCCCGCAACAGCTGCACAAGGGGTACGACTTTCCGCACAAACCGCCAAGGAAGCACGCCGGGCAGAGAATCAGCCTCTTCGAGATTGCTCTCACAGGAGTTTTTTCTCAAATTTCCTCCTAGATCCATGATAATGTTATTATTGAATAACCCTATTTTGGAAGTAACCTTTTAGACTCTGAGTATCCCTCGAGAAGCTTAATATTTTATTCTTGTTCGTTAACCCTATCTAGGGGAGCCCCCCGCATGTTTCGGTATTGATACTTTATGGATCTATGCTTTTCGTTGTGCAGTTGGAAGGTGATATCGTTTAACAATGGGTTTGCCGTCCCATTGCTACTCCCGTGACTTATGTTACAAGATTCGAGGAAGAATTTATTCCAGCCTTCTGTCCGAACATCTGGTACCGAACAGCGTCTTTTGCCCCGTGACTCTGTGCTTGGAGCAACTCTGAAAGGCAAAACCAGGACCTAGTAGCAGGTATAAAACTTGCCTCCTCACCTGGTTCAGCCTGGTCTGATATTCTTCCATCTGCAGCCGGAAATTAATCGCATTGGACAGGGCCACCAGAAACACTTTCCAGGACAGATCCGCCCAGATATTCCTCCACCGCCTCAATCCCTCTTCCAAACAACGAAAGAAAAAACACGGATCCCTCCACGACCATCGAGCTATCTCGCCTCAGATCCGCCAAAATGTTGCCTTTACCCTCCGACCTGAAGCAACAGTTCAGCCACTTCAACCTCGAAAGGCCGAGTGTATGGGAGCCGTCGGCCTCGCAGATCACCGAGGACATCTTGCTCGGGAACCTCTCCGCGGCCCTCGACTTCGAGGGCACCCACAAGAGGCACAACATCACGGCCGTCGTGACGCTGATCGACCCCATCACGGCGGCAAAGATGGCCGAGCTGGACGAATTCAAGAAGCTGGGCGACAAGCACCACGTGGTCGTGTGCATAGATAAGGACGAGCAACGCCTGCTGCCCCATCTGCCAGGCATCTGCGCCTTCATCGAGAGCCAGCTAGGCACGACACCGACGAACTGCACCCCCCCAACTCAAGCATCGTACGCCCACGCCACGAAAGCATCATCTCTCGTGCCCGCAGCAGCAACCAATCTGTCCGCGGCCGCACCAACAGCGCAAGCCCCGGCGCGCCCGACCCCCCGAATCCTCGTCCACTGCGTCGCCGGCCGGTCGCGCTCGCCGACCGCCGTCGCCGCGTACCTGATGAAGAGCCGCGCGATCAACGTAGCGCAGGCGCTGCAAATGATCCAATCCGCGCGCCCCTGTGCCAACCCGCGGGACACATTTTGGGCGGAACTGCGGCTGTGGAGCGAGTTTTGCTGTGATGCGAGCTGCACCCCCCCTGCCGCCGTTGCCGAGGCCGAGGGCACGTTCTGACGGGGTGTTGGGGAAGTTGAGCAAGAGTTTTCGGGCGTGGCGTGGAAGGGCCCGGCCAAGTAGTTAAATGGGTAAAGTAGATGAGAACGCCACTGCGGGTTCTCGCGTGCGTGCGGCCGGGTCCTGGGGTAATTCCATGTTATGGATGTGGGAGGCGAGGAGGCTGCTCGATGGCTGGTGGTGTGACGGGGGTGGCGTGGAGAGTCTGACGCAGCCACGCGACGACTTGATTGCCAGTATGGGATGGCGATTTGTGAAGTTTTCGAGCAGCCGGTGTATGCTGGTCTCTGTGAATGAATTGACTCCCTTGACACACCGAATTTCAGGGCTCGATGTGAAACTAGCAGCCAATGGGCCAATTGCCACAATGGGTTTCGAGTCCACCCTGTGACTGTCTTAGGGTAATCATCTCTAGGCTGCGTGTCAGTTTGAACCACACATGCTCCCACAGCACGCCTGAAGGTTCTGCGACAGCTCTTGGGAGGGTCAGCCTTAACTTCTATAAATACCAAAATGCTGCTCCTGTCCTTTCTTCACCAATGTGCACACGTGCTTCGCACCAACCACAAGAACACCAACCATAAGAACACCAGCCGAAGCGCCCATACCTTACAAGAACATTGATAGCGAGTGTTGAAGATGGAGTATCCCCAGATAATGGAACTAAACCATCGCAGCCTCTGAAGACAGAGCTTGACATCAAGCTATCTCCAGAAGTTGAGGGCAATTCCCATGTATCCGCGAAGATAAACGCGGAGCCGTCGATATCGCTCGAGGCAGACACCGAATTACTCTCGCTGTCAGGCGTGAAAATCGCCACTCCGTCGTCGTCGGACATGGAAGCCGAGCCACCGCCGCAGTCAGAAGCGGAAACAGCCACCCCCCAGCCGGAGCCAGCCGCAACAACGAACGCCGAGCCCACACCATCGGAAGAAGCGGATGAATCAACATGGTGGTCTGCGCGCAAACCCACCCCCGAGTCGGCCGAGTACCCGTACGTGGACAAGTACCGCTTCGGCATCGGCATCGTTACGCCGGCCAACATCACCGAGACCCGCCCGGGCCTGTACATTGGCGACTTGGCGACCGTCATGTCGACGGCGACGCTGCAAAGCACGGCATCACATCGATCGTGTCGTTGCGCGACGGCGAGGACGACAAGCACTGGTTCGACCAGCGGGCCGCGCTGCGCGCGCTCGTCCCGGCGGCGAACCACCTGTACATCGTCTTCGAGGACGAGCAGTGCACTGCTCCGAAGAAGCAGTATCGCGAGTATCTCGAGTGGCTGGACAAGAAGGAGAAGGAGTGGGAGAGAAAGCAGGACGAGGAGGAGGAGCGGAAGAAGCAGAAGGAAAAGGAGCGAGAGAAGCAGGCGGAGCAGGCGCAATAGGCCGAGAACTACGGCCAGTTCCTTGGATTTTTTCTTTTGGATGTTGGAAAGGGGGTAGTACATCCTGCATCAGATGAACGGGATTGCTCTTCTGGGTAGATAGGTAGAGAGGAAGTACTCAGCGGCAGGCAATGTTTTTCTTTTATTCCAGAAATTCCAGACATCTCTGGAACACCATCTAAGTCGCCCCAACCGCACTTGGTCCTAAAATAGATTTCTAGCCATGTTGACTCTTGCCGCTCTCAGCCTCTCAGTGATTTCCTCCTATTATTAGCTAGCGTTCTCACGAGCATACTGGCCAACGTGACTGACCTGTCTCTTCACTCCTCAGGAACCAAACAATGAGGTGCTGTGCCGGGTCGTGTGCGTTGTTGGTGGAAGTAAGCACAACAATCCGCCGCCCCGCCCTAAGCTCGGACAATCCGTACTGCAGAATCAGTCAGTGGTGGCGGCTGCCTGTGCCGGCTCCAAACTGGAACTGTGCCTATGGAGCTGCCGAAATCCTAACATCTAAGGCCGAGCGGACGGGCCCAAGATGCTGGGCTGGAATAAATCAATCGTGCACCTGGGACTTTCCGTGCCACCAAAGCTTACATTAAATTACCCGACTGCCTTTGCCTTAATCTCCCCGGCGCTAGCAGGGGCTGCCACGCCTTGCAAGGATAAAAAGGCTGTGGTGCAACGTTATACAAGTGCGTGGGGTAGATACCCAACCCGCTGTGCCCGAGCCGCACCTGCAAACAAACCATGCAATCTTCGGAACGTCCGACACGATAAATACCTAAATAAACAAGGCATTCATCAATTCTCACAACGCCTGCCCGTTGGCAACGCCACTTCCATTGCCAACCTGAAACATAACATACCCTCCACACTACCACTTCCTCTGGGCCCAACCGCGAAAGTATCGACTGAAGAGACGTTGCCGACGGCATTTGACTAGGATAGGAGATGGGAGCTGGAGGAGTGAGCTTTTGTCTTTCTTGGCAGCAGCGCAGACTGGAAGCCACCCCGCCCTTCGTCCCATTTTGCGGGTCCATCCACCCATCTAAATTCAGTTGACGTGTATGGCGTGCCAATTGCCAACATGCCGAGATCCTCATGCATCGCCCGGGTGCTTGGAAGCGGCAAGGCTACGGCCGACCGACTACTCGAGCCCTGAAACATGTCGCCCCCGAAAAAGATGAGTCTTTTTTCCTTCTTCTTTTTCTACTTTTGTGCTGGAACTTGAAATTCGGGAAAGGTAATTGTGAAATTAATTACTGCCATACATACCGTAACTGTGCCGTTGTTACTAGTCTCGTGTAATTAGCCCTGTGATTCTGAGTGCACACCGCACCTTGGCCCGTGAGCTCGGGGTGCGGCGGGCTTTTCCCCTGCCCAGGGGGCCCGACGCAGGTTCCAAAAGGGCCCGGCACACTGTTCGCGAGTGCCGCCATTCTTGCTGTCGGCGAGATGAGCTAGAGTCAAGTCGGGATGTAGGGTTGGTGTCTGAAAAAAAGAAAGATGAGAAGGCGCGGCTTGTGCTTCCAGCGTGCGTCAGGAAAGCCCGTTCTCGGGCCAGACCCCGAAATCCGACATGGTGGCCAAAGTCCGACGCGATCGTCCGCCCAAGGTACGGAGGCTGTGCGCGTGGTTGTCGTGTCACGCCGCCGCCGATGCTTCGTCTTGGGTCGGGGCTTGATTACAGTCCCTTCTTCTGGATATTAATTATTATTCGGATTCCCGGCCGTCTCGCTGCAGTGCCTGGTTTTCTGTCGGCTGATTGGACTGGTACTTTGTACTTTCGTTTAGTCGGCGGGTAGTTGCTGGCGCGATATTATTTGTTGCAAAGCAACTGGCGTCTCCCTTTGGTATACATTTGAAGAACAAACGAGGTGGGGAATTATTCCTTTTCGGTGCATGCAAGTAACCTCCGGCCTAAGCAGAATTGCATTCATTAATTCCGAGTACGGTATGGCATGTGAAGCACGCCAACCAAATGTTGACAATGCAGGTAGAGAGATACTACACTAGAGGCTGAAACGGTTGTCGGGCTGCATCAATTATTGAAAAACCAGGGCACTGCCTTTGGTTTCTATCACTGTATAACTAGTTAACGCAACTAAATGCATGCACTTTCAAAAGCAAAACATTATCAAACAAGCACCAGTTGTGCAGTGCGCACGCGTGTGTTATAGGGAATATAAAGAACTCCGCTCATTTGTATACTAATTAGCCTAGAACTCTCCCTTTTTCTTTCTCCAGAGCCATCTTCTTTATCCAAGGACGGTAGCCTATCCCTCTAATCTTTGGGAGGGCGGGCGTACTTCTTACCTTTGTTTTTCTAGCCCATATAGGTTGTTCGTTGTTTTTCACCATGATCGGTTATTCCCGTTGAACCAGGTTACCCCAGGTAAACCCCCCAAAATCATGTGCCATACTAGCGATATTTTGTCCCGCTACGGCTCGAGTTGGCGTTGTTTGGGGGTTGTGTGGAAATCCGAGCTTCCATCTCTTCGACTGGGGGCTCAATCGGGGATGTGCTTCGCAAAGTGTCTATACTGGCCCAGGACCTGACGACCTACCTTTGGCCCTGACCTACGCACCCGACGACGACGATGAAGACAACGACCTTCGTGATGTTTTCCTTGATTTCAAGGACGCTCAGACTACAGGGAGCCTAGCCGACAAGCCACGCGTTTGCCATCGTTTCCCCACAATCAACATCGAGGCCGTCGTTTTCCTTCCTCCTTTTTCCAGAAAGTCTATTCCACATATGCCGCATTCGAATTCAAGAGCAGGACTTCTACAATTAAGAAATGAACAGATCATCACGTCGCTTAGGTGGTGAATAAACCTATGGCCTGCTTCCTAGCTTCTTCGTTAGTTTCTTTCAGAAGAAGACACTTAGCGATGCAGTGGCCCTGTGGCATTGTCCCTGTCAGCAACGCTCAACTCGGAGTACGCCTACGTCCTAAGGCCCCCCACATGTTCCTCGGGCTCACTAGGTCCCCTAGATGCCCTCTAGATCCCCTAGGCTGCTCAGATTTTGTTGCTTTGTTGGTTAGGAGAGTCCACAAGAGTGACTGCATGCCTCACTTTGTTGTTGAGTGATCTACGACCCTGTGAGACCCATCGATATAGGTTATTTGGTTCCCGAGACATTGTGTTGTTAGGGGAAGCCGCGTACGTGGTCAGTGCCGAAATGCCTGGCCTCATGTTGAGCGGGTCTGTGTAGCCTCGTGAGGTTCGAATTCGTATCTGTTAAGCTCCCTTGATGTGGCTGGCACGCCAGACCCGTTTAATTTGTTCTGATCACGATATCTGTACTTTTCTGGATCTCTTGTGGCTCTTGTTATTCGGATGACCATTTGAGAGCATATTCGCCCTTATCATTCGACGAGCCAGGCTTTGTTTTCCTTCCTGGACTACTCGACCCTCTGGTCACAGGAAGGCAAGTGTAGGGGATGATTCTTTACTTCGAGAGCTTTATTTTCCGGGATGTCTTCCTCTAGGTCACGAGTCTTCCTTTCCTTTGATCAAAGAGAGCTTCCTCTAGGGGACGCCCTGGCTCACGAGGACCCCTCTTTTTTCCTTTCGGCTACAGTTATGTTGTTTTTCTTCGACTGCAGGCCCCACCTATATGGCTTCCGAATACCAGCACCACAGTATATATGGTTTTGGGCCGCTTTGACGGCCGCCCTGCGCCCTGCGCCTTGCTCCCTGCCAGCCACCCCGACAGCCATCTACGCGTGTTGCCCAGGCCATCCAATTATTTCTACCGGACCGACGGCACCTGCCACGAAGGACGTCAGCTCACGAGACAGCGTTGCTCTGATCAGCCCAACCTGACAGGGGGACTTATTTCTACCTATCAATACTGCCTTGGTTCCACTCTGTCAGCCACCGACCGGACTGACCTACCTGCCTTGGCGGTGTTGACGGTTCTGACCGATCCGCCGGGCTGACTGCCCGGCTCCCGGCCTTCCTGCCCCGACGACTTCCGCTGCCCGGCTCCCGACCTACGGACCAGACGGTTAAGCTGTGCGCTTCGGCTACTGCCTGAGACAAGCTCACCTTGCCTGTTGCTCTCCCAGGTCCCGGGGAAAAATGGCCCTACCCTACCCTCCCGGTCTTGCTTTTTGTTCTTTTGGTGGGTTGTGTTGAAAGCGGAGCTTCCATCTTTTAAGCGTAATTAGGGTTAATGCGGCATTGTCAAGAAAAGAAACAGGGCACTGCCGTTTGTTTCTGTCACTTTCTATCTAGCCAAGGTACAACGACAAAGTAATTTGATCTTCTCTTTGGAGACAAATATCTGTTATCCCACCAACACGAACCGAAACTGGCCTCCAAGTCCCATTCATACATCCAAAAGGACAAGCGAGAACCCCTGTTATATGCCGCCGCTTTGATGTTCCTGCCCATTTCCCAACGGCACGGCCTGCCATGCCTTGAAGGTTGTGAGGCGTCCTAGACTAGCCTCTAAGCCTCGCCTCGTCGGGTAATGGAAGGGAGGGGGGTGGAGCTGCCTATCCCTTTCGCTAACGGGGACGGGAAGGGGCGATATGAACTGGCGCCCAAAAGCTTGTGCATGGGGCTATTTCAAGTCCACTACTTGTATATTGTTGGGTGGAGTGACCTGGCTCGGCGTCTGCTTATTTATTTGCGTCTTCTTCCAGCGCCTGCGCCTTTGCCTTGGCTACGATGGCGTCCGAAGAATTCTTGAAAATCTTGTTAAAGGTAACTTCGCCCGGCAGTGCTTTTTTCACGCTTGCCTCAAACTCTCTTCACTCAATTGCGGGACAGCCATCATTCACCCATTTAAGGGCTTGCCTTCTGTCCTTGAGGACGCAGTAGGATGCGTCCTTGTTTACTTTCTGGATCAAGAAGGACTCGGAGACCCTCTCCGAGGGCAGCTTCAGCATGATGAGTCTGTCAGACTCGTCCCACCCACAGTAGTACATAACACCGTCCTCGTCATTGTCCTCACGGATCTGGCTGTGGACCCAAAAGAGCTGACCAGGTTCTAGCGGGGTTTGTCCACTTGCATTTTCGTGAACCGATGCGGTAGCCGTTGTTGCAGCTGTGGTAGGCTTTGCCACAGTAGACTGTTTCGTCACAGCATCACTAGGGGCTGCTGAAAATTTGGAGGAGGGCGGCGAGTTTGACGAGTCCCTGAAGAACCCCGGTTGTTTGATGTGTATCATGTCCCTCACGACTGCCGGCCAAAGGGGGCGGGTTTCCAGCACTCCCCGAACTGCGACTGATCTTAACCTTGAATCAAAATGGTTCAAGATCCTCAGCAGTGTCGCCGTGAAAGTCTTCCTCCTTAATTTCCTTGGGGACTTTGTTTAGAGGGAGCCATCGATGGTAAATAGACCGGAGTGTAATGTTTTCATGCTGGACAAGCACCGTGAGAGCGAATTCGTCAAAGCTGAAATGTACCTTGTCGTCACCATACTCACCCCATTTTTCGAGCTGGTTGACCAGTACATTATGAAGAGACGGCATTGGGTGTGATGAAGAGGTTGTGCTACTTCCAGACTCTGAAAAGACAAATGAGTTGTAAGACAAGAGTGCCCATCCGATTCAAAACAAGCCAGACAGGAAAGGGAGACAAAGGTCACAGTAGAGGGAAGAATGGGGTTCTTACCGGAAGGTAGGGTGGTGGGTATGTTGAAGATGGAAAGAGATAATGTGCGATAGCAAGAAGGACACGAAGGGGGTGGTGGAAGAAAGGGTGTGTGGAAGAAAGGGTGTGTGGAAGAAAGGGTGTGTGGAAGAAAGGGGTGAGCGACAAGTGGAAAATGGGGGGTTGCGGTAGTTGCTAGTCTGGGTAACGACGCAGGCAATGAAAATTGCGGAAGTTGATGTCGAATTGAACATGGAAATTAAGTAGCATGGGAGAACAAATATATGCCGAGGGAGGTTGGGTACCTTGAGTGTTGGAAGGGTTGTCGGTACTTAGGTAAGGTACCTGAACGTTTTCTGTTCCGTCGGACTTGTGGCCGCATTTCCTGCAGCCACCCTTTGTTCGACAATCCGTCTACCCGCGTAACCGAACCCCAACACGAAAACGAGGATCACAAAACATGAAACCAACCATGCTTAGTTCCATTTTAGCATCCCATGTCAGAATCCCATGTCATCCCCGCGCCTGCCTGGCAAAGGTTGCTTGCGTCGTGATTGCCCTTGAGGGGCCACATGCCGCACTTGTTGGCCATGCATCCACCATCCATCCCTCTATACCTAATTATACCTAGGTAGTCAGCCACAATATTTCTTTAGTGGGGCTAAAACGACCACGCGCGGAAGCTAGCGGGCAGCAAGTTCAAGTTCATTCATATGGATCTGGTTGAGGTATTAATTGGAGCAGCTCGTCCGCCGACCTTGACCGATATTTTCCGAGTCACATTCCCAAACATCATTAACTACAGGTAGACTGTTTTCTCTGACAGTTAATTGGTATTTGAAACCGCCCTTTCCCTCGCTCTCCACCTATTGATACTGCTCTCTTTGCAAATCTACCCCACACTCCTCATTATCTCAGTCTAACGTAGTACGACCGCTTGCTAGTCACCAGCCCCCAAACCTCACCCCTAATTACTTCGGCTAGATTTCTCGTGGATGAGATAGAGTGTAGGGCGGGCTACTGATAAAGGAGTGAGATCTTGGCCCGCTCGGTACGCGTGTGAAGGCAGGCATATACGAGAGACAAAGCTACAGGTAAAGAATAGTTGTATTCGTAAATAACTAAGCTAAGGAAAGGAAAAGGAAAAGAGGAAGCCTGCGGTTCCTACAGGCTGTGGTTTTGTGGTGGGAAGAGGGGCAATTGAGCTAGTCCCAATTGGGAAGCGTGGGGCTGCAGGGCAGGGCCTGTAGCCAGGCTTGCCAGTGCAGTTGGCTGCACCCAACCTCCTTTTACGCTCCTCCCACCATGAACAGATCGTGCTGTCCCTTCCTTGCTAAAAGCTTGGTAGTGGACTGGAGCATCCCTTCCTTGCCAGAATGGATTGCCGGGCATGATGGGTGTCGATTATCTGGTAGACAAAAGCCGGGGGGCCTGCCATGCCAAGGCGCTAAGAAATGGCGATCCACATACTGAAATAGGTGTAGCCGGCCAATGCACTCTATTCCTAACTGGGCAGTAGTCAACGGCCGTCGAAGTACAGGATCGGTGCATAAGTCGCACGTGTGCCAGCACGTGTGTTGAACTTGAAAAAATCGCCGTTGAAGGCCAAAATGCCGTAAATCGTCAGTTTCCCTAGTCAAAGGTAAAATGGTCCCTGTCAGTAAAGCAGCCTGTCAAAGTGTAAAAAGCGTAAGTATGCTGCAAGTAAACAAAGACTTGGTGATATTTTTCATAGTGTTAAGGTAAAGTAGGTGGGTGTCAAAAGTAAACAAAGACTTCATGATGATTTTCTTGGTGTTGAGTGCAATGCAGGCAAAAAGTGGTATATTTGGCTATGGTCTCCCGGGCGGTTACCCCTGAAAAGTGGTATAATTTAACGCACCAACGTACTTGTAGACTGACAAAGGTGGAAAATCCACCATTCGATGAACCTATGAGCTTCTTCAGGGGGTAAACGGCCGTAAGCAACCCGCTCAAGCTCATAAAATGAAGTCAATATCGTCTCGGTAGCCTCCCGTGCAAGCACCCGGCTCTGTGACGATACAATTGGGTCGTCAATATCACGAGCTTCCTCACGGTAGGCTTCATTGACTCATAAAGCTCATAGCCACTTTCCTCCCACAGTTCAGACCACTGCTCAAGGCGCCTCTCGGTGAGGGTCAGGGAGCCGTTGACGAAGTAATGATAAAATAGATCTCTGCAGGGCAGTCTCCAACGCCGGTAAAAGTGGCAGTCACACTACGAGGGTCCTCTTTTTATCGCCAGTCTGGCACACGTATTCCTTCCGAACCAGCGAGTAGATATTGTTCATGAAAGGCCAGTATTTTTCGTGCTCTTCAGCAGTAAATGTGAGGGTTTCCTGGCCTAGGAAAAAACGCGTGAATGTTATCTAGACTGGCCGGTATTTCGATGGCTCTCGGAGCATGTGGCGCGGGCTTGGGGGTCGTAATTGGCTCAGAGAACGGTATCGAAAGACCTAGAAGAAAGGAAAACGTTATTTATACGTAAAACGCGTGTAGGACTGTTTCGCTAATCCTCACCTGGCTGATCGGGGGTGGGTGCGGCCACGGTATGCTCAAATTCGGCTCGGTCGTACGGTAGAAGATCGGCTCGATCGTATTGAATCTCTCCAGCGAGCGCGCCTTCAAAAAGAGCGTCAAATGAAGAATCTGCAAATTCGTCTGGCGTTAAGAACTCTATTTTGACGTTGTAAATAACAAGAAATACGCGCGCGTAGGAACGCTGCGTAGGAAGGTCGGTAGGTTATGTGTAGCAAAGGTGAAAAATGAAGCAATTCGTAGGCATCGTGAGCATGTGGTGGTTTCTTTTTGGGTTGGCGCACGGGGCGCCTGGTGCAACGCGCACCCTGAAGCGAGGATGCGGCGTGTTTAATTAGCCCAAAGATTTAGGCGAGGTGGCCCACTTTGCCGTATTTGACCAACCAAAACAACCGCATTTGGCCGACTCCAATAAACGCGAATTTGGCTGCGCACGCATTTGGCTATATATCAACAACTCATAATACGGCTATTGTTGGAATCACCAGGTACCGGTACTGGAAGCAACAGGGCGTAACTGCACGTCGAAAACTGGTGGTTTAAGTGATGGATTCGTTTATGTCTGTGTATCTAGAAGACAGAGTGTGGAAGTGGCCGTAGGCCACTTATATAGAATCTGTGGCCCTGTGCCACCATAGCCACCTTAGGGCCTGATCGGCTCGCCGTTGCGGTGTCGTTGCGGTTGGGAAAAGATACGAGCCATGTGCATAATTAAAGTGGAGACACAGCCAATGTACCCCGAAACCCCTGTAACTAGGCTTTTCCTAATTAATTTTAGTCCCGTGTGACTTCCGCCCTGTCTTCCCGCAATTTTTTGACCAAAATACAGCCACGACAGCAACCCACCTATCGTCAAGATGCCCAGAAGACCCCGCATCAGGGCAACCGCAGTAGAGTCTCCTGCTCCTGAGGCCTCTATTGTTGTTCAAGCCGATGACCTACCCTCTGACGGCGGCCTGCAAGCCTCCGATGACGGCCCTACTTCCGAGCCGACACCTGACGCGCCTTCGTCGACCCCGCGTACGAGGCGGAGGAAAATCATCTACACAACCGAAATGCAGGCGAAGATTATCGAGTTATTCCGAGACGAGGCTATCGCTGGAGCGTTCCGTATCAACAAGTTGACCGAGACGCGGCCGGCATTCTAGAGGATCTCTGTTACAATGGAGGAATCCTTTCCAGACTTCCACTGGTCAGCAGAGAAGATCAGGGACAAGTACGATAATGAGAAGAAGCGATTCCGAACGATCAAGACCTTTCTTAACAAGTCAGGTGCGAAATATAACGAAGAAGAGAGGATGGTGGAAGGCTCTGTGGAAGTCTGGAATAACTTCCTTTTGCAATATAAGGATGCTGGATGGCTTCGGACTGCTCGGTTTACTCTGTCAGACTATGAGACGATATACGCCAACCAGTCTGGTCATGGCCGTAACATTATCCGCGCGAGTAATGCCTTTCGCCCCTCTACTACGACGCCTGACGACGAGGGCGAGGGCGAGGGCGATACCGAGGATGCCATGGTCCTGAGTACGAGCTCAGCTACTGATGCTAACTCTCGCCAACCCTCTGTGGCGCCGTCGTACCAGAGGGTTCGGAAAGCCAATACAAATCCAGAGGTATTAGCACTGGCCCAGAGCCTCGATAAGCAAGCTGAGGCCTCTATGAAGCAAGCTGAAGCTATGGTTAAGCAGGCTGAGGCCATGCTTCGCCTGAAAGGGCAGGATGAGATCCAGCTTGCGATCAAGGACTTTATACACAACTTCTCTATCCAGTTAAGCCCCGCAGAGCGTGTAACGTGTATCATGCAGCTAAAAGAGCACTCAAATGCTGTTGTATGGAACACTGTAGACCGGGATATTAAAGAGGCTCTGACCGAGTCATGGAAGACTAGCTAGAAATCCCGCTCCCTCCATAGAACCTCTGCAATAGCATCCCGGATATCCTTACTATACCGACTCCTAATTATCTGCTCAGCATACCGACAAGCCTCTTGTGTAGCCTCAATTACTAGCTCTTCATCGCTGGTGTCAAGAAGGAAGTTATGGATACCAGTGACTGCGTACACAATCTGGACCTGGTTTCGTATCGAGTACTCTGGCGCAGTAGCTTGGATAATCTTCCACTTCCTCTTTAGAATACCGAATACCTTCTCAACGATAACCCGAAGGCGTGCGTGCCGGATGTTATATAGTTCTTTTGCTGTGGTCGGCGGGTTTTTGGCATTCCTCCAATCCTCGAGGTGATATCTGACACCATTATAAGGTGTAAGAATCCCCACATGCCTACCAAATGCAGCGTCTGCAAGGTAGAACCGGCCCGAGGGGACCGCAAAGTCATTCGCAGTAGCGATGCTAAGGAGCGTAGAATCGTGTGTTGAGCCCTCAGCACCAGCGAGTACGTACGAGAACGCACCATCAAATCGGACTGCGGCGAAGACGTTCTGTGCGATAAAGCCTTTCCGGGTTCGCCACTGGTGTTGCTGAGGCTCTGAAATGAAGGCGTGGATATATGTACCATCAATGGCCCCGATACAACCGTAGAATGCATCGTCGATAGACGGGTCGAGCCAGTCATCGTCTTTTGGCTTGACGAATGCGCAGTGTAGCTGTACGAGCTTGTCCAGTAGATCCGTCATAACAGAGCTCACAGTAGACTGGCTGACTCGGAACCGGTGGGCAGCATTACGCTGGCTCTCGTCGTGGGCGAATATCCATAGCACGATCATAAGCTTTAGCTCGGCTGTCAGGTATCTGGACCCCTTAAGCCCGGTATGCTCTTGTAGCCATGTAACCAATCGATGGAAAGCGGCCTTTGGCATACGAAAAAGATCAACGAATTGGGTATCCGAGCCACTGAGAATCGACTCAGCAAGATGGCAGGCCCCCGAGGGCCCCTCTGGGTGGATAATATCACAGTCGCGTGGCCCTAGTAGTCGACGGCGATCAACATACTGTAAGGCTACATCCACTACAGCTTTCGTGATGACGGCGTTGAGCAGAGGGTTATTAATGGAAGCCATTGGCAGCAGTACGTAGGATCTCGACGGTACGGCAACCCTTCTCGAAGAAGGGTTGCCGTACTGTTGGGAAAAAGCCAACCATACTAGATTTGGCTGTGCACTATACCATATGAAGGGCGTTGACCAGGGTGTCACGAAGAGCCCCGCGAAGATACATTGCATAAATTGAGACGGATCGTTCCGGGCGCTCGGCCTCAAATTTGGTCGATAAATGTGGGAAATTACCACTCGATTGGGGTTAGTGGCCTTGCAAGGCCCCCCGCGATTTTTTTTGTGCAGGTTTTCCCAACCGCAACGACACCGCAACGGCGAGCCGATCAGGCCCTTAGTGGATGACTCTCCGTGGCTGACTAGCGCGTCATTCCAACAGCTATATTCAAGACCAAAGAAAATATCGGGAAGTCTTTATATTAATGCGTATCATTTTACCTATAATACCGTAGAAAATGTGTATGGGGTGTTCAAATACGTGGAGTCTTCTTCATGGTGGTATAGGGTTAGGGTTGTCGGTTAGGCTAGGTGGTGTGGAAAATGGTACTGCCATTATGGAAGGCCAATAGTGAATTGATTCATATGTTTTTTGTGCTGTACTTAATAGCATAAAAAATATAATCGATCAATTCCCCCTTTTTTTTGGGCCTGCAGGGGGACGGCCAAAAAGGCGTTAACTTTGTCTCCCAGATAATCGACACCGAGAAACCTTTTATGACAGATGGATATGGAAGCACATGGTCTGAATCTATGTCTCACAAGGCCGGTGGGACCTGCTCTGCCCGCTCCCTGCCTTCGGTTCACTTGACTTAACCCGAGAGTGTAGCGGCCTAATTTTTGCATCGTGGACCCTACCCCTGACGCGCTGCCCACGCTTTCCGGGCTCTTCGTTACCACTATAGTAGCGCCTTCCGAGGCAGGGAGCTGACATTTTCCTCGTACGGAGGCTCGTTCGCAGCCGACCTTGATCTCAGCGCAAGGATAGACGACAGCAGCACGCCTACCCACCATGGCGGCCTACTGCTGACTGACTACCGCACCGTAACGGCCGACTGCGCTGCCTTCGGCTTTGGTACCTTCCCGTACCGTGCCAGGACAGCCGGCGGCCTGGTGCAGAGCTCCATGGCCCTGGACTTCGCGACGAGCCCCGTGGCCTACCACCACTCCCCGGCACAACAGCTACTCATATTCTTCTGCCGAGGCCCCGAGACATAGCAGCGGCAATGCGAGTCCCAGCGAAGGCGGCCACCACGACATTGACATGGCCGTTCCGTGCAGTAGCCTCTCCTCGACGCCCCCCTCGATGACGGTGCCCTGCTACTCGACGGCGGATCCGCACCACTCAGACCCCTCCCTGCCCAGCATGAGCGCTGCGGCATCACCATCAGTCACAGAGACTCCGGTCCAGCCCGAAAGGAATACTATATCCGCTTCCCCTCAGCTGCGCTAGCCGAAGTACCGCAAGTCGCTGCAGACGCTGGCAAGCGAAGCGCCAAATACCCACTCGGCGCCCGTTTCGGGCACCAGCACCAGTGCCGAGCTAACGCTCGGACGCCTTCGCGCTCGCATGAAACATAAACGTGTCGAGAAGCAGTACCGCGACCGGCAGAGTGCCTAGTTCGAGAGTATTCTTGCCGCGCTATCTGCCGACAGATTCGACAACAGCGATGATGGAGACGCCTGTGGGGGAAAGCGGCGAATGTCCCCGCTCGACCGACTTGTCGGCGAGGGTTGACGGGAAAACTGTTACACGCGCCGAGGTGCTGGACGCCGCAGCAAGGTATATTGAGGAGTCGCAGCTCCATTGAGGCTGGAGGCGATCAATGATGACAAGATGGAGCAACCACCCGCCTGTCTGCCTGTCTGCCTTCCATTCAGGCACCCAAGGTAGGTCGACTGGGAGCGGTTGGTGCTATGGTGCTACCGTGATTATTGGGATGGGCGGCAGATAGCGTTTGTCACGGTCGCCACAGGGCTCATGTGACAGGATTGATTCTATTGGCGGCATTGTGCTTAGGGTGTGGCCTGTGCGCACTGAGCACCACTACCTATTTCTCCGCGCCCTGCGCGGACCCGGCGATAGATTCCTTTCTCTTCCTTAGCTTTAAATCCACATTCGTTACTGCCTTCAACCATTGACATCCCTACTGCGTAAGGCGGGCCGTCACAGCGTTGGCTTGTGGCTTGATGGGAACCTCCTTCTGCATTGACATATTCTGTGCATAAGAGGAACACCAGACCTACCTAGGTATTTGGATTTGATGAAAAAAAATAGACTCGTTGGACAGGAAATTGCGTGATTAAATTCATTACAACTGTTCTGGTCGCTATGGTACTTGATGCTCAGCTCCATTGCAGCCAGAACCACCTCATATTACGTCCTCGCAATGGCTCAGCCTAACTTCTTATGCTCTAGCAATGCCAACGGCCCTTCATTTTACCAATAATAATGATAGCATTGAGTGAGGTAAAGGTTGGATGGTCATGTTTCCCCCCGCCCCTAAGTCGCGGCGGGGGGAGTGCTGGCATCGATGTCATTATGTCGCGGTCGCACACCAGAGTGACCATGGCCTGGGAGAATACAGTGTTGTTTTACCCTAAAGTTGCCCTCACCAACCTCCAGTCACCCTCACCACCCCAGCCATCTTGCTCAGGCGCTAGTCAGGCGCTGCTCAGGAAATGATCAGAGAAACCGCCAAATATGGTTTAGGCGAATAGGCCGTACTGCCACATAGACTATGAGGACTCTGCTCAGCAGTCTACCTCGTAGGCTACAGGGGACTCTGCCATGTAGATAGGGTCTTTGGGGGGCAATAGAAGTCCTGCCTGCACTTTAGGGCCCTATAGCTGTAGTAGCTAGCCATACTTTAACAATTGATAGCTGAGGAACTGACTCTCAAAGAGCATTCCTCCAGCTCCCTATATAGAACTATAGTTAGCGAATCAGAGCCCTTGCCCTAGGTGCTCAGTGTCCAGGGGCGCTCAGTCACTGAGCGCCCTGAGCGGCACTGAGCGTTAGGCTCAGTGTGCTCAGTTGGCCTTGGCAACTGAGCACCCTGAGTGCTTCCTAATTGGCTGTATCAACCCTACAGGGAAGCCTCGCTTCTATGGTTGTTCTAGCCAGCCTACGGCGCCTCTTGCACTCTTGAGCCGGGATCGTAACACAGACCCTCACCTTTCGATAGTCCTTTCCACCCTCCTTTCATTTCCTTCCACTTCGGCTGCATTGTATGCTAGCCAATGACGGAGTTGCCGCATGCTAGCTCTGGCACAGAACGCGCCATCCGCCTCGGCATTGGCACAGGGGCAATCTCATGGGGAGGTGAAGCGATGAAAACCCCCCTCAACCGCCAGGTGGCTACGGGCACGGAATTTGTTCATATCTTCTGTCTTGCGCTTGCAGATCGGCGAGCTATCCACAGATTAAGAATTTCACAACGTCTCTCAAGGCGGAGTTGCTAAGTATAAGCGTATAATCGTTGAGTATCCTACGGAAAGCGGAGATAGGTTTCATTCTCCCGTACGACGAACACAATATCCACTTCGGCAAAAAACCAATCTTGTATAGGCCGTGAATCATCTCAGTAGCAAAGAACAAAGAAAAGCTACGCCGAAAACTTCGACTGCCCTCCAAAAATTCGGCATCCGCAACAAACGAAATAAAAAGAAAAAAAAATAGTAAGGCCAGCCCGTTTGTCCACTAGTTTCCAAATCTGGATGGGTGTGGGGAGCGACTGTAAATCGTAAATTCGTTATCTCAGTGAAGGGCATCGCCCGTGGCGTGAGTCATACAGGATCTGGCGAGGCTCTTTCCTCCTCCGCCCTCATGTTGGAGCGGTGTGATCCTTACTTCGTACTTTCGGCTTTCTTGGAGTGTGTGTGGGTGATCATATCGTATTATCGGCAAGGAATAGCGGTAGAACAGCTTTGGGTATTCCTGACCTTGCCCCGTTTGTGCGCCGAGTTTTGTCTCCTTTCCGTATGGTAGATAGAAAGAGGTTTGCTATCTGCTCTTTCTTAGCGCAATCCTGATCATGGTTTCCGAGAAGCATCGTCCATCCATCACATCTTCTCCCGCTATCGTGCCTTCTGCCGCTCGCGCTAGCACATGACCTTGCAATCGCGACACTCCCAGCCGTCACTCGAGACATAGACGCGCTGGAGACACTTGCTACAACGCCACCATTTGAGATCTATGTAGCGATCCTTGAGCCAGTTGGCTGGGCTGTGGCTACCCTTGCTGCTGCTACGCTTGAGAGGATCTTGCGGAAGTCTAGTAGGTGATCGCAGAAGTGGTCCTTGCGGTAGAAGGCGTGCTCTTCGTATCCCTCTTCGTAGGAGGTTGCCGCTGCTGTCCTTGCTGCTGCCAGGCTTGCTGTTGCCGCCGCTGTGAGTGCTGCATGCGCACTTCCTGTAGTCGCACGTGTATTTATACTTCTGCGAGATTGGCAGATGGCCCCCTTTGTAGTGCCGGTCCAAGTCGGCCAACCAGCTCAAGGGCTTTGCTCGACAGCCCAGCACGAGATAGATGTACTTCTTCTCCAAGCTCTCATACTCCTGGCCGTTGTTGAAGGAAGGCGACCAAGCGGCGGATCTGGACTCGCGCGTTATTAGACGGGACAGCTTCTTAGGAGAGCGATGGGGTCCGGGGGCGCTACATACGCTTGGGAGTCATTAGAGTAGTAGTTGCCGTACTCATAGTCCATACTCTGGTCAACAAAGCCTGAAGAGTAGGAAATTCGAGAGTCGAAGTCGTTGTAACCATCGTAACGGGGTGTCAAGGGGATAGACATGACTGTGCCTCGCGAGTCGTGCGAGTCGTCCCTCATTATCGGAGGCGGGTTATTCCAGTCAAAGTTGTTGAGCTGCGAGTTGCTTATATCCTTCGAAGCGCGTTGTATTAATCAAAGAGATGCCGTGAAACGCCTAGATGGCCGTGGTGAGTGCCTTTGAGTGTTAGCTCGAGCGTGGTTGACGGACTGCGGGGCTTACCAACAAAACACCCTTTATCTGGCTAGTATTTCTCCTAGCGAAAGAAATAATTGCATGGAAAATTATAGTTGATGATATTGTATTGCTGCTGATGGGAATAGACGACGTTACGAAATTTGACTCCCCGCTCTTCCCCTCAGTTTGTTGCCAGCGAAGTCGCACGTGGCACGGGGCGATTGGTTGGAAGTCGTCGAGGCCCCGAGAGGCGGTGCTGCACGTATGCCCCACGTAGTTTTGCAAGCTGTTCGTGGCGGGGACGGACATTATCACATATCACATGTTGGCCGGGCCTTGGCGACCCGTTCGGAGCTTTACGTCTGTTCCCAAGCCACCCGAAGGCACCGCCAACGAATGGTCACAAGGGTACCACTGACAGCACAATGAAGGGTCGAAATGCCAGCTCCGCTAATGATGACATTTTCCCTTAGCAGAAAGCTCCTGCCTCAGCAGATCTAGCTTGCTTAATGGATCATCGCCGATGAAGACTCGAGTGGTGTCGCCAGCATGCTCAGCCTTGGCCGTGTCACGGCGTCAGTCGCGCAGTCTACTTGCCCGACACCAGGCGCACGTCGGCCGCGACCGACCGAGGCTACGGCTGGTGTCGCGACGAAGACGCTTAGCGCCCGCGACGAAAAATACGGCGCCATGGCTGCTATTTATCTTCTCGTGATGCTTTCTGGTCTGCTATCGTTTGGTTTCTGGGCGCCCGAGCCCCAGAATCGGGCTGCGTTGCAGGGAAACGCCTTAGGCCGTGCCGTGAGCGCTTGCGCCCGCCAGACGTACTGCGCTTGTCTAGTGGACTCTGACAAATACATCTGCCGCCCCACCTAAAACGTACTTACCGAATCTACGCCCGCCAGAAACGGCAGTCCAAACATCAACACACGCACCATTTGTGTAATTAGTTTAGTCGTGCGACACTCTCTTGACCATCTCCTCTCGAGGTACTCGTTCTGAGCTACAGTCATCATATTCTCAGTCCTACTAGGCATTGCTTACAACCAGTCCAATACCCGGGACCTCATATTGCCATAGTAATCGGGCCCATCAGCGCAATCGGCTCTGATGCGGGAATAGCCTCAATTCCGCATGTCAATTGCTGAAATACCCCAAAGGTGCGTGTGGCACGTGTGTATCTGTAGATTACATAAGCATCTCTATAAAACGCTGTATTTTTATCCGGTGCGCTTCTGGGGCCCCATTCTCGACTCCTGTAAACCCTCCTTTTCGGCCACTTTGAGTCCCAGAGATAAGGCTTCTGACCGCGATCTTAGTTATCGTAGTGAGCGACTTTTCTCTTTACCGGAGTCGTGGTGTAAGTGAAGGCAGGTACGCCTGATCAAGGTGGTCACAATGAAGGTACTGAAGAGAGTAAGCAATAACTGGTATTGGTAAGAGACTTCAGCCTGGCCCTCGTAGAGGAAGGGGCGAGGACCACTGCTTATATATATGATAGAAGTCGACCAAAAGAAGTGCTACTTACCCCCACATACATCATGTGAGTACTTCTCATGGAGCTTAATTGTTTTTTTTTTTTCAGTTCGTCATCCCGCCTATCTCCCATGCTCCCAGCCGAGCTACCTCACGGTCCACTTAAGACCCCGAATTGATCATGCTGACATTTTCATCATACATAGGTCGATCACGTCTGGCCGCGTTATCTAGGAGTCCGCTCGCCTTTACGGTCACGGTGAGAGCCATGCCAACCTTAAGAACGGAATTGAACAGCTCGACGTCGGTGCTTTTCAGGCCGCCACTAAGGCGGTGAATAATCTGGTCAAAATCATAGATGCAGTGAAAATACACCTTGACAAGCTGAAGCTCGACGAGAATCCGCTTGCCACCGAAGCATATGAAGCTGCTCTTTTGGACGCCAACGACTTTTTTCGGACTGCTACCTACTATGTTAATGTGCCATTGGCAGAGTGCAATAGTTGGGCACAACATCAAGGGAATCTGCACGACAATAGAAAGGCGCTCCGGGATAAGATCATGGGCCTCGTTGGTGGTAATGGTCCTACTCCCAGCAAATTCAAGAAGGTTATTAATGAAGCCTCCGATTACGTATTCAACACCACGAGGACAACACCAAATACGGCGATTCTCAGCAATGTCAAGGGGAAACTTAATGAACTCCATACCATACTAGACTTGCTGACACAAACCCGCAGACGCTCGGAAATGAATATTGCCAAAGGTTTAGAGGACGGGAAAACGATGGCACAGGAGCTCATCAAAGTTTTGGAAAAGGAAAAGCCTAGCCCAGATGACCGTATCAATTTCGAGGCGGCCGAACAAATGTTCAAGAGGAAGGTGGAAGATAATACACTGAGCTGGAAGAAAGTTTTGAACGGCAACAATGCGCACGTCTCGGCGTTCAAAGCCTTTAGCAAATTTTACTAGGCCGCCAAGTTTCCAGAGAAGCTTCAGGCCATCATAGCCAGCCACATATTGAAGAATCTGAAATCGAGCACAGCCGACAAAAATCCACGCCAAAAAGGTCAAAATAGACACCTTGAAGAACGTGTCGCACGAAAACATCTCCCTGCTGGGCATGATGGAGATGGTGTGTCGAATGATGGCGCAGTCTCACAATGATTTGAGTAAGTATCTCTTAATCCAACCCCCGAGTGACCATGGGTGTGGGACTTGGGACTTTAGAAGATGGATATTGGAGCAAGTTCGGAAGCCCCAGGTCCTGTTTCACTGCACATGTCTTGGGCAACACCCCTCTCACAGCTGGGTGTATTCGCTCAAACCGATCATTAATTCATTGCCTGAAATATTCGTCTGGTGCCACAAGCGATTATCGGCTAACGACGAGTGATAGATGGGTTGGTCGTCGAGATGAAGGTTGATGCGACCCTGAAGGGCAATTACAAGCCTCTGTACTAGCTGTCGTCTTCATTTGCGGAGGTACCAAGCCCGGGGATCCATTCGCCATCTCATCGTCAAAAGACGTGCACCCGTGGAGTCAGAGTCTCAACAACATGGTTGAGCGGCTCCGGAACAAGGAACGACTCGACCACGCGCCGCAGAAAACGTTTCCGAACGGGGCCAAATTCTCAGTGTCGGCCAGCGAGGACTTCAGCAAGGACGCCGCACGTCTCGAGGCTCTGAAAAACGAGGCCGAGTTCAAGGAAATGAATCCCGCCCAGCAGAAAAAGGCCATCGAGGGCATGAGGCGAGGCCACATCACGGGATGGCGAAGAGTTCAGACCACAAATGGATACTTCAGCCACCCCACCGAGAAGGGCGTCTCACTGGGCTGCCCGGACCTCAAGGTCGTGGCTCGCTGCCCGCGCTGCATGTACGTGGCCGACTTCGACACGACCGAGGACGGCCACAGGATCGAGAGCGAAAAGCTCTAGGACGAGGGGTGGAGCAGGGCCAAGGCTAACCAGGACGTGGCCTGCGCCGAGTCGCTGATCCACGCCATCTGCGTATACGGGGCGCACGCCGCCCCCGCTGATGTTGAAGGTTTGCAGTGAAACGCGGAAATGAAAGAGTTGGAGTTGTCGGGTTCGTCTGTAGAATCGCTAAAATGTCGACTTATTTTCAATGGAAAAGATGTGTGCTGTACTGTGGTGCGACCGAACCATTCGTTGGTTTTTATTCTCGCGGGTTGGCTACGTAGGTAGGCAGGTAGGCAGGTGTGTCACGTGTGGCAGCTTTTTGTCAATTGAACGGCTGGATATTGTACGTACCTTAATTAGTTACCTCATCATTCCCTCAGCGGGTCAGCTCACACTTCGCGGTGCCTCACTCATGAAATTAGTAAACCTGCCCATGTGAGCTCAGCTGGGTCCGAAGTTCTAAACTAAATAGCTGATCATGTCGCAGGAGAATAATGTCCCCGGATCACAGCATCTTCTCAGTTTCTCATCAAACAGCCCGAACTTGCCAGGCTGCTTAGGCATCATCTTTTCAATTTCACACTATTACTATGCTGAGGCTAGCAAGCGGCCAAGTCTGACATAAAAGGGGCCACGGTCGAAAGAATTAATTTTTAGAGAAACAGGTGTGGGAAGTTCGACCGGAGTTGGGCTTGTGCAGCGCATGGTCACATCTATTCATTGAGTAATTGGGTATCTGGGAGTAATGCTCCTTACTAACCGAACATATAGGTAATTACATGCCAGGTGTGATGAAAAAGAGGAAACTTAAGTTTGAACCCAAGTCTATCCACGGCTAAGGGGCTCTATCTCTATGACCTGTAGGTAGCAATAATACTAGCTGGTACAAGTAAGAAGGCTAGAAGCTTTGACTTCAACGTTAGGCGTTCATTATATACCCAGGTAATAAACTCGGCAGTCAGTCACCACAGCTTGCAAGAGTAGGTTGTCTGGGGCCGCATACACCTCCTGTCACGGCGACAACAAACGGCAGCTACTCTTTCGAGACTGACATGGCTTGTCTCGACAAGCAGAAGGCATGACTATTGCCCCGACGTGCATGCGAAGTTGAGGACGAAGCTGTTCCTCTTCCTTTGGAAACGAAATGGGATACTCTGTGGAAAAAACGGTTGGGGAGTTCGTGGAAAAGAAGCAAAGGAAACTCGCAGACCTCGCCAGGTGGACACTTATTATCAGCTCGTTTCTGTAAGTAGAGGCGCCATTTTGAAGGTATAACACGCCAGTCAAATTTGAAGTTGCGCTGGGTTTGGTACGTGGTCCCCCAAGTGGGGGCGCCCATGGCCAGAAGATCAAACCGACAGCGAGAAGCTACACCTGCAGCACTCAAGATGGAGACCAGCAAACAACCCACATTGCCATGCACGCACCTGGGTCGTTACTTAGAGTTAGGCGGAGAACTCAACGTCGACGTTGAATACGCCGATTCGTCGTTTCCTCAATTAGTAGGCAAGCTACTACTACTAGTAGTACTGGTAAGAATCTTTTTCTTCATGCCACGATACCTTGACTTCCAGCCCTATACCTTGAATTCCAGCCCAATCCCTGCCGGCGTCTCTAATTACTCTATTCCTCCAGAATAGCGGCCATGAGGTTGAGATTGACTTCAAACATGACGCTCATGATGCACGTGCTGACGGTGCCGACGAGCGGGCCAAAGATGGCGGCCTCGACACGTTGGCCGTGCTTCTCCGGGTCGCCCCCTGGGCTGGGACTGTGGCGATCCTCTGGGGCACCAAGGGGGCCGTATCCAACGGAGGGGCGACTTTAGTGGTCTAGGCGCCGCGTTGTCTGAAAAGGCGGCTAGTGAGATGTAATAGAGTCGCAGGGTTCGAACGGCCCCGATGTGCTAGATGCCTAAGGTAGGTAGACAACTTAAGGAAACAAGAAGAGGAAACAAGAAGATGGAAGATAGAAAGGGTCATAATTATGGACAACCGCTCAATGACATTCGAGGATGTCCGATTTAGAAATCAGGCGTAACGCGTGTTCCGGCAAGCTAGCGCGCCCCCAAATGCTTAAATTTCTCGTCTGTTTCGCATTGGCCGGCGCCGGTAGCATCGAATGGCAGTCGATCGGCACGCGCTGTCGTGATCTTGGGTTGCGCACTTGCTCGCCAAGGCAATTGCCAACGCAGCTTATCATGTCCACGGCCCACCCTATTAGTAGTGCAACCGTGCCCCAATAATACGTTGTCTAGCCAAAATAAGAGCTCGCTTGCGAGGTCAGACTTGTGTCACTCGCCTTGGCGTCATCTTTCCAGTTTCACACTGCAACTGTGCCTTAGCTGCGAAGCTGCCGAGTCTGGCTTTGTGGGGTCGGCCAGGCCCAAAGTGCTGCAACACAAGCACGCACTCGCCCGCTGTACCACTGGTATTCCTTAGCATGGAGTTCTTAGGTTAAGCGAGGCTGATGATCAGTGCTGCGTAATACTAGCCACGCTAGGCTCCTATTAGAGAATATCTCCGGTGGCTTGAGAGGCGTGGATGTCAGCATATCACTTCTTCCATTCCAAATTGAGCAAAAGATGATGAGTGCCTCATGCCCACATCCACAATCCACCCGAGAAAGCTCGAAACTAATAAGCACCGAACGCCGCAAATATTTTGGCGCCAACAAGAGCATATGACGGCGAATCAAAGTCAAGTAAATATGTGGACTTTCGCGCCCCGACAAACTCCATCTCACGCACCCACCCACTAAAAACTAGAAGATGTTCTCAGCATCAGAGGGTCGGGATTGCCAAAGCAAAGACAGCGTCGTCTCCCACGGCCAACAGTCCAAAGAGTGGTCTCGTAACTCAAAGCCATGACAATTAAAAACCTGGACCGCTGGCGGGGCTACAGCCGGTAAGGCACGAGTATTGCAATTACCGTAATTACATTACAATACATGGTGCCTTTCTGATCACTAATTAATTAGCCCGCGTTGGATATGACTCACACAGCTGATTAGTCGGCGAACCGATGCTTGCGGCGCTTGCGATAGCTAGAGCTGCCTGCGTTACATCGTGCTCAGTTCTGGACGCCTGAAATCTCGTGGCCCCGGCCAAGTTCCAGGCAGGGCTCACTGCTGCTGCTCAGAAAGGCCCGACTCGTGCAAGCCTGTGCCCCCCCCCCAAAAAAAAAACATCTGTCGTCGGCCGGAACCCGGCCCAAATTCGAGAGCCAACTAATAGTTAATAATGTGTGCATTTGTGGCGTTTCTGTCATTTCATTCGGCAGCACGCACACGCTGTGCCGTGCCGAAGGTCGACGCCCCTGGACATTTCATGGTTGTTGGTTGCGTGGGGCGGAACGTGCTCGGAATCTGATGATACGCTGGCTGTGATTAAATGCCCAATTGGCGAGCCGGATCCTGTGAACCAAATCGTACTTAGTGCTGACACCGAATATTGACGGATCATCCATCGCATTGTGGTGCAGGCCAGACACGTTTTCTGGTGGATCGCTTACTGTTTTTGTTTTATTTCCTTCTCCGAAGCACTACGTCGCCCTGATTGAGATCCCAAAATTGCACGGCTTGGCCGCCGCGTTTTAGTGTTTTTTGCTCTTTAGTTGCTCGGAATAGCCATGTTGAGTTTCAGCACAGGAGACCAATGGAGTGGCCAGCACTGCAGTCACCAGCTGGGTTCAAAATCGACTTACAAACAAGCACCAGACTCACTAGGATATGTTATTTAGTGACGCCCTCTCATCCTAATCATCACAGGGGGTTACAGGCAGTGGCCACATTCTGGGACGACCAGTGCCAAGCGAGGGCTGAGTATGAGAGAAAATATGGCACTGCCGTTCATTTCTATCACTACCTATCCGAGTAAGGTACCAAAGGTAGGTACGTCGCCGATGCAATCAAGCACCCGATTTCCTCTTCAAGCCAAACGCCTGTCAGACCAGCAACATGCATCAAACCATCTGTCCACACACACGACCCAAACCCCGAGAATGTTATTTTGTGTCTTGTATTTTCGCGACCCCTCTGGTGTTCCCGACCACTTTCAATCGCCTTTCAATCGCATGGCCCGCCATGTCTTGAATATTGGGAGGCGCCTTAGCCTGGCACTTCGGCCTTGCCTCGTCGGGGGGGAAGTAGGGGCCTACCTTTTCTTTCCTTTTCCCCGCTGACGGGCGAGGTGGGACAAGGCCATCAGGGGGGGGGGGCAAACAACCTCGCGAATTGCCCACAGAACTCTCGGGTTATGTCCAAGGTTTATTTCCCTAGGACCGGAGCTTTCTTCTTTGCTTCAGCTTTCTTGTCCGCTTCAGCGTTCTTGTCCGCTTCTTGGGCAGCGCTAATTATTTCCAACGTCTTTGCGGAGTTGTGTGTGACAAATTTGACGTGGCCGGTGAGTGCCAGGTTGAGGTGGCCGACGAGTTCGTTCCAGGTCATTTCATTGCAGCCGGTTTTTATCCACTCCAGGAACTCCTTCCTATCTCTAAGCACGGCAAAGGTCATGTTCGGGCAGACGTTGTCGAGCAAGCTGCATGCTTCCACATCATCTGTGGGCATCTTTGCCAGAAGGCATCTGCCGCGCTCGTCATATCCGACGTAGTAGTGAATGGGAACCTTGTCGAAGGTCACTTGGCTGTGGATAATGAAGAGTTTGTTGGGTGGAGGAGGGAGCTCCTTCCCACCCAAGGAAGCAACTGATGAAGCGGTTAAAGTGGGCGACCGCATGGTGGACGACTTGTCGCCGGATCTGGTGCTGCCGCTGTGGGTTGAAGAGCTGTCCGAGTGAGGTGGTGACTCTGACAGCGGTCTAGGTAGGGAGTCTTTGCGCTGTTGATCACGCGGTTCACGCCCTGCGTGAGGGGCGGGGAGGCTCGACGTTGTTGATGCGGGAGAAGATTTGCCGCTCCCTGAAGCCGGAGTATGTTTGACAAAGAACCAGAAGACATGGTGGTCATCCGGTGTCTCGCCCTTGCCGAATTTAGGATCGTCGATATATTGGTAAGGGATCGTGCGATGAGGCACAAGATCGAATTCATGATTGTCCTTTCTGGTAAGAACCGCGGTACTGAATTCCTCATCGAGAACGCCATAGTTTGTAAGCCAGCCGTCCTCAAATGTCTTCTTCAGCACCTGAGAGAGGTGTTTCGTTCCTGCCCCCAAGCAACGAACGGATTATTAGTCAAGATTGCTCATTCGGTTATGAGAAGAATGAATCTTCTTACCGGAATTCGAACTCAGCATGGTCGGTTTTTATATTGGCGATGATAAATGGTGTGCTATGAGAAAAAGGCGGCCGAATTCAAGCAAGGGGCGTAGTTAGTTGCCAGGTGCCAGACTTGGAAAGTCGTCGCGGGGAGAGGCAAAGTAAATGTGAAATAGAGAGGGGTAAAGTGTACTTGGAGAGTTGATGGATTCACAGGTCTTACAAGGCTGGGAGGACGGGGAATATATATCCGATTGAAGGGTTCCTGGGTAAGATCCAAAGATTAAAGTTCATGTCTTTGTCTTCCAAGACAACGCGGCCCAAAAGAGCCAGGCGTGGAACGTGGGCAGCATTGTATTGGAGTTCCGTCGGGAGGATTACCATACCCTCCGCGCCTTGTAATGGTTGGCGATAACAACACACCCCGGCGGAGCGCAGAATACCTACACCTCCACCGGGGAAATACATGTCAGCTTGGTACGTCGGTTACTATTAGTATCTTCCAGGGAAATCTCGGTAATCACTAACTTTGCCACCTTTCCACGCTAACATGTATTACGCCGGAGGGGGTGTACAATCAAGTCGGAATGTAACGCCATGTAACGCCACGTAACGCCATGTCATGTCATGCCGGCTCCACTAACTAAGCCGAAACAAAACCACGCCCGCCGCACCGCTTGGGAATTTGTGCGGGCCGACGCGTCTCCAATTTTATTAGGCAGTCGGGATTTGGTTAATAACCGGGTTGGTTTCTCGTCGAGCTTACCGGGTCTTCAAGGGGGCCATTTTCTCGTGGTAATATCTCAGTGCCGCCGGCCCCGCCATGCCTTCGTTCGTTCCTGTTGGCGCTTTGTAGGCGGGTCACTCACCCGAGTAATCATTGCTGTGGGTACATGGCCCGTTCTTTTTCTCTTCGCGTGCCGGTTTCTGTCTATCTGACTAGATGCTCAGATCTCTGAGACAGACGAAACGTGATGCCATTACCAACGGTGCTGACATCTGTTTGGGCATGCCTATTTCTCCGACGACAGGGTTGCTTCTAATAATCAAATATCAAAGGGGCACATGCCGGCCACCCATCCCCACCTTCCCTCACCAGCCAGAGCAGATGTCATGACGCCGAAACAGCCAGGCACGCAACTGACGAGCTGACGTGTGCGGACCGGCGAGACGCTAGCAACATCGATGCACCACATCGGACAGTGGAGGGAGCTTGTTCCCGTGGCTTTAGTTAAAGTATTAATTCTACCAGGCCGTCCACTGACGCTTTTGAATACTTCTCCAAGTCGCATCTCGAACCGCCACCGACAACTAGCACACGCCATCCTTCCACATCACGGTCTTGATAACCTCGCTTTTCCTGCCCTTCACCATTTGATAGTGTAATACCTGCAATCATACATCGAAGTCCTCATTACCTCGCTCATTCTCAACTGTGTGCCATTCACCACCCACCCTCGCCACCCCGACTCAGGCTTGAGTTGCTGTGTGTGAACCACAGCCCGTCCGAAAAGCAAATCGTTATCTGCTTCCACACGTAGTAGCACGCAATGTAAGTACTAACAAGCCTTCAACTCCGACTTGGTGAACACAAATCACGTGCTCAAAAGCTGCACCAGTAACCACCCAGTAACCATGGCTAATCTCCACATTACTCCAGGTCTCAGCCAATTGGGCGTGTTGTTCAGGAGCCCGTCCGTCTCTATGGCAACGGCGTCGCCGTGACCGTCATCGAGCCCGCTCTGAGGCAGCTGGCTGTCACATCGGCTAACTTTTCACCTGCCGAAAAGACAGTAAAGAACCTGGATAAATTATTAACTGCGGTGCAGGCACACCTTCACAAGCTACAGTCAGAGACAGCTGCGAGTGATGAATATCAAGCAGCGTTGTTGGACGCCAATGACCTTGTCCGCACGGCTATCTATTTTGCCAACGTCCCATTGAGATTCATGAACACAGAGGCAAAGAGGAAGATGGCTGTGAACACGGAGAGAAAGAACCTGAACAGCATGATTTCAGATGTCCTGCAGGGTAGAAAATATGGCGACAAGACAATCAGGAGCAGGATTGACGACGCATCCAATCTCGCTTTTTATTCACCTACATCCGATCCAAAAATCATACATGAACAAAATGCAAGTCTCGAAATCGTGTTGTCCCAGGTCTCAGGCCTACAAACAGTCCTTAGGAAGTGCGGGAGAAACACGGAAAGTGATATCGCCGACGCCCTAGAAGCGGCAATGGCAGCAGCACGGCAACTCAAGGCCACATACCAGAAACCATTAAAGGTCGACCCAGAGCACAAGAGCGACTTTGATTTGGTTAACGCTCAGTTCCAGACGGAAGTAAATGATAAGATAACTAACAAAAGCTGGTCAAACTTGTTGGCAGCAGGCGCTTCAGCAAATTCGGCCTACGCCGCCTATATCAAAACCATGCAGACTGCTGCTTTCGACACGAAACTCAAAGCAATCTTCGTTGACCACCTAAAACCCCACCTGACAGAAGAGACTGCCAAGGCATTTCGTGTCAAAAAGGTTAACGAGGAAACCTTGAAGAGCGTTTCGCATGAATCAATTTCACTCCTGGGTTTTGTTGAAATGGTCGCGCGAATTATGGCCCAATCATACTCCAGTTTAGGTAAGCTACCTACAGATAGAGGACCACCTCTTCCATATGGCAACATGTCTGACCCATGATTACCTTCCATAACACCCGTCAGCTAACGATACGCGATAATTAATAGATCCACTGGCTACGGCGATTAAGACGGAACTCGCAAGCAAACTAACCTTTTGCTATCCGTCAGTTCTGTTCATCTGCAGTGGCAACAGGCCTACAGATCGGTTTGCCATCGCGTCATCAAAGGATTTGCATACGTGGTCGCGATCGCTCGACGAAATGGTTACCGAGTTCCGCACGAAAGAGCGGCAAAAGCACGCGCCCCTCAACAAGAGCAGGAACGCAGCCACCATCTCCGAGACGGCCCACGCCAAGTTCATTGAAGTCAATGAAGCAGTCGCCGACAAGATAAAGGACGCCGGTGCGATGAACGACGAGAAAAAGGGGGACGTCAGGGAGAAGATGAGAAGGGACAAGATCAAAGAATTCCAGGACGCACAATCGTATTTCAACCACCACGACGAGATCGGACTAGCCCTCGCCGGCCCGGGCCTCACGCAAGTGGCTCGCTGCCCGCGCTGCATGTTCATCTCCAACTACAGGTCAACCGCAGAAGGCGCAAGGCTCGAGAAGGTCAACATGCAGAAAGAGTCGTGGGGAAAGTGGAACAGCAATTGGTCTTGCTCGGAGACTATTGTACCTTCCTACTGTGTGTTCGGGGGTCATTGCGCCCTTGCCACCTAATTCAGGTAAGGTAACCAGGCAGGCGTGGGCCGGGTTTGCAAGCAAGCGTGGGCCGGGCTTGCAGGCAGGCTCCAACAGGACGAACTAACACAAAGAGGGGCGGACAGAAGAGATTTCAGTTTGAGCGGGCGCGTGAGAGCGGCTGGCACCGTCTTCTCACCATCTCAAGCGAGAAAAAAAGGAGGGAGGCAGCGCGGGAGGAAAAAAAAACAGGATGTGGATAGACGAGAGGGTTGAGCCCCACGGTCTGTTCGTAGCGGAGGGGGTTTCCAGCTCCAGGACGCTTGCACCCGCTCACCACGCACTGTAGCTATCTGTGGCACTGGTTGGCACACATAGCGAGGCTAGGGGTTCTTACTTTACCGCTGGACGTTCGTGGAACGATATTTGCACCTATTATCGCTGGTTAGATTGCCGTACAACACATCAAGGGCGTCCGTTGCCTTTGTCTCTCTCGTACCGACGTCTAATGAGTTACCACACGACAGGGGACTTACAATGTAACTACTGAATAAGTAGATATTGAAGAGATAAAGTAAGCGCCATACGGCTATGCAAGAAGATCTACTCGCACTATTAAAACCTCCCCTTTTATTTGGGTACCCTGAGTTCTTTTGTACTCTATTTATACTAGTTCTCCTTTACCGCCTTTGTCTTCATTCTAATCGTCTAGGGCGGCTTGGTCAACTGGAGGCTAGTATCTATTCTATTTGTCAGCCGGAAATTGGCCTGCCTTTGTCGCCGACTTCACTTGGTAAAGAATACCTTACTCTCCGAGGGCACAGTGGAAACGGCCCGCTTCCAACCCGCGGAGTTTTCTAAATGCCTTCAGGTTGTTTAACTAGCCTAACTGCCGTGACCGCCTTGATTCCCCAGCTTAAATGTCTAAGACCCTGGTAACTGGCTTGCAATTTACAGGTTGACTAACTGCCCGGCCTTGCTGACTCCCTGGCTACTGTTCACATGTCTGTTGGATGGTAATTAATGTGGCGATACTGTCGATTCCTAGCACAATAATAGGTAAGGTGAAAAACTCAAACTGCGGCGCTTCGCCGGGTTCGGGCAGCTGGAGACCTGTGTCCCAAACACGACAACTGCCGGCGAGTGTGTGCCAAATTCACGTGGTCGACGAGCTGAGCAACGAAGTTTGGACTAACAGCCCTGAGGCACCTGCGACGGGCTGCTCACAAACAAGCCCGGGCGTATTATTACTTTTCTGCCCAATAGCCGAATCATCCAATCGTATCGTCGGTTCGCCGCCTTCACAGCTTCATCAGCAGTCCAACTTGCTTCATCACTAAGCTGCCTAAGCTCTTCAGGTTACCAGACCAGACTCATCTCACACACCTTTGTTAGTGTCATCATTTAGTTTTCTATTACGATGGTGCCTAGGCGACCACCAAGTCTGACCTTCTCCATCAGCTAGCCCCGAAGTCAAGAAAATAAAGTACTTCTTAGCCCGTTGTTGGTTGAAGCGGGCTGCCAGCGCTGCGTGATACTGACAAAGCTCATGATTGAAAATACCCTCGGTGACGTAAATGACGTGGAGCAAGAAGACACGTGATTGGGTGAGTATGAAGGCTCAAGCCAAAAAAAAAAAAAAAAAAGGTCACGCTCCATTATGAACGCCACGCCAAAGAGAGCTAGATTAGGCTCCCCAGCTGCTAGGCTGGTCAGCGAGCGCGTGCAGTCCACGAGGCGGCCCGAGTCTTGCAACGGTGCAGAACACACGTCCCTGCCCTGCTTTATTCAGATTCGTCTGAACTCACTCGCGATGGGTAAGCTGTAAAAGACCGAAAGCCTTGAATATTTACAATTACGATACCGCGAAATGCAGTACGGCCCAACTGGCGCTCTGAGTAACAGGTAACACCACAGCTGAAACCTAGGCTGCTGCAACATGGCCCTCAACTACGTGCTAGGCAAGACCGTCGTTTTATATCTGCTGGGCCACCTGGGGAATGGCCATTTGTAACGACCTCTCGCGTAACTGATGTTGGAGAACGAAGATTACTTGCCTTTGAGGCAGTCCACCATCCTATGCGTTAATTTTAATTCTGTCCTGTATAGTATTTCGTCTCCCTTTACGGCGACTACCTTCTGTGTCGACGTGTCGAAGCTGCTTAAGGCCTGACGATATGCGGACTGTCAGCCGTCCTGCTTCAAGGCCTGACGATATACGGACTGCCAGCCGCCGAGTTGAGCGGCTCTGGCGGCAAGGGCCAACGCCAGTTGCCTTGGAAGCCGGGCCGAGAGTCTGGCGTCGTTGTTAATCTTGGGATCTAGAGTCTGGCGTCGTTAATCTTGAGCAGCATCTTTGTTGGATCATGCTTGGCGCTGGGCACCACACCACCTGCACCAGTGGCCACCTCTCAGGCACGGTTTTGCCCGAGGCTTGAAGCAGGAGCAAGATGGAGTGGGCCGTCGTGCGAGGGACGTGGACGGGAGACTAGATTGCAAATCTTGTAGTGGGAGACACAGCAGCAAGGACAAATCTTGTCCTTATAGTAGACACAGCAGCATAGACAAATCTTGTTATAGTACAAGACACCAGTGTTCCTAGGCCACGGTACTGACGATGCCTACGTCGACATTGAACTTGGGCAGCAGGCCAAGCAAGTACTCGTCCAAGCTGAATTCAGTTTGGAGTGGAGAGATTATTCAGGAGCCGAGCAAGAGGGTCACTTTCTCAACATACCTGACGAGATGGACGACAGTGCCCAGTTTCTGGCGCGGGCCACATCGAAGGTTGGACCCCACCGGGACGTCACGAATATGTAATCAGGTGTGTTGTAGGAAGTAGCGCCAGCTCCAAGTAAGGACTTGCAGTTCCTCAGTCTACAGGGAAGGAGCGGCATTATTGGTTGTTCATCGACGCCTACCTGCAATGATCCCGCTCCTTCCAATGATCCCGCTCCTTACCTGTAGACTGAGGAACGGGGAAGGAGGTTCTCAGGCTGTGCCTTCTCGGGCTGTGCCTTCCCAATACCCATTTAGGGCAACATCGCACACAAGTCCACAACTAAATTTTTACCGACGAGGGTTCCATCGGTTTGGCCAAGCAGTGCCATCTCTGACATGTCCACGACAAGACCGAACTACCATTGAAAGCACCAGTGCCGCCAATAGATATTCACCAGTGCCCGCCAACAGATATTCCACATCTTCTCCGTCTTTTAATTTGTCAGTGAATGACTAGCTTCTAGAGACTAGCTTCTAGAGTCTGAAGCTTGCACAGCTATCCATCCATGTCGTCGCAGTCTTTGATGGAAACTCGTCCAGCGTCAACAACCCCCCCGGAAGATTCACTGAGTAACAGCTGGGCCATCCCTGTCGTCGCAGTCTCCGATGGAAACTCCTCTAGCGTCAAACCCCGAGGGGTTACATCATTCACTGAGCAATAGCTGGGCCAGCTATCTGAGTGCCCAGTACACCAGCCGAGAAGGGACGCTTGTGAAAAGGGCCGTTGATGAACATACCAAACAATTCAACGCCTCGATCACCTCATTGCAAAACGACCTTACACGCAACCAGCAAGACGTCGTGAGGATACAGGAGAGTACACTACAGAGTACCGAAGCCATTCGAGGGCAAGATCAGTCCATTATCAGCAAACTAAGCCTTGTGGAGGCTGAAATAGTACAACTGAGGGCAGAGAAGCTGCTGATGGAGCAAAGGATATCCTTCTTGGACCGCAAATTAGATGGCATGGATGCGTCTCGCTACGAGGTCCTGCCTGAGGCCGTCGGCTTTATCAACAAGATATTCCTTCGGAGCGAGACACTAATGAAATTACTGGACGACCATGAAGCTGATGCAGCTGATATAGGTGCGACCCAACCTGGTAAGTACACACTCTGCGTCGAAGCCAAGATACGAATTCTAATCACTTGAACCAGACACTAGAAAAGTTTCGTTGCAGAAAGAGCGCCAGATCGTTGTCAAGGACGAAGGCCAGATTGTTGTCAAGGACAATGGCCAAGTAGAGTATAGCGACACGGATCGCTTGGCTAAAGGCCGCAAGCGCAAGATTGAAGATTCACCTCTTGATCGCCCAAAACGGACCCTGCGTCCCTATAGCAATGGCGACTTCAAAAGCCTCTTCCGCCTCTGCCGGTCTTTTAACCAAGAATACAGGAACAGCAAGCCAATTTCGGAGGTGGATTTTATCTGGAAATTCATTGATAGCATCGATAACCCCGGTCTGTCGAGACATGTTCAGGAGTTGCTGGCCGCTAGCCTCCCCGAGTATATATACACGAGAAAGGAGACACGGAGAAGTAACCAGCACCACATCAACATATCTGGCAAACTCTCATGGGATGAATTTAAAAACGCTCTTGTCAAGACAGCAATCATGTGAAGGGCAGATAGTTGTTTTACGAGACAAGAGAGAGCTTGGCTTCATGTTGGTGCACTGGCAGTCACGTTCGGGGGGTTCATTGCTGCTGCCTTGCTAGTTTGTGCCAAAACAGGTGCCGGACTAGGTTTGGGGATTGGTTTTATGCTGTTAATTTCTACCCCAAACCAAAGAGATTGAGGCGGGTGTCTCTTTGACCCGGCTCCAGCATGTGGAGGCCTTTGTGAACTATACCGTGGTACGCCTGTACCGAAGATCACGATGACTTGATGATTGACTTTCCTAGTCGTATCAGGTTCTTACCCACTGTTAATTTCCCTTGCTCCGAAAAAAACTCTGTCTAGAGGAGATCAGCTGACAATGGGGTAATAATTAGAGGGATTAGTTGCGGGAATTAGAGCCAGTAGCAGTTACTAACCCTCGCAGTCGCTCCCAGGGCAAGGATTTCCACCAACCCCGGAGAGTTACCCGGCCTGTCTGTTCATCTGCAAAGGTGTCTAGGGCAACGGCAGATTCGTCATCGCAACCTCGCAGGACAGCTGGATTTGGCTCGAACCTCTCAACGACACGTTCAGCAACTTCCGCACGAAGACACGCCGAAATGATCAGCCACTCATTGATAACAATGTCCTTCATCTCTCAGACTTGGCCTTCGAAGCATACACGAACGTGCAAGCGGAAATTGGCATTAACCCTTCACCTATTATAGTACGAAACCCACAAGCTAGGAGGGACAAGAGACTGGCGAGCATCTTGGCCTGGCGAGAGAATCTCAAGAAGACGCACACTCACTTTCAACACACAAACGAGATTGCCGTTGCGCTTATCTGCCCATCGTACAAAGCCATCATTCGCTGCGGACGCTGCATGTACGTGGCGAATACGCGATGATACGGGAGCGAAGGGAAGCCGAGGTAGCGAGTTTGGAGGGTCCCAAGTGGACGAAGTTCAATTGGGGGTTTAGTTGTGCGGAGATGTTCGCACATTCTTACGGAGACGTTCGCACATTCTTACTGCAAGATTAAGCACCAGAGCTCCCTCAATTGTTTCTGTCTCAACCCGAAAATAGGAGGGCAAGCAGGCCACTTGTGTTCTTCTCTTTGCTGTCTTTGACTTGGTATTCCGGAGATTCAAAATATGGACGATGTCAAAGTAGTGCACTGGTTTTGTTTGATGCGGAATGCGGACTGGCCGGCCTGGTTCGCTTGGAGGCTCGAGACCGAGTGGAGATGCAGACGAGGGACGATGGCTGGGACGGCTGGAACCGTCTCGCCGTTTGAAGGCAGAAAGAGGCACTGGTTCGAGGAGATTGATCGGTCTAATGGGGATAGCAGGTCGGAACAGGAAAGGGTTGAGCCCAAGATCTTGACTGTTTGTCCGGGTAATTAGCTCACGAATATGATTGCCACGACGCTCAGAATGGGACGATTAGTGGGGCTGGCATCTGACGCTGGGCGTCAATTGCATTGTTGTTGCAACCTTAGGTACCTTGGCATATTGTCATTACCTTGGGTGCACATGTCGCGCTTAGGATCATTTTCTGGAGGCTAAATACTCGAAAAATTGATCCATGCGGACCTGCGAGTTGCCAAAGTTTGAGACTCGGTCGGTTACTTGATTGGGTTGATATGCAAATCTTCAGATATCGAGTTAATGGGAAAAGAAGAGTCGCGGCAGAGAGTGTGGAACCTATTAAGAGTAATTGCCCATAGCTGGGACGTGGTAATAAATTAGGTTGTTAGCCTGTTAAAAACGGCTGAGCTGACGTTTTCTTCGTAGCCGCTGACGGCCAACTGTGGCCGATTGTGGCTAATTGTGGCCGACTGTGGCTTGTGAAGGACTTTTGTGGGGGAGGGAGATTGCTCAGTGGACCGCGCTGGAATGCTCCCAGCACAACTCGATCCGGGGCTGCAGCGACTTTTAGAGCAAATCGCAGTCAACATTGCAAATGCCCGGCCCGTACCGAAAGCATTTCCTCCCTCTCGAGTCAAATCCTGAAGTCTTCAACGAGCTGCTGCATCGCCTCGGCGCGTCGCCCAAGCTCACGTTCCAAGACGTCTTCACACTAGACGAGCCCGAATTCCTCCCTCGGCCTGCACTAGCTGTGATCCTCGTCCTCCCCACCACCAAGACCTACGAAGCGAGAAAGACTGCACTCGAGTCCAGCCGTCCCGACTACAATGGCAGCGGCGATGGCGAGCTCGTCGTGTGGTTCAGGCAGACCATCAATAACGCCTGCGGACTGTACGCATTGCTTCACGCGCTGAGCAATGGCTCGGCTTCAAAGTTCATTGGTGGGCAAACACCACATTGCGCATGCTAAATACCTCGCTATATTGTAACGAAGGCTAACGATGGACATGGTGCGAAAGAATCCGGTTCCATCCTCGCACGTCTTCTCCAAACCTGCATCCCTTGCGGCCCTGACCAAAGATCCCAGGCCCTCGAGAATTCGCTCGAACTTGAAGAGGCGCACGCAGCCCTGGCGGCGAAAGGAGACTCTCTTGTGCCGGATAACGCCGAGGACGACGTCGACTTCCATTACATATGCTTCGTGCGGTCCAACGTTGACGGCCACTTATACGAGCTTGACGGAGATTGCAAAGGCCCAATTGACACCGGCATCGCGCTCAGCGCCGAGGAGGATGTCCTGAGCCAGCAAGCTCTGGGGCTGATCAGGGGATACGTTGAACAAGAGGAAGAAAGCATTGGCTTCAACATCATGGCTCTTGTCCGCACTGCCGGGGTCAGTTGACTCGGCGGCAGCCCTCGCCAACCAGTCACTGGCGACGCGCGCTCACCAGTGCTGTTCAGCAAATCGCAACCCTTCCTGGACCCACGCCTCCGTCATGCCGTGACTTATGTCAAAACCGTGACCGCCAGGCTGGAGGCTATATAGGAAAGGGGTATTCGGGTGCGCTGCCCGTATTTCCTGGACCAGCTCACTGGCGGCCTCTTGCGATGTCTGCCATCACGCGTCAGGTCAGTTCCTGTTAGGTTCGGTGTCTCTGTTCCCGGCCGTTCCTTGTGCAACTCACAATGCGGTCGTTGACGCCCTGGGCGATCCAAATTGGCGGGACATCCTTGGCCTCGTGCAAGGCCTCCCTTATGCGCATGTACCTGTCGCCTCGAAGCAGGTCGCGGTACCGTCCAGTGTTAAATGCCGCTTGGAAGAGCCCTCTATACTCCGGGAACGGGGATGACACCCGAAAGGTTCCCGGCTTGATGTTGCTGAGGTATTCGCTGATCCACGCGCTCGCTGCCTCGGGGACATGGAGCGGCTTCGGGTTGAAGGCGAAACTGTCCAGGTCAAAGGCGCAGTGCTGAGCCATCACCAGTTTGATCCGTGTATGGGGCCATAGAAATGCCGACTGCAGAGCCAGCATCCCCCCCGCACTCTCCCCTCCGGCAGCAACGCGTCCTAGATCGACCGAGATGCCATATGTCTGGGCCACTATGGAGTTCAGAGTCGTGAATACAAAGCCCCAGAAGTCCTTGATGTCGTCGAGGATCTCGGACCCCAATGCCTCAGGAAGTAGGCGAAAGCATGGCGACGCCACGATAACCCCCCGAGATTCGGCAAACTGAAGAAGCCTTGTCCTCGTCAGTTCCGAGGACCAATTGCGGGTTCACTATCGCAGTCACGTACCATAGAGGAATCATCTGGCGGTCAAGGGCAGTTCCCGTGATAAGTCCACCGCCGTGAAAGTGCGCCAGCAAGGGTCGGGCGGTCTGTGAGGCGAGAACCGACTTCGGTGCAATGACTACCGCTTCAAATGGGACGCCGTCCAATGTCTTGTAGACAACATCTAGCCGCCTAAACTTGTCGAGCTCGACGTGAGACATGTTTTTTGCCCGTCCCTTTTGTGACGAATCATACTTGCCCTTGTATGGCAAGTGGACGCCTGCTCTGCAATGTTTCGTACACTGGACTGCGAACAAGACTTGGCGGATGTGCCAAAGATGGCGTGTTATCGTGGAAGCATCCGGCGGTGCGATCAAACAAGCCGAGAGCACGGTGCGGTTGCTGAGTCGGGGGCGTCTTAATGTTTTGGCTTTACTGGAATCGTACCGACAGGACCAGCTTGCTCGTGCTCGTGCGCGAGCCAATCACGGCCTTGGGACGACGGCAGCAACAAGGGGTGCTCGTTGGGCGGGGAGGTTCGGACAAGGTTCTGATTTGACTATTCCGTTTACAGAATGCAATCTACATTAGGAACGACGGGGGGGTTTTGCTGACACCTCTTCCGAGTCTCCGCGCTTTCAACCCTCGTCCGACGCTGTTCTGACCGTGAAGTCGAGCAAATAATCGGATGGGCAGACCCGCATCAAGATAAGACGACGCATCAAGATAAGACGACCGAACCAATACTATGGAGCCTAGCGCTGCTCACAAATTTATTCCGGAAACGGGTGTCGCTCCGCAACGTCGCCGGAAAGCCCGACTCGCGTGTGACCCGTGTCGCAACAGGAAAACAGGGTGCGACGGAAGAAGGCCCATCTGCACACCTTGCGGAGTAAGAGGCTGGGCGGACAAGTGCACCTGGCAAGACAGTGTTCTTCAGCCATCCGCCGGAGTGTGAGACAGGCACTTCCCAACGCATTACGGATATTCCGCACAATTTGCATAGCGACTAACCCCAGCCAGGAGCCTCGTAGACCTCGAAAGGCGACTGAAGAGGCTCGAGCACGAGTCCCGGGCCGACCTAGGCATACAGCGAAATACAGCGTCAAATACAGCGTCCAATGGTATGTGCTTTTTCTGCTTGCTGTTCCGTTGCTGTTGTCGACGTCAACGGAACTCCAGAACCGGCTAACGACCCATCTAGAGCCGGTTAGTCCAGCGGCTAAGGCCGACCTTTGCAGTCACGGGCTTAGCTGCCACTCTCTCGACAACGAGGATGAGACTATCTCTCACACATTCTCCTCGGTCTCAAGTTTTATGCACGATGGGGTGGAAGTAGCCGGCCCGCACGCACCGCCAGAGTCCGGCCCGCACCAACCCCCAGTCCCTCCGGAACCGGGCCTCCCGAGACTCATCGGCTTCGCCTTGGACTCGCCCGACCAGCATTTTGGCGACGATGGCCGCCAAAGCATCATCCTCCCCCCCGTCCGGTTTGCCGCTGACCTGCTTGGTATTTATTGGCGTTTTGCCCATCCGGTATTTCCCGTCTTGCACAGGCCCACCTTTGAGGCCGATTACGACGAGATCTGGAAGCCGCTCGCGCTGCAATCCCGCTGGGTCCACGGCGGGCAGGACGAGGTCGTATTTCACGCCATCCTGAACATCGCCCTCGCCATCGGCTGCCAGCGCAGCGAATCTATATCGGGTGCCCAGAGAGAATACCTTGCCGATGAGTTCTACAAGCGATCAGTGCGACTCGTCTCGATTGAAACGCTCGACTTTTCGACCTTGGCTGTCGTACAGCTGCTCCTGCTTCGCGGCCTTTACCTCTTCTACGCTGTGCGTATGAACCGTTCCTGGATCATGGTTGGCGCTGCTGTTCGGGCCGCTCTGGGCATCGGTCTACACTTGCCCTTGCCAAATGGGACCAACCAGGTGGACCGGGAGATGCGCCGTAGGGTTTGGCTCGCGGGCTGCATCGTTCTGGATCGGTAATAAACATGCATACCCTACATCGGAGTTTTTCGGTTTTGTTAATTCGCTGCTCAGGATCTTGGCCGTGACCTTTGGCCGGCCAGCCTTAATCTCCACAAAATACATCAACCAGGCTCCCGCGCCCCAGCTCATCGACGATCAGTACCTCTCCAAGACGAAAGAAGGCCGCCAGCCAGACGGTATCCCGTCAATAATCGCGCTGCCGATTCATACGGTGAAGCTAGCGCCCATACTGGACGACTGCCGCGCTGTCTCAATCGCGAGAGGCTCTCAGGCGTCGGGCTATCGTGGCCCGGATCCCCTCACCGTGCTGAGCATCAACTCGCGCCTTGACCAGTTTCTCGACGACATGCCGGAGCACCTCAGAGTGGATGCGGATATGAGCAAGTATGCAATTGGCGAGGCCGAAATCTTCACGTTTCGAATGCAGGGGCACGTGCTGAGGACTAGGTAATTAAGTGCGCTTGTTCTCCGTCGACGCCCGACTCTTGCTGATGTGCGCAGGGTCATGTACGCGAGACTGGCGCTGCTCCGGCAGACGCTGCTGGTTGACGCACAGCGGTGGGCCACACCGACGGCCCAGACAAATAATAATTCAACCTTCAGGCTCAATGAGAAGCTGCACGACGAAATATGCGCGCTCTGTCTGACAACGGCCCACGCCGTGCTAGAAGAGGTACACGCCAACCTCGGCAGCATCCACGAGATTCCCCCGTGGTATTCGCTCATGTGTAAGAGCGCGCCCCAGCCTCGATGTGTGAGGTACAGCTGCTGACAACAGTTCGCGTGAGTGGGTAACCAGACACGTTCTCGGCGGCCACGGCTCTCATAGTCTCTGCTCTGTCTCCCAGACTTGGCGTGCGCTTCGACGCCGAGCCCGCCAAGACGTCGTGGGAGCGCGCAATACACATCTTTGAGTCCCACAAAACGCATGTTGCGTCGGCAGACAGGGGCTGCGAGGTCATGGAACGCTATCGCGACTTTATCGTCTCGAGCGCCTCGAGGATGGCGGCGGCGGCGGCACAGCCTGGTAATGGTAAGCATGCACCTTTTTACTCTGACATTTTGTTTCCTTGACACGTATCTTGCTAAGGCAGTTTGCGAGTAGGTAATACAGGCGAGAGAATGGAAACGTCCTCCCAAGGAGGAGCACCCGCGGTTGCTCCCGAGTGCACCAACTTGCCGTCACATGAGCAGGGCTTGACCCATGACCAGCAGGACCAACAAATGTACTGGGGCCAGCAGAGCAGCAGCATGTCCTCATTTGAGGCATCAACTGCGCTGCCGCCGACTGTCATGGAAGGCCTTGACGGGTTCCTAGGCTCGTACTCGCTCGACGAGGCGTGGATGGGCATGCAGCAGGCCCTGGGCGACAGCGATTGGAACATGGGCGGGTTCAACGCACAGTGACTGACTAACCAGATCTTTTGTGATGGCAAGCATGGGGATGTCATACTCGTTTCTTGGTAATTCAACCTATGGCAGTCTCTATACCTTTATTTGTCATGGGTACCCGAGTAGGCTTGAGCCAACACCACATTATCGTCCTGCATGATTGAAACACAATTTTTCGCCTTGTTTGTCGACCGCTCGGGGGATCGTCATCAACTGTCGGAGGAGATGCCAGCCAAGTGTTAGCCATATTTCAACCGTACATTTCCCACGAATCGACCGTCCCGCACTAGTGTTGGCAGTTGACACTAAACAACCTACAACGGTAACGAGGCAGATAAGCTTATCGTGCGTCTACCAGACGTGGGGTCGGAGGAGAAGCAAGCCAAGCTTGAAAGGCAAGCCGGCCTCCACCCGTAGTGGGACGCGCAGCGCTTCCGTTGGGGCGATATGGGGTCAGAATCCGCTCGTAGCCGAGCAAAGACCTTATGCCGCAATCAAAAGAGGGCACTATGACCCTGGGCAGGTGTCGCGCCTACCCTTTGGAAATAGTGAACGGGTGCGGTGTCGGATCTTGGCCTGCAGACGTAAAAAATCGGATCGAGACTCGGCACCGCGGTAGAATCTTTTTGATCCCCCGTTACTTCAAGTCTAGTTTTGCACCTTGCAGTTTTCCCCGCCTTTGTTGCCCCCCACGCATCAACCTCACAGCTTCGTTCTTCTGAAAGAGGGGAACCTCTAGAAAGCGGCCCAACCAGAACCTTTGCCAAGATCTCTTTAATCCGTTTTTCTTCTCATCCATATCACCCACCAAACGACACCCGAGGAGCCCTAAAAGGAAAAAAGTGAGAAAAGTGGCCGGCGTTTCACGAGTCAGCAAAAAAAGAAAAAAAAAGAAAAAAAAAGAAAAGAAAACACAGCGGCATGGCCATGCCTAGCTTAGCCCGCCGGCTCTGGTCGCGGGTGGTGCGCCGGCTGACGCTGTGGGGGCCGCTGGGGGCCGTGCCGGCGCCGGCGCTGCGGCTGATCGGGGCCCTGGTCGCGGTCAACGCCGTCGTGTGGGCCGCGGCCGGCGTCGTGCTGCACTACTTCCCCAAGATGATCACGCCCGCCGTGCTCGCCTACACGCTCGGCCTGCGCCACGCCCTCGACGCCGACCACATCAGCGCCATCGACCTCATGACCCGCCGCCTCATCGCCTCGGGCCAGCGCCCCGTGGCGGTTGGGACCTGGTTCAGTCTCGGGCATTCGACTGTGGTGGTCGTCACGTGTGTAGTCGTTGCCGCGACGGCCGGCGCCCTGCGCGACCGCTTCGATAGTTTCCAGCGGGTCGGCGCCATCATCGGCACCAGCGTCTCGGCGGCCTTCCTGCTGATCCTCTGCGCCGGCAACGCCTGGGTGATGTGGCAGCTCGTCAAGCGACTCAGGGAGGTGCTGCTAGCCGAGCAGCAGAGGGCGCGACGCCAGCAGCAAGCGGAAGCCGGTGGTAGTGGTGGCGCTGGCGAGGGCGGAGCACAGGATGCGGGGGACGACACCGACGCCGCTGACCAGCTCCAGCTCGACGGCCCCGGGTTCCTGGCCAACGTGTTCCGCGGCGTGTTCCGCATCGTCGACCGCCCCTGGAAGATGTTCCCGCTGGGCATCCTGTTTGGTCTTGGCTTTGACACGAGCTCCGAGATTGCCATCCTCGGCATCGCCAGCATCCAGGCCGCGCAGGGGACCAGCCTGTGGCTGATCCTGCTATTTCCGATCTTGTTTACCGGTGAGTTGTTGCAGGTCTTTTTGTGCATCCGGTTGGAGCTTGTGCCACCGTTTTCGGTTTTCTGATTTTTACGGGTTTCACCCACAACTAGCCGGCATGTGCCTCCTCGACACGACCGACGGCGCGCTCATGATGGCGCTGTACACGTCCAAGGCGTTCGCGCGCGACCGCGTCGCCATCCTGTACTACTCGATCGTGCTGACCGGCATCACCATCGGCGTGTCGGCCTTCATCGGCGTCGTCCAGGTGCTGTCACTGGTCGAGAACGTCGCCGAGCCGCAGGGCAGCTTCTGGGACGGCGTCGCCGCCATCGGCGACCACTACGATGTTATCGGGGGTTCTATCTGCGGCGTTTTTGTCCTCGCTGGCCTGGGCTCGGTCATTGTGTACCGCCCGTGGCGCAGGCGGATTGAGAGGAAGGCGGCGCGCCAGCTGCTAGATGGCGGCGAGGAGCAAGCGCCTCAGCCGCTGTTGACGGAGCCGTGATTTAGGATGGGGGATTGGGGTTCGGTTGGTGACGGCGGGTCTCTGGGGTTACTGTTGGGGCTCCGTAGCTGCTGCCGATTGGTACTCGACCATTGGAGACGTCGTGGTAGCCAATATCCAGCCGAGATGAACAGCTGCTCGCCTGTGCTAAAGAGGCTCCCCTGTTTAAGTGCCGGCTTCGAGGAGCGAAGTCATCGTTGTTGGCGAGCCTTTGAATGTCCACAAGTCCCTAGGATTGGTCGCGAGCTGATGAAAATACTCTTCTGTCTGTGTCAATACCTACTCTCGGGCTGTGTGGCTGAGATTGGGGGTATGCTTGGAGATTCTCGAGCCCAGGCCGGCCTGGATGCCTCCAAAACATCCTAGCGGCGATGCTAGGGCTTGCTAGTTCCCAGCTGAGAACCCCCGCTAGGATGAAGCAGTGCACAACCGGGGTCGTAGACTGGTTGCCCACTGACTATTGAGAGAACGAGAGCGAATCACGTCTAGGGAGCGGAGCAGCCCCGTACGATTGCCAACATCTGATCCACTTCATCACCAATGTGGCCAGGGCTACCTTATCTTGAGCTAGATCTTGGATGTCCGCGTTCTTCTGCTGACAGAGCATCCATCGGATTGGCGCCCTCTTTATTAACTCCGAGCACGCCCCCTTGGTCTCGTCATCTGCCTTCCCTCGAATTCACTTCCAGTCAAGGTCAGACACCCTAGGCCAAGACCCCCTTTGCCGCCAAGATGAGATTCGGTCTATATCAAGCGATTTCGCTCCTCGCCTCGCTCGGCTTGGCGTCTGCTCGCCAGGTCGCACTCGCACAACATGACCACAGCGCGGCGGTCGTAAATGGAGCGCCTCCCAAGGTCGGAACTAGCGGAGACGACGTCCACGTCAGTATCTTGAAATCTTCCGAGAACTGCGCCGAAAGAAACAAGACTGACCAGCCCAGACTCTCGCGTGCAAGCGGATCGCCGTGAACTGGCCGTTCGACAGCGACGGCGACACGTGGCACTACGCGGGCAGCGAGCTTTACAACATCATCTCGCACTACAAGCTGCACGACAACGGCTTCTCGGTGTGGAGCTACCGGCTCGACCTGCGCTTCCCCATGTACGTGGGCGACTTCCAGTTCTACGACCAGGCCGGCGACTGCTACGACCTCAACGTCGCCTGGGAGGGCGACCACTACGTCCGCTACAACTCGAAGCAGCCGACCATTGTCGCCGTCGGGTACGGCGGCACGTGCTCGGATTGTAAGCGCCGCAGGTAGATGCTGCGTGTTATTAGGTTTGAGGCTGGGCCGTGGCGCTGGAGATGGCGTGGAAAGGGGTCCAGCTATGAATGACTCCTTGGACCCATATCTCCCTGCCTTGTAAGAATACATTTTTGAGGCTCTTGACCACACTCCCCTAGTCCCTTTTCAAATCTACCCTTCGATTTAACTCGACCGAAGTCCGAGTCTAGCCGCACGGTGGCGGGAATAACTCCGTGATTGCGTCGTTGATCGGCTCGGTGTGACAGCCCGGGCATCTGCACAGCTTCACGACGCGACATCTGTCAGCTCAATCCCCTTCAGTAATCAACGGCCCAACGTGTACACACCTTTGTCCCCCCCGGCAGGCTGCTCGCGGTGCCTTCGTGCACGACACACTTGATCATGGCTTCCTTGGTGAGCGGCGCGTTGTGCTCGATGATCAGCTGCTCCAGGCACTGGCTGCCGTTGATGATGTCGTGGCATGCGATCTCGTCCTTGGGGCAGCCGTCCTTGGCTCCTTCTTGAGCAGTGCCCGTGCTGGCGAGAGCGAGGCACAGGAGCCCGCTCAGCGCTGTGACGGAGCGCATTGTCTGCGTCGTTGGGTTGGGGGTTCTTCGGTGACGTTTGCTTCCTCGCCGAAATGGGAGGGCGCTTTTTGATGGCGTCGTCTAGCTGGTATATATCTTCCACGCGTGTGCCACCCAATCTAATAGACCTTGCCCTATACGTTCCTAGCCTGATGAACCGCGATGAACCACGATGTGTTGTATGGTGGCTCGCCCCCTGTTTTCGCACCCGGTAGCGGCTTGCGCCGGCGGCCGCCAGTTTAATATGGCCCTGTGTTTGATATGGTCATGGAAGAATGCCAGTGGTGATATTATTAGTCAGGGGCCCAGGCCCTCTACCAGCTTCTCCAATCTCCGGACAGGCATTCATTCGGCGGGGCCAGCTCCAAGATTGTTCGGGAATATTACTAGAGCAGGGTCGACATTAGGCTGTCCGCTCTCCTTGCACCTTGACAACCGCACCCGCAGGTTTTAATATCTGCACTATCCTATCGGAGAAGATAGACGATAGGCCACATGATGGCCGGCCGAATAATTACACATGCACGGCAATTCTAGAGCTCTTCCAGCGGCTAATCCGTCTTGGCGCGCGCGACACAAAGTAGATTGCCATGGCATTTCGGTACTTGGAACAACTTGGATCATGGCGTGCTTGAAAAGCATGTCGTTGCCTTTTATCAGGGGCACGTTTGGTCCTCGTCGAATCCTGAGTCTACGAGCCCGCACCAAAGCAAACAAAACACGGCCAAAATGCGCTGGACTGGGCTCCTCACGCTGGTGTTCGCGGCGCCGAGTATCGCCGTGGTTCGATTCCATTGCTCGCAGTTGGTGGTGCAGAGGGTCGACCCTCTGGTCGAGCCAGGCTCAATCCCCTCGTCCCACGTCCATCAGATTGTTGGCGGCGTGCGTAGTACCCAGCTCTTATGACTGACATGGCCGCCATCGACGACAACTAAGCTAATTTCCGCTCCCAGAACTCGTTCAACGCAAGCATGGACCCCCAAAAAGACATGCCGGCCGAGTCGACGTGCACTTCGTGCCAGTTCACCGAAGACTTCTCCAACTACTGGACCGCCATCCTCTACTTCCGCGCGCAAAACGGCAGCTACAAGCGCGTCCACCAGCTCGGCAACAACCAGTTCGAGACGGCCAACGGCGGCCTGACCATCTACTACATGCAGGATGCCATCTACGACCAGGCGCAGAAGTCGAGGGTCACGGCGTTCAAGCCAGTAGGCGCTATCCCTGTCAAATTTTGTGATTATACATCTGTTGACAAAACGGCCAAAATCAGGGGTTCCGCATGTTCGTCGGCAACGTGTCGGCGCGGACGCTCGAAGACGCGGCGCGGTTCCGGCAGCTCACCTACGTCTGCATGGAGACGTGGACGATGCGGGCGCCCGAGACGATGGGATTCCCAACGCGCAAGTGCAAGGAGGGCATCATGACCTCAGTACGCTTCCCGACATGCTGGGACGGCAAGAACCTCGACAGCCCGGACCACATGGGCCACATGAGCTACCCGGAGACGGGCACGTTCGAGAGCGGCGGGCCGTGCCCGGCGTCGCACCCGGTGCGCACGGCGCAGGTCATGTACGAGGTGGTCTGGGACACCAAGCCCTTTAACACCCTCGACTGGCCCGCCGACGGCAGCAGCCCGTTCGTGTGGTCGTTTGGCGACGCCACGGGCTACGGCAACCACGGCGACTACGTGTTTGGTTGGAAGGGGGATGCGCTGCAGCGCATCCTCGACGTGCCCTGCACGTTCAGCACCAACTGCACCCGCGAGTCGCAGTCCAAGATCCAGTCCATTCCCAATATGAACCAGTGCACGCAGCAGCCCGTGGTGGGTGAGGACATTGACGGATGTAAGTCGAGCGTTTCTGTCTGCGTTTGCTCTTGCTCATCTGTGTCTGTTAGCTGGGAACTAACTGTACCCCTTTTCCAGGGCTCGACGCTCTGCCCGGCGGATACCACGCTCAGTATGCACCCGGATCGGCGGGGATGCGATAGACTACAATTTCTGTAGCAAGAGAGAGTTTGGGAACCGAGTTGAAGCTCGTTGCTCTTGACCTACGGACTGCAATGTGTGGGTTTGAATGATAATATCAATAGATTACCACAGAGACCCAGCCCAACCCAGACCAGGAGAGAGCCTCCCCCCAAATATGAGGGATACCTGAGCGTGACGAGCGTGACTAGAGTAATCTAATCCTCTTCCCTCCAATAACTACGAAAGAATGGCGATGCAAAGGGTAGAAGACCGCTCGTTGAATGCAATTGATAGATGCCAACTTGTGAAAACGACGGTGTACAGAAAACAGAAAGAATAACGAAATCGCAATTGACCGCCACAACAGCCATTACATGACCCCAAAACCGACAAAGAGAATTTCCAATTCCTCCTTCGGAGCTGAGCAGCAGCCGCCTTAAGCTGAGCTAGGCTGAGCAAGAGGTCATTTTTTGGGTTACCCCGGCAAGCGGTTGCCAAAATAAAAGGCACACCAAAACTAGCCCATACAGGTCACCCACTAACATGAGCCTTAACAATTCTACCACTTTCCATCACACCACACTAAACCACACACCACTCACCACAATGGCTATTAGCGATCTGCACCATCCTACTCCTAAAAAGGCCCAAATAATTGGCACAGTTGGCTTTTTACACGACTACAAGATTCCATTCTATAAGGCAGATATTTTCCGACATTTCGGTATCAGTTCTCGCAGGGGCTGGCAAATCTTGCAAGATGGGCGCGAACGCCGGCATCCGGAAATCGAAACGCGTGGGCCGAAGAAGCTGCTTAAACCAGAGGACTTGCTCGCGATGGAAAGCATCATTTGGCAATACGGCTTTCAAGCACGTGCATTAAGCTGGCAAGGCGCATTAAGCTGGCAAGGCCTTGCCTTGGGAGCAGGAATATCAGGGATTTCGTCGCGTACAATCGAACGAGCAATGGGTACGCTCAATTATCGTAAATGTATCGCGTGCGAGAAAGGATTCGTTTCACCAAGCAGTGCAAAACGGCGCGTTCGAGATGCACGACTCGCCCTTCAATATCGCCCTCGCCCTGAGGATTGGCATGATATCCGATGGTCAGATGAAGTCTATTTTTCAATTTGCTCCCAAGGAAAGATTCGAACTATCAGAAAATCTGGTGAGCGATTTTGTCCCGATTGCATTCATCATCGCGAAGAAACACCAGCAAGCGAGATCCGGCGCTTTCATGCTTGGGCAGCAATTGGATGGGATTTCAAATCTGAACTTTATTTTTACGAGTTCCCGACGAATACGAATGGTAAAATGAGCTTGTAAGTGTATCGCGATGAGATTCTAGAGAAGGTTATTACTACTTGGCTTTTGAGAGGGGATACTTTTATATTTGAAGAGGACGGCGATTCGGGACGTTTGTTGTCGATGCATGCATGTAATGTGTTGCCCTTTTACGAAGTTCACAGCGCATTGAATTGCCTGCCTAAATCCGGTCTAGGGATACATGAATGAAGGCCTTCTTATAGTTCAAGAAAAGGATGAAGGAAAACACAGTTCAGCCGTACAGGGCATTCGGAGCTCGCCAACTGTGGCTTGAAATGTGGCTCAGAGTGGCTCAAATCTAGGCGACACAATGGGTCTTAGAACCCTCTTCAGTGCATTTCAGGCCGAGGTAAGCAGCAAGCTTCCTTGCCAAAAATACCGATACGCTCCTTCATTCAAAGAGGGAGAAAGGTTCAACGTGGCCGGCGATGTGCTCGATAATGAGCAATATAGGTTGGCGTGGTGTAAGCCGGTGCCGTGGCTGGGCGCCAACCGTGCCTCCCTCCTGGTTTCAGGTTCCGTCTTGAAACGCGAAACAGACTTTCCGTCAGACGTCATTCGGGCCAACTCAAAATCTGACGGCAGCCAAACCTCGCTCTTTGATGAAGACTAAACTTAATTCAACCTCACCAATAAAACCTCACCAATAAAAAAGAACTCGACTACTCTAACCCAAAGCAGAGCATGCGGGCTGGTGCATTAATCTCTCTGGCGTCCCTGGTCGCCGCAACTCAGCACCAGCACACTTTTCAGCGAACAGGCCAGCGTCTTGAGTCCTGCAAATGGCGCCCGCCCTCTCCCCGACTCGCTTGTGCGATTGACGAGGACGAAGAACAAAAGCCATGGACAGAAGCTCAAGTACCAAACGAGGAAACAGACCTCGAACCACCACCGTCGAGATGGGAAGGGCCGCACGGGTGCGCCGGCCAGTACTGTGTCTTCGCCAACAAAGGCTTTGCCAGTGGGCGGGGCATCGTCGCCATCACAACGACTCAAAACATCCAAAGGCTTAAGCAGATCGAGAAAGACGAATATCCCCCAGATGAAAAGCCTCAGCCCGACTCCCCACCGCCCTACGTTGTCGCCGCGGTCCAAGGTAAAGGCCTCGGCCTGCTGGCCAACAAAACCCTCCACCGCGGCGACACCATCATGAAGAAGACGCCCGCCATACTCGTGCACCGCGCCTTCTTCGAGAGCGTAGCAGTCGCACACCAGCCGCAAGACGCGCTCCTCGACAGCGCCGTGGCCCTGCTCCCTCCGCCCCTGCGCAAAGAATTTCTGGCACAGATGGGCGGCTCGCCCAGCGCCATCCTCGCGACGAACTCGTTCCAGATGGACATCGGCGGCGGCGGCGGCAGCGGCGACGGACACCACTACGGCAACTTCCCCGAAGTGTCGCGGCTGAACCACGACTGCCGCGCCAACGCCGCCTTCCACATCGGCGCCGACCTCGCCCACACCACCACGGCCGCGCGCGACGTCGACCCCGGGGCCGAGCTCGCCATCTCGTACATCGACCCGCTGCTCCCGCGCGCGGCGCGCCAGCAGCGCATCCGCCACGCCTGGGGCTTCGCGTGCGGCTGCGCGCTGTGCGGCAGTTCTCACAAAGCTGCCGATAAGTCCGACGCGCGCCTGCGCGAGATCGCCCGCACCGAGGCCGCGCTGGCCGACTTCACGGACGCGTCCGTCACGGCGCGGGTGCTGGGGAGGCTGGTCCAGTTGTATGCCGACGAGCGCCTCGATGCGAGCGTCGCTGGCGCATACACGCTCGTCGCGCTGAACTACAACATGCTCGGCGACGCGGGTAGGGCGCAGCGCTATGCCCGCCTCGCGCACGAGGCGCTGGTCATCGAGAAGGGGGCGGCGCATGGAGATTTGGCGGAGATGGCGGAGCTCGCGAGGAGTCCCAGGGCGCATTTTACGTGGCGTGCACGGGTTAGGAGGTGAAAACAGGGACGGAGATGTAACGGAGGTGGAACGGAGGTGTATGATTTGATGTAATTAATGGCTCGTGAAAACGTGAATGAGAGGAGGAGAGGAGAGAGATATTGGCATTGCGGTGCTTGTTGATCATGCAGCAATCAATCTAGGAGTGTTAATAGGAGCAATGGGCCTCTGGCAGTCTACAAAGCCACGGAACCCGCAATCCTTACAAACTCGTCCTCCGTATGCGCCCACAGCTTCCCCACGACACCCTCGTCCCTCATCCTGGCCAGAACCTGCGCGACCTTGGGCGACAACGTCTCGCCGTCGACATTCGTCGAATACACACCGCTACCCGCCGCGCCGGCCGACCCCCTGGCCACTTCCACACCCTCCGGCAGCGGCACGCCATCGGCACTGCCTACAGCACCGCCGGCCGTGCGCGCCGGCGGATACCTCGCACTGGTCGCAAAGAACAGCTGGCGGTCGCCGGCCTCAGCAAACGGGATGCCGATGAACGGCCACACCAGCTTGAACAGCGCGCCGACAACAACAAAGGCCGGGGTGCGCACGTCCTTGCCCAGGTTCGTCTTCACGGCCCCGGGGAAGTCGTGTACGAAGGATACCTCGGGCGCTGTCGCGGCGATGGCCTCGAGCGACAGCGTCATGATGGCGCTGGCGTGGCCGCGCGCCGCGAGGATCGGCACGTGCCGCGTCGCGAAGTCGTCGGTGTGGACCGGCCCCTCTTTCGTCCCTGCCAAGACGGTCACAACGCGCCGCAGACCTGTTGCCGCGCGGAGAAGTGGGAGCAGGTTGACGATCAGCCGCGTGCGCGCGTAGTAGGTGACCGCGGTTGGGTAGTAGAGACCCTCGGCGGTGTCTGCCGGCCGTGGTCAGCTTGTTCTCTCGGCCTGCTCACCGATCACAGACAGCCCCGTGATCCGCACCAGGTCCCTCCCTTACCCTTGCCGGTGATCAAGGTCCCGGTCGTCAGGAACAGCAGGTTGATGGCTGTCTCCCTCTCCCTGATCTGGCGGCACACGGCGTCGACGGCGCCGAGCAGGCTCACGTCGACGCCGAGGAAGACGTACTCGCCGCCGGGGTTTATGGCCTGCAGCTCGGCGCGGATGCGCTCGCCCGACGCCGTGGTGCGTCCCAGGAAGTAGACGCGCGGCTGCACCGCGTGCCTGGCGAACTGTTTTAGTGCCGTCTCGCCGATCCCGCTCGTCGCCCCCGCGAACACGGCCACCAGCTTCGCCGGGAGGGCTGCCGCGATGGCCGCGTTCGAGGAGCGCATCTGCGCCAGAGACACCATTGTGGGGATGGGTGGAGGTTGGTGTGAGGGGATTCAGAAGCGTCGAGACAAGTCACGAGTGAGGAGTGGTGTTGGTGTGAGGGGATTCAGAAGCGTCGAGACAAGTCACGAGTGAGAAATGGTGTTGGTGTTTGTTGGAACTTGAGTAGAAAGAAGGGGTCAAGGCGAGAAAGAGACACGAGGAACAAGAGAGGGGGGGTTTGGGGGTTTGCAAGGAAACAGGGAAAGCATTTGTATGTGTTTTTCTGGATCACACCAGGGCTTCGGATCGACCATGCCACAGTCTCGTGAGCACGGGCTAGAGCCTTCATCCATGTTAAACTCGGCGGTTCAGTCCCACAACCTGGTCACCATTGGTTCTTATTTCGTTGCTTGCGGGCGGTCCGGCGGCACGGTCTTGTCCCCGCCCCCGTCTCCTTCGTTATTCTGGCCATCTCGTGTGCCAAAGGTACGCGGAACTTTTGAACAATGCGAATCAGGCTCAGGTGGTTTGCTGTCTGGCCAATGGCGCCTCGCTTGGCCCTGCACGATGCCTAAAACAGGACCGCGCTAACCTCGAGTCGTATTGCTGCCGGCTGAGCCCGCGAGATTTTACACCAACCCCTTACCGTTTATAATTTTTGTTTTGTAAGATTAGAGTTATTTCTTGTAATGTGAAGCTCTTTCTTGTAATGTGAAGCTCTTTCTTACTACATCTTGGAGATAGCCTGCATGGAAGGCGTGTGACAATTGATTCAAGATCGGTAGAAGAACTTGGTTTACCTTAGCCCAAATTCCGGTGCACAATATTTCCATCAATGAATTCTTCTTCAACCTTCTATATCGCGGGTTAGTGGGTAATGGCTTTCTTTCCGATTAAATTCCGATTCGATTCTAATTCGACTCAGGCACAGTCGTCTTCGGGGAGTCCAAGGTCGAATGTGCAATATCGATCATTAATACGCCCCGGGAATTATTTCCCTGTTCATTAATGTTGAAGGTTAATTAGTTATGTATTAGCGGAAGAGAATTAACCACAAAGACCCTCACTGCGGAAAGCTTATGCTTACACTTTTCTGGCTTCACCTCTCCTCATATTTTTTTGTGCCGTGTCCAATAATTTTCAACGACGCCTCGAAACCTGGGTGGCATGAACATGGTACTCGTCGTACTCGCCGATTGCCAACCACTGGTCACGTGCCATGCACAGTTTCAGCCACTTACGATCCTCCTGTCGCGTTCGCGGATGCAGGATCAACACCAAGGCGGTGAGTGGCGGAAGAAACGCGTCCCTGCTCAGCCGCATTGGCCACTCCTCATCGCATCTCAACCTCGTTTCGTATCCCATTGCCGCCTCGTCGCGACCCCAATCCAGCAGTGTGCTTCGCAAGTTGCTATGACGATAATCCGAGATTGAAATTAGGATACCACGATTGATTTGCTTGAGATGGAAATCTTCGGCTCCCAACCTCAGAATTGACTCATTTGTCATCATCCGACTCATCCCTGAACTTGACAGCTCGCCCGTCATCATCGGCTCGAACTGAAGCCAAAGCCTAGTATGGCTTCGGCAAACCCTGCTGCGACATCAGCACCCCTTCGGAACCTGCCACCCGTGTCCAGCAGCACCGTCTCTCCACCCTCGGCGCCGGCTCCTTCCTCGCTGCGTCAGACGTCGTCCTGGCCGAGCCGGAGCCAAGGGACCTCTCCGCCTCCGACAGCTGCCAGCGCACATGCAAGTTCGCGTCTCCAACACCCTGCACGACTCGGGACGGCGAAATCTCCCTTGTCCCGGCTCAACCACTTTGCGTCCTGGTCCTGGAAGAAGGTCGCGTCGAACCCGACGGTGCTCATCACGGGCGTCATAATCGGCGTCATCGCGGCCGTGCCCACGTACCGCGCCTACGTGATTGGCCAGTGGACCGCCTGGAAGGACTACATTGACTACTGTCGGAATGTCGACATGGTATTATCTTCTCGCCCCCTGAAAGGCCGACAGTGGAAACGAACTTTATGAAACAGTTCAGTGCAGCGCTGACATCCTAGCATAGACAACATTGGCGGCCTCGAAACAGCAAGACTGCCAGCGGGCAATCGATGTCGGGCTGGGCCCGCCGCCGTACACGCCGCTGCACCGCGTCAAGCAGACGGTCAACGAGATGGTGCTGCGGGCCCGCGGCGTGAATGAACCAAGCCCGCCGCCCGCTCCACCGGCTTACAGCTCGTGGGCATGGACCTACAAGCTGTTTCTCGCCCTCACGGTCGTGCCGTTCGTCTTCTTCACCTTTGTGATGGTGTTCACCTTTGTCTCGTCCTGGCTTGCCGCCGGCTATTACGTCTCGCGCCAGCCGCTCTGGGGGTCCGTGGGCCGCTACCGAAGAGTTATCTCGCAGGCTGCCATGTCCGTCGCGGTCCTCCTCGGCCTGGTCTGGTCTATCCAGTCGTACTTTTCAGCCAGCAAAGCGCTGCAGACATCAAGAGAGAACGCCATGCAGGAATTCTTGAACTACTGCAGCAGTGTCCAGGTGACTACCCGTTCCCCAAGATGTCTTGTCTTTTCGTGTGTAAATACAGCCGGCTAACACCGCGTGTTATCAATTAACCAGGCTGGACACCCACAGTATGCCAAATGCGTGGAGGCCATGTCCAAGAACGGCAACGGCGGGACGCCAAAGGGAGGGTCTGCCAACGTGCTGCTCGCCGTCTTGGAGGACTGGCCGTTGATTGTAGGGATAGTCAGCGCCGCGGTTGCCTGCACGAGCCTCATTTTGGCGCTGCGGCAGCTGGCTGCGATGCGGAGGATGCACCACAGTGCAGAGACGGACGAGTTTCAGAGTAGTGAGTTCATCGAGTGGACGCCGAGACCTGTTGAGTAACACATCTCGGCTCAGACGTGAGCTCTTGTTGCGACTTGGTATAATCCTCCTCGGTAAATAGGTTATTTTCAATCGGTCTGTCTTGAATCACCAAAACCACTCTGAATCCTCGTGAGAATCCCGCAACAGACCAGTTGGCACGAAGCGGTTGCAACCAGAAGATGCGACTCGGTGAGAGAGGCTATACCAAGGTGCCGTGTGGCTGGCATGAACCTCCTGTGCAGAAACGGCGTGCCGCTTGATTCTATACCCACTGAGAGACTGGCGCAGGCCAAGCCCAAATCCTGGCCTTGGAGGTGTGGGCAGCGACATGCGGGTACACACCCCGGGCACCATTCTGGACCAAGTTGGAGAAGGGTCTTGGCAAGATAGAAATTGTAGCCTAGATAGTGTTTTTGCGGCGCGAAAATCGAGGGCATCGATGTTGCCATGGCGCGCCTCTGCAAGAACCCGGCATCAAAGGAGCGGCATCCTTCCCGAAAATGAAGGGGCACTAATTGCCAGCGCTTGACGAGCCAACAAGTCGGTCGGTAAGGCTCCTGTCGCAGCCCTAGACTTGTCAGCCAGGACGCTAGTCACGCATGCGGGATGCCGGTAGATGCAGCAAGAGGGCAGCAGGAAGCCAACCCTAGAAATGCAATGGTGGCTTGTTCTGCGCCAGCTCTGTGCTCTGTAAGGCTGTCAGACTCCAGGGCGGTCTCAGAAACCACGCGTGCAGAGAAGGATCAGTCGGCGCTGACGCTAGCGGGGCTCTGGTTATCGAATTGATTACCCCGATCAGACCGGGGTATATTTCGTTTAAAGGGAGGCCTGATGTCACACCGCATGCTTCGCCAAGGGTGTGACATGTGATAACCCTGGGAATAGGTCGTCTTGGCCCCAATTTTTATTTTTTAATTTTTTTTAAAAATTTTTTTTGAAGACCCGGCAGGCATTGGGAACTTGAGGCCGTTGGGTGTGGCGCCAAGACTTCTCAGGCATTTAGGCAACAACGCAAGGTTTTGACAGCGTCCAATGACACGAACGAAGAAGCAGGACAAGTCCGAGGCTCGCAAAGGTCCTCCGAGCGGCAAACACCGCCAACTCCCGGCTAAGGCTTAGCGGAGCCGGCGAAGGAAGCAGGGCAGCGGGGATTCCAAAGGCGGGATGCGGGGGATCCCAAACGCTCGCCGCGAACCATGAAGCAAAGTGCAAACGCGCCAATCACGCAGCACTGCCCGCTGCACCGGCCTAGCACTCAAGTGGGTCAAGGCTCGAGATGCGCGCCAACTCGGAACATGGAATACACCACCACCCACGGGTCAGATATCCATCCGTAGTCCGTAGGTAGCGAGCGATAAGAAATGATTAATTGTGGGAGTGGCGGTGGGCTGGGCGTTATTCCGCACTGCGTAGCATTTTAAAAGCGTAACCCATCCCACCAGTTGCCATGTCCCCGGGTGGTCTCGCCGGAGGCTCCATGGATAATCCGGCCTGCCTCGCCATCCACATTCAACTTCTCACCAAACTTCCCGCCAACAGCAACCTCAGCATCCAGGGATCCAGTCTGCGGGGATACGGATATGCCGTCTGCGCGAATCCGGCACACCGACGCCCAAACAGTTAATTAACCCACAAACATCCACGGATAATCCGGCACCTGGGTCTTACGGTGTAGCCCGGGCCGACGCTAATCTTGTTCTAATCTTGTGTTCTGTTGCTATTGGGCGTGTCGACTGCGTTGGCCTTTTGCAACACGCGAGCCATGAAGCGTAAGGTGTCACTTTCGGTCAGAGACAACGCCATCCAGCATGTGAAGCCGCCGGGCCCACCGCAGCCCCGGATTGTCCGACCAGGGCAGAGGCAGCCGCAGATATCGTGCGACTTCTGCCGGCTCAAGAAGCTCAAGTGTGACCGGGCCAGGCCGTGCTCGAGCTGCGCATCGCGTGGTCGGCCGTGCCAGGGAGTGCAAGGCATACCTCCGCCTCCAGGCTCAGCTGCGTCCGGTGTTGATTATTACCCAGCCACAGCCACCACCGCGGCCAGCTTCTTTGGCCCCGATCCTGGCGCCTACGCCGACATCCTCGTCAGGCTGCGAAAGCTCGAAGACGCCGTCGTTACGCTCTCGGCCGGCGGACAGCAGCAGCAACAGCTGCTGCTGCAGCACCATCACCAACAGCAACACGAGCTCACCTGGCTGGGGAAGAGAGATACTACCACCACTGCCTCGGCCGCCGCCGCCGACGCACTGGTACCAAAGTATGGCCCTGGCGGACCCCTCGGGTTCGACGCCTTCATAGAGGCGGGGGCCTTTAACCCAGTAAGTCAAGACAATGGAAAACAAATATATACCAGGCCGTATATACCAGGCCGTATACAGGTCTGGTTGCTGAGCGGAACCTCGACTGACGTACCGCCGTCTACCTAGATATACAAGACCGACGACACCACCACTAACAACAACAACAACAACAACAACAACAACAACAACAGCAACAACAACAACAGCAACATCGACAGCAACAACAGCAGCAACATCGACAGCAACAACAGCAACATCAACAGCAACAACCGCGACCGGGTGATCCTGACCATCGTGCAAGCGAGCAGCCACCCGTGCATCATCTTCGGGCAGATCACCGACATGGAACTCTCGCGGCCCATCTGGCTGCCGAGCCGCGAGCATGCGCTGGCCCTCCTCGACGACTACGACGCGGCCTCGTCGCCGCACGGCCTGCTGAACGTGGTGCACGTACCGTGGCTGCGGGCCGTGGTGACCGATTTCTACGCCAGACCGTTCCAGGAGTTCGGCCAGTCGGGCTCTGAAGTCTACACGACGACGTGCCACGCGGCGCTGATCCTGGGCGTGGCGGCGACGGCGGCGTTCTTCTGGGAGGAGCCGAGGGCGAGCGAAAGCGGGGCGCGCCACCCGTTTGAGTCGCGCGGCCATGCCGAGCACTTCCTGCGGCTGTGGCGCAAGGCCGCGTGGGACCTGCTGGACCAGGCGCGGCGCGCGGCCGCGGCCGTCGCCGGCGGGTCGCTGGTCGAGGTGCAGGCCGTGCTGATCCTCGCCGACCTCATCTACAACATGGAGGGCTGCTCGACGCTGTTCCGTCAGTTCCACAGCACCGCGCTGGCCGTCGCCCGCGAGGCCAAGCTGCACCACGTCGACAGCGCCAGAACCCAGCGCGGCGCCAGCGCCAGCGCCGACTGCGCCATGCTGCGCGAGATCAAGCGCCGCGTGTGGTGGTACATCGCGTCGACCGACTGGTGAGTGCCTTTTTTAGTTGAACCCCTTTTCAAAAAAGGGGCCAACCCGATGCCTCGTCGGCAACCGTGACTAACAGACCAAAAGGTTGATGGGCCCCATGGGCGGGCCGTCGGACCGCATCTACAGCATCAACCCGCAGCACATGCAGGTGCACTGGCCGCGCAACGTCAACGACAGCGAGCTAGCAACAATGGACGACAACAGCACACCAGCACAGACAGGGCCGCTGCCGCCAGCCACCGACACACCCACGGACGTGACGGGGCTCATGTGCCGGCTGCGGCTGGCCGTCATCTCCCGGCACATCGTGGACGCGCAGCCGCTGGGGGCCGGCGGCGGCGACGTCGACGCGCTGCCGTTCGAGCGCGTGCTGGCGCTGAGCGCGCTGTTCGACGACGCGCTGGCGGCGCTGCCCGTGGCCGCCGAGAGAAACACAAACACAGACACAGACACGGGCTCGGCGGACCCCGGCGGCTGGCAGCGCGGCGTGCTGCACCTAGCCATCCACGCGCAGCGCGCGCGGTTCCTGCGCCCGTTCCTCCCGCAGCCGGGCATCGCCGACGCCGATCCGCGCTTCATGCGCTTCCGCGCCACGTGCCTGGCGTCGGCGCGGGCCGTGCTGGGGATCGGTGCGGGCTTGCTGCGCGCGCCGCTTGAGGGTGGTAGTGGCGGTGGTGGTAGCGGTGACGGTGGCTGTGGCAGTGGGAGCCCTCTCTCGCGGAGCCGCCGCCCGCAGCCGTGCCGTGGCGCCACGGTCGTCAACCACGTATTCATGGCGTGCGTGGTGCTGATGGCGGACCCGACGCTGGCGCTGTGCACTGGCGGCGTCGGCAGCAGCTACGAGGATCACAGCACTAGCAGCAGCAGTGATGGAGGCAGGGGGCCAATGACGGGGTGCGACGCCGAGGACGAGACGCGGCGCGCCGAGATAGTCTCGGCGTGCCGGTTGCTCGAGAAGGCAGCGTTCGAGTCGGCGATCGCGGCCGGGCTCATGCACAAGCTGGTCGGCATCCTGCGGCGGTACCGCGTGCACGGCGTCGTGCAGGCGGCCGCCATTGCCGAGCAGCAGCAGCAGTTGCAGCAGCAGCTGCCGCTGCCCATGGAGGCCATGCCGCCGACCAACCTCGCCGACGGCTACCCGCCGTACTATCCATCAGGGGCAGGAGCAGGCGCAGCGCCGGTGCTGTTCGGCGCCAGCGGCGCAGAGCAGAACAGCGGGATCGTCGCGGGCATTGGAGAGCAGTTCATCGCGTCGTCGCCGTCGTCGTCTTTCTCGACCTTGCTGGACCCACAGCAGCAGCCTGTCGGCGGGAGTGGCATGCCTGTCGAGTGGGAGTATTATGGAGACGGCAGTGGCTCGGAGGTGCCGTCCGACCCCATCATCGAGGGCATGGTGTGGGAGAATCTGCTGGGAAGCGCCTTGGCTGTGGATGATGGTGGGTGGAGCCAGCTGTTTGCGGACCTGGACGGGCTGGCGAATCGATTTTGAAGATTTGCTTTTGGTTTTAGCGAGGTGATCTTGGGTGGTGGGCTGGCTAATGATGGGCTGGCCAATTCGGAGTTCGTTAGTGAGATAGACAAACCATCTCGGCAACGCGTATCCGTATTACAAAAGGCTGCGCAAAAGAGATGATGTTAAGTTCCAGAATCTGAAAGACTGCCTGCTTTTGGGGATTCTGGGAGGAAGGAGTGGATGTTGCCGAGGTGGAAAGTTTTCGTTCATGCCCCACCTCTCAGCGCAGACTTGCTTACAGGAGCTCGCTGACAGATGACTCCAGCCCCAAAACGCGGCCAATTTGGCCGCTGGGCACTTAAGGCTGTGGGCTCGGGGCGTCCTGTTGACCGTGCGGGCTGCTGGCAGCGGGACGGGCTTACTGTATCCGTCCTTGGTGCGCCCACGGTGCCCCACATTGTGTCAATTTTGGACACAACGGCCCGTTAAGGAAACCCCGACCCCGTCCCAGCTCCCAGGTTAACTTCGCCGGACGCCGCGATGACCAAGCTTTCCAATTATCTCAGGCTACGAAATAACGCTGCAAGCTTTTGACAAACGCCACACACAGACCTCCCAAGCTCTGCATCCGTCTGACAGGCCGGCACTCGCTTCCAGTTGCGCCGCTGAGCAAGCCAATAGAACTGCGGCGCGTTGCAGACGCAATCCCGTTTGGCAATGCGATAACTAGACTTGGACCTGAGCTGACACTGACACTGACACTGACACTGACACTGGTCTCTGGCAGGCAGCCTCATTCCGCTCAGCCCAGTCCAACGCAACCCCTGATGCAGCAAACCCTCGGTGTTAGAGTTGCGAGGAGAAAAAGAACGAGCGGATACCTAACTTGAACTAGCAACTCAGCGACAAGACTATCCCTCCTCAATTCAGTGGCCGATGACTGAATGAGGCGCCGTATAGTTATGCACCTCTCAAGATCGCCCGTTAGGTACATGCACACCCATATAAGAACCGCGCCACCAAGAGACATGAAGCATGATGATCACCGACAAAAACGTAGTGGCCAGCCGACGTGGCCAGCCGATGAGACAACCACCGCAAACACATGGCCGAACTGGTTCAAGACGTTTCCCCGATTCTTCTAATGGTTCCTCCGACTCGACTCGAGAACCTTTACAGCTCTATAGTGTCGATTCGCTGGCGCCGATTCTCATCCACAACCGCGAAAGGGGGCCGAAGGAATTGATGACCCACTGTATTCAGGGCAATGGTTAAGCAGCCCCGGCAAAATACGCCGCGGATACGCAGGCGGATCCGCCGTCTGGATAAGCTAGGCCGTTGCGCTTCTTTGGCAACCCACGAGCTAGCTCCAGCTTGGCATTTGTCATCTCTGCTTGAGGGTGTTGACGTTGGATATCGAACTGACGTCGGAAACCGACGCTCTTCAACACCTGAAGTTCTTCCTGGACACTCACTCGCATATATAATGTCTCGTCCGCGGTCGTCTATGGCTGCTTTGTCTCGGCAGACACTGGCAACAAGAGACACTTCCAACAAGACCGTAACGCAAAGCAAGAGAAGCAAGCAGACCAAGAAAAGCCTTCACCCTATCACTCTACCCCCGTAACTTACCACCATCACCATGCCTTTCTCATCCAAACTCTCACTGGGCGTGCTGCTCTCGCTCACCTTGGCCAGCGCCAGCCAACAAGTTGTAGCCGCGGCCGTATTGCCACCGCCGGTCGTCAGCCCGGTCTACCTCTACTCGGACGACTCCTTCGTCGAGAACCTGCACGTGCTCCCCTCGGGCAGCATCATCTTCACCGAAGTCACGTCCAACACGCTCAAGTCCATCGACCCGGGCGCGCGCAGCCCAGTGCCCAACGACGTCATCTCGCTCCCCGCCGTCACCAGCCAGCTGGGCATCACGCCCGTCGGCCCTAACGCGTTCGCCGTCGCGGGCGGCAACTACAGCAGCGGCGCCTTCCTGTCGGGGAGCGCCACGCTCTTCGTCGTGACCCTGTCGGGAGGCGGCAACGCGCGCCAGCCGACCGGCCACGTCACCAAGGCCATCCCTGTCGCCACGCAGCTGATGAACGGCCTCGCGTCGCTGCCCGCCCACCCGCACCTCGTACTGGCTGCCGACTCGACCGGCGCCCGCGTCCTGCGCATCAACACAGCCACCGGCGCCACCGACGTCGTGTGGGCCGACGCCGCCGCGCTCGGCGCCCCGGCCGGTGCAGAGCTGCCGCTCGGCGTCAACGGCATCCGCGTCCAGGGCGCCTGGCTGTACTTGACAAACTCGGCGCGCGGCTTCTTTGGGCGCGTGCCCATCGACGCCAAGGGCAACGTCGTCGGCGCCCTGCACGTCATCCGCGCTCTCACTGGCGCCATCGGGCTGAGCAACGCCTACGACGACTTTGCTGTCGACGCCGCCGGCAATGCCTATGTCGCACTGCACCATTCGTCCGTCGTCAAGATCACTCCAGCTGGTGTGCAGACTCTGATTGCTGGTGGCGAGGGCGTGGCGACTGTCGTCGCCGCGCCCACGGCCGTGCAGCTTTCGCTGGACGGGTGCGAGCTGTTTGTCACTCAGGCGGGGAACACTACGGGCACCGGTGGACACGGAGGACTGCTGAAGATTAGGCTTTGAGCGGGTGTGAAGTGCGATGGCTGAGTAGATGAAGGTGTAGACGAAAGGAGGGACATAGACTATGGCTTTGGTTCTTTGTTGAGTTGGATTGCAATAAAACAAGTACCTAGCAGCTGGCGGCTGTCAAACACGATCCCCTGCTGCCCCGTTAGTAAGTTGCTTTCAAACATGACCCACGGGTTCTTCAAGTCGTCGTGACAGAGCCGCCGCCGCGCACCGTCTACCGCGCGCGGGCCTTCTCGGCGAGCGCCTCGAACACAGCCAACTCGTCCTCGACGCCCCCTTCGCGTCCCGACACGACCACACGCGACAGCGAGCGGAACGCCTGCAGCGGCGTCACGCCCACGTCATCCACCAGATCCGGATCAACACCATCCAGCTCCGCCTCGGCGAGCAGACAGCGCAGCGTGCGCAGATCCGCCCCATACGTAGCCTGGTGCAGGATATTCCGGCCCCAGCCGCTCACCGTCGTCGCGTCCGCACCGCGCGCCAGCAGCAGCCCCGCCGTCTCCGCCTCGCTGAGCCGCACCGCGATCGCCAGCAGCGTGTGCCCCGAGTCGGTTAGGAGCGTGTGGAGTGAGCTGCGCTCCGAGGCGGGCATGGCGCGCGCCTGCATCCACGCGCGCGCTGAGGGCGAACTTCTTGCGATTCAGCCTCTGTATCACAATACGAGTACAATATGGGCTCAAGATTATCCAGCCCAGCCGGCCCGTCGAGGGACACACTCACATACAGCAGGGTATCCCCGCCCCTGCGCGTAGCTGATGGGCAGGTGGCCGATCACGCCCCGCAGCCGCGCCGGCGACAGCATGTGCGACCACACGTGGCAGTGGCATCGCTAGCGACTGTGGCGGTCTGGTCTGATGGTGGCTGGGCTTCTCGTCGACAAACTGCTGGAGCTCGCTGAGCGTGTGGCCGGTCCGGCTCGCGAGGTCCCCCAGAGATGCTAGAATGGCCATCTCTGTTTCACTTGTGAGACCAGGAGCTTTGTTGGCGGTCGATACCACTGTCTCATGTGTGCCGCCACGTGAAGAGTGCATGCAGTCTGCCTTGCAAGTGTTGGACCGCTGCACGGACGAATTACATCTCTTCATGCTTGTGCAAGACTAACACTCGTTGGACCAGCAACCTACGGCAAATTTGGCGAACAAACTAGAGTGATATTGACATTTTCTCCTCCACTAACCTGCTAAAACAAACCCCAACGCCGCGTGATGTGATATGATATGATATCCCCAAGCCAAGACTCCTTTCTAAAAGCCAACCATATACCTTAACGACCAAGTCAATGCATATTTCCCTTCAAATCCACAACATCTCCCATCCCCAAGTCCCCAACCACTTCCCTACGGCCAGTCACAAAACACACTCGCGCCGGCCGCGCGACACACCGTCCCAGCTCCGCAGGCGCGGTACACATACGCACCGTGATCGCACGTCAAGAACCCGGACCCGCAGCACTTGAGCTCGCCCTGCGCCGAACACGCCGTATTATTCGCGCCGGGCGCAGCCAGCGGACACAGCCCACCCGCACCACCGCCAACAGTCCCGTTCGTCGCCGGGCCGGTGCCGGTGCCGTTGCCCGCTGCTACGCCGCCGACCACGTCCAGGCGCACCGCGTACAGCAGCGCCAGGCCGGGCGGGACGGCTGTGCTGCTGCTGTTGGTTGTGGCAGGCCCGATGGCGCCGCCGCCAAACGACGCCCGCACGACGAGCTGCAGATCTGTCCCTGCAGCGCCGGCGTCGAAGGCGATGCTCGCGACGCCGCCGCTGGCGCTGTCGGCGGCCGCCGCGCCGAGGTCCTTGTTGCCGCGCACGTCGCGCAGCGTGACGGCCAGCGTGAGGTTTGCTGCGGAGGAAGAGGATGGCGTGATGGCCTGCACGGTGAAGTTGAGGTGCTCGCCCGTCGCGTTGGTGCGGTACGTGTACGTGTCGGGCAGGCCCTGGCCCAGAGATGTTGTGGTAGCTGTGCCGTTGAGGGCCGGGAGCGTGCTGTTTGACGACGAAGATAAGTTGGACGGGCTGCTGCCGCTGCCGGCCAGCAGCGCCACGACGGTGACGCCCGGAAACAGCGGGCCGCCGTTGGTCGCGCCCGGGCGCGTGCCGTCGATGTTGGTGGCGCCGTGCGAGACGACGAGGTCCACAAACCGGCGCTGCGCCTCGGCCGACGTGATGGTCCCAAAGATGCCGCCGGTGCGCAGGATGGCGGCTACGACGTCGGGCTCGGCGCCGCTGAGCGGGTCGCTCACCCCGGAGAACTGCCGCTTCTCGTACAGCGGCCGCAGGCTCGCGGCCCGCAGGCTGCGCCGCAGGCGCCGCGCCACGGGCACCGGGTTCGCTGGCGGCGCCAGGAAGCCAAACGACACGCGGATGCCCAGCTGCGCGGCCAGGTCCAGGGCGGCCAGCAGCGACGACGTGTCGCTGTCCTGCCCGTCCGTCAGCACCACGATGCCGGCGCGGTCGCGCACGTCGGCGGCCGCCGTGCCCGCCGTCAGCGTGTCAATGGCCAGCGCGACGCCCGACGCGATCGACGTGCCGCCCTCGGAGTCGATGCCGTCGAACGAGGCTGTCGACGGGTCGCCGAGCGGCGAGACCACGCGCGCGGTGTCGTCAAAGTCGATGACGGCGACCTTGTCGAGCTGCGCGTCGGAGCCGGCGGCGCTGGCCTTGGTCACCAGCGTGGCGACGAACTGCGCGCCGGCGGCGATGCGGAGGTTGCCCGGGTCCGTGTCCTGGTTGGATCCGGAGCTGTCGATGACGACGGCGATCTGCCGCCCGCTGCAGTCCTTCCACGGCTCGTCGCGCGTCAGCGCGCACACCATGTGTGCGGCCTTGGTGGGCCCGTAGCGCGCCTCGAGCTCGGCGCGGAAGTCGGCCCACTGCCGCCGCGTCTCGCCGATGGCGCCGATCACGGCTTGCTCGAAGTTGTGCGCGACCTGCCCGCGCGCCGTGCCGGGGCCGCTGGTCAGCGGCGTGCCGGGCGGCAGCGCCACCGACGGGTCGTCACGGATGATGCCCTTGTCCTTGTTGAGCGTGTCGTGCGTGATGCGGCCCTGCTTGACGCACTCCTTGGCGCCGCCGAGCGGATCGCCGAGCGACGAGATGAAGCAGCCCGTCGTCAGGTCGTCAGGCACCGTCAGGCCGGCCGGGCTGGCGGCGCTGCGCAGGTCGAGGATGAAGGACGAGGCCGGCAGCGACAGCCCCGGCGGGTTGGTGCGCGAGATGTTGACCTTGGTGTCGGCCACGTCCGCCCAGTTGGAGTGCGAGTAAAAGTCCTGCACGCCGTGCAGCGCGCGCCCGAAGCCCTCCAGCGCCTCGCACTTTGCGCGGCCCCCCGCGCCCGAGAAGAAGGTGCACGTGCTGGAGCCGAGGTCGCTCTCCTTCTTGACGACGGCGTCCTTGCTGTCGAGCAGGCGCGCCGAGGCCGCGATGCCGTCGATGAAGCGCCCGCCCAGGTGCGCCACGCAGTCCATCAGCGCGCCCGTGGCCTGCGCGCGCGTCCGCGGATACGTGCCGGGGAGGCCCCATTTTGCGTGGTCGAGGAAGTCGGCGTCGTCGCAGTGCGCGGCCGAGTTGAACACTTCGTCCGAGTCGGGCGCGCCCACGCCGCCCGCCGTGCTCGGGCCGCCCGCCAAGTTGAGGATCGACAGCTTCTCGAAGCAATCGCCCGTCGACTTGACGCCGGGCGCGCACCCCAGCGCGTCGCGCGTGATATGCTCGTGCTCGGCGTGTTGGCCGGCGGAGTTGATGGTGCCGAACGAGAGGCCTGGTTGTGCTGTTGCCAGGAAGCACAGGGCCCCTAGTGTGCGAGCTACGCCCTTCATGGTGGTGTCGGAGGTGTGTTGGGTACAAGTGTGTGGGAGTTGGTGTGGTGGGAGTTGGTGTTAATCACCTACGTGCGGAAAGGGGGAAAGGGGAAAAGGAAAAAGAAACAAAAAAGAAACTTCGATTCGGTGGTCTAATCACCAAGTTGAATGTGCATGCATGCTATTGAACAAGGAAAGTGTGAATAAAATGCCGAATCCATTGCAGCGGATTGACGGCTTATATCGCACATCTCTAGCCGCAAAATTTCAAGTTGACCGGGTCGTGGCTCATGCCCAGGGCGGTTGCTTCAGCTGTCGAGCGTGTGTTAACGATGCAAATCCGATGGTTTGCTTTAGTCGGTCGGCGCGGCCACAGCGGCGGTGCAGATCTAGCGGCTCCAATAGGAGTGCTCGCTGGTCGGCAGTCGGGAGAGGCAGTCCAAGGCGTTTTTCGGCCAGCGTTCCGGGCAGTGCAGTCAAAGAGCGGTGGTGGCAGCCGGCGACGCGCCTGGCTCGGCGAATCACGCAGCTCCCCTGGCCGTCGGCACTCTCAGCCCTAGAGCCACCACCTCAGCTCCGGCCCTAGGGCTTTGGCCACACGCTACAATTCGTGGCTTTGCGTGCTGCTGTTGTGCGTTTGGCATTTGCTTGTTTGCGCCAGAGGCTGGCATCGCCCGTTTGCCGAGTCGCGCGTCTCAGGCGAGGTATTCACCGCGGACAACGTGGCGCGCGAGTCTAGATCTGTGATCGAGTTCTAGACCGCCACCACATTGATCGAATGGAGGGCTTAAAATAGAATTCCTTGTCGACTGGGAATTAATGTTGGCATTTGGCAAGTCTGCCATAGTAAATTGGATGGTCGGCAATTTACACTCGTTGCTGTTAGCAGGCATCTCTTTTGCTCTTTGTTCTGGTCTCTTTCGTGGCGGACCATCGTTCCGTCTCATGTTTCTCTCTGCAGCAAACCAAACCAGAGGGGACAAGAGACGAAATGCGGGGAGCACACAGCACTGCTCCTGCGAGATGATGGCGCATGCCACCCAAATCCGAGGGCCGACCCCTTGCAGCTCACGTTATGCAGCAGCGAGGCAGTGCCAGGCCGTGGGGAAACCAGCAGCCGAAATGTCACGGCACTCGGCAGGATTGACTTGCGCTTCGCATCGAAATTACACCTGACTATAGACGTCACTCAAGCACAACCATTTCTTCCCAAAAACACAACCAACAATCACCATCTACGCATCCGCGGCAGCCTCATGCAGGACCTTCAGGCCGATGCGCTCCAGATCGGCATTCTCCAGCGTCTCCTTGTCGAACCCGCGCGCGACCTGGCCGAGCAGGGTGGCGGCGTGGTCCTACAATCGAGTTAATAACATGTCTGACTTTGGTCGAGGAGATGCAATGGCGGCTGCAACCCACTAGATGTAGGCAACCCACTAGATGTAGGCAACCCACTAGATGTAGACAACCCACTAGATGTAGGCGTCGGCGCCCGCCAGCTCCTGTTTGACGCTGTCCGAGTACTCCTCCCAATTCTCGCACACCAGTGACTTGAGCTTGGCCGCGTCAATTGCTGGCCCCGCATTCTCGGGCGTAGGCACGTCGCGGCGGCCGAGGGTAACGACGGGCGTGATGGCCGGGATGGACAGCGCCTGGCGAATGAACCTCGGTCGCCACAAACCCCGTGGACCCGGCGACAACAAGCTTCATGTTATTGGTGGTGCTGCTGCTGGCTGCGGTTTGGGCAAGTCTTTCAGATTTGGCGAAAGTTGGAAACGCGCAGCGAGGTTGGGAGAGAAGACTAGTCAGGCTTTCCGTCGAATCAGGCTTCTCAAATTCTATAATAGGGCTTCTTCAGGCTATTGCCTCCCTCGGCAAAATGCCTTGAGGGCGACCCGTACGTTATTAACGTCTTTCAAACTTTGGAAAATCCCCTACTAATAAATACCTGCTTGAGGAATATGTATTAAAGGACCCGCACTGCGTAGGGCGTAGTTCTCAATTGGAGGTAGACTTGACCTAGCACAAATGCGTGATACCATGCAGTCTCCCCGGCCCCAAGTGTTGCAGTGTAACATATTTATTAAATAGAAGAACTGTCATCTGCTATCAAGCTTATAAACTCACCCACCTTCCACGGGTCCTGGATCATAGCTTTTACCTCCTCAGAACTAAGAAAAATTATTCCCGTTTCGTCTTCTCCGTATTTGCCGGCGAAGGAGAAGCGTAAATCGGCAGGATACATTATTACGGGCCGAACGACAATAGAGCGAATGCTCAGTCGGGCTTGCCGCTTATCTTCTCTCCAACTATTCACCCTCCGTCCATTCACTCTCCAAACATCTTCCCCTAACTTGTAAGACTGCTTGAATGACACAGAGGAACCTCGGACACGGCGAAGAGCCTTGAACAACATAGGGCGAACTGCAAGCGTCTATGTTTGACGTGCAAGGGGGTCGTTATCTATCGATCGATGTCGGCCCTGAGCGCCTGCGACGTGTGCTGTAAGGAGTGTAGGGCTGTTCTTTCCCGGTCGGGATGATGCCTGCCGTTAAGAAGTTTTTAGTAGGGCGGGCGGGTAAAAGAAGAGAGGTCCTTACTATTGTTGACAATGGTCTCTCCACTCATGGTGACATCGTCATTGTCTACCTCATCGTCATCATCCACTCCATCGTCAGCGTCCACCTCCTCGTCATCGTCCACCCCATCGTCATCATCCACCTCATCGTCATCGTCCCCCTCCTCGTCATCGTCCACCTCATCGTCATCATCCACCTCATCGTCATCATCCCCCTCCTCGTTATCGTCTACCTCATCGACATCCCCATCGCCATTGTCCATATTGTCGCCTTCACCATCATCTATCTCATCGTCACTTATAACGATAGGTTGCTTATCGTTACTGATGGCGTGGTTTTGCAGTTACTCGTAGACTTTCAGACGCATTTCCCCTGACCGGAAGCCCCAGTCATCTTCCCTCGTTCCCCGGTCGGTGGCTTTCTCAAAGAACCCTTCAGGACCGAGTACGAACTTCTCAGCGAAGAACAGTATAAAAACACCACAATCGACGGCATTTTTCTGCTGAGGAATTTTGACATGTACCGTGGGTTTGGGTGGAACCGGGATCTCACGGCCGGTCTTGCGCTTTATGACTTGGCAGAAGTGGGTTCGACTTCCCTTTTTCGTAATTCCTCGCTTTTCTACGTCCATTCGTTGGACAGATTCAAAAACAGCTGCTGAGCTTCCGAGAGAGAGGTCATTGTTGACGCGTCGAGAATTGCTGAGCTTGTCAAATAGGGGCGCGTGCGGAAGCGCCCCCCCTGTGATTCCCGTGATCGCGTAGTGTATCGTTGGGGCGCGTGTGTTTTCAGCGTATTGTGGACGTAGGGCTCGTATTTTCCGCAATGGTAAACTCAAAGATGGCGGGCGCGATGGGGAGGGTGTTGTGTTGCTTTTGCATTCGCAGCCTCGGCGAACGCCCTGATTCCTGCAGGGGTTACGCACCAGCGAGTGGCAAGTTACCCAGCCGCGACGGCTTGCTACACAGGGGCGATAAGAAGCCGGGCACGGCAACCAAGAGATTGTTCAGCACTCACCCCGATTCTTCAGCTAGCAGCCTCGGTGCGCGGTACGACGACGGAGTGGTTGCCTGAACCGATGCGGGGCAATGGATCGGATGGCGGATGCGACGGAGTCTCGTTAATCCAGCACGCAGCGTTCAGCACGGACTAAAGAGCCACGGTAAGCGGTTTCTGCTGTCTTGCTCCGCTACTCCAACAGTGACTGGCGGCTACAATTCCAGCATCGCTTGTCTCTCTTCAGCGCCGCTACGAATTGGGACGAACACACGGAAGACACGGAAGACATGGACCGTTCGTTCATGACCTGGAGGTCAGCCAAGCCAGAGCCGAGACCAGAGACGTAACCCCTAGCTCTCGTCCTCAAGAAGTGTAGCGCAGCTACTAAGGCGAGGAGGATGTTTATCTAAATGTGTAAGCCCCCTTCCTCACCTCTCCCGTTCAATGCAATGACTGACCACCCAGTCCAACAGTAAGCCACTCCCTTACCTGCGCCACTCCCCGTCCTCAACCCCGAAAATCCCCGTACCGTACCAGGCCCTTCCTACCCAACAACAACCCAAAACGCACTGCTCCTGCACGAGCAGCAGCCGGCATCTTCCGACCGACATTGCCCTGCTCAAAGCGCGAGAGCGAACGTCGAGGAGCACTTAAGCACAGCACCACAAGTGCAGCAGAATCGCTAGCGAAAGGAATTCAGCTGCTTCGAGCCCATTCTCCCGACTTTACTGCTGTTTTCCAGCTTCGGGGTGTCCAGGAACACCGCGGGCCCCGGGTTCGTCGATTATTGCAGCCGGGGGGGGGGGGGGGGGGGAATCGGCTCGGGGCGCTCGTGTTTTGAGAGCGTCGTTTGCGTTTGGAGCGCAGTGGCGAGGCGGTGGCTTCCCTCTACAACCCGGCGCATTTATCTGGCAGCTGGAGCTCCGTGATACGTAGAGCCTCTCCGACGGTTGTTTAAACTTGTTTTCCCTCATCCTGCCCAATCCAAGATAAGCAGGCTTGCGTGCCGTCCCGACTTTACCTAAGCCTTCGGCCTCCGGTGGGCAGACTGACACCGCAGATAAGGATCTGTGTCGCGTGGAGTCGTCGAACGCGGGAGACTCGTCGAGCCGTAGCATGAACTGTCGTCACGCCCTCAAGGGGAGTGCTCGCACTGCGCGGTGGGGTGGCCAGTCCTTGTTGAGAAGACGGGGACTAGTTTGCTTGGTTTGGTGGGGTGGAGTTGGGCACGAAGCTGACACGCTTCTGGGTCTTGAGGATCGGAGGGGGAACTTGTTTGTTGGGGGACTTGTAGGCCGGGGGAGGCGTGTTTGGTCGTGAGTGGGTGTCGATTGTCTTATCCTCTAGGGTGGTGTTGGATTCATCAGGTACCGGTACTCGTCAAGGAAACTTCGCGTGCGAGCGCCTCACTCAACTACCTTTCACCTAGTAAACACAATACCGTATGCACTATACAAGCTCTTCAATAAGACAGTTGCGGGTTAGGCTATGGACAATGTCAGCCTCCCAGAAGTGGCTAGACGTTTCTCATGGCCGATATTAGTTAACTTCAGTAGCTGCTAGCGTCATTTTAAGGACCAGTTGGCTGTCTCAGGGAATAATTTAATTAGATACTCGCTTCAAAGGACTGCAAAACTAGATCCACGTCTCCGCTATTTATATGGATTTCTATTCCGACGTCCGATCCTTAGCCCCGAAATTCCACGACCCCGCTGCCCTTTATCCTGCTTCTTAGAAACGCTCTAATAGATATTTGGCGTCGATATCCTAACCTCCAAGACACCTCTTAATGGAACATCGCTAAGCGAGTGTCATCTTACGGTCTCGCAGTATTCTGTCCGGGGCAATATACGCACTGATTGTTCGCTTAGTGCCAGTTTTGACAAGACCTAGAGAGATGACAGTAAAGATTAGGTATGCTCAGTAGTAGTTTGAGGTATTACGATCAAGGTACATCTTCCTTGTGCAGCGGCGTGTAATCTAGATGAGGAAAGCCGTTCCACAACTGTTCTAGTATCGAACTGATGAGACGGGATTTGCAGAGTGCCAAACATGTACAACCTCAGCTGCCATTGTTTTACTTCCCGACTCAGATAGATAGTACAAAAAGGCTACATACTGGTGCTGCGGACGGATAGTAGGCTAAATGAAATTTTCCGTGCGCCGCACCACTCGCGTGGAGAAAATAAATAGCGGTGCGCATCAAGTAGGGGGAGTTCCCGTAGAAGGACCTAAAGCTTCGTTCTGGTAACGCTCGATTAGGTGATAGTCGCGTGGCAGTGGCCGCGTGGGAACATGGCACTCCCAATTACCCGACCAGTCCCAAGAGCTAGACGGGTAGCGAAACGTGGAGAGCCTCCATAACACTTTTTACACTTTGTTTATTGAACCACAATCTAAGGTCTTGGCGTCGTCCGGCTAAGATGGGTAATTCCAGGAACAACCTTTGCTGCGTGTCTGCAAAGGAGATGCGGCTCCGGTGCCACGATATCTTCTCAATTGAGCAATCGGAAGCCGGACCGGCTCGAGCTCATAAGAAGCTGGGGAACCCGCCCCGGGTTTGTGACAACTTCTTCCCTCTTGAGTCGTCATCCAACACCACGTCAACCCACCGACTCAGCCGCTTCAACTCGGTCTGCCTGCCGCTTGTTCTCGTGAAAAATAGCCAAAATGGTTTCCCTCAGGGCGATGCTAGCCGCGATAGCAGCCATCACGACCGTCACCGCCCAAAACGCCACGCTCCGGTACATGCCGTTCGGCGACTCTATCACTGAGATCATCTGCTGGCGGTCCAAGCTGTGGAACAAGCTGCAGACGACTGAGTGGGCAAAGGTCGACTTTGTGGGGTCGGGCAAGGGCGAGAACAACTGCCGCGACACCAAGTACGACTACAATAACGAGGGCCACTCGGGCTTCCTGGCCATCAACATTGCCAACCAGAAGCAGCTAGTCGGCTGGCTGCAAAAGAACCCGGCCGATGTGATCACGATGCACCTGGGCACCAACGACATTGTGCAGCAGAACAAGAACATTGCCGACATCACAGCCGCCTTTACCACGCTCGTCCAGCAGATGCGCGACCATAACCCACGCATCAAGATTGTCGTATGTTTTTACCGACTAATCCCCTTTTCGATTACAAGAAAACTGACATTAAAAACAGGTTGCACAAATCATTCCCCTCGGCATGGGCAACTACAACTCCAAGGTGCAGCAGCTCAACGCCGCCATCCCCGGCTGGGCGGCGCAGCAGAACAAGACCGAGTCGCCCATCTGGGTCGTCGATCAGTATACGGGCTACAGCGGGACTAGTGACAACCGCGACGGCGTGCATCCCAACGACAGCGGTGATACCAAGATGATGAATATTTGGTACCCGGCGCTCGTCAAGGCGTTTGAAGCGGCGCGGGCCGACAAGCAGCAACTGTTTTGATGGGTGTAAGGAGCGTGTCGGGTGGGCTGTATCTAGGTTGGACTGCTGCTGTACATAGCCTTGAGATTTTAAAGATTGAACGGAAAATGGTTTTTGCTTCATAGCTTGAATACCCCGCCGTTGGCCGATGCAATTGGTTGAAAACTGCATTAGCCCTTCTTATTATTATTAGGTGACTACGTTGCGGCCAATGCCGTTGGTTTTTGCTTTGAAGCCGTGGTGAGGGGCGTGGCGTTGCATTTGGGGAGGGACAGTGGCGCTTGTGGCTGAATGACGAGTAGCCGCGAAATCGTGGTTGCTGTGGCGGGGTTACCCTGCACATGACTGGGAACCTGGGCATTAGCCCCGCCCTGGGGATTTCGCCCACGCATTTAGTAGGGAGATTTCCTACTCCACGAGTTAGCTAGCCAATGCACACATTGTCCACCCACACAATATATATCTCTACGCGTAGAAAAGGCAGGTTCGACAGGGCCCGTCATCTCCTGCAACAACGACTATGCTCCACCAATCCCGTCAGCCCAACGATCCCTCGTGTCCCTCCTAATCATACAACCGCCGAGATAAGAGGTAACCAGAGACCGCATCCTATGGTATCTCCCCCTTCGGATATCCTCTCTTTTCCTCGCGGCTATGCCGTAGCTAGCGGGGATGAGCAAAGATTCCGTATCGACATAGCCTCTTCCCATCTCGCTCGCGACTTGCGAACCAAGTTGAAGAGCTGAGCTGCTGGTGGGTGTCGGTGTGCTTACCCCCTACATATCCGGGGGGAGGGCAGGGGGACGATAGGCTGAGACCACCGCGTTAAGGGTGCTCGGTGAGCTCTTACTATACCAACGTTGAATACGAGAGGGAGGGGGCGAGTTTATAAAGGAGGCAGTGAGCGAGGAGATGATCGGCTAAAGTGGCCTAGGCCCTTTCCGAAGACGGCCAAAGGGTTATCTGTCGTTAGTTCAGAAAACCTGATTCGCAGAGCCGATGGAATCCTCAACTAGACGTTCCAATCTCTCGGAGGGAATGCCTCCTCCTATTATAATGACGCTATCGATATATACGGCATTTTTGGCGACTGGCTAGCGGGGCTGCGCCCAGGGTTCCCCCTAGGCAAACGTAGCGGCGGCGTCGGGAGAGGATGTATGTGCGAGCGAGGAGGCGTAAGGCTCAACACGGCAAGCCTCGCCGCTCAGCGTAGGCTAGCGAAGGGCAGAGTCGAGCGAGCATCGAAATGAAATGACAAATGTCGCGAGATTCCGAAAAACGACAAGCAGCGCGCCGAGGTGCGCTGGACTGGTGAGGATGGACGGCAACGACGGCGCGATCGATGTGGCGAGGGCGTATGAGTGGGAACGAGGACGGATGGAGACGTAGCCGAAATGAAGGATCAAGTGCGGCCGCTGCGTTGTTGTATGCTGGTGCAAATGCGAAGAATATGAGAAGAAGGACAAAAGGTCAAGAACATAAGAAAGAGACGCCGGGGGGAGAGATTCTTATTTATCTCTGGGCGGAAGGAAATAGAGTCGTGGGGTTAATGGAAGGGCCGCGCTAAACTAAATGAGGAGAGGTGGGGGAGGGCGCCTTTCCCGCAGCACCGTGTTTTCAAATACTAAAGATTCACTAACTTAAATAACTGGCAACTTTACCAAAGGAATCACGCAGTGCTCCTTCCTGATATATATACTTTCTTAACAAATTGTGGGTCCTATTGGGACAAACTTTTTAACATGTTCTCGCAGGACCAATTCCAATCCCAATTTCTTCCTCCATCTTCCAACTCTTCTTGCAAGTCTTCGCAGCACTGATCCTCGTCTTGTAGTTTCTTTGTACAGGCTCGCACATCCACACCTCAGAACGTCTAGATCATTAGCATTCAATGTCCAGCTGATACCAGTAATTGGAAGGCTTCCGTTGTAGGTGGCTGGTGAAGCCCGAGATTGTGTCTCATCTGGAAATTGCCTTTTGAAAAGCAGTCTGATTATTCTATTCTTAGAACCCCACTGCGCCAACTGAGCGCCCAGCCTAGGTTGAGTCTGCAATACAGAGCCTAGACCAATCAATTGAGCTCTGTAGCTGCTGGTCAAAGTCTTGGCTGGGCAGTTTTCATGCACAGCAGTGAGAGGGGCAGACTGCGCCACCACCACCAGAGAGATAAGACGTCTGGTTTGCAACTCCCGTCTCGCCGCCGTGATGAAGGCTTGTTCAAAACCGAAGAGAAAGTAGACACCGGACAATTAATTCTAGATTAACTAGCATCATGAAAATGAACGCAGAAAACGAAGCAGCCTGGGTCCTTTGCGACGCGTGTCGCGCCGCCTTCTCCAACACCGCCATCGGCGAATCAGCAGACGCACCCCTCGTATATACCTTCCACAAATCCACCCCCAACCCAGACGGAGGCCCGCAATGCCCGCTGTGTACTGAGATCCGGTCTTTCCTGAGCAGCGCGAAGCCGCGGCCGCCGTCGCTAGGCAGGAAACTGTTCCGGGCGGTAGTAAAGAAGAAGGACGCCGACGCCGACGCCGACACGATTGCTCTGCACTTCCACCTCGAGCGCGGCAGGTTCTCCAACACCGTCAGCCATGTCGCCCAGCACTACGCAGCGGACCGGGACGACACCGCCGGCTTTAACGAATGGCTGGCCAAGCAGCCGGGCTACTTGCTGACTAGTGAAGGCTGGGCTAAGTTGAACATCTCCTCCCCATCCCTGTTTGGTAGCGACTTCTTCGATCTCGCTGCGTTCGAGGGTGAGCCTGTTTCACTGAAGCCCCGGCTATTTAGCTTATTGACCACCACTCAACATTCACATATCCCCAGACACCCCCGCGGCAGCCTACATCCCGCACCGGCCGCGGCCGACGCTGCTGGACTCGACGGTCCAGTGCATCCAGGGCTGGATCGCCACATGCGACGCATCGCACCCCGAGTGCCACGCTCCGCCCGCGGCCGACAAGATGCCGCTGCGGCTGCTAGACCTGGACGCGGCGGCGATCGCTCCCGACCTCCAGCTGGTCGAGTGCAAAGGACAGCCGCCGGCCGGGTACGTGGCGCTGAGCTACTGCTGGGGGCACACCGCGAGAGCCACACAGCTGCGGACGGTGCGGCGCAACGCGGCGGCGCACCGGCGGCGGATCCCGCTCGCCGCCTTGCCCGCGACGGTGCGCGACGCCGTCGTGCTGGCGCGCTTGCTGCGCATGCGCTACCTGTGGATCGACGCGCTGTGCATCGTGCAGGACGACGAGGGCGAGCAGAAGCGCGAGGTGGCCCGCATGGGCGAGATTTATGCCAACGCGCTGGGCACCGTGGCGGCGGCCGGCGCGGCGCACTGCGACGCCGGGTTCCTCGCGGGCCCGCTGCGGCTGGCGCGGGACGCCGAGGGGTTCGAGCTGCCGCTGCGGTTCGGGCTGGGAGCAAACAAGCCGTGCGGCGTCAGGGTCAGCAGGCTCGGGGGCGCGAAGAAGGACTGGGAGGCGGCGACGCGCCGCGCCCGCGACGAAGCTCTGCACGCCCTGCACGCGCGTGGCTGGACGTTCCAGGAGCTGCTTCTCTCACGTCGGGTGCTCATCTACTCGTCGGTTCAGCCGTACTGGCTGTGCAAGCGCGCCAGGTGGGCTTGCGGCAGCCCCGGCCTGGACGAGTACCTGCATCTGACGGAGCTGGACGATCTGTTCGGCAGCGCCAGCCGGATCCCCGTCGAGGGGCCCGCGCGGATCAGTGACGGGGTCGAGGGTCGACACTGGCCGTGGCTGTGGGAAGTGGAGAACTATTCGCGGCGGAATCTCAGCAACGTAGGCGACAAGACGCGGGCGTTGCACGACGTGCGTCTCCGGACGTCGCCGGGGCCCTATGCTGCTGGCATATTCCGGAACACGCTTCCAGTGGACCTACTCTGGCGCGCAGGCGTGGAGGCGGGGCCTTCGCAGCAGATCCTGCCTCAGTTCCCCACCTGGTCGTGGATGTCGTTCAACGGCAAGGTCACATACCCTGCGGCGGCGTACACGACCCGTACAGTCCTCCCGTCGCCGAGATTCGCCATGCTGTCGTGGCCAGATTGTTGCGACGAGTATGGAAACGTGGACATGGAGGCGACCGAACACTTAAAACTGCGCGGACCATCGAGAGAGGTCATGATCCCCCATATTGACCTCGACGACATGGCAAGGTGCCAAGAGTTCAAGTGCTACGACATCAAAACGGGCTCCAACAGGACGTATTTCCATAAACGCCTTGAGGACGACGAGGAGCTTTGCCATGTCGGCATGGTCGTCTTTGACGAATACAGCCAGCGGGGGGTGGACCGGCGGCCCTTTGAAGGCGACTCGTTCACCAAGCTCACGTGTCTGATAGTTGCGACAGCAGGCGACGAAGAACACCAGCCCATCATGAAGCTGGTTGGGGGAGACGTTGAGAGGTGGGTTCCGTACCCCGGCCCGAGGGGATACACCACTTTTGGCTTGGTTCTCGCGCCTTTGCCGGGTCCGGATGACGGCAGCGGAGTTGCAAAGGGGACAGAGCCTAGCGACAAAGAAGCTATCACGGAGAAACAAAAGAGTCCATGGTGGAAAGCCAAGTCGAAACGGTCTCAAAGCCGCGCTGAAGATCCACAGCCTGAGACCTTCTCAGGGCCGGCCGTTAAATATCGGCGCGTGGGATTGTTCCACGGGACCAAGACGTCGAGTCGCTACTTTGAGGACGCCCCGATGAACGAGTTTGAACTCGTCTAACCACTCAATGGGCGGGTTTAATATGAACAAATCATTGCTACAGTAGTCTCACTACCTTCCAACCCCTAAATATCTATTTGTGAGGGATTGTCTGATATTTTAAAAGCCTGAAATACCTACGGCTCGCCTGAAAGGGTTTTCGCCGAAATAGGTAAGAGCTATTAGAATGCTTATTTTAGAATCGTAGAGGCCTATCTCATATCCAAAAACATGTAGCTCTTAAAATCTTCTCCCAGCTCGTCGATTTGTTCCCTTGGCTATGGTATTTATTTGGCCAAGGTACTACGGTAGTTAATATTCAAGGATGGGAATGTAGGTAACTGAATAAATGTTTCATATTAGCTGAACCCTGCCGCTTTTCCCTCATTTGGCACCACTACGACAATTCAATTGGCGAATTGTGGAGAGTTATCGTGAGTTGTCTGTCGAGATTCATTTGAGGACCAACAGAGAGACCCATTTCCAACAACGGATCTAAACCCGGACCGGTCGCTTCCCGCTTAAATACTCCGCTGAACCTCATTTTGAAACTGCGCCTTCTCTGGACCTTTGGCTGCGCTCTTGGTGGAGGTTGTATTGAATCCTGAATCGGTGCTTTTGGGTGAATCGAACCGCTCTGAGCTACTGCCAACGTTGTGTCTGTCGGGGTTTCTAGTTTTGGCCTTGCTGCGAGCTCTCTCAAAAATACATCAACAGAGCTCTCGTCGGGTCTTTTGTTGTTTGTGGCATGCGCGTCGCGCCTCGCCAATTCCTCCCTTAACACCTCCGCCGCCTCGCCATGACTAACTGAGAAGCTAATATCGGAGTCTTTTAGATACGCTCCATGCAAAAGAAGAATTTTGACCACGCTGATTTCCCCTTGACGCGCTGCAAGCGCAAGGGGGATACAGCCTGGGCTGATGTTGTTTGACATGTCGAGGTAGCCGTTCATACAAGCTCCGTGGCGAAGCAAAAGCTTGACCATCTCTTCAAACCCTGCTATAGCTGCGAGGCTAAGCGGGGTGAAGGGGTCAATAACCAACGATTCGCCCTGGCCACCTATAACTGTTATATCATTGGCATCTACCCGGCTGTCTTCAAGGAGAATTCCCGCGAGTTCAACATCGTTCGCCAAGACCGCAATGTGGAGCAATCCGAACTCAGATCTGGGGAACAGCTCGTCGTTGTTGACTTCTAGCAGCCGCTTAACTGCAGACATGTTGCCCACCAGGCAAGCCAAAACGAGAGGTTTAATCTGGATAAGGCTCCTGGAATTCCTCCTATGAGCTCGTGGGCTTGCATCTCGAGAAAATCCAGATTTATTAGTATAGAGGTTGAGTGCTGTGTTTATGAAGGGTTGGAACCCCTGCTGGAGTCCAATGTCGTAAATTGTGGTCAGCAGCGAGGGATCGGTTGAGGAGACATCGGCATTGTGATCGAGCAATAAGCTTATGATTTCCATTTGGCTGCTATTCTCTGATCGTATAGCTGTCATCAACGGGCTCTCGCCTTGCTGGTTGATATTTGTAACATCGAGTATCGAGGCGAAGACAACGTGTCCGAGAGCGTCGACGTCGGCCCCGCATTCCAGGAGCAGTCGGACGAGTTCTGCCGAACCAGTGAGAATTGCCAAATGAAGGGCGGAGGCGTTATGGAGTACGTGGCTCCCACCTTGGAATGGAATGTGAGAGACCACTCGGGAGTCGGGACTGCAGCCAGACTTGATAAGAAACTTGGCAAGGCGAACGAACCCTGGCTTAATTGCCATTAGGAATATTAGTGGAGTCTCGCCTTGCTCAGAAAGTTTTGCCATTTCTAGGCCCTTCTCCTCTACAAAGAATTCGATCATAGTTAATGCTAGGCTTTCGGTCATTGGTGAAAGCAAGATCGTCGTAAGAATGTTATATCTGTGAAAAGTTGAAGTGGACGCGTTGGTATTCGGCTCAGGAGCGTCGATGTGGTCGATCAAGTGATGAATTACAAGTAGCATCACTTCCACGTTAGTCGAATTGAATGCTTGCTCGAGCGGGACGAATTCCTGAAATTGCGCTACCAGACCTGTTCCTTTGCGATGTTCCAATGATTTGTGACGTTCCAGTGTCAGGAACCAAAGGACTCCTTCGGGAGAATCTGACTCGACGGCGGCTGTGAAGCGGCCCAGTGACGTAGCGACAGCACCCCCGGAATCTCGAAGATACGCATCGATGACCCTTTCCATGATAGCATACTGTTCATTTGATCCAGCACAACGGATGACCCATTTAAGGTCAACGGTAGGTCTCAGCTTCAGCACAACGAGAACAACCGACAGCCACTCTCGCCGAATTGCGAAGTCAAGGATATCTTGAGCAAGTTGATCGTCAAGTGGCTGCACGAGTGTCGTAAGCAGTAGCTCGGTGAATTCGTCATTAGCCGAAGACGATGAGATATGGTGCTCTATCGCAAATTGCAGGTCATCCAACGGTATTGGTGCGTATCTTGACGCCAAGAGCTCAATGGCCTGAGAGTCGCACAAGTAAGCGGCCCAAAGCAGTGGAGAACGTCCGCTGCTGTCAATGAGCGTTGCTGAGGCTCCCTCTGCGACAAGATTTTGCAGGGCAGTTGACCGTCTCCCTTCGGCACAGATGGATGCCGCTGTTCTACCGTCCAGACCCCGACTGTCCAGATCGATGCCTGTAGCACTCAAGGAGGCCAATTTAGCGGGTGTGTTGTTATCGGCCGCTTGGAGAATTTCGGAGATGACGCTAAAGCCAAGCTTGCAGAAATGTTGTAAAACTTCGGGGTTGTCATTGGCAATCGCATAGTAGAGTGACGAGCGCGAATTTGCAGAAATTGACATTGGGTCGAGTCCTCTTTCAATCAACAATTTGATCATGTCCATTCCAGGGTTCCCTGTCGCAGCAAAATGGAGGAGGTTGCATGAGTTGTCCCGCTTCAGAGCTCGGTCGTCAAAGAGAGACGCCTCTACCAAAATGCTTAGACCATTTTCGACACCCTCGTCTGGGTTAAGAAGGTATTTGACAACCTCACAATGGCCAAACTGGACGGCGGCATGGATGGCTTGAAACCCCAGTGGCCCCTTGATAGTCATGTCCGCACCCGTGCCAACCAATATTTTAACCATGGTGAGGTTACCCCTTTGTGCAGCCCATCGAAGAGGAGTCATGCCGGTGTTGGGCCGATGTGAGTTGACATCAGCCCCATGGCGCACCAGCAGTGTGGCTATGCGCGTGGCCGTCTTTTCTGGGATTTCGGCACATCTGTGAAGCAGCGTCAACCCGCCGCGGTCGACCTGATGAACATCTTCGCCGCGCTCGAGCAACAACCTGACGTTTTTATAATCTTGGCGCCTGATTGATGCAAAGAGGCTGGTTGTATCCTCAACCTCTGGTTCAATGGGCTGCTCGGCAGGGGACCACCCTCCCGGGATATTGCCACTGCGGCTGTGGGTCCGCAGGTAAACGGGGCTGGCCATGAGCTCCAACTGAAAGTCCTTGGATATTTCGGTCATTTCGTCGGCGTGCAGGATTGACTCTGCTTCGGCGACCGTCCGTGGGGCCTCTGCATTCTGATTCTGGAGGCGCCACGATTTCTCGGAATTGGCGCATGCTTCTCGGATGGAAGGCTCGTTTTCACGCATCCTCTTCCTGATCTCGACGAGAGACTTTCTGTTGAACTGTTAGGTGACGGGCTTGCATTCCGCCGCGGCGAGTGTTGATTCGGGATTGCTAACCCTTGAAGAACAATTTGAAGCATGCTCAATGCACCGCTCTGTGCATGGAGATTGTGCGTCAAATCTCTGAGCCGAGACTCGTTGAACACAAATGACGCCCGCCCGACGGAGTTGAGTACACCGCTGTCGTTTGCATGGCGCTGGATGGTGGCGATCTCGTTCGTCAGGTCTGCAATGGCCATCGAGCAGCTGCAAATGATGTTGTTGAGCGCCTCGGTAACCGTGCCGTCGTGTCCGAACAGCTCCGGGTAAGACATTTGCGACGACTGAGATTCTATCAGGGACTGCTCCTCACGTATCGTGGTCTGCAGTACTACAAGCGAAGCCGTGAGGGTGGAGCACTCGGTGGCCAACGTCGTAAGGCTGCGCGGGGCATCGTCCCAGCTGGCCTTGACCGCTCGAATCCCCAAAATTGCCTTGCTGCAAAATGCCGACAGCGATGCTGCGGCAGCTGCGACTGACAGTGGATCCATGGATGGGTTGGTCGGCACAGGAAGGAACACTCAACACTGGCGTTTGCTTGAGATGGAAGTGACAATTAATCCTGTGGTCGTAAGATGGATGAGGGGTTTTGGGGAGAATGTTACATAACCCAAGCCTGACATCGGTTTTTCTGTCTCTCGAGAGCTAGGCGTGGGGTGCCTTGGGCACAGCCACGCAACCATTTGGTCTGGCTGCTACTGATGTGCTTCAGCCCCAAAAGGACGACTGCACCACACAGCAGGGCACGCCGCATCGGACTAGTGGAGGAAATAGCACCCACGAGAATCATGCAATACTATGCTCTCATTCGGTTTAGGAATAACCCGAGTTGCAACTTCCGTTGTGGTGCGTTTAGAGCTAATTATCTGCACTAGATGGGAGATAGGAAGGAGCGCCTGGCTGTCCGATAGGGTTAGGGTATGGCGCGTAAGGCTCCATTTGCCGTTCTAGTTACGATACAAGAACCAAAGCTTCCCAAAGTCGAGTCTTGATATGGCCCCCACTGCACCTAGTTCCACCACTGGAAGAGACGACGGCAATCGTTAGTTACATGGACGGTGTCGAGTTGCACCTTGAACTCAAACATTCCAAGCCAAAACCGTTTGGTGACGACTATGGGCTCCTGCCCATGGCCGTTGTCAGGGGTGAAGGGTACGAGCCAGATCGGGTCGACTTTGAGCTAAAACACTCACCACAGAAAGCAGATAAACCAATGTACCAGTTACACAAGACGCTGCTGGCAGGCCGGCAAATATATTCTTGTTCGACAACCAAGGGGGAGTCCAACTACTGCAGTCTGTATTTACGTATTTCAGGGCCAAAAGCAACCACAGTATTGCGCCCTGACAGATGTATGTTTCGTGAGTGATGCACGAAAAGTGTAAATAGCTTCATTACGTGAAGCGCTGGTGGGAGCCCCACTAATAGCGTTCGGCGCTAGCACGTGACATAGCGGGGTCTGGGGGTTTCCTACCTTAAGGAAATCGCCGCGCCCACCTAGCCTTAGAAAAAGCATCACCTTTTACACTTTCTTGCTTCCTTCTCGGTTTTACCGCTTCAGTGAGACAGATTTTTATTTAATGTAATTTCTCTTGAGGATGTGCCTTGTCTTATATTAGCGAGTGTCTAGTTCAGCTAGGGGACCTACCGCCGCTGGGCCAACGTTACGGCATAATTATCAGAGTACTTGGGGCTGTTCTGGAGGTGTTTGTAGAGTGTAGTGGTGAAACCTTATGAGCTGGATCACGGCGAGATAAGCGGTGTCGAGTTTTTTTAGTCATATAATTTAATACGTACCCCAGATTCATTGGAGAGGGACCGGGCACTTGAGGGTGGTTCCCTCCCTGGCAATTGCAGCAAACGAGTGAAATAACTCTATTTTGAGAAGAAATGGTACCCAGAGGAGAAGGTATAGAACCACACGGCGTGTGTGAACCAAGACAACTCAAGTTTTGTAACAAGGTTGTAAGAGTCTGTATTCCGGCCGAGGCTGTTCGTAACGGATATTTGCCCTTGTCTATGTGTTGAGGGAATGAATATCCATTGGTTCTAATGGAAATCTGGTTATTTGGCGAGCCGAGCCATTTTAAAGTCGTCAAAAACATGCTTTCTTGTTGCAGAAATAATAACACCTGAGAGAAATCTGAGACCAGTATGTTAATATGAGACATGGGAACTTTTCTATCAAGCTTCACTCGTGGATTTCATTCGGGCTGATTGATCAGAGTAAACTGTGGGGAACTGTGCCCTACGGTCTAGTACAATAGTGCTCTGTGTAGGAATCTGAGGGAAGTAGGCTGACTGCCACAGGTCTGTAGGACTCCGCTACAGGCCTGCCACTTAGACTGTAAGGACTCTGCCCTGCAGTCAAGGTCTTCCGGGGCAACAGAAGGTGCTGAAGAAGACTAAGGGGAGTTGTATTATAGAGGGACTGTAGTACAAAGAGTGGTGAGAGCGATGCCGTTGGCATAGGCGAGTTTTGGTGGTAAAAGCGATGTCTTCTGCTAACTACCAGTGGATCAAATGATCGAAGCTAACGGTGTCGCTGGATCACGCGGTCCCGCATGACACGCTACATAACATGCATCTGATGTTCTAACAATACCCCCCACAGAAAAATCATCGCCCCGATAATCGATGATCCATAATCTCTGATCTCACTTGTCAAACTTCACTTCAGTCACTGCTTTCTTGGCTGCTTTGGTTGGCATCCATCCTTCGTCCTTAAGTTCGAGGCCCATTTTGTTTTTCTCTTCGCTAGTTGACCCGTTCAAGCTTCCGATATGTATTTCGTGTGACTTCAGCGGTCCGTGGCGGACTCTAGTGAAGACGTTAAGGTCTCAGACCTCGATTTGTGCCTTATATATTTCCTCGCCGTAAACGTACACGACGATACCATCGCGGACATTTTTGAAGGTACAGCTGGCCATATATTTGGCCATATCGCTTTCATCGTCTCCCTTGCTATTTCCCGCTTTTCTTGCGATTAATCTTTGGATTATATTACGTAGGTGAGTAGCTTCTACGGGACTAGTCAGTCTTATCGTAGTGACATTAATCTGGAAAGCAGTGTTGCGGTTATACTATACGACAAGATTGGTGATCGTCCTGCTCTGTGAATCGATCTTCTTTTATTACTCTGCGACGGTGGACTTAGGCTAATCGACTACTATCTATAGTGGTTTGATTTCGTTGCCCTTTTTGTTATCGACGGTTTTTTTGGTGACGGTGTTACTATCGCTATTGAGACTAATGAATCGAGTCTTCTTTTTGCGCGGTTAAATCTTGAGCTTATCTGAGTCCGAGAGGCCAGATGCCTCCTTTCCTCTTTTGGATGTATTCGCAAATCCCGCAGAGCTAAGTGACTAATCGTCTTTCTTCTTGTTCTTGATGGGCGTCTCAGGTTTGTCCTTGCTACCCTCGTTCTTGGTATTCTTGTTTGATCGCGATGTAGTCAATTTGTCGGCGTAGGGTCGTTTCTTGCGACTGCTCCGATCCACCACTTGCGACACGCTGAATACGCGTATCTGTTGTTCCAACAGATGCTTGCTTTAAAGGAAATCTATCTGAGGGAAAGGACAGGCCCCCTAGAAAGTTCTAGAGGTCCACAGACTACGTAAGTAGCCCTGCACTTGACAGCCTTCCAGTGGGCTTGTCTTGCGTACTATGGTATGCCGAGGCTCGTAGGGGGTTCTAGAAGGTGCTGTGAGGCCTGGTTAAAAATTTGGGTATAGCGCCTACGACCTCAACTACACTAACACAACCGCTGCAGTGTCCTACACCTTGGGACCCTGCAAGGTAGTCTGTACCTACAACCCCGGTAGCTAGCCAAATTTTAACAAGAAGTTTAGCGACAGCATTGTCTTTGTCTTTTGTATCGAAGAAAGCTAGTTGCCGAGCTACCTAGAGAGGGAGAAGATGAGCGGGGATATATAATAATGATAATAAACCCTATTCAAGCGGAGACAGTGGCACCGTTTTCTTATAAGCATATACGGTGTTTGCGAAAGGGCGATAGTGCCGTACGGTCAGGGCAACTCGATGCGGTGGCTTATGGTGATATTATTACTGAGTAAGGTCGTCAAGCTACGCGATCCAAACGTTTCGAGATACGACTGGAGATGAGTCATGACCCAGCTGTCAGACCAACAAACCAACAGTACACCGTCCCCCTGGCCGCCGTCAGCCGAGTGGCAAAAAGGATCGAGCAGTATTGGCAGAGTGAATCGGGGGAAGGAAGGGACCCAAATTTTGGCAAATAGCCAGCTGCGTCCCTTCAGATCGTCAAGACTCTGTAGCAGTAGTTTGTTGTCATAATAAATCTTCTCATTGCTACTCTTTCCTCAGTGGATGAGACGCCTGCTCTCCGCACTCGACTCTTTCGTCTCAAACGACAGATTAACATACGCCGGTGGCACGACCGGACTGCCCTGCCCTAGTGGTCCCAGCGATTCACTATCCGACGTGACGGGTACCTCACCATCGATGTTTTCCCACTTTCGCTCTGACTGCCCCTCATACGCAAGTCGCTGAATCTGAAGCACATAGTTGTGATTCCAGCTCCTCAAGGAACGCGCTACCCTGGCCTTGGATACTTGACTGAGACGGCTGACAACAGAATCCAGAGCTAAACTCGCCAAGATTATCAATACGCCTAGGATTGCCACGAGCAACAGACCAAGGAGAGAGATATTGCTGAAGCCCTGACCAACTCGCACCCTCTGCGCCCGGCAGAGCTGTTTCTGGGCCTCTGTCGCAGGCGGCACGATGTATTGACGTATCGACTCGGTGCTTGGTCCTGTAGCCTGCATAACCAGGCGCGTCTGCATTACTGACATCACTCAGGCATACCAGTTCTCGACCTCGATCTGCCACTGGTTCGATGGCAGGGCAACCTGATTTATGCCCATGAAGAGGCGCCGCTGTACTACTAGGTTATCAGTCGTGTCCTGATCCGGGCCTGTGAGCCAAACGACGGTGTTGTTGAAGATTGTTAAAGTTGCCTTCTAAAAATCCGTCAGATTGAGTGTGCCGAGGACTTCGGTTACAATGGTCGACCAAAGTCCGAGCTTCGAACAGTCGTTCCCGTGGGCCTTGCAGATTTGATGCTATCGGAAACAAGTTAGCCCTCGGGCACCGCGGTGTAGTACGAGGAATGAATGAATTTACCTGATCGACGCAGCCCAAGACCCCCGCGGCGCGATCTCTCAGATATCTCGTGAAGTTCTGACCATTCGGGAGGGGCAGGACCTCGGGCTTATGGGCTGAAAAGATAAGATCATCTACCAGATTAAAGTATCGAATGTTCGCTGCCTCGACAAAGACAAGACCTACCCTGCCGTCGAAGCGCTTCAAGGCCGGTACAGGCTCCCAGCCACCAGGATAGCCGAAATCTCCGATTGAGCTAGACAGCAATGAAGTCAGTTTAGGCTCGAAGAGGGGATGAATTTGTCCTAAGCGCAGGCGTAGAGCTTACGCCGTAGTATACGCATAGAGTAGCTCATTAACAATAGAATCAAACTTGATAGTGTAATTGCGGCTCGAATCCCTCCTCCCATACCAATAGATGGTTAGTTCTTCCGATTTACTCGCTAGCGACACGGGTGTGGAAGCGTTGGAGGTCCTCGTCAACCTGTACGGAACCGTCTGGGCGAAGCCGCCCTGCACAATTGGCGCACAGGTTATGACGCGTCGAAAGTCGATTTACTCATTCGGCGCCAGGTTGAGGCCAAAGATTCCATTCGAGTTCAATCGACCCGTGTCCTGCACCATCGCTGGACCATCACACATGTCATTGGCAAATGGGCACGGTGCGTGGAAGTCCGTATTCTAAGTAATAGCTAGTACGGCGAATCCGCTGCACGACTCGGCCGCCGACGTGCCGTTGTAGCACTGGCGCGCGTATGTGGCCGCACGACTGCGCGCTTCGTGGTCGTACATCACGAAGGCATCGATTTTATCTATGCCAAGAACGAAGTCGTTTGTTTCCACCGAGCTTATGTCGATCATACCGCAGTATAGCGAATTCAGGAAGACGGAGATCTAAATCGTGTCCAAGATAGCAGACGAAAAAGTGCCAACCAAGGCAACGCAGACAGCAAAGACAAGGCCCATGACGCCGAGGGCAGAGGGCCGTATCAAGGGTGCTGAGCGTCCCTTCTAGTGCTACAAAAGTTTGAGAAGGCGGACGCGAGTGCTGCCGGCCGAGTCGTCGTTGCGAAGGAGTGCCTGCACCTGCCGCCCGATCGGGTGGATGCCCTTGTCTGTCGTGAGGATTTGGTGCAGAGCGAAGCGGACGAGATGCCAAAGATGTATGCTGGCCGCGTGGATGAAAACTGCAAGCAGGGCAACCACCAAGCCACCGGCCCAAGAGGGAACGGTAATTACGGCGCCCATGATGCGACCCTTGGTCCAGTCGGACCAGGCGCCGACGTAGACATGGGCTAGGTCGACACTCATTACGGCGTTGCGATGCGGACACAGTGCGGAAGCGATCGCCCAGGAGAGCAGAAGTCCGGGAAATGAGGAGGAGCTTTATTTTACACTCCCCTACTCTTTTACTCTATGCATCGAAGGGAGTGATCCTTCGATACGGCTCTAGAGCCTCGTTGGCTGTGCCGAAGCACCGCCAAAGCCGAAATCCCAACAGCCCCCACCCCACACACCCCAGCCAACTAATTAATTACGGTGGGGAAGGACACCAGCATATATTCTGACCCCTCTCACTGCTCTTCTACTCCGGCTGCATGCTCAGCCTCTCCGCAGGAAACTATCACGCAGCACTCTTATCAGACAGTACATGGCTGCCGGGCTTGGCCTGGACGCCAGCTCCAGTGCTAACGATGCAGGCAGGTCAGCGATGATGAGTTTGTTCTCCCTGGGATTGGCTAGAAGCAGCCATCACCTGCACGCCCAGTCAGACACTGAACAAGGCTCTCACAGTCAAAAATGGGCGAGTTGTGGAGATTTGGGGAATAAAACAAACCTTTTTGGTAGGCGGAGTGTTACCTAGTAAATAGTTACGTGATCTTAAACTTTCACCATTTTAATAATCCAAAGGAGATATAACCGGAGGAAATCCCGACTAGAATCAACCCGACCGCTGATTGGGTTGGTACAAGCGGGTGGTGTGGACCCACATCAGCTTGGTACAACCAAGCTGATGGGCTGGCTATATATAGCGGCCTTCTGTCAGAAGCACTGCACACTGCACTGCACACTGGATTCGGTGGAAAAGATGGAGTTCAAAGTGATTTTCATTGAGATCTCTGCTCCTCCCGTGCTCTTTGGCTCAGTCAGAGAACCTCTATTATAGTTATGAATGGTGGCAAACAGTAGTCGTTGCTAGCTGAACTGACTACGTAAAGTTCAGCTTGCATGAGCTCTTTTTTAGCTCGCATAAGCACTTTTTCAGCTTGGTTGACCACACCACTTGGTGTTCTGGCACTGCGTGCTAGAACCCCCTTCTTTCTGACACCTTCTGCCACTTCACCGAACCTCTCCTTCTTGACAGACATCCACGATCCATCACTTGAACCATCAGCCTTCGGCGCACAGCTATCGCCCTATTGATTCCAGTACTGGTACCTAGTAATCCCAATAGATACAAACTTCTTTCGAGTGGCAAGACTTACCCTCCACTAGATATCCCACTAATAAGGTCGAAGAAGTCCGCCGGTAGAGGGTTGTCGGCCATATCCAGGTCGTACTTAATCCTCCGTATGACCTCTTCAAGAATAAGGAGCTTTGAGAGTCTACGAATACCCTCGCCGTCTATATAGCTGTTAGTAACACGAGTAGTAGTAGCTAAACTCGACCTATAATACTAACTTAACGCCAGTGAGTATAATAGCTTATTATTTATAGAATGATGAGCTTGACATCAACATGTCTCCCTAGTCACCCATGGTGGTTGAAAGCCCCGTAACTAGTGGGGGAAAATTGGACATTGCAAAATATCCCGCCCCGCCCCCTCCCCCTTGATCCTCCACAGTATTGCCGACCCCCTTCGTCATGGCGCGCTTCATTCGGTGGCCTATCTTGCAAGCTAAACTGGCTTGCTATGACGCGATGTGGTGGCACGACATCACACTAATACCCTCTTAGAAAGTTCTTGCATGTTGAAACCCGCTCAAATTCTCAGCCGTACCTTCGAAATGAGTGTGCCCGGAAAGAGCCGCCTTTTTTCGGGTGAAATGGGGTTCCCACATGGTAGAGTTCTAGGGGCTATCCCTCGGCTTCTCCAGCGCTTCCACACTCAACTGACATCTAATTATATTGGCCCACAGTTTGACCATCTTAGCTGCCCCCCAGCTCAACATAACCCCATGGAATTATGTGGAGATTTGAATTGTTTGGTTAGCCGTCGTTCGTCTGCCCACCCCAAACAACGCGTCCATTCAAAAGTACGCGTCGTTCATGCTTTCGTGCAATCTTTGAAGTCGAACTCTTCGGTCTCTACCACAGTGCCAAGATAATATAGTTCTTGTAGATTTCAAGACATATTCCCAATGGATTCTCTCTGGCGACAGCCCGCATCTGACGCTCGCGTCAAAGGGGTCTTCAAATTTCCGCCCACGGCCGACGCCGTGCCCTGCTAGCTCCTCCTTACCCCTCCACCTCCAGCCTCCAGTGGTAGGCCCGCTATCTCCAGGGGTAGGTAAACACTAATAGAGACGTAGCTCTCGAATGCGTACAACCATAACTAATTTAGGCGGACATTAGAGACCTCAATGGCTTCATTGGGCCAACGACGCCGACTGGGCAGACTGGCTCAGCAACGTAATAAATACCAATCTCAATGGTACCAACTTAGGTGACCAAATAGAGAGGCTAAATTACTACCATATTAGGCTGCTTTCACTGTAATAGCCTGTCGAAAGCCTCTGCAGCCATGTAGGCTCACACGACCACGTCACGCAATAGCAGTGCAAGGAAAGAACCTATGGCACAGTCTATGGCACAGTCTATGGCACAGTCTCAAGAACTCACACAACAATGGGCCGAGCTAGACTTGTTCCACGCGCTCCCACAAGGCCAGGTTTTGGTTACGAAGAAAACAACCATACTAGCGTCCTCGAATACTTACCATTCAGCGAAGCAATCTTCGGTAATATACAGGAGAAGTTGCTTTTGCACCGGGCCATGCCCATTCTCCTCGACCGAGGCGTCCCTGTCATGACGAGGATACCGGCCACTTACCAGGAAATCAAATGACGAGGTAAGGTTTCTTCGTTTCCATATATAATCAACTGGGTCATCCGCCCCCTGACCTCCTCTTGTTTGTCCCAGTTTATATCCTCCGAGTGCAACACACGCTATTACGAGACTACACTGCGCTCGTCGTAACCCACGTTCCGGGAGGGCCGGTTGTCGGCGGTAAGAATCCAGAGACAGGGATCCAAGACATACGCCATGGTGCTCGGCTGCTCGCAAGACGACATGTCCGAGTATCGCCGGATATTGGGATACTTTCCGGACACCATATCGTCCCCGTTCACCATTATCAAGGTCTTTCTCGAGCTTGAGCGCCCCGCCGGTTCAATGACGTTGAGAGAAAGATCCAGGAGTTCGAGAGTAAGTTCTTGTACGGTAAACCTGAAAAGCAGGCTCCTGTCGCGAGCGGCCGCCATGCCCAGGAAGACCCTGAGGGTCTCATCCAGCTCTACTTGAAGAACGTGTGCCAGCTGAAGAATAGCTTGGCGGCGTGGATGGTGCAGCTGGAGGGCTTCATCAAATGGTCCGAGCACGACTTTGCCATCCCCGAGGGCGAGCAGGACGACGTCGACGCCAAGGTGTTCCTACGCATGATGGCGGACGAGTACTAGATCAAGATGGACAAGTGCGAGATGGTGTTGCAAGGGGCTTCCCTAGGGTTTCAGATGGTGCGTGTCTTTCTTCCACTACTATCTAATTACTTGCAACAGACAAAGCAACGCAAACCTTCTCAACTCCAGGCCCACTAAACTACAATCATCTGATTGCCGATTAACGCATAATTCGTTTCGTCTGGCCTCAGGAAACGGCACATCTCTCGCGACTAGATACACGGCTCTCGCGAATGGACACTAGCATCGCCCTGCGCGACGGCAAGCAGATGAAGGCCATCGCGGTCCTGACCATGATCTTCCTGCCAGGGACATTTGTCGCGGTAGCTACCAACCGACTTACCAAATGTGCGCTTATCATTTCGCTTGCTAATTGATCCTGAGCGCACGCCAAACTTTAGACGTTGCTTGCCGTGCCCCAACTATCGGGTCTCGGTACAACCGGGAACTTTCCAAGCTGGTCTTGGTATCTGATTCTGTTTCTCCCCCTGACGGCCCTGGTGCTTCTCGCCTACTTCCTGTGGGTCAACTCGAAGTATTTCAGGCCCAAAGAGTTCAACGATCCAGCACTCACCGTGTGATCTGCGTTTTATCTCATGGGTGCTGAGGCCTTGGAGTAGTAGTATCGTTTCCTTGGACACGTTGTGCCGGTTTTAGCTACCCCTAAGGTTTATGATGAAACAGCTTTACAACGAATGAATACCATCGTTCCAGTAATTAGGCGCTCCCGCCTTTTTCCTTCCTTCGTTTCCATCCCCAACTGGCCAAGGGAGGTGGCACTCTTTGACATGTAAACCCGCAAGGTTGCTGCTAAAGGAAGATGGATGCATGCTGTGAACACACCTAATTAATCACACGATCAAACACACATAATAACGACAAATAAAAATCACTCCAAGCTGGCCCTCAGCCTCTACAGGTAAAAAAAGCGGCTCAGGACTCAGCGCGGCCGCTCGAGAGTAGGTTGCCTAAAGTGCGCGTGCGCGTGGCCACGGCGGCTTGCTTATGCGACGGACATGCGGACGTGCGTCAGCTCTTCGAGCAGGTCGTAGTACAGCGCGGCCCGTCTCGAGGTTGAGCGGGTCGTCGTGTGATTGCGGGTTGTGGATGCGTCCTGTCGAAGATGGATGCTGTTCTGTTTCCGCCAATTAGCTCTTGTTTAGTGAAGATGTTTCCTTTTTCTTGAATTTGGTGTGATGGTGGGAAAATAAAACACGTAATTATAGCTTCTCGCCCATCTAACGAGCCGCAGTCCTGCGACGTGCTGGCCAGAAGCTCGTCCAGCATGTCGTCGGACATCTTCTCGGGCGGCCTCGGCCTGACTGGTGGATATGTTAAGAAGGACCTAGAGTGGGTGGAGCCGGAACAGAGTGCTTATACCCGCTGCGACGTCACTTCACTGTCGTTCGGGCATTTGACTAAACAATAATTCCAGGGATTGCCGTCGTTCCTGCATGCACCGCGGGGTGACACCTGCACGTCCGAGACAATGATGAACATGGGTAATCAAACTCCCACCTTTATTACGTAAAGCAGTCAACTTCACAACGGGAATGCTGAGGCTGATGAATCCATAAGATTTTTTTACTTTAGACTAGGTACGTCAATCGTCACATGACAATGATAGGCGACATTAACGGCATGTATGCAAGAAAGAAGGACAGACAGAAAGAAAGATAGAAACGGAGGGACTATGCTCGACCACCCCCTGGCCTCCTCGCTCCTCCACACCAACTCGCCCAGTCGTTTCCTCCCTCCCGCACGAGACCACCCCTAATCAAAACCACTCAGAGCGGCTTGGCCGCCCAGCCTAGGGTAGGGGTCGTCGCGCCATTGAAGACAACGAAGGCCGCCTTGAGCGCGACATCGCCAAAGATGTTGATCCCGATGCCCGAGCTCGACTGCAGGCCACCAAAGCAGGTCGAGCTGCCATCGGTCACCTGGCCGTAGTTGAGATACGCAGCCGGGATGACGATGCGCGCGGAGCCGACGCCGAACGTAAACGTCGGCAGCGTGGCCGAGCACGGGAAGATGTAGCCGCCGTACGTGTTGCTGTTGGACGAGCCCGAGACCTTGTTGTAGTAGGCGCGCACGATGGTGGTGGGCAGGTACAGCAGCGTGGTGCCCGTGTCGGCGATGCCGCTGATGCTCGTCGAGACAAAGGCTGCCGTGCCGACCGCGTACCCTGATGATGTGAACGTCCAGTACCCCTGCGTCGTGCTGACGCTGGTGTACGTGATGGTGCCCGTGTACTTGCTCGTGTCGATGTTGCCGAACTCGTAGGTGCCGGCTGGGAAGAGTGGGTTAGTTGTTTGTCCTGTCTAGAAGGTGGGAAGAGGGGCAGGGGCAGGGGCAGGGCAGGGGCAGGGGCAGGGGCCGGGGCAGGGGCTGCTTACGGGCCTGGTGCTTGAGGTCGGCCGTGAAGAGCGGCGAGGTCAGCTGGGGCTTGACGTTGGTGAACCACGTCTTCTGCTTGGTCGGCGAGACAGTGTTGATGTTGTCGAAGCCGAGGCCGAGAAGGCCGTCGATATCCGGGTCGGCGGTGAAGGAGGACGACACCGTCTTGGCGGCCTCGACGGCCTGGCTGGTGACGGTCAGGGGGCCGACGGCGACCTTGTCGGCGTAGACATTGCCGCTCGACGAGCTGCCGTCGCCGTAGGAAATGCTCCACGAGTAGCCCGACTTGAGCGACGCCGAGGTGCTGGCGCCGGCGTTGTACAGGGTCTGGCCGTTGACCTCGCTGGCGGGCAGCTGGGTGCTGAAGACCCAGAGATCCGACGAGCCCGAGTCGAAGTCGAGGTTGAGGACCTGGGGCGGGGTGCCGATGGAGACGGGCGTGATGTAGGCGTCGTCGAAGCTGTCGATGGGGGTGGCGCTGGCGCTGCCCGACGCGCGCTTCCCGACGCGGCCGTTGGTGATGTTGAAGACGGTGGCGCGCAGCTCGTCGGGGATGGGCACGCCGAACTTGAGGTACGTCTTGTAGACGGAGACGGGGCCGCTGGGCTTGTGGCGTGGGTTGCGGACCTGCTTGACCTCGAAGCTGCCGCGCTCGTTGACGGTGGTGCCAATCTTGGGGGGCAGGGCCGAGACAAGGCCGGCGCCGGCGAGGAGCGCCGAGACCAGGAACGACGCGAAGGAAGGCATGTTGTTGACCTTGGCGTGCAGGGGAGGGCGGGAGTCAAGACGACACAAGCTTTGCGGTCAGGGGTGGGAAGGCTGGAGAGGGAGGTGTCGATGCTGCACCCAAGAACTTGGCACTCATCTTGGCGGACCAAGACCGTACTTATACACGCAGGAACGCCTTGGCTGTAGCTTGGCTCCCGCGCGTCGACGTCGACGGCCGCGGTGGTGCGCGCGGCGCGGTGCTGGCTGGCTGGCTGGCTGTCGCGATGTTTCGTCATAGGGCGACCAGAGTGAAAGGGGAAGCTGGCCGAGGCAGCTGCCTGTACCGGAACCATCGCCGCCGAGCACGCCTCGCTCGAGGCAGAGCCAGGGGGAAGACCGTGAGCGGACGCAATTGGCGCCGGAGCTGGTGGACAGCTTGGGGTGTTGAGGTCGCCACGGTTGCCAGAATCCCAAGGTCACCTCCCAGGAGCAGCATAGCCAAGCAACCCCACGCGACTGCTGTGGGCCGCCATGTGGTCCTGTGGTCCTGCGGTTCTGTGGCCTGCGGTTCTGTGGTCCTGCGGTTCTGTGGTCCTGCGGTTCTGTGGGCTACCGTGTGCTGCCGTGTGCTTGCTGGGGAATTGCAGACCTAAAGCGGGCAAGATGGCCGACCTGGCCGAGGTGGCCGGGCTCGCCATCCTGCCAGCTTCCGCTTTGGTCGTGGTCGAGCTATGGCGCAACTCCAGGTGTTCAATGCTGTGGCCCCGGGGCGGCCAGGGTCGTAGTGGGTGCCGAAGTCGATAAGCCGAGGGTGGGACGTGGTTGCACTGGACCGCCAAGATAAGGGGGTGCCATCCCGCCTCGGTAGATGGACCTCCCCGATCTGTGCTAGGCCCGCTACACGACGTCCACCTTTAGCTACTGTGCAAGTAGGTAATAAGGTAGTGGGCGCCTGATGTTGTGCGGGCCGCCTCGCGTGCCTCCGCATTACTGGTCGGTGCTTCCTCTCGCATCTCCAGGTTGCTTCCTTTCGCATCTCCAGGTTGCTTCCTCTCGCATCTCCAGGTTGCTCCCTCTCGCATCTCCAGGTTCCTCGACACCCGGCAATCTTGGCAGGATCCGATGCCCGCCTATAGCTGTGCTCAGCCGACCACTTTCCTCTGTTATTTTTGCTCCTTTTTGCTCCCTTTGCTCCTGTTGGCTCTGCGCTTCGTTATGGTGCTGCCTGGGCTGCATTGCCACTTGCCCCCAATTCTAGCCCTTGACCAACAACTAGCAAACCATCCTGCGCCCATTGCGCCCCCCATGGAGAAGTTATGCCGTCCCCCTGGCGGCCAGGACCCTCGTGCAATACAGTGCACCTCGTGCAATACAGTGCACTACCTTGCGCTAGCTCGGAGTTTTTGCCTTACCCCGCGGGAGCTAGCCTACAAAACCCCAGGGGGCAATTGCCGGCGCATCCGCTGATATAATTGGCCCGGTGTGGAAATTCCCCTAATGTTAATTTCTTATCGATCGTCCATTGCCCTTCCAGGTTGCCCCTCTCGTCACTTTCTTATCCTCACCTCACGACAATTGTCTGATCACCCGACAATTATCTGATTACCCGACAAATAGTTTCGATTGAGATCTCCAGAGCACCAGCTGGCCTGTACCCCCCATGCCCGCCAGCCGTACCTGGGCTAACTGGCTGCGGCCTCCGCAGCCTCGACCTCGCGGCCCGGGCCTTCCAAAGATTAAGCTGCAGGGTTAATAACGGCCCCGTCCCCCCTTTCCGCTCTTGTCTAGTCTGCGTTCACCACACCTTTTGCGCGGTTCTGAGCATTCTTCTCTGGCAGCCCTTCTTCAGCGGTCCGCACATGCAAACGCGCCTGACGTATTGTTTGATTCCCAGTGCGGCATTTTTGGTGTATTCGCATATACCTCCCTTCAGGCTGCCACGCCATGCCCAAAGACGTGATGGCACCCGACACGCGACCGACTGCCATGCACCATTACGTGATGCAAGCAGCCAGGAGAGTAAAGATGGTGGGTAGGTGGGGGTCCTGCACGCTACAGCAAACCAGTGTGGTCCGTTGCCCTGAATTGTTTAGTTCTCCCCACCCTTTAGAGTTGGTTCGAGAACCGTCGCCCCTTGCTTCTTCTGACCTACCCTTTTCGTGCAAGCCACTAGAAGTGGAAAGGTGCCCACTTGGTGCCGCGCTACATGCGCCTCGGCTCCATTGCCCGTTGGAAACGTCTTCACGTCTTCGACGACGCCATGTCGTGCTCCTGCTTCTGCTCGCCTTTTGTTTGCTCCTGCTCGTCTAGGCCACGGCTGCTAGCCCTGATCGCTGTGCCCGGGCTGCCGTCGGAGCTGGACGGCGGCTAGTGCATTCCATCACGCCATACCCGCCCGGCAAGCGGCTCTGGGGCAGCCTAGACCCTCCTCCCTCTTTCAGCTGCTCCTCCGATCTGGCACCGCATTCGTCGGTGTCCAACGTAGGTGGCGTCAACGATGTTGCGATGCACCCCCGTGTGAATCCCTCCCGCTAGCCAACCTAGTGTAATCTTTCTGCCACTCCCCAAAACTAGTATAGTCGCCTGTTCAGGTATGTGTCATAGAAACTGTTCAGCGCTCGATTGCTTGTTTTCCAGTATCCTCGACTCATTGAAACGAACGGGGCGGGGGCTCACGATGGCGTCGTTGCCATTTCATCGCAATGATGGGCCATGATGGCGCAAGTGGAGCTGTCTGCGCTCGTTTCCCTCCTTCCACATGCGTCCTAACTCATTCCGCCAGTGGGAAACCATGTCTGGCAACAACAGGCCCCGAGTGAGTCGGGCACCGGTGTTTAGGTGTCTCTTGCTCAACATATGGAGCTGAATCAAGGAGGTCTCATGAGAGACCTTGATCAAAGGCTCTCTCTCCATCGACGCAAGTTCACTCTTCTATTCAGCCATTAACAAGGCCATCCCTCGTCGCCCAAGCTTCTCACTGCAACAGATATTGGCGCCTCGCTTTCGTTTCTTCCTTGGACTCGTTGTTCGGCACTCAATGATACATCTTACTTTTGATTAGAACACCATGGAGATTCATGGTTGAAGGCCTTCCCACCATCAATCCTCTAGCCCAAGCGATCGGGTTGTGGGCTAATTTATTCTACTTAATTGTCCCCCGCGTTTCAGTCATAGCCCAATGCAATCGATGTCTCACACCCTCCCACCCCCCCACCCCCTCCCTTTTCCTTTTCTAGGCTTCATCGAACCTTTATAGTCGCTAGTCGCATGTAATAGTCGTTCTCCCTCTTTGCCACCATCCCTTTTCCGTTTCCAGACTACCAATCTCCTTTGTCCGTGCCTATTTTCACGTCTCCTTTCTACTGAGTGTAGTGTGCCTGAACCAAAGTCATATTCCTAGACCAAGGCTTCGATACCCCTAGGCCAATTTTTTCAACCGTTCGGCCGCCTCTGCACTTGGAGGTGCACTTGGATGAAAAATGAAAAGGAACGCAGCGCCCCTCAATTGATGACTGCCCCGCGGAGTGATAGCGATTTTGTGAATGTCTCTCGTTCCCTCAACTAATTGCTCGAGCCACCCCTGAACGTAGTTGCGCTGGCTGGTTGGAAATTTGGTTTATAAACGGTTTCTGCTTAAGACTAGTCGTAAGAGCCTCGTCTACCAAGCCTCCTGCCAAGACGTCTTCCAAGCCATCTGCCAAGGAATCCCATTGGTAAGCCGAGCAATATTCCGGCTCATATTGCCGGCTGTCAAACATTCCCCACAGGCCCCGACGCAGGGCAGTTACACAGGCGGCAGGGCATCAATATATTAGCCCCAAGTCGTACGAGCTGGGCGCTGAGGCGCATTTAGAAATAGAAAAGGTCCAGAAGAGACCCGAGTTGCCGTTGTACATCTGACGGCATTGCAGTTAATTAGTTGCTGAACAGCTGCGCCTTGACGCCGCCGCAGAATATTAGCTAGTTTTACAGTTGCAACCTGGAGAATAGGCGTGAGGCGTAGTGTCGCAGTTTGTGGTTTTAGAGGAGGCGAAGTCTCACGCAACATTGTAGCGGTGGAAATCTCGGCAGTCTAGACTGTGCCGCCCTCTTGGCGACCCAGACGGCCGGGATCATCTCTAATACGACGACGTGCAGCCGTCTGCCACCCGGCGCCATATAAATGTCTCAAAAGGATTCCCACCCTTCGACGACATGGTTTCTGGCCCTTCCCAATTCCAAGTAAAACCTCCCAGACAGGCGATATTCTTCATCACGAACGGGCAGCTTGATCGAGTTTGGCGGCGGCGGCGGTGGCAACGACATAAAATCCCGCGACGATGCATCTGCCCACTCTGGTCTATTTATCCGCCGCGGTTAGCCGCGCAGCCGGCCGCGCGTTTCTGCCCCTGACAACGGCCACCGAAGTCACGTTCCGCAACGAGACGGAAGGGAAACTCGGAGACCCTCCCGTCGTGGCGGCGCCCCCCGGGGGGTGCCCGCCGTTTGAAAGGGGCAACTTCAGCATCGACGCGTACCAGCTGTACCCGGAGAACATGGACTGGGACTCCGAGCTGTGCCAGGTCTACATTGGGTAGATGACGCCTTTTGGTCAGGTTTCATGCTGATTTCTTGCTGACGAGAGAGATCCAGCATCCTGTTCAACGGGAGCTTCGGCATCTACGACCCGTACGGCGATAAACTCGACGTCGTGCGCTTCCCCGGCTACTCGCTCGACGCGGCCATCCACATGGGTGGGGTCGGCTGGGACGCGCGTACGGGGCTGGCGTCGGCGATCGTGGGGCAGGGCAACGCGTTCAACACGGCAGGCGCGGTAGTGGGCGGCGACAATCTGCTCAAGAAGTACGACCCGCGCACGCGCGCCGTGGTTTGGACCGTCAACTTGACGGCGACCACGCAGGGCGCCTACGGCGGCTTCAACGACGTCGCGCACGACCCGGCCGGCAACACGTACGTATGCGGCACGTTCCCGTCGTCTATCCTGCGCGTCGACGCCCGCGGCACGCACGTCACGGCATGGTACCCGCCCGCCGAGCCCGTAGACCACACGGTGCGCGGCTTCTCGGGCATCGTGGCGCACGGCATCACGCTCGTCGCGCTCGACAGCGGTGCCGGCAAGCTGGTACGCTTCGACGCGACGGCCGCGACGGCAGGAACAGGCGTGGTGGTCCCCGTGGCTCCCAACGTATCCATCGCGGGCGGCGACGCGATCCACCTACCGGCCAAGTTTGGCGGGCGCGTGATGCTCGTGGCCGAGCACGCGGCTGGGGTTGCGGTGCTGCGGTCGCGAGGCGGCGACGGGGACGCGAGCTGGACGGCCGCGGAGCACTTAGGCGTCGTGCCGAATTCTGTCGCGGCTCTGCCCCCCGGCGCGCTCGTCGTCTCGACCACCCAGATCGGCGACAGGCTGTACATTGTCAACGACTGGTTCGCGGACCCTGTCGTGTCTGGGACTGTTGCCGGGAACAAGACGGCGTTTCCCATGGTCGACATTACCCGCCAGGTCGACGAGTTGCTGCATCAGAGGGGCTTGAGAGGTTGAGGTGATGGGGGTGAGAGTTTCAAGGTTGGTGGTGGGTGGCACTTTGTTGGTTGGAGCAAAGTTGGTTTGGTGAAGGACTTGTGTTGTAACTGAGCGTCTCGGTCCTTGGCATGGCACGAGCCATGGATTGCCTGATGACAGGTGGATGCAGCGTTCATAACAATACAAATAATTCAATGCGAATCGAACCAATCCAAATACTAGCAAATAAAATACGGCTAATATACCATTTAAATAAATCAAATATAGAATTCTTCATATTTGATTTACTTTATTTTCATTTGATATAAAAATAAGGACCTTTTTTTCCTAGTTCTTCCCACATCTACGACTAAGAAAGGTCGGATTTTCAAGGGCCCAGAATTAAAGTGGGCTACGGAGCTTACCCGTGCCGCATTCTTATTTTTCAGTGCTGGTTCAAACAAAGCAAATACAGGGTCCCGGTTTGATTTGTCCGCGTTGTTATTAAAGCTGGGCCGCAGGTGTCATGCCCTGAGATGGAAGCGTCTTGGAATATAAATCCAACAGTTTGAACTTTAATAGACGGCTTGATCCTGGGACAACGATATTGTATTTCCGGAAATGGTAGAAAGCTCTTCTCACGCTCCCTTTCGTCTCGGCGAAAAAAATGACGGGATAGGTGTATTGCCATCCAGGTTGACAGGCTACTTTAGAAACAGGAAATACCGATATAAACGTCATATGGAGGAGTTCTGCAAAAGAAATAGAAATTTGTTATGGTAACGTTAACATGTTTTTGGCTTTCTAAAGATATAATGAGCCGGGGTAACAACACACACTAGTTAGGGGTACAGGTCAGGGATGCAAGCCGCCCTGCGGCCTGTGCGTTTGACGATAAAACTCTGCTCTTTTCTAAAAAAAAAAAAAATCGATCTCTACACCCTCATTCCGAGCCTACGGCTCGCCCTGATCCTACTGTTGTTTTGTTGTGTTGTGGTGCCTTTTTACCGGATCAATAATTATTACAAGTTCCCTTGTCACCTAACAACCAATCGAAAACACGCTAAAAGTGACCTTGGATGCACCACCAGGATTTAGCAAACTTCGTGGGAAATACGCTGCAAGGCCAGCTTAGAACGCTAGCACCGTCAAAACCAGCCTTAGTTCTTCTTCTTACGGCCTAAAGCTTCCACCTTTGCCCGGGTAAAGTCTTTTATGGCTCTCTCCTTTGAGCCAGGCTTCTGTCACAGGTTGGTACTTGTCGCTCTTCGAAATGTGTCCAACAGCCATTCCCAGGCTGGCGGTCCATTCCATTTCCATCCACGCAGCCTCTAGTAGAATGGATGGACGTCCATTTGGGTCCACCTCAAATGGAATGGATGGAAATGGACGCTAAGAGTAGGCCCGTGGAATGGATGGACATGGAATGGAAATACGTGGACGCTAGCTATAAAGGGACGATACACGTGATCCTCCCCCCTGTTGCCTCCCGGGCTTCCGCAAAGCTCAACTCAGCCAACAGATCAGTCCCTGGCGCCTTGGCTTCTTCAAGAAGCTTCTCTGTACTCTCGATATATCCCCCACGAAGCCATGATCTCACTGTCTGTGTCATCCCGATCGTACTAGCGTCCAGCCTAGCTCGTTCGTCTCGAACCATTCGCCCGCATGTTGAGAACAGTCTCTCGACATCAGCAGACATAGGAAGGACAGAAAGCACATCGAGAGCCATTTGCGACAGACGTGGATACTCTTCCCGCCTCTCATACCAATAGCTAATAGGATCTAGGACATTCTGGTCAGACTTATGGACGTCGCGGAACCAATCGCTGTATTCGTCGCCAACAGAATGAGCTGAACCGCCGCCCACGTCCTCAGCTTGTAACAAGGGAGTCGTCGATGAAGGTAGCTGTAATAGAGTCGGGGCAAGACGGGATTCTTCACGATACTCATCAAAAGGATTCCGATATATGCGCCGCTTCTTCATGACTGGCTCGCCGCGGTCTCGATCCCGCGAGATAGTTCGCCACTTGTAGTGAGACCGGTATAGTCCCTCTACAACGGATTTTGCAGTCTGGATCCAGTCCGGGCGATCCGCCCAGACGTCCTCGAAATATCCCCAACGGTACGCCGGGTGAAGTGTAATGGCGGCGTAATAGACCGGCGTCTCGTCAAGCCGCGAGTAGTACCTGTCAAGCTTCTTCCAACAGAGGTTAATATTAACCTTGAAGAGTTCAGGATCGGGATATCGATGAGCGGTAGCCTTGTATATCTCCATTTTACCAAGGAGGTATTCGTAGCCAAGCAGGATATCCCATGGACACCCATACGCTTCGATGTATCCTTCTTTCCGCTTGCGCTGCTGACCATCGCCTTCGAGAGTAATCAGGACGTGCTCGAAGTGTTGCAGGACCTCGTTAAATAAGGAGATAATAGCCCAGTCTTTCTCTCCAAGTTTGTTCTCGTCCCTGAGGCAAAGTGGCACGTCGCTGTTTGACTTCTTTCCCCTCAATACCAGCCCCTCCCACTCGCTTTTCTGTTCGTACCAAAGATCCTGGAGGAAGTCCTTTAAGAGAAGGGCACGCCGAATCATATAAAGAGTGGATAGCCAACGGGTGACCACATCGGTGATAACATCCAGAGGTTTCTTCGCTCGAGTCGCCGGATCATCAGACTTGCTATACGCGGTAAGCTGAAGAAATCGAAGGTGACTGGTCAGAGTGTCTGAACGGTGGATCCAGAAGACGAGGTTATGGAGTTTCCCAACCGGTCCTTTTCGTCTCCATAGCTCGTGGAGTTTCGCGTCAGGTGCCTCGTTCCCTTGAATATCGTCCTCGAAAGCCTCGGAATCATGGCCAAAGAGAAGTGCTTTGACGGCAAGATTGAGGATGTGGCCAAAGCAGCGTAATCGCCGAGTTTTACCCTCAAAACCAAGCGCCTTCCCAATTTCTTCCATCGCCGTATCGTTATTCTTAGCGTTGTCGAGTGTGAAATATCCCACCTTATGAGCTATGTCGTAGCTTCGAAGGACCTCGACAACATGGGCGGCGATATTGTCGCCAGAATGGCGGTCGACCAGCTCAGGAAGGCCGAGCACGAGTTTTCCCGGCTGGCCAAGGGTGTTGAGAAAATAGCAACAGATTCCATACAAAGCGTGGCGATTATTGGACCTCCAGCCATCGAATGCAATATGAATTGACCCCGGGGCTGCCGCTAATACTCGCTTGATCTCCGCCTTGTTTTCCCCGTACACCTGAAGAATCCGCCTGCGGACTGTATCGTGCGTAATATGCGCTTCGGTTGTCCTTACGAGTGGATTGAGATACTCGAAAGCGGCACGGAGGTATGGATCTTCAGTTTGTCGGAAAGAAGAGTTGCTGTTGATGATCCATGAGACAACCAAACGCTGGAACACTAGCCGATCAAAGCAGCCAATGATCTGGTTTGCGATCTGCTGCTCTCGCACATCATGAGTATCCAGCTTCATCATCTCGGCTATATTCCTCGATGGTGTCTTCTCCTTTGCTTTGCTGGGCGGTCTCCGCTTTCCGGAAGGGTCATAGACCTTGTGGTCATTCCAGAGATGGATCTCCGCGTTCTGCGTACCGCTTGAGGCTGTCGAATGAGGGTTGGGCTTGCGACTGTCAACACAGACCTTGCAAACCCATCGCCGTTTTGTATCATCGTCGCTCTTCTCAATATCGTAGCCGAATTGCCATATCCATGATGATGTGGACGCGCAGCGTTGAGATTGCGTGTATCCGGGAAAATCTTTCCAAGGGAAGAGGTCCCACGAGTCCTTCCGACTCTCCTGATCTGGCGACTTGAGAGCCATAGAGCTGATAACCGGCGTCTTAGCCATTCTACGCGGTACTCATCGAGAATGGACTCGTCTAGACGCGTTCGACGCGACACCTTTGACGCGAAATGTCCAAGACCCATGGCTGTTCTATTCTGTTTAAAGATACCTTTATTTGTATATGGAAATGACCGTATTATAGGTACCTGAGATCTCGGCCAACCATGACCAAGCTTGTTTCCACCTGAATTGCAGGGGTATTGAGGGGCCAGACCAGGACCACCCCTACCCTTTCACACCCCTGCTTCCATTTCCACGCATCCACTCCACGGAGCCCTCGCGTGGATGGATGGATTATGTAACGGGCAGGTCCGTGGAATGGATGGAAATGGATGCACGGACCATCCATTTCCACGGCGTGGACGCGTGGACCGTGGACGTGGAATGGATCGCCAGCCTGCTTATGGCGCCTCCTGCACACTTGAGCCGAGATTGTAACACTACTGGTAGCTGCGGAAAGTGGCTCTTGGGTGGGTCCAGGGAGACTCCGAGAGCCCAGGCAGCAGGACCAATCGGCTTGTGGGGTCTGTGGGCTCCGTAAGCTCTTGGGTAAGAACCCCAGAAGCCCAGGGAGCACTAAAGGACGGACTCTGATTGGTTGGCTCAACTTAGATAAGTATAGTCGCTACAGACACTTAGGATAGGGAGGACTTCTTGTTCTCCAAGTAGGCAATCCATTGTTCATAATCTACTTCATTGTCTAATACACTGCTAGAGCAATCTCCTTTGTGAGATTATTGCCACCCAAGGTCGCTTACCTTCTTCCGTCACTCCCTTACGTCCACCTCAGTTCTCTTGGACCTACGTCCTTGCAGTCTCACTCACGTCGCCTGAGTGCTGTCAGTCCTCGTCAACGCTCCGTCGTTGACCCCTATCAGGTGTTAGGGACTGGGATTGTAACAGCCCGTTAGTATCTATTTAAAAGGTTTAGCTGAGTATCTTAGTATAATTATATTAAGACTTATATATAAAGGAAAACATCTCACCAACCTAATTATTACATTCAAAGAAGCACTCATCGCGTACAATAATTCTTAGGCCTAATTATCGTATCTAGCGCACGTATGTAGATAAGGCTAAGTGTCAATGACAAGGCGTCGGTAGACGCGGTCTTTTAAGCGCTCTAGTATGAAATGCAAGAAAACACGACCTACTAGCACAAGGTAAGTAACGCTCGACCAGCCGAGCTACACCTAACTATGTTAATCTGAACCTCCCCTACGCCCATATAGAATTTCTGACTCTTATTGCCCCGTCTTCCAGCTGTAAGCAAAGTGTTGGACTCTCTCTCTCCCTTGCCCTCTAGTCTCGTTAATTCCAAACCAGCTCAACTTTTTCAAGCTATCCAGCTCAAGGAATCTGTCCCTCATGTCTCACCCTTGCCCCTTACACCAAGCTTCAGCTCTGTTGCTTCTTGTCCGGAAATTTCAACGGAGCTGAGTCTTTATGGGGTTTCCCTCTTACCACCAAGAAGAACGCAGTACTTAAAAACAATGGTCTGAAGATTAACCCCAGCCTCCCACTCCAAGCATAAGAACTTGTCCCCCGCCATTTGTAAAGGACCGTGTATGTCTTGTCGGAAGAAGATGGCCGACAGCTGCTTGTCATTAGGTATAGTTTTTATGCCGATGTGCATGGAACCTGTGGGTAACTGAGCGCCCTTGAGACCGTGGACAAACCTCCACTCTTTTTGATCTTTCCGGACTCGAAGAGAAGACCCAACGTCTTGTTTTTTATTGCCACAGCTTCCAAAAAAATGAGAACTCAGATTAAAAACTTTGGTGTTTATGTTCTGTTGACCGATGCTGCCTTCGCCTGGCAGTGACTCTGCTGGAGAAGGCAAAGTCTCGAGGTCCTGGGCGATGGCACCTTGGTTATCGAAGGCGCAAACCAGTTTCTTGTAGGCCGTGTCTTTCTCTTTCTCGGTCTTGAACTGGTTAACAAGCTCGTGTTTGGACGGCCAGTAGTGAGAGAAGCCGCAGAAAACGGGTCGCTCGCCCGATTTCCCGTTATAAATGATTATATCCGACGTTGTGAGATTTGGTATGATTCTTTCAGCTTCCCAGTTGATTTTTTTAATCATAGCCTGGGCGTCTATAATTTTTTTAGCTTTTACAGATACATCGGTGATAATTTTGAGCTTGTTTCCTTTGATGAATTGCATCAAGATGCCATGGTACTGTTTGCGCGGCTCGTTCGGTGAAATTAATGATACACTGGCGTACCTCTTTGGGAAGAATTTAGGATTGCCGCTCTCGTCTGCAAATCTTAAATTAAGGCCGTCGTAGGTAGTATCTATACCCTGAAACAGCGATTCGGCTGTGTCCTTGAACATGTGGTCGTCATCAGGTCCCCGATCCGGATGCTGTTCCCCCTCGTCCCTTCCACATTCTTTCATAGCTACTTTGGTATAAGACTGGAACATCGCATCGTAATCAAACAGCCGGAGGACAGCCAGATCCTCAACGCCAGTGATAGCAATCTTCAGCACGGGGAAGGTACCACGGTCCTCGTCAAGCCGTTCTATAACAGTGGTAGTTATGGGAAAGCGCCCGGAGGGGAGCTCCTGGACCTGGGGTTTGGACTGTAGTGGATGGCAAAAGGGCTTCCATATCTCCTCATCGTCGTAATAGTGCCGCTCAACCATCAAGATGAGTTTTTTTCCGGCAGGGTACATCTCATCAAAAAAGCGACGATCGGATGGCCATAGCATTTTCTTCTGGGCTGGCGGTTGTTCCTGGGCCTTCCTGACGTTTGCATTAGACCTAATTATGAGGGTTGAAACTTATTAGAGCAAAAGCCTGCATGCAATCGGCGATGGGAAAACGCTGAGCACTCACATGATGAGTCGTTGTGTGATATGCGGTAAGTACCTACGTGGACAGGGCAGAGGCCGATGATTTAGATTTGGAGTGTGCAGAAGTCGAGCAATGGTACGGCGACGGGGTTCTAGCTGGAGGAGTTAATGTAGAAGGAGGATATGGGTGGCGGCGTTGGATTTATATTGACCTTCGACATGGGGAGCGGTTGATATTGGCTCCAGTCTATGTACCCTCAGGTATCGAGTTATCTCTGGTCTCACATGACGGGAGACTGAGACTAAGATTGAAAAGAAGCGCACTTTGGCGGTTGGGCATCAGGATTCGGACCACTTGGCTATGGCCAGGAGGGCAAAACAAAAGGCCAACCTAGAAGCAAAAATACGGCCAGATGAACTGTGTATGTAGGTCGCGTTCCGAAGAAGCACATCGACCATCCTGACCAAAGTAAGTCTACATTGGGCAGGTACATAAGCGACATTATCTAGTACATTCTGACCTAGGCCCAACGCAACAACCTGGAGGTCAATGGCCACTAGTGTCCTTCTGAAACGTCTGTGGTTCCGGTGGATCAATATTCCCTGAGCCTCAGCTTGGCCATCTAGTTTAGCACACTCGTCTAGGGATCCTCCATTTCGAGGTCAAGGTTACAAAAAATCCAGGATTGGTGCAATAACTATCACCTTGGCCAATCAGAGAATAGAATCATGATAGAAATCCAGCGCCCGCCTTTTGAGTGCTCAATTTGACATTGAACGCCGGCAGACAGGTCACTGTGTCCGGCGTGCCAGCCTCACAGGAAATAAATCCGTTGGTGGTACCTGAATCAAAAACGTCGGTTTCTGAAACGGCAAGGTACCATTCTAAGATTAAGCGTTGGGTCTTGATTCATCCTCCGCGGCGTATTTTGCAAGGGTGTGGGCCTGGCCGATGTAATGCGGTTTGACTGCCTATTCCGGGCATCGCTATGACCCCCTGTTCCTTCTCGGATATATCCTGGAGAGGCCACTAAACGGCCTCGGACCTTATCAGGGCACGGTGGCATCCTCTTTGAAGGATCTCAAACCCGCCCCTCCCTGACCGGCCATCGAATCCTACAGGCGCAACTCGAACCAACATGAGACCCCCACGCCGCCCGTGCCGTTGTCGCGGTCCGAGGCGGCAGCACAAAATTAAATCAGGATTCTTGTTGCATACCTAGGCTAGGATAAATCTTCCCGCTCATCAGTCTAACTGTCATGGATCAAACATTAAAAGCCGCTCCGCCCTTCGACTAACAGCCAAACTACCAGGCATTGGGGAAAAAGCCAGAGCATGGCCAAATCAAGTCCTTAACGCCGTCAGCTCTTTCCCGTGCCTCATGTTCCTCCAGGCCCGCAATAAGGGCCTAATGGGACCTTCCCGGTTTTCTGCTTCGACCCACTCTGTTGCCGCCGCCTACATCTCGACCGAACCTAAGGCCGACCCATTACTCAGACTCTTGTTCGCCTTGTCGCGGCCACCTGAAGCCATATCTAGGTTCCATGTTCTATCGCAGCTGTTAAGCATGTTGCTTCCATGCCGTCAACCTAGTGTCGCAACCAGTTGGTATCATCAAGGGCGACAGAGTCCACCCTTGGCCCCAAAGCGACCGCAAACTCCTCCCGGCCCGTAATCCCTACTGGCAGACCAAAGAGACAGACAAGAACTATACTAATCATAACATGGATCATTCGTTGCCGTAGGACCTGACTGACGCAATCCAGCTAAGAGAACCTCTGTGTCGTGGCTGCATCGGGCGCCAAAGGACGACATTCCTCTCTCACTCGAGGACCGAGCATGCTATTTCAACTGAGCAACAAAAGGTCATGAATCGTCCATGGCTGAGCTCATGGTATGATCCTGCTTCCGCCCAACGCATGTGTTTCCCCTTTCTTTTTCGCCGGACGCAGGGCCTGGAGGCTGCAACGGTCCAGGAGAGAGACGAGCAGGTCAAGCGAAGAAGATAAGTCTGTCGGGGGAAATGCTCTGCGCCGGTTTCCTACCTAGCGAATTCGCCACGTACATCAACTATGCCCGAGAATTGGGTTTTGACGACAAAGCCAATTACTCCTACCTTCGCGGGCTTTTTCGGCGCTTGTTCAGAAACAACGGATTTAAGTATGATAACATCTTTGACTGGACAGAGAAGAGATTCAACGAAATCTGTGACGCAGCCAGCCAACCTACCGACTCAGCGCTGAACAAGCCGCGAAAGCAAACAATAAGGCAAGCTCGAGGCTGGTGGAGACCTGAAGTAACACCCGTCGGAGGATGCAACGTTTAACAAATTCCATAGCACTTTTAGTAAGGATGTCTCGGCCTTATATTTCTAGCCCATGTCCTGAATAGGCAGTCCAAAAAGTTCCGACATCCACAAAAAAGACCCCACAAAAAACCGATTCTTTAGCTGACGATTTACCCCATGTTGAAACAGTTGTTGGCGGCCGCGACCAGCTTCCAGTTCTCATGTTTCTGCTTTCTTGCATTTCCCAGCGCGGGCGCAAAAATGGCCGAGACTGTCCTCAGGGCCACGGCCTCATCAAAGTCCGAGCTTGAACGCAAAGAGTATATTCAACTCTTGATAAAATGCGCCGAGTTTCCTGACTGGTGCAGTTTCTATTCTTCATGAATACTTTTCCAATACCATGACTTAAGCGAAATATTTGGTATTTAGTACTCAAGATAAAAAAGTGCCGCATTGGAATACTTATCGAATATCTTATCGCGGTTAATCGGTACTTGATATGCTTGTGGAAGTTTAATAGGCCTGAGCTTTTCTACCTCGGGAAATGGCATCGTGCACCTGAAAAGTAGGGCCGTTTCGACTCTGTCTGGGAAAGCGACTTAAGTTGGCTATTAAATGTTATGTTACATCACGGCCAGGCCATGGCCTAGAAATTTCACTCTGTTTAGAGTCATATTTTGTGCCGCCTCAATTAACCTTAGGGTCGACCATGCTGGGCGCCCAGCCCGAGGTTTGTAGGGAATGGTTTAATCGGTCGGTTAAGTATAAAGACTGTACCATGCCGGTGTTCGACTGATTGATCTGCCTGCTGGTCATCGACTTTTTATGATTACACCGCTGTTCGAATACGCCATTAATACCAATCTGCGCTTGTCCTAGTAGCTAACATGAATGCTACCAACTCTCAACGCGCTGCTCCTCCGGAACCAATCGTCACCAAAGTCATTACAGATTTAGCAAGAGTTACCATGACGGCCAAGAATAACGAAAAACCTCTATCCGCCGTATCACACTTATTCCAAAATGGGCTAGATTTTGAAGAACTCACGCCGAGCGGGATCGGGAAATCCTGGAAGATTGAGGGGCTATGGGTCGACATGTTTGTACGCATCGACCAGTACACAACGTTGATAAGCGCCAACGAGGCCTTCGAAGCTATTCTAGAGCATAACGACAGCATGCAAAATTGGACCACGCTAGTAGTGCCTGTCACAAAAAAACCCGTCAAGCTTGGCCACCGAGTTCTCGGAAACTACGAAATTGACCGTCCAACCATCCTGTGGCAGAACAACAATGTCTTCGTCACGATACATTGGGATAAGTACGAAGACCGGAGATTTACTACTAGCAAAGTCGACCGAATCAATGGGAACCTGATAACGGGGGCTCTCGCATTCGCCCAAGGGCTCGAATACCTCCTTATTGGTGGAGCTCAACTACCTCTTTAGCTGCGGAGCTCGACTATGTTAGAGAAAAGGGGGTTCTGGAAGGTACCAGGATTATGGATCTGTCACAGTTGCTACAGACGACCTGGCTGCAGTTCTGGCCACCTGGCTGCAAGTCGGGCCAGGCCGTCAGCTAACCGGGCTAGGCCGTCAGCCAATAGGGCCAACGACCGTCACCGTCAGCCAACAAGTTAGCCAACAGGGCTAACGGCTGTCTGGAAACCCTACAGGCCTTCAACACTGGCTAACGTAGGCCAGATGGCGAGTCAGAGAGAGCCGAGTTCCGTTCGATTGAGTCTGTTAGAAACACTGCACACTGGATCTTGTGGAATGGGATTGTAATTGCTTGATTGTGTTCTCTCTCTCTGTCCGTTTAGATACAAAGGTGGGAAAATGGTCTCCTTATTATACTAGCTGGTATGGACTCAGTCGAACGGAACTCGGCTCTCTCTGACTCGTCATCTGGCCTGCGTTAGCCAGTGTTGAAGACCTGTAGGGCCTGTTGACGGCCCTGTTGCCTATGACTGATGGCCTGGCCTGGCTAGGTGGCCAGAACTGCGGCTAGGTGGCCAGGTGGCGAGGTCGTGTGTGGCAACGCCATGGCCTGGTGGCAAGGTTGCCCTGGCCTGGTGGCGAGGTCGCCCTGGCCTGGTGGGCTGACAGCCTGGTCCGGTTTGCAGCCAGGTGGTCAGGACTGTGGCCAGGTCATCTGTGGCAACGTCATGATCCTAGCACCTTCCAGAACCCCCTTTTCTCTGACAGTATAAACCCTATAGATTCTTAGAGCCAGTGTGGCTAATCGATAAGACGATATCGCGCAATTTGCGATCGATATCGCATTGATTTTATCGCAATATTGCGATATCGCAAATTCTTAGTCAGCTAGCTCACTCAACCCCCCCTCAACCTCATCAATTTCGCTAATATCAACGATTCCAAGCTTCAACCAACTCTTTAAGCACTGCGTCTTCTCAATCATCTGTACACCAAGTCGAGTTCGATCCCAAGAAATTGTCCTTCGAGCTCCAGAGAAAACACGTTCAGGTTCATCGCTCATTGCAGGGATCGACAACACATCAATTGCCAGTCGAGACAATCTTGGGTAGGCCAAACATCGTTCTTCATGAAGCTACCAGTCCAATGCAGTAGTCTCGATCGCCATCGGTTTCTCTCGGCAGAATAAATCAAACTCATCTTCGTTGAACCGAGCATTAACGACCTCAGTCTCTTGAACGAGAGAGTCGAAAACGGTAAGCTCTTTGTGGATATGCCTCTTTGGCTGGCTTCTCGGGGAGTCAACTTCGATAGCCTTATACTGGCTCTAAAGTTTTTTGATCCCGTCAAGTGCCGGCTTTTGCCAGCTCTTTTTCCAGTTCTATCGAAGATAGGGAAGCCGGTAAGAAGGGTGTAGAATAAGTGCGGTTACGTACGCCGAACTATTAGAAGTCTTCGAGTAATATTTATCAAAGACTTTCCAACTCCAATCAATATATTCTTGTAGGGTTGAACCGTTATACCGTTTGAATGACTTGTCGAAATGTTGAACCAGAATGTCCATCGTCTAAAGAACTCGATCAAGGGTGCCATCTCTTCCCTGGGTTATAAGGGTTACCGAAGCGAAAACCTCCAAAAACTCCTCAATCTGCTGGAGCAGTTTCCAGTCCTCAAAGCTTAGGTAGTCTTTAGCCAAGTCGTTCTCCCACTCTTTTGTGTAAGTATCAACTACTAACTTGACCGACATAGCAACTTTCAACATCATATACTAGGAGTTCCATCTGGTTTCGTTATCGAGGGGGAGGAATCGGCCCGCTAGGTTATGAAATGCTTGGCTTCGAGTTGGTGATCCTCGAATGTGGATGGCAATATTGTGCAATTTGCCAAAAGGTCCCCGTTCTCGCCACTTCGCTTTCCGACTATCCTCTTCTTCAATATCGTCTTCAACCTTAAGTTCCTCCTCTTGGCTAGAGTCGAGGTCGTCGAAGTTAGGCTTAGATATAATTGTCGACATCAAGTATGGCTCAGACTTAATCGCCAAAAATACATGCACAGTCAAATTGATAATATGACCATAATAGCGAAGTCGATGATGTGTTACTTCCCACTCAGTTGAACTTTTCTAGAAGTACTGACTAAAGGTTCGACAAAAAGAGTCGTTCGTCGTCGTATTATCACCGACAAAGTAACCGAGGTTTTTGCTGATTCCAAGAGACTCGAAGAGAGGAGCGACAACCGATGTTTGATCGGGGCCTCTATATGACAAGATCGGCTTCAGTCCCGCCAATACATAGATGAGTTTTCGGTCATAGTTGACGAACTAAATAGTGATGCCGAGGAAAAGAAGTCGGTTAGATGAAGTCCAGATATCGGCTGCAAAATGGATTTTCGACACGGCCGACTGAAGTTGCTTCCGAAGATTGTCAAATCCTTAGTCGTACAGTTGATTCATCGCCTTGGAGACTGAAGAATGGTGTGAAACAACAAGGCCATTATCTTTTGTAAGGGTTAGATTTGCGATTTCGAGAATGCGATGGAATTCTGGCCACTCGACTAGGCGAAAGGGGAGATCATACCGCACAATACACTTCACAATGGCTTGTATAAGCTCCTGTCTATCGACTTCTAGACCAGCTGCAGCCTCGACTCGTACGATCGCGTTCTCAGGGTGCTTCGACCTTAGGTGGTTTTTTGCCGTTGTTGTGCTCCTTGCAGAGTAATCAGGGCAATACTTGCCGTACCAAATAAGAGACCGACCATCTTTAATAAGTTCACAGTCAAGAGCAGGTCGAGCATGCTCCCAAACTGCTGATCGAGTTCTTGAAGAAGTAATTGAAAGTGTAGAGATATCCATGGTGGTGGTGGTGGTGGTGTTTGTGGGAGACGATGAGGGAGGGGTTTGGAGGGGTTTGTGCAATCGATATCGATTGCGCGCTGCACTGCGTTCGATATCGTATCGATTGCGTTATCGATTGCGCTAGTTGCGTTTTTTATCGATTAGCCACACTGCTTAGAGCCACTACTTACCCCGAAGGGCAACTAGAAGTCTATCTCTACAAACTATATTATTAAGTTACCGATATTAAGGGACTCTGTAATAAAAAAGCTTACGATAGTGTCACGGCAAGTGCAGGCGACTCTTGAATAGTGGGCCCAACCCGGACCCCGTATCTTCCTACACCCTACTAGATTGGATTCATTCCGTAGCCCGTATGTAAGAGAAGGCAGGTACGCCGGATCAAGGTGGTCACAATGCAAGTAAGAAGGTGGGCGAGCAATGAGTAGTATTGGTGTAAGACTTCAACCTGGCCCTCGCAAAGGAAGGTGGGCGAGGGCCATTGTTTATATACATGCTCAGGGGCTCAGGCCCGGGCACCAGTCTGTGGGGTGTGGCGCCACGGCGTGGCGCAGTGGCTTATGCCAACTGGCAGTGTTCTAGCCAGTTGGTGACAAGTGGTGGGCGCGCACCCTGTGCGCGAAGTTGGTGTTTGGGGTGTCCTTTTCCTTACACCGTACGTACCACGTTATATAACCTACAATACCACCTATTTCCCCGCGCCCTGCCCGAGCTTTAGAAGCTTCCTTTCCTTTTTCTTTCCTTAGCTTTAAATTCTACGAATATAGCGACCATAATACAGCCTTATCTCATATAGTTAACTATATAGTAATAATCTAAAGCTCAATCTCTCTACTTGCCTGGGAAGTGTCACGACCAGGGCAAGGCATTGAGGTGAACTCAGTCCATTGGGTGCTATCGACGAAGATTCTAAACTAAGGAGGGAAAGAAGGAAAAGTCCAACAACGCGTCGTGTGCGCGCGAACAAGTTTGCATCTATCAGTGGGGTAGGTGGGGCCTCGAGGAGGCTTCTGATAGGCCCGTGGGTTCTGGGCGGCTCTGGCTGCTTGAGGGCCAGTTTGGTGGACGGGTCCTCACAGGAAGGTAATTGTCAGAAAGAAAGGGGGTTCTAGCCACGCAAGCGGTTGCCAGAAAAAAAGACCTCTATTACCCACACGGTACTTCCACCACCATACAGAATCCTACCTATAAGCAGGTTACACCTGGGTATTCTACCACCCAGTCATCTGACCCTGGCCAGCTAACACATCCTGCATCCGCACTACCATAGAATCCACCCACTTATTAATAGTCTCCTGACTTATTCGCTCCCAACCTTCCAGAATCAGTGCCTTCAAGTCAGCTCCTATAGTGTAGTGTGCACGTACGAATTGCTTCACTGCACGCCAGCAGTTTTCTATAGGCGAGAGGTCTGGGGATCCAGGGGTATTAAAGTGGTGCTTGAGGTGGTGTTCTTCTTTCCACTTCCTTACCATATTACTAGCCTTGCAGTTTCCACCACCATGGCCAGAATCCCCATCTTCTTCCAGAACAAAAGAATCCCCACGTGCTAGCCAAGGGCCTACCATTTCTTCTAGTATACTACGATATATAGCCAAGGACATCTTTCCATTAGTGTTTGTTGGGACCGTATAAAAGTGTAGTGGTGACTTAAAGTTCCAGCCAACAGCAGCCCACACATGGTATCGCTCAACCTCCTTGCCTTTAGAAGGCTCCTCAGCGTGGTGGATACAGTCAGGGCAATAGCGCTCCCCAGGCTTCCGGATAATCTGGATCTTTCCTTCAGGAAATACACCAAAGTGGGATTCATCTGACCATCTTATATCGCGCCAATTCTCAGGCAAAGGACGATAGGAGAGTGAAAGCTTGGCTACTTCCATCCTTCGTTTGGCGTGGGCAGGGGAAACAAAGCCCTTCTCGCAAGCAATACACTTCCGGTAGTCTAGTGTACCCATGGCCCTCTCGATCGTGCGTGTGGAAGTTGGTGGTGCACCTGCTGCTCTGGCAAGGCCTTGCCAGCTTAGGGCCTGATCGGCTCGCCGTTGCGGTGTCGTTGCGGTTGGGAAAAGATACGAGCCATGTGCATAATTAAAGTGGAGACACAGCCAATGTACCCCGAAACCCCCTGTAACTAGGCTTTTCCTAATTAATCATAGTCCCGTGTGACTTCCGCCCTGTCTTCCCGCAATTTTTTGACCAAAATACAGCCACGACAGCAACCCACCTATCGTCAAGATGCCCAGAAGACCCCGCATCAGGGCAACCGCAGTAGAGTCTCCTGCTCCTGAGGCCTCTATTGTTGTTCAAGCCGATGACCTACCCTCTGACGACGGCCTGCAAGCCTCCGATGACGGCCCTACTTCCGAGCCGACACCTAACGCGCCTTCGTCGACCCCGCGTACGAGGCGGAGGAAAATCATCTACACAACCGAAATGCAGGCGAAGATTATCGAGTTATTCCGAGACGAGGCTATCGCTGGAGCGTTCCGTATCAACAAGTTGACCGAGACGCGGCCGGCATTCCAGAGGATCTCTGTTACAATGGAGGAATCCTTTCCAGACTTCCACTGGTCAGCAGAGAAGATCAGGGACAAGTACGATAACGAGAAGAAGCGATTCCGAACGATCAAGACCTTCCTTAACAAGTCAGGTGCGAAATATAACAAAGAAGAGAGGATGGTGGAAGGCTCTGTGGAAGTCTGGAATAACTTCCTTTTGCAATATAAGGATGCTGGATGGCTTCGGACTGCTCGGTTTACTCTGTCAGACTATGAGACGATATACGCCAACCAGTCTGGTCATGGCCGTAACATTATCCGCGCGGGTAATGCCTTTGGCCCCTCTACTACGACGCCTGACGACGAGGGCGAGGGCGATACCGAGGATGCCATGGTCCTGAGTACGAGCTCAGCTACTGATGCTAACTCTCGCCAACCCTCTGTGGCGCCGTCGTACCGGAGGGTTCGGAAAGCCAATACAAATCCAGAGGTATTAGCACTGGCCCAGAGCCTCGATAAGCAAGCTGAGGCCTCTATGAAGCAAGCAGAAGCTATGGTTAAGCAGGCTGAGGCCATGCTTCGCCTGAAAGGGCAGGATGAGATCCAGCTTGCGATCAAGGACTTTATGCACAACTTCTCTATCCAGTTAAGCCCCGCAGAGCGTGTAACGTGTATCATGCAGCTAAAAGAGCACTCAAATGCTGTTGTATGGAACACTGTAGACCGGGATATTAAAGAGGCTCTGACCGAGTCATGGAAGACTAGCTAGAAATCCCGCTCCCTCCATAGAACCTCTGCAATAGCATCCCGGATATCCTTACTATACCGACTCCTAATTATCTGCTCAGCATACCGACAAGCCTCTTGTTGGATTCAGCACTTCAACTTTCTTGATTGATCCCTCCTCCTTGTTCTTTTTGGTCCTGCCAGAGGGCCTCTATTATAGTTGTAAATGGTGGCAATGGTGGTGGCAAAAGCAGCCGCACCAGCTGAACTAGCCACTTCATTTCAGCTCCCCTGAGCCTCTTTTCACCTCGGATGACCACACCAGAGCTCAGCTGGGATGAGCTCTATTCCACATGCAACCCTTGTCCATCTGACAATAGCCAATCCAACACCTCTTGTGTAGCCTCAATTACTAGCTCCTCATCGCTGGTGTCAAGAAGGAAGTTATGGATACCAGTGACTGCGTACACGATCTGGACCTGGTTTCGTATCGAGTACTCTGGCGCAGTAGCTCGGATAATCTTCCACTTCCTCTTTAGAATACCGAATACCTTCTCAACGATAACCCGAAGGCGTGCGTGCCGGATGTTATATAGTTCTTTTGCTGTGGTCGGCGGGTTTTTGGCATTCCTCCAATCCTCGAGGTGATATCTGACACCATTATAAGGTGTAAGAATCCCTACATGCCCACCAAATGCAGCGTCTGCAAGGTAGAACCGGCCCGAGGGGACCGCAAAGTCATTCGCAGTAGCGATGCTAAGGAGCGTAGAATCGTGTGTTGAGCCCTCAGCACCAGCGAGTACGTACGAGAACGCACCATCAAATCGGACTGCGGCGAAGACGTTCTGTGCGATAAAGCCTTTCCGGGTTCGCCACTGGTGTTGCTGAGGCTCTGGAATGAAGGCGTGGATATATGTACCATCAATGGCCCCGATACAACCGTAGAATGCATCGTCGATAGACGGGTCGAGCCAGTCATCGTCTTTTGGCTTGACGAATGCGCAGTGTAGCTGTACGAGCTTGTCCAGTAGATCCGTCATAACAGAGCTCACAGTAGACTGGCTGACTCGGAACCGGTGGGCAGCATTACGCTGGCTCTCGTCGTGGGCGAATATCCATAGCACGATCATAAGCTTTAGCTCGGCTGTCAGGTATCTGGACCCCTTGAGCCCGGTATGCTCTTGTAGCCATGTAACCAATCGATGGAAAGCGGCCTTTGGCATACGAAAAAGATCAACGAATTGGGTATCCGAGCCACTGAGAATCGACTCAGCAAGATGGCAGGCCCCCGAGGGCCCCTCTGGGTGGATAATATCGCAGTCGCGTGGCCCTAGTAGTCGACGGCGATCAACATACTGTAGGGCTACATCCACTACAGCTTTCGTGATGACGGCGTTGAGCAGAGGGTTATTAATGGAAGCCATTGGCAGCAGTACGTAGGATCTCGACGGTACGGCAACCCTTCTCGAAGAAGGGTTGCCGTACTGTTGGGAAAAAGCCAACCATACTAGATTTGGCTGTGCACTATACCATATGAAGGGCGTTGACCAGGGTGTCACGAAGAGCCCCGCGAAGATACATTGCATAAATCGAGACGGATCGTTCCGGGCGCTCGGCCTCAAATTTGGTCGATAAATGTGGGAAATTACCACTCGATTGGGGTTAGTGGCCTTGCAAGGCCCCATGCGATTTTTTTTGTGCAGGTTTTCCCAACCGCAACGACACCGCAACGGCGAGCCGATCAGGCCCTAAAGGATTTACGGCCTCGCAGCCTTGACTTACTCGGCCACAGTCCCTTAACCTCTGGGCTTAAGTCCCTAGGGGTAGCTCAGATTGTGGCGTTCTCCCATGGCCAGTCTTTGAACTGGATGCGGAACGGCGACCGACCTGCCGGTATCTTATACAGCACGTTGACATCCAAATGGTACCCTTTCCAGCTGGCCTCAAATGGGTCGATAAAGTCGTCGGACACATGGTTTCGATGCTGCCGCGAGCAGGTACTGTCTTTCGACTGGAGAAAAAAAAAGTTGCCCCGTTCCTCGAGCACACACTCAACAAGGTAGTCCTCCATGTCGTTAGGAGTGCTGTCTTCCATTCCATGTCCTGGGTCTCAGGAGGAGTGCTCCTTGATGCGTTCTGTCCTCGCAGAGCAGGGTCAAGGAGTCCTGCATCGTAAATTCCCGAGTGTGATTCGAATGTCCACGCAGGCTGGAGATGCGCGGCTTGTGCTGCTAGTGTGGGGTTGCCCCCATCGGCCCTGCCTATTTCGTAGGGTGGTAGGGGTAATCATATGTTGTCCCATTCTGTCTCGTCGAGTTGCTATCACGGCTCAGTCAACGTAAGGAGACAGGGCTGCAGTAATCATCGCTGAATTCGTAGAATCTAAAGATGAAGAAGGAAGCTATGACGGGGACCGCGCAGGGCGCGGAGAAATGGGTAGTTGTGGGCCACGTGATACGTCAGGCACGGACCACACTCCAAACAGGAGCCTGTCCAGGCCATGCCGTGACAGTTGCTCGCACATCTCTGGAACCTCCGGGTTGCCCTCCGAGCCTGTCCGTGGCTTCTCCCACAGCCCAAAGCCTTCTGTTGTAGATATTACGTTGCCGGACTCCGGTTTGTCTCGGTTATGAGAGGTTAGTGACGTAAACTGGGCAGAAAAGGTCTATAGTGTCGGGGAGCTCAGGGTACAGACTGGCATTGAGCTCATTTGCCTCGGAAGTGCTGATGTCTTGTGCCCATAGGTCTAGGCTGAATGGCGAGGGCGTGTCGGTCGCGTTCTTCACATAAGGGACGCTCAGAGTAGGGCTGGTACGGAGAGAGGAGTTGGCCTCGCTACGCAAGGCTAGGGGCCCCGTTGTCGGACGACAATCTTTATACCCAATCTATTTATCTTCAGTATCCGGCATTAGACGCGGAATACTAGGCAAGGCTTACCAAAAGTCAGAAAAGATTGACAACCTTCGATATACTCGTAAAACTATCGCTAACTCCTACATTGAGAGGCCAAGCTCACGCGGTTGCCTACATTAGAAAAGTGGGCGGAGATAGAATATGAATCAACCTGCGCGTTCTAGAACATTCATTAGGTGTAGTCTGAAAGTACCAATGTTCCCTTGTCCCCTACAACCCGTTATAAGTGCATAGATATACGAAGCTAGGTAGGTTGTGCTAGACCAAGGAGATTGGGAAGGGTCTAGCAACTCCTAAGACGCCTAGGACTGCAAAACACTCTCGAACAAAGCCTTGACTTCCCGCTTCGCCTTGGACAGTCCTAGGTAGCTCTCATCAACTTCGCCAACCTCCGCAATAAACATTGCCGCCATAATGACCAAGTAGCCGCTTGCACCAACGTCCAAAGTGAACTGCTCGATACCGACGTCGCCCTCAAGGCCAGCCCATAGATTCTCTTCTTTCCACCACCCAATTTCATTAACAGCCTTCAAGATTGCGGCACGGTGCTCGTGCACCGGATGCTCCGGGTCACCGAGCTCCTCGAATACCGCGTCTACTTGGTTCCAATACTGGCGGTGAATCCCGATGTGGAGAACATGCCAACGGCGGTCATGCTCAAAGAAGACGATGACGTCGCGTGGCACACCCTTCGAGTGGTCCCAGTCCTAATTGAACCCACTAGATGGTTGTGCGACGACCTGAAAGTGGATTTGCTTGTAGCGGCTGCCGAGGATTTTCGCCGCCTCCGCGATATGACAGTCTTGGAGAGGCCCTGGAACCGCGGGGATACCGAGTATAAATTGGCCACCGAGCCGGGCAATAGCAGCTCTGCAAACCAGGATTTGCGCCATCTATATAAACAATTAGTAGGCTGCACTCTTCACTCAAAACCAAGGGCTAACCTTAATGGAGCTGAAGCCTGTTAAATGATAGGCAGGTGAACAATGCGGGGCCCGAGCAAAGCTAAGGTAGGAGACTTAGGACCACGCTCTCTTGCGTGATGGAGAGATTAGTGTTGATGGAGCATGCCGATACAGGGAGATTGAGGCTGGCAATAGCGGCGAAGATGTGCAAATACGAGCGGCTCGAGATCGAAGTGGAGTTGACCGTTGAGGGTGGTAAAGGATGGCGATGTCGGCCGGAGTTTAAAGCGGGAGACTGGGGAGTGGGCTCTTCGCTCTAGGCAGGTTGGGCGGTGCTGCTAGCTGGTTCGGCAGCTGTGGCTTGACTAATTGGAGGAAGCGCTCGTAGTCGAGGCGCGTAGCCGGAAGGCGCTCGCAGAAAAATTTCTGCGGTCGGCAATCGTTGGCAAAATAACCTGTTTTAAGCGCGCTCAATCGGTGCGACTAATGTTGCAAAATGGATTTGATAGATTGAAGTTGAAAAGGATGATAAGTTGTTGGCCGAAGGAAGCGAGAGTGGGTGGAAGGTGCTCGGCAGGTTGGTGCCGGGTAGTTGTTGCAGCTGAACATGAAGTGTTGGGGAATTGAAGCTTGAGCCGATAGCTCCGTGGCGTAAATTGGCAAGGCCTATGAACACCTGTCGGGCGCTTGTCATGCTTGGGGACGACAAGAACCGTAGGCACGATCCATATGAGGCGGTGATGAGTGGCAGATTAGCGGGTAAGGCGGGGCTTCGGCATCGGCTCAGTCTCCTCGCCGTGTTGTAGAGCATTTCAGGTCTAAAGCATTTCTCATGACTAATCACTCATTGAGTGGCTCAGTTGTGGCGGTTACACAGTAACCCCGCTCACCCGAGACGAGACAACAAACACGTCCACCTGAGCCATATCAAGCTCTTGATGAACCGAACAGGACAAGGCACCTGTCACGGTTAATAGGTTTTGAAGGACTGTTGCCAACAATATACCGTATTGATTTAGTGTAAAACTAAGCTAAAGGAGAAAAAAAGGAAAAAGAAGAAGAATCGCGAATTGTGCGATCAGCAGAAAAGGTTGTGGGCGGAGTGGCTCGCAACCACGTGACTAATGCGCTAGACCTAACTGGGCTTATTGGGAAGTGATGTCACACGGCAATGCGATAAGGAACCCGAAATGCGCTGTGCCGTGACAGCACCCAATCAATGCAGTTCCTGCTCGGTACTGCGCACGGTCAATTGGCGCTGCCCTGTCAAGTTTTGGTTTCGTCAATTTCAAGCCTGGTACAAAAACATATCTCGACAACCGGACCCGCAGCACACAAAACAGCCTTTTACAATAGATGACTCGGCTTATAAGGCTACAACAGCTGCAGTGGCAGCTACAAGAGAACAGCGTCTACGTGGAGAAAAACAGCGAAGACACGAATTGGCCGAACTCCAAAGCAAGGAGGACCAGCGCCGACGCCAAGAGGCGAACGGGAGCGAGAATTGATAAAAATGTTCAGTTTAATAACGCAACGCCCAAGCAAGCGATGCAGTGCTTCCAAAGAATTTACGGCGACGAGAACGACGAGTCTAAGGAATTGGCGAAAGAGTTCGGCGGGAAGATTCCAGATGGGGCGTTCTCTATAGCCGATATCCAAGGCTTCTTGACAGAAAATAAGAATGACTTAGCCCAAGCGGTTGAGAAAACAGACGCGTGGGTCTATTCTTGGCAGAAGGAGGTCTCGGCAGAAGGAGGTCTCGGCAGAAGGAGGTCTCGGCAAAAGGGGGGCTTTCAGGAACTTCCGATTCTGGTGACAATGTGCTACAGCCGAATCTGCGACAACTCAAAATTGGCTCAGAAACTGGGAATTTGGTAGCGAGCGATATTTCCAACGCCGAGATGTCGCGATGGGTGGGTGCGCAATAATCACGAGGGCGTTCATTTAGTTAGTCGTCAGCATCCGGCTGGTGGAGACGTGGGATTCTTCGGCTCGGCATTCTGCTGATAGGATCGTTCAGATATACCAAGATAGTAACCCGCCAATCAGGAAGCATCGCTAGGTTTAGGCTAAATTAACCGCGCCTGATCGCATGTAAATGCTTGCCCGAGACTATAAACCACTAGAGGGGAAGGGGGCCGACGTCGTTCCATCGGCGCCCAGCACATGCGTCTTCATCCTGCATATAAGACGCGGGCGCATCAGCACCCTTGCAACCCGTGCCTGAGCATAGAACTTCTTCGCACATCACCATTACTACCATCTCTTCCCGATTAGGATCCTCTATAGCAAGTCATGTCTTGTGAAGTCCAGGTTCCCGGTCTTCACCGGAGTCCAACGCTGGATGACCTAGAGAAGTGCCGTCGGCTGTATGTACCCTGCTAGCCCAATGCAACTCCTTGTCGGAAGCTGATATCTATATAGCTACAACACACTTCGCGGCGATGCTGATCAACTTCCCGTTAAGGAAGAACACCTCCAACAGCTCGCTGAACTCTTCGTCAAGTACGGCGTGGACAAGGTATTCGGCATACACCTGATTCATGGTCACTTTAATATCGAAGAGGGGAATGTTCTCGTTGGAGAGGACACCACAGAACCCCTCTGCCGTTGGACGAAGCCTGTTGCTATAGGCTCTTTGGACCTCGACAACCTGTATGGGCACACCTTTGTTGTAACCGATAAAGGATTTCGACCATACGAGTATCTCGTCGGCGCTCTTCCAAACCTGACCGATCTCAGTAACGACTTTCTTCCTGAGCTAGTTTCTTTCCTCCAGAAAAATAACCTGACCGAAGTTCTTGCTCTCGAGGTTTTGATGCAGCCACTACCCTCGACAATGTCGGAGGTTGTCTTGGGCGATCAAGGTACCATCATGCTGGAACCTTCATGCCTCAAAGATTATCATCCGTTCCGGCGGACTGGCTGGGCGTTCATCGAAGGTGGTACCCCACGAGTTAATGATAAGGGGAACCAGGAGCATGTTGGTAGCCCCAAGGGACATGTCACCGTTATCCTTCCAGAAAAAAAGATAGAGTCCTCCCAACAAGCTCTGGCTATTTTACAAGGGTGTGGTCTCCTTAGCTAGCTATATTGAATTTCGTCACGATCATCTTAGCAGTAGCCAATGTAACCCAAAGTGTAATAAAAGGACTGTAAGGATAATCGGGGAATGTCATAGTACACGCCGTTAGTTCTTCCAAAGCTAAATGAACCCCTTCCTCGGCAATCAGACTGGGCATTCCATGTACTTTGACGTTAGCGGGCATGTTGTCTGGGGGTGGGCTAGGGTGTAAAGGGAATTGTTGGGCTAAGTCCCACGTAATTGTGAAGCTGATATACGCGCCGAGACTAGTATCATCGGCGAAAGGTCTATCCAGAGTGACCAATCTGATTTTTTGACACCGAGTTAGAGTTCGAAAGGCTTGGATTGCATACTCTTTATTAAGGATGAACGATACAAGCGACGGTTGGTGGGGCCATTCGATGTTGGCTGAATCTCGAGGTTGGAGCTCACCCGCCGCATCTTCTCATTGGTTAGTAGTCGCTCTTGTGCAGATGCGGAAGTAGAATGACTGACCGGCAAGAAGATTAATATCCGAATGTAAGGTGGGCTCAGCATCATCGTCGCCTTCCGCAGTCATTTTGATGGCATCACCAAGAGCCCGGCCGTCGATTGTCAACGCACGTGCGTTGGCCTTCCAGTCCTGGTCTACCTTCTTGCGGACCGCCTCAGAGAACTCCCAACATGTCTCGACGACCTTGGAAACCTCTTGATCGCCTATAACATTATCCGTTACGGCGTCTTGAATCGCGGCTCCTACAATACCGTAGTGCCCGGGAAAATGCGGGATGTTTCTCAGAGGCGGAAGAACGATCATCGCCTCATCTACCCACAGTGGTTAGCTTAAGGTGTATCTTTCGGAATTACGAAGTACTTACCCTCTTTCCACTGCATTGACGGCGGCGGGCTGTGCTGAGACTCGGGCCGGGGGCCTGTTACCACGTCTTGTGACGACCATGGGCTGAATGTGGCGGAATTAGGAAGAGGGGCTACCTGTGTGAGCGTACCATCTTGAGGCGGGAGGAGTGTTCTCGGGTAAGCGGATAGCTGGCGGTAATCGATGATTGTGGTGGGCACGGCATGGTCGGTGCCAGGTTCTTTGTAGCAACGCTCAAGCAGGTCTGCGAAGCTCTTAAATTCCCGGTAATTGACAAGGAACGAGTGGTTATGTTGGAGACCTCGCATTTCATCTTACCCATAGGCCCATTCCCGAAAAAAATCTCTGCTTTGAAGCCATTTCTCCGGAACCCAGCCGGCCCACTGACCGCCTCCTTCCTCTGCGAACTCCTCAAGGTCCCAGTATCGCGAGATGGGCGACCATGGAGGAAGAAGTAACTCCTCAGTACGTGTGGGACGGCCAGAGGCACGATTGAAGTCGGTCAATGTTATGCTGCAGTCGCCCTTGACAATAACGTTCCTTGGATGAGGATCATATAGTTGGATTCCTACGACGGCCAGTTCAGCCTCGATCACGTTTTTGATCACGAGGAGACGGTCATGATCGTTTGGTAACAGATCGTACTGGATTTTTTCGTCGCGAGTAGCTCGGTCGATAATATCCAACATGGTCTGGCCTTTGACATAATCGACAAGTATCATGCGCACCCAGCGCTCGAGGGGAGGCCCGCCAGCCGTGACGAGCCGGAATGTCCAGGACCCGTAGTACTTTGGGACGAGTCCGGCAAGTTCCTTGTCAGAATGCTTCTCCATGTATTGGTAAGCCTGGTATTCATAAGCATAGTCTTGATCGGCTAGATACATACCGTTGTCGCATATTCTCTCTGCAGTCAAATGGGTCAAATGGGTAATAAATGCCATCGTAGATCTTGGCGACGCGGACGTTGCTTCAAGACATGTGTGCCTCCATGACCACCCTGAAAAGACCTTCTTGCCAGACTGCCCGTGATAGTGAACATGCGTTCATCGTCTCCAACGCTGCCTGGTTCTGTGTCGTATGGTGGGTTGGTGCGCGCAAAGGTGAGAAGGTCAAAGGATTGATCGTTGGTAGGCTAGACCGTTTTTTTGCGCTGATCGTCAGCGTACATGCCGCCAAACGGGAGTGGTAGTGATCCATGGCGAAAAATACGAAGCTAGCCACCTGTCACATACAACGCTGCATCAATTGAGGGCCAAAAGTGCTTGTATTTGGAAGAAAAGGAAAGGTGGGTACAGCCGAGATACCGTAGTCATGTGGCCTAGCATATACGCGACCTGCGCCTAACGTATTTTATAAGCGAACGGATAATATAAGCGAACGGATAATTTTACACCACCCCACCCTCTCGACCTTTCGCAACGTTTTCGTCCACCACACAATGTAGCACTACCTTCAAAGGAAGCACAATTAAACTTAGCCCTTGAAGCTCTTGGAAAAGACCCAAAACTCCGTCTTTCAGCTGCAGCAAAGATCTATTCTGTTCCTTACACTACTCTCTACAACCGACGCGTCGGTCGGCCTTCACGACGCGATATTCCAGCCAATTCACGAAAACTCACAGATCTAGAGGAGCATACAATTATTCAGTATATATCTGAGCTATGTGCACGCGCATTTCCTCCTCGGCTTCGTTTTGTGGAAGATATGGCCAACCGACTGTTACGCGAACGCGACGCGCCCCCTGTCGGCAAGCTCTAGGCTCACAACTTCGTCAAACGCCAACCAGACCTCCGGACGCGTTTTTCGCGTAAATATGACTACCAGAGGGCTAAATGCGAAGATCCAAAGATTATTCGCGAGTGGTTTGCCCTTGTGTATAATACTAAAGCCAAGTACGGTATCCTTGACGAAGATACGTACAACTTTGATGAGACTGGGTTTGCGATGGGTATGATTACTACTGGGATGGTTGTTACTACTTCTGATGGCTATGGGAAAGCTAAAAAGGTCCAACCTGGTAATCGTGAATGGGCTACAGTTATCCAGGTGGTCGTTTTTGGACTGTGTGTGTGAATTGAACCAATGTGGCCGTTGGGCCTTGACCACAAATAGAATAGCTCCACCTTATTTTTCGGCGTCCAGGGGTTCAACCAAGGCATTCATAGGCTGGCTCGTGGACGCGTTCGAAAAGGATAAAAATGGCCAGAATTGCACGTCGCCGCCCTATGGCCGTAATAGGAGACCTCCCACGACGCGGGGTCACGATGACGACGGCGATAAACAGGCTAGCAAGTCCAATAAGCCTAGCGTCTCAACGCTCACTACTGGCGGTAGCGGACCAATATCCTCTACGCTGGCGAGGAATGCGGCCCCGGGCCCTTCGACTTCTGGAATTGATACAGGGGCTGGCAACACGCAGACTCAGAAGCTGAGACCGAGGTAAGATCCGAAAGGGACGCAAAAGCCGAAATAGAAACATAACTTGGGTAAGGAGCAGTAATCAGGGGTTCAGGAACGCGGGGCATCAGATGGGGGGTTATTCATGAGCTTTGATGCGCGCACCTAGCTACTTTTTCGTCGCACCTACCTGTGGGTCCTTGACAACTGCTGGCAGTTGAGATACTGATACTTAGACTCCAATTTAGGCTAGTAAAATCATGAATTACTATCTAGCTGCCCATATACTTACTATGCAGCCCGGCCACCCGGGTCAATAACGCTCTGTTCAGGGGGCCCAAAAGATGCGGTCAAAACATAGTAGGGAATGTAATGGATGAAGTACGCACCCCCTAATACTAAAAAAATACTAGGATGCAACGGTGGACGGCGGCAGCCAGCTCTGCTTCGCCTAGGTCTAATCTAGCCCCCCCCCCCCCTCCTTTCTGGGCTGTGCTGCGTTCGTGGTGGCATTTTCTGGCCGACTTTGGGGAGCCGCCGCCCCCGTATTCCATCCTTATCGGCGGGCTGTGATAGATGATTCTGTAGTGGAGCGACATGCCACGTCTGCCGAATCGGTACCAGTTTTCCCTTTCGCTACCGCCCTCCACCACAATGTCGTCCAGGTCAATCGACGCTCGTCCGATGATCCCCGCACTTCTTCTGCTTCTATCACTGTTGTAGGAGACTGTGGTGTTTAGGGGGCAAGTTTCGGGGCAGCGGTAGACAGCAAACCTTAACACCTGGTTCCAAACTGCCGATCTCTGGTCATCGAGAGAGTCCATTCTTGCCATCAAGAATCTCCTTTGGCTGCCCAGACTAATAGCGAATATTAGATCCTTCGCCCCCTCGCTCGCTATATTAGCTGGCAGGTTCTTGACCTTGATGACTATAAGGCTTATTGTACCAATCTCGACGCCGAACTCAGAGTCATTCAAGACGGCGTCTGGGGCGAGGCCGGCGGAAGCAGGCGCTTCGCTGCCGCCGTCTTCGCTACCATGGGCATGGTCCTCGACGTCTGGCACTGGCGGTAAAGGTTGCGTTCCGGCTGCTTCGGGTCGACTGTCGATAAATACAAATTCGCATTCAAGCTTGCCGGGATGTTTACTACCATTGATTGGGATCGTGGCTTTGGTTCGGCTCCCCCCCGCGACGATGAATCTGCGCACGTCGACCGTCGCACTACCAAACCCCGTCAAATGATCGTGGGGATTATGACCGAAAATCATCACCAGCAGCGGTGGAATTACTGCCCAGTCATAGAAGGGAAACTCAAACTGCTCATCCCATACCACCGCCGATCCTTCCAAGCCGGCTGCCTTTGATTTCCTCAAGTCTTTGCCCCAGATCGCGCGGTAACTCAGCTTCTCATTCCACTCGGCTCCATTCAAGGCTGGTGACTGGAGTCTTTTGACGCTAAAAGTCAGTGTGCCGATTATCTCCCCAAGGTTTATCACGTCCTCGTCAGAGTCTATCACGTCCTCGCCAGGGTTTAGCACGCCACCCAAGGGGATGCTTCCATCGGAGGGAAGCTTGTTGTTGCCGTCGCTTGCACTCCCGCCTGCAGTCATCTTGCCGTCTTCTTCCGGTAGCGGCACAGCCGCAGTTTCTTGCTCGGCTTCGGTAGGATAAAATGCGACTTCATACTCAAGAGTTCCGAGGTTTTCAAAGAAGCTGCCAATTATCGAAGACACATTCTTTTCTCTCTCTCTGATAAGCATGATCATATTGGCAGAAAACTTCCCCATCACATTCCTTCCTCCATATGCCCTATCGACAATCGAGATGTCCAGGCGCCTGTACTGAGGCAAGTCGTGCACGGATTTATACACGCGGGATTCCAGTAAGTTGTACACGGAGTCGTACACGGGGAATCTGATTTGTTCTTCCCATATGACTTTGGATTGTCCATCCATGTAGGCCCACGCCGTTTCTCGTTGATGTTTGTCATAGGCGGCAACGCAAACTATTTTCTTAGTTTCGAAATGAGAAACGTTTGGAAAGGCGTTCAGTGCTATGATTTCGATAATAATTTCACCGATTTTCTTCCTCTCATCGCCCACATCCGTGTCTTTCAAAGCTGCTGTGTCTGGGCCCGAATTAGGTTTGTCGCTGTCGCCATCGTCGCCGCTATCGTCCTTTTCCATATCGCTGTCAGCCTCCGAAGAAGGGAGGGCAAACAGGGCAAGCTGCTACTGATGCCCTCCAACGTGGCGCTGGTACTGCTTTGCTGAAGCCAGATTATCGCGGTAAAGCGGGCAGGGGACTCCAGCGTCGAGGTCGAGTGACTGTTCGCCGAGCCTGACCAAAGCTTCGGTCTCGCCTGGCGCCCTGGCAGAGGCGTGCGCACTGTCTAAGTGATCTCGGCATGCGGAAAAGGATGGAAAGGATGAGTCGCAGCCAAGAAGGCATTTGTACGTCTTCCAGTGATTCTGCCTAACATGATCCATCCAGTGATGGCGGCGGGAGAACTCTCGCTCGGCGGTCATGCAATGCTTTTCGAGACAGACGTAGGGCTGCAGATCTGCATAGACGTGTTTTCTTTGGTCGCAAATCAGTTAGCGTCCCGTTATCAGCGTCATCAGATATGCAGGAGCAAGTAAGCCTACTTCCAGGCGACCCTGTCCTCCGCCACGATCATCATGAAGCAGAATGGGCACTGGAATGGGCCCCTCTGCGCCTCGTTTGGGAGTGGAGACACACTCAGTCTCTCAGAGCCGGCCGCCATCGATGTAGCATATGAAGTTTGGGACACTCCAGCATCTGATCGGTCGTCTTCAAGAACGGAATGGTAGGTTGATCAAGGGCTGTTGTGTTGGAACCCGTCGCTTCCTTCAACTGGGTGGGGATTGATGACGCGATGGTCTCGGCCTCGCCGATACCCGAGATGACGATGGTGGCATTGTGCTGTTCGGGCTGTTCATGCTCCTCAAGTCCAAAAGAAGCTTTTCATGGTGGGTTTGCCAGTATTTCAGGCTGTCGCCTCCTCGAGAGGCCTTGCCCAGCCTCTCGGCAAGCCATGGTTGGATCACTTCAAACTTTGAGTAGACGTGCTGTACGTCAAAAGGCTCAAAATAGGATGTGTCGGTCAACTTTGACGACACGTATCGATCATGGGGGGCCGGGTTGCGGATCGTCACATTGAGGCGGAGGAGACAGTCGACTACGTCTGCGATGTGGGTAGCGATTTGCCCAAGTTCGGTTTCGGCGGAGTCGAGTCCGAGTCAAAGTCGAGTTCCGGATTGAGCGGTTCGTCGAGTTGGTCCCAGGGCGTCTGCTCGCCGCTAGCGATGACGGCCGTGTCTTGGAGTAGCCCATCCAGGTCCCGGAGGAGGCTGGCAACTTGGGTTTTGATGTGTGAGGCGTCTCGGAGGCGATAGTCCAGCGGGCTGGTGCCCGTTCTATGGGCTCCTATGTTGCCAGACCAGATTTTGAATCTGGTTTGCTCGTCTCTCAGCTGAGGCAGGATGCTGAGCGCCGAAGGGTTGGACTTTGCGGATGGAACCCGGCAAAGGGTCCACCAGCTTTTTGAAGCGGCCCAGACATGTTGCAACCAGGCTGGCAATGGCTGTGCCAGTGCCAGTGCCAGTGCCACTACGCTCTGTCATGGTAGCTGACCTAATGTTCAGTGTCAGGAAAGAGATGCTCTCATCATGTCCGCCAAAATCGAGGAAGATAGGTACCGTAACTCCTAGGGAACTGGGCCGTCCGTCAAGGCACACCATCTCCTCGTGCGGGGTCGACCCACACAAGCCAACCATAGGCTGGACGGCTAGCCGTCTCTTCTCCCACTTGCCACCTATTATGCCGAGCTTGGGGCCTGGGCGTCAGACAGAAGTTCCACGACTGCGCAGAGCCCTCACCGGACTGAAACTCGCTGACAAACTCGCGCGATACAAAGGAACTACCCAAGATAGTCATATCGGGCCTCAAAGTCGCGGGAATCGTCCTCGGATCTCTACCGCTCGTCATTTCGGCACTCGAGAACTATAGCCAAGGTCTCTCGGCATTGCAGCGGTAGCGGAAATACCAGCGCGAGCTGCAGAATCTCATCCGAAATCTCCAGACGGAACGCATCAAACTCCAGAATGTTTGCGAGAAGCTGCTCGTTGGGCTGGTGCCACCCTCCAGGATTGAAGACATGATAGAAAACCCGTTCGGCGACCCATGGCGCGAAGAGACGGACCGTAAGATCAGGATCCGGCTCTGGGTGTCCTTTGCCGTTTTCGAGGCCACCATTGGAGAGATGAGGACCGCTATCGACGAGATGAAGAGGAGAATCGACGGTCAGCGCGATGGAAAGGTATCGGAGCTCAGCCGCGGCGTCTTTACGCTCAGGAGGTCTACCTACGAGGACCTTCTCAAGACCATCAGAGACAACATGTCCAACCTCGAGAATCTCACCGACAGGAATATTGAGCTCGAACCAACTCGGCGAGTGCGTTCCCAGGGAAAGCTCCTAAAAATTCTGCGGGACATGTCAGACAGCTTCTACAGGGCTCTGCGGTCGAGCTTTAACTGCAGCTGTGAACATGACATTGGCTTGAGTCTCGAGAGGCGATCCGCCGATATTACGCCCCTAGATGATGACGACACAGTTGCCAAAAAGATCGCATTGCAGATTGCCGTCTCATACAAGATGTACGACGTGTTCAAGGCTCCCAGCACGGAAACCAACACCACCAGCAAGCACATGGTCCGCCGTCTCCCTGCGCAACATCATCGAGCACAAGGACCGCCACCCTCCGCTAACCTACCGCGACCGCCTCCGCCTCACCGTCGTCGTCTCCTCCAGCGTGCTGCAGCTACACGACACGCCGTGGCTCCCCGAGACGCTCACCAGCCGCCACATCTTCTTCCTCAAGAAGCACGACTTACCCCTATACGGCCACCCGATCCTGATCAGCCACCTGCCAGACAGCGCCGCGCTTCCCCCACCACCGCCGCCATCAGCGAACACCATCCCAATAGAGCGCAACCCGACACTACTAGCCCTGGGCTACCTGCTAATCGAACTAGCACTAGGCACGACGCTCGACGCGCTGCACGCGGGGCTGAGCCTGTCGGCAGTGTCGGCGGCGTCGGGGCCCATGGCCGATTACATTGCCGCGCAGACGGCGCTGGACCGCGTGCGCATGGCGAGCTCGAGCTACGAGGCGACCGTCGCGCGCTGCATGGACGGTGACTTGCACCGGCGCGGCACCGGCAGCGGCAGCCGTGGTCTCGACGACGAGGACGTGTGTCAGGGCGTGTACTTGGGTGTCGTGGCGCTGCTGGAGAGGGACTTGGAGATGGCGTGATGTATGTTGTTAGATTAGACCGTATATTAAAGAATGTTTCATGATGACTGGCTTTCCATGATGACTGGCTTTCCATGATGACTGGCTTTCCATGATGACTGGCTTTCCATGATGACTGGCTTTCCATGATGACTGGCTTTCCATGATGACTGGCTTTCCATGATGACTGGCTTTCCATGATGACTGGCTTTCAATGATGAAAACACGAAATTTGGCTGCCTGTTGTGCAACTGCTGACTTGTATTACCATCCTCCACTGCTGAGCGGGACGATCAGGCATCACAGCTCCGAATAACTCTTGAGGATGATGCCAAAACCGTCCTAAAGTTCCGCGGCCGTTGCTCTCTCCCTTAGATGAACGGCCAGCATCCTCTCAACCGGCCGGCACGTTCTTCCCAGAGGCTCTATACCTGCATATAAGCTGTGCAGGGCATCCATCTTCGCGCTCACGACCGGGTGCATGTGGGTGTCGCCGTTGTGGTCCTCGTACTAGTAAATGGGCTTCTGTGCTGTGCGGCCGTCGGGGAGATTGGATCTGGCTTCCTGGAAGTCGTCCAGGGCAGTCGGGGGCGCGTCGGCAATCCAGACTAACGCTTCTAGATAGATGCACCCTAGGCTCCACACGTCTTTGGGCCGCGACACCCTGCCCTCCAGCGCAACCTCAGGGCTGGTGTAGATCGGATCGCTGGTCGACAACTTGCTGTTGTAGATGCTCTCGTTGTAGTTGTGCTCCTGAAAGTCGCTGACCAGGCCAGACCCAAAGTCGCTCAGCTTCCAGACGGGCTCCGCAGGATTGTCGGATTCGAATAGTAGGATATCGACAGGCTCTATGTCGAGGTGAAAGCCGATTTGACGCACGACGGTCACCGCACCGTCTGTAGGAGTTGAGCTGCCAGTGTCCGCCATGGGGAGTGCGTAGATGTGCAGGTAATTTAGCGCATCGCACAGTCGGTGCAGCTACCGAAGGAACCAGTGGGTCCATATTGCTATTGTCTTAGGCCGCATGGCTCTGCGGAGGAACGTGTACAGGTCTCGTCCAGCGGGAGGAAACAGAATGTATTGAACGCTATTCTCAGTCCAGGAATGCAAGACCATGGCAATGTTCGGGTGCGGAGCCAGGGCGAGGGCCTCCAAGATACGGCACTCTCTTGCAAAGTGCAGGCGCTCTCCATAGACACGGCACTCTCGCAAAGTGCGGGCGCTCTCCGCAGTCGAGGAAGATCCTGAGAGCGTAGCATTTTTTGTCTAGCTGGCTGTCGTGTTCAGGTAGACCAATCTGCTTGGCTATCACACGAAAACCCTCTCTAACAGTTCCTCTGCCAAGAAAGTCTATTTTGCGGTCCAAGGTAAGACTCGCTCCGACCGCCGGAACATAAACTCGTTCCGGGCCTGGGCTGGTCATGGTTGAGGTCAACGTGCAAGCGAGCTCCAAAGTTGAATATAAACTCGCAGAGTCACCGCATTAGACAGGAACCCAAAGAGAGGCCGTGTGTGGCTTCTCTAAGCAAGGGAGGAGGAAAGCTGGCTGCTGAGGCTGAGGGGACATTATACTGATTAAGTTAGGTGGGGGGGTAAGCGAACACTACTGATTTAGAACATTCTGTATAAGCAGGAGTCCCAACTAACCCTCCAACAAAAGAAAGGGTGATCTTTTTATTTACAAAACTTCAATACAATCTTTGATATCCTCTGAATCATCCGCTTCTTCCGCATTTTCTAAAACCTCTGCTGCACGCCCTACAGCTCTCTGGGCCTCACGAATAGTCTGAATATTCGCAAAGGTGGTATTTGGATCTTCTTCAACCTTCTTCTTCTTTCTGGCTCTTATTGATTCGAGAGTGTGTTCTAGACCTTCAATCTTTCGCTTCCTAATAGCCAGTTCAAAGGCCTGTTCATCCAAAGCCTTACCAATCTTTCTGAGGAAGAGCTTATCCGCTGGCATTGCTTTGATGATGCGTGCGAACTTCTTTGCCTGCTCAACGTAATCACGTGCCTTTCTAGGAGTCCTCCACTGCACCCGATCGTCTCCATAATCCTCCAGGATTGGCATACGGAGTGTGCGAACCTCTGGGGTAACTATAGTAGTTCTTAAGGGGCGTGAAGTATTAGAATTCTTGAGGAGGAGTGGGCTTCTTAGCGGTTTGTTGACATTCAAGGGCCAAAGGCCTGATGCCTTCCATCCTGACTTAGCATTACTCTTAGTAATTGCCTCTGTGCGTGAAATCTGGTAGCATTCCAGAAACGCACGTTTTCCGGCTACAGAAGAGTCGTCAAAGGCGTTAGCAAGAAGGTCCTCAAGCCGTCTGCGATAAAGTCGTTTTAGGGGGCCAAATATGGCCAAATCTAGGGGTTGGAGGACATGGGAAGTATGGGGAGGCAGATAAATAATGTGAATATTGTTTGTGAATGCCTCCCACATATAATCGGCAGTTGTGTGGCTGCCATGGCCATCAATAATAAGGAGTCGTTTCTCAGAGGAGTTTGCTGGCTTGGTGAGAGAAATGAACACATTTTTTAACCATTTGAGGCTTGTCTCATCGGTAGTCCATCCTTTCTCAGTTGCTGTAAAGAACCAATCCTGAAATGGCTTCATATCCAAAGGAAACCATTGTTGTTGAACGCTTTTCCCCTTAAAAATGACCAAAGGAGGAAGGCAACGGCCAGCTGCTGAGATGCATTCGACAAAAGTGGTCCAAGTGCGGGTTCCAGGCTGTTTTTTTTGAAGCGCCTTAAAGGCACGGCTTCCAATGACAAGGCCGTTGGTTCCTCTGCCTTCCATAATACCAGATTCGTCCTTGTTCCAGCGATTCTCTGGCTTAATCGCCTTGATAGCTGGTGTTTGGAAATGGTTGAACCAAGGTCGAATTGTTGACTCTGTAGCGCAGTTGACGCGGACCGAATCGACTCTCTTGGCCCTCTGAGTCTTCAAAATTCGATTGCGGTTAAGAAAGGCACGGCACCACCCCTTTCCAAGTGGTAAGGAGTCCCCCCTTTCAGCTAGAATACGGCGTGCAAGCTCCCTGATCTGTGCATGTGTAGGGGGCAATCCTAAATCTTGTTGAAGAAGAATCCATTCGACTAAACGATCCTCTTGGGTCTGTGTAAGCCTTTGCTCATCTTGATGAGCAACATTTCGAGGTAGGGAGCCATGTAGACGGCCATAAAGGGTGGAGGGTGGAACGTTCCATTTTCGCGCGACTTTGCGTAATCGATGTGTTCTGACGGCTTCCTCGCAAGCCTTGCGGAGATCTTCTTCTGTATATGAAACCATTGTCAAGAGAAGAATAAAACGAATTGAAGATGAAGAGAATTGGAAAAGAATTGGTTGAGTTATGGGCTTTTTATATAAGAGGGTTGGTTGTGTTCCTCGCTTATCTAGAATGTTCTGGATCAGTGGCGTTCGCTTACTCCCCCACCTAACTTATTAGTCCAACATTCCGGAACTGCCAAGCCCCGCCGCTTTTCTTTTCTTTCATGCGGCATCTGCTTGACCAGTACTTGCCTGTGCACGACTCCCCTTGCAAGTCGGGTGTTGCTGTAGTCGAACGTGTAACACCCAGACTGCAGTTGTGATTCGTATTGTGACGCGAGGTACTGGGCACGGAGGCTGGGACCGAAAGTAACGGGCGAGTCGCTCCGTTTTGCGGGAGATTTGCGCACTGATGTGAGCTTCGGGGCTACAGGCCTAGGGGAATTGATTCTCTCGCAAAAAACCTTGTCTCGTGGTGGTTATTGCTTCGAGGAGGGTAAGATTACAATATACTGTCCTCAAGTAGCTTTTTGACTGGGCAGTGGGCGACGGTAATATGCGCACTGGCCAAGACACCCCTGTCTTTCGCCAGAGATTTGGGCGAGGCGCCCGAGTTCTTTCACCCCCGCAGACGCGGGACTCAGCGGACCAGACCGCTATTTCAGTTGAATTTAATGGATGTGTGGTAGTTTAGGGGCCGGTAACCCTAACGTTCTACGCATTTCGAGGGCACTTGCGGGAAAGGGGGTTTGTCTGTAATATAACATCCACGGCCGATCCGAGCAGTTGGATGCAAAAAGGGATGACCACACTGCCACCACCTTCAGGACACAGATAATCGACTCTTTACTTCGCATCGAAATTGACAGCAATGGCTCTCAACCGTGAGGTGACCGCAGGATTTCCATATCTATTTGAACATGCTAACCCACAGCGCGCTGGCAGACGCAGACGTTCCCAAGGCCATCCCGCGTCCCGTCGATGACGGTCTCGCCTCGCACCTCCTCGGCTCGTCGGTACCTGCCGATCTGGCCCTCGGCTCCACAGACGGCACCCTCGTCAACCTGAACAAGCTGCCGGGCCTCACCATCGTGTTCTGCTACCCCCGAACGGGAGCGCCCGGCGAGGCCGTTCCGGCAGAGTGGAACAACACGCCCGGCGCGCGCGGCTGTACTGCTGAGGCCTGCAGCTACCGCGACAACTTCTCGACGCTAGCCGGCCTAGGCGTGAGTGCCGTGTTCGGCTTGAGCGTGCAGGACACTACGTACCAGAAGGAGGTCAAGGGCCGCCTGGGCCTGCCGTACGACTTGCTGAGCGACGAGAAGCTCGAGTTTGTCAAGGCCATGAAGATGCCCGTCTTCGAGTGGGAGGGCAGGCCGCTGGTCAAGCGATGCACGCTTGCATTCAGGGAGGGGAAGGTGGAGCATGTGTGGTACCCCGTGTTTCCCCCTGACGAGAACTCTGCCGAAGTTGCGGCATGGCTGAAGAAAAAGACAGAGGGATGAAGGTAGTGTCAAGGACTCTAGGTGACAGAGTTATGATGTGGGTTCTTTTGGTGTCTGAGATTGCTTCCGAAACTACCTGGCTTAGCCACACTGCTAGTTTAAAAAAAAGAGTCTGAGCTCTTTGAGCCTCTATCAAATACACAGGCAAAATCTCTTTAGAGTCGGGAGGCTCGGCGCGGACAGAGCCTAACACGTGCCTAGTCAGGCGCAACCGCGCCACAGGTTTCCGGCCTCTCAGAAGCTGGCGGAACTTGCCCGACCTAGTAGTAGTCGTGTCGATGCCATCTTTCGGGCTGGCATGCTCTGGGCGCCGCTCAGCCCCAAGCCTCTGCCCCCCAACCGCTAACCCAGCAGCTTGGTTCGATCCGAGCCTGGGCCCTCGAGTTACACAGTGAGAGATGGGGCTGAAGTTTGTCATATCAAGCGTCAAAAAGTTAGTCATGGAAAAGACTAAAGGACACGTTTGCCCGTCCGTGCTTGCGGCAGAGCTCCAGGGTGGGGAAGGAGTGGTACGTCGCACAACAGAACGGGTCATCGACGGAATAGCAACGAGGAGCTGCTTTTGCAGACAAAGGCCCAAATGGTGGTTTCTTTTTGTCTGCAAGGCTCGTGGTAGTTGCACACATCTAAGTCGGTCATTTTCGTCCTAGTTGCCTTTTCTAGGTCTAGTTGCGGTCGAAAGCTTTGGATCGACGCGAGGATCTTTGGAGAACAAACCTCGACGGCAGGACCGAGGCGCACACACCCCAAAGTCCCTCCGCCAGGCAGGAGCCATCCCTCCCGTCCCTCGAGACTAGACTCGGAGCTAGGGAGTCGTTACCCCACCATCCCAGAAGTTTGCAACCCCAATTTTCCCCTCGGGGAAGGAGAGACTCTAACTTGTCCCGCCTTTGCTTCCTGTCGTGTTCTGTTGGATGGAATCGAGGGTGAGACGGAGAAACTGCCGGCAGATATCTAAACAGACTGCAAACCGCGGCCTGCCTAGCATCCTTTCAAATGCATTCATGTTCCTAATCTCTTTCGCTCAAAGAGCACTGCTAGCAATCCAACGGACGAACGGCCATTCATGGGTGGCGCGGTGGCTGATGCACGCATAGGTCAGCAGCCTGCCTATCATATTTCGTCATCCGCACCCAAACCTGGCAAGCCGAGGGGACGCCACAAGTTTTGTGCAGGTGGGAGGGTGGGAAGGAAAAAGTCCACTGGATGTGCTTTTGCACCTCCCTGCTCCCCCAAGAAGAATTTGGGAAAGAAACGCATCGCTCTCGCTCGCTAAAATGTCACCACCACAACCCAGCAGAGTACGCCTTTATGTGTTGGCAGTCGTTAAGCTTGAGTTTTTGGCGATCTTGCTGTGGAGGCCGCTACCGACTAGGGCTACCACCTCCACTTGAGCCTCATTGCTCGTGCCAAACAACGAAGCGGGTCAGGATTTGTTCCGCCCACAACAAGCCTCTTGTTGGTGTCCCTCCTGCAGGGTACCCGGCTGCTCGCTTGTGCGCAATCCCTGCCATACCTACCCCATGCAGTCATGATCGACATTCGCCTTTGCAGAAGATACAGACTGTAGAAGATACTATGTAGACCGTGTTCGGCTCGCTCGAGTGTCCTGTCTCGAGGAAGTGGGTGTGGCCAGTCGTGTCCCAGTTGCCGCCGTGCCGCGACACCTTATCCCCAGGTCTTGAGGGTGGGCACTGGGTACTGAGACAGCGGCCCCTCGTTTCCGAACCCGAGGCATTCCTCAATCGCCGCGCCACCATTGCCCGTTAAAAGTGACTGTGCCAACTCACGAATAGCGTCGGAGCACCTAGAGAGGCTTCGGGATTTGAACCCGTTAACCGGCCAAAGTGATTCACTTTCTCGGAACTATCTGCCCGGTTATGGAATATTATCACGATATCGGATGAGGATCGCCGCAGGGCTTGATAGCTGCAGGCCTTCGGGCTGCGCGAGCTTAGTTGCCTGGGGACAGGGGCCAGGAAGCTACCCCTCCCAACTCCCCCGGCATCCCATGCAGCTCATTCGTGGGGAGTTGGTGCGACACGGCCATGGCGGGGAAGTTTGCTCTGGATTCACGCCTGATTCGGCAACCTTTTTCTCACTCTGGTGGCGAAAGGCAGGACAAAAAGCCTTAAGCACCTACCGAATACCGACACTGAGAAAAGGGATGGTCACCTGAGATTGGCAAGCTTTCCATGACTCCCAATCGAACATGATCCAGCCGCTTACGCCCCGCAGGGGGTGGCGGGTTGGCAAGTCTGATTCAAGAAGGCCCAGGTGTCCTCCTTCAAATTTGCTGGCCGCCCACGAATAAAGTCTGCGTTGAGAGCTGCAGAAGCGCTCGTCTTCCAGGTACGGAGTAGCTCGAGCTGCCTCATGCAACGAAAACAAGATTTGGGGTCAGTGAAAAGACATCTGCAGGGGCCCGGGTCACCCACGCATTTAATGGTCCGTTAGAAGTTTAGTTGCGCCCCCAACCGCAGATCGCAGAGCTTAACACCCCAGTCGACGTCACACCCGACGGGACCCGACTACGATGCCCAAACAACAAGAGCGCAAGATCAGGGACGGCAATGGCTCTGACAGGGATAGAGCCATGGCCAGCAGCACAGGGGTTGATATCGGAAAGCCCAAGAAGAAGAGGGAGAGGAAGGATGGCAACTCGGGAGTCTTCGGCCGTCTGCTGCAGCGCGCAAAAAGTACAAAGGGCAGCAAGCCGCCGCGCCAGCGAGCCGACGCAGACTCGTCCGAGCAAGCCGCCCTCGTCCACAGCTTGAGGGAGGAGCTGAAGCCCGCAGAATCCGGGGGTTCTCCGCCACAATCACCCCTGAACTCACCATACACTGAGCTACATCCTCAACCGCAACAACGAACCACTGAAAGAGGCGCCCAGGCGCAACCTGCAGCGGCGCTAGATCCCAAAATGCCGACCCCGGGCCTCAAAAAGAGGGCTAGCTTTCGGGATCGAATAAGATCGTGGCAGAAGATCCCGAGCGGCAGCTTGAGCCCGTCCCTAGAAGAATCCAAGTCCCAGTTTGTTTACACACCCAGGCACGCCGCCGCCGATTTTGAGCGCTTAGCAGTGTCGCCCACGTCGCCACCGCCACGCCGCATGTCAAGTGAAGCCCGGTCCGCGGTTCCATCTCCCGAGAACAATGCCGATGTACTCGTGAGGCCACGGCGGTCTCCGCCCCTGCTGCAGACTTTGGAGGAGACCGAGGCAGGGGCTCCTGCACTTCGAACCCAGTCGCGGCCGAAGCGCCGCGAGACGGAATCTCCGAGAGCCGAGCCGAGAGCTGGTAAGAATGCGTCACCACCGCGGCACTCGAGGTCCCGGCCAAGCCGCGATTCCTATACGGTGGCAGAAGACGCCTGGGAAGCTTTGCAGGTGCAGTCGCCCATGCAGCAGGCTGCAGCGGCGGCACTCAGATTGCCCCGGGCGCCATCCCTAGAACCCCACGTCCTCGACACGAGAACTTCCACAACCACCGCCGCCGGCGTGGTCGGATCCGAGCCGGAACCCCACCCCCACTCCGACGCTGCTCCACCCAGCGACTACGAGAGCTTCCTCGCCCGCGCCCAAGCCAAAGACCGCGCGCACCGCGAGCAGGTTCTACGCAGCATCTCGCAGCGCTCTGCAGAGCTCAAGCCGAGCCCCCACCTGCAATACGCCTCGGCCAGCTCCTCGGCCGACATGAGTGCCGGGTCGACAGTCGTGGCGGGACAAACCCCGGCGGACGAGAGTAGGAGCAAGAGCAGCCGCGGCGGGGGCGACGAGCAGCAGCAGCAGCAGCAACCCTTCCGCCGGGGACATGCCAAGCGCGCGAGCTGGGCGCCGAGCTTCGACGCAAGCGGCTACGATGCCGAGAAGACCCTCGAGAAGAAGAGCACATCCACCGCGGCCACCCGCCACGCGCAGCAGCAGCAGCCCATCGTCATGGGGGTCGACGACACGTTCCAGCGGCCTGGGTCCCGGATGGGAGACAATAGCAGCCAGTCGCAACAGCCCGTCCGCACGCTGCGCAGGCAGGGGAGCATCACGCAGCGCATCGCCGAGTACATCCGCCCGGCGCGCGAGGACATTGCCAGCAATTCTAACTACGAGCCGTCCGTCTACTACCGCCCGCCGAGCCGCGCCGGCATAAGACGCTCGGGAAGCCAGATGCAGCAGCCGATCGAGACCCTCGTCGAATGACGAGATAGAAGCAGGCACCGGCAGATGGATCTGTCGCCCGCAGATGCTCGTTGTCGTCGTATCATTATGTTTCCCATATCCCTTTCAGTGTCATTCAACATACAAGGAAAGCGCATTCATCCTGTTTCACACGGTTGCCGTTAATGAGTGGAATATGTGCCGGCTATTTGTTTTCTATCCCGAGTACGTACCTACCTTGTGTTTTTCCCTACAGCACCGGCATCCATGCTTTATGCTGGGGGATTCCTAGGCGGCAGCCGACGCATCGCTGTTTCCTTTTTGTCATTCCCTTTGTCACTCAACTAATGCAAGGATACCCAACATGATTTTGGGGGGACGCGAAGAGTGATGATGGATGATAATTATATGCCCGCCAAGGACGGTTTGTCTTGGCCGGGTAGGGAGTAACTCTTCTTGTTTTGCTGTTTTAGAGCACATACATTATTACATGTTAGGTGGTGACGGGTAGAGGACTGGATTCTACGTATTAGTCTAGTCTGGATGGTAAATAATAAAACTTACCACCGTTACTGCACGTCTGGCGGGAACACAATTGCTGGTACGTGTCTTTGTTGGATATCTAAGACTCGTAGCTGCGAATCCGACATGCCATTTTTCTTTCTGCCTTGTTGGTTCTTTAATACGGTTAAGGGACGAGTTTCGACTTTGCCTTATGCTAGATCTTGACTTGAAGGTGTGCCACAGCACGACAGGCACATATACCGAGTATTCCAGCCGGGGTTGAGTTCTAATATTGGTATCAGCCAATACATACAAAATTACCAGACACACTGCGGCAAGTTTCATCAAGAGGAAGACGGAATGGTGAGGGTAAGAGCTGTTTAGACTTTCCCCTGAGGCTATTTAGTGACTTCTAAGGGTAGAGAGATCATCGACAGTAAAGTATCTGGGACACACGTAATGTCTTTTGAAATCCAGAATTAATTGGCAACTGATAACAAGTATAACTCCACTATCTCAGTTTGGGTACATCTCAGTTTGGGTTCACCTCAGTTTGGGTTCATCTCAGTTTGGAACCCAAAGCCTGGAGTGTTTCCGAACCTTCTCAGACGCTCCCCTGAATCTGACACCAAAGGTTTTATTTGGCGGCCAATGTCAAAACTTCAACTCAGTACTCCAACCAGAAAAAGCAAAAATACTCCTTATGTATAAGGTTGTGACGAACTTCCATACTTTAGTATATAAATAATTGCGTGACAATATTTAGGTGATTTAAAGTTTTCTCTGATCGCAAGGCAATTAGTTGTTGGGTTGGCGTTGGTATGTTTGGCTGGCTGTTTACTTAGCACATGCATGTGCTTGGCTGACTTGGCACCTAACCCTGAACGGTTATTCTTCGGCGACCTCCGCGGCGATTCAGGCCGTGCACCGTGCACCGTGCACGTGTGGGAGCTGGGGGCCGCGACAGGGGCCCGCAACAAGGACCTGCCTGGACCGGAATAGGCGCAAAAAGAAGCAGCCCGCACGCAGATTACGGAGTCGATCTGGCCTGGCCACATATTCGTCATCTCGACATTTTCCTTTCCATCGCCCCTCTCCGCCCATCACCGACGACAGCTCGCAACGCCATTGACGAGCGACATCAATGCCGCGGCTGTAGGCGAGTGATCTCTCCCGTCCCTTAGGCTGTTTGCACGACACGGCCGCCTCCTGGCAACGCTCTGGGCTCTATAGAGTCCCCAGGCTCCCGCCGCCATGGCGCCGCCCTTCGTCGACAACGCGCAGATCCAATCCGCCGAACTCCTCCGCCCGCTGCCCCTGCAGCGACACGCCTACATCTGGCCGTTTGCCATAATATGGCCAATCTTCCTGCGATTCTACCTGAGCCCTGAGCTCTACGAGAAGCACATCCAGGCCCCCGAGTGGACGTTTGTCTGGGTTGGCACCATCATCACCGTCCAGTCGCTGGTCTGGCTCTGCACCCACTGGAGCGTGGACCTCAACGCCCACTTCACCGCCCGGAAAGCCCGCTCCGTCGAGGAGGCCGAGCTGATCAAGGTCATCCCCGTCGCGAATGCCGGCGCCGCCGAGATTTGCAAGATTGTGCGCGACAAGGTAACCACCCAACAAACATCTTCCGCATCTCGCAGTCGCATATGCTAACCTCGCTGCCTTGACGCGCTGTAACAAACAGAAGAACACCTCCTTCTTCTTCCAGAAGCGCAACTTCCTTTTCGACGCCACGACCAAGACCTTCCGAACCCTCACGTACGAGATCGACAACGAGCCGAAACTCGAGCACTTCCAAAAGTCCAAGGGTATCACGGCTGCTGCCGAGGTCCAGCGCCTCGAACAGCATTATGGCACCAATACTTTCGACATCCCCGTCCCAACTTTTACGGAGCTGTTCAAGGAACATGCCGTGGCGCCCTTCTTCGTTTTCCAGATCTTCTGCGTCGGTCTCTGGCTGCTCGACGAGTACTGGTACTACTCGCTCTTCACCCTCTTCATGCTCGTCATGTTCGAGAGCACGGTTGTGTGGCAGCGCCAGCGCACCATGAACGAGTTCCGTAGCATGAGCATCAAGCCCTATGGCCTGTACGTCTACCGCCTTGGCAAGTGGACCGAGATCCAGAGCGACAAGCTCCTGCCCGGCGACCTGGTCTCTGTCTCGCGCACCAAGGAAGACGGCGGAGTGGCCTGCGATATGCTCTTGGTGGAGGGAGCCGCCATTGTGAACGAGGCCATGCTCTCCGGCGAGAGCACCCCGCTCTTGAAGGACTCGGTACAGCTCCGCCCAGGTGACGCGCCCATTGATGCCGATGGCCTCGACAAGAACTCGTTTCTCTGGGGCGGCACCAAGGTGCTCCAGATCACCCACGGCAACACCGAAGAGGAAAGGCCCAAGCTTGCTTCGGGTGTCCCCGCGCCACCAGATAATGGTGCCATGGCTATCGTTACCAAGACGGGATTCGAGACGTCCCAGGGCAGCCTGGTTCGGACCATGATCTACTCGACAGAACGCGTGTCTGCGGGTAACGCCGAGGCCCTGTTCTTTATCCTGTTCCTTTTAGTTTTCGCCATCGCTGCATCGTGGTACGTGTGGGACGAGGGCGTCAAGAAGGACCGCAAGCGATCCAAGCTTCTCCTCGACTGCATTCTCATCGTCACGAGCGTCGTGCCCCCCGAGCTCCCCATGGAGCTCAGCCTTGCCGTCAACACCAGTCTGGCCGCTCTTGCCAAGTACGCCATCTTCTGCACCGAGCCCTTCCGCATTCCCTTTGCTGGCCGTATCGACGTGGCGTGCTTTGACAAGACGGGAACTCTTACCGGTGAAGACTTGGTCGTTGAGGGCATTGCCGGCCTTGGGCTTGGTCATTCTGGCACCAACACCCCCCGGGAGGCCGATGGCGCCCACAGCCACATTACTCCTGTCCACGATACCAGCGTCGAAACCACCCTCGTCCTGGCGACAGCCCATGCCCTTGTCAAGTTGGACGAGGGAGACATTGTGGGAGACCCTATGGAGAAAGCAACACTCTCGTCCTTGGGATGGGTTCTTGGTAAAAACGACGTCCTTACTAGCAAGCCTGCCCTCTTGCCAAATGCCCGAACCAGCGGCAGTGTCCAGGTCAAGCGGCGGTTCCAATTCTCGTCTGCATTGAAACGCCAAAGCTCTGTATCCTCCATCAACGCCACCGACCCATCCACCGGCAAGAAGCTCAAAGGCACGTTCGTGAGTGTCAAGGGCGCGCCCGAGACCATCATGAAGATGCTCGTTACTGTTCCAAAAGACTACGAGGAGACCTTCAAGTATTTCACGCGCCGGGGTTCCCGAGTTCTGTCGCTGGCATACAAGCACCTCACCACCGACAGCGAACTCGGCACCCACAAGATCAACGACCTCAAGCGCGAGAGTGTCGAGGCCGGTCTCACATTTGCTGGATTCTTGGTTCTTCAGTGCCCCCTCAAAGATGACGCCAAGGAGTCAGTGCGGATGCTCAGCGAGAGCAGCCATCGCGTGGTCATGATTACTGGAGACAACCCCCTCACCGCTGTCCACGTCGCCAAAGAGGTTGAGATTGTTGACCGTGACGTTCTCATTCTGGATTCCCCCGAACACACCACCGAGGGCGAACAAAAGCTCGTCTGGCGCAGCGTCGACGACAAGACCCGCATCGATGTTGACCCCACCAAGCCAATCGACCCAGAGATCCTCAAGACCAAGGACCTGTGTGTTACCGGATATGCCCTGGCCAAGATCAAGGGCCAGGTTGGATGGAACTCCATTCTCAGGTACACTTGGGTTTACGCCAGAGTATCGCCTAAACAGAAAGAAGACATCCTCCTCGGACTGAAGGACATGGGTTACTACACGCTGATGGCAGGAGACGGCACCAATGATGTTGGCGCGTTGAAGCAAGCCCACATTGGCGTTGCACTGCTCAACGGAACCCCACAGGACCTGACCCGCATTGCCGAGCATGCACGCAACACCAAGATGAAAGAGCTCTACCAGAAGCAGGCCGACTTGATGGGCCGCTGGAACCAACCGGCTCCCCCCGTCCCTGTCCTCATCGCTCATCTGTACCCGCCTGGACCCTCGAATCCCCATTACCTCAAGGCCATGGAGCGCGAGGCGCAGAAGAAGGGTGTTACTGTCGCCGAGCTCGCCAAGGCCAACGGCACCGACATCGAGACAATTACCTCCCCTGCGGCCCAGCAGCTGATCAATCAAGACCCTAAGAAAGCTAAGCAGGCCGAGGCAGCTAAAAAGGCGTCTGGTCTGGCCGATAAGCTGACGCAGAGCATGATGGATGCCGAGATGGATGACGAGCCCCCTTCGCTGAAGCTCGGCGATGCGTCTGTGGCTGCTCCCTTCACGTCCAAGCTCCGAAACGTCATTGCCATCCCTAACATCATCCGTCAAGGACGCTGCACCCTTGTGGCTACAATCCAGATGTACAAGATCCTCGCCCTGAACTGCCTCATCAGCGCCTACAGCTTGAGTGTCCTTTATCTTGAAGGCATCAAGTTTGGCGACGGTCAGATCACGATCAGCGGCATGCTCATGAGCGTGTGCTTCCTGTCAATCTCCCGGGCCAAGTCTGTGGAGGGCTTGTCCAAGGAGAGACCGCAGCCAAACATCTTCAACTTCTACATCATCGGTTCTATCCTCGGCCAGTTTGCCGTCCACGTCGCCACGCTCATCTACATCGCCCGGTATTGCGACTTCCTCGCACCGTAAGTCTTCCATTCTTCCTTCGCTCTGACCATCCACTGACATGTGTCCCTCAGCCGCATCGACGTCGACCTCGAGGCCGAGTTCGCCCCGTCCCTCCTCAACAGCGCCGTCTATCTCCTGCAGCTGATCCAGCAGATCTCGACGTTCGCCGTCAACTACCAGGGGCGCCCCTTCCGCGAGTCGCTGTCGGAGAACAAGGGCATGTTCTACGGGATCCTGGGCGTGACGGGCATCGCGTTCGCGTGCTCGACGGAGCTGATCCCCGAGCTCAACCAGGCCATGAAGCTGGTGCCGTTCAAGGACGAGTTCAAGACGACCATGACGGCCGTCATGGTGCTCGACTACGGCGCCTGCTGGCTCATCGAGGTCGTCTTCAAGTACCTTTTTAGTGATTTGCAGGCCCGCGACATCGCCGTGCGCCGCCCCGACCAGCTCGAGCGCGAGCGCGCCCGCAAAGCCGAGGCCCTGCGCCTCAGGGAGGAGGCCGAGGAGAAGATCCAGGCCGAGAAGGTTGCCGAGATGGAGCGCAGGATAGAAGCGCGCGCGGCTCAGCTGCGCGCGTGGTCGGGCGTTGGCGGCCCGGCGCAGCAGCAGCAGGTGCAGAATTAGATGGTACTACATGTAGATGGGTTGGGGGAGAGAGGGAGGTGGTCATTTAGCAGTGTTTCGTTTTGTAGACATAGAGCGGGACCCATGAATCTGTACTTGTACTGTTGAGTAAGAACGGACGGGGCTTGGGTGATGTCTGCCATCTTCCACGGTGTGAACAGTTCGTAAAAGATGTCATGAGAGGTTTTCCGGAGTTGTTACTTGTTCATGTCTGTCTTGCTGTCTACCCTGTCTTGTTATCTCTCTTGCTGGTTACCTTCTTAATCGTTAAGTGGGTCAACAACCGCAATTGCTCCTTAGTTCCTCTCACCCATCCGTTCACGGGACGGGCCGCAGGATCTGGCTTAAACGTGCGATGAATTCGAATACACTAATGGAGCTGTTGGGAAACTAAAGTATGATACAGCCACCAGGTGCCTCTAATGCTTTGTTTTTCTTTTTCACGTAAAAAAAGGTGGAAAAAAAGCAGCAAGTCTACTCCGGATCCACCACCGAGATCTCCTCTCTCTACCTGATTCCAAGCATGTGCTTTGGGTTTCAGCACACACCGATCGGGTAACCTCTCTTCTTCCACTCTTTTCCTATCGTACTTGTCCGCTTTGATACAGAGTCGCTCCCTGCTTCTCAGCACTCGGACGCATACAAATACGCACACACTCACACGCACACCAGATAGCCTTTCGCTCTTGGGTGAGACTCGTCCGCACGAGGTTAATGAATTTGGCTCGAGTTTGTTTTAGGGGGTTGGTATTGGCCACGGGGGTGACGCGCTTATTTGCCGGGGTTGGAGGCGACAAAGGCCACGCCCTTCTCAATGTTCTTCTTGAGGTCAACGAAGCAGGCCTCAAGAAGGGCCTCTTCGGCAGCGTCGACCTTGCCGAGGGGCAAGATCTTCTCGACGCCGTTAGGGCCCAGCTCAACCTTGCTGCTGAAGAAGTCGATGCCCTGGTCCTTGTACAGCGGGCTGTCGACAAACGTGGGCTCAATCACGCCCTTCTCGCCCTGCGCCGCCCGCAGCACGCTCTCGGCCATGCGCGCGCCCGCCATGGCCATGCTGAGTGTCGCCGAGCCAGCGCCGTCCTTGGCCTTGACCACCTCGTCACCGCCAAACTGCACACGGTGCACCAGGTCGCCGTCCGCCGACAGCTCCGGGTGGCTGCTCTGGCTGAACAGCGGCACGATGGTCACGCCGCTGTGGCCGCCGACGACCGTGATGTTCTCGTCGACCGGGTCCGTGTCCTTCTTCTCGCTGACGAAGCGAGACGCGCGCACCACGTCGAGCGTCGTCACGCCGAACAGCCGCTTGGGGTTGTACACGCCGCGCGCCTTGAAGATCTCGGCCACGATGGGGACGGTCGAGTTGACCGGGTTGGCGATGACCAGGATGTTGGCTTCGGGGCACGACTCTGCGCACGCCTTGGCCAGGTCCCGCACGATGGACGCGTTGGTGTTGAACAGGTCGTCGCGTGTCATGCCGGGCTTGCGCGGTACGCCCGCAGGGATCAGAACCACGTCCGAGCCCTTGAGCGCGCTGGCCAGCCCGGAGGGCGTGGGGTCGTAGCCCGTGACAGTCGACTTGGTGTTGACGTGCGACACATCGGCGGCAACACCTGATTCGGGGCGAACAAACCGTGGTTAGCTCAACAGTTGCAAGTGCAATTGCATCCAACGATGCTGCTTCTTCGCGAATTGCGACACCGGAGGTTGTAGAGAGTCGTTGTGAGCACGTACCAGGGGCTCCGCGGATATCGTAGAGAGCAAGCTCGCTGACTCTGGGGTTGAGCTTAAGGAGGAGGGACAACGGCTGGCCAATGCCGCCGGCAGCGCCGAGGACGGTGACCTTGGAGAGCTGTATATGGGAGACCGGCAGTTAGTACGGAGAGCGGTCAATGGCATCTTTGAGGATAGTGAGGCTGGGTGCGGGATGTGATGGAAAGTCAATCGGGTCTTGGGTGCGTATGGGACGGGGGCCACTGACGTTGCGGGCCGACGCCGAGAAGGCGCGGGTCTGGATTCTCGAGGCCATAAACATGTTGGCGGTTATGTATGACGAGCGGTGATGAACGATTGAAAGGTTACTTGGGGAGCGGGCTACCTCGTGCGGTGAGGAGAGAGCGTGCAGATAATGCGGGTTGGTAGGAAAAGAGAACAACGAAAAAAGATTGCAGTTGAACAAGGCGTGTGACTATGGTGACTTTTGGCCCGGGGCCACTCGCTTGGGTGAGGTAAAAAAAAGTGCCTCGGCCAGGTTTGGTCTAGCGCCAATTGGCCAGGCGTCCGGTGCTTTTTCGGAAGGGTCGGACCTCGGGAAATCCCGCACTCTCAGTGCCTGTTGGCACAGCGAGCCAGCAAACAGTTTTTCCTGCCGTTGTCGCTCCGCGACACCTGCCACCCCGCTAGCCCACCTGCAGCTGCAGCAAAACGGGTGGGAAGCCAGAAAAAGACAAATGGATATGCTCGGTTGAGCTTTCCTGGCCTTCCGAAGACATCAAACGAGGGACAGTATGACATGCTTTCCCAGGACCCTGGCGCCAATGCCGAGAGATCTCCCTTGCCTCCTGATGCAAGACAGTTTGGTTCTCCGCAATGACGTTCAATTGCAGACAAATGGCCAAGTTGCAGCCCTCGTTGGTCCGCCTCTCACGTCGGGCTGGTTCAAAACCCCAGGATCAGGACGAAGTTGTCTCGTTGTGTCATTGTTACAAAAATACATAATTATCTACCACACAACATATAAATCTCGCCCTCGATCCTGCATGGACTCGGATAGATTGAGGACAATAGTTACACCTACATACAGGTCCGTCAACCACAACAGACCGCCCCATCATCCCACCCAACATAGGTGTATGCCCAACCCATTCAGCACTCAACAGCAGCCCCCTTCATCAGCACTTAAAGACTGCCGGCCCGGCCGGGGTATAGGCCTTGCCCCCGTTGCTGTAGATGTTGATCATGAGTCCAGGGTCTGTCGGCTTGTAGGCGCCGGGGAAGGAGACGAGGTCGGTGGGCGTCTTGGCGCCGCTGCCGCCGTCGACGGTCAGCTGGGCGCACGAGATGTAGAACTGCGCGCCGTTCTCCTTGGCCGCCGAGTGCAGCGCCACGTGCTCGATGCGGAACAGGTAGTCGCCGTCGGCCAGACACTGCGGGACTTTGAAGTCGACTGTCGCCTTGTCTGTCCGGGTTGGGGTCGTTTCGTTAGTATTTGCTCTGGTCACGTTTCCTTTCGACTCTGCAGCCTTTCTTCCCACCCGATAAAGTGGACTGCGCGCAGTTCGGGGGACAAGGAGGGGATCGTACTTTGCGACGGCCAGTTCATCTGCGACCCAGACGAGGTGGGCATGTCCTGGTAGACTTTGAACCACACGGCGCCGGCGCCGTCAAACGTGGACGCCGTCTGGCCCGCCGGCACCTTGGCCATGTAGGCCGACAGCGCGCCGGGGTGGTAGATGTTTGGGTTCGCCGTCCAGGTGATGGTGCCGCCCGCCCTGGCCTTGTACGTCGACGTGCTGCCGCCGCCGCCCGGCGTGTTCTGGTAGCACCGGATCGCCTCCGACGTGACGTCGGTGACGGGCGCGTTGCTGTAGTGGTTGGCCGTCATGCGCACCACCTGCCAGTCCTGCGTCCCCTTCAGGTTTCCAAAGATGTCTGTGCCCTTGTCTCAGCGATATTGGTCACGGTAACCTTGGACAAGCGCTGTTTGTGTGGGCCTGGCTTACAGTGTGGCGCCGCATCCACCGCTGTCGCCAGCAGTAGCAGGCTTGCCTTGAACAGCATGATGATCTCTTGGGGGGAGGCGGGTGAGTATCTAGGTTTATTGAGCAATGTTACTACCTTCAAGTCTCGAAGGTGTGAGCAAATGAAGATGGAGGAGCGCTTTCACTTGGGCGCCAAGGAGTCGCCGCATTATAAGCCGGCCACTTCGAGAACAATTCTTGCCGCCTTGATCAAACGTTCCAATATCGCCTGCAGCAGACAGCTAGCTGCACAACAAACCATGATTGCGATAGATAAGGGCAATTATCTGGGGTACGCAGCGGGTAAAGAGCACAACCACTCGGGTGTTACACCCCATAACCGGGCAAAGAGACGAATGCGCCATCGGTAATTAACTCTGCCTTCGAAGCTGGGACACATGATACCGACTGGGCCGCCATAACCGGATTGTCACAAAGAGAAACAAGTGGCGTGACGTGAATATTTGCTCCTTACCGTCGGTGATGTGGTGCCGTTGACCAAGTACCTGGTCGAGTGTGGTGCAATATTCAACGCAGGTCATCAACAAATAATCCTCGGGATTCTCACCCGATTGCGTGCCGGCAACGTGTGTCTCTCAATTATAAGACAAAGTAGTGATAGCGAGTCAATTGCCGGAGCCTTTGCGCGGAGCGAGAGTGCACCGAGTCCCACATGGCTCCCGAACGAGACCCCACAAACTTCCACCACGAGCCCCAGAGCACGGTGGGCTTCAAATGCCTCGCATCCCCGCTTGTACTTCATCAAAAAAACAAGGGCCTTGTGGCGCAATGGTAGCGCGTTCGACTCCAGATCGAAAGGTTATCCGTTCAAATCGGGTCAGGGTCACAACCATCCCTTTTGCCGCGCGGGCGGCCTTGCTTTTTGTCGACATCCGTTTGCGGCCCGAGGATGGGAGGGCGGGCTGGCGGTTTGGGTGTTTTCCGCGTCGTCACAAGTGTCAAGGAGTGCGGGGAATTATTTCTCTACGAGTGGACATAATGACTTTGTGATTTAACTGAACTTATCCTTCTCTGTTTCAGGGATGCACTCTCGCTTTTCGATCCTACAACATAATTAACAATACTTTGCACATCAGCACCCTCCTCGACTGGCCGTGCTTGGAATTTGTGCTCCTCTCTCGCTAGGTATGAGGTTACAAAGGATAAATTAACCTAGACAGCGTCTCGCATCCTACTACGTTTTCTTCCTCTTTGCGCCCCCCGGCTGCGCAGCGACGTGCTCGTACCCCAACGCCAGACTCCGTCAACAGTGCGCCGATGCCTTCCCACAGCGCGGCGGCCCTCCAATTCTGACCCCAGAACACGGCAGTGGTGAGCAGGCGCATGGGCACCGTGGCCAGGAAGAAGGCGCGATTGTTCTGGCATGCCCCCAGCGTGTAGTAGATGCCCATGGCAATGGCAGCCAGCGAGTTGCCGCGGGCGGCGGGCAGCGCGGACGTGGGCAGGTTGAGCGCTGCCAGGGCCGGCTCGCGTCAGACGAGAGATGTGGCCCCTGCTGCAAAGGACGTGATGCCAAAGAGCAGGATCGTGGCGGCGGAGTAGGACGGCATTGTAAGCATGGTGACTTGTAGGTGCTTGAAAGGTTTACGAATGAATGGGCGGGCGGCGAGATGTCGTTGTTTTAGGAATGTTTTAGTGTAACACAAGAAGCCCGGTCTCCGACGGTTTAATCTAGTCTAGACCTGACAGTCTGACACCGCCACCGAGGCGGGAATCTCCGCCGAACACCCCACCACAGTAAGCAAACGAGACCCCTGGTGTCCGGCCGGATTTCTACGTGGATATAACAACAGGCGGCCGTATTCAGGATTCGGGGTAACATGTCCTACTTTTTGGGCAGGATGGCTGAAATATACCGAGCACTGGGCAGTGAAACGCAGCTTGGAAGCGTTTCCCGACGATAGGAATCTTGTGGACGCGGTTATATGTAAAGATATATTGGTGAGGTGGACGATGAGTTACTGTCGTTTTATTAGACCACACGATTCTTCAGGCTTGCTGGAGTTTCTCTGCGGCATCGAGAACACGGCGGCCACTGGCCGAAACGCTCGGCGGATTTCTTCGCAAATAGCCAGTGATATGGCAATTTGGCCTTTTGTCGAGACCCAAGAACTGGGGTTGTTCGAATTCTATGTCAATTAACAATCATGGGGCTCGTTGTGGGAGCATTTCCGCCAGTACAAGCAGCTGTACGCCAGTGTCACGGGCCGTTACATGAACAGGAACGACAGTAGAGAAGTTCAGAAGGTTCGTCTCCAGGTTCCTGCCCACCGACGTAACAGCTAATGCGCCTCAGCCAAACCGCAACTACCGCCAAAACCACACAGCTAAATGCTACTGCCAGATGTTTCGACCCTGGTTGGGACGTGGTAGGCCGCAAAGGAGAGATCCGTAGTCGTATTGCCCTTCATTGGGATATGGTTTCCATTTTCTATCAGCAGCTCCTTCGCGCCTTGCATGAAGATATTTGGTCTTTTGGCATGTTTTGCTGCATCCCGCAGTGGGGCAAGTGGACTCTGAAGGGGCCAAAATTGCTGCATGTTGTAGCTTCCAAGAGCAAAAGCCTGAGGGTACGAAGACAGTATAAAACTCCTAACAAATTGAAGGTTGCCGTAGCTTCAGTTTCGTTCCTCAAGGCTCCTTAGGCGAACCGCATGCGGTTTGCTTCTCCTGTAGAGCTAATAATGCCTTTAATATGCTAGTTAGACTTGCCATATCGCTCGGAGGAGTTGCTTTCCCAGCGCCATCGTGACTAGGTTCATCTCATGGACATTAAACGTCTCAACTTCGCTATTCCGAGTATCAAACAAACAGGGAACGGAACCTTGGTCGTCATCCCGAGCGATATAATCTCGTCGGGAGTCGAGGTTACTTAAGAACACGAATATTGCAACTCGCTAGCTAATTCTAATACTACTGATTGGCCCAGCCATAGTATACAAATAGCACCTACTTAATATCCTCCGACCAAAAGAATTCAACCTATCAAAGGAGCCCACTCTAATACCTTATTAGTCCATCATAAGAATTGTGCCTTTAGTAGCCTGCTACTATTTAGAACTCGCTATCCTTACCCTACCTAGGTACTTAATACACTAAGCAGCCCTTCCTTTCCTATGCTGCTAGTGGCTCCAAGCTGCTCCCGAAAGACTGTCATTCAGACCCTGGATACCTCGGCTAATTAACGACGTACGCCACCAGCTTGGGATAGCCCCAGGTATCGACGGCAGCCTGAATCAGCTCCGTGTTGAACGCTTCGAGGCCGGTATTCGTCCACTGATGCTCCCCGTAGGGCCCGCCATGTTCCCTGACAAATATCAATAAGTGCTCAAGGCAACTATGTAGATTCTCCTCGGTGCCCATCATCTTCGGATCCGGGACCGTTTCGCCGGATTTGTTCTTTATGTACTTCGGAAACTGGATAACCAATCTCCTCCCGGCTCTCAAGTCGGTGATGGTGGCTCCCATCTCGAGGGCGTGGTCCCTCGGGGACCACATGATCATCCCATGGAATACGGCCACGTGATTCCTGTCGACGGACCGGAACAAAGTGGGGATCGTCTTGTATGCGGACGCTTCGACCTCGCACAGGCAGGTGAACATGGCCTGCGCGGACGAGATAGGGGTCGACGACTTTTTCTATCGCGCATTTAAGTTAGCAAACTCAGGATACGTAGGCCATAGGGCTATAATAGGGTTACTCACGACTTGACCATTCACTTTTCCCTGCCTCTCAAACATGGACTCGGAGTTCTTGAACTTCCAGCTTGCGTTTGTCTCTGGAAATACCCCCCAATTTCCTTCGGGTAGTATAAACGCCCCGCCAGGGATGGAGGAGCTGGAATCGAGGACGATGCCGGTGTTTCTGCATCTCGCAACTCGATGCCGGTAGAGGTCGTAGATTTCAAATTTGAATATCGGGTTACCTTTTGCGTCCTTGTGGGCGTTTAGGTTGTTGATTGCCTTCACCGCAAAAGAAGTACAGCGACCCGAGTCGACGCTCCAGGTAGGCGCTAATTGCTCAATGGTGGCCATATTCATATAAGCATTCGTAGCGCCCCTAATCGAATGCTTGGGGTCAACCAAGAATTGACTATACGATATTCCAGCAGTGTGGAGAATATGTTTTAGCATAAACATCCCAGTATAGGGACCGCCATCGATGATTTTCAGACACTCCGATTGAGCTTGTTGGAGAGGGGTGGGTTGAGACATGGTAGAGGTCGGCAATTAGAGCAGATAGATAATAGCAACGAAGAAAAATAATCAAAGCCAAGCAAGCGTGAGCGAACTAGAGGTAGCTGGGTGATAATGCTGAAGGCTGGAGGCTGGAGGCTGGGCTAGGACAGTATCCAAACTACTTGGGCATGACCTTTATATAAGTAGATGGCTCATACTAGGGACAAGATGTGTTGAAAGGGGCCGTTATCGTGCTCGTTGGACGTTATCGTAGCTGTGGTTGCTGGAGCTTGTATTGGCGGGGATCCAGGCTCGTATCCTGATACATCGCCAGGGCGGCACGTCCGCTGGGCCATGGCTGCTGAGACAGGTGACGGTTTGTTCCAAAGGGTTGTTGGCCTGTTTGAGGGAGAGGAGGCGTCGTTACTGTGGTAGCTTGAGCCGGTGCTGGCGGCAAGTGGAACAATGGAAATCCACCTTGTAAGCTCCCATCGCCGTTGGGCCATGCCTGCCGAGACCGGTGACGTTTTATTCCAAATGATCGTTGGCCTGTTTGAGGGAGAGGAGGCGTCGCTACTGTGGTAGCTTGAGCTGGTGTTGGCGGCAAGTGAAACAATGGAAATCCATCTTGTAAGCTCCCGTCTCCGACCAGGGCGGCGCGGCCGTTGGGCCATGCCTGCTGAGACCGGTGACGGTTTGTTCTGAAGGAGTTGTTGGCCTGTTTGAGGGATGTGTCGTCGTAGCTGCGGTAGCTTAAGCTGGTGTTGGCGGCGAGTAAAATACGGGAAATAATTACTCGTATACCTCCCCCCGGTGTATTACGCGTAAATCTCAGATGATAAGGGTAGTTGTTTCTGTTTGTGGTTTAGTGACGCTGTCTAGAAGATTCTAACAATTTGACCCTTGCTAGTTGGGATTTGATACCCCGGGGAAGGTGTAGTCGGTGTTATCTGACCGGGGCGGTACGGGTTAGGCCATAGTTGGTTAGCATGGGGCGGTGGGGTGCTCCCAAGCGGCGTAAAGAAAACTCGGAACTGGAGGCCCAGCGGACTTTAGGGGCCGATCCGGGATTTCGGGGGCAATGTAACGCCTTGTGAACCATGAAAACCTTTGTTGGTCGTAAAAACCTGCCGGCACGGTTTCAGGGTACGCCCTTCTGGTCCTCTTGCCGCTTGGGCTGCTGGCATTTCGACTGCTTCTCGCCGACTAAGAGCACTGCTTGGCGTTTCATTCCGGCAATGATTGATTATAAAAGCCTTCAGCTCCTCTCATTATCGGAGTTTTTGCCATCAGACCAAGTACCGTTCAGAGCAACCACCCAGCACTCAATCGCTCGCGACTTTGTTTCCCACTAATAATCGAAAGTATTCCCATACGCCCACTCCGTGCAACAAAATGCAAGAATCCCACACCGTGAGCGTGGCCGACATGCTCAAGAAAATAAAGGCAAATGCAGCAAAATCGACAGTCAAGAGTAAGTACATTACAAACCCCGCCCCAAACAAAGCAGCTTTAGGCGTGTCATTCCTCGGCGGTCGAAGCCACTTATTCCCTCACCGCCTGTAGAAACCCAAGGTCCGCGTCTGGACCGTACATGCTAATTATACCGACGCAGACCCGCTCGGCCCAGCCAAAACGACCTCCGGCGGCGAAGTGAAGGCCATATTGCATGAAATGGAGGCCCCGGATGACAAGACGGCTTAGGCCAGCACCTCAGGTTTAGGTTAGGGTGCAAGGGCTTCCGGTACAGGGCAGTATCAGGGCTGGGAAGGACTATTTCCTGTTCTCAACGTAGGGCCGGTCGCACGTCGAGGAGGGTCCACGATTTCCTAGCTGCTAGAGGTGTAAGCTATCAGATACGTCGCTGGGCCCGGAGGGCTATAACGTAGAATCTTGGCTGGACCGAGAGGTAGACTTACTTGGAGGGTTTAATAATGGATTATATAAAACCGAACCAGCGCCGCTGTGACTCGATCCCGAGTGATCTTTACGTAAACTTCGTAAACAGGGGCCGGGAGATAGTACTTCAGCGTCTCTATTATAGCGCGCTCTTCTTTGATGGTATTGGGGTCGCGAAGGTCTTCTCGCTAGCTTTCCTCCTCCGCGTCTGACAGTACTCGCATGATAATACTTGCCGGAACACCGTTATGCACCACCGGATGGCCTTCCATTTGCCAGCTTGGAGGGCATCTTGAGATTCTCTCGCCCGCCGACATACGCGGAGAGTTTCTGTGCCTCTCGGCTACATCGACTGCGTTCCGGCTGCTCGGGGCCCGTTAGCATTATCGCTTTGGCTGCCGTCGGCACGGTCCTTGCAGTTGGTGCAAGAAACGTGGTTAAGTGGGGTGTGCGTTATTGGACGTGGCAAAGCGTGAATCTCAGTGTTGGAATGAAGCGCTAGTCAGCCACAGGGGTAGCGGTGGAGGCGCAGTTCAAGACCCCAGCCTCTCCTTTTATAGAATGAAACACTAGCTTTCGGCGTATAGCAGCGCTCTGTTGATCCTAGTACAGGTACCTGGTGATTCCAACACTGATCAGTGGTTAAATTCACCACTTGTTGAGACAACGGTCCGACGCCACAGATCAGCAAGGTTCAACAGAAGAAACAGTGCCGTAGAGAACGGTCGACCCGTGAGTCGTCCCTCTCTACGAGCCTGTGTATCCCTGCCTACGAAGAGACGGTATAGCGGAGCATTCGTGCCTCGAATCCCAACCGCAGCCCGAGGTCCTTCAAATCTACGGAAGAAGTGGCCGTGACCGTCTCCCTGGCATCACCTAGCCGTAGAGCGTCTACCACGCAAGAAGCCGTCGAGAAAGAACGGTCAAACTATTAACCTACGCATTGACTGCGTAGGCTCAAAATCTCCTCTTTATACGCGTTGAACGCGTATAAGCCCTCTTTTCGGTTTTTCTTAAAACCCCCTTCATTTCTTCGGCCCTCTTTTCGGCTTTCTTCGGCAACCAGCCCCGACCTTCGTTTCCGACTTCACTCGTTTCGGCTTCCATTTTCGACACTCCTTCGGCACCTTTTCCCAGTATTCTTTCAATACCCACCTTTTTCTTAACCTCCCGGGCCTGCCAGCGGCTCATTCCAGCACAGCTCCCTCCGACACCCTCACCTACATCCAAGATGGCCACAGGGGCTGGAGACGACGTCATCGCGTCCTCGGACCTCCCGCCTAGGCAGCTGGCCCCTGCCCAGAACTCCTCCGCAGCTCTACCCCCGGGCCCCCGGTCCCACCAAACCTTCAGGGCGAGGTACAATACAATCCCTGTTTAACTATAAGCACGGCACAAGCCCCACAAAGGAGGGTCCCACAGGATGTCCCAAAGTGGGTCGTAATTCTGTGCCGCCTGAATATTTGCTGAAGCTGGTCCATTTGATGCCGAGGCGTATACAGGCTTGCATCAGCACCCGCAACAATGCAAATAAATACGCCCGGCATTCGAATTTGCATTTACTCGTCAAAATGGGGCCGTATTTGGCCTTTCTCGTGATGTATTTGAGTTGGTTGGATTATTTGTAAATATTTACCCGGCACTGAAAAACAAAACTCCGGCCCGGGTAGACCCCGGCAATAGAAAATCCTGCAAATCTGGACGCCGAAAGCCAGCCATGCCGAAGCTTCAAAAAATGCTATATGGCCGCCGATTCAACAGGCACAGCAGCTTGTTGATGGTATCGCTACTGAGCCTGTGTCTCTGCAGTCCAACGACTAATTTGGCCTCACTGAATAGCCTCTCGTAGTCGTCGTGGCCTGTAAGGTACGAATTCGGGAAGTCTTGGACCTCCACAGGGACTTCGGGGACCTCGACATGGGGGTAGTGCCAGTCAAAGAACGCATTTACTAGGGCCATAATATCAAGGACCTGTTCAGCAGGTAGGTACTTGACCAGCCACTTGTCCTTATGTCCAGGGTGTAGAACCATCGAGACCCAGTAAACTAGTGTAATTTCCAACCTCTTGATGTATTTCTTGAGCTTCGCAATTGAGCGATCGAGACTGTGAGCCAGAAAGACCTCAGTCTCGCTTGTGAATGGCCTCTCGTACGCTGCGGCAGGCTCGGGAGCTGGCCGGCGAACATCGGCGGCCATCGTAACCTCGGGAGGTATCATTAAGCCGGCCCTGGATCGTTATTTTAGCGCGAATCGGAGGCTTTTCCCGAAATATATACGTTATAAATTATATACGTTGCGAACTGTTTTAAGATTGCGAGGGCTGCCAATAGGGGGCCTAACCCCCCCCCCCCCCCTTCTGAAACAGACGACGCGGCGGCGGCGGCGGCGAAGCTGTTGAAACGGTCATCTTAACAGTGTGCCGCAAAATAACCGTGTTTTCGTCTACCCCCTAGATAAACTTCCCCTCAGAAGCCCTCACTGGCTTATCTATGGGAGAGTAGACGGGATCCCGAGCTTTCTAGTGGGTATGGTCGTATGTGGAAGTGCAATCAATAAACGGTGGTGATTTAGGGCCGGGGTAGCCACTTTCCACCACCCCACCCCTTTTCCCCAACCTATCCCGGGAATACTCAGGCGAGAAAACATTTCCCTAACCCGAAATTTGCAATTACACTCCAGAGTGACATGCCCTCGGAACCCGGGACGTCGGATGCCACTTTGTTGCCGATGGTGGTTCCACTTGGCACCGAGCTTCCCCGGATATGCGGAACAGCCAGGGTAGGCGGCGATATATTCGATACCCCTGTACAAATATTCGGCGAACATGATGCACTAAAACTTAGCGAGATGAGGACTGCTGTTGCGGGCACCATAGGGGGCGAAGCTGGCAGCAAAACGTAAAGAGAAAATACCCGCTGTAGCTTAGCGCCAGCCTGCTAAGTTATAGTATTCATCTCACTAATTTTTAGCGTTTACCTCACTAGAATTTCTGTCGATTTCAGCGTATCATATTCGCCAAATATTCGTACAGGGGTGTCGAATATATCGCCGCCCACCCTAGTCCGAACAGCTACCTGATTAGCGCCGAAACAGGAGGTGGCACAGCCACGCAACATGCAGCCGACAGGCAGACAGGAGCCGACACCGCAGCAACTGCAACCCAGCAAGCAATATCAGTTATGGGTCCCAGGGGCGGGGGGCAAGGCCATCTACCGGCAGATGCGGAGAACGCGGAACGAGTCGGCGGGGTAGCTCGCCCGCGGCCGGTTCTGCGTTTCCGCGGTCGTGAGACTAAATCACTAGTCTCGGCTGAGGCTTATAAGACTTTTGTTTGAACCCCAACGTTGGTTGCTGCCTCAGTTGATGTTAATTGGCGTCTTCCGGTAGTGTAAAACTGGAACTCGACCATGTCGTTCGCAGACGAGGCAAACTCGGCCGTGCCCACACTGCCGAGCACCCACTCGGGAATCCCCACATTCCTCCTTGAGAAGGCGCAAAAGGCCAAAGAGGGCATATTCGAGACCAGGACCAAGCCCGCAAACGAGAGACAGCGCCTGCCCGTCGTGCCGCTGGGCATCGAGCGCGATGAGTTCACCAAGGCGCTGGCCGAGCTGCGGGGCCAGCTGGGCGCCGAGCACGTCGAGATCAACGACAAGCCGCTCAAGGACGGATGGTGAGTGGTGTTGGGCTATGTGATGGCTCGAATAGGGGGCTGAGCTGACGATGTTTAGGTACATGGAGCGTGGGTACCGCGGTGTAAACACGCCCCTATTTTCGCGTCTCTGACCGTCTGCAGATCCCAATACGCACGACATGATGACTATTCTCGACGAGGAGGAACTGGTTGCGTCGGCCGTGGTGTATCCCGGCAGCACCGAAGAGGTGCAGCAGGTCGTGCTCTGGGCCAACAAGTACCGGATCCCAATCTTTCCCATCTCCATGGGACGGAACCGTAGGGAGCCGAAACTTATTTTCCAGCACAGAACTCCTGGCTGACACGCGGGCAGTGGGATACGGTGGGGCGGCGCCGCGGGTGCGCGGCTCGGTGACGGTCGATCTCGGGCGGCGCATGAACCAGATCCTCGACCTCAACCCGGAGGACTACACGTGCCTCGTGGAGCCAGGCGTGTCATTCTACGCCCTGTACGAGGCCATTCAGGCCAAGGGCTACGCGCACATGTGGATCGACACGCCGGATATTGGCGGCGGCTCGGTGCTCGGCAACACCATCGACAGGGGCGTCGGGTACACGCCCTACGGCGACCACTGGGCGTGCCACGCGGGGCTCGAGGTCGTGCTGCCGACGGGCGACGTCATCCGCACCGGCATGGGCGCGCTGCCGGGAAGCAACACGTGGCAGACGTTTCCGTACGGCTTCGGCCCGTACTCGGAGTAGGTTGCCGCCCCCAGAAGGAACTTGGCTGCTGAGTGCTGACGTGGGACTCGCCAACAGCGGCATCTTCTCGCAGTCCAACTACGGCATCGTCACCAAGATGGGCATGACCCTGATGCCGAACCCGGGCGGATACGAAAGCTTTGTGAGGCTCTGATCCCCCTCACGCCTAGCCGATGCTGGATCTCGGGAGCGTGCAGCTGACAATGCCCGCACGCGCAGATGTACACATTTCCCAAGGAAGAGGACCTAGGCCCGCTGGTAAGCCACACCTCCCCAGATCAGCAGCAGCGGCACTCTCTGAACCTAACGCAAACACGCAACAACAGATGGAAATCATCCGACCGCTGCGCATCAGCAACATCCTCGAGAACGTCGCCCAAGTGCGGCACGTCATTCAAGCGCTCGCGGCGCTCGGCCAGCCCCGCTCAAAATTCTTCACCGGCTCGGGCCCGATCCCGGCCGAGGTGGTCCACGCAGCGGCCACCACCGCAACGGCCGTGGGCGACTACACGTGGGCATACTACGGCATGGCGTACGGGCCGGCGCACATCCGCGCGCACAAGCTGGCGCTGGTGGACGCTGAGTTCAAGCGGATCCCGGGGGCGCGGCGCGTGGACCCGGCGACGCTGCCGGCCGACGAGTACTTTTGGGCGCGGGACCGCGTCGCGGCCGGGGTCCCCGACATTCACGAGCTGCGCTGGGTCAACTGGACGCCCAACGGCGCACACGTGGCCTTCTCGCCCGTCAGCCCGATCCGCGCGGCCGACGCGACCGCGCTGTTCGCGCTCGGCAAGCGCGCGCACGACCGCTACGGGATTGACTTCTTCCCGGCCTTCTGTGTCGGGCTGCGCGAGATGCATCTGATTGTCGAGATTGTGTTTGACCGCGACGACGGCGCGGCGCGGCGGGCCGCGCTGGATTGTCTGCGGGACATGATTGACGAGGCGGCGGCGCTGGGGTACGGCGAGTACCGCACGCACCTGGTGCTCATGGACCAGGTTGCGAGCACGTACAGCTGGAACGACGGCGCACTGATGAAGTTCAACGAGCGCCTCAAGGACGCGCTCGACCCCAACGGCATCCTCGCGCCGGGCCGCTGCGGCATCTGGCCCAAGAGGTACCGCGGCCGCGGCTGGGAGATGACGCGCGAGAGCGGGCATGTGTCTGAGGGTAGCGGTGTTGAGCCGGCGGGACTGTGAGGTGAGTTGGCGTCGTTGGACGTGGCTCCATGTCTCAGGTGCATGTAGTTTGAGACAGCTGCATTCAATAATAAGAAGTACCTAGTTCCCAACGGTTGCTGTGCCCCTCATTCGGACGAACGTGTGAATCAAAACATTAGTCAGCTTTTATCTTGCGTAAAAAGGGGAATTACAAATCTATCCCCCCTATCACCTCCGGGACAGTCACCACAGCAACAGCAGCGCCGCCCTACAACCTCGCAAGCGACCTCTGCAAGTTCCCGCGCGCAGCGTCCTCATACAGCGCGCGAAACAGCTCCGAGTGGAAAATGCGCTCCCTGCCCAGAAACCGGCGCAGGACGTCGGCGCGGCCCTTGCGCCACGCCTCGTCATGAACCCACGCATACTCCTTGCGCACAGCCGCCTCGTACGCATCAAACACTTGCGCCTCAGCACCGAGGATGCTCAGATCCATGTCCAGGAACAACGCGGCGTCCGCTCGCGCGCCGTCATCCCCCTCCAACGCGGCGGGCACGACATGCGACGCCGTGGCCTCGATCATGGCGGCGATCTTGGCGACGCGGTCTGAGCTAACGTGCGGGAGCTCGCTTAGGCGCGCTACGGCCAGCGCGGCGCTCGCCACCTCGTTGGCAGGCCCCGCGGCGCGCGCGTCGTACACGGCGTCGTGAAACCAGATGGCCGCCTCGACGGCGTCGGCGTCGGCGGCCGCCGCGCGATGTGTCGCGAGCAGTCCCAGCAGTGCGTCGACGTGGCTCAGCCCGTGGTAGAAGCGGTCGGGCGCGCGGTACATGCGTGTCAGCTCGGCGCGGAGCGCGTCGTTGAGTAGTGTCATTTTCGGGGTGCACTTCCAAAGTCGGAAATGGTTGTGGAGGGGTGGTGTTGATAGTGTGTTAATTTAGGCCCTTGATTTAATTGCCCAGGGGTCATCGGCTAATCCTTGGTACCCCGCCAGGCCCGTGACAAGAAGAACCATAGCGGAGAACAGCAAGCAGTCCAACGCAGTCATGCAGTTGCAACCCCATGAAATCCATCGAATTTAATGTGCCCGTTTCCAACAAAAGGCTTGGTCATCTATCCAAGAAAAGGTACTCGCTCCAGCGTTTCTTTCTGTCAGAGACAGAGCGCAGAGAGAGAGCGCGAGGCTGGCATGTATCTGTTGAAGATGGCATGCAATCCGGTAACGGCTGGCAACAAAGTTGGATTGCTTGGTGTTAGATTTAGTCAGTTGCACGGTTGGGTAGGTTCAATGGTGTGTATTCTTGTGTGTTCCTTCAATTCCTGGCTCTCGCCCGTTCTTCTAGAAGTCTCTGTTGTGGCGCACCAGCCCCCCCCCTGAGGTGGATCGGCGCCACGACCGGGGTCGACTACGTGACTTGGCATGTGGCTAATCTGACACTTGGTCTGTCTGCTTGTGACGAAGCGGGCTGTGGCTGTTGGTGGTGGCGACGCCGGTTTTTCTGTTCTGCCTTAGTTAGAGGACTCACAACGGAACGAGCTGGCGATGTCATCCTAGCTTTAAACGCTAAGCTTAGGGTGGGGATTGTTGTTCTGAATAGGACCGCCGCGATTGCCTAGGCAGCTAGATTCCTTGTGGGCCCAGATACGACGAGTTCAGTATTGTTGCCCTCCTACGCTCATGCCTTCTGCGTGTAGGTGTTCTGACTGACGAGAAGATGTAGCAATTGAGACCGGGTACGGCGCGGACCGAGCTGATCCCGTTGTCCCAATCTGGAGGCAAGGGAGAGAATCTTGTTTGACGATAGTCAGCAACCAAAAGTAACAACTGCCTGCAATGGCACTGCTCCGCCAGAGATTCACAGCAGATGTTGGGAGAGACGCCATAGTCGTAGCAGTTCTTAGAGAAAGAGGCCCTCGCAGACTCTGGACTTGCCCGGGTCCTGTCTGTGACGGCTCGCATAGGAAGTCAAAGATTGAATACACTAACGAATGTGAATTTAAAGCTAAGGAAGGAAAAGAGGAAGCTATTGCAGGGACCGCGCAGGGCGCGGGGTGTTGGTGCAGGGCACGTGGTGGGCGTGCGCATGGACCACACTCTAAATACAACGCAGCCAATAGAGTCAATCCCTGGCACGTGCGCACCGTGACACTGTCGAGCCTGGAGTCCACTCTCTGAGTCATCACGCCGAGCCTCAAGGCTAGGATTCTCAGGGACGAGAGTTGCGTCAGCAAGCGAACTAGATAAGGTGGCCGTGAAGGCAGGTAGGGCAGCGTCAGGATGAGGTGCTCCTTGAGCAAGGGCGGCGAGGTAGCCGGCAACAGCGATGGCCGAGATGGAGAACTTCATTTTGGCTTGGTTGTTGAGTTGCTGAGTTGAAAGAGCAGTAATTGCTGAGAGGCAAGTCACAAGTTAAGATGTGCTTATTGGTACTATTAGGTGCTGGATTCTGGGAGTAGCTAGATTTTATTCTTCGAGGAGAATTGGGATTCCATTTGTACTTGTTGAGAGCGTGGGTTTACACAGTAGGCAAATGTACATACAATACAACCGTAATCCCGCATACATACACGCACTTAACTGTGTACAAACTTGGCTATTCCAGCGTGTTGGCCAACAGCCAGCCTAGCACTGTAATTTACATCAAATTTGACGATTTTTCCAGGGAGGCAGGAGCAATACGCGTGCATTGATTCAACACGAAAGGTTCTCAGATCCGGCTGACTACAACTGGCGCATCACATGCCGGCCGCTCCGATCCGTTCAGCGGAGACCCCAGCACAAAGTCAATTAAGGCCGAGGGACCTTTCTCGCGGATAAAAGTCGGATTGGCCCAGCTAGCATAGGAGGACTTGTGAGTTGGGGAGACTCGCATTATTTCTTTATTTCTTTCCATTATTTTGTATTTTTGATTGAATTTTAACTTTATTTTTTTTTTACATTTGCTAGGGTAGTAATTCTGTCGATGCCCGCAATATTACGAGTTCTGGTGGCGGGGACTTGTTGCCCTCATCAGTCAAGTAGACGGTTTCCTAGGTCCTGGATGCCCCAAACTCTGAAACAAATATAGGCTCCTCCTAGCGTGTTAGCTCTTTGTGTTGCACTGAGTCCTCATACCCCATCGTCGTTTATAGCTCTTTGTGCTCTAGCTTAGCCCCCCAGCCTTCTATGCGAGGCACGGCGATGTATGAAAGGTGATGAATTGCTTAGGGAAGCTAAAATCTATCGGCCCACAGGCGGGAAATCTATTTGGCATGGATAGGGTAGATCCGGAGGGGCCATTTGGTAGACCCGGCTAGGCCAGGTTTGGCCTGTGCCCAGCACACCTTCTCTCTCGACGCCGTCCATCGCCATTGCCATTCTCTGCCTTAAATTTGTGGCCGCCGTGGGCAAGGTCTAGCTGCAGGGGTTGATTGCACCATTACAATAATTCGGGAACACAGGGTTTTGAGGACGAAACCTTTTTGTGGAAGACAAGCTGCGCAGTGACAAGCTAAACTCTGCACCCCACGAGGTTGCCCGCACGCAAAATTTGCGGCAATGCATACAATTTGGTTCACCCAAAATGAGTACCCAAAATGAGTGATACGATACTTCTACCCATCAAGATCCCCAGTGTCCATCACTATTGGGTAGTAATCAAGGTATATCGCGGGATCCACAGGCGCCTGTCCCTTTCCTTCCGCAATTGCCTTGCTAATATCGCAACGTTTCCAGCCGTCCTGCTGAATTAGGCTGGCTAGAACTTTTAAGGCTTTCCCGTGTCTCTTCGGCTCGAACGAATGCCCCTGCATCATTGTCGTGAAGCGGGCTAGTGCCTCGCGTTCAACCTCGCGCGCCTCCGTCTTGACTGATTCTTTGTATTCATCAGTCCGTTTGACAGCTTTGATCTTTTCTCTCCACTCGGCCTTGGAGCAGTTCTTGTCTAGGTTCCACAAGTCGTAGCCGCACTTGATGTGCTCCCTCTTGATGGCGGCGAGGTCCAGCACGTCGGCGTACTTGTCGGCCCCGGACGTGATGATGTGCTGCAGGGCCGGGATGACGGCGTGCATGTCCGCAGGCATCACAGCGGGCAGGTCGCGGAGGTCCTTGTACACGGTCTCGCGCAGCTCGGACCACTTCACGTCCTCGAGCATGTCCTACGTCGACATGTGGAATAGGCTCTCTGGGTCGCCGTGCTCGTCGATCGCGTTCATCGTGTCGTCAAAGTTGAGCCCCATGTAGTTGCAGGCCCTGGAGATGGCCAGCGTCGTCTGGATTTCCTTTTCTTTGACATCCTCCGGCGGCGATGACAAGTACTCGCGCCACCTTGAGGCCTCGCGTGCGATGAAGTAGCGAGTTTGATCCCAATATCGGGTCCACCCCGGAAGCCGCTCGAACCAGGCGGGATCTGATAATTCAGGGTGGGCGACGAATCAAAATATTCGCTTATTCGTCAACGGATAATTCCGATCCGGAATATCGCGGATATTGACGAATATTCGTAGCTGACTAAGCACAACCTGCCACCCAACAAGTGTTTGGCTGCCCAACGCAACCCAACCACCAAAACTTCACCAATTCATCAATTCCTTTAATCCACAAAGATGTCTTTCATTTCTGAGGGTTCTTCAATATCCAGAGATACAGGCCGAGGCTCAAGCTCTGTTATAGAGCATACTCGGCTACCACAAGACGACGAGCCAGCGCGAAAAGGCAAAAACCGCATGTATTATTGCAAATATTGCGAATCATGGGGTGCTCAAAACACAACCAACTTCCGGAACCACCTCAAATCCAAGCATGGAATCACAACTACCAACCAATCGAGGAACGTCGATGATCTCAGCAATACTGTATTGCAATCTCTATACGAGAAAGCAATGGTGACCAACCAGACCTCTGAGTTAGACGCTCAAATTATGAAACGAGTGTTAAATAAAGAGGTTATCACACAAGCGGTTGCTTCACTTATTGTTGTTGAGAGCCTTTCTTTCCGGATTGTTGAAAGTCCATACTTTCACACCGTTTGCAAAGCCCTCAATCCAGCTGTATCAAACGAAGTCATCGCATCACACTCGACAATCAGAGAGCATATCAAAAAATCTTGGATTTCGAATAAGGACATCGTTCGGAAGAAGCTTCAATCATCCCTTTCAACAATCCACCTCTCTCTTGATGTCTGGACTTCCCCAAATCAGAAACTGTTCCTTGCAGTTTGTGCTCATTTCGTTAATCTTGAATCGGAAACCCTTCAGAAAGCACTTATCGGCCTCCCATCTATTTTGTCACACCATGCAATAACACAACACGAAGCTCTTCTCTGCGTTTTGAAGGATTATAATATCTTTTCAAAAATCGGGGCAATCATCGGCGACAATGCTTTTACCAACGATAAGCTTTGTAAAGCCCTCGAAACAACTCTCAGCGAAATGGCAATCCCTTGGTCATCATCAGATAATCGAATCCGATGTAATGGCCATATCATCAACCTTGCTGTTCAAGCATTTCTGTTTCAAGATATTGATGAAGAGAATGAAGAGATGAATGTGAAGGAGGTGAAGATCTCCTTTGATCTGAGTCCCCTGATCAAACTTCATAATATCGTCAAACATATCCGAGGATCCCCTACTCGAATTAGCCAGTTTATTCAGCTTGCTGGCCGAATGATCCCTTTGGATAATTCTACCAGGTGGAACAGTTGGTATTTAATGATTCAAGTTGCCCTTGAAAAAGAAGCTGCACTTGATTCGTATATCAAACTCTGGTATGAATCTCTCCAAAAGGATTACCTTTCTCCAGATGATTGGGAGAATCTTCGATTAATATCAACTTTCCTACATCCATTCTTTCGAGCAACAAAAGCAACAGAAGGAGATCATGCAACAATCGACCGAGTTTTATTCACTATGGATATCCTGATTCAGCATTTCAAAAAAAGCCTTTCAGTATATCAGTCAAATCCTTTCTTATCTTCTCGGATTGAGAAAAGCTGGGCAATATTCGACAAATATTATCTGAAGACGGAGGAGTCTTCATTTTACGCAGCAGCAGTGATTTTTCACCCATCACGACGAACCTTATATCTCAAGCAAAACTGGGATAAAAAATGGATACGGCCAGCAATCAACTCTGTCAGAGAACTCTGGGAGAAGCATAAGGATCAATTAGCAAATACTTCTCCAACGTTACCATCAATGCAAATTGATGATCTTGATGAATTCGACATTCTTGCTCAAAATCTTGATGTTATTCCACGGCAACACGTCAAGGATGAGTTTGAAGAGTATATCTCAGAAGCAGTAATTTCGATCGAAACATCAGCATTATCCTGGTGGTTGAATGGACAACAACGACGACGCTGGCCAAGATTATCTCAATTGGCGATCAATGTTTTATCAATTCCTGCAATGAGTGCTGAGCCAGAGCGAGTGTTTTCTGGGGGTCGTCGTACAATATCTTGGGAAAGGATGCAACTGGGTGAAGATACTATTGAGTTTCTTGAGTGTTTGAAGCATTGGATAAGGTCAGGCCTTGTAAATAGTAGCTTGGAGGAGGTGGAGGAGGAGGATCTGGATGACTAAGCAGATTGTGGTGGTTCGGACCCACACTGACGAATATTCGTTGATCTGTCAGCAAATAATTGACGAATATTGAAAATTGATTTGTCAGCCAACGAATCGATTGTCGCCCACCCATTCTGATTCTTCCTTGGAGATGTGGAGTTCGTCGCAGACCATGTCCGTCCATAGGCGGTACCGGATGGCAAACCCGTACCGCCGTAGCATGACGAGGCGATCCACCACCGCAGTGTTGACCTTGTCGCAAGGAAGCCGGAGTTCTCGGTTACCTCGGATTTCTTCTAGGAAAGCATGAACGGTTTCCAGCAGATCTTGTCTCTCCTGCTTATCCCCACCCCGTTCTCGAGGGCTGCTTTGAGGCAGGTCTTGTAGACTACATTGTCATACAATGGCTCACGAGAGGCGATGCTCCTTTAATTGCGTTGCGTAGAGTCTGATCTGCGTAGAACAAGCCCTCCTTTAGCCGTTGCTCGTCGTACATCGTGTGAGAGGCGGGCGGGGATGGGACCGTGGGTACCTCCACCGCCAGCCAGAACTCGCCCTCAAGGAGCTCCCTTGTTCTAGCGCGTCTTCGCCTGACTGGGGTGGTGTCCATCCTGTATCTTTTTGGTTTTGTTTGCTGGTCAAGAATATGAGTCCTGGTGGGAAGCCTGTATGTGGAAATGAAGGGGAAGAAGATGAAATTCTAGATTATAAGGGAAGGGGAGGTAGGCTCGTGCACTGTGGATTTTTAGATTGGCTAGGATATAAAATGTGTGACAAATATTTTGCAACAGACTTTTGTGATTTTATTGGAAAGTCTAGACCTAAAATAATTTGCTCCATGGGGAGAAATCTGTTCGGCATGGTGGGCTGATAGACTACAAATATCGGGGCCAAGTTAAACTTTTATTTAGCTGAACCTTTCGAGCACAAAAAAATGTAGCGAAACACGCTATCGAGGTTTTGCTGAGAAGGAAGCAAATTTAAAAGAGGTTCAAGGTTGACTGGAACCTAAGTAAGAATCAAGATTTGCCCGGGACATGACAATTCTCTCTCTCGCTGGAAGCCCTATATAATTAATTAAATCTGTCGCCCACTTTTGTGCCACTTTTGAGCCACATACCTGCATATCCCTCCAAACACTGCATATCCCTTCGTTCGTGACTTTCAGCCCTGATCCCTTTTTCCGGCCTCCCAGACTTCCGAATGCCCTCTTTTTCTCCTTTGCTACGGCTGAGTCCCTTACGTAGCACGACTGAACAGACTGTTGAACCAGGTTTCCTTTGTCCTTTTCTTGGAAGCATAAAAGGCCTTCTTTCCTGTATTATTAGATGGCAGGGGGACAGACAATTCAAGACCCTTCAAGCCACTGTCAACTTTGATCACGGGCCAGAAAATCTAAAACCTTCCTACATCCAACGATACCCGCACACACACCACAAAACACCCTTCTCCCAACGAATGCTCCATTCTCAAGACAGCTAAAGATTCAATTGCACCACCGCATCGACGTACTCGAGCGAGTTAGCATAGCCCATAATGACAATATTCGCCCCCTGGCCCTTCTACCCACCTAGCCGCCGAATGAACGCCGGGTTAAACATCTGCACGACATCGCGCAGGCCCATATGCACACCGTCGGCGCCGCCGCCCAGCACGGGGGGTAGGTACCTGGCGGGGACGCTGGCCTTGATCATGTTCTCGTCGGGGTGATGACGCCCTGCCCTGCAACACCGTGAAGCGCGGCGGCTTAGGCGGCAGCTGGGCGACCTGGGTGTCCAGCGCCGCGAGCACTTCCTGGGCCGTCTGATTGCTGGCTCAGATGCTCTGCACGCCGTTGGGGCCGGGCCACAGAAAGCTGTTGGCGGCGATTACGGGGCCGGCCTGGCACCGATCGTCGTCGTCTTCTACGACGACACGCGCGCTCGTGGCCCAGATGCTGGTAAGTGTGGCGTTGAGGCCGAGGGCCTTGGGCGCGAGGCAGCTGCGACTGGATGGTCGAGGCAGGGTAGGCGTGCGCGGGCTGTCGAACGAGTAGAGGTGGTTGAAGTCGAGCGGCTGAGCGACACACCACGGCATGCTGATGTCGTTGCGGACCGAGTCCAGCCCCGGGACTCTGTCCGTGACCTCCATTAGCGTGGTCCGATTGTCGTCGCCCAGCGGCGAGTCGTAGTTGAACCGTACGTGCCGCTGTCGTAGGTGCCGAGGAGCGCGACCTGGCGAAGCACTTTAGGTCTGAGCTGCGCGGCGTTCCCATCCATGGGATGGATGGCGGGAAGTTGGTGGTTCCGATGGCGATGATGCTGCGCACGCGCCGGCGAAGATCTTGCCCTCGCCATCTGTCGACAGCTGGGTTTCGCTGGGCTCGTTGATGCCGGGAGGGACAGTGACTCGGACCTGCACCTTGCCCTTGCTGTTTCTGATCTGCCAGACCTGGCCGTTGCGGCCAAAGTAGGCGCAGCGGTCGCCTGCTACCACGGACGTAGCAGGGTTGCCACCCATGGCATACATGGGAGTTCGGAACGTCTCTTCCAACGTGTTTGGGTCGAGACCGACGGCCTAGCCGTTCGTCGCAGCATATACGTAGGCTCCATCAGCGGTCAGTGCCAAACGCACATCCTCTTTCCCAACCCCTGCAAGGTTAGCGTTGTGCAGCTTGGTGCCCGAAGCCTCATCTATGCTGAAGACTTGACTGAGACACGCGGCGAAGACTTGACTGCGACACGCGAAGACGATTCCGGCACCGCCCGGCACCGACGTGACGTTTTTGCCGGCGCCTGCCAGGTTGTTGTCGGTGGGCCGCTTGTACACAAGTGTTGTTGGGTCCAGGGCGACGCAGTAACCGTTGTTGCACATGAGCAACGTTGGAGGGTCGGAGTGTGCCACGGCCATGCGCGTCTCGTGGGGGTCCCAGTTGTCCCAGGGGTTGGCCACGACAATCTCGCTAGTGGAGCTGAGGTAGAAGACCTTGCCGTTGCAGCCGACGTAGATGTTGGATCCGTGGCAAGCAACGTCGACAGTATAGCCACCAGCTGCTTGGCCAGTCAAGGGCGTGCTCCAAACCACCTGCAATGATTCGGGATTGAGGCCGAACACGGTGCTGTTGGCTCCAGCCACGACAAGCGAGCCATCTGCCACAACAGCGAGGCGCACTTCCTGGCCTCCGGCATCAGTGCCGAGAGGACTGGTGGCTTGGAGCGTACCAGAGGTGGCGTCATAGCGGTACACGGTGCCAGCGCACCCAGCGATGACGCCGTGGCTGGTGACAATCGAGTTGACGAGGCCTTTGGAGTCACCGCACGACTAATTCTAGCCGTGGTTCATGATGATTCCAGGTGGGTTGCTCATTGTGGGCGTTGGACAGCTGCCTTATGGTAGTCGAAAAACAGAAATTGGATGGTGTTTTGAAGGCGGAAGTGCACTAGAAAGAGAAACTCAATGGATATCCAATATCACAACCTTTCAACCCTGACTTCACAACCTCGACAGGCGGCAGACTGCCTCATTGGATAGCCAAGCGCACCAAGTCACTGCCTCCAGGTGACCTTGAAGTCCTTCCACTGCTTGCCGTCCTGGTTGAATGTGCCCTCCCAGTTAATCTTCCCACCCACGCGCTCCAGATAGACAACGACACCCCAGCGGCCCTTCCGCACGGCTGCCTCGCGCACGCTGCCAAACCTGCCTCCCAAGACATTCAGATCAACTCTCATGTCCTCGACGAGCCAACGCAAGGCACCGAGGTTCCCGCTCTTGGCCGCCATCTGCAGGGCGCTGCCGTACTTCCCCCCAAGCGCGTGCACGTCGGCCCCTGCGGCCGCAAGCGCCTTCAGGGCACTCAGGCTGCCTGCGCCGGCCGACCACCCGCTGCGCACCGTCTCTAGCTTTGCAGCGGCCTGGAGCGGTGTTCCGTACTTGCCCGCTACGACGTTGGGGTCCGCTCCAGCAGCTAGCAGAGCCTCGATGGCAGGCACATTGTGCGCATAGGCTGCGGCGTGCAGGGCTGTGCCGTATGGCCCATCCGTGACAGCGAGCGGATCTGCACCCGCAGAGAGCAAAGGGGCTACCATGTCCGGGCAGTATCGCGCAGCAGCTTGCAGGGCGGTATAAAGCTCTCCGCCTTGGAGGTTAGGATTTGCGCCTGCCTTGAGGAGGAAGGTGGCTTGAGTCAAAGAACGAACTCCCAGGCATGCGACGAGAGGCGGCGGGTGCGTGGGAGCCTTGAGATCTGAGTCAAAATTTGGTTCTGCGTTGGCCACTATAGGCGGGTTGACTTCAGCGCCGCGCTGGAGTAGGAGCTCAGTAATGAGTCGGCGGTTGTTAATACCAGCAGCATCGTAAATATGCGAGCTGCAGAGAGCGGCTGTGAGTGGACAGCCGTGGCAACCACCACTGTAGGCTGGGTTGGCGCCCTGGTCGACGAGCCAGCCGACAATATCACGGACAGCCCAGTGAGCCGCAGATTGAAGAGCCGCATCTAAAAACCGCTCCCGTTGCGAGTTAGTCATGGGCTCCTCCAAGAGCCGAGCAAGAATCTTTTCGCCGCCCCAGACTGCTTGCTGGAAGACATAGCCTTCACCAAGCCCGATTTCAGCACCGTAACTGAGAAGTAGTTCAACGAGTTGCAAGTTCCCAGTCGTTCTAACCGCAGCGCTGAGAGCCGTCACATGTTTCTGCACCACTAAATTTGGATCGGCGCCGTGCTCGAGGAGAAACTCGGCTGTGCGGATGTCGCTCTTTCTGCAGGCTCCCACTAGCGCGCTTGCTACACTGTTGGGAGCGTAGTTGATGTGTGCGCCTACGTCGAGGAGGAATTTTATGGTGTCTTTCAGGCCTTGGAGAGATGCTTGCTATTTTTCATTATACAACCCGTTAGAAATGCTTTGCTCAGTTCAAACAATGTCTCCAAGGAGAACGGGTACCAACTTACCAGAATTGGTGATTGATACGATGTGTGGCAATTGACGTCCATCCCGTCAGCAACCATTTGCTTGAGGTCCTCAATCGAGTTGGCCTCGATCTGCTCAATGAGATAACTCGCATCGCGGTTGTTGTCGAACACGGCACCCTGTTCGATGAGAATGGCGTACGCTTCCCTGTTCTTTCCCCAGCGGTTCATGGCCCGGGCCGGAGATACTGCCCTAATATCAGCTCCGCTATCCAGCAGAAGTGGAATTAGATCGTTTTTGTGCCCTGAAACCGCTCGTTGGAGGCTGCTGCAATATGGCCGCGAGTCGTCAATAAGCGCTCCTTTCTGGAGCACATGGCGAACCATAGACTTGTCTGCTGACTGGACGGCATAATGTATCACGAAACCGTCATCGCCAGCTGGACCGTTTATTTCGGCGCCGAGTTCGATAAGCAAATCGACCATGTCTTTCCTGCCCTCTTTAGCGGCGCCCTGGAGAGCCGTGCATCCCTCCCGCGCGGCCACCAGGTTGAGATTTGCGCCGTGCTTGACCAAGAACCGAAGAACGCTCTCATTCTTGTCCCCTTCAGATGTCGCTGCCCAGTACACACTGAAGGGAGGTTAGTTTGGAAATGCGTTTCAAATCGTGCGCTGGTCACGGGCGATACATACGCTAACCCGTTGCCGCCGTCAACGTCGGCCCCTTTTTGAAGGAGGAGCTCAGCCAACTCCAAGTTGCCCTCGCCTCCCCTCAGAGCCCGATAGATACTCGCCGTGAAAGGCGTTTCGTGCTTTGTTTTGCGGTTGGGGTCGGCGCCTCTCAGCAGGAGCTCTTTGGCAACTTGCGTCATCCGTTGCTCGACTGCCTCGAAGAGTACTGAACCATCCTCGTTGACTGTATCGATATAGGTGCCCCTTTGAAGAAGCAACAATGCTGCCTTCTCGCACCGTTTGCGTACGGCAACATGGAGTGCAGAACCAATGTTTTTATCCCAGGCATTGAGATTTGGATTTCGCTCCAGGAGTCGCTCAAGGAAAAAGGGCTTGTCATCATGAAGCTCAATGGCAGTTAGAAACGCCTCATCGCCGAAGTCTGCGTTGCGGTCAAGCAGGACCTTGGCCATATCATGCTCGCCCGTCCAAATTGCTGCGTGAAAACAGTTCTCGTACAAGTCCCCTGTGAATAGCCTGCGAGTTAGTTCACGTGTGGAGCATCCCGAGCCAACCTTAACCAGTCAGCCAATTCCAATGGGGTTTAGCACATACCTCGAATACTCGGATCTGCCCCAGCGTCGAGAACGACGCGAAAGATCGCCATGTCCCTGCTTTCAACTGCCGCCTCAAGACAGGTCACTCCGCGGTGGCCACCCCAAACATTGACATTAGCGCCCGCTCGGATCAGTATTCTTGCGATCTGGCTGTGTCCCTTGTTGGCAGCAGCGCTGATTGGGTACCCAAATTCGCCCAACGGTCCAAATTTGTTCACTTCGGCTCCCTTACGCAGCAGCAACTGGACCAGCGGTACCGAGCCGCTGGTGGCGGCTGCGTATAGTGCTGTTCCTTCCGACGTCCCAAGAGCGTTGATATCAGCTCCAGCTGCTAGGAGAGTAACGGCCATTTTCGTGTCTCCAGCAAGTGCAGCTTGATAAAGCGATGAGCCGTGTTGCCTAGAGCCGAGGTTGAGGTCGGCACCGCGCTTGATCAAAAGCGCAACCATATCGTAGTTTTCCTTAGATGCTGCTGCGATGAGAGCCGTGTTGTATGTTCCACCCTGGGCGTTCAATTGGGCCCCCGCGTCAAGCAACTGCTTGACAACCTTGACGGAGCCTCCAAGCGCCGCTACTTGTAGCACGTTTCCAAACTCCGTGTTTGCCAAGTTCGGGTCTGCTCCGTGCAAAAGTAGACATTCGACAACGTCTGAGTATCCTTGATAGGCTGCGGCACCCAGTGCAGACCCTAGGTTTCCTTCAACAGTGCATACATCTGCACCTTGCTCAATGAGCCACTCAACCAGTTCAACATCGCCGAGATACGCCGCCCAGTATAATGGTTGGGGAAGGTTGTGGGCACTGCGGCGCATCTCCCGATGGAATGCGCTCCCATATAAATTCTTCTCAACGCCGGTGTCCGGAATGGAGACATTGAGCCAATTCACGTAGGCTTCGCCGCTGGTTGGGTCCAGTAGCTTTTCGGCCAACCCGCGTAGATCCGATAACTCCATCTTTTTGGCACCAGCGACCGCATTTCGCCAATGAGGAATCCACTGCCGTGCTGCGTACTCCAGAAGGGGCCACGAGTCGAATTCCAGCTTCGTCGCCACCTCTCCCGAATTGTAGCTCAGGAGGTACAAGAGGCATGATCTTGCAATGAACAAACTTGCTAGTCGCTCCGAGGTGTGGTATGCGGCAAGAGCCCCTCTTCCTAGCCTCGGTGAGAGTATGTACTCTTTAACAGAGAAATGGGCCAGGGAAACCACAACAAAATTCTTATCGACATATGTCGGCAGAGAGACTGCCCGATGTCCGAGCTCGACGCTGAGCTTCTCCGCAAGCCAGTCATTGGTGAATGTCGGAACGAACTGGACCGTGGACTGTGTTACTAAAGAGCCACATAACTCGAGGATCATGTTTTCGTCAAAGAGTCGTGAGAGATCTGGGTCGAAAACTTCTTCTTCCGGACTCACAACGGCTGCTTCGGCCAGCTCGCGTAGTTGCAGAGGTCTTGTCGAGAAAGCTAGCCAGTGCAGGGCTGACTGCACAAAAGGGTGGTGGAGGCTGGGCACGGTTTGTAGGATTCTATCGTAGGTTTGGTCTAACGTCTCGGGCATTCGCTTCAACTCGGCGTGTACCATGGCGGGAGTCAGGCACTTCTTCATCGTGTCCAGCTGGCACACTGCCCAACGAAACCTGCGCTGCTGTTAGAACTATCGAGGCTAGAAATGTTGCAAACCTGCAGTTCCATATCAAAACACTTACATTCCGTGAGAACCGCCAACGATGGCGTTCGAAATGTCGTTCTGCACCGCTGGTTTCCACTTGGACAGTCGGGGGTCCCGAGCGATGGAGTTATTAACGTGAATCCTGACATCAGCGTCTATGGAGGAGTTTTGGATACAAACTGTGTGCGTGGCCGACGGCTTGAGAACAGCTTCAATATCAGGCTCCCTTCTACTAGTGATCCACAGACTTAGGTTATCGGGAAGCGAATCCTGGAAGAACGTCTCAAGAAAAGCTGGCCGTTCTTCCTTGGGGCATTCATCCAAGGCGTCAACAAAGACGAAAGTTCGCTTGGTCCGCGAGATTTCAGTCATGAGACCGAAAAGCTCATCCAAGCCCGGCTCTGTGAGACCGTTGCACTTCGCAAAGAGTGCCTCGGCCGCTTCCGGAATGTCGCTGTGAGCCGAGATGAGCTGGTAGATGAGCGACTTCGTCAAGTCTGCGACGCTTTGCTTCTTGGCGTCTGAGAAGTCAAAGTAGAAGTAAACAACGCGGCTATTGGACTTTTGAGAGGCGACTTCTTGGATGATGTTGTCAACGACAGTAGAGCACAGGATGGTTTTGCCGGCGCCAGGAATACCATGGAGCCAAAGCGACTTCCCCGGATTCTGCTTCCAGTCGGCAAACTCTTTGACATCAAAGATCCACTGAGACGTATTTTGTTCATGACGGCTCCGCGACAGCTTGTGGTTTTGTTCGGGGTCGCTGGTCTTGAACCACGAGAGGATGGCTGCCCGTTTGGTATGGGTCGTCAGGTCGTCGAGTTTCTGAGACTGCTGCCCGAGAACGCGGGCATGGTAGGCAGCCAAAGCTAGCTGCAGCGTTGCCTTGAGCTTTCCGATCTCGGTGAGTTTCCGCTCGATGAGGCTGGATTCGAAGGGCCACCGGAGCTTTGTCTTGAGGCCTGGTTTGGCGAGAGGTTGGAGCTTCTGGTCCAGCTCTTTGAGTGTGGTTTCGCACGATCGTAGCGCAGCCAGGCATGCTGCCGAAGCTGGGCGTTTCTGGTTGTTTCCCCCATCCTCAATCGACAGGCTGTCGAGTGCGGACGGGTCGTTGTTGGACGACGGGACGATGTCGCGGAGCTCTTCGAGGGTTGCTTCGAGACTCTCAACGTCGGCGATGAGGCGGGCGATGTCGTCGTCGGCGTCTTTGATGGCGTGGCGGATGCGATAGCAGGCGAGCACGATCGACTGCGAAACCTGCACTACAGCAATGATGCTAGCTGCCAAGCTTAGGGGGTCCATTGTCAGTAATTCGTAAGACACTAACTATTATCGGCGTGCCAAACTGTGAGGTTTCGGAAGGGAGCGATATATGCTCGTGAAGATTTGGCGGCCATTGGGGGTTTTGTTTTGGGCGGGCAGGCTTCAAGAGAGCGTCTGGTGTCGCACGCGTTGGGCTTCGACATCAATGCGATGGTGGTATTGGCAAATCATATTGGCTCGGTTTTCCGAATACTTGCGTCTGTTCGTCAGCCGCACTGATCGGAGCATGGATTTGCTTTGGAAGGGAGAGCTTGACTGGCTGACGGCGAGTGCCAAAGGACGAGGAAATGTTACGCGCAGCCTGATCCAATTCGACCAATGTGACCAAAGGCGGATTGACCCACTAGATTGAGGAACTTGCGCCGGAAGTGCTATCGTACCCTAGGAAGCAAGCACGACCAGGAACCCTGGTGTCTGGATTTGCTTGTGGGTACAGTATTCTAGGGTTAGATATGGTAAATCTTAGAACGTATAGATAACCCTATTCTAATTAATCACTCGTTGATCTGATTCCTTGGCGCGGTTACAACAATGCCCGCTTCCCAGAACAATTATTGGGGGAACTGAAATCCATATCATCCACCAGCCTAACACACCCCAGCATTGACCAAACCTTACCTAACTCTTTGTCTCTAGCGCTTCAGGATACATGACCTGCACCACGCCATTGGCGGCGACAGCGTCCTTTGACGCGCACGTCATGCCGTCCTCGGGCGGTTCCGGGCAAGCCAGCGACACTTCGGCCAGGCCAATGACAAAAGACGACGTCCTGGTTGTTTTCGATCAAAAATGTCAGTGCACGCTGTGATTTTGCCGCTGAAACAGTGCATCGGCCGAAAAACAAGAAGAGGAAGAAAAACAGAGAATAAGCAATTACCCAGGCGGGTTCCCCAGCTCGGCGTCATTGGCCGGACACAACCAGGTCTGGTTGATGGTGACAAAGGCGGTGTCGATGCTGAAGAAGACGAGCACTTTCAGATTCGGGTGCGCCGGCGTGCCCTCGATGCTGGCCCGGTAGTTGAACGACACCTCGCAGCTGAGCGCCTCCTCGCCCACCGCCGCCCCCGTCGAATTGTTCTCCGCCAGCGTCATCCACGCCGTCCCCGGCGTGTACGTCTCCGCGCTGTACGTCACCGTCAGGTTGCGCACTGTCCAGTTCGGTATCGGGCATGCGGCGGCGCTGGACGCTGTCGACGGCGTGCGCGGGGCGAGTGCCGGAGAGGCGGGGGTGGGCGTTGCGGATGAGATTGAGAGGAGGGGGAGTAGAAGAAGGAGGGGGGTGGAGATGGGCATCATCATGGTAGGCACTGTACTGTGAATCTTGGGTGGTCGTGGCACTCGTGGGAATTGGTCCGTTTGGGAAAGTCGTGATAAGTCTAGCCTAGACGGAGAGGATCGATCAGCGAGCCATCCGTCGTGAAAAGAATGCTTTTCAACCCGACTTGTAATCGTCAGAGCATGGTCGCACTCACGCTTACGAGAGAGAGCTCGCACTTGGCATGCATGTGAAAGATGATGATAAATTTGCAGGGTAAATTGGCCCTTCAGCCACCATATAATTTCTCGAACGGTCTGGCCCATCGGTTGTCAGGTTTGGTGCACAAGGTCTGACCCGGCCTGCAGGTGTATATGGCCTCGAGGAGAACTTGCATGTAGGCTATATTACAGAGTCTGGTGCGCCTGGACCCCGCCCGCGTTGAGAACACGGGTAGGAGAGATAAGCCGCTGAGCGGAACGCCGACTCGGCTCATCCTGGGATGGGTATATAGATACCTTAGTATCTGTCGTGGTTGTTAGCAATGAACCTTAGGCATACCGCATCGTAGATCTCTCAAACTCATTCCTCTGTGCACATGCGATATATAGATTAAAGTTGGTCACGAGAAAAAAGCCAATACCCGGCGGAAGCACGAAGCACAAGTCTAATAATTACGGAAGGTTCTCGGATCCGGCTATAACTGGCTTACCATATGCCGGCCGCTCCGCTCCATGTACCTGAACGTTGAACGGCCCGGAGCCGTCAAGGTTCGGCATAACCATAGATTTACCGATGACACGTACACCGAGAAGACTCACGCCGTACCGGTGCGCCCTAGGCGTAGAACGATAATAATTACCTTACTGTATAAGCTACCGCGAAGAAGCCCTGTACGTAAGAAGCTCGTCGGCGACGTTAAAAACGTAGCCGATATCGAAATCGACGATATTGTAAGCTAGGAGGACCTGATAGCCCTCATGTTGAATAAACCATATTTCATGAATTACGTGTCCTCAGAGAAGACCTCTGTGTATACAGGTAGGAAGGTAGAATTTTAAAGTAACGTAAAGTTATTTAGTAATGATCAAGAAAGCTAAGGTCAGTAGGTCTGCTATGAATCATGTGAGAAATTGCGAACTCAATACCATGTCTGAATTAGAGGACTTTGGGGGGAGGGAAATTTTGTAATATGGGAAACTATCTATGCCAATGAAAACATATGATAGGCTTGGCGCTTCATGTGTTGTGTTTAGAAGGCCATCCACTTCCATGTTAAATTGGACTTTTCCGTCCGACCACAGAGAGACCCCTTCCCCCGGTGTGATGTTCGGGTTGTGTAAGTGCCGCCAGAATGAGTGCAAAAAATCGTAAAAGGACTTGGGGAGTGTCTAGAATCAGTGTCGTGCTGACTCATCGAGCAGTCCATCTTCTCGAGTCCAGCTAGTTTTATGCGCCGCAGAAAATGTCGACGTGGCCAGGGATTGGGGTGATTGGTTGTTCTTCGAGATAAATTAAGGATTGTTCCCGTTTGGTCTGAGTTTGAGCGTGAAACCTTTGGCGCGTGTCAGATCACGCGCCTCTCTGTTCTCCACGTTTTCTGATCTCAGTTGAGCTGTTCATGTCGCATATCTTTCCCGTTGTCGGCGCAGGTAGGACAGATAAGACAGATGACTTGAACGCCTCAACAAGATCCTTGGTAACTCTGTGTATATCTGATCCCAGCTCTTTACAAGGGAAAGAGACTGAGCCGGAATCTCGTTTTCGACGAGAAATTCATAATCGGAAACCTTCGATGTTCTCAAACCCCAGGTGCGTACCAGGTGCTGCGCTTTCCACATTCGCTGGTTGCCATGATCCCAATGTGGTCTGAGTGTGTCGATTTTCAAAGTATAAATTCCCTGGTATCCTCTGGCCAGATGTTTAGAAGCAACGTCCAATGCACCGAGGTAAGAACTAGTAACCGATAAAAAGGGGCTGTTTTCTCGGCACCTCTAATTGAAGTGCTTGAGAGTGAAAATCATGAAGTTGAGAGGGTTGATCTTGCGGGTGCCGTACCCCCTGGCTTTTAATCCCCGGCGCCACGGAGCCGATTTCACCATCCAAGCACCAACGTCAGGACGGTCTGCTTGGTACTGCCTGTTATGGTGCCAGCGTACCACTTTCATTTCTTGGACGGGCACCTCCGTAGAAGACTTATCGACAGTGATGTCAGATGACCCACCCTCACTCTGCTCCTGTGCCTCTGATTCCTGGTCTTGGATTTCTTGGGGGACCATGTCTGCCTGTGCGTCGTGTTATGGGATGTCCTCATTTGACTGGGGCTGTGCTATTTTTATGAGATGGGAAGGTGCACCTGATAGAGGTTAAGAACCCGTTGAGAAGATGCCACCACAAGGGTCCCGGAGTGATGATCTTCTCATTTCTATTAGCAAGTGAACAGGCTAAGAATAATAGACAGACATCAAATATACGCACCTATTTCTGAAGCGGAAGATGTAATGATGGATGCTTACTCGAGCCGCTGCGAGATTCCAGTGGCGTATTAGAGAGTGGCGCTGTGGCCAATTGACCCTTGAGTACCGCTATGTCGAGACTGGATGGATTAGATGAGTGGAAATGAGTGTAGGGAAAGAATGGCGAGGGCTTACTTGAGGCGCGCCTTCGGTGTTATGATGCTACCTAGGTAGCCACGAGCCGTGATATTGAGTAATGATCAAATTTGTGATGAGGTGTTAAGGAGAGTCTGTGTGTAGTATCCTTCCTCAAATTGATATGGTGGCGAGAGACGTTCTTGAGGGTGAGAGCTAGAAGAATGAGATGATGTTGGAAGGTGGTAAGAGGGAAGAAGAAAGAATTTTCGGAAGGTTAATCGTATGCCGCCGTGCGGCCGTTTTCATGAGGGTCGCTCCTTCTGTACGAGTTTCCGGTGGCTCCGATGCTCAAGAACGGCGACTTGCTGCTTTGGATACTTGTGCTAGGAGAACGAGAGGGCCAGGTGGGTGGATTTCGAAGTGGAAGTAGGGTACTGATGAGAGCACATGGCCATGTGAGATAGCTAGGGCCATGTGAGATAGCTAGGTGGGCAGGTGCGAGCTGTGACGAACGACTCGCAAAAATCCAGGGAATTGTGAAGATCAGGCCATCAGGGTTTCCCGCCGGCAGGCGAGACCGTTCTTTCAGGCCGTAAAGTTGTCACTTCAGGTGTGAGATTCTAAACACTGTCGCAGATTTTGACCGACCCAGTGCTTCCTATTTCATACACTACGGTAGCAGTCGCTACCTGCTGGATGTAGTAGGTACGTGATGAACCGTCAGCAACTAGCTAGAGTAGGATGTTCAAAGGTGCAATTTTTTATTTCGGGAAACTATTTTTACTTTATTTATTTTCAGTGGTTTCCTATCATCAAATGGTCAAATATGGATGAGAGAAGAGCTGTTTGCCAAAATACGAGCGAGTCGCACCTCCCTTCCTTGACCACAGCGTCTGACGCAATTTATTTTATTTCTTAACAAGGTGTGATCTTTGGTCGTTTTCATTTCGTCAGTTGACCTTCCAACCTTACCCAGACAGCAGGCGCGACGGGGCGGGTCCTCGGCGGTCCGAGAGCTGTCGCCTAGGCCGCCTCAACCCCACAAAGTTGGGGAGGGCGGGCAGATCGCGAACTGGATCTTGAGACGCGTTTGATCATCTGGGGTCCCCACCACGGATCCCGGAAACGATCTCTGGCCTGCGCCAATTCGCTGCCTTTTAACCTTGAAACTACTAGCGCAAGGGTTGCAATGCGCCGAACTCGCAGCGCCGCCTGCACCCGTCTTTGATCGTGCGACTCTTTTGTTCTTCTGCAACCTCGCTTTCGCTTCTAATAATAAGGAGGGCCGGGCGAGTCCACCCGGCGACCCCTGCATGAAGAGTTGGGACGACTTCCCGAAAGCACCATCGCAGGAAGAAAGTCTTGGCAAAAAAGTGGCAAGGGTACTGGAGAAAGCGACTTCGAACCATAAAGCCAAGCCCTCGTCTGCTTCCCTCTCCGTCGTGGCGAGTTTGGTTTCTGTTCGATTTCACCGCCGTCGCTCTCTTTGATCTTTTCTCGTTTACTAATTACGCTCGTTTTTGGACGGCTGGCCCATCTAATTTTAATTCTTCTCTCAAAATGGTTTCCTCCAGCCTCTTCTCGGCTGCCCTGTTCTCTGCGTTGGCGGCAGCGCAGAAATGCAACCTGCAGTTCGATGGCCGTCTTCCTAAAGACCTCGTCGCTGCCGACCTGGATGTGACGAACGACTTCTTTGACCCGAACAACGTCCTCGGGAAAGGTATGACATCGGTTATTGAAAGCCTGATGCACCGCCGACTAACATGCGACAGGGCTCAAGGTCAGCCAGGTCTCGCGCATCCTGCCCGCCGGCGCGGGCGGTTTGGTAAGACAGGCCTTTGTGCCCAGCCCCGCAAGATCCCACTGACAACTCCGCACTAGTTTGACGAGGGCGTCGAGGCCCAGCCCGTCGAGGTGCTGATCAGCGACGCGTCCATCTTCAACGACCAGGTCGGCTTCCGGCGGTCCGAGCTGCTACCCGCTAGTAACGACGGGTCGGACCCCAGCACGCAGGGCGTCAAGACTGTGCACTTCAGCGTCAAGAAGGACAACGTGCGGCTGCTGAACCTCACGCACGAGTACCAGCTGTTCTTCCTCGAGAGCCAGGACTTCAGCACGAACCAGGTCGTCTTGAAGACGGGCACCATCCTCGGCCAGAACACGCCCGACCCGGACACGCTGCAGCTGTTTGGCAACGTCAACGACAACCCGCCGCAGCTGCTCTTCAGCACCAAGTTTCTGCCCGACACGTTTAACAACTTTGCCCTGACGCTCGACTTTGACAAGCTGTACGCACCCCATGCAACGATCTCAAGTTCAAAACTGCTGTGATGCGAACACACGCTAACTTGGTAATGCCACAACAGAACCACGCAAGTTTTCTTCTCGACGGGCCTGGACCCGCTCAAGCAGGTCACGGACGTGCTCAAGAACGACGTCAGCGGGCAGGGGCAGTTCCACTTTGGCGTGCTCAAGAAGGGCCTCAATGGCGTCGGAGACATAACTAAGAACGGCGAGCAGGAGGCGGGAATCAATGAGGGCATAGCCTATGGCGGCATCTTTGAGGAGGACAGCGCCGACGGCTGCATCAGCCTGTCCCCGTAAGTGCCCGTGGGAGTTTCGTCATTTCCCCCTTTCTTCTCTGTCCCGTCGCTGAACCCAGAACACCCACCATTTGAACTGGTAAACTTTTGTATTGTACATGCCAAAGTGTGCGCGTATCTAACTGGACCTGACACGCCTAATGCGATATAATCTCTCCCCCACCCTGCACATGATGTCCGCGTCCTCTTCCTGTCCAGGTGACATGCCACCAAAAGGGGTTAGCATCACGCCAACGCCGCGAGGAAATTGTTGAAGTCGCCCACGGTGCCAAGCCCCGTGACGCAGTCGTACCCGACCACCGACGACCAGCCCGGCGAGATGGAGTCGTCGGGAAAGTGACATCCACCACTATCACCAACCGTCACGTCGCGCAGCACCTCCCTAACACTCGGCGCGTAAAGCAGCGGGTTCAGCCAGCCGAGGCTCGGCTTGCCGGCGCGCAGGCGCGCATCATTGACCAGCGCCACCATGGCGGCGAGCGTCGGCGTGCTCGCACTAGTCCCCAACACCTCGGCCGTGTTCCCGCCGTACTGGATCTGGAACCCGCTGCCAATGGCACTGATGTCCGGCACGGCGCGGCCAGATCGATTAAACCACGCCAGCCGCGGGTCCGCGCCGTCGACCATGTCGGCCACGTACGGCGCCACGGCGTCGTCCTGCCACGCGGGCCGCGCAAAGTAGTCGCTGAACCCGCCCGAGCTGAAGTCGGCGCCCGTCAGCGGCGGCCCCACGTTCTCCGTCGCGCCCACCGCCGTCACGTAGGGGCAGCTGGCTGGGAACGTCGGCACGAACACGCGCCGCGCCGCGCCGTCGTTGCTCACGCACTGCGTCTGCCCCGTGCCGGCGGCACCCGCGTCGCCCGTGGCCGCCAGCACCGATACGCCGCGCGCCGTTAGCGCGGCGATCATGTCGCACACGCGCGCCGCGTACGCGCGCGGCACGCCCTGCTCGTCGTCGGCGTAGCTGATGCTGAGCACGTGGGGCAGCGCGGCGTCGGGCTTAGCGAGCATCTCGGCGAAGAACTCGAGGTACGGCTCGTTGTCGCTCTGCGCCTCGGACAGCGCTGTCCCGTTGGCGTCGAGCTTGGTCCCCCGCCCCCCCGTGACGTAGTACGTCACGGCTGCCGGGTGCCCCAGCGCCAGCGCGTACTCGACGTCGAGCGACGCCTCCATGCCCGCCGCGTACGGCGAGTCCTGCGGGTTGATGGCGTTGTTGAACAGCTCGACGGTGAAGTTGGCCGTGGCTGCCAGTTCTGGCGCGTACACGTCCATGAACCCGGCTACGTCTCTGTACAGGATCCACTGCTCCAGAAACCCGGCCACGCCGAACCGTGCCGGGCTGGGCGCCGCCGCCCGGTACGTGATGTTGTACAGGTTCTTGATGCACTCGGGGAACGTGCCCGTCAGGCACGGCATATCGAGCTCGCGCTCGTCGTCGTCGCCGACCGCGTCGACGACGGCCGGTTTCGGTGTCGGCGTTGGCCGCGGCTTGTGGTGTGGTTTGGTTCTGCTGCTGTGCGGCGGCATGAAGTTCGTCAGGGGGTGCACAAAGTCGATGTCGCTGCGCAGCCACCGCGGCACAGTGTACGAGAGCGCGCGCAGCACGGGCTTGCCGGTCGTGCCGTGGGCGTAGTAGGCGAGGTCGGCCTGGAACAGCGACTTGACGGTGCGCGCCGAGGCGTCGAAGCGCACGAAGCTGGTCCCTTGTGTCTGCGCGTTGCGGATGCCGCTCGACCGCAGCCAGCCCGCCACGGCCTCGGCGGCCACGCGGCCTGGCTGGCGCAGCTGCCCGACCTGCGCGCGGCTCAGGTGCGGCCCGGGGTCCCGGCGGCGGCCGTCTGCTCCGCGGCTGCTGTGGCGTTGCGAGAGCTGCGTCTTGAGCTCGTGGATCCCCGGCTCTCTCAGCGCTATGTAGAGTGAGATGGTGTCGGACGCACTGGCATTGCTGTGGAAGCGCCACCCGGGCGGCAGGGCGGCTGTCCTTTCGAGGACCACCGTTGTCGGGGCCGCGCTGGCTGGGAAGGCAGCAACGGCCAGGCCCAGCAGGAGAAGCGCCAGACGGCAGCGCCACAGGGTCAGTCCCATTGCCTCGCTCTTCCCGAGCCAGGGGGCTCGAACAATAACAGAAAAAAAGGAAACGGCGATAGGGTAATTAAAGACGGGCCCCCCTGTTTGTCCAGTCACATCCTCGGTTGCAATGCGAAAGAGATAAGAGAAGGTCCTCACGAGTCACAAGTACAGATGGGCGGACGGCGAAGAAGACCAAAAAATATCTGCTGGATATATATGTTGGACATAAGGGTGGTGGTGTAGCAGACGGCCGTTATGATGCCAAGCGCGCAGTTGCCCACTACCGTCGCAATGCCGGCAGCTCTCGCCGAAGGGACAGGTATGCACACACACACACACACACAGACCCTGTTATGTGCCTGGCCTGGATGAGTACAGCGTGCAACGTGCCCAATCCTTAATGTGCATACTAGGCACACATGCACTGCAATGAACAATGTGGGGATTTGCCCCGAACCAGAGCCCCTCGGAAGGGGGAGGAGGGCTGCAGGAGCAGAAGCAGCAGCACGAAGGGGGGGCAACGACCGGCCACAGAATGCGGGAAGGGGAGGATTGTCCACCATGTTTCCTTTCTGCTTCTGCTCACTTCTCTATATATTTGCCTTGGCGCAATTAATATCGCCCTGCCCTCGGGAGTTGGCCCCCGCAAGCAACCCACATCCCTTCCCCCATTCTTTCCGCTGGGGGGCCGGTGCAACGACGCATGGACGAGAGAGGTCTAGTAGATACCTCTTTCGTCCCGTCCGTCTTTGGACCTAATTCTCCCTCCCTTTCAGCCGCCAGCCATGTCTACCTTGCAGAGACAAAAAAGTCTCGGCAAAACCACACCAGCGGAAGCGGCACTGTCTTGGCCCGCCCGCCGTCCTTTGATTGATTGCCTGTTGCATCGCTGCCTTTTCTCCGCTCTGGCCCGGCCAAGACTCGCGCTTGCAGCTTTTATATCTGCGCCGCCTTGGCCCGGTCCTCGTCAAGTCCTTTGCACTTGTATTCACTAAAAACCCCTTTTGGGCGCGGCATCCTCATCAACAGGCCTTGGCTTGCCCGCTTGGCTCTGGAGTCAGGTGGTGATCCACCAAGGCCCGCCTGCCTCCGAAGGGAAATTCCAGCGTCGCCAGGCTCCGCATTCCACGGGTCTAGCTAGCTCTAGATGCTATTTATGGCGGCATGCCCAGGCGCCCTTTGTCCTGCAAGTCATGGCTTCGGTGGCTGTTGCTTCTAATATTATCTTCAATGCCTGGGTCTTCAATGCCTGGGTCTTCAATGCCTGGGTCTTCAATGCCTGGGCCGTCGCGCCCTAGAAGGACAGGGAGGTATGCAGTGCGACGCCGCAGCTGTCACCCGCTAGTGACTTGTGACCTGGTGCGCAGGGTTGATTCAGAAGGGGCCCTGGAACCAGGTCGACGAGGATATCGATTTAGACGTTCGATTATCGTGGGTCGTCGAAGCTAGTCTGAACATGGCCGTGGGCAACATTCGCATGGCATCCGTACTACGTACATGGAATCGATGTAGCTAAATCTATGCCCAAGATTGAGTTCCAAAGATAGAACACATCATGTAACACTTCATAAACACATGCACCAGGACAATCTGTGCTGAAGTGTAACAATGAGTTTATTGATTGACAGCTGACTCCCGATAGCCGAGGTCTAAATTAGACCTTGATGTAAGCACAGAGTAGAAACCCCCCATCTACCACGGCTTCACACCGCCATCAACGTCGACAATGCCACTCTTCTCGACATCCTCATCCCGCTTCCCCAGCACAACCTCAGCCAGGGCAAGACCAGCATCCCTCGCCGGGCGCGCACCGCCCTTGATGCGCATCTCGCGGCCCCTCGGGCCCGTGAGATTCGTGACGCAAAATCCCGGGTTGAACGCGCAGACCTTGCAGCCCCAGTCGGCGAAATTGTGGCGGTGGCAGGCGGCGAGCATGTTGAGCGCGGCCTTGCTCATGCGGTACGTGTCGCCGCGGACGTTAACGGAGGGGTAGGCCGGGTCGAGGCGCAGCGACACCGAACCCTGCTCCGACGACACGTGCACGACGCGGGGACTGGAGGACTTGCGCAGCAGCGGCTCGAAGGCCTCCGTCACGGCCAGCGGCCCGAACACGTTGGTCTCGAACGTCTCGCGCGCGTCGGCCAGCGTGTCGTATTCGGGCTTGATCACGATGATGCCCGCGTTGTTGACCAGCACGTCGAGCCGCGCGAACGTGGCCGCCACGTGGTCCCGCGCGGCGAGGATCGAGGCTTGGTCTGTCACTTCGATCTGTACGACCGAGATGGCCGACTTGAGCTCGCCGCCGGGAAGAGATGGCGAGGACCGGATCTCGTCGAGCGCTTTCTGGCCTTTCTCGAGCGAGCGCGCCCCCAGCAGGATGTGCAGGCAGGCCGACGCCTGGGCCAGCGCGACGACCGCCTCGAGTCCAATGCCGCCGTTCGCGCCTGTGGGAGGGTAGTTTTAGCTTTAATCCTATACCGGCGGGGTCCCCCGAAGGAGATTGTAGATGGAGACTCGTAGCGGGAGAGGCTTACCGGTGATGAGAATAACAGTCTTGTCGGACGCCATGGCTGTGATGTTGACTTTTGGAGACCTGGAAGTGATTTTTACAGAAAGTCGGAGGATTGGTCGCAGCAAGCGTGAAAGCATGAGTCTCAAACCACGGGCTTGGACAGTTAATTATATTTCACGTTCCAAGGGAGCAAGTATATCAAGGGACGCTTAACTCCGCTAACTCCCTCAGTCTCGCGGACATAGTGTCTCAGGGCTGGCCGCCAGACCAACAAAGCGCCAACAGCGTCCGTCACGTGGCCAACTGCGCCGTTGTCGACTCCTCAGTGGCCAAGTCGGTGTTACCGGCTGCTGCTGGCTGGCCGGAGTTTGGTGCGGCTCCGGGGTGTTGGCGGAGGCAGCACCCAGTCAGCCGAGATAACCTCCGAGGGCGTCCGGAACCTAGGCCCGCGGCAGGGTGGAGGACATTATTTACCGGGTCTGAACAGAGCTAGTCCATTGCAAGAGCTGGGACCTGATTGGCCTGTCTGTGTGCCACAGGCGAGGAATGTATCGCTGTCGTAGAAGCTATCGGAGCGCGCGCCTCAGTCCTTTTCAGACAGACCGAACCCACAACAGGCGCCGATATCAGACTCGACACTTTGTATGCGGCAGTGGCATTTTGGCCTGGAAAAAGGCTGAATCTGACTCAGTCAGTCTCGGTCGTCACAGTGAACTGAGAGAAATGCACAATACGGATGCTCTGGTGGATGGATACCGGCTCGGGTTGGGCGAGGGCAACGTCGGCCAGTTTCTGACCGTTCGTGGACAGAGGCCGCGTCAGGGGGATGCGTTGGCGCCGAGGACCGACGGAGAGATGGCGGCCGAAGCGGACATGCTGCGGCGCCTAGCCGGAGTTGCAAATATTTCCGAACAAGAAACACCAAAGACTAGCCAGGGATTTCCTCCCTTGAGCCTCTGGCCTGGCCATTTCTGCCTTGGCTCTCCCCGCCAGACTGCATTTCCACACCGTGTTGCCGTCTGGCCTGCGTTCCCCAGCGGGGATTCTCCGCCACGCGCAAGCCAACACGCGCGACGAGGAAGCCGACCGCGACCGGTCCGACAATAGTATTCAGCAAGATGGCCCACACGCCAACAACAAACGCCGAGCGCGACAAAACCGGCGTGTCGTTGAGCCCGATCTGGATGATGAGCAGGCCGATCTCGCCGCGCGCCACCATGGCGGTGCCCAGCAGCGCGCCGGGCGCCCAGCTCGCAGCCAGCACGCGCCTGCGGCAGGCGCCGGCCATTTTCTCGGCGGGGCCCGTGGGAGGCTGCCTCACGGCCACGAGATCCCACAGTGGCACGCACAGGCCGACGACGAGCTTGCCGCACACCATCAGCACGGCAAACACGACGCCCTTCCACACGGCCTCGCCGGTCCACAGCTCCAGGAACGGAATGGCGAAGCCGATGCTCGCAAAGAACAGCGGCTGCAGGACGTATCTCTGCACGTCGCCGACGTATTTGCCAAACGTTTCGGCAAAGGCCGGCGGCCTGCCCAGCGCCGCGTCGCCAGCGCTATCATGCCGGGCATCCGCGGGCCTTCCAGGGAGGCTGCTGACGACGGTGCCGGCCAGGAACGCGCCCAGCAGCACGGACGCGCCGGCGTAGGCGGCGACGGCGAGGAACGCGCTAAGGAGCAGCACGGTGAGGGACATGTTCGCGGGGTGCTGGAAGCGTTGGCGCACTCGGCCCGCCTTGACGAGGCGGCGGAAGGCGGGGCCCAGCACGAACTTGACGGCGAGCGGCGTGAGCAGGCTGAGCAGGCTGCTAGCTAGGATCGGGCGGCCGATGATCCAGCCCAGGTTCGTGGAGGCGCCTCCCCCCGCGGAGAGGCCGCGCAGCTGCTGGATGACGCTGACGAGGACCAGGCCGCACACGTCGTCGAGGATGGCGGCGCTGATCAGCACAGTGCCGATGCGCGTCTGCGAGAAGTCGACGGCCTTGGACGCGTTGTTGATCACGACAAAAGTGGTGCCGAGCGACGTCGAGCACAGCGCCGTGCCGACGATGAAGGCCTCGATGGCGCCTGGTGAACAGGGTCCCTTTAGCAACTATCCAACCCGTTCTTGTTTAACCTGGGGACGCTTACCATATCCGAAACCAGCGTAGAGCAGCGCGAACGACAGCGCGATAGGCGTCAAGACTCCAACTAGTGCGGTGAGCACGGCGAGCACGAGATTCTGGGCCAGCAGGTCGAGCCGGATGGTCAGGCCACCTGCGTGTTGACGACGCAAGAAGTGAGCAAGCAAACAACAGACAGAACAGAACAGAACAGAACAGAACAGAACATGTAGCCCTAGACTAGTGCACACCTTCAAAGATGATAAGAATCAAGCCCAGGTACCCCAGGGCCAGGAACGCGTCCTGCCATTCGGGCGCGAGGATATTTGCGATGGGCGCGCCGTAGACAAGGCCCACGACCATGTGCCCGAGCAGGCCGGCGCCGAGGACCCTCTCGGCGGCCGTCTCCGCCACGGCCAGGAAGACGAAGAATGAGATGAGCGTCAAGATGCTGACGACTATGCGCCTGTTGTCAGCTGCTAGGTATTCGGGCAGGAAAACTGGAAGGCAGGAAAACTAAAAGGCAGAAAAACTAAAAGGGGAAAACCGGGGGTCGACTCACTGCCCGGCTCATGGTACGCCAGGAAGGCGCCGCCGTCGGCGCGCATTCTACGCCACAGCTGAGTTGCTATATGCAATTGATAGAATGCTTAGCTAGTTCGGTTGAATTTTTGAACAGGCTCCCTTCGACATGATGTGCTGTGGAGGTCGTTGAGGTGGTGCTGGTGAAGACAATTTTAGCGTGCTTGCGCCAAGTAGCGCGGTGACGACAGGGCCCGGGGTGCTCGCTTGATGTGGGGCACCAGGCGCTAAATCAGCGCCGAAAAGGGTCCGTCGGGTTCAAACTTGAAAACAGCTCCTTCCGAGTCCATTTCCCACTCCGCCAAGCTGAATCGATTTTGTTGCGTAGGCCGAAGAACAAACTTCTCACGCGAAATTTCGCGTGTCGCCTATGGCTGCATCAATTACTTCGGTCCATCCCATACCCTCGAATCTTTTCTGTATACTAATAATTATTACCGCGCTAGAGATGTCAAAATGGCGTTGCGAAATTATTCGAGCTGAGGGCTCCTCGCATAATCAAGCAAGACTAAAGGTTTTTTTTTTTTTTTTTTTTTTTTTTTTTTCACAAAAAGGCAAGTATATACAATGACTAAATCCAAGGCCTAAAATCAAACCAAATCCAAAGCAACACCCCCAACAGACACAGCAACGCCGTCGGCATTCCCGCGGCCAGCCGCCCCGCCCCCGCAGTCACGATCGTGGCAGTGGTAGTCGGGTTCGTCGACGAGTTAGTCGGCCCAGCAGGGTGCGTCGGTTTCGAGGTGACCACTGGCGGCGACGTCGGAAGCACGGCTGTGGTGCTTGTTGTTACTGGCGGAGGATTCGATGTCGATTCTGTGCCTGACGACGAGCAGCTGGGCGCCGTGACGGTCACGCTGACGGTGGAAAACACGGTCACGGTGTGGCCTTGTGAATGTGAGGACCCGGTTCCGGTGGGCGACGGGGTCGCTGTCACGGTGGTGGTGACGGTGGCGACGGAGACGGTCGGGCACTGGCCGTTAGACTCCGTTCCCGAGGAGGGGCCGGGGTTTGTTGTCTCCGTGTTGGTGTTGGTGCGCGTGGTGGTCGTGTCAGTCTGCGCCGTGTTGGTGACGGTGGTGGATGTCGTTGTTACGAGTTCTGACACGGTCGTCGAGGCGCTCACGCCGCACTCCTCCAGGCTTTGCCCCTGTTGGTGGGTTAGATATGTCATGCTCGTTTGCATCGAACTCGTATGTGGAGCGCTTACATCTTCGCAGCACCAGACCCGGCTGCCAAGCTCCTGCCATGCGCAGTAGTAGCCACGCTCACACGCGCCTACGGACAGTCATTTATATCAGCAATTACGCCCCGAGAGCCGTTTGAGACAGCTGCAGCTGCAGGGATTGACTCACGTCCAGACCCATTTTCGCAGCACGTCTGGCCGAGGTCGGCCTGGTTGTAGCAGAACAGGGACAGCGTGGTCGAGGCATTGCACGACAGCCAGTTCGCGCCGCACGCGTTCTCACACGTGGTGCCGCTGCCGCAGGAGCCAAACTCGGGGTGGTAGCCCGGCGGTGCTGTCTGGCGGCGGTACACGAGGTCGCCGGCGCGAGAGCCGGGAGTGTCCCATCTGAAGAACTCGCGGCTTTGCTCTGAACACAGCGCCCCCGATTGCAGCGCGGCCAGAACCAGCAGCGTGCGCAGAGCCATGTTTGCGCGGTTCGGGTCTCGATGGCGTGGAATCAAGCTTCTGAGACAGTACGCGGAACCCGTCCGCCGCGCACCAGCCGGGTCGGGAGAGAGGAGGGCGCGCCCCTTATGCTCGCTCCCCTTGCGTGCCTCATCCTCGGGAGCCGAGCTGGGAACGCCATGCCATGCATGCCATGCCATGTGCCTGACTCGGGGCTAGGGTGCATGGAGCTTGTCGTTGGCGGCCGGCCGTGGCGGCTTGTGAGTGGGCCGAGGCGAGCCCCGGACGGCGCCCCGCCCCTGGAATCGAGCCAATTGGGCCGTGTTGGGCTGCCGGCCGCCAGCCATTGACAGCACAGCGGCCTGCAGGGCGAGCGGTGAGTTGTCCGATGACGCAGGTCAGGGCTGCAGGACGAGACTGCAAGAGGTTGGGCACGGCAAAAAGTCGACGGGTTGCAGCCTGTCGTGGCCCGACCTGGCTGTCAATCACGGAGCGACTGCCGGTGCCGCTGCAGCAGTCACAGCAGCCTCTGCAGACACGTCTTGTCTTCAGCTTCGTCGGTGCACCCCACACCCATCCATCCATCCATGCCATGCCTGGAGCCCGAAGCAGCAATGTCGTCACGCGCTTGCCTTTTCCTCCAACCGCGTCGAGCGACCACTAATTGATGCCTACGACTTGCTGTCAGTCTAGTCTTTCTCCTTTCCCCCGTGTGGCGTACCGGCATCCAAGAGGCTGTCCCGCCATTGACCTTCACCGTCCCCCTTCTATCTTGTCTATCTTGTCTATCTTAGCTACCTTAGCTATACTACACCGTCTCCGTCGACAGACCCCAACAGGAGAGCACACATTCCCCAGCCAAAAGCTCCAAAGACCCAGAGTCCACCGCCATGGGCTACTTCGTGGGCATCACCGACACGGGCTTCGTCGGGACCGGCGAGGTGAGCGCCGTGACATCGTACATGCCGTGCCACATCTTCGGCGACCAGATGCTAATCGGCACGGGCGTTCGCGCGGGCTTCTACCTGCTGTACGCGGCGGCCATCGTCGGTGTGCTGTTCGGCGTAGACAAGCAGTTCCGCTTCTGGCACGGCGCCTGGGGCGTCCTGGCCCTGGCCCTGTTCCTGTCCATGTTCCTCAACGTCGCCGACTTCAACCTCATCGTCATTGACTACGCCGTCCTCATCGAGCTGGTCCTGTGGTACCCCGTCTACTCTGTCTTCACCGTGCTGCTGCGCCCGGCCCTCGTCGTCGACGTTGCCGTCCAGAAAACAACGTCGGACGCCGAGCTGCGCGCCCGCCTGCAGCGCCACCGCGACACCACCGTCACCGACCTCGATGTAGCCCGCGCGCGCGCCTACGCCGACGTGCTCAAGGCGTTCGCGCTGCATGCGGCCGCCGACGACGCCGGGGCCGAGCACAACGACGCGCACGCCGCTCTCAGCCAGGCAGTGCACCACTACGTGTCGCACTGGCACGAGCAGATCGAGGTGCCGCAGGCGGGCGGCGAGGGAGACGAGGAGCACGATCACCCCGGCGCCGTGACGACCGTGTACAACGCGGACCTGATCGACGAGATGGCAGCGGCGCCGACGCGAGGCGACCTGGACAAGCTGCGCGACCTGTACGTGGCGGCGCTGGTGCACTCGGGGCGCACGGTGGGCTCGGCGCGCGCGGCCGAGCACGAGGTGGCCCAACTGGCGGCCGATGAGCTGCGCATCACGCGCGGCGCGCGGCGGCCGGCGCGCGCCCTGCGCCACTTCCTGCTCGCGGCCAGCTACAAGGACCAGCTCACCGCCGCCGTCGGCCTGCTCGTGTGGTCCGCCTACATGTTCGGCACCGCCGCGCTCAACTGGCCGCTGCTACACAACGGTAGCAAGGGCGGCGGCCAGTGCGACGACGTGCCCACCGTCTACTTCGTCCTAGCACCCAAGAAGCCCTTTGCCGATGCTGGTTTCGCCACCTTTCTCAAGGTCTGGACCGTCGGCGTCGTGCTTGTCGCCGTCGTCACCACCGCCGTGGCCCTGTTCATCCTCGCCGTCGCTCTGGTCGGCCCGCGCGGGGTCGGTCTTATCACGCGGCGGCGCGGGGTCAGGGGTGACAAGTCCCTCGAAGCGGGCGGCGGCGGCGGCGGCGCACAAGAAAACATACACAGCTCGGCGGGCTATCGCTCGCACCAGGCGCGCGGGCGGCACGCGCAGGAGGTGCTGGCGTGCCTGCACCAGGCCGAGGGCCGCAGCGCGCACCACCGGTACCGCGGCAGCAGCAGCCGCACAACAGCAACACCGCCGCTGCGCTTCAGCGTGTGGAACATCCCCTGGGCCCTGCTGCTGGCCGTGCTGCTCGCCGTCACCGTCGCCACGGCCGAGCTAACCACGCACCGCCAGGGCCCCTTCAACAACGTGCCCCTCGACTTTGCGCGCCCGCCCCTGCACGAGACGGCCGAGATCCTGGCATTTCTCGTCGGCCTGTACGCGCTCGTGCTGACACTGCTGAGCGTGCTCGGCGCTGCGGTCGCTGCGTTCCAAAGTAGGCGTCGCAGTAGGCATGTTGCGAGCCACAGAAAGCACGCACGCGTTTAGGAGAAGGCCGAGGTGCGGGCTTAGAGTGAAGGAAACGGTTTGTGTGTGTGTGTGTGTGTGTGTGTGTGTGTGTGTGTGTATTTGGGGGGTGGTGGGGGAGGAGTGTGGTTGGACAACGCGGTATTTACCTTGGGTCGTTTATCGGATTGAAGACGCAGGAGCTGGCCCGGTTTGAGAAGCAAAGATTTCACGATTCCAGTCCCGCTATGATTGCTCCAATGTGGTGTCAGTCTTTGGATGACCGTGTTTGCATCCACTCTTGGACCTGTCGTGGTGAACTCGGCAGTTGTCTCAAACCGACCCGTGTTTAACCATGTCTCGTCATTCAATACAGGTCATTCAATAGAGCACCCCGAGCAACAGTCATCTCATGTACGATGCCCTCGATGCCGATGTCATGACTCGGAGAATCCCATCTTGGACTCTATGCCCTCGATGCCGATGTCATGACTCGGAGAATCCCATCTTGGACTCTGGCCCTCGGCCGGGAGCCGCCGAGCTCATGCCCCATCTGGTGTTTATAAATCTGCAGTCTTTCTTGCTCGACTCTCTTCTCCTTTCTTCTTCACCGCCCTGTTCCCCGGCCTCGAGAACCTACTTGAATCATTTTTCCTACTTCCCCGCCACCAATCAGATCCTGTGTTAAACACACCCGAGCCAGCTACCAGTCGAGATGCTTCTCAGCTTCCTTCTCGCTCTTCTCGCTGTCGTGCAGTTGTCTTTTGGCTCTTCACTGCCTGGCCATCGCCATCATCGCCACCATGGCCGGGCCTCTGTCGGTCAGTGAAGTAATAAGAGCACTCTCCTTCCACTTTTGTTAACCGTGTTGGTCATATTAGCCAGACGAGACGATCTGAATACCCACCTGCCGGACAGCTTCAGTGGTATTCCCATCCAAACGTGGACCACCCACACATGGACCACCCAAACGATCACCCTGCCATCCCCAGACTCGGCGGGCTCAACGATAACCAGTGCCGTCGAAACAGGTTCGTTGCCTACCACGCCTCGCCCTCCCACTTGACACCGCTAACGATCTCTGTGCCAATCTAGTCTGGACCGTTGTCGACTCGCCCGCAAGCCCCAACTCCACGCTTCTAGCGTTTTACCATGCCGAGCCTTCACAGGCCGCAAACCAGGCGCCAGGTCTGGTCCCAACCTCAACCACGGCGACAGACAGCATCCCCGTTCCAGCTCCCTTGATGCCTACTAGTACCAGCTTTTTCAGCATCCCGATCCCGAGCCCACCCCCACCCCCAGCTCAGACCACGAACACGAACGCTGCCGCCGCGCTAAGCCCACCACCATACCTCCCCACGAGCTCCAGCTCCAGCACCGACCGTATCCTACGAACCAGCCCAGTGCAAGAAATCCCCCCAACCTCGTCCCTATCCCCAACCTCGTCCCTATCCCCAACCTCGTCCCCATCCACATCCCCGCCCCCTCCGCCTCCCCTATCCTCCTCGTCTACAGCGCAACCGCCACTCGCACTCCCCGCGCCACTGACGAACAACATGATCAACGGCGTCCCGCTCTTCTGCCCGGCATCCAACAACACGGTCACGTCCTTCAACGGGTCCACCTTTACGCTGACCTGCGGCGCCGGCTCCTCGCCCACCTCTGGGAGTGAGAACGACAGCGAGGCGGCCGGCTGGCTGCGCGCCATCTCGCTGACCGACTGCATCGACCTGTGCAGCCGGCTGGCGTGGTGCGGCGCGTTCGTGCACCTGCAGAACAGCACGTGTCTGTTCGAGACGCGGTCTGCAGTCACGAATGCGCCGCCGCCGCTGCTGCTGCTGGATGGTGCTTGGGCTGGCGTCAGGGGTTGATTATGATGCTGTGATTCGTCATGGACAGACGTGTCTATTCCTTGGACTTGATTACCTACCTACGCTTGGGAGGTGTGGGTGGAATTTAACTACTTCTTGTCGCGCTTTGGGTTTATTATTATGCATGGCTTAGATTCATTGGGACTTGGGAGGCTGATGGGTGGTCTGCTGAAGCTTATCAGCCTGACGATGGGCTTGGACATGGGTCCTCTGGGCTTTCTGTGTGGGGAGTCGCGATTACTTTGCCCGTCACCTCTTCGTGGTTGAAACGTTTTAACGTTCTTCGGGAAACCCTGGTTGGACGTTGTGGAGCAAACAAACATCAGCAGTCTTCTCCCAGGGACATTAGTTTCTGTTTTCTTGTTTCTAATTATTCTCGACCTACGGACTCGCAACCAGCTGCTTAATTATTAAGAGACGATAGCAGAAAATTTCCGTGAGTTCTAGCAACGCTACCCGTCTCATCTGTTACATGCTCAACACCACGTCAACCCCTCTCTCCATGACTGCATCAGTTGTGCACTTCCATCTTGTCGCTCTCGTACTCCTTCGTTACCAAACGCCTTGTATTGTGATCATGGACCTTGACCCTGTGAACCAGTAGGTACTGCTGTCTAACGGCACAGCTAGAACAAAAGGTGTGACGCCACACGTCGCTGAGCGAAGTGCCCGGCGCGTTATACCTGTGGCGAATATCTCCGCGCATCAAACACGGGATACTTGATGTGCATCGTGATCAGCGGATGGCAATCTAGAGATGGAAAGGTGCGCAGTAAAAGCCAAAGAAAAGAAGAGGAATTGGGATGCTTACGTCCAACTGCCAACGTAGGGTGTTGTCGCACAAATGCCCCCTGAAACAAGGCAATAACGGTTGCAACCACACCCCTCCTCCTCATCATACATAAGATTGTGCGTTCTCCCAACCACTGTATCGATCACACCCTGTCAGTGTTTGTATCGGTTGTGAAACATCCCCATTTCGTTAGCAAAAAGCGAGGAGACGTACAAAAGCAGGGGGCAAACCAGCCCAGCCAACAAATTGACTCTGAACAGCTGCAGCAGTGCTCACGCAAGCCGGGGAAGTCCTCGACCTGGCGTCGCGGCGGTAGTGACATGCTTGTTAAGAATGATTGATTAGTTACAAGGGGAACCTGGGACTGTTGACTAGCAAAGTCGAGGCAGCGAACGAGAGAAATAGGATTGAAAGTTGAGATCAAAACCAGCTGATCTTTGTATGAGTGGAGCGAATTGCGGCCGGAAAGAAGGCACGGCAGGTAAGGTGGACATTGCAGCAGGTTAAATAACTTTTCGACTCCGCAACTGACCAGCCCGGGTCCGTGGGCCGGTACTGGAAGACGGGACGATACGCCCCCGGGGAATTAAGCTTCAATCGAGTCCCGTCCCGGCCAAGAGAAGCAAGCCCACATCTGCCACGACATTGTCACACCCAGGCCGCACACCTTGACCTTCTGTCTCGGCTGGAACAGCCTTACCCGCCACTTAGTGAGGCCTATTGCCCTGCATCGGTGATGATTGAAGACAAGGATGGCCGGTGAGGGTCAAGGATTTCTGTGTGGGCCAGGGGGGATGTAGGGAGCTTTGTGCTTGAAAGGTTGAAGATTTCATAGACGGTTAAAACAATCCGTTTCCCTTCTTTGGAGTAAAGTTGGCATGTTCGGCGCACTTTGCTGCGATCTCGAGGGAGACGGTCAAGTGCAAGCGTGGGAAAGAGAGACAGAAATCCGCCGGCGGGGTGGAAAGACTGTGGCTACTGTGGCCCGATCAGTAAGAATAGATTCGGTCAGTTTCATTTTCTGACTTTATTTGTCTGGCTCCTGGTAAGACCTCGCCTCACCCGTCTCCGCGCACTGTTGAGGATGCGGGCAGTCAAGAATGATGGAGGAGAGACAAGGACAGAGCAGGAAAGGTGAGCGTGCCCTGAAGAAAACGTAGTGGCTCTTGAGCGCAAAAGAAGCGAGCATGGCAGCGCCGAACCCGTCCGATGACTCTGACTGGGCCGATGTGCTGGCGGGAAGAAGGATCCTTTTGTGCAGCAGATCTGGCCCAGACCAGAGCGACGCCTCTCATTGGGTCCCCAAAGCGGTGTGCAGGTCGACGCCGACCTCAAGCAGGACCCGAGGGCGTGGAAAACGGGCTGGACATGGGTGTGGAACACGGCGTAGAACGGGGCCCCATCCCATCCCAACAGGGCAGCAACATGACCCGTTCTTTCCAGAACTTGAGGATGCAGCTTCTGCAATCATCCCTGCTGCACCATGCTGGTCTGCACGTCACTTTGCACCTTCCACACCGCGTCGGCTTTTGCAGTGCGAATATGGACTTGTTCTGTCGAGAGCTGACACACGACAACCGCATTTCCGGACGGGGCGAGCCGCGGAACTGTCAACTGTCGGGCCTGCTGCACCTTGTGCGGCGCCACATGTTGGACCTTGTTATGCACAGCAAGCAAATGGCCCAAACAAATGCCAAACATGTGCGACTCGCAGCTCGGTCGTTCTGATGTTCAGTCGGCCGTCGGATAAATCGGATGGGGCTGCGTGTGCAAGACCCGGTTCCCATTAACTGAACGGCGCGGACACAAATACTGCCCATTTTGGGGCTCAGAAGCCCCGCGGCATCCAGCGTGCAGCGGTTGGCTCCCAATTGGGCTGCCTTTTGGTGTCATGTCTGCTCGCCTGTGAGGCGGCGTGTGCGAGGCCTGTTGGGCGCCACAGAACAGGCCTCCAGCGGCGCCCTCCCTCTCAGAGTATCCCAAGGCCTGTGGCTTCACCTAGTAAATCCGCGGCTTTCGCATTTTCTAAGCTCGTTCGCCCCAACCTTGCTCCCTTGGAGACGAAACATCGCATTCAGCACCGGCTTGCACTTTTCGGCTTCGGCTTTGACCCATTCGGTCAAGCTAAGCCGACAGACTCCAGGCCAAAAAGGCTTATTTCAAACCCCGTATTCTGTAGGTGGGATGAGATGACCGTGTGGCTAAATAATGGCTGCACCACAGTGCTCGTGGTGGAGTTTGTCCCCTCCAGCCACGAACGCCACATGCGCCACAAATGGAATCTGTCACCAAACCACTGTCACTGGGACCCCGGGCCCTGGAACAGTTGTCGGGACTCGTTACTGAGTATCTAACATGCGATTCACGGGCCTGGCCCGCAGCAGGAGTCAGCGTGCGCTCTGCTATGTCCCAACTAGAAAACATCAGCATACCATTCTCCCGGGCGCCAACAGCGCAGGGATGAGGCTGAGGCTGCACAGCCACAACACTCGACATGGGTGTCGCTCTATCAGTCACGCCCCTACAACCAACAGAGGAAGGCACGAGAGCTCTCAACTCACGGCGGTAACAAACTTGACACCTGCGCAGTGTATAAATGGTAGTTAAGTTTAGATAAATTTGTTGAAGAGCAGCGCAAAGGGTACGAACATGCGTGCCTTGGAGCTCGGAATTCGAAAGAATTATTTGACAAAAAGGGAGACGGAAGCAACAGGAAGAAGGGATAGGCGGTTCACATTGAGAAATGAAAGAGGGAAAGGGAGAATTGAGTATTATTCCTGCATCATCCCCCAACAAATTGGTGACCAAAACATTGTCGAGGCCGCACGAGAATAATTGTCCCAAACGTCGTCCCGCCCAACTTCTCTCGTTGTGGGTTTTGGCGTGAGGAGAAGATAGGCAGAATTTTGGCTTTCGGTTTCGCTGGCCGTGATCAAGGTGAATTCGGACCTCAAACTCGCTCTTTCTTATTTTTCACACACCGTCACCGGAGTCCAAGCGTCCAACTTGGAGAATTTACCACATGCAAAACCAAGCTGTGGTCGCGTGACTGTATTTCATGTTGGCTGAGACTGGCTCTGATTCCGACTGTCTGGTTCCTACTTGCCCTGTTTTCCACACCTCGTGTCCCTCCACACCCAGCATTTCGTGACAAATATTATTTCACGCCACGCATGCTCAGCCTGCTGTCAATATACGGCTCGCTTGCATTTATAGGCTCTGTTGGCCCTTCCATAGGCTTTTATAGCCGCCTCGTATTCAACACGTGATGAGCCGCATTGAATATTTGGCAGACGGCCAGCAAAGCAAGGGATTGACTCCATAGGCCTTGTCCTCGGTGAGCTATGAGCTCATCTAGCGTGTATTTGGTATTACGAGGAACGCCCACGATGCAACTATTCAATGATTTTTCCCCAGCCCTGCTGGCCTCTGCCGAACATTTCTTTCCAGCTCAACGGGCGGCGCCAAAGCCGGATGAAAATGCCAAGATTCTTGGCACCTGATGTTCGTGTGGTTGCACGCCCTGGATACGAGGTTTTGGAGCTCGGTTGGCCCTTGCAGCGGCCCAATGGCCGCACCGTATTGTCGGTACGGGGTCACCCGACTCCAGCAACTCAGGGCAACCGTCGTATGGATGTTTGCCCCGCGTCGTGCCGCTCGATCTGGTTGGTCTTAGAGTCTGGGGTAGACAACCCGCACCCATGTCTCTCCGTCGCTTTAACTGTGAAATATGGCAGTTTGGGATGGCTAACGAATCAGAGGGCCAGCTCAGTCATAAAAGTGTTCGCGGTACGCCAAGTTCCACAGTTAAAGCGACACGAGCATCAGCCGCCGTTGCTCCTACCTGGGCCGTGATGTTGCATTCCCAACACAGAGAGGCCCTGTCAGATCAACTTGAAATTAGCCCGTCATCAGTGCGTTTGTTGGAAGCACGCATCTTGCATGGCGTGGGACGCAGGGTCCTGCCTTTGTGCGTCTCCCTTATAATATGGGGCACCCATCTGCATCGTTGTCGTCACTCAAGCAGGATATCTCTGCTTGAGCTCTCATCTCTAGTCCTGGAATTTCCGGATTTCGTCACTCGTTACTTGAAACATCTTGTCGCCATGCATCTGCTCGGGGCTCTTGCCATCGTTGGCATCGCAATGTAAGACAAGAAACTGAGGGAAGTTGATGGTGTGCAGGCTTTCCACTGACAGTAAAGTTGCACAGCGTTGCTCCTGCAGCCGCCACCCACCCTACCACTACCTCGCAAACCGGTTGCCCAACGGTCACGGCAACCAAGGACCTCTGCGGCACCTGCGTTGTTCCCCTGTGCCTGGTTCTGAGCACCGCGACGCAGCAGTGCGGATGCCCTGACAAGCCGGCCACCGCATACAAGTCGTTCCCATGCCACGAGAAGTGCAAGGGCGTTGGGTGCTCGACGTCGTGGACCATGGCGCCGGCGACAGGTTGCTCGACTTCGACGTCGACCAGTCCTAGCTCGAGTTCCACTTCCGCTTCAGCTTCCACGACAAGCTCCAGCTCTGAGAAGAGCACCGCCTCGTCCAGCACGACGCACAGCCGCAGCGAGAGCAGCACCTGCAGCACTACCTCCCGGACCAGGTCCACGCCGTCGTGCTCCTCTACCACTGTGACCATCTCCGACACGTCGACCACCACGACGAAGACCCGCCCGCCGCCCGACTCGTCTTCGTCGTGCTCCTCCACCACAGTCACGGTCTCGGACACCACCACCTGTTCAAGCTCGAGCAAGACAAACCCGCCGCCGGACTCTACCTCGACCCCGCCGCCGCCTCCAGACACTGACTTCCCACTGCCGACGAGCTCGCAGTCGACACCCCCTCCGCCACCCGACACTGACTTCCCGCTGCCGACGAGCTCACAGTCGACCCCGCCTCCACCACCCGACACTGACTTCCCTCTGCCGACGAGCTCGCTATCGTTGACGACCTCGAAGACGACGACTGTTCCTCCTGCATCCAGCACATCCAGCACATCCAGCTTCGTAGTCACCGCTGCTGCAGGGCGGATGGTCCCGTTTCCGTTTTACTTCCGGTTCTGGTGATGGGGTTGAGGGTGCTGCTTACTTTCTCTGTGGTGTTATTTGGTCGTTTGATAACTTGGTTGATGAATGGTTTGGGATCGAGAGGGAGTTGCTGTAATTATTTTTGGTGATATAATTACATAGTTGTGCTGAATATGAACTAAGCAACGCACAGGTTGCAGTTTGATCCTTCTTTTGGTCCGATGTTATTTGTAAGACAGCTTCCTTTTCTTGCGTTGGCAACTTGAACGCTGCCGGGGTTAGGGGTAAACGAGGCCGTGATAAAGCCCCACCTATGGACATTTGGGGGGCCATGATCGGTCTCCGCAATCAACGCCGTCGGCTCTCTCATCTCAGAACTCACTTGAGTCAACAAGCTTGTCAAAATCTCCATCGGGAATTTACGCCTCCGACTCTCAGCCGTCAAAGCCAGTACCAAGGAAGACGATGGCATCAGTAGTCGCGCGGTACAAGCTCGTGTTCCACGTGCCGCCAGCGGCGCTCGACGCCTGCAAGGCAGCCATCTTCGGCGCGGGCGCCGGCCGCTATCCCGGGGCGGGCAACTACACCGAGTGCTGCTGGACGACGCTCGGCACGGGCCAGTTCCGGCCCGGCGACGCCGCGAACCCGCACATCGGCAAGGTTGGCGAGCTCGAGTTCGTCGACGAGGCCCGCGTCGAGACGCTGTGTCTCGGCGAGGACGTCGTGCGGAAGGCCGTTGCTGCACTGAAGAAGTGAGTCGCCCTCCAATTGCCGCAGTGGAAGGCAATTGTCTGTGGTAATGTGTGAGGGGAGAGATTGCTGATGTGCCAGTGTGCAGAGCCCACCCCTACGAGGAGCCGTCCTATGAGGTCTTCAAGATAGAAGACTTTTGAGGTGTGAATTGTTTTCAAGTGGCCATGTTGGTTGGCATTGACTGACTCTGAGGGTGGGTGGTTGCGACGGGAGACATGTCAAAACAATCGATTCAATTGGGATAGGCTGTACAGTACATTACAAGACCCCGGCACGCCTTGCTCTCAGGCCTTGCTGATATCCCTATCTACCCGTCGAGTCCCAAACCATGACCACGGGTTCCATGACCATTTCCGCCCAGCGGGCCATAGACGGTGGAAGTACTGCCGCAGTAAAGGTATCTTGGACCCAACACTGCCGTTGGCTCCCGTCATCGTCCCCCCTCCAGAGTCGGTGGAGCCCGGGTAACCAGACGCACCCCAGCCTCCGCTCTTCTCATTGCGGGCGGCGACAGCGGCGATTCCGCCGCTTGCAGCCGTCCTGGTCGGCTCCTTGGTGTACCAGCTCCACCCGAGAATCGTGATTAACGTCAGGGTTATTGTGGCAGCGAGGTAAGTCCAGAAATAGCCGGAAAAGACGGGGGGGCTGTCGCTACCACCCGATCCGGCGCCGCCCGATGATGAGCTCTGGCTCGAAGTCAGATTCCAGCGCGCGTCGACCCAATGGTTGCCAAAGTTAAACACGGGCATGGCGAACACAGTCTGCGCGGGATAATTATCTGATTAAACTGGGGCGAAGTTGTTGCCATGTGATATGGTATGGTGGAACTTACAGCTACGGATGTCATAGGAAGGTAGAGCATGGCGACAAAGGCAATGACGGTACTAACAGACCCCGCTTTGCGCGCCTCTGCTGCCTCTCGTCTCGCTAGCTCATTGATGAACTGACGATTGGGTTAGTAGTCCTCCTGTGTGTGGCGTCGTTCCTGCGCCAATCATCAAGAGAGGTGAGAAGAGCCAGATGAATTATAACTTACAATCTCTCTTGCGAATGTCACCTCTTCGTAGCTGATGCGGCACTTTGCCATCAAGGAATCCATTTCACCGCATATCTCCTCGAACCTGTTGACAAACCTCCTCGTGCTGACTGTGAAGTCTGGTTGCACTGTTGGCACTATTGAGAGGTAGTCAGCGTGGTGCGGTTGCCAACTTGCCGCTCACGATTCTCGAGGACAGAAACTTACCTCCACCTGGAGTGTCCTCTTTTTCCCGGTGTTTGATCGCCTGGACCATCTTTTTGAGCTCCTCTCTGGTCGTTCTAACTTCTTCCTCCAGCCGTTTGCCCCTTAGACGGTGCTCGCCCAGTCGGCGGCTATCTTGCCATGTCAGGGTCTGGTCCTCAGAAATGTGTGTCCCACGGATCTTGAGATTGATCATAAGATCTTCAGAACGTTCGATAATTTCTTGAACCAACTCATCCAATCTGTCTCGCTGGAGCTCGGCAAAGACACGGACCATCAGGAGCGGGTGTTCCCAGACCTCCGGCGAATCGGATAGAAGGTTCTCCACCCTATCCATCTGCTCTTCGTTACAGCCGAAGATGATAGTCGCGGTGAATCTGGAGGTCTGGAAATGGGTTGATGATATGGCGATGTTGTCGGGCCATTCTGTGCTCATGGCCGAGGTGTACATCTCCAATGGTTCGGGCTTGCGTTCTTTGACGAGATATGTCGAATAGCATCTTTCAAGAAACATGGCCCTGCAAATGGCATTGTGAAACTGGAACTTATTGGTGATATCTTGCCATTTTTCCGCGGAAAATGGAAGGTAGTTGAGCGCGGCAGAAATTTCCTCGGGCACGACCTGAACAGGATGGAGGCGAGCCGACAGGCTACAGATGCATGAGAGGCGACACGGCGAGTAACAGAAGGTAAGATACATACAGGATGTGAAAGCCAGATTCGGGCTTCACTGTTTCGGGCGAGCTTTTGAAGACGGGTGTCTGCGTAGTTTATCGGCATAGGGTTAGCAAATCGCTCAGATTCCTTAGGTATCCTCAAAATCGCCAGTGAAGCGGGAGTCAGTCTATTATGGGGAACTAATTACCTCAAACCATTCTGACCAGTCCTCTCCGAGCACTCGGGAGACCAACCTATCCCCAGATACCTGATCAAAGGGCACCTAAGTCAATTACTGGCTTCTTGCTCAAATGGCGAACAAGGGGGCGGCGGAGAGGGGACTCACGTTGGAGCGCAACAGTCTGCTCTGGTGTGGCGAGGATTGGCCACATTCGAACTGGTCCTTGTCAAATTGTGTGAGGAATGGGCGTAGCGCTGTTGGCCAGTCCATGTCGATTTGCTATTCCCGAACAGTCCTGGCGTGGTCATGAAGATGAAACGAGTTCCGAGAGTCGCGGATCGGTGAGTATAGCGGCCCGCCGCAACGGAACGGCCCGTCCAAGATCCCTCATCTTATAGCGCCAAGTGCACGGCTCGGAATTTCAGAGTCTCGGCCGTAGCCTCGTTAGAGTTGCACAATCGTGATTTTTTATTAATAATGAGGGTGTGCACACCGGCCAGGAAAGCCCCCCCACGGTAGGCGAAGATGTATCACCCCAAATCGCTTTACATTGGCTAGCTCGCTATCTTTCCACGATGCGTCTTGAGGCCTGGGGCGGGGTGTGCATAATATTTGCATGGCCACGGATGGCGGCCGCCCAATGAGGCGCCAAAGTCGACGCCTTCTCTGGCCTGTCGACGAAAGCAGGTGCCCGTGGCCAGCTGGTAATCTCTCAAGTGATGCCCCCCCTTGCCCTGCAAGTTCCAGGCAGCGCACCTCCTCTCATCGACTCGTATGCTGGGCACAACCCCACCTGTGCCACACCCGACAGTCATGGCCCAAGTTCTCGAAGCTCACTGCCACGTCCCTAGCCCTCGTGGACGTGATATTGGGCTTCAAAAGCAAACGTGTTTTGGGCATTGGAGCCATTGCAGCAATAGCAGATCAGCAACTAAACATCGTGCATTTTTGCATTTTGGAACTATGACTCTTAGTCTTCGTTACGGCGGCTTTAAAAGGGCAGACTGGGCTCTCCGAGGGCCAGGCGGCGGAGTTGGCTCCTTTGCAACACTGCAGACAGCTGCAGCCCATAACCCTACCCGCCTTACGCAGAACCCATCCGGTGCACACAATCACGTGCATATCGCCTGTGCCACCGGCACAGCCCTCCCACTCTTCCTGCTTTTACCTCCCTGAAAAGCAGGACTCGTCCCCTGAAACGTCATCCGTTTCTAGCCCAACAATGTGGTGATCCCATCATCCGCCAGCGCGTTTCATCACGGCGCCTGGCATCCAAGCCAACACAACCATTGTATACTAATTAATATCTGCTCAAGGGTCCTCTGTTTACCTAAACCCCGCTCCCGGACATCCTTTCGGACCATGAGCGTCCCGAACGGGTGGTGCGAGCAAAGGCTGCCAGTCACCAACCCCGATCCGACGAAGCTGAAGCAAGAGCTGGACGAATTACTGGGGGTTGGAGGATATAAGATGTTGGTTGGTATATTCTATGCAGCGCATGTCCACCCGCGAGAGAGAAGTGTGACTAATTTCGAGATACCCACCGCCAGCGGAAAGGGGCAGGCCGAGTTGTCGTTGTATCGCCCGATGGGCTCAGTGAAGTCAGTCCACCCATCAGTCCACCCATACATTTGCTCCTTGTCGTCCTCTCTCCGCAGTTCTATCCCAACTAACGTATCGTCGGATGACAATAGAAACAACTCGAGATTGTGTCGAAAGCCTTTTCCAAGCCAAGACAGCTATCGAAAGCTAACGCAACATCGGAAAATCCAAATTCGCCCTCTCTAGCGCAACAAAGGTCCAACCTCGGGCCCGACGGCCTTTCCCAGCCATTCAAAAGCTCCGAGCAGCCATCCGAAAACCCCGATACACCCTCACCTACCAGAGACTCCGCCGAGCCGGCGCCCGAACCGGATCCAGAAATAAGGCCCTTGCAAAGGAAAAAAACATTCAAAGAGACCGCAAAAGATGCATATCAAAATTTGCAGGGTATTGTTAGGCGGTTGACCGGGAGGCTAGAATAACAGGATGGCAGTTAATTTAGTTGGATTAATTCTTGTTAGTTGAGAGCGCGTTGGCATCATTCTCGAACGAATTTGTACACGTCCAGGAGGGAATCATCTGTTATCATGGCATTTTCTGTCTAGAATTAGCGTTTGATTATTTTGTATGTAGCTTACTTACCGTAGCCGGGGTCTACGAGGGAATAGACTGGGTTGTGTTCGTCTTCTCTGCCGCTGGTACCTTGGGGGTCCACCTAACGCAAGAGTCTTCTGTCCATCTGTCTCTGCTTGCTGACATGATCTTATACCTACCTATTTTAGTTTTGTTACTGTCTTCGTCCGATACCAACAAAGTCTTCAGTGACATCCAGAAACCTTGCCCCTTTTCTCCTCCACATCAATCCCCTTGCACCCTCTATAGACGCAACTGTGCCTTTGAGTTTCATCAGGAAGGCACAGTAACTATGGTATTTATTAATTTCACAGTCTAGGATTAGCCTTCCACCCTTTGGCCCACAATCAAGATAGATTAATCATAAATCAATGTTCAAGTGTCGTGACAAGGTTGGCCCGCCAACTCTCAAACCCCAAATCAAAAACAATATTCCCTGACAATTCCCGCCCAGAAATACTAATAAAGAAACCAGCGGAAGCTCAAGAGCCAAATGAAACCCAGCTCCTGCCTCATACAAGAGGGAGACAATGGTTGCCCAATCCCCGGCCCCACACACGAGCTGGTTGCTGGAGTCAAACGCCGGAGGACAAGAAGTCAACACCGTCGAGAGATATTTCGCCGTTCGAGAGACCTCGAGGACAAGTTTGCGCTCGCACCGCAGACCAGCTCTCGGCGAACTGTGAGTCTTTTGGATGGTCTTGCAGCCACAGGAGAAGCACGTGCGGAGTTTCTAGGACTGCTGTGAGTCAACAAGAACCAGAAACCGGCTAGGATAGTAAAGCATGGGACGTACCCTTCTTTCCCAACTCCTTCTCGTCAGCGGAGACAGTCCCAGATAGGGGTAATTGTGTATACGGTGTGCTGTCTCTGTCGGCCATCGTATTGAGGATTGTTGGATAAAACTTGGGTCTTGGTCTGCACAATTCATCTCTGCCAGCTCTTCACACGGCCAGGTTCGCAATGTTATATTAATTTGACTATTTTTCCAGTTATCCAAGCAATTCAAAGGCTTGTCCCGTTTCCTACCTCGCGTTGTTGTCCTGAGTGCCTAGCTTCCATTTGTTGTCCTATTTGGATTCTCTCTGTTTCTCCCAAATAAAAGTGGGCCTTTGACGGGCCAAGCCAAAGCTAAATCCTTCCGAGCGTCTTTCCAAGTCCAGTCCTGAAAATCTCTTTTTCGTAGTCTTCAATGCTAGCGCCAAGATTTTGTGCGGCAATATTACAAGCAAAAGAACCCAAAAGAAAACGTGACTGACACGATGTGCTGAAGCCTATTTCGACAGCTTCCGCAGAGCAGACAGGTCCCAACGCGCTCACACTGTTCACGCTGCAGCTGCACCCACCCGAAATCGCATCGGAGACAAGGAGCCCCAGAGGCCGATTGACAGCAGCGGTCCGCTCCGCCTAACACCGAACACGTGAGAAATCAGTCAGCCTGCACACGTCACTGAGAGGCAGGCTGTGCCTGCATTGCTGCGGCATGCACAACAATTCTACGCCCCACACCCCCCGATTACGATTTACCACGCTTGCAGGGCTAATTCTAGAAACTTCTCTCACCTTCCATCGATTGTCTCGCAGCACCAAAGTCACCGATTCCACGGGCTTCTAAAACATGACAATGAGATCGATCGCCCGACGGCCGACACGACAGGACAACTGCTAGACCGAGCCAGCACCAGCGGCCGCCCGCGGCCTGGCATTTGTCCTGCCATGGATCAAATATCGCAGACCGGCCTGTCTGCCGGCTCTGCACACCTCGAACCATGACATGAAATCTGTACACTCACCTTCTTCGCCTCTCCTGCGTGTGCACGTGCACTCGCATACTCGATCACGCCAATGGCGAACTACAACAGCGACAACATGGTGTCCGCCAACCCGACCGACATGTCCCTGACCTTTGGGTCTGATACGGTCCAGCTAGAGCGGGCGCTAGCGGAGGCCGACGGCATGCTCGCGGGGATGCAGATCCTCGACAAGGCCGAGCCGCTGGACGACGACGATGACGACGACGACGACGACGACGACGACGGCAGTCGTCGGCGCACCGCCAACCGCCCGGGCGAGCCGCAGCTCCTCGGCTACGCCGATGTGTGGGACGCCGCACCCTCCGCCCAGCTCCACCAGACCAGCAGTCCCGGTTCGATGGAGCTCGTGCCGCGGACGGCGCCGTCGGGCCTCAGCCGGCGCCGCGATGCCAGCAGCACCACTCGCACGAGCGCCGACTCCGGCGCATCATCAATGCAGCAATGGGACGTGCTGCGTCAGCTACGGCGAGCCATGATCTCGCACCACGGGCGGTTCCAGCAGGCCATCGCCACTCACTCCGCACTCAACCACACGCCCCGAGCAGCAGCCCAGCTAGCAGCCGCATACCCCTCCGCGCGGGCGATGCGCGACAAGGGCATCCTCGTGTTCCGCGACATCCTGCACGGCGCGTCGCCGACCAGCCTGGCGGGCGTGTTCGCGTTCGCGAGCCTGTCATTCGCCGTGTCGCAGCTGCTGCTGGAGCGCGGCCGCCTGCAGCGCGCGCACCTGTTCCTGGGGCTCGCCGTGTGGCGCGACGCGATCCACGACGGCGAGGAGCGCGAGGCCTTCTCGTGGCTCGCGCGCGCGCTGTGGCCCGAGGCGGCCGCGCAGCTGGTTGATTCTCCTCCTGCGAACTCGCAGCAGGGGGGCGGGCTGATTGAGTATGGTGCGGCGGGCGATCGGCTGCTCGATGATGGGTTCATGTTCCTGGGATCGGACCACCTGTGGCTGGCGGATGCCGCCGCGGCGGCGCCCGGGCCGTCGGTGTCGAGAGATGGTAGTGGCGGCCAGGGCGGAGCGCTGCCGACGTTGGAGGAGATGGTGCTGCAGCTGGCGGATCTGTCGCACGTGGAGTTCCAGTTCTTCGAGCTGGGGGGCTTGGCGGGGCAGGAGCAGGAGGGCGAAGCGTTTGGCGGGCAGGCGTCGGCGAGGGCCGGGAACAACACATCAGGCATGGCGACAGGAGCGGCGCGTAATGACGCTAGGCGGACATTGGCCTCTGCGCCGCCATCCCAGCGCTATTGCCTACCGTCGTCGGAGACGCCGGACGAGAAACCGCCTGCCAGAGCCACCGGGGAGGCAACAAAGCGCACGCGCATCTTCCTCGCCGTTGCGGACTTCGTCAAAGACGTGGGCGGGTTCCTGTACGGGCTGTCGGGGAACGGCATGACGGCTCGGAAGCGCGAGGTGCACGAGGACGACGGGGGGCTGGCCCGGACGGACGACCGCTCGCGCTTCGAGCGGCACACGAGGCGGGAGTTCTTTGATCGGCTGCTTGTTGAGAACGCCGACCCCGTGTTCATCGGGCTGCTGTCGGCGGCGAAGAAGTTCGTGGCGCTGGGGTGCCTGCAGACTATGGAGGAGGTGCTGGAGCTGCTGACTCGCGTCTCGAGGGTAAGTTTGCTGCGCTTTTCTCTGGCAGTTGAAGATGGCACAGGAGCTGACTGGGACGCTGTTAACAGAACATCCTACTGGCCGGCGAGGCCTGGCGCACCTTTATGGAGTGGATATATGGCCGGTCTGCGGCGCTGAGATCGCAGCGCCGCACCCCAAGACCAGAGCGAGCGTCCCCGTCCTCCTCGGAGAGCCATGGCCAGCCACCAAGTCCGCGAAGCAAGATTTCCAAGTCCAAGTGGGTCGATTCATTGTTCTACTTGTTCCGCATGCAAGTGATCGACACAACCGCTGACGCGAATCCTTAGCAGACGAGTCTATCCCTGCGCGTACGCCGGATGCGACCGCACATTCCAGACAGCCGCCGGCCGGAGCAAGCACAAGAACAGCAAGCACGCCGAGCAGCCGCGCATGGTCGACTGCCCGCTGCCTGAGTGCATGTACGGACACGAGCGGCGGGACCGCGTGCGCCAGCACTTTCTTATCGTTCATGGGCCGGACCTTCCGCTTATTCTGCAGGACAGGAGTCGGCGGTCATAGCTAAGCGAGAGGTGGCACATGGGCGCAGTTCGAAGCCACTGCGACTTGTTTTCACCATGCCTTTGTAAACAGAGAAACAAGAATTCCGTTGTTCAAGTTCAAACTTCAAAGTACATATATACGCTTGGGCAGGTAGACCCAGTTCTAATGCATGACTGCAAGAAGTACATGAATGCCGCTCACTAAAATAAACCATCATACAACCGTACAGGCTAGACCTTTCCGCTCTCAAACTCGTTAACTTTCGTGTAGTCTTGTTGATCCATCGTCGACTCCTTGGGATCATGGGAAGCTTGCCCTCCTCTTTTTGGGCGATTGCTTGGGGTTGGTTTCCTTGGGCCTAATCCCCCCTTCCTTGATCTCCTCTAGTATCGTAAACATAAGCTTTAACTTCTCAGGCTTGGTTTTCGATTGGTAGATGCAGTTATCTCTATGTTCGATTTCGCTGATGATCTTCATATCCGCCATGTCCATCTCGGCCATGTCCTGATTGTTGTCTTTGGAATGAATCTCGACACTGTCTTTGTGACCTGGTGCATAGTGAGGCGTAAGCATTCCCGTTGAGTCCGACCCGTGGAGTGATTGCTCGGGTTTGGTTTTCTTGGGCTTAATCTCCCCTTCCTTGGTCTCCTCCGTCTGGGGCTCCCCTGGCTTGGTCTCCTTTGGCTTGGTTTCCTTTGGATTGATACCTCCAAGCTTCATCTCCTCGTGCTTGGCTTTATCTTGGTTGGAGTCCTTATGCTCGATCTTGCTGGCCACCTTCGTCTCCGTGACCGTCGAGTCCGGCCCATCAGGCGATTGCTCGGAGTTGGGTTCCTTAGCCTCCCCAGGCTTGACCCCCTCTGGCCTGATATCCCCAAGCTTCGTCTTCTCGGGCTTGGTGCTCTCTTGGTTGGTGTCATGATGCTTGATATCGCAGCTGGCCTTTGTCTCCGTCAAGTCCAACTCGGGGATGTAATCCTTGGTAATTGTTTTGTCTGAGTCCGTGGAGCTGATCGATTCCGATTCGGAGACGTCCTCATTGTCGCTTTTGGACTGAATTTCATCAATGTCTTCGTGTTCTGACATGAAGATCAAGAGTTCTTTGGCATAGGCTGCCGCCGCCGCACTGGCATACCCTTCCCACAGTCCGTTCTTGTGAGAATCTGCATAGTTTGAGATTCCGCGCACAGCGAGGCAGGGGAACAGGTCCATCACTCCAGCGGTCTCCACCTCGAAGCAGAGGACGCCACCCAGGAGCTCAGCCGTTTTGTCTCTCGTCTCGCCGTGTTTGATGACCTGGGTTCCTGAGGCGATAAGTCCGTAGTGGATCCTGGGGAACCCAGTGGCCCGGCGCGCGCGGTCAATCTCCCACTCTTCCCCGCAAGCATTGCAGTCGGACATACCCGTTATGTGGCCGTATTCGCTGTCGAACAACCGATCTTTAGCAGCGTTAGCCATGGCTGAGTTCCGGCTCCCCACGTCAGCCAGAGTAGCGAGCATGTTGCTGACGCTAGGGAGACGGTCGGCCTCGAATCTGAAGATGGCCTCCCTGAACACGGCCGGAGCCTTGTGCACGATGGTTCTTTCATAGATGAGGTGGGAAAGGGTCTTCCTGACAAGCCCGTGCTCGACGACTTCTGTGCCGACCACAACATCGCCGAGACGTATATCCTCGGACTGAGGAACGCCGCCAGCGATGCCCACTACCATGCGCAGGCATATCGAGGGGAAACTCCGATGCATGTTGGTAGCCGCCACTGCTGCGTTTACTGCACCATAATTTCTCTCTTCCAAACTTGTAATGACGATATTTTGCTGGCCGATACGGCCAAAAAGATAGATATTCCTGTCGCCGGGTTTGTTCGGGAGGATTTCGTGGGTGTCGTCGAGCACCGCCCGAGCGGCTTCCATGTTTATAGAAAGAGGGCAGATCCAGCCGACCGTGTATTCCTCGTGTGATAGTCGTACAGCCGTGGGTTCAGCTACGGCTAAGGCCGGGGGTTCCACCGTCCTTGGAGACTCGTATAGTTGGTCATGTCGAGTTGTTGGGTAGCAAACTGTCGTCGAGCCTATGATCACGACCATGATGGCCAAACGAGCGCAATGGTTAGCCGATACTTCAAGTATGTCTGTTGCTCCAAGAAAGTCGGCGTCGCGGGACAGGGGCTTTTCTGAGGATTTCGATGACAATAGAGGATTTTGGTGCAGTTCCGAGTTGGCTCCCGCAGAGACATGCCCAGTCTGGCTGAGGGGTCGGAGACCGAATGCAGGAAAAGGCAGGAGCTAGAAGAGCGAAAGGGTTGAGAGGAAAGGGCGATACTCTATCTACACCGGCACCAAAGCGGCCGCTGGAGCCGCCCACCTGCAAGACCCTCCTTCCCAGCGCGGTTTTGGTACCTGATTTGACCGTAAACACGCCACCACAATTTTCACCTCACGTAGACTTTTCAGTCGAGAAAAATATCTCCAGAGTCAAAGATTGCGATGAGGCATAATAGGAACAAAGAAGCCCGTTCTATAACTAGTCATAATAAGGCTCTTGTCCAGATATGAAGATAAAGACAAAACCAAAGCTTAGTTGTCACTCAACCATTTTAGTTGTTCATGAGACTACAGTAGGCACCCACTGAAATTTTCAACTTGCAAGAGGTCATACATCACTCACTGCAAGCTTGTTACAGTCGAGATTTGGAACCGTGAGAGACGGGTAATAATCACCTGTAATTGCTACTACCTACCTATCTATAGACAAAATTTACCTAACACCCTCTGAGCTCCGCCACGCACTCCTCCATGTAATCGCCGTTTACCCCGTCTCACGGCGCAAAAGACTACCCAAAGCTGATATGATTCGTCCCGATACACTGGCTGAGCTGTGCTACCTAATAGTCCCCGTCGAATGACGGATTCCCGGCCCTCTGTGAAAAAACCAACGAAATGCCTTTAGCGTCCGACCACCAGTCGCCTAACTCCCATCTCCCCCTAAGAACGAATATCAGCCCTCAAGAGAGACGATCGCTTGCCAGCCCGATCCAAGATGCCCCATGCGTGATGCCCGGCCATGCGCATATCCATAGAAAGAGCTACTATAGGTAACGGATGTACCAAAGCAAAAACAGGAAAAGCCAGCAAGCCGTCCCTTGATTTTGCCAACGCCACCAATCCCAAATCGCCCCATATTCCCCGTGACCAACACCCCAATGACCGCTATATACACCGCAAGCATCATCGCCCCGTTTCCCCTAACATGTAAATATACGCAATGGGCCCGGCGGTTCTCGCGCGTGAGAGACACGCTAAACTTCCACGAACCACCCGCGCCCCTCTCTCATTTGGGCAAGCAGATTGGCCCTTCTCTGCTCCTCCTTGAGCTGCTCGGAGGGAGTCTCGGGCTCTGGCGGCGGCGGGAGGTCTTTTTTCTGCATCCACTTCGGAGGAAAACTCAGATGGTTGTCTGGGTATGAATCATGGTACTCAAACGCTGCCTTTTGCCAGCGAGACATGGGAGACAGGGGTCTCGGTGATCCGACATGCGGGGAAATAATGACTTGCGGACCAGGCGAGGGAATGTTTGGCTCCATCGTCTGGTTTTGCTCGCCACCCATGGGCGGCACTTGCATGCCACTCAAGTGCGGCGACTCGACCTCAGTCGGCGCAAATCGCACGTAAGTATAGTTATGTGACTGTGTGGCTAAGTGCGTGCCACTTGGGTGCGGCGGTTGCACATTACTCGGATGCGGCGAGTGCATCTCGGTAGACGCAGGCAACTGCATGGAGGTCGAGGGGGGCGGCTCCACGCTGCTCATATCTATATCAAGGCCCTCGTCCATGCCCTCATCAAAGCCAACTGAAACTCGCGTATTCAGCGGTCCTGGCGGCATCGACGACGTTTGGCGAGGCATCGTGTCCATGACCTCAACGTCACTCGAGCCCGAAGCCTGTACGATACTGGAATCCGAAGACTCCACGTCACTCGAATCTCCAGGATTCAAAGGTCCTTGCCAGATCGGCGACTTTAGGCGAGGCGTCATGTCCCGCAACCGGGAAATCAGTCTGTCTGTTTCTGCAAACCCGTCGGCAAAGGCATTGGGCACTGCAGGCAAGTTCGGCGCCGCAAGCAAGTTTGGTGCCGCAGACAAGTTCGGTACCGCAGGCAAGTTCGGTACCGCAGGCAAGTTCGGTGTCGCAAGTAGGTTCGGCTTCGCAAGCAGGTTCGGTGGTGCATGCAAGTTCGGCGGTGTAAGCAAGTTCGGTCCTGCGGCTTGTGAGGCGAGCTGTGAAGACATTGAGCCGACGGGAGGAGGCAGCAGTTGATTGTTTGCCGGCTTCGATTTGACTATAAGCTCATGGTCGTTTGACGAGCTGCTGTTATGAAGAGTAATCGCAGCCTCAGCAAGCACCGGATTCTGTTTAGGTTTAGTCCGAAGCTTTGTCTTATTTGCTTTGCCAGCAGAATCGGGGCCTGGTGCCAGGGCCGGTTTGGCTAGAGCTTGGCGCCGTGTTTTGTTCGCCTTGCCAGCAGAATTAGGGCCAGGCTCAGTCTTTGTCAAGGCCGGTTTGGCCAGAGCCCGGCGCTGTTTCTCTCTCTCTGAAGCTTCTCTGGCTTGATGCGCACGCTCACGCTGCATATACTCATCCCTACGCTGCATTTTCTCCTCATGCTCCTTAAGATCACGCTCCCAATACTCGTCATTTGAGTCATCGCCCGTCAGACTTACCAGCTCAAAGCGCCGCCGCGACCTCGACGGATAGTCATAACTTGGGGGCGATTTCGGCCGCCGTGACTCATTCGACGGATCGAAAGAGACGGTAAGTGGCTGGGTCTCTGCAGCAGCAGCAGTCTGGGCCTTTTGGGGAACTGACTGGGTCGCGGTAGGAACTGTCTGGATCTCTTCGGGAACTTCCTGGGCCTCGGCAGGAGCTGTCTGGGCCTCTTTGAGAACTAGCAGGGTTTCCCATCGCTTCGGCAGGGTTTCCGAGCGCCTTGGCTTTGATGAAGTACGACGCTTCTTTTCGTTTTCCTGCAAGGCTTCACGCTCCCGTCGAAACACGTCTGATGGCACATCTTCACTAGTGACGGTCACGAGCTTTTCGAGGCCGTTAACTAACGTCCAATACTTTCTCTGTCGTGGTCTGGACTTTACTGCAGTGGAGATAGAGTCGGGGTCTACCTCGATTGACATCTTTATATCCTCTTTAGCCGGCATGGAGGAGGCAGCATTGCTGGTCTGCCATGTTGAATGCGAAGGGTTCATTTGGTTGTCACTACCTCCAAGATCGAAATTGGCATTGTCTTGCGATTCAGTGGCCGTGTTTGGCTCTCGGGCTTGATCGCCTGTTGCTTTTGCGGGTGCAGACTTCCGTTGTCTCTTCTTTGGCGGCATTTTGGCGACGGGTGCAAGAGGCGAGGATTGAGAAGAATGAGGTGAGGATTGAGAAGATTGAGAGGAAGATAGATGTGAGGGTGGCAGATCGTCGACTTCTCCGCCTGAGAGTCGGCGGAGGTCGCTCAGAATTTTGTTGACCAGATATGCGCCGTTCAGCTTGTGGTCGCGTACAGACGCGGGACGTTTCGCGTTGGGGTTCAGTTTTGGTTCTCTGGGAAACAGCTTGACTGTTTTTGGCCCAGTGACCTTGGTCACAAGTGGGGAAGACGAGGCCGGAAGTGGGGGCAACACCGCCGGCACCATCTCTTCGGACGAAATATGCAGACACTCCTCGGCTGGCTCATTGCCTACCTCAATAACATCGCATGTTTCTGTTGGCGGCTTCCTGGCGGCGGGCTTGTCCTGATCCTTGCGCTTTCTCGGGGCCGAGCTTGCGCCGTCTTTGCGTTTGCCAGACTCGACTCCGCTCTGTCTGCGAGATGCTTTCAGCGCCTTCACCTTCTCATCCTCCGGCATCACCGTGCCCGGAGGCAACCATAGAGCCGGTTTTCTCTGTTGCAGATCGCCTACCCAAGCATCGCAGTCCCATTGCACCCAATAGTCGATGACATCCGACCACACACTCTCTGGCGGCTTGGTAAAGTTGACAAAGACAACCTTGCCTCCCCGATCGTGAACTGCCTTGGCGAATTCCTTTACAAGCACCTTCAGCCCGTGGACACGCATGCTGGTCCCTAAGATGAGCAGCATGTCGGGCCCGAGGGAGAGATCGTGCTGGACAATGGGGCTGATAAGATGGGCGTGGGGATGCTCCTCGCCGTACAGGACGATATCAGGCCGCAGCTTGCCGACACCGAGGGCCCGCTTGCCGCGTTCTTCTCGCGCCGCCGTCGCACCTGCACAATGCGGACATGTAGGCTGCCGGCCTGCAAGTATGTCAACTTGACGCGAATCCTCGTCCCAGGACGCGGTCCTCGCGCACACAAAACATCGAAGCTCGGCGAGAGACCCGTGAAGACAGACGCACTCGACGCCACGCTTGGGAGGTGTAGGTACAGAAACCGCGGCGGTGGGCACTACAGCAACTTTTGCGACTAGAGCTGAACTTGGCGGAGCCTGCGGAAGGGGGTCGGGAATGGCAACAACAACATTCGCACCGTCGAGAAGACTAGGCTCGCCGCCGATTCGCTGAGCCGGCGGATTATCTTCAACCTGGGAGGCGCTCGGGGTGAGCTGCGACCCTGAACCCGGTCGCTGCTCTTGCTGGGTGTCGTCTTGGCTTTGCTGTGTCTGGCTTTGGTTCTGGGTAGACGATTCTGCGTCCTTGACCACCACCCCCCTGGCGACTGCCGAGACGCGTCCCGTCCGATGAGAGAAGCGATAGCGACTTCCCGGCCCCAACGAGAGCGAGGTTGTGAGCCCCACGCGCTCCTCGAGCTGGTCGATATTCTGCGTGTAACACCGGACAAGCTTCCGGCTATCACGGAGGACACTGACGAATTGATGGCTGCTTGTCGGTTCAGCACTCCGGACTTTCTGCCGCAGCGTTGCGGTAAAAGTGTAGAACACCGACGTCTTGATGGGATCAGACCATATCTGCGCGTCGAACAAGTCTCTGCCTTTCATGTTCGGGAGGGACGTTCTCCCGGTTGACGAGGCAAACGACGACTGCGATGTGAGCAGAGGTGTCGAGGCGGAAGATGGCTCCTCGCTTTGTGTTCGAGACGACATGCTTTGTCGGCTTGAAGACTGAGACGACGAGCTCGAGCCGCCCCTCAGCAACTCTTGATACGGATCGAACATGATTGGGGGCGGCGACGAAAGCGGCGACGAACTCATTGTGTGCGGGTATGTCTGGTCCGAGTCGGACCGGAGTCGCAGGGCATCCAGAGCCATACTCGGGGGAGAAGAGACAAAGGGTGGCCCGGATGCTAGCTTTGGGCTCGGTAGGAGGGTTAGCATGGGCGAAGTACCCAGTGGCTGATCTCCGACGGCCCATCGGATGGTCTCGCTGGAAAGTAGGCCACCGGGAGGTTCCATGGGAGGGCCCAGAGCGTGCTGCCGTGCCTCGATCTCTTCCATAATCACGTCGCTCCCGGGAAGTCGTGGGCAAAGTGCGGCAGCCGCCTCAACAGACTTAGCCGGCGCCGGCGCGCCCTCCGTCGCACTTTCCGCCAGCACTTCCTCCTTGCCCTTGGTTTCGACATCCCGGACTGCTACTCGCACAAACTCCTTTGGTTCCTGGCGCGAGGGAGTGGTCTCGTCGCGGGATATTTTCCGTCGCTTTGCTGGCCTCTCGTCAATGCTCTCCGCGACCACATCAGACTCGTCGGCATCGCCTTCGCTGCTCAGCGGGCCCTTCGCCTCGGCCGCGTCAAACTGAGCCTGTATCAGAGAGTACAGGCCATTCTCGGAACGGAAATCCTAGCAGCATCGTCAGCCACAGCAGACCGGGTGGGGGGGAACGCGGCGAGGACGGGGCGTAACGGTATGAAAGACGCGTCAAAACGTACTGGGATGCCCGAGTTTGTGCTTATACCGGCACCCGTGATAACAACAACCTTGCGCGCCTTGAACAGAGAGTTTGCAATGTCTTGCAGCGAGGACGCAGAATCGGGGACGACATGGGTTGTGGGCATGGTGTCGGTCAGGCTCTTTCTTCTTTCGTCGCTTGGGCGAGGGAGGACCAGCCCAGGCCGATTAACGCGTGGTAAAGGATTCCCGTCAAAGCATCCTGGCTGGGAGACCAGTTCGCGGCAGCGTGCAGGTTTCCGTCAGGGTTGGCAGGAGCTGGCAATGGTGCTGTGGAGGAAGTGGTGAGAATCTTTGGCGCGAATCGGAGCGCGGAAAGAGTTCAATCGCGCCTCGAAACTTGTTGATGGGCAGGGTTTAGGCCTCGCGGAACGCGTCCAAAATGCGATAATTGCGGGGTCGGGATCCTGTAGCGAACGTACGTGACAGGGCGGACTCGATGGGCAGTCGGTCAGTCAGTTCCGTGATGGCGCCCAGCGGCTCCGAATAGGCATTGGAATGCGGAAGACGCTGTCGAGTCCAAGAGAGGAATACCTGCTTGGCCAGCGGTGGATTGTGAGCCGATTAGATTAGACCTTGCCGTTGGCCGTCGAGTGATTTGGGTTTGCGGTGAGGTGTGGAGGATGACACACGCGGCTGGAAAGCTAGGGATGTGGCTGTCTCTAGTGCCTGGCTCGCTCGCCGGCGGTGGGCCGCGGGACACCACTCTTGCTCTCAGTTTTGCTGCACTCAGTTCTGCTGAGTGTGTGAAGAAGCTTGGCGGGTGGACCTGGGGCCGCTGCACTACAGTCAATGGGCACGCGAGGGCCCGCTTCCATGCATGCCACCCAACCGGGTGTGACAGAAAGACAATGGGGCCGAGACCCAGACCGCTCCTAGACAATAGGTAATCCGAATTCACCGTCTTGTTCTCAACTACGGATACCTCTACTACTATCTAAGGTAGATAAGAACGCGTTTAAGCTAGAATGTAGGTTACTTGCTATAGACACGGCATTTTCGAGATGTTTCAAGAACCTAGTCTAGATTTTGAGTTCTAGATGACGAATTCCAGGTAAACCACGAGTTGGGATAAAAAAGTCTCCGGCAGCACCTGTCTGTCAACCCCGCTCAGAGGACGGTGAGATGCCAAGACATGTTTTCTCGTGCCAGCCAGACATGGCAAGAACGTTCACGTGTGCTGTGCTTAAAGCCACGGATGAAATCTTAGCTGCGAAGTTCTTTTTCGAGAAAAAAATTAGCAATAGAAAGCATGGGCTTGGTCGGTGTCTCGGGGAAGGGATAGACAACAGTTGAGTCAATAGTTCACATCCAGAGATTACAAAAACTAGGGGTATATTTCTAGGCACCTATTTACTAGTACATCTAAGTCTCTCCTCCTAACACAACAACCGGTGAATGAAGTCGGGTTCTTCTCGATCCATACATAAACCCAGAATCGTCTCTAGAGGCTGGCGCAATAACCTCCCAGCTCTGCGGCAAAAGAGGCGGTGCTTCTCAGCAAGTGCCATTATCCATCTTCATCCTTATCCACGACCCGGCTCGTCCCCAACCTGCTCCGTACCGGGGCCGGAGCTCGCTCCATAGACACCGCCATCTAGAATAACCGCCTCGTTATTCTCCAAGTCATCTTGCACTCTACGCCACCTCGTGCTCTTGTCCTTCCTCCTTTCAAGTTCTGCTCCCTTGCCCTTGGCGTCGTAGACAGGCCTGACAAGGCCGCTCAAAAGGGGGTTCCGACTAAACGCCCCGCCGTATCCCTTGTTGCCGCTCGTGGCCGCCAGAGGGGCGCCAACTCCGGCTTCGTCCGCTTCGTCCGCTTCGTCCGGGCTGGGGGGACGCTCGATCTTGGTCATCTTCCGGAACACCTTCTTTCCGACGAGATCGATGCTGACCACCTGGCGGCGCTTGTCATACTCGGGCAGCGCATTCCACTCCATCTCGCGCATCAGCTTTTGCTGTTTCTTCAGCGTCAGAGCCCGCTCCTCTGGGCTCGCCCACATGTTGCCCGTAAGCGAGACGTCGAAGTCGGCGGCTTCGTCACGCACGGTCGTGCGCTGCGTATTCTGCGCTTGGTATCCCAGCAGCCTGTCTCGGTGTTCCAGCGCCCGAGACTCGGCCGCGCTCACGTCATCGCCTCCTGTCCGTGGCCTGGTGAACGGCCGTGGTACCACGCTCACGTCTGCTCTCCTGTGCGCGTCCCGGTCCGCTGCCATGCGCTCGCGGCCTCGCTCAGCCCGCAGCTCCTTGATCATGTTTTGCACCTCCGACGAGCTCAGCAGTGGCTCGCCGCAGAATGTGCACGGGCCCAGTCCTTCCTTGATGCAGATGACCTTGCCGCAGTTGAGACAGTTGGGCGTGGCGGCGAGAAGCGGGTGCTGTGTGCCGACGCAGTTGCAGCGGCGCGAGGCAATACCTGCTGCCGTGTTTGAGGCGTGCGAAGGGTTGGTCGTGATTTCGAGGGAGCGGATGGCTAGCTCGAGATCGGACAGGGCGGTCGAGGCGCCGTGCATGGGTACGCCACCCGCGATGGATACCTTGGTGCTGCTGCCATTGATCTTCGAAGACGGGCCTGGGGTCGATGCCCGTGACGTCGGGTTCGACTTCGAGTTGGGCTTGCGTAGGCCGAGGTCTGACACCAACGATCCCGCAGCAGACGGAGGAAGCTTCGGGGGCTGGGGCGGCGGAGTTGCCGACTTTATAAGGGGGGCTCTGCTTGGCCCGCCGGTATTTGCAGATGTGGATGCGTGCGGTTTGCCGGATATGTATTCATCTTGCTGGTTCTTCTTGTGGTATGCCGTCGTCCCCGGCGCAAGTGCAAACGAAGAGACCTGTCGAGGCGCCGGCGTGTGGAGTGGCGGCTTCTTCTTCTTTGGCCCGCGGCGGTTTTTGGGGACTGCGTCAATCTCCGAGCTCTGTCCAGAGCTGGGGGCGGTGGCCGAGGAAGTCGAGGGATCGGCGCGGCGCGCGTTGAAGGAGGAGATGAAGTCGATTACTTGGGGTGAGTCACCCAGGAGGTTGTTGAAATGCTCGACGGCTTCGGCTTTGGAGAGAGTCGATGCATAGTCTAGTATCTGCTTCAGTTCTTCGTCTGGTAGAGGAAGCAGCTGGGATAGTTGTGCATGCGACATAGTGATAGCTTCGCGGCTTGATGGCGCTGCTCTTGTCGACGTGGGAAAGCGGCCGTCCACAGCGGTGGTGGGGTTATTTTCGGGATGCGCCAGGATGGATGCTTGATGGACAAGGCCAACCTTGGAAGGCTTAATTCCGGGCCGACAAATGTATTGGGCGCCCAATTTATCCCTGAGAAGGAAGGTGGCTTGCTCGACAGGGTAGTAGTTACCTAACTAAAAATGAACACCTTAATTGTTCCTTCCGCCACGCTGTGGCCATGCAGTTAGTTCCCCAATTTCTCCAATGCCGTCCATACGCCATGACAAGCCCCGAGATCTAGCGGAGCTGATGATCCGCAGGATCCCTTCACCGCTTGGTCCCGTCCAATTTTGGTCCTCATCCGTCTCCCGTCGTTACCGACTCGCGCCCATCTTGCCGCATGAACCTCGAGACTGATTTCCTCTGCCGCACATTTACCCACACGATGAGCAAATATCCGCAAAATAAAACCACCGCACTGGATCAGACTTGCAGGGGTTCTCCGCAGCCAAGAGCGCCCAGGAGCGGCGCCGACTGGCTCGCTCATAATAGAGCACTCCGCCGCGATGGGCCCTCAGCTGTCGTCAGTGCTTCTCGGCCTGTCTCGAATAAACGACTACCTAACTTATCTATCGGGCGGGTTAGGGATTCGGTAATGACGAAAACCTCTCTCAACGATCTCAGAGCCGCTCTGCGAACCGCCGGGACAAGTCGACACGCAAATTGACAATATCGCCGTCATGAGCTCATCTCAGATCTCGTCCCTGAATTCCCCTCCCGTGACTTGGATGACGGAGAATGGGCAGCTGGAAATCCGGGGCCAAGAGCCCTTCCGCAAGGACATAAGGGCCTCTCGATCCGGGTTGCGCGGCTTGAGGCATGCTTTGGTCCCTGAATTCCTCGTAGCTATCGTCTCCTTGCTCAGTCCCGTCCACTACATTGCCGCACACAACTATGGCTGCAAGGCTTTCTCTCGTTTCTGTCGTGCTGGTAACCTCTGCTCTCGCACAGCAGATGGGGACTAGCACCCCCGAAGTCCACCCACTGCTCCCCAGCTGGGAATGCACCATCAAGGGAGGCTGCGTGGAGAAGAACACGTCGGTAGTGCTAGACTCGGACTACAGGTGGACGCACGCCCCCGACTACTCGAACTGCAAAGCAGACGGCCTGAACACGACGCTCTGTCCCGATGCAAAGACTTGCTCCGCCAACTGCGCCCTCGAGGGCACCAACTACTCGGATGCCGGCATCTCGACCAACGGCAGCGAGCTGACGCTGACCCTTTTCGTCAACAGGACAACGGGCATGAGCTTGGCATCGCCTAGAGTCTACCTGCTCGCGGATGACACAACCTATGACATGTTCTCGCTTCTCGACAAGGAGTTCACGTTCGATGTCGACGTCAGCAAGCTCCCGTGCGGCACCAATGGCGCTCTCTATTTCAGTGAGATGGAGGCGGACGGAGGAAGAAGTGCACTCAACCCTGCTGGTGCTAAATACGGCACCGGATACTGCGATGCTCAGTGCCCAACACCAGCCTTTATCAATGGCGAGGTAAGATGGTATCCGCAGCAGCACAAATATCACGTCCGGCAGGCTGACACGTTGCCCCAGGCGAACGTTGGAAAATATGGCGCCTGCTGCTCCGAGATGGACATCTGGGAAGCCAACAGCCGCGCCACAGCATTCACACCGCACCCGTGCAACGTCACTGGCGTCTACAAGTGCACCGGCGCGCTGTGCGGCAACCCCAACAAGTACGGCAGCGTCTGCGACAAGGACGGGTGCGACTTCAACGCGCACCGCCTCGGGCAGCTGTCCTACTACGAGCCGAACGCGACCGTGGACACGAGCCGCAAGTTCACCGTAGTGACGCAGTTCCTGACGACCAACGGCACCGGCACCGGAGCGCTACGCGAAATCCGCCGCCTGTACGTGCAGGGTGGCAAGGTCATCGAGAACGCGCAGATCCAGGTGCCGGGCGTCGACCGCGGCAACAGCATCACGGACGAGTTCTGCGCCCAGGAGAAGAAGGCCTTTGGCGCCGTCAATGCCTTTGCTGCCCAGGGGGGCCTGACAGGCATGGGGGAGTCGCTCGAGAGGGGCATGGTGCTCGTCTTTAGCGTCTGGAACGACAATGGAAGCTCGATGAAGTGGCTCGACGGCACATGGCCGGCGACGGCGGACCCGGCCAAGGACCCAGGTACTGGCCGCGGGCCGTGCAAGCCCGACGAAGGGACCACGGCGGACATCACGGTCAATGCCCTATTGACCCAGGTCAAGTTCTCCAACGTCAAGAGCGGCGAGATCGGCTCCACTTACAAGGCCAAGTGATCGCAGACCAGGTTCTGATCAATTAGTGTCACGTGAGCTATCTTTGTTTTTGTTATTGCAGCCCTCGCAGAAGGCTCAGTAAACTGCTCTAATCCCAATCTTGGATACCATAATCAATGCTCTAGTTCCTGTCTAGTATCTACAATGGCTCCATTTTACTGCGCTGTGTATGTAACCAACATGCAGTGGACTATCGGTACCGATTGGTGTCGATCAAACGGCACCTTCAGCCGGAACCCCGCCCAACGGTGCGGGAGCAGGCGATAAGCTTGAATGTGGTGATCGAACAAGCTACTCCAAGCCAAGCAATAGGCAGAAAAAAATCGCCGGGAGCGGGCGGCGGGCTGGGGACCGGAATCCAACCGCTATAAAACTTCCGTCCACTCGTTGGTTTTGTGGTCCCGTGGGGGTCGTCGACGGACGGCCTGCGGACGGCGGAGCAGCCGCGCTATTGGCGAGAGATAGCATGTTGGCTGCTCGCCTTTGGACGCATTGACGAAGCGACGTTTGGTACGATGATGCCATGCCCGCACTCAGTTGGTGCAAACGGTCGGCAACATTAAGAAAAGCGCCTCGGGATCTGAGGTCGCCGCCCCTACTATACCAATGCCCTGGGCCCGCGCCCAGTGCGCAACGCATGGATGATTGGAGACTAGGAATTAAATTTTTGCCCCAACAGGAGTAGGAGTTGGTGGTGAGATGGATCTTCGGCGCAGGAGTTACCTTGGCCTCTTTCTATCGGCTGCTGGGCACTGCGCGCGCACATGTTGCACGTTTCACCTGGTGTTTACACGCCATGCGGAAATTCTTTAGCCATGGGGGCCATGTGTTTTAGTTTTGCGGATCGACTCGTGTGCTTCAGATGTCGCTCTCGGCTCAATCTGCCCGCCTAGCGCCTTAATCATCTATCGCTCCATCGCTTTTTTCGTCTCTTGCCTTTTGATCTTCTGAGGAGCGCGCCGACAACTCTAATTATAATCTGTGGAGGCCTGGTCGTGGAGACAACCTCTTTTCCTCCCCCCCCTCCCTCTTAGCCACTCCTTTCGTGATCACGTCTCGCGCGAAATCTCGCTCTTTTTCTTTTCCTTTCGCGCGCGCCTTCCTCTTTTCCTTGCGCGCCTCTTTGCTCTTCAGCAGCCCGACCTGGTGATCAACCGCTGCCCTTACTCTCGTTTTTTTTTTCTCGTTTTCATCATGGGGCTCTCTAGGCGCGGGCTCGCTGTAATTCTCGCGGTTCATGCGTTGGGCATCTTTGGAGGCGTCGTCGCCGTGCCGGCGGCGGCGAAGGTCTCTGCGGCCGCCGCGAACGCGCCCAACCCCAACGCGTGCGCTGCTGTTGCGTCGGCGACGGACTCGCTTCTCGCTGCCAGTCCCCATGGTAATTAGTCTCCCCGGCTCTGGTTTGATTATGTGGTTATATGAATACTTGGTGGCGGCTGCGGCTGCGGCCCCCCCCCCCCCCGTTCAGTGAGACTGAGAACAGCGACTTGAAACTTACATCGCCCCAGCAACGCCCACCGTCTCGGCTTCCCTCGCGATCGAGTGCTTGTCGACGGTCCCCAACAAGCCAGAGCCGGCCGCGAGGCTCGTCAAGAGTCTGAAGGCGTTTGTTCAGTGGCAGAGCTCGCTGGCCTTCCTCAAGAACCCGCCCCCGACGTACGGCTTCGCGCCCGTCGACATCGAGGGCGGCCTCGACAGGATTGCGGCAAAGGCGGCCGCCGGCGGCTATGCCAGCGAGTTTGATTTCCAGCTGGCCATTCTATACTTGATTACCTCGGCTCACGATGGCCACTTCGCCTACCGCCCGGACGCTTTCAGAGCCTTTGGGTTCAGGAACACGTTCTCCAACGACATTGTCTCTGTCTCGGTGGATGGAATCCAGGTTCCTAAACTCTATCATTTTGGTAAATGCCGTCCAGACTATTTTCATTACGAGACAGTTTTCGTGTTGGGTTACTAACGTCGGTTTGAAATAACTAGCCGATCTGAACAGCACCAGCGGACGGAATGGAACCATGCCTCGGTCCATTGTCAAGATCAACGGGGAGGACGCGGCCACGGTCATTGAGCGACGCAATGTCGTCTTCAGCGGCTACCAGGACCCGGACTCGCAGTGGAATGCTGGCATGCAGTCGTATGCGTTCCCCGGCGCCACGACATTCGTTGCCGCCTCGTCGGACCCTTTCGGCAACAACCTGACCATCACGTACGACACTGGCGAGGTGAGAACCGAGGACAACTTTGCCATTGTCCGGCCCGGAGCCAACTTCACGGGTGTCACGAATGGGGAGGACTTTTATAACCGCTTCTGTAATCCGGATCTGGCCCCGGCTGTGACGGCGGCGGCCGCTGCCGCCACCTCGACGTCGACAACAGCAACCCCCAGCTCTGTCACCGTGCAGGCGACTCCCGCGCCCACCATCGAGGGCTACCCGTTCCCCGCCATCCGAGACAAAGGCGCTAACGTCACCTCTGGCTATTTCTTGAACGGGACGGGCTACGACGACGTGGCTGTTCTCGCCGTGTCGGCGTTTTCTCCCAACGGCGACATCTCCGCCGTCGATTATCTTGTCGACTTCCAAGACACCGTCGCCAAGTTCCTCGCCGAGTGCAAGCAGCAGAACAAGAAGAAGCTGGTCATTGATGTGTCTGCCAACGGCGGCGGCTTCGTCGTGGCCGGATACGAGCTTTTTGCCCAGGTCCGTCAGGCTCTCTCTTGTCTTTTCCGAGGGGGGTTATTAGTATCTTGAGAAGGTCCTACTAACACACGCCCCTTGCTAGATCTTCCCCGACGCGCCCTTCTTCCAGGCCGACAACATGCGCCTGACCAAGAGCCTCGCCCTGATGGCCCAGACCTCGGGCCGGTTCCTCGACCAGATTGCCAACTTCAACGGGAGCGGGAGCGAGGTGAACGTGGAGCAGGCCTCGGACGCGGCAGCGCGGACGCAGGCGCAAGCTTTTGCCATTCTGCAGCAGAGCAGCATCATCAGCAACCTGGTGCCGGGCGGCGTGCTGACGCCCGACGGGCGGAACCTGACGTCGGTCGATGAGATCCTGGCGCCCGTCAGCCTCATGGGCGACACCTTCACCGCGTACCAGGACGCGCCGCTAAACATGACGAGCGCCGACTTCAACCTGACGGGCACCGGCACGCGGGCCAACCCGCCGCCGGCCGTGTTCGCGCCCGCCGACGTCGTCATCCTCACCGACGGCACCTGCGGCTCGACGTGCACGCTGTTCTCGTACCTCATGATCCTGCAGGTGGGCATCCAGACGACGTCGATCGGCGGCCGGCCGCAGACGGGGCCGATGCAGTCGGTGGGCGGCGTCGAGGGCGCGCAGATCTTCTACTTCCAGGACATCTCGGCGGCGGCGACCGCCACGCTAATCCTCAGCCCGGCCAACAACGTGACCGACAGCGAGATCGCGCTGCTCGACGAGGGCTACGCGCTGACGCGCGCCTTCAGCCCGACGAGCCCCGGCGCCGTCAACGGCAAGAACGCCTTCATGCGCGGCAACGCCGAGATCCCCATGCAGTTCCTGTACCAGCCCGCCAACTGCCGCATCTTCTACACCCAGGAGATGCTGTACGGCCCTGCCGCCGTCTGGATGCGCACTGTCGATGCTACGTGGAACGACCCCGCCAAGTTCTGCGTTGCCGGCTCCCGCGTCGCGGTGAACATGAGCGTCATGCGCACCGACGGCCGCTTCTCCATCAACGCCGAGCTCGCCAAGGACAGCGCCGCCGCGCCCGGCGCTGCTAACAGCAGCCTGGGCTTTGCCGTGCTGTTCTCGGCGCTGGTCGTGACCCTGCTGTGCATGTGATTTTGGGTCGAGAGCTGGTGGGTTAAGTCGGGGTGGAATGGACGGCAGGGCGGGGAGCGGATGGAGTCTGGAGCAACGGCAAGGAGCGAAGGCTTTCTTTATTTTATTTTGTTGCATGTTCGTTTTTCCCGCCTTTCTTCATTTAACTAGGTACCTAGGTAGGACTGTCTAGGGCCGGGGTATCTAAAGACGCAATGTTAGTCTAGGTCTTTCGTCCATGAATCATATCTTTTCACACACACGTTTGGCTGAAGGCCCGATGCAATTGAAAACGTGGTAGCCATGGTGTCGCCCACTTTTGAGCCACTTTTGAGCCACATTGTCAAGTCACATACCTGCATACCCCTGCATATCCCTTCACTCGTTACTTTCAGCCCTGATCCCTTTTTTCGGGCTCCCGGACTTCCGAATGCCGTCTTTTTTTTCCCTTGCTACGGCTGAGTCCCTTACGTAGTACGACTGAACAGACTGTTGAACCAGGTTTCCTTTGTCTTTTTCTTGGAAGCATAAAAGGCCTTCCTTCCTGTATTATTAGATGGGATTTGGAACAGACAATTCAAGACCCTTCAAGTCATCGTCAACTTTGATCACGGGGCAGACATGGCTACTGGTTTTATGTCCATGTCATGTGATGAAGCTTCCTGCTAGAAGGGAGAGTACTACCATCGTCTTCACCCCTGGCAACAATATGTAGTACGTAATCTGATTCTGGGGCGCTGGCTTTCTCTGGGGGCTTAGGGTAGCGTCTCTAAAAATATTAGTGGAGGAGAGACACCCTTTTTCCGGCCATTCTTAAGGCTCCTGCTCTCGCATCGTAGTGTTATCTTATATTACTCGTTCAGTACTAGATTCCTGTGTCTGCTTCACAAGAATGAAGGAGTCTGTTGTTATCGGGCTATCATCTTCAATAGTTGGGCTCGTAGCAACGTGCCCGGCTACTTTTCCCTTGAATCGACTTTGTAACTGGCGCTTCGCATTGTCAAATACTACGACACGCCGGTATCCCTGAGGTTATACTCGCATCTTCTTGGTTTAATACTGAGTCGTGAATCCTGGTATCATCTGTCCTCAGTGCATGGCGGAGGGATAACTGCGCATGGACAAGGTCATAGTGTCGCGGCTGGCATGCTCTCACTCCTCCCTAGCCACGCTACAGCATACACGCACTGCAACATAGCCTGCCTGTTGTGTCTACCTTATTCTATCTGCAGTCCATGCAACCACGGCACTAGCCTCCAGCCATCAGGCACCCGTGTCAAGGGAAGCGTTATCTGGCGATACGGTAGCATCCGCGTCTATTCTCCCTGATCTGAATGGCCTCGGGGTGGGATTAGGACTACAACCTTAAAACTGTTGTCGATCCCTTCCCTATTTTTTCTGCGGCCCGATCCCCTGAGAATCGTCGTCCCAAAGAGCTAGTACCTACCTTAGGTGGGTGGGGAGTTGTGGTGTGCGCCATGTTACGTTGCCTGCCAAGCTTCCCCCAGTCAATAATACAACGCTGTCTGTCAAGAAACTATGACTAAATCTGTGTTTCTTTTTGCTTTTCTAGCTAACTTTAATTACTATCCATTGTAATTAGTCCTGATTCGTTGCTTATCGGTCGATTACGGTCAGTCATGTGAGTCTACTCTCTGCAACGTCCTAATAGTTGTTTGGGGTGACTCGGTTCAAAACCGTCATTCAATGACGTCAGGCTCTAGATAACCCCCTTGATGACCAACCTAAGGTATACATCTATCACCGTGAGGGCACTCCCGGCAGTTACTGTACGCCCTTTGAATAGCGAGTTTAGCACGAAAGACACCCACAATGGTAGAGTGCAGAGTTCATAGAGGAGTGATTGACTTCATTCTATCCCCGAGAACGAGTTCTCAAGGCCTAGAAAGGCGCTAGTTCTAGTTCTGGTAAAGCACAAGCTAAAGGGTATATAGTACGCCGTTGCACCGTTTCCCACGCAAGATATAATCCCAATTCCGAAACCAAACGCCCTATCCGCCATCCTGAATCACCGTGCTTACCCCACTCCTTCTCTTCCTTGATGTCAGCCAAGACAATGGCGCAGCGCTGTTTTCATAATAGACGCTTCTCTCCCCTAAAGCTACTCCGGCTTGGCAGCAGCGGAACGGTAACTAAAGGGAGCGCCATAATACTTTCGCTTGAGGTAGAAGCGGTAAGCATCGCTAGAACGCGCCAGTTCCCCCATGATTTGAGAATGACTACCGTTTCCCCCGCGCAGCCTATACATATAAAACGTTACTGTTAGAGAATCTCAACACAAAAGAACAAAGTTGGTTGTTTGTTACGTACCGCTCACTCATGTTTCCAAACACCGGCATGACACCAAGCTCGGCTTGCAGGGCGCCCAGCTGGGAAACCATGGCAGCCCCCTTGACTGAGGTGTTGAGGTATTCGACAGCTAGATGATAGATCTGCGTAGCCAGACCGCCCACAGCAGCAACGACCTGGGCTTTCGTGGCCGTGCCATCATCCCGGCCTTTCATGGGGACGATCTGGGCAATGATGGCATCGATCTTAGCAAATATGGCTCTCTTCTTGTCCTCGAAGGCACACATGCAGGTGGGGGTGGTGCATGTCATGCACATAAGGTCGGCTTCCTCATCAGCGACGTCGGGCATGTTACCAAGGCTAGAGTCGGAATCAGGGACCAGGTTGATGTTCATGGCCAAGCTGGCTGCCGCCCCGATCGGAACATCGCCCTCGGTAGAGCCGGGAGGGGCATTACTGAAGGCCGCCGTGGGGGTTTGCAGGCGATCGGCATCTCCCGCGACCACCACCGCGGAGGAAGCAGCAGCGCCCGAGCTTGGTTGAAGATAGTTGATGAATCGCATTGTTATAGTCCTCTGGAAGGATGAGATGCGATCTGTGCGGTGCTACTTTCCAAGTTTGTGAGATTGAGGCTCGCGGTGTGAGGGAAAACGATGCGAATACAGGATGAGGATTTAGGAGATGTGCGAGGAATGAAAAGAACAGTGCAAGGGCTGGGGCTAGACAAACTCTGCTTTTTTCCAAATGTGGGGCTTTAAAAACCGGGATATGACGGAATCAAGGCCTTTATTCAAGTGTGAACTTGTGTGAAGTACGTACCTAGGCAGTCCTAGGGCATGGGCTTTGGCGGGTGCCTTCATTTCAAAGTCGTGGGCGATAATTATCGAAATGTATATACCAGATGATTGCACCAAAATGTAGACGGATACGGAGGCTTAGGCAAAAGAAACGGCCACCCTTCACAGTGGTTGGGATTTGAAATCTTACGGTACTAGTTCGTCTGCTAGGTGCCGCCCTACACTCTCTAGATCCAATCAAGCTCGTTGGACCCCCTGTAACCCTGTAATAGCCCTGAAGACAGTTATCTTCTTGGGACCCTTTCTTATTGCCTGAGCCTTCGTACTATGAAGGAGAATGTGCTACAAACGCTGCCTGTTCACGCCAGAGCTATTAAGCTGGCGGCTCACGGGAGATTATCAAATACATGTACAATAACTAGTAGTAGGGCACTAGACCTCAGGTATTTGAAGGGAGACCGATTATGGGTAAACTAGCGGAGGGGGAATCCGCTATACAGCCCAGAGCCTCTTGGGTGGTTCGATCCGGTTTGCTGTCTTTCGTTTGCAGTCTCAGCGTGGCCAGTTCTTTCCAAACCCAGCACCAAAGAAAAGGAAAAAAACAGGAATTGCCAAAACGAATGATCGGACGTAATTTCCAACATTGAAAAATGTCACGGGTTTTTGCGAGAATGCAAGCCCCCTTCCCTTGTCCCTGGTCCCGGAACGCACTGTGAGACACAAAGATAGACAGAGGGAGACCATCTAGCCGCAGCTCCGTGAATCACCACATCGGCTGCCGCACACTGTGCGTGTCATCTAACCCCACCCCTTCGCCCAAATTATGTCTCACACTGGACGGACACTGAACTGGTGGTGCCGGTTGTCTCCACTCCTCCTCCACTTTCTCTCTCACAGGCTGGCTGGGGGCTCACGCAAAGCCCGCGACGAGATTGGCGTACTTGCTGTTGGGGAAGCTGAGCTGGTTGGGCGACGAGTCGATGCCGCCGAGGCTGCTGAAACTGGTAGCAATCAAACTGCCGCCGTCAGTGCGGTCAGCCGACGCTTCCCAGAACATGCTGCCGCCGAGCCCGCGGCCCTTGAGGTAGGCGACCTTGCGCGCGACCATGTCGGGCGTGTCGTACGACACGAGCTCGCGCGACGAAGCGCTGTAGGAGTACGTGGCGCCCGACGCGTCGTCGTAGAGCACCGTCGCGCCCGCCTGCGGCAGCACCTTGTAGTCGTACACGCCGTTCTCCCACGTGCCGCCACCGACGCCCGTGAAGGACTGGCCGAGCCCGGACGTGCCGGCGAACGAGCGCCCGTAGATGGGCATGCCCAGCACGATCTTGGCGGCCGGCACGCCGGCCGCCAGGTAGTCGGACACGGCGCGGTCGGTGGAGAAGGGGGTTGAGGCCGGGTTGCCGGCGTTGGGGTGCAGGTTGGCCTGGTGGCCGGCGACCGTGTCCCAGCCGCCGGCGTAGTCGTAGGCCATGAGGTTGAACCAGTCGATGGCGCCGGCCATGGCGCTCAGCTGCATGTTGTTGTAGTTGACGGGGCCGGCGGGGCTGGCCACGGTCAGCAAGAAGTGGTAGCCGCCGGCGTACTGGGCCGAGTAGCTGTCGAGGGCGGATCGCACGGCTTGGAGGAGCAGCACGTAGTTGGCCCCCTCCTGCGCGCTGGCCGGGTACTCCCAGTCGATGTCGAGGCCGTCGAAGCCCAGGTCGGCCAGCAGCCGCACCGCCGTTGACGCGAACCGCTGCCGGTTGGCCGCCGTTGAAGCCGCCGACGCGAAGTTGGTCGAGTACGTCCACCCCCCGATGCTCAGCTGCACCTTGAGCTGCCGGTTTGCCTTCTTGAGCAGGAACAGCTGCTTGACGCAGCCGTACACGTTGGTGCCCACGTCATTCCATGCTGCAGATTTATGCCCGTGTTAGGAATGCGGGATATCAAACACACGAGCTAGTTGGAGTGAAATATTCATGTAGAGACTCACAGTCGGTAGGATAGTGTTTGTCTAGGTCGGCGTATGTGTCCGACAGATAGACGGTGCCGTCGGCCTGGAGGTTGGCAAATGAGTAGAGCACGTGGGTGATCTTGGACGCGGGCAGCTGGGCGGGCTGGTAGTCGCGGCCGTAGATACCCCTGGGGAGAGGTTAGCAGCTGTACGTGTTGCGGTTTGGGGTTACGGCGTGGGGGACGAACCAGTTGGTGAAGTATACAATGTTCTTGTAGCCAGAACCCTGGCGCTTGTCGACATCTTGCTGCTCGTGTCTCGATGTGACTTGCGCAAGACTCTTGATTGGACTAGCCGTGGCTAGAAGAGAACAGAAGGATAGGGCAGCCAGTGCCGCCGTCTTGAGGGAAAAGGAGGGCATGATGTATGAATGAATGAGTGGACGGTCCGGGGGCCTAGGAAAGGAGTGACGGGTTGTTGAGCCGGTGTTGTTGAGACATCCTGTCGAGATAGATTGGGGGGTAATATAACATCTTATATGCCGCGAGAGGGCTGCTTCTTGACTTTGATGGTGAGAGCTGGCTTACGGCTTCCATTGGGTGCCGGGAATCCTGGCTTGGTGAAAAGGGGCACCTGGGCAGGCATTGTGCCTGGTGGTGGTGGTGGCGGCGGTGGTGATGGTGGTGGTGATGGTGGTGGTAGTGGTGGTGGTGGCAGTGGGCGGCGGCCTGGGGGTGACAGTGGCACTGGCAAATGCAATGGCAACAGCAATGACAAAGGCGCAAATGTCTAATGTAATTACTGTGTAGGGAGTTAGCAACGTTGCCGCCGCCATATCACGACTGTTTGCGCAACACGCGACTTGGATGGTGAGGCGCGTTGGCGCTAGGGTTGGTGGTGTGGCCCAAAGCGGCACGTCCGAAATAGGCAGTCCTGCGACGCAATTTCTCGCCGCGCGAATGATCAGAGGGCGCGGGGGAAGGGGGGCGTTCATGGCTGACACCAACCTGCGCGGGCCACGTTGCTGACCGTGCACTCTGCAAGCTGGGACAAGGTTGCAACTTGCGCGGGACGTTATCGGGCGACATGGAAATGAGCGATGACTTTGGGGTTCATCATCCAGTGCCTGCATAGGGCAAGTGCCGGATTGCATCAGGAGTTCAACGGGCGCCGCGAGATCAGATCACCAGGCACCGACCGGGCCACACCTCAGGGGCCCTCCCGCTGGCCCCAGGGCGGGCAGCCAGGCAGGCAGGCGGGCAGGCGGGCAGCGGGCAGGCGGGCAGGCAGGCAAGAGGGAGGGCCGGCTGTGTTCGCCCGATACGGAAGGTAGGCCTTGCCAGGCGAGTCGCCATTCGCTGTCGAGCGCAAACTCCCCGAATCGAGGCGCATCGACCCCCTGCGCCGGCTGAGGACGGAGATGCATGCTTGCATGGAACCGTGGATTGAACTCTTGAACAATCTCGGTCAGCCGACGCGCGCTGCGGCCCGATGTCATATCTCGATATTCCATCGGGGAGTGCAAGAACGCCCCCGCCCGAGGTTTCATTCGTCATAACCCGAAAAATATTGCCAAGGGACGATTGAAGATGGCTGCAATAAGTTGGGTGCAATGAGATGGCTGCAATAATTTGCGGCCGTTGATTATTCTTATGCAATCCTGGAAGCGAATCCTTCAACTACCGGGCAGAGCCGCAAAGAGATTCGTATCGAGATGCGGAGCATTAAGGTGGCGGGCTATTATTCCTTGGGTTAGGTTCCCGGCCGAATCCCACGTCCCACAGCATAGGCATGATCGGCATGATGAACGATTCCAGATGAATATTGTTTGCTCGATCCTCACGGAACACGTCTATTTCCCGGGCACAACCCCGTAAGGTTGCCCAATCAGATGCACAAGATCTTTAGAACTTCCAGTTTAGGTAGCACGTAGGCACTTATTCGCGCCTCCGACCCTACTTCCCGTCTCGGGGCGAAAAACGAAGGGTGAACTGCTTGGGAGCAGCCCGCGGAAAGGCGCCCTAGCCCAGGCACCGAAAGAAACCTGGGAGGAAAGGGGTCTGCTGTGCCGCACCCCCTGATTCTTGCGCTCCCACCCCAGCAGCCACTCCACCCACCACTTCAGGGCATTACCTGGTCACATTCGAGACCGCCAGCCAGATTTGCAACGTTACCTACCTGGGTAGGCAGCTAGTAGCTGACAAGTCACAAGTTGGAAGGCAAGGTTGGTCATTATTAGAGAGGCAGACTTATGGCGCTGGGCAATCTGGGCCAAGTGGACTCAAAAATGCCGTTAAAATGCTGGTTCAGGCCAAGCAGGAAGAAAAATTTGGTTGAGCCATTTTTATTAGTACCAGGAAAGAGGACGTGTCAAAATGAAAGCAGAGGCGTGACGGGCCAATCATGTCGCAAGAACGCGGTGTCTCCAAGGAGGCTCTGGCAGATGCCGGTCAGCGCTAATGACCGTGGTAACCAATGGAGTGCTGGAGTTGGCGAACCCTCAAAAAAATTCATGTCGAGCAACCCGTAAATAATCCAACGTCATCTCAGAGAAACGAGCGAGTCGGAACAGAGACCGTTTCGTGCCAGGACCTGGGTCTTTGTGGTCTCTTGTGGCTATCAGTCTCTAGTAAGGTGTAACTGAATTAGTTTCACGTATAAAATATATTTTGCATCAAACTGTGGTCGTTTCATTGCAGCGCGGTGATGGGTATAAGCAATTTCACTTTAGTGATAGATCTAAGTTTGGAAGTCGTTCCTTGGTAGACGAAATCAAAAATAAAATATCGCATGCACAATGTATTCGGACTACCTAGTATCCGCGTCACAACGAGGGACCGCATGTGTGGTGCAATAACGCTCTCCCTTGGCATCCTACCCCAGTGAGTTCTTTTTGTTTTGTGCGACGAATCTGGGCATAGGAAGTTTCCCTTTTCGTACCTCGCTCACGTGAAATTGCTCACCCCGGCTCAGGCCCGGCTCAGAATTTGTTCAGGCTTGCTCAGCCTAAGAACTATTTCCGGAAGGCTGCGCCGCAGCGTGCACAATTACTTCAATTCTAGCCGAGCGAGCCCAGAACTGGTCCCCATAAATGAAAATGGCCATAATGGTCCCGTCTTTCGAAAGCGAATAGTTCAACCTTCACCTAGCCTTTGCCCTCGATATCTCGCACCTACACCTAATTGTATACGCTCTTACTTCTGTTGTTTAATACCTTAAACTTATCACTACCCTCGGCGAAGTGTAAAGATATGGTGCTCGAATCAACGGCGTATAATTCAGCAGATGCTGTTATTGAGCGGTATAGAATTCACGCACGGGGAATCGGCAGTATGACTTCAGACAGGACTAACACCGCTCGCTTATTTCCGAGGTGGGTTTCCATCCCTGATATTGTGTGCTATCCTAAGGCACGTATGGAACGCATACTCATCAGCTCTTTGCAGATCTTGATACTCGCGACGATAGCGATCTATGCTCCAAGTGCTGTTGTCATACAATGTTAGCAGTGGGCATACAGAAACACGGGCGTGGTAGAAACGTACCCACTTTGGCACCCGAAGACAGGGGCCGGATTTCTGGGGATCCGCTCGAAGATGGTATGCGCCCTGTTGACAGGGTGGGGCGTCGGGAAGAGAAACGAAAACCGTCTTCGCACAGTGAGCTGAGCGAAGGAGAGACGTCCTTTAAAGGGTTGCCCTTAGAAAAGAGCTAAAGCGTCCCTGTTGTCCCGGACGCCGGTTAGGTAGCCAAAGCCGCCCAATGTCGTCGACTTTCCCTCCTTGAGCGCGAATGTCAGGATTGCGGGAACTTGACCTTCCTTGATGAAGATGCAAAGGCGCCGAAGCTACCAATGCGATCAAGCGGCTGGTCTGCACAAGTTATCAGTCATCGGCGGGGCTGGGTTCGTAGGCGGTAGTACTCACGAAAGAAAACCGAAGCCTAAGCAATTGGCGCCGAAGCTACCAATGCTACGAAGCAGAAATGGCGCCGCGCCAAGGCAGCAGTCGCCGACCGCACGGGAACGCGATTCAAAGATGTGCCCAAGACACGAAACGGGAGGCTAAGGTATTTGTGCCGAACTATTTGTGCCGAAGGCATAGAAGACACAACGAAAGCTTGGTGCCAGCAAAGGTGGCGATGTGGTGGGCGAGGCGAGGAGGGCGCAGGCAGCTTTCTGAAGGTTGGTGGTTTGGGAGAAAGAATCGGAATTAGAAGTGGGCAGTTTTTTTTTTTTTTTTTTTTTTCAACTTTCAGTTTGCTTCCCTGCGCGAGAAGAATCAAAACAGGCCTGGAAATTTTGGGAAGGCACCCTATTGTTCAAGCACACTGCCTCGTGGCCTATTGTCTTGAGGGCTTTCCTAGAGGAAAAATGCCACTTTTCTAAAACCGGCCCCATAGGTATAGCCGGCATTCGTGGCATTCGCACCCCTTCGAAATGGCCGCTTCTGTAGATATCGTAATCCCTGATGCCATCGCCAATGTTGCCGGCGCCATTACGACTCCGGGTAGAGATTGTGGGTCAATCATGTGCGTCGCCAAGAATTTTTTAACCTTTGCACACCCCACCAAGAAATTTCCTTTCTCTTTTCTTTCCACTCGCCTTTGCTTCATTTCATTTTCCTCTTTTCACTCGCAACACTCAAAGGATTTTTTCTTTCCCCTCGCCCACCCTCTCTCTTCGCGCCCTCTCTCTTCGCGCCCTCTCTTTTCGCGCCCTCTCTCTTCGTTGCATTAGTTGCTTCGGCATCCATCACTCAGAATTCGGTCTCGCTTCGTAAGTGCTGCTGCCCAAGAACCCAGTCCCGCAGACCAGCCGCTTGATCGCATTGGTAGCTTCGGCGCCTTTGCTTCATCAACACCGCAAAACATGGATCCTTCGAAGGACGATTCGCCGAAGCGCAGCCCACCGTCAGCAGCTATCCTGCCACCGTCACCGTCACTGTCGAGAGCGAGAGACAACTATGAGAAAGCACGAAATATTTCTCACGAGCTGCAAAAGGCCTTTGACGACCTCTCTCGCAAGGTGGAGCCCGACCTCGACCCAGATGAAGTGCGACACGAGCCCGATGCGAGATCCGGCCTTGAGCTTGCGTCGTTGGAGGTTGAGCTAGCCCTGAAGAAAAAGGATGAGTTTCAGCTGGAGCGACAGGTCATTATCGAAGAACGAGATGCCAACCTAATCCAACCCCATATAGTAGCGAAGTGACTTCGAGACACCGACCACCGATACCTCTCTGCTGGTGATGATTTGTGGAAACAGAAGCTGAAAAAGGCACGTTTTGACGATCCTGGTGTTGTACGGTTGCTGGATCCACGTGGTAGTAGCATATCTGCGTGTCTCTTGGCACTGTACAAAAAGTGCGATGGCCTTGAAAAGACCAAGAAACGGCCCTCTTCCTTTCGCTCTGACGCGCTGCGGTACTACGATGCCGACATCGGGGGCAAGAAAGTTGGCGGTACGGGCAAAGAAGCATTGTGAAGAAGTCAGAATCCTATAGAGAGCTCTATAAAGAAAGGGGTTCTGGCTTGCAGCCAGAGCCACAAGAAGCAATTCAATGAATCAGTTGCAACCCAATTCAATCCACGTTGATTCGACAGTTTCCAGTGTGCGGTGTTTCCAACATATACGTCGCCAGCAGCTAACATCTGTGGATTTATAGGATTGCCCTTGGTGTATTCGAGGCCAGCAATAGGGTCTGTGTTCTGGGGACTGCTCGTGCTGCCGAGTTTGTGAGTGCCATTGGCTCATGTGCAGAGACTACTATGTTTAGCCTACCCGATGCCTTTATGTGCACGTGATGATGCAGAGGATCATGCGTTTGTTGGGAGCTTGTCAGCATGGCTGGGCCATATGTTGAAGAGGTGGTGTCCTCGTGAAAATGGAGCATGTATTTGCGGATACGCAAGGTCAGGAAGTCGTAAGGCGAAGACCCATCAGCGGCCTGCTCCAACCGATGCCAAGGCCGAGCGGGCCATATGTGTGTCCATCACAATTAGTATGCGCCTTCACCTGTAATTATCTCACAGCCTAACCGAAGTCAGCACTATGAATTTATGCTTTGGAAGGTGGAAAACGCTAGAATCACACAGAGGCAAATAAAGACACGGCCTGTTCGGTGGGAAGTTGGTAAGAGGAGGTAACGGTCATCGCAAGAAAGGTTGAACGGTCATTCCGAATACCGTAGAATCCTCGAGTTTGAGAAAGGAGCATCGCGTTGTCACCAGAGACAACAATGCCGTTGTAGATTGTCGACGTCGCCTGTGATTCGTCAACATACGAAGACCCGTAGTCGGTACTCGAACGGATTGTCAACTTCCGGGATTCGGTGATTGTAGACATGTTTAGGAGCGAGTTTGTTGGGTCAGGAATTCGCCGGTGTGGCGGCTTCCAGGCCGAAGGTGCTCGGTGAGACACCGTCGCTGCAAGGCGGACGGTTCGTGACAAGGGGGTTCACGGGTACTGTTTTGTAATAGAATTTCTGATGTGAAGGACGTATAGTATGGATCGGCAGCATCGACTCAAATGGCTTGAATGCGGTTGGGAGGGCAGAAAGCCAGCAGCACTAGAAGGTAGCGCACTGGAAGATGCCAGTGAGGCCTTGAAGTGTGTGAAGTCGGCAGCTACCGGGTGTTACAATGCCCCGCAATTGCGACAGTGAATATCGATGGCATCAAAACATGGGAATTTTTGAATGCGAAGGTGTGCGGTTGCGGACGATGACGATGTGTCGTGACTGAGACACTTGAGGCTGGGAACCCAGCCGTGCAGGGACCGTGCACGTTCTCCTTTCAGAAATGCTCTGCAAAAGCGGCACTTTTTCAGCTGAAATGGACAAAACCCGACAGGCCCTTCCGGCAGTCCTCGACGCTTGGGGCACTGAGCGCAAGATCCGCGGCCTTGTTGGGTTAATGGCAGTGGGGGCGTCTGCCCAAGTCGGGTTGCCAGGGCTGCCGATCACACACTAACAGGTTGGCGATGCGGCCGATTTGGCGGCCATCAGTAACCCTAGAGATGGGATGTGCAGTACGGAGTACGTACCTCCGACCATCGCGAATACCTGGGGTCCTCCAAGCCGACCACCCGACCTTGTTCCCGTCTGGCGAAGTCTCCAGAAACCGATGGAGGGGAAGATCATGGGTGGTATGTGTGCACTGTGAAGTGGTCGCCGTCAAAACCTGGACCTTGGATCGTGACTCGTCTCATCACCGCCAGCCCCCAAAAGCCCAGGATTGGATTGCATTACCCGTTGGAGACGATTTTTGTATGGGGAATCCCGACAACACCTAGCTCCATCTGGAAGGTCATTTTGGCCGTCTGCCCTGCTTGAGCCTGGCTGGGCAGGAACTCTCTGCTTGAGTTTGTTTTAAGGTTGAGACCCCTGTTCGTAACGCATCCGGGGACAAGGAGGAAGGTGCGGTGGGTATCCCGCTTCCAAGGTTGCTCGGGCTGCACCTCAGAATCAGATATCAACCCGTCAAGCCCCTGCCGTCTTGCAAGCGTGCCTTCCAGGTTACCTGCCGGCGTTGGGTTGTTCATGCTTTATGCTTTGCTATCCCGCGTCCAATCCAATCTCCCAACCTTTCAAGATGAAAACGACACGCATACATTCTTCCTCATCCCAGACTTGTAGGCAGAGGCCAGGGTTTGCGTGCGAGGAGTGCCGAAAAAGAAAAGTAGGCTGTAAGATACACTGACTTCCACTTTGTGCATTAAATTCGCCCCTCTGACAGCCATGCGCCTAGGCGACAGGAAACAGCCACAATGTGGCAAATGCATTGATGCTGGCGTTAAATGTGTCGTCGACTCAAACCGCCCGGCGCGGGGACCGAAGAAAGGAAGCCTGAAGACACTGCAGAATGGGGTTGGTGAGTTGCTTCCTAAGTCGAATGCGAATGCGCACAGTTTCAGCGAGTCCGGCTTTTCCCCGTATATTGCAAAGGCCCTGCTGACAGTCGACGATTAGTGGCTTTGGAGCGTCGCTTGAGCCTCGAGACAGTCGAGCATCCCCTATTCGGCGATCCAGATACCCCGGTTACAGACGAGACGTTATCCGCTTCTACCAGTCCCCCGCCGGAAGGCGCTAATTCCCAATTTCCATCCCCATGCGAACAGATGATGTTCTGGGACAACGAGCTCCGGTTGCAAATTCCTCCCTCGACTCTAGGGTTGGCTTCGCTGCCTCTTTTTCCATGCCAATTTCCTCCTTCACCTCCGTTGCCGCCGGAGTGCAGGCTGATAGATGAGTTGATGGCGGCAGACCTGTTCGTATTCAGTTTCTTTGTGGTCTTTCATACCATATCTCAGACCATGGCTAACCGCCGCCGCCAGTGACCAGCTGTACTTCGATCGAGTGCACCCAAACGTACCCATCTTCAACAAGTCGCGGTACTTCTCCTGGTCACAACAACTTGCGATCTCAACGGCCCTAACTACGTGGTTTTTCTCTAGTACGCTATGTGGACCTTGGCAATGGCGCATTCGTCACAGTTTGAGAGCTCCCGAGATCAGCTTTACGGGGAAAAGAGGCGGATGCTAGGAGGCCTCGACTTTTCCCAAAACGACATGGGCGTCGTACACATTGAGCATGTTCAGGCATGGCTCCTTATCGCGCTCTATGAGTTTGCACGCACAAACTACCGCCGCGGCTGGGTCAGTGCTGGCCGCGCTTTCCGGCTGGTCCAGCTCACAAGGCTGCATGAGGTGGACAGTCCGGATAACATGATTGAAGGGGAGGACCCTGTGCTGGCAGAAGAGAAGAGGAGGACTTTTTGGGTGGCTTACTGCCTTGATAGATTTATTGGTATTAGGAGGCGATGGCAGCTGACGCTGGTCGAGGACGTTGTAAGTTCTCATGTTCGTTCTTCAACTCCGCAGGCCTCTTGCCCCACACCAACCCATGTCACGCATTCCTGCCAGGTTGATCCTCATTTGCCTAACGTTTGCAGATTTTCGCACGCTTTTCTTCGCCAGAACTTTCATTCCAAGCCGGCCATCCAACCCAAACGTGCTTTTTGTCACAGGCGATGGGTGCCCGGAGTCAAAGCACCCTGTCGCCGCTCGCCGAGTGCTCGATCCTGGTCACAATTTGCGAGAATGCCCTGTCACACCACGAACAGTCCATGATCGAAAGCACATTTGGCAGTATGCCCTCAGATGCCCAGTTCTGGCTTCGTCACGACTGGCTGAGCTGCATGCTCAGCAAGTCTCTGGAGTCTCTGGATGTGAACTATCCAGGAATGGCCGGGGTCACGGACCCTCTATTGCTTTTTACGTCGATGATGGCTCACTCGGTTGTCATATATCTTTGTCAGATCATGGAGGCCTCGGGAATGCAAAGCCACTACAGCCCCACTGTTGATGAGTTCCAGAACCGTGCCATGATTGCTGCACGGGAGATCGCGCGGTTCGCAAGAGCACACGAGCACATCGGATATTTTAAGGTGAACCATGTCTCAGCCCTAAACCCTCGTGCGACAAGTCTTTGGCCACGTTGAGGCTGACAAACTTGTGTTGATCAAGGCTCACATATTTCTCCCCGTGGTCGTGTTTCTCGGCGCGTCACGGCTCATCTCACACCGGACCACGTGGACCGACGGATCGACGGCATTCGGAGTCACTCCCGACTCTCAGAGACATCAGTATGAGATAGAGAGCTGCGTAGAAGCGGAGTTGCAGAGCTGCAAGAATACTCTGCAGAAGTTGCAGAGTTCTAATAATCTGGCCTGGGGCCATCTCTACGTTCTGGAGAGTCAACACTTCACATCTGACTATGTACAAGTATGTATCTAATTAACTTTAGTTTGCGAGTTTGGATTTTTTTTCGACAAATTGATACCACCATAAGTCTCACAGCTCATTCAAACACGGGAAGGGCACTTTAATGACGACCAACAGGTTGCTCCGAGCCTGAGCCGCCCCCTTCCATGCCTCTCGCCTCTCCGGCGACGAACAATTTCGTCCTGGAGTATCCACCTGCCTAATCATGCCCGGTCTTGTTCCGCAGTGGGTCCGCTGCAGAGTGCGCACGAGTGGCATACGCAGACGCGGATTTGAGATCATCAAGGTGTCCGTCACTGCCGGGGGCTCGCCCAGGCTCTTCGTCAGGTGGTCAGTGCTTAATATTGCCTGGACGCGCCGATCACGATCAAGATCTGGTATGATCTGCACAAGGATTCGAGCAGCCTGGCTATGCGCCCCTCGTCGACACCAATCAGCGGCACTGGCATACAGACTCTCTCTCTTGGCCTCAACCCCGTGGGCCCAGCCCAGACCGGCCCATTCCTTTGAGCGGCCAAGTCAGCAACAAGCAGAGGGGTCATGATGAGCGGTTTTTGGCTCATCGTACCATCTGAGTCTGACAAATACACTCCCAAGTCCTCCCGGAAAGATAGAATGATGGATCGACGGACGGGTAACTGCATTAAGATTAAGAATTGCAATAATGTGGGTGGGTGTACTCCATACGCACGAAGACCAAAGATGATGGACAAAACAGACGCAAAGAAAGCAATTAGCTCGCTCGCTCAGGACAAGACATGACCTCCTCCCATGATAATTACCCAACCTAGACAAGCTTCGGTCTCAGAGAGTGCAGTGATTAGACCTAATTAGGAGATACAAAAAAATAACAGGGGGAGAATGCGAGTGTTTGGGCCCCTGGAGAGGGAGGGGCATATCATGTGGCCCGGGATGAGGACGCGGGCGCCGGGCTGGACCGTCTTGTCTCAACACACACACACACACACACTGTTCTAACCCGGGTGGGTGCCGGGTAATCAACAACGAGTCGAGGCAGTGACACAAGTAGTCGGTCAGCGCGGCTGCGCGAGCGACAGGTCGAGGTAGCAGCTCCTGGCGGCGGCGGCGGCGGCCAGCGCGGCGAGCGACGATCCCTGCATGATGTCGAAGATGGACAGGTCGGCGTCGGCCTTGCGCGCGAGCATGTTGCGCAGCTCGACGGCTACGAGCGAGTCGACGCTTAAGTCGGCCGGAGACTGCGCCGCGCCGACCTCGTCTGCCTCTACCATGAAGATGTCGACCAGCTTTTGAGTAATCCCGCCGAGCACGGCGCTCGCCGCCTCGTCCAGCGAAGCCGCTTACGCTATGCTCGCGCCGAGATTGCCTGCTCCTGCAGTTGGTTTCTTCCCGGTGCTGCTGCCCTGTGCAGGTTCTAGCTGCCATGCAGTTTTGGGGCGAGCGCCGCTTGGTGTTCGGCAAGTGTCATGCGCTCGAGCACCGAGTCCTGCATTCACGAACGGGTGTTAGTCCTGCCTATCTATGTTTGCCTAGGCTTGCTTGCTTTAGAATACGCACTCGTAGCTCCATGTCGGCGTGGATGACTCCTCTGATGGGCGGTACACCGGCCTTGGTACAAGAATCAAGCGCCTGTGTCAGTTCGCTCGTGTCTGAAATGTTGCAGCTGACGCCCGCGACTCTCACGCTGTGGCCAGCGTCGACCAGCTCGGCGCGGAGCTGCTCCGCCTTTTACGTGTTTCCGGCTGTCCTCGAGATAACGACCAGGGTCTTGGCCCCGTGCTCGGCGAGCCACCAGCAGACAGAGCGGCTGATGCCGCCAAACCCGCCGACGACCAGGTAAGCGGCGTCGGGGGCCAGCTTTGTAGACGGGGCTTGAGGCAGGACCTTGCAAGGTATTAGAATCACACTAGGTACTTGGTATCCCAGGATCTGCCGCCCGCCCTTATCCCCGAGAGCATGGCGCGACATGCCCTCGATGGCCATGGCCATGTATCCTGCGGCAGGGGAGACAATGTTGCCCTGCACGACGTGGTCTGCTAGCCAGGGGATGTCACTGACTCTGACCATGTGCCGCCACGATGGTGCGTCCAGGTTGACCCCCGGCACCAGCGACCCGAGGAGGTCGTGTGGTGCCTCGGCGCGGTTTCGCAGAGCCTTGTTGACTCGCGGCTCGATCCGGTGTCTTGTCTGGTGGTTCCAGGGGTAGTGCGGGAGGTCGTGCAGCACCTTCAGGCCGTGGGTGCTGTGTGGGAAGTTGACTGCGGCGAGGTTCGCCGCGCAGCCCTTCTGGATGAGATTCCTAACTAGTACGTGTATCGTGTCGACGGCGTTCCTCTTCCTGACCAAGCAGCTGGCGTAGGGGATGCTGGCCCCTCTGAACTGGGGCAGGCTCATGATGTCCTGGACCGGCCCCGACAGAGCTGCGTGGGGGCCCACCTCGACGACCATATCGACCTGGAGTTCGTCGCTGCACCCGTCGAAGCACATATTGCGGAACGCGTCAACAAACCGCACCGGCCCCGTCAGACTGCGCACCCAGTGGTCGGGGTTGCTGCAATCTCGCCGCTCGAGTGGCTCGTGACGGCCATCGGCACGACCCCCCAGGCCTGCAGCAGGCGCGTCAGGGCGATCTATACTGCGACGCACACGGGCGTGCTGTAGTCGAGCTCGTTTACTCTGGAAGTCTTTTCGTCGCGGTTGAGCTCCTCTGCGGGTTATCGTCTGTTAGCACCAGTCACGCCTGCAGCCCGGTTATGGGCTTTTACCTATCATATTCCCATTTGGCACCGAGTTTCTTCAGATGCGCATCGCAGTCCAGCAGCGCGGCCTTGAACGCCGGGTACGGTTCGATGAGCTCGCGGCCCACGGCCCACCACTAGGCTCCCTAGCCCGTGTAGACAAAGCCCAGGTGAGGGGCTGATCCTGCTTTAGCTAGCTTAGTTTTAGTGCACGATATCGCCTCGGCCAGAGTGTCGACGCCGTCGCTTAATGTAGACACCCACGGGAGCAGGGAACGGCGCTGGCCGAGGGTGTAGGCGAGGTTGTCAAGGAATCCGGCTTGGGCCGTCGTCTCGGCTGTCTGGAGATAGTCTCTCAGGTTGGCGGCCATTTTCAGGGCAGCCTTTCACCCCTGGCGCTGAGAATGAAGACCCGCGGACGGGTGCCGTATCGACATCACCGACACCGTTGACATGGTGGCCGTTGGTATAGCCGTTGGTGTGGCCATTGGCATGCCCGTTGGTGTGGCCGTTTACGTGGCCGTTGCTCTCTAAGCCTGGCTCATTACGCGAATTCTGGAGGGAACTCGAGATAAATGAGCCGTAATCCTCCATAATGACGTGAGCGTTCGAGCCTTGATGGACACTCGCCGAACGCCGTCCTTCCCGGCCCATGGCTCGAGGGCGGTGGGAACCTACCAGACACCAACAAGTCAGCTCGTCATCTGCAAAAGGAAGCAGAAAATGCCAGCTGGAGTTTAGGGACAACAAACCTCGAGGTTCCATTCATCCAGGTGCAGCTCCTCGTTCGGCTTCTCAAAGTTGACGCTGGGAGGGATCTGCCTCCTCTCCAACGCAAGCACGACTTTGATGATTGCTGCGACACCACTCACTGTTCCAGTGTGGCCGATATTTGTCTTGATAGAGCCAATCCTCAGTGGCTCATCAGCTGGCCTCCGGTCCTTGAAGGCTGAGGCAATCGCGCCGACCTCGATGGGATCTCCTGTGGGCGTGCCCGTGCCGTGAACCTCAAAGTAGGTTGTGTGCGACGGGCCTGGCCCTGCCCTGCTATAGCACGCGCGAATCAGTGCCTCCTGGGCCTCTGCACTGGGTGTCGTGATGGTCTCTGTCCTGCCGTCTTGGTTACGCTAGTCTCGTGGATGACGGCCCGAATGGGGTTGCCGTCGCCGAGGGCGTCGTCCGGCCTCTTCAAGACGAGTGTGGCCGATCCCTCTCCTCGGCCGTAGCCATTCGCGCGGCTGTCAAAGGCATATATGATTTGCCGTCTCTGGATATGAGTCTGCGGGGGGCTGTCAGCTTTACATCTTACAACATTATAAGCAGGACGGACGTACGTCATGGATGACATGGCAAGAAACATGTCGGGATTCAGGATCGAGTTTGCTCCCCCGACAATGGACATGTCGGACTCTCCTGTGCGGAGACTCTAGCAGCCCTGATGCAGCGCCGTGAGGGTGGTGGAGCAGCCCGTGTCGAGGGACATACCCGGCCCGCGCAGGTCGTAAAAGTGCGACAGCCGGTTGGAGGCCATGGCTGCGTCAGTGCTCATGAGTAGGAACCGGGGTAGCGACTCGGAGTCCTTGACGATGCTCTCGTGGTAGTCCCTAAAGAACCTGGTGCTTGTTACTCACTGCCGCCGTCTCAGCTGAGAGGTTGAAGAACTGGGCGTCGAACAAACCGACATCTCCTGAAAGAAAATGACCACCAACTACGTTGGTCTAGTAACGGCAGTTGGTCCCATGTGAGCCTGCAAAATCCCACCCCCTCTCGTGTCTTGATGATTTTGGGAATATGACTTACAGCACTCAGCTTTTCTGAATTGGGGTGGTAGACCCCTTCAATATTGAACCTAGACTTTGGTATTTCTGACCAGGCACTCCGGCCCTCGGCAAGAAGCTGCCACAACTTGTTTGGGCCGTCAACGTCGCCGGCAAACCGGCAGCTCATGCCCACGATGGCAATCGGGACCTTGGACTCCATTGCGAGCTGGTTGGTTACGAGCCGGTTTTACTCATGCCATCTTCTTGTCCGACATTAAAAAGCAAGGAGCCGAGGGGTATTATCGCAACCAAAAGAACCGCGAGTATGATATCAACGTAGAAAAAGACACTCTATTCTGACAAGTTAAAACTGACCGAGGAAAAACTTGATAAATAATTTTTCAGGTCATGTATGAGAATCATTATCAGCTTCCGCAACTCGTCCATGTCCCGCCATCATTAGTTTCCCGTCTGACACATTCCGTCTGACACATTCCGTCTGACACATTCCCTTTGACCGACGGCCCTAGATACTCCGGCGCCGACAACAGCAAACTCCGACGCTGATCGGGCGTTTCTTGGCTCCCGAAGCGAGAGCCGAGAAACTCTAGCACCTCCACAAAACTCAGCAGCCACCCGTCCTACTCTGGCCCTCACGCTAGCTGTGGCTTGATCCTCGAACAAGGAGGCCCGCATTGTTCATTGCCCTGGTCCTGAACGAGCGGTCTTGGCCATGGCCTTCAGGTCTGGCGCGGAAGGTGGGTAGAGAGAGCTGTGAGAGGTCTTCTAACTAAAAGGGTCTAAGGCGTACCCCATGGGGTAGCCCTTTGGGCGTTTGCATTCCGAACGACGGCAGTCGGCTGTCCCCACCCCATCGACGATCGTCGCTAATCTCGAGTGGCTGCCAGTGAGGGGTAGTAGGCATAGTCCATCGTGACCATCGATATATCTACCAAGGTCCAGAAGGGCTGGGGCGCACGGCGCCTTGGAAGACCCCAGCGTCCTGGGGCGCCAATGGCTAGGTCGAAGACTCGAAAGTGGGTATGGACAGACAGGCTCTAGGAAGCTGGGGTGCGGTGTCGTATCCGCGAAGTCCGAAACGGTGTCTAAGAGAAGTCCGATAAACTCTCCGCGGCCGCTGTTCGGTGCTGGATCTGCTGACCTGGGTGGTCTCTCGACTCTCGGCGGTTCTGGTTGGCACTCGCAGTTAGCACTTGGATGTTTCTCTGACCGTCCTACTTGGCAGGCAACTAGAAGAGAGCTGTTGGCCTCAGCGAGGCGCAAAGCCGCTGTCTAGCACTAAGACAGAGCTTAACCAGCAAAAGATCAGCAAGTTGACAGATCAAGTAGGCCCGCCGATCGCGCGAGTGGGGGTGATCTGCGGGCGGTAGGGCCCCCGGCTCGTTGGGGATGACAAATCTGCGCTCGTCCCTGCGGGTGACCAATGCGGCTGCGGATTCGGGGATTGGCGGATTGGAGCTCGATTGCCGAATCAAGCGCTGGAGATCTTCGCAGCCTTCGATTCCGGCGACCCGATCACTAGAACGGTTGAGAGCCCAAACGAGAACGAAGCAAGACGGAGTGGCGGTGTGACTGGTTGGACCGAGTACAGTACATACCGCGGCGCTGTCGGCACTGACACTCTGCGCTGCGCTTTGCAGATTGTCTCGTCTCGTCTCGTCTTGTTCTAGATTCCCGGTTCCCGATTGCTCAACGCGCTGCCATTTGAATCTTGGGCCTCATGCCGGTCTACTTGGCTGGGTACCTAAGAGCTTTCCGGGGACCTTTCTCGATGGGATCCGCCGGTGGTGGGGCATTGATCGTCGGAGGAACATAAGGCAACTAAGGTGGTGCGAGCTTGGCGAAAAGAAAAGTAAAAACAAGAGAAAGAGGAAGCGGCCGCCGAGGTAGGTACGTACCTCCCTCGAGTGAGAGTCCTCGGCTGCCCCAGCCTCCAGGCTGGAGTCCCGGGTCGGAGAAAGTCGGGGCACTCTCTAAAACAGCGCTGGCACCAATCCAAATAAATGCCAAATCAATTTGACCTTCAAAAAACCGTATTTGCAGGCAAATAAGCCATTTTGGAGGTCAAATTCAGGCCAAATTGAGGGTCAGGTTAATTGGCATATTTGTAAATATTTCCCATTGGTTGAGCCATTTTCGGGCCCAATTTTCCAGGGTTTCCTGGCACCAGGGCAGTCCCTGACCAAGGCCAACCCCGCATTTTCTAGTCCCGGGAAAATCCTCGAGTGCCCTGAATTCGAGTGCCGCCGTGCCGCTGCAATGCAACTATCGCCAACCGCTGTAAACAAACTGCCGAATCCTACCTTCCTGCAGCCATTTCCCTGGCTCCCGAGTCCTCGACAACATGCCTGCCTCCACCGTTGATGTCACGACCCTCTCGACAAGCCTCCCTACCGCCGAAAATCGTCCTTGGGCGAGTAAATGAGGATTCTGAAGGTCAAGGGCTTTTTTCCGTGCCATTCGGGGCTCGATTTCCTTGTTTTTTGGTGGAGGGCAAATTCCGTCAATTAAGTCAGATAAAACCCACCCAATCAGAGAGAGCCTCTTACACAGATAAATACACCATTTTGGGCCTCAAATACAGTCAAATAAGGCTTCATATTTGGCCTGATGAATTGATGCCAGCGCTGCTCTAAAAATGGGACGCGTCACTGAGATAATGGCACTGTGCTGCCATGTCTCGTCTGCGAGCCTGACAAATACGTACACTCGCAGCGTCAGGCAGTCTGAGCAAAGCAAATATCAAGTCGGTTGAGGCAAGACACCCGAAAACGATGTACGTCGGCCTAGCCTGGGCCAATGGCGTCTCGCTTTGGCTTTACGCTAACCCCGAGAAGGGTTCGAGCCAACCTTTTGTCTCCAGGAGACCGGTTAGACGCTCGGGCTTTATGTGGTGGGGGTTTGGCCTATGCATAGGCAGGTACGGGATTAGTATCACCCTGAGAGTTGTCATGTTCATTTTGTGCAAGTCTAATTGGTGTCGCTTCGCTATCGCAAATATAGTCGTCCAATGCGCGCATCGGCAGCGACCTCTCAGCTGGACTCGTCGCCGTCTTCGTCGGCGGCGGCACGGGAGTCATCGGCGAGACCACCATGAAGTCGTTTGCTAAGCACGCCGTCAGCCCGCGCATCTACTTGATCGGCTGGTCCAAGGAGGCGGCGACGTGGATCTAGTCCGACCTCGAGGCCGTCAACCCCGTTGGCGAGTACCACTTCACCGCCGCCGACGTGTCGCTGCTCCGCTCGCCGACGACGCCTGCCGGGAGATCAAGGCTAAGGAGCGCGCCGTCAACCTCGTCCACCTCTCTTCACCTCGGGTATAGTGGCGGCTGGAAAAGGCAGGTTTTCTACACATGATACGGATCCGTACACTTCCTCCAAAACAGAGGCCAGAACCCGCTAACCATATCCCCTTTTCCCAACACAGCAGACATGACAGAAGGGCTGCGCTACCAGTCGGCCGTGACGTACTACTCGCGCTGGCCCTCGAGGCGCCCGACGTGTCGTTTGTGCGCGCCTTCCCCCAGGTCCGTCAGGTCCAAGTCTGGTGTCTAGCGGGGGCGGCGCGTGTCTTCTAGCAGTGGCAATAATAGCAAAGCGATGCCTGGCGCCATCTACGGCGCCAGGCACAGCCTGTTCGCCGCGCCACCTGTTTGTGGCGACCAGCGCCCGCTTCCCCGCCCGCTACTACTACCACTACCACTACAAGTCGTCGTCGCCGTCGTTGTTGCTGTCGTCGTTATTGCTGTCGTCGTTATTGCTGTCGTCGTTATTGCTGTCGTCGTTATTGCTGTCGTCATCGTTGCCTGTACTAGGCAGCGGCGACGCCTCTCCGGGGCCGGTGAATACCTACAACAACAACACCACCGTCGGCGTCCCCTGCCCGCGCGGCGTGCCCATCACTCGCGGGGCCGACGCCCACGGCGGCACTGGCGTGTACTCGGTCGGCTACGACGCCGAGACGGCCCCGCACAAGGTCGACGAGCCGCTCCAGGGCCTGCGCGACAGGGACGTCGTGCGCAAGCTGTGGCTGCACACCGTGGAGGAGTTTGTCCGCGCCACCGGGTCGGCTTTTGTATGGCTACCTGGTTAGCTGCTGGCTGGCTGGGGGTTCTGTATATCATCATCTATTTCTGTTGTTGTCGTCTCTTGTGGTTGGGCTTGATGGCCTGTGTCTTTTCTTTTCCCATGCCAGCCGTCAATACCTCTTCGCTCCATCTCACATAGGCACGCATAGGTAGATGTGGATGTAGCAGGCTGGAGCAGGATTGCTTTCATATTCTGTGGTTAGCGAGGTGCGACTAGGGGGAGCGAACGGGTTGTCCGTGCTTGTGTCGTCCGACCTCACGAGGCTCTGCCTCCGCCGGCTGCTTCCCGATATGCGGGGGCGCGAGGTGGCAACAGGGCATATGTACCGTTTTAGAGGGCTTGATTGTTTGCCACAGCGGGAAGCTGTGGGAGGGAAAGAGGTCAATGGCAGCTGGCAGCCCGAGGAATCTTGTCAACTAGTATAGATATATGACGCCTTTTGTGCCATCGACACTCGATGGCTGCTGCCAATCACTACTTCAGACGAGGCCCTTAGGTGGATTGGCTCAACCTTTTCGTCACACTGCTCGGGCTATGTGATTCCATCAGGTCATTGTTCTCTTTCGTCTCGAGCAATGAGGGAAAAGAGCAGACTAGGTGTCTATGGCACGTAATGGGCGCGCCGTCTCCTCGGCAGCCATCGGTACTGGGACGGCCCCATCTCTCACCTCCCGGGTACTCACCCCAACTACGTCAAGACACCCAGAAAGGTCCTCACGCCTCACGTGTGCCTTCTTCCTTGCTAGCCTAGTCCCTTCCTCGCCCCGCCACTTGCCCTCACCGCTGACTTCTTCATTCCTTTTTCCGACACACACCTCGTCCATTACCATTTACCATCACCACCGCTCGTTTCATCCTCCTTGGTCCAACACTGTGTTTGACATGGCAGCCGGTGACGACTTGTCACGTTCCGAAGCTATAGCTATGCATCGCGAGGCCCGTCGTCTGCAGTCGACGGAAACGCTGTTCCAGGGCGAGCTGGCCAGCGCCGCCGTCGACCGCACTGGCGAGCGCAAGGCCGTGAGTCCCCTTAACGCCAATCCTTTTTTAATTGGCTTCCATTCTCAAGAAGAAGAAAAGAATCAAATATCTGACGAGTATTCTCCGTCGGCAGGACCGCAGGCTCGTGCGCCGCCTCGACCGCAGGCTCCTGCCCTGGCTGTTCGTCATGTACATGCTGGCGTTCCTCGACCGCACCAACATCGGCAACGCCAAGATCGCCAACCTGTCCAACGATCTCCCCATGACAGACATGCAGTACACGCTGACCCTGATGGGCTTCTTCGTCACCTACGCCCTCTTCGAGCCCTTCGCCAACGTGCTGCTCAAGAAGCTGCGCCCGTCCATCTTTCTCCCGTTCACCATGTGAGTTGAGTCGCTTTTTTTTCCTTCTCCATCTCTCTTCTTACTGTCTCTTCTTCTTACTGTCTGTTGATGTGGTTGCGTGACAGGCTCATGTCTGGCGTCTTCATGATCCTGATGGCGTCTGTGCCCGTCTGGCACGGCCTGCTGGCCATGCGCATGTTCCTCGGAATAGCCGAGGCCGGCCTGTACCCGGGCATCAACTACTACATGTCGTGCTGGTACAAGCGAGACGAGTTTGCCCTGCGCGCCGTAAGTTGTTTACTCTCCGTTTCCTGTCTCCAACCTCTTTTTACTGAGTGAGATGATCAGGCCATTTTCTTCTCGGCGGCTTCTCTTTCTGGAGCGTTCGGCGGCTTCATGGCAGCAGCCATCCAGAAGCTGGACGGAGTCGGCAATCTGGCGGGCGGGCGCTGGGTGTTTCTGATCGAAGGCTTCTTGACCATATTCGCGGCGGTACTCGGGTTCTGGCTGGTGCCTGATCTCCCGCACGACGCAAGGTTCCTTTCCCCGGACGACCGCGTCCGCCTCATGCGCCGGCTCCGGGCCGACGACCAGGGCAGCGCGTCGACCAGGGGCGAGCAGATGAACAAGGCCCTCGCCAAGGCGGCCATCTGCGACTGGAAGACATGGCTCGCCATGCTTGTCTACATGGGTAACGGGGTCTCGCTCTACTCGCTCGCTCTGTCGTTGCCCACCATGATCAAGAACATGGAATGCGTCGACAGCAAGTCCATCTCGACCATCCAGATGATGACGGTCCCGCCCTACCTGGTGGGCGCCGTCGTCACGGTCGCCATCGGCTATCTCAGCGACCGCTACAAGAAGCGCAGCATCTTCAACCTGGCTCTCGCCCCCATCGCCATGGTCGGCTTCTTAATGTGTCTCTGCTCAAGCCTGGGGCCGGTGCAATACGGTGGCTTCATCCTCGCCGTCTCGGGTACCTACGCGTCGGTCCCCATCACCATTGCCTGGGTGGCCAACAACGTCGAGGGCCTGTACAAGCGCGCCGTCGTCATGGGAATCGTCATTGGCTGGGGAAACCTGCACGGCATGATGGCCAGTGCCTTGTGGCACGACTCACCCGGATTCGTGATGAGCTACATCGTCGTCGTCGTCTACGTCAGCGTCTGCATGTTGATCGGCACCATCCTGTTCAACTGGTACCTGCGGAGAGAGAACGCCATGCGGAGAGACGGCAAGCGTGACCACTTGGTCATCGGCCGCTCGCCAGACGAGATCACCAGCCTGGGAGACAAGCGCCCCGACTTCCTCTACACCACATGACCGTGTTTTCTGCCGCGTTTGCGGTACTGTGGAGGACCTTGGAGGCAGGCTATTTGGGATGATAATCAGATGCCGCGACGAGGATGGATGGTTCTCTTGCTTTGTAATCTATAATTACCCAGGTCCTGATTTGGTATTCTGGCAGTGGCGGTGGTAGCTACAGGCAGGGACTAGGTTATAGCTAGGTAGAGTATCTCGGAGCATCTCGGTCAAGGCACCTATGCAGGGCCACAAAATCTGTGAAAACAGAGGCTTGTTAGCTATGCATATCGAGGTTTTCCTACACATGTGAACACGGGTGTTTCTCAAGTCTGCGGTGCACATACCCAGGGCCGCCAGACCTGTGAAAACAGATGTTTGCTGGCTCTCCATACACTGAGTTTTTCCCACCATGTGAACAACAGCATGTGAACACAAGCTTGCAGTGCACGTCTAGAAAGGGGTGGTTTGGGGGCTAATACTTTTGGAGCAGCTAAGGTGGTGACAACTCATCACTGCCACAGCCACGTGAAACAAAGCGAATTGGTGACATGTTCTGGATCAAATCCTTTGTAAGATGTCAAATGGTGTCAAGTAATGAAAACAGCCAGACTGGCGAATGGCGAGGGCCGGAAAGGACTACGCCGCACAAAGGCGGCGGTTAGCCCACTACGACAAGCCTTGGCATTCCAATTTTATAATCCTGTAGCCAAAGATTGGAGCTGCTCCCATGGTTGGCGGGGTGGGGGAGCGGGGGATGAGTGGACGTCGAGAGCTCCATTGTTCGCTGTCCCGCATGTGAGGGGCACGAACTATGATAACGGATTCACGGGGTTCACACCCAACGGTCTTCAGCAGCGTGCCGTTATTGTCAAGTAGATAGGTGCAGTGACTGTTTGTTAAGGGTGTGAGAGGGATAGGGCGAGATGTAATGATGGTAGATGAACAGCCAAACAGGGATAGGGCGAGATGAAATGATGGTAGATGAACAGCCAAACAAAAAAGGTGGCGAAAAGATAATTCGGGAAACAACCTGAAGCTTTGGAGCTACGGGCAGCTGTTGTGTTGCACGACATGGTTGGACTCGGGCAACGCGGCATGGCTGCAGACTAGGTTGGGTCTCTACCTGGCTTCTCGTTATATATTGCCGAGTACCTACTGCAGGGAATTAAATATTGCAAATGCGGCCCCGAGTGGCGGCTGCGGCTCTTCAGGGGTCGTGACACTGCGAACGCTTTGCGGCTTTGCCTACAGTGGGAAAGGGGAAAGGGCCCAGGCTAAAACCGGGCGGCCAAGTGTTGAATGACCCATCTGTGGCTATTTGTGCCCCAGACTAGACAGTTGCGTCGAGGTGCTGCAGTGCCGCACGCCGACATCATGACAGCAAGCCTAGGAAACCGACCTAGGCTTATCTACGGCACGATGCGACCCAAAGACATTGACTTACCAGCGGTTCTTTAGCCGTGGTTGAGGTTGACCGTCACGGCACTCGAGTAGTCACGTCAGGGGCACCCAAGCCCCAAAGACCTCAGCTCTGTAGGTACTGTCTGTACCTTATGCGGCTCATCCAGCTCACTGGGAGTCTCATAGTGGGATAGTCTAGCCATGGTGACTTCTATTCCCGTCCCTGCATGTTCCAATTTTGCCCTGCAGCCACACTCCCCTACCCGCGTCTGCCGCCCCATTGGCGGACTTGGTCGGGATACCACCCGCCTGCTCGGAACTTTTTCCCCAACGCCTGTCCCACGCGGCGACATGAGCTCGCCCGAGAACCCCATGGCCCTGCTGCCCCGATGGCGGCAGTCGTATGCCCTCTTCCGCATCCTATAGGCGAGGCGCATTATGTCGTGCTCTTCGATCCCGCGGCCACGATTTAACCAGGGTCCCATGGCCTGCCCACGCCCGCCCCCCCCGGGTCGGTCCATCTCGAAAACAGAGAACGCCTCTGTGCAAGCCCTGGCCCGTGCCATGATAAAATCTCGAGCACGGACAACAACAAGACGACGTGATAGTCGGCTGCAAGGCGTCGGAATAAAGCTCTCCTAAGCCTCCAGACACTCGATTTGGCACGTAAGAGAACCTGCCCCAAGAACCAGCCCCGACGAGCCAACACTCATCATGCGAAGACAGAAAGAACATCACAAACGACAGACACTGCCCCCAGGCAGACATATCTTGCACAAGCAAGCCATGCCCAGCTCTGGGCGAAGCCGTGGCCGCCCCTATCTAGCCAGCCAATTATGAGCAGCCCCGCAGCAACGACCGCAGGCTTCACCGACGAGCAGGTGCGGGCGCTGGCGGTACTGTCGCGGGTCGGCGGCGCGCTGTCGCTGGCCGCAGTGCTGCTCGTGTTTGCCGCCTACGCGATGTTCGGCCGGCTGCGCACCGTGCCCAACACTTTCCTCTTGTTCGCGTCGGCCGCCAGCGCCGGCGCCTCCGTCGCCTGCCTCATCGCCTACGACGGCGTCTGGAGCGGCCAGGCCGGCGCGCTGTGCCAGGCGCAGGGCTTCCTGTTTGAGATGTATGTTTGTCCGGGCGTTCTGTGTCTTGGTTGGTGGTGGTTGGGTGTGGATTAGGCACCTGTGCTGACCTGTCTGTCCCGGACTCAGGTTCGTGCAGTCGGACCCCTGGTGGTCGCTGGCCATGGCCGTCAACGTCACGCTCGTCTTGTATAGGGGCGCGAACACGCACACGGTCATGCGGTGGGGGTGGCTCTACTGCGCCGTCTGCTACGGAGGCCCCTTTATGGCGGCCCTGGTGTGTCTGATGCTGCGAGACGCGGACAAGACGGCCGTGTACGGAAGTTCTGGGGTGAGTAAACGAGTGCGGCCCTGTCATATAAAATACGGGAGGGCCCTGCCATATAAAATACGGGAGGGCAACAGAACATCCAAAGGTAACACGCTTTCTGGTGCAGATTTGGTGCTGGATCAGCAACGACTGGAACTCGCTCCGCATCTTCACCCACTACATGCTCGTCTGGATTTGCATAGTATCGTCACTGGCCATATATCTCGGCATCGGTATTCAGGTCCTTCGTGCGCGCAATAAACCGGAGGAGGATGTTTACGCCGAGCCCGCGGTCTGTCCCGACACGCCCTGGAGCAGGGTGAGTTAACCACACGCCCACCGATCATCTGACGTCTCAATGATCCGACAGCCGAAGACAAGCTGATGCTAACTTCCCATGAAAACAAAGAGAACGACAACAAGCCTCAGAGACTGGCCGCTGAAACCAAGCCCAGGCGATACCAACATCTTCTCAGGGGCTAAAGCAGCTTCGAGCACCCTGCCAGCCGACTCAGCGTCAAGCCCCTTCAGCCCCTTCAGCGCCTCTCCCATCACCCGCCCGTGGAACGTCCACTCCCCAGCTCCGAGCCCAAGACCACGTGGCAACACCGAGGCAGTTGAGACAGAACAAGCACAACACAGCTGGATCCTGTCGCCCCCGCCCGTCTCCCCAGCCCACCTACACAAGCGGCCCGCACCCGTGCGCAGACTGCTCCGGCGGCGACAGCAGCATCCCTTAATCGCCGACCCGGCCAAGCGAGCACACCTGCGGGCGGCGGCGCTGTTCGCGGCGTCAGTCGCACTGACATGGGTGCCGGGCTCGGCGGAGCGCATCCGCAGCTTGTTAGTCCCATCTCACCCGCAGCGGCACCAACAAGCGGGCACCCACGACACAGCCTTCGCGTACAGCGCGGCGGCGGCGGCCGTGCTGCCGCTGCAGGGCGTGTGGAACGCGGCCATCTTCTTCGCGACCAGCTGGCCGGTGCTGCGCGAGTGCGTCACCGACATGCTGCTGCGCCGCGACGGCGTCACGGAGCTGATCGACCGGCCGGTTTACGCTGACAGCAGCAGCCGAGAGCAGCGCAGGAAAGGGAAGATGGTGGATGTTGGTAAAGGGCGGCACGGTGACAAAAGTAACGACGTGGAGCAAGGTGTCGAGCTACCACTGCCGCTGCCAGCAATGCGGTGGGAGACGGCGGGCCCTAGGACAGGCCTGGGGATAACCTGGAAACCGGTGCGAGAGGCGAGGCGGCCGGTCGATAGTTGGGATTTCCTGGATATTGGGACCGTGAGTGTTGGGAGTCGGACTGTGCCTGGCAGTAGTAAACGGAGAAGAGTGTGAAAGGACGCTCGTTCAAATTCAATGGGCAATATTTGCGCAATCAAACATGGTATTATTACTGTTTTATAGCGAAGTACAATTACTTGACAATCCGCCGTGAGCTTGATATAACCTGCCAGAAATCCCCCCAGCACCAAATCCCAACCAACTCATCCACCTCCTTGACCTAGCTAGCCCAACAAAGACCTTCAGTGCCTGTTAGAATCATCAGGTACCGGTACTGGAAGCAACAGGGCGTAACTGCACGCCGAAAACTGGTGGTTCAAATGATGGATTCGTAGAAAACAGAGGGTGGAAGGGGCCTACGGCTACTTATATAGAATCTGTGGCCCTGTGCTACCACAGCCGCCTTCGTGGATGATCCTCCGTGGCTGACTAGCGCGTCATTCTAACAGCGCCGCGTCTACGCCAGACGTCCACTACACCCGCTGGACGCTTCGTCTTTGAAACTGGGTTCTTGCTATTCGCAGCCAGGCTTCACCGCAGTCGTAAATTACAAGTCTGGCATTCGAATAGGTTAGTTTCAGGTTCTCAGGTAACGATAATCAAAAGCATGAGCGATGGTAGACTCACCCCGAGAGGACTCGCGAAGCTAACGAACAACACCGTCCCAGTGCCTAGGTAGCTATTCCAACTCCGGCTAGGCCGCCGCTGCGAGTGGCGGCGGGGCCAGTGTCCATGGTTGCGGCTTGGCTGCCGCCGCAATGGCAGCGCTGAAGCAGAAAGAGAAAGTCGAAATCGCGTCGTCTGACACCGGCGGCAGGCTGGGCCGTCCTACAGCTCAGTTTCGTCGCTCTGCGGTATAGGCCGGTAGATGATACTGTACCTGGCGAGGTCAAAACCAACTACCGCTGGTCGAGCCTGCCTAGACGACAAGTTCAGGCGCTGGGCTGTTCTTCGTCTCAGGGTGCATGGAGCCATTTGGTTTCTTTTTGCCGTTTTTCGGTGGTGGACGCGACAGCCTCGATGGAGAGGCCTGGGCGTTTCATGGTGGTTTTGGTCAACGATGCTGTGATGGCATCGCAAGGTGGGGGGAAGATGTGGGCAAATAGGTGACACGGAAAACTTTTGATGGACGATTAAGACAGTAGCGGCGAAACAAAATGCCGATGGTAGCACGGGGCAAACCAAGCGCAGCTTGGACTAAAAACCCTGAATAGTTCTGTCGGGTCTGTTCACGAGACGTGCGCGCCAAGGGCCCATATCGGAAGAATGTGAGTGATCAGCGGAGTGAACCAGGCCGTATGCTTCGGTTATCAAGAGGGGCAGGACCTTGGGACGGGGAACGTAAAGAAGAAACAATTCCCAGGAGGGCAAGCTGTGTCCCAGAGGGTTAGCACTACAGCGTAGCTGTCGTGAATAGTATGGCTGCCAGCGGGCTGGTCTTCTAGGGAGTTGTCCTGAGGTAGGAGCAGGCAGGACAGGGAGCAGGGATGGGCGCATTGGGCGTATAGGTGGCAAAGCCGCTTCCATTTTGCAACAGAGGTGAAAAATAGCACAGTAGTTGAGCCGAGCGGTCATCGCTCTCGCACCCAAAAAGTCGTAGCTAATTTGATTCCAGAAACCCCAAAAAAAATCAACAGTTCTTGTACAGGACCCTCGTATTCGAGTCCCGTCACTGGCCTTGGACCGCAGTTACCTTCGGTCATTGCCTAAGCCCCCTAGCATAGCACGCCAGCTCTTGGTTACACGTCTTTGGAATTCCCAATTTGGGGTTGTGCGGTGCAGGGGAGAGAAAAAATCGACGCCAAATAAATATGAAAACCAAAAAGTGAGTAAAGATTCCCGACCATCGACCCGACCAACTGAGCTTCTTTTTTTTCCCCTTCCTTATATTTTCGACTCCCTTTTTTACACTACAGTTGCAAACTTATACATACCTACACCCTCCCAGCTTCGGTATCATTTCTCCTACGCGATGATTCTTATGTCGGCTACGTTTTAATCATATATCTCGCAAAGCTCAGCGCGTTTTATATAAGCTTTGATCTACGTACCCTCTTGGGGGCCCCTCACTTGGGTAATAAGCTCCGCCTTCTACATTAGCACTGAAATAAGAACTCTATTTTTACAAGTACAGAACTTGCTATTGTGACGGCCGAATTTGGCAGGGCAGTGCCGCCATTTTCGGGGCCTCGACAGTGCGGGACGCTGGGTCACAGCCAGGTACTTGGTACCTCACCGCGGGCTAACTATTTCTACTTACTCAACTTACTCCACGTGGACCAAGCGGCCCATTCTACACGCTTGAAGTCATAATAATTTCGGTCGGACCTCGGTTAGTGTTGAAGGTAATCCCTTACCGACAAAGAGGAGACTCCACCACCTGGAGCAGCATCCTTCGCGCCAAATCGCCAATAAAAAGGTCGGGCCCCGCCAGTTTTTCACTTAACAACATACTCCTCAGTGGCCTGGCTGCCGCAATTACGACCGCACAATCCATCCCAATCGACTTGTAACCACGCCGGCACATCAACCACAGCGCCGAATCTCAGGTCATGTAAGTACATTATTCCGTCGACGACGTCCTAGGCTAACCCTTCTTTTGACAGTCAGATGGCAGAGCTAAGCTAAGCTTACCACGGCGGCGTGCACAAGGGAATGTCTGCCCCGTACCCCGACGCCGAGCGCGAGACTTTTATCACTCACACGTTCCCCTACATCTTTGACAATACCATCATCGTCGCAGCAACCCACCCGACAGTCTCCACCGGCTCCCAGTTTGACGATGGGTGGTTCCTCTCCGACTTTTACGCTTTTAACTACCTCCTAAAAGGTTCAGTTACCGACCAAGTTTAGCCTACCGCTACCGAGCCTAATAAGTTGCTAAATAAGTACGGCCTCTATTACTACGGTACCGCTTCTGAGTATCCTAAGGTCGTCCTTAGCCCTGAGCTTCTCGAATTTGAGATTACTCCTATAACGGTCGTTTGTCACGGATTCCCTCTGTACTGGCCGCACTGAACTGGAGTGGGGCGCCTAGGAAGAATAGTGGGGCTGAGGGGAGGCCCGAACTCTGTGAGCTTCTACTTCGGGCCCGCCTGATTAGTCCACCTTAGATATATACGATGTGTGTAAGGAAAGGACAACCCGAACACCAGCCGCGCGCACAGGGTGCGCGCTCACCACCTGTTACCAACTGGCCGGAACACTGCCAGTTGGCACAAGCCACTACGCCACGCCATGGCGCCCCGGGCCTGAGCCCCTGAGCACGTATATAAACAGTGGCCCTCGCCCACCTTCCTTTGCGAGGGCCAGGTTGAAGTTTTACACCAATACTACTCATTGCTCGCCCACCTTCTTACCTGCATTGTGACCACCTTGATCCGGCGTACCTGCCTTCTCTTACAATGTGTCACGAGCCTTGGCAGGGCAAACCATAATGGCCCGTGCGCTCTCGGCACCCCACTATACCCCCGCACCCTCGATCGTACTGTAAGAGAAGGCAGGTACGCCTGATCAAGGTGGTCACAATAGGAGCAACAAGCAGGGCGAGCAATGACTGGTATTGGCGTAAGACTTCAACCTGGCCTGAGCTAAAGAGGTGTGCGAAGGCCATGGTCTATATACACGTGAAAGGGGTTACGAGTCATCCTTGCGTAGCCAGGGTGGTAGTGGCGATAGTGCGTGGCCCTGTTAGCGGTGGCGATAGTGGCGACGGTGGCGAGGGTGGCCCTGGTGGCGGTGGCCATGGTGGTTACGAGGGTGGTTTCCTTACACGTACCTTTGTAGACTTTCCTTCTTTCTTTCTTTACTTTAGAATCCTAAGACAATAGTATAGCCATACTAGCGACTCTTCTTCCTAGATGCTGTTGACCGCCGTCACACGATGACCGTGACTACGGGTCTAGATAGCTCTTGTTTGATCTCTTAAGTAAGTAATATACATTTAATACGCTTATATATTACAAACCACTCGACTGTTAGGGTCGTCTGTCTGTAAGGGAGCACGGGCTCCACAGAATGCTGGGGTTGGTAATTATGAAGATAGAACAAAGGGCAAGCTCCTATCGCACGGGTAATACAGTCAAATCGGAATGCCACTCAAAATGTATGAGTGCAGCGAATGTGTATTGCTTGCTTGAAGAACCAAGCAAGAACTGTCTAAGACCGTGGCTACGGTCATCGTATATATCTAATTCAGGTAACCAATCAGGACTTTTCCTTTGCGTGCTCAGTGCTTCTCCTAACGCTTGGTACCCCGAGCGTCTCAGAGACTACCGAGCGCCCTGCTCGGTGCGCTCGCCTAGTCTTGGCAGACCAGTCGCACCGAGCGCCTCCTGATTGGCTGTGTCGAACACTTGCGGGGCCCGACCCCGCCCACCTGTGCGGCCCAATTGGCAATTGGCTTCCAGCGCCTCCTGCAGTCTTGGACCAGGATCGTAACAGCAAGCTCCTATCGCACGGGTAATACAGTCAAATTGGAATGCCACTCAAAGTGTATGAGTGCAGTGAATGTGTATTGCTTGCTTGAAGAACTAAGCAAGAACTATCTAAGACCGTGGGTACGGTCATCGTATATATCTAACTGTGTAACCAATAACAATAGTCCCACTGGCCCGTGGTCCCGAGACTTGCGGTCTCGGGACGCCGGGCGCGCGGGACACTGTCCCGCGTCCCCGACCTTAAGTGGTCCCGAACCTCGGAACCCAGGGACACTCCTAATTGGTTCCTTCCATGGGACGCTCCTGATTGGTCCACACCAAACTGAGCGTGCCCCACTATTGCGCATTTCAACAAGGATTCGTAACACTATACCATTGCCTAAGGATTCTAAGGTGAAGAAGAAAGAAAGGAAAATCTACAAAGGAGCTGTTCGTGTGCAGGCTTTGAGTGGGAGCGGGGCAGCGCACGGGCCTACGCCGCTTTTTGGGTGCCAAGACTTGCACTCTCGATTGGGACTAGTGCGGAGTTAGCTGTACGGAGGGGTCAACAGTGCTGGCCGTGACATTAACCATTCTTCATCCCCTTTTCTAGATCGATTACGACCTAGCCGTAACCTACTCGGGTTATATATTATAGCTAAACATTGGTTATTAGCGTATCAGGCCGCCTCCACCGCGGTATCCCTCATTGCGCTACTAACACCTCGATCTCTCGATTACTCGGACAAGCAATACTTACTCACCGAGGTTAGCGGCCTAGCTTCTGAGGCGGCAGCAATCGCCTTAATGGCAGGAAAGTCACCATACGAGGCAATACGACTTCTTGAACTTGGCCGCGGGGTCATCATAGGTTCTCTAAATGACATACGCGCCGATATCTCCGCTCTTCAGGGTAAATACCCCTTACTAGCAGAAATATTTATTAAGCTACGGGGTCAACTTGATGCTCCAACTCGTCAAGTCACTCAACCGATAACGGCAACGCGTTTAGTCAACCAGCGCTACGATGCGGGCCTGAAACTGTAGTAACTGCTCAAGGATATCCGGGACCTGCCTGGCTTCGGCCAATTTCTCTCAGCCCCTTCCGAGACTGAAGTCAAGGCCGCTGCAGCCTTTGGGCCCATCGTTGTTATCAAAACGTGAGCGACTACCGCTGTGATGCGTTGATCGTTGAGAAGAGCGGATTCAGGACTTGACGGCTCTCTCAACTGCACAGTAGCGATATTCGATTTCGTGCAGCAGAGCTGACGAATCCTGAATTGTTAAGCACCCAACTGTTAGAATGGCTATGGGATACGATTGCGAAGCCGGTCTTCGACGTACTGGTACGCAACAACAGCCCCGATAGTCGTTGGCCTCGGGTATGGTGGATTCCTACAGGCCCTCTCGCCAAATTTCCTATCCACGCAGCTAGGTACCACTCCCGCAGCTCGGACACCGTTCTAGACAGAGTAATTTCATCCTATAGTTCCTCTAGTAGGGGACTTATTCAAGGCCGCCAAAATCGTGCCAAGACAAAAGCAGTACCGAACCCAGGAAAGGCTGTTCTCGTGGGCATGAAAGAACTTCGATATGCGCCTCAAGAGATCAACAACCTGGAAGGCCTTTGCCGCTCCATGCACTTGCGGGTATGCAAGCCTCAGCCCTGCCAAAGCGATGTCCTAGCTGCTTTGGATGACTGTGATATATTCCATTTTGCTGGGCACGGAGTGACAGACGCGATCGATGCGTCGAACAGTTTATTTGAAACTATCCGACGGGCAGCTAGCCGTGAAAAGTCTGTTTGGAATTAACCTTCACAATCGAAAACCATTTCTGGCCTACCTCTCGGCTTGCGGAACAGGGCAAATAGCACACGAGAAGCTCGTCGACGAGGGACTTCACTTGATCGCTGCTTGTCAGCTTGTTAGATTCCAGCACGTCATTGGCACGCTGTGGAAAGTGAACGACCATTCTGCATGGACGTTGCAACCACGACTTATGACTGGATGCAAAAACAAGGACTCAGCGACAAATCGGTCGGCGAGGGGCTTCACCATGCAAGCAGGATACTTCGTAACAAATGGGTCCCGGGAATGCTGCAAGAGCAGGCAAGCGCGGCACAAAAGCCCGCAAGGTCGATGAAATGGCGATGGAACAATCCCGTTCGAGTCAAGATGAGGCAGGAGAACTGAGAGATGTTGTGCCTTGCGATGATATACCATTGTATTGGGTACCTTATGTCCACTTTGGCATCTAGCTGTTATCTCGTTCTATAAAGTGTCCTATATCTAGAGACAGTTGAGCTAGACAATGGGCATACGGACTTGGTGAAGCTGCTGCAGTCAACTAGATAGGTTCGGCCGCAATCTCATGTGGTGGGCCTGCCGAAGTCGACATGCTGACCTCATACTCCTTGTTGACCATGCTGCAACGAAGGGTATCGACGCCAGATGACCACCCTGACCGGGTAGCCATGTCAAATAACCTTGGGAACAAGCTCGGTCGCCGGTATGAGAGGGCTGGCGAGATGACGGACCTCCAGGAGGCTTCAGCACACCTACTAGGGGCGTGGAACTGTCGAACGGCTGTTCCATTTCATCGTATCAAATCCGCCACCCCATGTCTACGACTCTTTGCCACGCTTCGCAAAATCAACAGTGCTATTGAACTCGGAAAAGATATTATCCATCTGCTACCAACAGTAAATACTAGGCTGCTTAACCGAGCTTAAAAGCGTTGCTCTCCCACGCACCCATTAGTCTACCGAAACAAGGGAACTGTTGAATTCACCATATGGAATCTTCTAGTGGATGATAAATACTAGATTATTCAGCTGATGTGAGCCAAAATTGCCACACAGCTCGCCACCACTCATATGTATAAAACCTGCACCTCTGGCATAGCCAGAGGAGGGGAGAAATTGAAGAGAACACAACACTTCATATTTTTTTCGGTCTGAATGTAAAATCCAACAGGAACTACCTCCTGCAAGGACGGCGACCACCTCCTCCAGGATACAGACTCTTAGAATGCGATGGCATATCCGTAGCGTATATACCATCCTGCCGGGTTGTCAACTCAACGCATCTTCTCAAACTGGGCAATCAACGACACATCTTGCGGACGTTTCTCTCCAAAACCCCCCAGATACAGAGAACCGTACATCAACGCGTTGACCGGAAGGTTCGGGGGACGTACATCAGCTTTGACGATGCCCTACGACTTTGCCAGTTTTTCAACCTAAGCAGCGGCCCGATGGGACAACTAATGGCGGGCTCTATAGCAGAACCCGATGGCATCGTGCATGGCGGTGACGGATATGTCTCTAACACTGACAAAGACCAAGACAGTGTTCCATGGCTCCCCCAGCCCCTGGCAGCATAGCAGCTTGGAGCACGCAGGACCTGCGACCTGCGTGGATGAGGACTTTCCCCAGGACCGGACTTCATATGCCGAAGAGTGTCAACAAACAGTGGTCTATGGAACCCATAAACCTAGCGAACGCCAAGAAACACTTGGTTCACAAGGCCCCGGCAGAGCAGCTGGGACCATGACGGCGCTGGGGGCACAGATCACAGGCACAGTGCGGGTGGAACAGAGGCCATCGCATTGCCATGGAGTTTTCACAGCGATGTCCCAACCAACATAGCATATGTCCCGCCACAAGCGGATGCCTACTCCCAATATACCGAGTCCAACGGGTCGTATCTCGCGCCGGCGAGCCGGTCATATGAACAATTGCTCATGATGACTTGAGAACCGACGGGGCAGACGGGATGCATCGATGATATCATCAGAGAAGGCAAGATGTAAGCGCTGCCCAGGGTGGCCCCGCGTTCCTAGCCATTCCACACACTCTCCAACCGTCTCCGACGTCATCGCGTACGTTAACAGCCAAGATATCCTGTTCGAGCTAATAGCCGTAGCCGGTCTGTCTGGCGATAAGGAAGAGGAGGAATTGTCGGCTGAGAATGAGGATCGGGTGGTGGAAGCCGTCACTCGGCTGAAGGAGTTCTCGTTCGTTAGGATGCGTAGGGAAGGGAGGGATGTACGAAGCTGCGAGATGCCTTATATAGCCGGGAAGTAGATTGGAATTGGTTCTGTCGAATCGATAAGCCCAATAAGCTTGGGGGCGTTGTTGAGATGTTAAAGAGGAATGGGATGCGTCCCCATCACAGCCATCAGCCACTCGAGTTCAGCACTGCTCGGTCTACACAGTGCAATGTGGTCTACACAGTGCAATGTGGTGAGTCATTGCCTTCGCCTTCAGGCTTAGCTGATTGGTCGGCGACAAGCCCCTTCTGGTCATGGATGTGTCGCCGCACAACGGTAGCGAGCGTGTCGTCTACAAGGCCATCGCCTTCTACTATTTCGAACTCCTCTGTAGGCAGCAGCTGTTGTTCCTCGTCATTTATTGGCCGACTGCCATTTCCTGATCTTCACCCGGGTAGTCGTCATGGCTGTTGGGCATCAGGATCAGCAGGTTCGGGACCCGATATGCAGGTACAGAGGTTAGGGTTCTGCGGGGATGAAAGAGACGTCGGCGCTGATGTCGCCAAAATTTCCTACAAGCTAAGTACCTAGTACTTAGCTAGTCAAGGGTGCAAGGTTTCTCATACCTTTCACTGGGAAAAGAACTGTTAAAATGTGAAATCTGTTGTGGTTAGAATGGCACTCGAACATGCGCAAACGGCATAAAGGACCCCGGGATCTGGCCGCCATCGTCCCAACTGATTACGGTGGGATAGTCTTGTTTTTCTGCAACCATGCAGGATTGTGATCCGTCTGTGCGTGTGGTTACACAACTTGCAGTCCAGGCCCAGCTGAACCACTGCGACACGCGCTCGTGAGAAAAACTGTGCATTGAGTTGACCCACTGATTGGCCAAGTTCCCGATGGTGTATGCTAAGCATATTCACCGCTAGTCTGGGGTGATTTTGCAAGCCGACAGTTGGTTGAACGGGGAGCCTTGCGTATTGGATCATCACATAATTAGCTACAATTTTGCTGCTCGTCGCTACCACATGCCCGGCATGGCCCCATTCCTCACTGTCAAGAAGAGGTGGCGGCCGGTAGGATCAGCTCCTGCAGCCAGTCGGCTCAGCTTGTGGCTATGCAAGGAAACTGAACTGGCGCAGCCAGTTCAGCTGACGACAGCTACTATTTTTGCTGCCAACTCTTACTGCCGTATAAACTATAAAGAAGAGGGCTCTCTAGCGAAGCCAGAGAGTCACAGACAGAGACAAGACAAGCAATTCAATCACTTTTCTCCCTCTCAATCCAAGGTGCCGTGCTTTCTGACACTCGACTCCAGGAGTCTCCGGCTCTCAGTTCATAAACATGTCTGCTGTTCTGAAGAAGGCCAAGACCGGGTTTCGTAGCAAGGCTGGGCAAAAAAACCCCTTCAACACTTTTCTTCGGGCAGTAGGCATTTCCTCGTTGTGTTTTCTACCCTGCTTCCGACAAGACAAGGGAGGGAGAGAAAAGCCAAAGGTTGTTATCCAGCATTCTTTGGCATTGACCCTTGCACAACTGAGTATCCATATCCTTCCGGCAATAGCTTCAGTCTTGGTCATATACCTCAACCTCGCAACTCTGTATCTCGGTCGAACTTTGCCAGGTCCAATTCTCAACACCGATGTCACGAATGCTCTTCTACAAATATGCGCCAAAATACACGAGCTCTTAATTATGGCCAGTCTAACCACCATCGTCTTCACCTTCATTCGCAACGAAATAACTATCTATGATGGCCTTCCATTGGGATTCCTCTGTTCTGGGTTCATGTTCAACAACATTGGCTATTTCTGGTCCTCGGAATTCTGGGGCGCGGCGACCTCACGACTTTCCCCGAGAGCGAAAATATCTATGATCACTGTGCTTGTTATTGCCGGGTTGATCGCAGCAACGGCTGGCCCGTCAGCGGCCGTCCTTCTCATCCCAAGACTTCAGGACTGGAATGGTGGAGGAAGCTTGTTCTACCTCCGAGGATCCGCCAGTGACCTTTTCCCAGACATCTTGATAGGTTCAAATTTGACCACGGCACCAGTATGCAGTGGACCGAACGCCATCAACTACGGCATGTGCCCAAGTGGTAGTTTCTTACCACTGTCTGCTTATATCTCGTCATTGCGTGTCATCAAAAACCAGGCGAACATTGGACCGCCCCCGAAAAGGATATCAGGTCTGTTCGGCGGAATAGGGATCGACATTGCTAGTGTCACGCCGTTGATCCCTCAGTCTCATCTCGTTGGCGAACTCCGCGGGATTGCGTGCCAGACGGCGGCCATCGCCCCGTATTTGCCCGTACTCATGTACCAAAATCGACTCTGGGACGATTTCGCCAAGGTCGCAGGAAACATATCGTGGAACAGCAATCAGCCCTTCTCCTCGTCGAACGAATACGCATACGATTTCGGTCGATATCCTAGAACTTCGACGAATCTCCCGGTCGTTCGTTCGGCGTGTTCGATTGCGCAGAATATATCCTCTGGAATTTTTGATATCAGTTTCCCTGTAATGCCAATCTACAGTTGCTGGGATGAGACACAATCCCTCTTCGTGGTCGACCTCAACAACACGCCATCGAACAATATCAGAGTGACATGGACAACTCTGCCAGCCCAATTTGGATCAACAAGCACTGGCATGATCTTTGAGGCGCCTTGGGTCAACAACCAGTCTTCTAGAGTGGTTATTGGGTGCTCATTTGACGCGAGATGGGCTACAGGTGGAGTCGACGCGAGCGAGGGTTTAGCCATCGACCTTGGCCCGTTTGACCAGTGGAAGGAATGGTCTCAGCTGAACACAGTATTTCGGCCACCTAATACGGGACGCTGGGCTCCGATAACGCTGGATAAGACTTGGCTGCAACTGCTTACTCCCTACAGCACTTCGATGGCACAGAAGATAAATTCGAACCTCTCTACTCTTGAGATACTGCTCTCTAATTATTCCGCAATTATTGACGGCGAACTCACAAAATCTGACGATCAAACACACCACTGGAACCAAGTCGCATTCGGTTCATCTAACAGGACACTGTTCTTGGAATGGGTGACTGCTCTGCTGCTAGTCGACGGGATCTCCCGACACTACACTAGCCAGCAGCTCAACATGACTGGCTCCATCTCCGACTGGGATCTTCTTGACTACAACCTGCGGCCTGATTGGGACTCGCAACTATTGGCAGGCGGTGACGCACTCGAGCTTCCACCACCGGAAATCGGAAACTTCACCACTTTTCTCACGGTCATCTCAATCCTCGGCCTCTCCTACCAAGCCCAAAACATAACTGATTATCTGGCCATCTCGGTCCTCCTAGCACATATTTTCTTAGCCCTCGGCCATACCCTGTACCTGCTTTGGCACCGGAAATCGTCAGTTGCGTGGGATTCGATCCCGGAAATGCTTGTTCTCGCTCACAACTCGCGCTCATCGGGTTTCGCGCTAAAGAACACGTCGGCTGGTATCCGTTCCATTGAGACATTCCGGAGGATAGGAATGGTGCGAGCAACTACTGGGAAGGACAATCTGCACGGGTCATTATCAGCTGGCCAGGGGAAAAGTCTTCAGGATGTCACATCGGATGCTGCGAAAACCCTTGAACTTGTCTTCTACGAAGATGAATCGATTCTAACTGCTCTTGAGGGTCAATCGGAACCTGTCCCTTTCGTACCTCCCACTGCCGCGGTCGAGGCGCCTGTCTCTCCAACCCGTCTTAACAATGGTCTGTCACAGAAGTCAGAGGCGAACAAGTCTGTGTCCCTGGGCGGGGCTGAGCCACTTGTAGCGCTGTTTGAAGGTGAAAAGAAGGTCGACTCTTTGGTGCCACCCGCTGCTGCAGGCGAGGCATCCGTATCTCCAACTCAGTCCAGTAGTGGCCTGTCACAGAAACTCGAGGCAAACAAGTCCGTCTCATTTTCGCAATCTGAAGATCATGTTAATAAGCAGCGGCCACTTTCAACGGAAACTACTAATAAAGAAGGCAGCGGGTTTCGACGACGTCGTCTAAGATATCGAGGGGAGGAGTTAGTTCTAAATAACGCCTACTCGTAAGCGAAAATGCGGCAAACTTGGCATAATCACCGTTGGGTCCAAAGTGACTCCCACGAGCTCTCCACCTGCTTGCCGGAGTTCCATCCACTACACAACATGGCTTGCGCTGGTCCTGGCCGTGAGCCTCTGTGGTTGCCATTGTGGCTGTCAGACACTATTACGAAGGGGATAGGGCGGTAGGGTCGTCGATTTTGACAATGGGTAGCGTGTACGATTGGGTTGAGGAATGAGAACGGTCCATGATTGGAATGTGCTGGGAACAAACACATTCGGAGATGAGTCTAGCTCTAGTGTCTACCTACCATCAAGAGCTTGCAACCTTCGCGCGGTATTTGAACAGTTCAGCTGCATCTGCTAAATAACAAGGGAACGGGATTCATTGGCGCTAACAGGGTTTGGCGCCTTTTCTAGGGTTCAAAAGTCATTGGTCAATTCGCTGGGAGCTTTACGAAATTAGGTCTTAGGTTTCTGGATGCCTTGGCGCACCATGGCGGAATGGATTAAGTCTAAGGGGGGAAACATCTTCAGCCGCATCCGCGTCACCGAAATCTGTCACGTCTCATTATCCCTCATGTTCAGCCTTACACATGGCCGATGGCAGACGAGTTTTGCGCTTTATTGGCATCAGAAACGACGACTTGCGAGTCTATTACTGACAATGTAATAGATTATGTCGAGACTGTCGCCAGTCTTGACCTCGAGAACAGAAACAGCAGCCCCCCAAAATGCGCCGCCTGTCAGGATCTAGCCTATAGGTTCTCGGTGGCGCGGATACGCTCATCGGGCGGGTATCCTGTTGCCGCCAAACAAGCGGCCATGCAAGCCGTCGACCTCAGCTAGGGCGCCCGAGACGCGAGAGATGGCTGAGGGAGGAATAGGCGTTTATTTCACCAACGACGAATGGACGCCCCCGCATCTACAGGCCGGCGACTGAATCAGGAGCGCCGTTGCCGGCTGTCGGGCCTGCCAGCTCGTCATCAGCGCCGTCTCTGCGATCCTCCCGGCTTGGTTTGGCGACTACGACGCCCAAGATGCCGAGCTTGGGCTCGGTCATAAGTACATCTTCCCCCTGGCCCTTGACGACCAGCCGCTCATCATCTGCCTGACCGACATGAGATGCCGGTGGCTTCACTTGCGGCATGATTTCTTCCAGGTGTTTGCCGAGAAAGGTACGTAACCTCTGTTGCTACATCAACATGTCGCGTTGTAGCTAAGAGCGTCGATTTACCGGTCACTCGTAACTCTGCCAATTACGGAACTGCCGAGATAGAGGAGGCGGTTGGAAATACGGCTCTCGTAGAATGGCGTTATTAGTACGAATCATAACCTTGCCTTGATGCCGTATAGCGGCGTCCCCGAGGTTACCTAGGGCGGCTTAGCGGATATGATATAGGCGTATGATCCCCTCTTACGGCACTATACCGGGCCCTTCCAGTAAGGCGATATCTCACCGAGTTGCCTAATACGGCCGCTGTCTCCGCTAGACAGCTCCTTCCCATATCCACCTTATAAGAGAGGGCAGGTACGCCTGATCAAGGTGGTCACAATGAAGGCAATAGAAGGGTGAGCAATGACTGGTATTGGCGTAAGACTTCAACCTGGCCCTCGCAAAGGAGAGGTCGAGGACCATTGTTTATATACATGCTCAGGGGCTCGGTCCCGAATGTTCTTGTGGCACAAGGCGCCCGGTATTGGCTGAGTGGCTCATGCTAGCCGGCAGTGATCTGGCCCGTTGGTGCCAGATGGTCAACGCGTGTAAGGGAGTGCGCGTTGACAGGTGCTTGGTGAGGTGGCTGTCCGTTTCCTTACACGCCTCGCCATTACCTATGGCCTATATCTAACGCTTCAGCATCCTATAACTTATCCTATAAGTCCCCCGTAGCGCCAGAGGCCACTTTATTATGGGCTTGTTCCCATATACCCGCTGTGCTATTCCCTCTATATTCTTCGGAACTCGTCCCAATTGGACCGCCTCGCTAAGGGCTCGTTGCCGGTTTGATCCTTAACCGCTATAGCTAGGATTTCTTGCCTCTCTCATAGCTAGTCGCCTGCAGGCCTCGCCGCAGCTGCGGTGGAATTCGGTCCGATTGCTGCTAACGAAATGTCGAGCTTGCAGACTGAGACGTCTCGGACGCGCCGTGCAGGGAGGCCTCCTGATATCTCGCGGCATTTTTATGACTAGTCAGGGTGGGCTGATCTCGCCGGTTTCGCTAGAGATCGACCGGGCAGACGTAGGCGCCCCACGAACCGAGAGAACTACGCAAGGTGGGTTATTGTTGAGAAGGCATTCGGCAGTCGATATTGACTTCTTATACGGAGTACCAGAGATGAGGTTAATATCTAACCGGATTCATATCGAGGGATTGGAGAAGTCTTAGAAGAGGACGAGGTGGGCGAGTGTTCGATGGTTGTGCAATACTCCGGACTCGGGCGTAACGTAGACGTAAAGGGACGGAGATTGAGGCTGAAGTAGGTGGAGCGAAAGTCCCTCAGCCGAAGTCAGCGGGAGAAGGAGGATAAGAAGGGGAGCGTACGAAGTCAAGAGTACAAGAACAGGACGTCGCTGAAGGAAGAAAAGGGGTCTATTTATACGCGGATGTCAAGTAGCAGCGAGAATGCGGCTAATTAGGGCGAGGGAGACAGCGAGCATACGGCCAATCAGAACGAAGAAGTGGGGTGCCGAACCCGATTGGGAAGGGCGCTAAACCCGGCGCGCGCAACAGCGACTTCTCGATTACAAAGGAAGAAAAATGAAGGCATTCGGCTATATAGTAGAAGATCAATATCTTCTAGGAAAGGAAGGAAGAAGGCTCTAGAGCCGAGTTTTAACAGCTATATAGGGCTAGCAAATATTTTTAGCTAGCCACTATCCAGTGTAATCAGCTAGAAATTCCCTCGTTAATACGAGTAGTTAAATTACTGCATAATTTTTATAATCTTCCCTTTTCTTGCTTTATCTTCTATTCTCGTCTCTTGGAGATACCAGCTCATCGATCGCGAGATTTACTCATAGATACAAGAGTAGGACAAGGCAATATTTTAATCCGCTGCTTCAAGAATCCCAGTTAATATCTAGGTACATGTTATTTAGTTGCAAATTGTCCCCGTATGGGTCACGCGTCGAGGTGATAAGTTATGTATAACATGGCCCAAAATCAAAGGTTCTGCTAACCAGAACGAGTCACGGATTTCTTGACCATTCATTTGGCTGTTCAGGCAGGTAATATGACTCGACACATATCTTTACTTGAGCCTTGTGGCAGCCTTTATCAGTATTAACTTGCTCACATCAGGCTTGTTGGCTTGTTGGCTTCACTTGAATTCACTGCAGCAGTGCAAAGAATCCTACCAACCCCGGTCGATTCCCCTAAGGCGATTGGACGTTGCGTTCCAGCAGAAAGCAGTAGGCGCCCGCTGAGCCGCGGCCACGCAATACGCTGGAGGTCTAGGCCGTGGCAAGTTGGGGCGCGGCCGAGTTTTGTGTTGATGAGTCTCTGGCGATACGTATGCGTGTCAGACTGGCAGTCATTGAATGGCACTGGATGAACCATACCCCGCCGCTGGTGGATGCATGCAATGCACAACTCTTTCCCAACACGGGCACATTTAGGGCCGCGTCTTCTTGTAGAGCCAATCAATTCCCGGGAAAACAAAACTGGGCTCTGCTGCCTGGGCTTTGCTGCCTTGCGGGCCCCGCTTATCAATTACTGATCTGACGTTCACTGGGCCGCCTCCACTGGGCCGCCTCCACTGGGAGTGCCTAGTGCTGAGTGCTAGGTAAGGATTCGTCCAGCACACCGACGAGTGCGGGGACTGGGACCTACACGACCTCTGCCTCCGGTTTGGGAAAGAGACATGGGTTGCGCACCGGATTTCTGCGGATTCGGGATCCCTATCGGCCGGGATTGAGTTGGGGGTTATAAATACTCGCCCAGGCCTTGGCACCTTTTCCAATCTCACTTTGTTTTTCCCTCACCCTTCCAGTTCGAGACTTCGAGTTCACCAAACTATTGACAACCGACAAGCGACAAGCAAATTAACACCCGTTGCCTCCCTCTTCGGCTCGCACAGAGAGGCACAGTACATTCCTGACTTGCTCGGAAATTGCCGCACCCTTCTCCTCTCACCCACCTTCAAAATGGCCGACACGGTGCCTTCGACCGCCCAGAGCGGCCACAAGCAACTATTTGGCGCTTGGCTCGACTTCAATGGTGCCAGCCGCTCCAATATTGAGCTGAGCGCCTACAAGCTCATCCTTGAGGCGCATCCAGAATACCACACCACCCGCATTGAAGTGGGCAAGTGCGATCTCATGGGCTTTGCCAAAGCCGGCCACGCCACCGCTGCCCAAGACCGAGATGACGGCCTGTACGATGGCGTCCGAGCCTATTACAATACGGCCAAATCCAAAGACGGGACCGGAAAGAAACTCGTAAACGGCTACCTCTCTGACCAGGTCTACTTCTCCAAATGGCGCTACACCTGGGACGGCCTCGACTACCTGATCTACACAATCGCATACAACGACGCCTACGGCCGCTATACCAATATGAACTTCGTCCTGGCCCCCCACTCTGAGGAGCTGGTCAAGGACGGCGTGCACGCCAACACGGACAAGCTGTTGATTGCCGCAGGCAAGTGGACCAAGGACCTGCACGACGAGATCTACGTTTTTGATGACTCGTCGTGGGGCAAGAGCAATGAGCTGTGGAGGAGCGTTCAGGGTGCGACTTGGGAAGACGTGATTCTCGAGCCCGCCTTGAAACACAACCTTACCAAGGACGTGCTCAATTTCTTCGACAACCACGACATCTACAAGTCCATGACGGTGCCTTGGTATGTGCTTTCTCCTTCCCTTGTAGCGGAGGAAAGAGGCTAACAAGATCATCGCGTTGTGTTAGGAAGCGCGGCATCATCCTGCATGGAGTTCCGGGTAACGGCAAGACCATCACCATCAAGGCCCTCATCAACTCTCTAGCTGCTCGCTCGGTCCCGATTCCGTCTCTCTACGTTAAATCCTTCGATAGCTGCAACGGCGCCAAGTGGTCCATCGAGAAGATCTTTTCACACGCGCGAAAGATGGCTCCCTGCCTACTCATCTTTGAAGACCTCGACAGCCTGGTCGAGGAAAAGACGCGTAGCTACTTCCTTAACGAAGTCGACGGGCTCGAGTCCAATGAGGGCATTCTCATGATCGGCAGCACGAACCACCTCGAGCGCCTCGACGCGTCCATCACCAAGCGCCCTAGCCGCTTCGACCGCAAGTACCACTTCAAGGTGCCCAACGAGGCCCCGCGGGCCGCCTACGCGCGCTTCTGGCACCGCAAGTTCGCCAGCAAGCCCGACGCCGTCGACTTCCCCGACGAGATCTGCGACATCGTGGCCAAGCTGACCGAAGGATTCAGCTTCGCTTACATGCAGGAGCTGTTCATGGCCTCGCTGCTGGAGCTCTCTCACGGCGACGACGGCGGGTACCTGGAAGAGGAGGAGGTCCCCAGCAGCAGCGACAGCGGATCGACCACCGATGCCGTGGTCGTTGAGCATCCGTCCAAGGCCGAGGATAGCGACGCCGACAGCGACGAGGAAGACGGTGAGGGCAAGGACGAGGGAGAGAACGATAAGGATGAGGATAAAAAGAAGGAAAAGAAGAAAGCGGCCCCACCCAAGCCTAAGCGCGTCATACCCTCCGTGGAAGTCCCTGACCACTTGCAGGACAACCGGTTCCTGAGGGTCCTCACGAAACAGGCAAAGATCCTGCTGGAGCAGATGGACAACACCGAGGACGAGCCGGAGGCGGCCGGTTTAAATGTAAAGGGCGAAAGGGCTGTTGTTGCCACAAGAAGATCAAAGGCCGTCCGGATTACTCGTCGTGCCAGAGCGTAAATAGTCTGGTCCAGGAAGCCTAGCTACGGCGATGGAAGGGCTACATACAAGCGGAGGTTCAGCACGGTCGCAGAATCGTAGTTGGCGTGCTTTAGGCACGATTAAAAACTTTACAGTTTGCATCCACAAGAGCAAGTCTTAAATGGAAACTCTAGTTGTAATATCGGTATAAACGATAGAAAGGAAAGACTGATCACACATCTCTTCTTTTTCTGTTTCTTTGAGTGTTGTGTCCCGTTACTCTCGTAATAGTTGAGCAAACTACGGCTTGCCAGGACCGCCTAATTCAAGGGATCGAATGCATGCACAGCAACAATTCAAAAACATGCTTTAGGCTTTAATTCGACTGCTCGAGGAGTGACTTCCACAGTTCAACTGAAATCATGTAAATGTTAAGGGATGCTGTTCAGGGCGGGAACTGATGGCCGTATTTCTTGCAGGAAAGAAATCTAGCTATCCATGAAAGCTCGAGCCAAGAATCGGGTCACCCTCCTGAGCGCAAGGACCAAAACGCCACGTCCTGAAGGGGTAGACTGACGTCACCAGCTGCCTGGTGAACAAGCTAATATTGCACAGTGTAAGAAGAGAACGGCCTTCAGGGCTGTTACAAGGGGTCGAACGAACTTTGATCAAATCACTAGCTATATGATGGTGCCTAGCAAAGCAGATAACACTGTGAGATATCGAAATCACACCACTGTGGAGGGTGACCCAATTTTCCAGCCTGAGCCTTCGGGCCACGGCGGAAACTTCGAGGAAGGTAGTGGTCTAGACTGGATGTGGATCCACATGCCCCGTCTCAGGCCCAGGTGCGATTGCGCAACGCAGCTGCCGACTAGGCAATAAACATAATGAACCTATTTCATGAATTTTTTTTTCTATTTCGCTAGGTTACAAGTGCTAACTAAGAAGGGAAAATTATTCGATATGAGAGTATAGAGAGCTAAGTGGGAGCCCATGATCAAAGGTGATAGCGAGCGAGTCAACGATAAATTTTGGAAGGGACTTGCAGCTCAGCTCGACCCTCAAACAATCACTAAGAGCGCAAATGCCGAAACTACGCCTGTAATGCCGGCCAAGCGCTTACGCACGGTCGGTTTTTTTTTGGACAAAGATTCATCACGCTAAGATGCGTGATATCATTATACAAAGGTGTGCAAAGGAGAATCCAGAGCATGGCGCTGAAATCAACCGTACGAAAACCAAGAGTCCCACGTTCACGATCCCCAGATATATAGCAAACGGCCACTTTCAATGTCCAGTATAATATTTGAACTAGAACGAAATTATCAGGACCGTCGAGGCAGAGGCTCAGATATGGCATGAATAATGTCCACCGGATGTCTTTGGGAGTAAGTCACACAGGGACAGCTGCGTTGGGGGCCGAGCTTTCGTCTGATACATACATCATGTCACATGGCTAGATAGGTACCCCGGTATCAACGCTCTCTCTTTCCATTTGATACGCAGTTGACCTGAGGTATCGATGATAAATCTAGCTCGGGCCATGCCTCCTCCCTTCTCTTCAGGTTCTATCAACCCTCGTCCTTGAAAAATTTCACACCTAGTCAACTCTCGTCCGCAAAACTTTTCCAAATCTCCTTCCTTTACTCGTCGAGATTCTATCCTCATACGATAGCAAGTTTTTTAAGAGAGTCACGTATACACACACCTACACACACACGCACATACCTCACAATCATCGCACGAATCCATGCATAAAAATAATCATATCTTCAATCCTACCACAACCTCACCGCCAAGTCTCGCCACGTCCAAAATGCCACAAATAACCGACGCCCAGAGACTAGCAGGCCTTATAGAGAGCCAGAGAATCCGGTTCCTAGACCAGCCCGCCCGCCTCCGCCCCGGCCACGTCCCACAGCCCCGAGCCGCGCGGAGAGATTCCAAGCCGCGCCGTGACGAGCGCCGCCGCCGCCTCAACGCGGTCATTTACTTCAAGCAAGTATTTTCTTTTTCATTGTTTTTTTTTTTCAAAGATTAGCATCAACTACCATCTATCTCCTCACCTTGACACTGTTACGTCAGCTACACATGTGCCTCTAGCACAGATCTAAATCAACCGTAGTGCACCAGATTAGACACTAACCGCAATCAACACACACAGGCACGTCATCACGCTGCGCTACCTGGGCTGCGCGCTGTTCATGCGCTAGGACGACCTAGTCAAGCGCCTCCAGGTCCTCGTCGCCCTACAGAAGACGCTGCTGTGCCTGCCCGACGAGAGCGTGTACCAGGCCGTGTCCCAGGGCCTTGCCGGCGTCGAGGGCCAGGTCCGAGCCGAGTCGACGGCGGTGGCGGCGGGCGGCGGCCCCGGCCCCGACCCAGGCGCGCTGAACCCCATCCAGCTGTGGGACACGCTCCTGGTCATTGGCCAGCAGGCTGAGCGGCTCGCGGAGTCGGTGCTTTCCGGTTAGGTGGCGAGTTTGGTGGGAGGTTGGGTGGTGCGGGTGGGAGCGCGAGTGCCTAATTAGCCCTTGAGTTTGGTTTCGGGACCTGCCTGCTTGCTGGGTGGTTGTGGTGGATGCCCGACACAAAAGTTTCATTACCTTTTCGTTGTTTCGGTAGTGGCTACCAATTGGTCACAACATGGCTGGTTGTTGATTAAATCATCTTTACTTAATATGATGGTAAGGAAAGGAAATACCATGGTCAGGGTTAAGGGTGGGAATCAGGCCATCAGGCGGGGTGAATCATTGCAGCAGGGTGTGTGCGTCTTTCGAGGTCTTGGGGGTACATCTAGGTACCTAGCTTCCTGAAACCAACGACACCAGTCATTCCTGCTGAATATTAGTCTCGTTCTGCCTATCATCTATCTACGTGACTACATGTGCGATGTCCCTGCTGCTCCTTCAAGAAGTCGAATACATGCTTAAGCCACTGCATACTAGAGGGGGTCTGCTTAAGAGTAGCGCTTCGAGAAAGTGGCCTCAATATCAGTGAAGCAATAGCGGAGGCTTACGGCCATCTCACCAGTCTTCTCGTCCAACATTTGAAAAGTGTCACGGGAGCCGCGTACCACGAACCACGAAAGCATGAAGCGCTTCCCTAGAGACGGAAAATTCACCAAGTGACACTCTTTAGCCCGATAGGAGAAATAGAAACTCTAGAACACATATTACATCATCTATTTTGTTATCCAGTATCTAAGTAGATTTATTCTCATTCATCCATATTTCGAAACACCTTCAAAATACGAGATATCAACAAAGCTCCTCAATATTTTTCCATTTTCTCCAAACAGACGAACTTGTGTGGGCAGGAAAGAATGACTGGATTGCTTGTAGGAAGTCTAGCTATCTGGGCCACAGCGGAATATTTATGTGGAAGTAATGGCCTGGACTGGTGGATCCCAGATCCACCTATGCCTCGGCCCGGGCACATCAGGCCAGGTTCTAACCTGATTGTTGGCACATGGGCGTGTTGGTGGAAAATGCGATGTCGTCTCTACCAATGGATCCAACGGTCCAAATCCAGAAGTGTCTTGTCAGATCACGTGATCATGTGATTAGGTATGACCCACCAATGGTCCAACACTAATCCCTGCGAATCCAGGCACAACTTGCAAATCTGACCCCCAAAATCTACTATAATTTCCTTCCTCTTAGCGTCTATCTTCTCTTGACTCGAGAGAAGATCCTCTCAGACTTTCTCTAAATGGTGTCGATATTCCACTCGTGCCCCTTTTTTCAACTCCTCACTCAATGTTCTTGAATTTCTTTTCCGAACCCCGGGAGATCCGCATGCGCGGAGTGAATGTCTTTAAATTTACGAGAACGACTCGAACTAAACCGTTAACATCTTCTTCGTCCGAGTCGTCGAGGTCCGGCGAATTTGAGCCTGTGGTCGAATCGGATTTATTTCCAAGTTCCTCGCCCGAGACCGCTATAGCGGACTCATTCTTATCTTCTTCGTCCAGCTCCAAGACCCGCTGATAATGCATATTACAATTTTGGCTATATCCAAGAGCTGAATGTTAGAATCTAGGCCAAGTGTTGGGCAAGAGGGCTTACCATTGCGACTCGCCGCCCGAACTATAGGATGAGTTAACGGTGAAGCACCGAGGGCAGCTTGAGAGCCATGCAGTTTCCGAAGGGGCTGGTAAGTGCTCTCTGCAAAGGAGGCTCATGTCAACTCTCTGATATGGCAGGAATGCAGCATCCCAGTCCTTAGATCTGTCAACCTTCCGGTGAGTGGCTCGTTCTTTCAGCACATAACGCTTGCGCAATATCCGACGGGCACCCTTCTTTCCCTTGAGCCTATCCGCAAGTAGAAACTCGAAGCCTTCCCAAGACGTAACGGTTCTGAGGTAGACGGGAAAAAGCCTTCCGGTGGGATCCTCCAAAAGGAAATGTTCGTGTTCTCCGTTTAGTGGGCGTTCTAGTTGTGAAAGTGCCGCGCGAATACTGCTCAGCTCGCCCGCCAGGGTGAACAGTATTGATATGACCTGGGTTGTTGCACTCTTTAACTCGATGCCGAGCTGAGCTATATAGCCCAACCGTGAGCGCATGGTTTGTCCAATCCACGACACGGATGTTTGGAACCGGCGATTCTCTTGCAGCGCGGCCTGTGACTGGCCTTCAATAGACGAAAGTTTCTGGTGGACGCTATTATGGTTTCGCTAGACGATCCGACTGTGAGATGTTAGCCGCATGTGCATCAGGGGTGCGCAATGAAAACAGAGGGGGAAACCTCGGATCCAGAGATTCAATGACCAACACTAACATGGTGATGATTTCCAGCAGCATCTTCAGTGACATCGTGAATCCCATCACGTCTCCCCGAAACTTCTCAATATCTTTGCTCACAAGCCTCCACTGTATCTTCCTCATCGCATCCTTGGCAGAATTCCCCGACCCGCCCTAGGCGAGGCTTGGTCCATATTTATGAATCTTTTGGCGGAAGTCGTCGAGACATTGTCGGATTCTCTCCGCAGTGCGGATGGAGAGCGCTTGGATGTCCGCATACTCGGTGCCGAGAACAGGAGCTAGGGGTCCGGGGCCGCGAAAAATCAGATCGACCTCTCGCAAGGTTTAGTCAAGGAGCTCGATGCTCTCGACGAGATCGCGGTACTCCTTTGAGGATCCACGGCAGCTGTCGAGGGCCAGAACAATGTCTCTGACCAAGCCAGCAATGGAGATAAAGTCGCCCACCGCCCCAAATGTGAGCCCCAGCTCCATGATGGCATCAGACCTATGTCGAGGTTGGACCGTTGGTGCAGCAGCCCTTGCGCTTGCCCAAAATCTCCCTCACGAGCTTTTGCTATCGGGCGGTATCATCTTGAGCCGTTGCTGCCTGAGGACTGCCTGAGCACAGCCCTCAGCTGCACGTGCTCAATCGGCCATTTGGCTTGAGGGCGCTCTTGGCTCTTGCACCCCGCAGCCTGTTTTCATTGGTTTAGCGTGGCTCCTCCAAGCCGCCCTCAGCCTCCGCCACGCGCAACGTCGTGGTAATAGGGTGTTGCGCGTGGCGGAGGCATAACCCTATTTTGTCCTGAGATAAGGGTTGCGGCACTAAACTGCTGCTCACAAGGTCCGCAATCTCGGCATCGGTCGGACAACTTGGAAGTATGGTCTCCACCTCTTGGTGTCCTGTCACATCTCGTCGGAGCTCGGGTTTTGAACTGGCCGGCATGCGAATGCGAGGACCCAATGCGAGGACCCCTGAAAGAGCCAAGAGTCTTGGCTCGCTTCCATGCCATATAATCTCTCAGAAGTCGAAGATTACAGTGGGGCATCATGATGTGATGAAGGCCTGAGTAACCAATAATAAATAAGAGAACTATAATCTGCATACTTCATACGGATCTACCCTCTGCGGTACTCTCAACTTTTATTAAGGTAGTTGCTGGAAGGGGTTTCTCCATTATGATGCGATGCTCCACCTTAATCCTCGAATTTGGGAACTTATTCGGGAATGGTGTGTGGTGGTAGTTTACAGGGGGCGGATCCTCGACGGGCGGTGTGTTGGGGATCGGCAGCGTCCCAGCATGACGGACTCCCGCCATGTCAATTTAAGGTTGACGCCAACAAACGACCAAGCACCCTCCCACAGGCACCGCAGCAGGAAACTCGATGCGCAGGACAAGTCTCTTCTCGTGGGATCGTGCGAGCAATCCGCTCCTGTCATCCGGGAGGGAGTGTATGCAGCCCCACTTCAGCCGGGGTTAATGGGGATAACAACACCAACGAGGTGGCTAGGAGGACTCGGGTTTCGCGGCCGAGTGCGTGCTTGCCCGATGGGGCTTCGCGTGCTCGGACGGGCGCTTGCATTTGTCCGTCGCCCGCCGTCGAGTGTTAGTATGGATGTCGAAGGATGGTAACCTTGAGTGGGGACAGAAACCCTAAACCCGCGGGGTTAACCTGTAAACGGGCTGCCGCGGGCCCATGTCTCTGCCCGCTTCCGCCCTCAGCTGTCAAATAGGGGCCCGTCAATTAGTTCTAGTATCGAACTAGCACTGACGGGTTTGGGGAATGGACGATTTGTGTACATGAAAGCTACCGAATTGTCCCTTTCACGTGTTGTTTGTAAGCGTATTTGGCGTTCTCGGCAAGGTACCAGCCATGTACATGCAAAGCGCCTTCTAGTTCCAAAATCCAAGCACTAAGAGCCAGCCTCTCCACCTCCCGTATGTTGCGGGCCAGAGATGCATGCATACATTCTCGATCTCCCAGCAGCTTTTGACCAGTCAGATCTGTGAGCCATGGTCGGCAGTTTAAAACGTCACCACACCCGCCCCCCTCCGCTCCCTCCCTCCATCATGTCCTCGCCGTCTTGTCCCAGTAGCTTGTTGCCTCGTCGTTCCACCGACCTTTTGAAGTAGTCCATCTCCGAACTGTCCTGGTACCCCACTACTGGTTCGAAGCAACATCTGTCTCCTCAGTGGCACGAGCCGTCTCTGTTTCACCGCATTCCCGTTTGGCTCCGTAGCCGCCCCCACCCGCCGCCCGTAACTATGGCAGCTTCGTTGGCCGCCAGCGTCTCCAAGGGAACCCCCCTCGACGGCGTTACCAAAATCCCCAATGCTAGTGTTCCGAGTGACGCTGCATCGAAGCCGCACCATGTCTTCTCTTCGAACGGCACCTTCTCTAAATTTAAGAACCCATACCCGTCATGGCGTCACGGACAGCCAGACCCCGGCCCAGCAAGCGTGATCTTGGGGATACTCGGGTAAGGCCGGACATCTCCCCTTGACCCCTTAACAGCCACAACTGTGTTGCCTCCTCCAAATGCTGACTAGGTTACACCATGCGTGTTATCAGACTCAAGCTTCGAGGCAAGCTTCCAGCACCCAGCACAGCACCCCCGACTGTTCCGGTTCGCAAGCCGACCTTCCTCGCCGACCGGCGGGCCTCGACTACGCTGCGGGCAACCTGGCTCGGACATGCCTGCTACTACGTCGAGTTCCCGTCGGGTCTGCGCGTCCTGTTCGACCCCGTCTTCGAGGACCGATGCTCGCCCTTCTCCTTTCTCGGGCCCAAGAGGTTCACTAAGCAGCCGTGCGCCCTCGCCGACCTCCCCATCGTCGACGCCGTCGTGATTTCGCATTCGCACTACGACCACTTGTCGAGCCCGAGCGTGCAAGAAATCCACAAGCACCACCCCGACGCCCACTTCTTCGTCGGCCTCGGCCTTGAGAAGTGGTTCCGTGGGTCGGGCATCGACAAGGTCACCGAGCTCGACTGGTGGGAAGACGCCGAATTCACCGTGTCGCCTGCTTCCCACGACCGCCGCTCGACGGCGGGCGGCAAGGAGGACAACGCGTCGCTCGGGTCGGGCTTATCCGGGGCCGGGTCCCAGCCCATCACAGCGCGCATCTCGTGCCTGCCAGCGCAGCACTCGTCGGCGCGCACGCCGCTAGACAAGGACACGACGCTGTGGTGCTCTTGGGGGGTGGCGTCGGGGAGCGAGGCGGACCAGACGCGCAGGTCGGTCTACTTTGGCGGCGACACGGGGTACCGCTACGTGCCCAAGGGCTACGAGAGCGGCGAGGGGCCCGAATACGCGCCCGAGCACGCCGACCTGCCGCGGTGCCCGCAGTTCGCGCAGATCGGCGAGCTGCGCGGGCCGTTCGACCTCGGCCTGCTGCCCATCGGCGCCTACAAGCCGCGCCAGATCTTCTCGGGCATGCACGCCAACCCCTTCGACGCCGTCGAGATCTTCCGCGACACGCGCTGCCGCCGCGCCATGGGCATCCACTGGGGCACCTGGGTCCTCACCTACGAGGACGTCCTCGAGCCGCCCAAGCTGCTGCGCCAGGCGCTTGCCCACTTCGGTATGGCCGAGACCGGCGTCTTTGACGTTTGCGAGATTGGCGAGAGCCGCGAGTTTTGAGCTTTGAGCAAAGCCATGTGTACAACATTGCGTTTCGAGCGTGTTCCTTTGGCGATATATTCATTATGCCGAACATAATTGTTTGGTTAGCCAGGGCTGGGAGGGAAAGGGGTGAGGTTGGATTTAAGTCCGCGTAAGATTGAGCGATATTACTCTCCACTGTTGGGGCAAGGATAAGATGGCCGGGTTGGGCGTTCGGCGAATGCGGGCTTGCACAGCGAAGACGGGGCACACTTATAGTAACGGGTGCCGAAGACTAGAGTCCCTGGCAAATGCAATCAAGAGAATGTGTCCCCAATCGGGCTTGTCAGCCGAAAAGCTTGTGATTATTGATACACGCATTGCTGATTCTCCTCCGAGAGGACCAATCAAAAGTTCTATCTAGTTCCAAGTAGCTCAAACAACAGCAGCAACCAACACTCCGCTCTACCGCAGCCCGAGGTTCCACCAAGCAAAAGCCAAAGACCGTAAAAAACAAGGTGTAAAGCCCATCCAAAAGGTGAATCATTCTGAACTATCCGCCCAGTGTCCATCACCATCGTATCTATTTATTCTACCTAACAGGTATCAACCCAAACAATATCCAACATGAGATCCTTCGTGAACGCCGAGCAATGTACACACCTCTGTCCAGATGACTGAAATGCGAAAAGAAAACCCAGTTCCCGACCCAAGCCTCAGTGGTACAGAAACAAAATCCTACCACAATCAATTCATACACTCGTGAATCCTTAATCCGATCCAGTCCAGTTAACCCTAACACCAACCCCGTCCCCGTCCAGTCTCATCCCTCAAGAATACCGCCTCGCCCGCCGGCGACGCACGTAGTAGTAGTAGTACCGGCCATTCCTTCTGTTGTCGTCATCCTCACAGTCGTCCTCGTGGTCGTAGTACTTGGCGGCCTCGCACGCGGAGCGGCCGCAGGTGCCGACGTACGTCTTGCCGCGCTCGTCGCCTAGGTAGCAGAAGCGCCGCGAGCAGAGCACGAGGCGGTTGCGCCGGAAGTGGCCGCACTCCCAGTAGTCGGCGAACGTGGTGCACATGGTTGTGGTTCTCGCTTGCGGTGCTTCTGAAGAGTTTGTTTGTTGTGAGTGTTGTTGTGAGTGTGCTGTGTCACTTGTGTGTGTATTTGGTCTTGACGACTCGAAACTGAGAGGCTTTGCGTGAGCAGATGTGTTCGCTGTTTGCGGTGGTGGAGGAAGGCGGAGAAACCGGATGCAACCATAGGAGCAACATACGCTCACTTTATACCTGCAACTCAGGCATCAGAAACCTCTCTGGAGGCCAACGATATGGAAAACCCCATACCGGGAAGAACACCCGTCATGAGCTAGACTGAGTCACGGCGGGCAGGGGATCGGATGGCGGCTATGTTGGAAGTAAAGCACAAGCAGAGCCGCAAAATGCCTTGCCAGCCAGGCGAGAGACACAGCAATCCAGAAGCAAGCAAGCATGGTGACTTGCAGTGCCTGGAAGCCCAAGGTCTGCTGAGGAATGCACAGACAAGTAATCAAAAACCCGGGGAAGGGGGGGGCTGTGGCCCACCTGATATGCCGGCCGTTTTGACGGGCCAGGGTGGCTTTGCCCTGCGCGAACCCTTGCCCAATCATGCGGGCAAGGATAATGTACCCGACTGACCGACACTCACCTTCAGGGCCACGGCGGACAACTTTGACGGGAGCTGGGTGAGCCAAATTACGATATGAGATAAGATAATCTGAAAACTGTGTTTACGGATTACATTCATTTTCATTTTCGAAAACTGCATTCCCATCTCAGATCCCTGACTGCGAGCGATGGAAGCTCAAAGCTAGCCCAGGCACCCGTCGTCTGTCATCTGCTTTGGCGCCGGCAACCGACCGCAAGACATGAGCTTTGCACAAAGACCATGGTATGTATGTTCCGTACATAAAATACCAGAAGGCCGGATTTCCACAATTGGACGCGCGTGTGCAGAAAATTCTAGGGCTTGCCACAGTCAGTCACTGCGGCTCACCGAGGTGTGTGATGACAGAACGTGACGGTGGCCTGGGCGGGCACAGCCACGAAAGCGGCCACACCTGCGTTGCGGCCGCCCGTTGGCTCCCGCCTTGTCGAGCCTGCCACGGTCCCTGCCGTTCGTCGTCAGCACTCCTTGCATTAGCTCCCTGCGTATCTGATCAATCTGTGTTGAGAATGGGCACGCACTAAGAACCCAGATTGTCTAGGCAGGGGAAACACGTTTTCCCCGGGTTAATTCCCGATGTATGCACAGTAATCTAATCTTGAAAAGGTCGTTGTTGCGGCGACAAAGAAGGCTCGTCTACGGCGCGCTCAAAACAAAACTGGTGCCTGCCACTCGCAGCCTGTGCAAGGCAGACTGGCATTCGGATCTGACCTAGCCAGGCGGCACCCGGCCCGCTGGAGTCACCGCCCAGCTGTGTGCTTTGCGTGTTCTCGCCAGTCCGTAATGCGCCCCGCAACTCGTGATGCCTCCTAGCGAGGCGAGGCTCCGAGACACACCACGAATTCTGTGCTTTGCAGGGGAGTTACTGCTTAACGTATAGTGCAAAAAGGCAACGACGTCCATGTTGGGTTGGGGATGGAATTCGGCCACATGCTCTGTCTGACCAAGGATTGGACGATCCGCTATGGCAAGCATAGTACCATCTTCAGTAGCCCTTCTGTAGCTCTTCTGTCCGTTATTGCTTTCACCACGTCTTTACTTCAGTTTCCACCTCCCGTTGCCAGGCGAATCAAGGTAGGGCCCTCTGGCAGCCCTAATAGTAGCCTAGCCTCGAAGAATTTCTCATTCTATTTAGCCGTCCCACCCCTACGGATCGGTTCAAGCCTTCGCCAGTCCCTATCATAGCCCTAAAGATACTTATCGTCATATATTATGAAGAATTAGCTTGTCGACTAGGCAGCTTGCGAGTTTAATCTAATCAATCCCTTTTAGGACGTGGCTGTAAGAGAAGGCAGGTACGCCGGATTAAGGTGGTCACAATGGAGGCAACAGAGAGGGCGAGCAATGACTGGTATTGGTGTAAGACTTCAACCTAGCCCTCGCAAAGGAAGGAGGCGACGGCCACTGTTTATATACATGCTCAGGGGCTCGGTCCCGGGTGTGCTTGTGAAGGCAGGGCGCCCCGCGTTGGCTTAGTGGCTCATGCCAGCCAGCAGCAGTCTGGCCAGTTGGTGCCAGGTGGTGGGCGCGCGCAGGGGTGCGCGCGTTGACAGGTACTTGGGGTGCTCTTTCCTTACAGTAGAGTTCTAGGCTGTGCACTAGGGAGGGTGACCCTTTTTTTTAGCCCAAGCTGTCGGAAGAAGCCGAGGGTCTGCATACGTGGCGCACTCACTAAGCCACATGTGGCATAGATCAAAGGATGCATACAAAGTAGGGTATCTAGGCTATGCCCCTCCTCTTTCCTTCTAGAAGAAAAAGGCACTACTTTCTCCTCAATTGATGCAGTGTTGTATGTAACACAAGCCTCCGTACCTATCTAGCTCATCTAGCCACCCACCTATACTATCTATAGGGGCGGTTCGTCTTAAACTAGTGCCTCTATATACCTAGTAAACCACTGCCACATAGTCCTCGCGGTTGCTTTAGATAATCTAAATAACATGGTAGGCGCACCGGAAGATAAATAACCGGATACCACAGCCTAGCACTATAGCTCCGAACCCTCGCGTAAACGACTATAGACTAGGTAGGCACTCGCATAGCGGTACGACTGCGGAAGTAATCGTGATTCCTTGCCAGCGCCCACAGCGAGCTCGACCAGCCCGAAGGTGCCTAGCAGCGTGCCGCGGCAGGATGTGAGAAGACATTTCGCGGTTTAGAATACGCATCCTCAACAACGAAAGGAGGCCTAGGCCCGGAAAATTACAGAAGAGAGCCGCAAAGCGTCCAAATTCGCAAGACACCTCGCAATGGCGCTGAAGATAGTTGTGATCTCAAAAGATGAAACATGAGCTTGCTAAAGATGTAGCTGGCAAATGTAATCTAGCGCCTTTTAGGACGTAACGTTCTCAACCTTATCTTAGGAGTGGGGGTAATTCTTTTTTTACCCCGAGCCTACATCCGCATGCAATCCTTTGTATAGCGATGATAGATCCCGGCACCTACTAACAACCAAACTGTGACAATTTTATTTAAACTGTCAATTCACAGACTTTTGAGCCGATTGCTCCTGCAAGAGGGTTTTCATAGGAGGTCGTTACTAGGTAATTATTAACTAACTCTCTCAGGTCTATCCTACACTACTCCAGGCCACTGAGGTGGTAGTTATCACTAGCGATCGCACTGTAACTCTGTCAAGACATAGTAAAAAAGTGATTTCCCAGCTCTCTCGTTTCGCTGATCTCCGCATCAGTGGCTGGAAGCGTCAAGTCGATGATGGCTTTGTTCTTCGAGGATTACGTATTCGACGTGTTGCTGTCATCAGTCCACATTGCGGGGGTGTGCTCGTCCTCTCGCTCGGGGATGTATCCAGCCTTGGTGAAAATCTGGCCGACAAGACGTCATATCAGCATCATCCATACTAGCAATATTTATTTCAAGAGAACTGACCTGCTCAAAAGACCCCGGCCCGCTGAAGAGCCTGCTGTGTACTGGTTCCCGATGTGGTTGATCCGAGTCTCCATATAATTAGTTGATGGAGTTGTAAATATCCGAAACCACACAATCATGTCTCCATGCTCCCTCAAGTGCATCCCCAATGGGACTGCTGGGGCCACCTCGAGGGGCCTCCAACGCTCTCATCTCTCGAAGTTCCTCTCTGGTCCCAACAAGAGTATCTGCTTCATCTCGAATTTCTCTTAAAAACTCCGATTCAGAGTCAGAATCCTCTATATTCTCGAGATCTTGTGAGGCGAAGCTGAGTTGTTAGAGTACAACTCACAGCGCTAAACCCGCGATCGGTAGACTTACCCAGATCCTCTGCGATATCAGGTATCCTGAACTTTTCTGGTTCGGTCTCTGATGTGAGAAAGTTGAGAATTGTGCCGTTCCGAGCATAAACAGGGTCGCGTACGTCCTTCCGGTAACCCAGTTTGAGCGCGTAAAGGAGAAGGTAGGCAACGGGGGGTGCTCTGTCTGTGCTGTAGCGTCCATTCATCGATGCAGCCGTAGAGTCGCCTACAGCTTCTGCGAGTGCCGTGATATCAAATTGCGCACTCCTACTCGGCAGAGCCTCGCGGAGTTCAATCAGTTGTCTAGCACCTTCCACCTACTCTACAACTTCTCTAGTACTAATTACGTAGAAGACCCAAAGTTCTGTAGCCCACTTGAACGTAACTTCTGATAGACTATATGAAATCTCTTAGATATCCTGATCTAACAGTCAAACTCTCGGTGATACTCTTGCTCTCTCAAAGCTCTACACAGCTAGTTGCTAAAGCCTAAAAGCGTCCCAAACGTTCGCCAATATTTCTTTGGGTGCTCTACGAACAATGCGAGCTTCATGGACTCGATCATAGATGGTTCTGGTGTTGTCAACTCCAAATTTGCCGATGAGTGACCGCACGAGATCTTCGAGAGAGGCATTGTTCTGACACCAAGCCATCAACGATTCGAAGAGGTGCCACTGACCAGGTTGCCGGAAAAAGCGCCGAAAACTTGCATGTGTCAGGTCAGATACGGCTGCCGTGTTGCTCAGGAAGAGCGTAGGGACTCTGCCCCCAAGCTCTTTCCTAAGAGGCGAGAGATCACAGTATGAGCCGACCAGGAAGAGAACCTTGGGATCGCATGCGACCATTTTGAACCAGTTAGACCAAGTGTTGTCGGGGCAGATTGTGGTACCAAGCCGCAGGTAGGGACAGACATCATCGAGAATGAAAAGTTAGTTGATGTCCATGTTGCGCGGTTCGTGCTGCCGTTCAAGATGCCCGCTAAGGCGCTCGAAAGATGAGATGCACCTGATGAGCTCCGTGACTGCGGGAAACCTGGATTCTTGGGAAGGCACTCGGAGAATCCGAGGCAGTCGACGTGTGGCAGTGTTCCAGGGTTTCCCAGTGCAAGCCGTGGAACGAAGAGCTTTGTATTCTGAACTCTGAGATGAGAACTGATGCATCGGTCTTGGGATTCTCGCCCACAAAGATAATGTCACGCAGCACCTGCGAATACCGGCGACAGTAGTCCTGGCGCGGATAGCTCGGTCTTCGTCGTACATTTCCTTTAGTGAAAAGTCTTCCAGGAACCACTTCAAAAGCTTCTCGTCGTTTTCAGTAGTGGGGCATTCCATCCGCCTCTCATCAGGAGAGCGGTTCGTGGTGAAGGCCCATTGTCCTACTGGCAAGGAATCGGGACACGTCTCGGTGACTGTCAGCAGCATTGAAGCGGCCGCAGGTTCGGGGGTCAGAGTCAATCCGCTGGCAAAGGGCTGGTCGGCCATCTCCGCAGTAATGAAGGCATGCTTTGAACAAAGTCTGGAGAGTGATTCCTTCGTTAACACGATTTGATTCTTCCCGTCAAATGGAAGGTGCTGCACAGGGGGGGTGGGGGATTTGCCAGTTGAGGTCTCTTGCGTCCTACAGGCGGAGGCGATTTGGGGAAAGAGCAATAGGATCCTCACGTCACAGAGGTTCCCCACGTCACAGAGGTTCCCCACGTCACAGAGGTTCCCCACGTCACAGAGGTTCCCCAGCCTGCCCAGTGCCCAGTCACCCGTCGAGGTCGGGAAGCGACAAGCGAGAAGCTGAACATGGCAGGTGAGAGTCGCATAACATAGTTGTCCTTTCAACGGCAATTTAGAGGTGTGCTGCCATCACGATTGCCGCGAACGCCGAACAGGGTGGCGAGGCACACATGGAAGTAAAGGGTCCACCCCACCAAGCAGGCTGGGCAAGGAAGGAACCTAGAGGTACTGACCCACACAGCCAAATCCTCAACTTGATCAAGGTGTTGGAATAGCGATACTGGTGACCGCACACTAGCAGGGAGGAAGCAGAGATCGAGCGAGTACGCACGTGCAAGTAGGCACGTGCGGCGCGCGGACCTCACACACACACACACAAAAACCCGGTCGCACGCAGAACCTACCTTAGTTCCGCAGAGAGAGGGATGGAGAGGAGACACAACATTACCCCCGATAGATCTACCAACCCTTCGACCTGTACGATCCCTACGTAGTTTGAGTACCACGAACACAAGGAAAGAACAATTGATAATACAGGTATGGTACCTGCAAATTCAATTTCCATGTTCTGTGCCCGGGTAACAATGTAACGCAGCTGAGGCTCAAATCATCCTAGACTAGGTTGTGATCAATAACACTGCAGAACCAAATACATGAGCCAATTGCGCACCCCGGATCCCCTAGGTAGCCCTGTTTAGACGGACAATGAATTCGTCACCTTTTCTATCACTCTCTAATGTGAAGCGAGCACGCTCGTCTTCGGGCATTGCCTGGATGCTGAGAGTGGGAAATTCTCAGCGGAGATCGTCTCGTTCTTCTTCCGTGTCACAGTCCGACTCTTCATCTCCCTCTTCGTCCTGAACACTTAATGCTTTTGTTCGTGGTATTCAGGTCATACCACTGAGGGCCGGGTCTGGAATAGGTCGTAGTAGTACTACTATTGTTGGGGCAAAGTGATTCCTGTCTATATTGCTCTGCTTCAGAACTAAGGTATGTGCGACCTTGGCTTTGGTAGATATGTGCGCAAGTCCCGTGCGCCCACGTAGGCACGTGGGCTAGCACGTCACTTACGCCATCTCCCTCCTACACCAAAAGTACGGTCACGAATGTCGCTATTCCAACAGCTTAACCTCTGTCCCATGTTTGCAAGGACTTCATTTTTATCCCCGCCTCTTCAGCAACTCTGCACTTGAGAAGGTCCACGATTCTGTCAAGCAGAGTCCTGCGTTTCATTTTGCGGTACTGAACTACGAAGATGCGTTCTCCACAAACTGAAGCCTCGAAAAGCACCTTCTTTGCCTCTAACATCTGTCTCTCGATTACCGGGTTGCCCGAACCGCCTGGAGATGGCGGCGCACCGGAAATTGCTTGTGCAAACTGCTTAACAGGCGCCTTGGCCTTGAGCGCGACGTTGCGTTGTTCTTGGTGATACGACTCGCAGTGCAAGTCGAAGACCGTTTTGAACCCCACAACCATGTAGACCTTTCTGGTGTCAGAATGAGCCTTCAGAAATTCCTTAATCTCGTCTACGCAGTAGTCGTTAAGCCATTCGAAGATTACATAATAGTCCCGAAGTCGATAGGTGCGGATTCGTCCTGTAGTTACGTCAAGGGAAGTTTGCCTACTCCTCGAAGCCACCACGGAGAACAAATTCTCGAGAGCAAATTTGAGCGACGAGCTGGAAATGTGGTCTAGCACAAATCGAAAATTTGCTTGCTTAACTGGTTTGAGTCTGTACTAGTTGGCCAAGTTTTGGAGAGTCTCTGGGGACTCAGAGTCCTCCGGCGTTCGCAGATCCAGAAGATTTCTAGGGCCAGGGCTATGAGCCCTAAAATCTTTGGAATTTCCTCGCTAGGAATCGGATCGTCGAGAAGGAGGTAACGCCTGAGTTAAGACATGAGGTTTGTGCAAGATGGCAGTCAACGATGAAGGCGTGTAAGATGGGATTGATAGAAAAGTGGTTGTCCGAGAAGCAAGGCCCAAGTGCTTTGAACTCCTCAACCATGCACGTTTTCAACGCTTGTTTTGCAAAAAAAAAGACAGCCTAATGCAGACATGAAGTAGGTAGATGCCTTAGGCAAATAAATCAGACGCGTCAAACAGGCCTGCAGTGAAAACCCGCACAAATTTTGAACATGCCACCATTCCTCGCCCGCTCACCAACCTTCACACACTACCCTCACACACACTCTCATCTCGCCTCGCCGCCCTTTTTTCACCACCCTCACACACTCTCTCATCGCCTTCTTCTCATCACCAAGCTACCTCACACCTCTCAAAATGGAGCCAAAGCAACTCCCCATGGACCTGATCTACAGCATCGCCGCCCAGTATACCCAGCCCCGAGACATCCTCCCCCTCCTCCTGCTCTGCAAAGACACCCGCGAGCAGCTGGAGCGCCTCCTTCACATCAAGGATGCCATGATGGAGGTCCGCCTTACGGACCAAGAAAGACAGAGCAAGGGCCATTCAGCGCTTCAGTGGGCCATATACAAGCAGAACACCGTGCTGGCCGGAAAGGCATTCATGGCCATAACCCAAACCAAGCTCATCACCCGCCGCGAAGCCTTTTCCATCTTGTCGGGGCTGGCAACCGAGGGCGATTCCAGAGTACTACCGAACCATCCTTTCGACACCCAAATTGGCCATCCCCTTCTCTTCCGTGCAGTCCGGCAGGGAAACCCGATCCTGGTGCGGCATCTGGCACGGGCAATTGCTTCGTTCTGCCCGCCCCTGCTTGCCATATCAAAACAAGGGCATTATGCGGAGGGTGCCGTGTGCCTGGACGATGCTGCCGCCACAGCTGCCTCTGAATTGGGCTTCATCCAACCGGGAGATCTACAGCCGCGGCCTGGCATCTGGCACGGCCGTTCTACCGCACTGCATGAGTGCATCAAGCTAGGAAGAGACGACCTCCTCGATATCTTGCTCTCGGCTGGCATCCCAGCAACCGCAGGCAGCCCCTCACCCCTGCACATGATCTGTTCTCCCATCCTCGCGCCGAGACGGCCCGAGATGGCCAAGGTTATCCTCGCTCACGGAGGCAGTCATCTCGCCGAAATGAAGCACGAGAGCCACTATACGCCTCTCCAAACGCTTGTGTGGGGGTTTCCAGTTCAAGACATCAATCCAGTCCAGGAGCTTCTCGAGCTGCTGATCTCCCACGGTGCCGACATCAACAAGCCCTTCCCTGCCGCCGCCGGAGCCAACCACGTTTCACCATTGCAGAAAGTCATCGCACGGAGCCACTGCCACCAGATGCAGCACATGCAAGCACGTCAGCTCATTGACGTAGCATTATTCCTCATTCAGAATGGGGCAGACTGTAAGTAGTCACCTTTTATCATTGCCTAGCCAGGTCTCCAGGATTTCTTGCTGATTAACTAAACTAATGCGTAATTACTAGGGACCTTCCGATATCTCCAACCACTCGTGTCTCCGACGCTCCTCGACATGGCTATCAGGAAAATCGGGCTGTGCAAGACGTCTGGTTCTACTCTCACCGACGTGTAGCACACGCTCTCCTTTCAGGAGCAGCTGATTAACACAATCATCGACGAGGGGATCAAGAGGGAAGAGGCCGACGAGCGTGATATGTTGACGGAGTATCTCGACTACCTCGCCACCAGATACTACGGCTTCGTCAAGATGGGCAAGAAAGAGTGCAGGGAGTTTGACCTGGCGAAATATCTCGTCAGAAATGGGGCGTTTCGCCCATACGGTATGGAGGATGCTCTGTGGCACCGGTTGAACTAGAACTAGAACTAGTTCTAGGCAAAGCTCGAGGTTAGGTCGAGGATGAGAAGAAATTGTAGAATTATTACGCACAATGCAGTCAAAACAAGTGCAGTGAAGTGATGAGTTCTACAATCCAATCCCTGAATGTTTGTTAGCGGGGGGCTTTCCAAAATCTGAAATGCCTCAATTCCTTACGTCTCGCCCTACATGCTTTCCGCCGATGGTGCTAAGAGCTATTGGGATCCCTATTTTGAAATCTTAGATGCCTAGTTCATCTCTAAAATAATTAGGTGCTAAGACTGAACTTGGAGAAACCCCCAGTATCAGCTAATATGAGACATACTAGAAAGCCTCTCGGCTCAAGAATCCACCGAGACCCTCAGGTCATGCCTTATTTCTCATCATTACGGATTTCTCCATTTTGTTCTCCCCGCCTATACGGTATTACTAGTCCTCGTCTCTCGTGTAAACAGCTCAAGACTAACCACAAAGGTCTATAGATAGTTCGTGAGGCGTGAGCGACAACTAACTATACTATACCCCACCCCCCACCCGATCACCCTGCCACCCGATCACCCTGCCACCCGATCACCCTGCCACCCGATCACCCCTTTTACACCCAAACACCACATCTTTGAACAACAACTACGTAGTCAATTATGAAGCTATTCACAAGCCGTTGCCAGATTTGGCTAGCCGTATGCATGTAGATTAAGCTTAATGTAGATTTGTCAGCCCACAGGCCCTAAAAATTTTCCCTGCTCGTCGCAAATTAATTGCAACTTAGCTTCCTTGTGTTCCCTTATCCCTATTTTAAGTGTGTATACTGTTGTACTACCGCAATGCCTACCTAGATGTCACGGATAACAAGCTTTCTATTCGTCAGGCTGCTCAAAAGAACGGCGTACCGTATACAAAATTGAACGACAGGCTCAAAGGCATCCCTGCCAAAGAAGAGAGCCTCCAAACTCAACGCAGGCTAACAGAGCCTCAAGAAAAGAAGCTCATTGAGTGGATCATCAAGCAGGAAAGCCTCGGCTATGCGCCTGCATACTCACAAGTTTCTAGCATTGCTGCAGCGCTCTGCAAAGAAGTAGGGGATCTAGAGCCTATCAGGAAAAACTAGATTATTGGCTTCAAAGCCCGGAATCCCGCCATTCGATCCAAAGTCGGAAAGAGAATGGAAGCCGCTCGTTTTAACGGGTTTACTCCTAAGGCTGTTAACTGGTATTTCAGTATCAGGGAGAAAGAATACGGCTGGATCAGTCCTCGGCTCACCTTCAATATCGATAAGGCTAGTATTATGGCGGGCTTTGGTAAGGAAATAATATCTATTGTCTCTTCTGTTACTTATACTATCTAGGGCTTGATTCATTGGTTCTAGGGACTGCAGAAACGAAGAAAACCTACCTAAAAGCGATCAAGGTCGCGGCTGATCTACCATAATCGAATGCATCGGTGCTACGGGTACTCTACTCGATCCAGGCATTATTTTCAAAGGAAAAGACCTTCAGAGCTCCTGGTTCGAGCAGGAGATGCAACAAATCGTACCCTGGCACTTCGTTACCACTGAAAAGGGGTGGACTGACAACCAAATCGCAATTAGCTGGCTTGAGGATATTTTCCTTCCACAAACCAACGTATTACTAGAGTACGATAGCGAAGCCCGGCTTCTTATTCTTGATGGCCACGGCAGCTATACAACTGTCAGAGATAAGTCCCGTACGCTTCTTCGTCTAGTTATCTCACAATATATATGGGACGAATTCATGACGATATGCTTTCTCAACAATGTATATCTATGCTTCCTACCGGCCCACACCACTCACGGCTTGCAGCCGCTTGACAACGGACCTTTTAATGCCGTTAAAGCTTACTATAGACGTGAACTAGCCAAGCTGGCTAGTTTAACTGACGCGGCACCAGTTGATAAGCTGAACTTCATTCGTTGCTACGAGGTAGCCAGGGAGGAAGGATTCACGGAAAAGACTATCAATTCATCGTTCCGGACGACTGGGAATTGGCCAATTAGTAGGTACAAAGCCCTCAGGCATCCAGAGATTCAGCAGGACAAGGAAAAGACCCCTGAGCCTCCTATGTTTACCGGAGTCCCTGATACCCCTACTACAGGGCGTCAAGTTATGGATCTGAGCAAAGGGAGCAGCCCGAGTACAAGAAGGAAGTTCCAGAAGGCGGCCCGGGCCGTTGACAAGCTTCAAATGGACCTGGTTCTCAAGAAGACTCGGTTCAAAGCCCTTGAGGCTGAATTGAAGCGTCTCAAACCCAAAAAACGCAGGAAAATTCCTAACCCAAATAAGCGATTCATGGACTGAGGGACCATCTTACTAGGCGGTCAGGTTCCCGCAGAGCCTCGAGCAGAGCCGCAACCTGATGAGATGGAAGATGAAGATGAGGACGAAGATGACGAGGATGAGGACGTTTTACCGGCAAGAATGACCCGATCTGGCCGTGCAGCACAGTCGCTGTTCAAATATTTACTATTTTGGTGTAAAAATGGTGATTGGGTGGGGGGGTGGGGTATGGTAGCTGGCCGTCGGCGACGTTGCGCGATACGTACCTCGAGGCGCTTCAAGGAGCAAAGCTCAGAGCCTTGGTCGACGGAGACAATGAGCGCGTATGGAGGAAACGGACATGCTAGTAGACCTGCATAATATGAAATGGCAGAAGTGCCGAGATTAACTGCTAGCCGACTTTTTAAGACTTATACGGAAAACATGAAAATCCGCGACGAGCAGATGCGCAAACTACAGGCAAAAACGTCGATAGCCAAACCCAAAGCCCCTACAACCCAAGCAGCAGCCTAGACAGAAACGATCATTGATGTGAGAGCGTAGGAAGTGAATGGAATGAACGAGGAATCTATCTGCCTACGGAGGAAGAAGGAAAGAAGCTAGGTATGGTTCTAGCCTCTCGACAAGGTTGGCTGGCATACCAGACAAGCAGGGCAGTGGTCCATGGCAGGACGAGAGAACACGACGAAGAAGCCCACTAAAAAGATGATGGCGGGATATCTCTGGGGGCTTGGATGAGCCAACCTAGTCAGTCCTATTCCTTCAAATGTTGCGCGTATCGTATAGGCATTTGAGGCCTGCCCAATATTTCTGGTCGGGCTAGCCTGTCGAGCTTGTGCCTTCTTCTTGACTAGGTTACTATTAGTCCCATTAGTATATACCAAAATCTCAGGTCCTCCGATCCCTGGGACCCCGATTTCATCGCAGTTCGCCGCGGCTTTGGCGTCCCCTACTGCCTTCCAGTTAGTCGTTGACTGGGAGCTCATCTGGTGGTGTGGTCGATTCTGGTTTGAGCGTTTCCGCTCGATTGTCACCGAGGTTCAGGTTTGCCAACCGTTTCTCACAAATGCAAAGCTGGTGTTGCTGATACTCAGAGTCGTTGTCAGAGCCTTCGATTTGATGTCTGTGGCCTGTTGGAGTTCAAAGGTATCGTCTAGATTTCCCAGGCGCAACACATACAGCTACTTGAGCGTAAATAACCCACTCGCTAAACTAACGGAAAATCGCAATCACGCCTACGGGAGCTGAACAATAACTTGGATGATGTTGACATTTGCGTATCCTCTAGACGAGTTCCGGCACATCCTCCACTGCCAACAAGTAGTACATTCTTCCAACAAGACCCCAGCCCGAATACGAACTAACTGCCCATCTCGTCGTGGATAAAAGTGCAGTAATAGAAGTTGCTCACAGTAGTGTGCGTTGAATCGGACGGGAGCTGAAAGATCGGAACCACAGCCCCGTCAGCGTTTTTCCTCAGCACGGGGAGCGCGGGCCAGCCAAAGATTCCCGAGACCGCAATGACGATGCCCAGACAGCTAGCAACGACGACGAGCCAGTTTCGTACGGCTTCGTTTTGCCCTGCCAGCGTTCTGAGTATCCATTTTGTCGCCTCCCACGCTGTGGCTCGCCTGTCCTCCCCCCCCCCCCTTGTCAGATAATCAACGTGACGCGCCAGAAGATGATATCAAACACCGTACCGGGAACGACCTGAAATGGAGAATAGCCGCTGGCGGGTATCCTCGGCTTTCTTCTCGTGCCTCAATGCCCCGAGGCCTCGCTCAATTGCGTCAAAGCTATCTTGTGCTGGAGTGAAGAGGACAGTAGACTGGGTGCTCAGCGTGCCGTGTCCGCGGCTCGGATCAGGCTCTGCGGAAAGATAGGGCTTCTCTTCCGTGGAACCTAGTGGCGGGACCGGACACTTCGGATCAGTATGTGACCCCGACCGCCGGGAGACGCGATTTCCCGCTTCTGATTCAAGAGTGGTAGATGTGCCAATGGCAACATCTTCTGTACTGGCCATGGTAACAGTCAAGAACATGAGACGGGCTTGATGTAGGCCAACTATATGAAGACCGCTTGATACAGCCGATTGAAGCGAGCGGAGTTATCCCGCTAAAGAGGGCAGTGAGACTAAGAGACCACTAGCAGCAATTCTGGAAGGTGCAGGCGGCGGAAAGTATTGACCCCCTGATCAAGTTCTTGCTTAAAACAACAACGGGATATATTGAAGAAGGTACGTTCTCAACCACAATTACCATACACGAACCTTGATCGGGCCCCAAATACGCTGCTCGGCCGGACCCTCTTGTGCGGGCGTGGCAAGAATTTGAGCGCCTTCCCACCTTCAACGTCAACCAGTTGAATCCGTCGGGTCAGAAATGTTGTCTGGCCCGGGCCACCATCCCTTGGGAGCATCAACTCCTCGAGGTAGTCCGCAATGGACCGCCCTTCATTATTTTGCCGATTGATCTCGACATCTGGCCCCGCCAGCGCCTTGATGAAGCGATGGTATCTCCAAGTAAACTTCCGCTCTTTACACAAACATTTTAATAACACAGACAAAGGGGTGTCCCCGTCGTTATTGACCTCGCCAAGATCAGGGCCAGAAGAGAGTAGAATGTCGATGATTTTCTCGCTCGAGGCCGATGGCCGCTGGCCTGCCACGATGGTCACAGCTCCGTGAAGATAGAAGCCGTTTGCTGCCTGAGCGTCTCCGGACAGGGGCCGCTTCTCCAGCATCATGGAGAGCGCATCCTCCAACTCGAGAGCGATGACTCTGTTCAATATCCGTTCCGGGGAACCTGAGGCAAACTGGAGGTGATGGTCTGCGCCGCGGTCTAGTAGAGCCTGGAGAAACTGATGAGCCCCAGACGTCTTCATTGAAATCATTCTCTGGAGAAACACGTTCTTGATCAGGATAGCCAAAGGAGTGTGACCGTCCTCGTTTTGGGCGTTAACATCGGCCCCATGATCGATAAGAGCGTAAGCAAGACAAAGCTCGCCCAGCCGAATGGCTTTGGATAGGAGGCGCGTAGTATCGCCGGGAGACAGGCGAGGAAGGCCCCGCTGTGAAATGATCTTGGCCGCATGAAGCGCAAAGAAGCCGCCCTTTGTGATCAAGGTGGAGAAGACTGAAGGGTCCGAGGTCAAATGTCCGTCAACATCGAGGTCGAGAACAAAGTCCAGCGAATCCGGCTCCCCGATATTGACGATGGCCTCTTCAAACATGCTGAGCAGTTCTTCACGTTCGAGTGCTCCACGCAGGCATCCTCTGCGGACGAGTGTTTCGCATGCCTCAAGATTCCGAGCCTTGAAAGCTAACAGGAGCGGCGTTTGCTTGTCCATGTTCCTGGCTTGGAATAGCAGGCATGCGCCGGGTTTGTTCAGAAGGAGTCGCAAAGCTTCTACCTGGCGGAAATGGAACTTGTCGCCCCTCTTAAAAACGAGATGAAGAACCGTATTCCCTTCCGAGTCTATTTCTTCAAGTCGAGCGCCGCCATTGAGCAGTTCCCGGAGCGTCTGGCCCAGTGCCTCCGTCTTGTACTGAACGCCGGTCACCGGCATAGGCGGCCCCATGATCGCTTGCATTAGGGCGTTTCGGCCCACCGCATTGCGTTGTTGTATATCGGCGCCAGCCTTGATGAGCGCTTTGAGGGCCGGAACATTCTGGTGCTGGGCGGCAGCAATGAGTGGAGTATCGCCGCTGCAGTCTTTTGCGCTCACCACGGCACCCTTCGCTATAAGCTTTTCGATGGTTCTCATTCGACGGGCTCCTCCCCCTTCCTCTTCGAATACTCTCGGCACCGCGATATCGCCGACGTGTTGGGCCGAAGGCATCGAGATCATGTGAAGAGGAGAAAGACCGCGGCCGGAGCTGGTGGCAACATATCCACGTGTGACATCAGCGCCAAGATCTATTAAGCGGTCCGCGTCCTCAAAATTGCCCATTCGACACGCCTCGCCAAGCGGCGTGATGGTCGAATAAGGGAGGAAGAGCTTGGTGTCGACATTGATGTTCGCACCAAGCTCCAGGAGGAGAGGGACAGTAGAGTCCCAGCGACGGCCAGCGTACGCATGGTAGAATGGAGTAAGAGTCTTGTCGTCCCGCACGTCGACGACGGCCTGTATGCCCTTGTCTAGCAAATACTCGACGAGATCAGCAAGGCCATGTGCAGCAGCGTGATGCAGCGCCGTGGCATTGTGATCAAGATATGGCGTTTCGGCGTAGTCGGTTGGCTGTTCCATCATGTAAGAGGCGCCGCGGGACAAGAGGAGTTTGGCGGTATCTGAACGAGAATGGCAAATGGCAACGTGGAGAGCCGACCACGAAGGCGGAAAGTCGTCGGTCTGAGGACACTCTGCGGCGTTCAGCAAGCCGTACAGGCGCGTGCATTCGCAAAAACACTCGGAAAAGCAGTTTATGGGCGCGCCATGGTCAAGGAGGACTTCTATAATGTCATTATGGCCACCTCTAGCGGCGAGATGGAGCGGGTTAAAACGGCGGAGCACCACGCTAGGCATATAGGGGTCCGAAAATCGAGAATGGTCATGCTCGTCTAGAGTCGACGAGGCCGCATCACTAGACTCGGTAGACTCCCCCTCCTCCATCACTTCGTCCATCGAGATATCGGAATCTTGGTCAGAGTCGGTGAAGAAAGGGACCCACATTCCAGGGGGGTCAGCGTCGTTCGGGGGGTCGAACAGGTCGATGGTTGTGGGATGTGTGCTATCCTCCGTCTCCGCTTCGGGCGACCACTCAAGGTTGGACTCGCCCTCGTTGTCTGTTTCCCACAGCTCGTTCTCCTCGTCCTTGGCATCGGCTTGCCTTGCAGCTGTGTTTGATCTCTTCCACTCGTCGATAGCCAGGCCGTCCATGAATTGGTGATGGGGGTCCGCGCCCGCAGCAAGTGCCATCCTTAGCGTTCCAACAACCCCACAATGTGCAGCCCATGCCAACGGCCATGCATCACCCTGCGACACTGCTCGCTCGTAGAGTAGGGGGTTGACTGTGCTATGGAGCTTGCGGTTGGTCCGCGCAAGCGATGAGAGGTCTCGGAGCCTGTCCAGGTTCTCGAGTACGAAGACGATGAGCTCGGTGGGCATGCCCGCAATGGGCGGCGACAACGCCATCGCAGGCGCTGCTCGCTCGGCGCAAACAAAACAAAAATTTGCTAGCGGCGGCAAGAGCGTCAGCGCCTGGGTCGGAGGGCAACTTGCTCTGGGGCGGTAGGTAACTTGGGTCTGCAAGGACGTGGATGTGGAAGCAAAGAAGGGCGGCAAGCTCGAAGGGCGAAGAGGTACGGCTGACGAGCTGAAGAGAAGAAGCTCGCAGTGTTAGTTCGTCGAGCTGGTCCGGCAATCAGTCCAACGAGACGACGCGACGGGACGGGACGGGAGCGAGCTGATGGATGGACACCTATCGCATCCCCTTCCTGTGCTTGGACTAACCTTGCAGGACGCACAGGCGGGCTGCAGGACTGATGGGCAGGGACATGCCCCAGGTGGGCTGCTATTGGAGTGGACGAGTCACGGTGTCGGACGCTCCTTCCCCCTGAAGCGGCCCCCAAGCTCCAAACCTTCCCCTTGGGAAAGCACGGAGAAACGCTTTCCCCAGTCAGGACCCTGGGCTTAGGCTCTGCGCTGACAAGCGGTGACTGCAGGCAGTATTAATTAAAGTCTTGGGGGACCCCCATGGCAATTTTCCTTGGACAAGGGTCGAAGATGCAAGTCCCCAATTAGCCACGCGAGGTCACACACCTGCATGGCTTCTGGAAGAACTCGTGGAATGACATTTGTGCGCGGAGCGGGATGTACATAGTAGCCCAACGACACTAGGTGCGGTTTCGACGACTTCTCAGATGCGGGAAAACGACGCCAACGTCGGCCATCCTAGCTCCCTCCCCTTTACTACCCGCACATTGCTTGTCTTGGCATGTCTCATCGCCACTGGCCCGCCTCTGCTCACCACGGTGCTCTTCCATGTCCCCTCGAGAAGAAACTAACAAAAACGGAAACCCCAGGACAGAAATATCCAAGACTCCGCTTGGTCAGGCTGCAATTCTTGGTCTCGTGAGATTCGGAAGACTATTTAGACTACTGGTGCCTTTAGAATGGTCACATCAAGTGCACGCCCGGATCAGTAAGCAGCAATTGCATCATTGAAGATTCACGCATAGACCGGTTAATAGAGATTGCACATTACACAGTAGCCAACACTCTACCCCCCCGCTTGATATTGCCCGGCTTTTATAGCATTTGGTGAGATTTTGGCATGGTTCTATTACCTATTATTAGTTATTGATGATGCCATCGTGTGACATGGACTGGCCGTTTCTTGCGGGGCACTCACTCGAGCCTGAAGGTTAACCTGGGGAGGTAAGCAGTGGCAGTCAGAGTGAGGCTATGGACTACCCACGAGTAAGTTCTTGAATAGAGAGAGAGGGAGTAGGCAATCCAAGTCCATGATTACTTGGGTGAGGAAGTACTTGTATATTTAATTAGATGTGCGAATTAGCCCTGTCAAGCAACTAAGAAATCGCGGTTATTTACTCAACAGAGTGTGCCCTCAGCCGGATCAGGCCACCTACCTCCCCTCTAAAGCTCGCTACGGTAGGATGAACGTAGGTTGGAAGCGAACTTTATTAATATACGAGGCGGATGTACCACGGTAGTTGTTGAAGAGACCGGGTGACTGGTCGTGAATACCATGCGCCCCGGTAATCTAAGTTCTAGCCGGTGCAACGGCGATTCCCCACACCCGGTAGAGTAGCGGTCCCTGTGCCGCCGGCAAAGCGTGTTCGGGCCCCGGGGTTTGTTGTCAGCTGCAGCAAGTTCTTCAAGCTGATCAGCCATCAATCAAGCATAGTTTCCCCGCGAGACGAAGCTGTTGGGGCATTCAAGACGACCCGGCAGTCGTGGGGACTGCCGGTAGTGAGGGTTCCATAGGGAGTAGCTAACGAGTGTAATACACCATCTATTTGAGATTAGCTGATAAATGCTTGAGCAGTGACCCAGCCTTTTTGATGTCCTGCAATTTCTAATTACAGGAAAATAGACCGTTGATAATTAAAACATGTTATTTCAAGCAAAATTGTATGAAGATCGTTACACTTAATAAACTTAAAATCTGGCAATGTGCTATTTATTGTTGGGTGAATATCTAAAGTGGAATCTCACTTCTATATCAATCTCCAAACTCAAAATACAAGATTTGATGCCCCGAACTAAGATCTGGATTTGAATTATTTAATTAGTAAACATGATAGTTACGGGGCCACCATCATCCATTAGATATGTAAGATAGGTTGTTTGTATCCCGCTATGCTCTCTCATGCCAAACTCCTGGTAGGTAGTTGGTGGTTAGGGTGTTAAGAGCTCGCGGGTTGACCTCTATGCTAATATCTCTTCATCCCCCTAGCCTACACCTAGTTTGCAATTCTAATGTAATTAAGCCTTCACCCGGACCTATAGCGTGACTCTCATGACTTTGCTCTAATTACAGTATTCTTTTGTCTTGGGGCTCCGCCCCTTGAACATCATGAGCGTGGTCGAAGTTGGATTTCTAACAAAATAAACAGAGGCGTTGACTAAGCCCGGCTTGACTAGGACGGGATGTATGGTCTCTTCTCGTGGTTTCCAATCCCGAGGTATGCTCTTTAATGCTCCGAGTGGCGCCGGGTATTGGATACCTTAGTCTACCGCGCGCCAGGCTCCCGCGGTCCGCGAACTTGATCCAAACCCTCAATCTGCAGCTCTCTGTGAGTGTCTGTTGTAGCAGGAACCTTGAGCTTGGGTTTCATGTAAAGAATATGTTGGCCTTCACTGCGAGAGTTCGCTCACTAGCAGAGCCGACAAAAAATGAACACGTTGGTTGTCCTTCTCTTTTACATAGATCTGCGTAGAACCGCGCTCACCGGGGCGACCTCGTGTCTGTGCCATTGTGAAAGTGTTGCGACATCGAATACCATTATTGATACATTTGTGTAAACTAGTGGAACGGTGAACTACCTCGAGCCCAGGAAATAGCTATTAAATTATTCGATGATTCAAATAATCCGCGAAGAAACAGTTGGGTAACGCTTGGGTTCTTGGCGAATCTAGACAATGGGAATGCTTTGAAGAGTCACTAGCCGGAGAGACACTCCGTCGGTATCGGTATTCGTATCCGTATCCCGTACGGAATACCGGAATACAGGTCCGTTGTGGACCGGCCCTAAAGCATTTGACCAGGGAGAGACGCCCGCTAACAGGGGGCAAACCCGGGGGAAGGTTTGCGTTCGCCACGGGCAGTTAGTTATTAGCGCTGAGCGGAGAAGCATCCACTGTAGCGACCGCGCTGTCGGCGTCGGTGCATCGGTGCCGCATGTTAAACGGTTTGGTGCTCACATCCCTGTCCACAAAAAGTAGATGACGGGAATCTTGAAAGTTGAAAGGAGATAACGGCGGCAATCTCAAGCGCACGAGAATGGTGGTATTGTTGCAGACGCGTACCATGGACACAGCCACCTTTTATTGCTGGCGCGTAAGCTGCCTGAGTCTCTTGCGGGGGAGGAAGGAAGGAAAGGTGAAGATTGCTATCCGTAATATGGTCCAGCCCGATACCAACAAGCTATCCGTCTGTCAGGTAATTGCTCCGTAGCTTAGTATTTCAAGGCCTCAGATCCCCTTTTGCCATCAGAACCTGTCTGGGTGCATAGAAGCGGTCGTTATTCTAGCTACAATGGCTCGGATACTCGGAGCATGATCGTTCCGTGTTTTGAGAAGAGCCTGCCCTATTCGTTGCAAACTTGCAGCTACCTACTGCGCACGCTACCTACTGCGCACGCAGCAAATCTCGTCTTGTCCCCCCACTCTGTGCCACCAGCACCGCGTACGCACCCACCACTCAGCCCGGCAAGGCAACAAGGCCAAGACCGAGGCACCGCAGTCCGTGCAAAGGGGAAACCAGGCAGGCCGCCTTTATTTCATTTTCCCCCCTTTTGCATCGAGAGGAGGACAATTCAAGCCGTCGCGCATTCCGTTGCCCATCCCTCCAGCCGTGCCACCAGCCACCCGTAGGCGTCGCTTTGCTCGTGTTCCCGACAAAGTTTCGGGCCCCTCTATGGCTAATGGGGGAAGCTTTGAGCCGCAAGGCGAAATATCTCGTCCTTGCCCTTCCTCTCGTCTTTACCTTTCTGTATCTCACTAGAGACTATCATTCCTATGGCCCGCCCCGTGTCACTCCCTATCCCTATCAAGGTCAGGGACCCTACAAGACTAAGGGCACGCATGCCACGGGCGCTACTGTGAGCAGCTGGTGGATTGAGTTCTTTTCCCGCCTCGACGCGGCCCATCCGAACGCCGCGCCGGTCCAGATTGATGGCCGAGCTCCGAACAAGAACTTCCCGCCCCCGCCCGACTATGAGCGACCCGACATGCTCGTCCTGACGGCCACCGACGAGGCCAACATGCGCGCGTCGCATGCCGCGTACATGTCTGAGCTTGCCGAGTTCTCCCGTCACCTCCCCTACCGCCGAAACACGAATGGTATCGTCACCACGGCCGGTGCCAAGAACTTCGGCACCGTCGTGCCCATGGTGCTGGCATTGCGACAGACTGGCTCCCGCCTCCCCGTCGAGATCGTCGTCGACTCATCCGCGCCATGGGTCAGGACCCTCTGCGCCGAGGTCCTAGCCCCCCGCAATGCCACCTGCATCTTCATCGAAGACGTCTGGGCCGGGCTCGACCCTCAGCCCAAGCTCGAGCGCTTCCAGTGGAAGTTCATCTCCATCGTCGCCTCGTCTTTCCAGAACGTCCTTTTCCTCGACGCCGACGTCATCCCCGTCCACAGCCCCGACTCCATCCTCGCCCCCGGGTCGCAGCCGTTCGCCTCGACGGGGTTCATCACCTGGCCCGACTTCTGGGCCGCGGGCCACACGCGACTGTTCTACGCCATCGCCGGCGACGTCGAGGTGCCTCTGGTGGGCGCGCGCACGACCTCGGAGAGTGGCATCATGGCCTATGACAAGGCGCGGCACGCTGACACGCTCCTCCTCGCCTCCTACTACAACTACTACGGGCCCGACTTCTTCTACGCCATGATGACGCAGCACGGGCCGGGCGAGGGGGACAAGGAGACCTTCTTCCAGGCAGCGCTCGTGCTCGAGGGCCTGGGCAAGAAACCCTACGGCTACGTACCGCCCATGGGGTGGACGCAAAACGCAAACGGGAACAAGAAGGGATACTGGGACGTCAAGAAGTTGCCCCACTCACACGGGCGCACAGTCAAGGGGAATTGGAGGGGCATGCTCATGTTGCAGATGGATCCGATGGAGGACTACCGCGCCGTCATGGCGGCTATAGAGAAGGACAAGCACAAGGAGCCCGAACTACCAGCGGCGCAGCCCACCAGCGACAACGCTGCTGCTTCCGACGGCGACAGTGCTTCCGACGATAATACTGCTTCCGACAGCACCACTCCCACTGACGACAGCGATACTGCTTCTGCCAGCGCCGGCTCTGCCAGCGCCGACACTGCTACTTCCGACCCAAGCACCCCGACTACCGACTCCGACAGCGGCAACAGCAGCATGCGAGCGCGAGGGCTAGACGCGACCTTCTTCACGGACTCGAGCTTCCTGGGGAACATCTCGCACCTCAAGTTCGAGCAGGAGCCCAAGCGGTGGATGTTCTTCCACCACAACGGCTGCAAGCTCGACTTTACGCGCATCGACGAGGAGAAGGCGGCCATCGTGGCGACCGACGACGACGGCAAGTTCATGCGGCTATGGGGGAACCCGGACTGGATCATCGGCAACACGGGCCGCGACGTCGAGAAGGAGCTGTGGCGCGACTCCATGGAGGTCTGGTGCCTGGTGGCCGAGTTCGACACCGTCTGCGACAAGATGCGCGAGATCTACGCCCAGGTGTATTAGTGATGCGCACTAACTGGTGGGGTTAGTTTGAAATGTGAGCGTTCTCAACGTTGCTTTCCCCCCCCCCCCTCCCCATTGTTGAGCGCAAGCGGGTGTCTTTCTTCTCCGTGGTTATATTTTTATGGGCCGGGCAAGCGAACATGGCTGTTTCTATGGGCAGGGAGTTTGGGTTTTCTTTTTCTTTTTCTTTCTCTCTTGCGATACTAGTGTTTGTGCGGTCTGGGAACTGGAAACATGTCGCTGCTTTTCATGGGCTGGGAGAGGGTTGACTTTGCGAACAAGTCGTTCTAATAGAGCTGTAGCTGCGCCTCGTACATTTTTTTTATACTTGGGGGGATCTCCTTGTTTTGTCATATCTGTAACAACATACGTGTAACAACATATCTGATATATATCTAGATACATACTATGGTGGAGAAACGGCTAAGGGGTAATAAAACGGGTATCGATGTTGAAGCTATGTAATCTCTCTCACTCCAGCTGCCGAGGTTCGCGTATTGCCGTCCGTAATGGGCACCTGTTTACTCTGGTCCTTCCTCCCTGTCCATGTCCACACTTTTTTGTTGTTTTCTATAAGTTCTCAACCGGCGGCAAGTAGATCAAGTGGTCAATAGAGACTCCTAGAAACTGCCATGCTCACCCCAGTCTGGCGCTCGTCCAGCTCGTCACTCGTGTCATTGTCAAACAGGTGGCCCATCCCGGCCTCGTGCAGCATGAGCCTCCATCTCCTGCCCACGGCCCTGGACGCGATGAACTCGTAGAGCGAGTCTCTAAGGCTCAACGGCTTGCTCCGCCTGCCCGGCCCGACGGACCTGTGCGTCTCTTCGAGCATGTCGGGCGTCGCGAGCTGCTCCCACGCCGTGACGAAGTCGTTTTCGAGCTGCAGCCCGTGTGCCGCGAGAGCTTCCTGCAGCCGCGGCCCGTCTACCTCCCGGTGCCAGTCCAGGTTCCGGTAGTAGTTGTCACCGTCGGGGTCCTGGCTGCTGTCGTCGTCGCCAGCGTTGGTGGTGGTAGTGGTGGCGTGGACGCTCCGGGACGACGCTACGCGCCGCGCCCGTCGCCGTAGCAGGCCGATCTGCCCCCGCATCGCGAGCTGCCACTTCAGAGACTTGAGCAGGAAGCTACGGAGCGCGTCCACGTAGACGACAGTGGCCGTGTTAAGCATGTCCTGGTAGCCCTTGGAGCGCTTGAAGGCCTTGAAGTTGGCGTCGAACAGCCGTTCGTCCATTAGCAGGCCGACGGCGGAGCTGATCAGCGACGCCGTGCGCTTGGCATTGCTGCGCCAGGTTTCGATGACAGTCTCCCGAGTCTCCGGGCCGATGACGACGCCGGCGCCGGTGCCGCTCCGGGAGTGTGGTGGCGGGCGCCATGGCAGTTCCTCTCCGAGAACCGCGTACAGAGGGTTGTGGCTGGCCGTGACGATGCCCTCTTCGTTGTAGTCCGCACCGTGCTTGATGAGGACGTGCATGGCGCCGACGTTGAGAGACCGCGCCGCCTCCGACAGCGGCGACTGCGACCTTCCGCTCAACTTGTCTGTGCTACTGATGCCCAATGGAGTGTCGGGAGGACCGAGTTTCTGGGCCAGGTACGCGATCAGCGACGGATCCGAACCCGGGGCGCGACATTGCGCCAGCAGAGCTAGATAATAGTCTAAGTCGGCTGGCAGAGAGGAGGCGAGTCTGTCTACAGCTTCGACTGATGGGGCTGAGTGAAGCTGAAGAACGGTGGATAGTTCTGGCTCACCGCCGTTAGTCGGTAAGGGGAAGTTTCCAGACTTACGGTGGTGTTGCGCAGGATCCCTCGTCGGGTCATACTCCCAGGCCTTGTCGTATGTAAACCCGTTAGCCGGCGCCCACTCCTCGATCAGAAACTCGCGGCACTTGTGCGCATTGAGCTCCATGCAGATGTTTATCAGCATCCCAAGGCCGGCATTCTCGCTCGGGGTCTCTGAGAGCAGCACATCCCGGTTAGGAGACTTGGTGCTGGCAAAGTCACCAATGTCGAGGAGGTACCTGAGAACGTCGGCGTCGTCGCGTAGAACGGCCGAGTGGATTTCACTTTTCTAGTGGCTAAATGGGACCTGCAAGACGTTGAGACGCTCGCATTCCAGTCTAGCCGCCAGAAAGAAGCGTGTGTTTGCAAGGGCTAGAGCTTGCTTGTCATCGTCGGACAGATGGCCGCTTCGTAGGAGGTAGCTAAGGATCTCGGGGCGTACTAAAGGGTGATCAGGCGCGCCTCGCGGGTTATACATCTTGACCCGGGCTTACTGGCACAAGCTTTATGAGTGGCGTCTATTAAAAGCCGTCGTCCGGTACAAGTGCTGTTTAGAACCGGCCCAATGACGTATGCTTACGGCTTGTTGAGTTCTTTTTGGAACTAGACGAAGAGTTGGTGTGGCCAACCCGCTACTCAACTCGGTCCTGATAGTCGCCAGTCTTTTATGCCGCCGGCCTCTTTCAACCCTCGCCTTCGTGGCAATAAATGGAAAATAAACATGCGATACCTCTTGTTGAGAGATAACGGCGTTGTTGGCTGGTTTGCTGTTAAGGACTGATTATCGCTGAACTAGGTGCTTGGGTACACGGAGCCTTCCTTTGTCTCCGACGCCTCGTATTCAGCGCAACAGTAATGAGAGAACCCCACCAAGTCGTTTATTCTGGAAATAATGGAGTAAGATACTGGTTATGGGAGATGCCTTGTGGAATATGTAGGTAAGAAAGGGGTAGAGAACAAACACAAATGCGAAGTAAACAGAGAATCTGAGCTCGATAATTCGATAATGAAGTACGTATCCGAGTACTACAGCGTAAAGGGAAAGTATACGCAGCTCTAATCCGCCGCTTTGTCATTAACCGCCTCGAAGTGTAACGGGTAACTGCTCTATACTAGCAGCGGATTGAGTCAAAAACAACGGCACCGTTTGAGACTTGGTCCCAGATGTGATCTAAAGAAATTTATGGCACCTCGCCATACAGCCTTTCTAATTGACGGCGATAGATTTGGTGGAAATGAGCCCGCCCTTGTTTCAACGGCACGCCACGTATTGGTCGCGACGTATGCCATGGCGAGGCATGAACGCTGGAAGAATAAGATTACGATCTTTGAGCCCAAGACCATGCATAGAAATGATGGATGTTGCAACCCCTTAAACCACGGGTCCTCTTATTTAAGGCATGGGATGGTATTTGAGAATTCCCGGCCGAGGCGCTCATTTTGACAGGGCATTCACGAGAGTTATCCTTGTCCATCTTACGACCTTAATATTGGTAATTAGCTTGTTCTAGCTGATGTGAATAACCGTATATTCAACCTCTCGATGACATTAATGAGTTGCATGTCTATTTGCTATATGATAAAAGTCCTACGTAATTAGTTTGTGGTTTAAGTCACCTCATTTGGCACCTGAAAGTTCTTTGTTTATGCAATAGCAACCTACAGCCAAAGGGGGGATTTTATCCTTGAATCCGTTCCAATAGAAGGCTAATGACTTCTGCACTATAGTCCTAAATGCACAGATATCAAAAGGACCTCCACGCTATGACACTTCCCATTACATAGCTTCAAAAGCAGAATAGGTTAGTCTCGACGCTATCTATCACGTCGAAAGCTAAGCAGCTGGCATAATAAATGACGCGATATAGCGCCAGCAACGCGCGCGGCCCCCCCGCTTTTCATGTCCAAATTGAGGCCCCTGCAAAGTGGGAACCTCCAACGAGCCAACACCGCCCACACTGCAACCCTCGCTCCCTGTCCCGTTGCCGACTCCCTGATACTTGATTAAAGCCAAGGAAAACCACTCCAGGTTTTTCTAGCACGGCTCAAGTACTTATCTCATAATCACTATTTTGACGGGCTAACATGGGCGCCAACAAGACTCTCAAAGGCCACAAGCTGCTCATCGCGACGCCGTGGGAGGTGGTGCCGGGGTTTCTCGACACGCTCAAGGCCGAGTTCCCGGACCTCGAGGTCGTCTTCCACAAGATCGCGTGGGCGCTGGAGCCGGCGGTGCTCGGCGACGACGTGTTCGAGGATGTGACCATCCTGCTGACCTTCAACACGCTGCCTACGCCCGCGCAGGCCCCCAAGCTCGAGTACGTCCAGCTCATGAGCGCCGGCGCCAATCACATCCTCAAGAACCCCCTCTTCACCGACACCGACGTCGCATTCTGCACCGCCAACGGAGTTCACGGGTGGGTCGTTTCATTCACGTCCCCAACCAACACCTACCTTGTTACAACTCCCTGGCGGAAATCCGCGTTTGCTAACTGTTTCTCGATCAATCATAAAAGACCCCAGATATCAGAGTGGATTCTGGCAACGTACCTAGCCTTTGAACACCAGAGTGAGTCTCTCTTCATAATTAAGCATGAAGGAACAGTGAAAGACACAAAAGGCGGGGGAAGTGCTTGTGAATGTAATGGACTCGGCCAACTGATAATTGCGCAGTCCCCCAGTACTTGGAAAAGCAGAAGCAGGCGAGATGGGAGAGGGACAACACATTGCTCGAGGATGCCGTCAGTAAGACCGTGTAAGTTCTCTAAGCTTCGAAAAACCTTACCCCCTCCTCCCCAACTCAACTCTACTCACCTCTGCGCGACTGACATATGTGCAGCGGAATACTAGGGTACGGCAGCATCGGGCGGCAGACGGCACGGGTGGCGACGGCGCTGGGGATGAAGGTGCACGCGTACACGCTACACGCGCGGCCGACGCCCGAGTCGCGGCGGGACTTGTCGTGGGCGCCGGACGGGCTAGGAGATCCAGACGGCGTGTTCCCGAGTAAGTGGTTCTCGGGGTCGTCGACCGAGGACCTGCACGCGTTCCTAGGTTCGGGGCTAGACCTGCTAGTTATCGCGACGCCGCTAACGGACAACACGCGCCACCTGATCGCCGCGGCCGAGTTCCGCATCCTAGCCGCTCAGGGCAAGGGCAAGACGTACGTGTCCAACATTGCCCGCGGCCCCGTTGTCAGCACCGACGATATCATCGACGCCCTCAACCAGGGGCTCATCCGCGGCGCCGCCCTGGACGTGACGGATCCGGAGCCCCTGCCGGATGGACACGTGCTGTGGAGCACAAAGAACGTCATCATCACCCCTCACGTCTCGGGTGGCTCTACGTCCTATAACACGCGCGTCCTAAGCATCCTGGAACACAACCTTAGGCGCTTTAGCGAGGGCCAGGAGCTGACAAACAAGGTGAACAGAAAGGAAGGGTACTAGACCAAGGAATAGTCATGCCTGTTACTGCATTGATTTAGTTTACGGTCAAGAAGCAGTCGTTCTTGTCATTTCTGGTTCATACTATGTAGCAGTCTAGATGAGATAGGTGCCTAAGATATTCCCTATAGGCATGCGCTTAAAATCGGAGATCTAGACCCAAGTCCAGACTCATAAAATTGTGAGAATCCCACTCTATCTTTCGCTCTCTGCTTCACTTTTCACCAACTGAAAAGTGATTCCCTGTCCACTCAGCTCGTGCCCACTTGCGGGAAACACCCTAGTGAGAAAGGTCGACACCGTAAACACTAGGAATCCCAGCCCAGTTCATCAGTCTGGCTTGCGCTGCCTTGCTCGCCTCCTCCAATTCCTTGGTACTAGGCTTAGGATCGGGCATTTCTGCGGCAAGACCTGCGACCAAATCGCACATGACCCGCGTGTATTTGCAGTCTTTGCCGAAAGCCTTAGTAGCCTCCTTGGATGCTGCGTATAGATAACCATAGGCGAGGTTTCGGATATCTCCGGCTGGCGGGAACGACTTGTCCTCCCATACTCGGTGGTTTGCCGGGAGAGCTGCGACCGCAACCAGGAGACCAAAGATCTCGTCCATCTCGTTGACCCAGTCAGGCCCGCACCGACGGCGACTCATGAGCTTGCCCCGGAGGCCAATTGTCAAGGCAGGAACTGGCTTTCCCTGTCCGAGATACAGCCCGGCAATTCCCAGTCGCGCCAAGGGCAGGGGCTCGATATGGTCAGGCCAGTGAGAGACGGGAAAGGGTCGACGCGCGATAGTGCGCAGCTGCGTCTCTACATTTTCTACATTCTCAAATTCCGGGAAGAGCCCGGGGTATTTGGACGCTTTGGTGGCGCTTGACATGAGATTCAGCATGTCAGTCTGGGCTTGGTGGAGCGTCTTCAGAGTTCCATTGCCCTTAAGGACGGCTTTATGCTCCTTATTCTCGTCCTCGCAACGGGTGCCTTTCCGTGGACAAGTTAGCTATCAACGTAGTTACAGTGTGAGAAAGTTGTGAGAAGGGTGGAATTATCACTCACAAAAGCAGTCAAAGAAATGTTCGTGCTTCAAGAGAGCCCGGCGCCTCGAGACATCAATCGTCGGGTCGACGTAGCATGCAGTGATTTCCTCACCAGCGTTGATCTTCCTCAGCGAGCAGACCCGAATTTCGGAACCTTCAAAGAAGATAAATACATTTGGGTCACAGGAGTGGTTGATTGCCGTGGTAACCAGATCAAGAGCGGCGCCGACGGCTTCATTCTTGTTCGGGGGTCGGATGCTCACACAGTTGACGCTCATCTATCCCGGAATCATGTTAGTTCATGGACCATGTTATCATTGGGCGATTTGGTCATGTTCGTACCGCAGGCACCAGTCTCCAGGCTAGCCCCATGTTCACCTTGCTGCCGCCGGTGCCGCCGGTGGCCTCGCGGACCGCCACTGCAACGTCTGTGATTTGGGTAAGTCGGTCACCGAGCTTAGAGTACTCATTGAAGTGAGTTTCGAGAGCCTCGATGGCCTTGCCCTGTACCGTGGTGATAAATTTACGTTTCTGCCAGAACAGTAGACGGTGGAGCGCCAGACGGCGGGGATTCATCGTCGGCGTATCGTGCAGAACTTTGCACTCGTCTTTGTGGAAGTTGCGCCAGGCATCGGTTTGGCATTTCTGTGTCGACAAACATTAGATAATCATTCTTCAAAGAATTTTATTGTTTTTTTTTAAAAAAAAAAAAAAAATCTCCTTGTTGTCCTGGATCTGTCTCACAGGCTCACCTTTGAGCAGAACATGGCAACTTTGCAACCCTGGCAGCGCTTGAGAGGTCCAGTCTCAGCAGCTCCCTTCTCCATCTTGGGGCTGTTGAGACAGGAGTGGCAAAACTCCTCTTCACTGCCGTTGATGCAGCTGATCAGAGGGACAGAGCGGTATATCTCGCAGCCGTCCTCGACGTCCTTGTCCACAAAGAGGCCCGAACCCATGCTGATCGTAGAGGAACGGATTGCTAGCGGGACCGACGACTTGACTTTGCGCAGCAGCTCCTTGCAAAGATCTGGCTGGGTATGAAACGCTTCGCGCGGCGATGGCACGAAATCATCGGCAGAGGCATCATATTCAGCACCATCGCCGCTCTTGTCGCCGACATCGTTGGTAGCTCGTTTGACGTCCATTCTAGGCAATTTCGGCCTTCTAGCAGTGATTGATCCCGAGTGGTAGTGTGCGGGTTTTGTATTATTGGAAAGGAAAGAAGAGCATGCCGCCGATTTTAGCGCGAATTGAGGAGGTGAGGTACGATACAAGTTGAAGGCTGCAGGCAGGAAATTGATAAAGGAAACAGCGAGCCTGCACCTTCCCTGCTACTCGCCAGGAGGAAGTAATCCTGAAATTTCGCTAGGGTAAGGAATGTAGTTACCGGTAAAGGTAGGCAGGTGGACGTCTCTCCTTCCTTCAGTGGCCTGATAGCTCTCCGTCTTTTCTTTCCTTACAACACGAGGCCGGGATGGGCCAAGGATAAGGATTCTACTGCTACTAATCATGCCTACCCACCTAGGTAGTTTAGACGAGCCTGGCCAGGAAGGAAGTGTAGGATTAAAACACCCCCAAATCCCAAAGGCTAGCATCCTCAATATCCAATATACACGAGTAAGGTAAGTGCTAAGGTACCCGTGAATAATTGAATAATCAACTGATTCCTGCTACCTGTTGACTGGAAGCTGCTGCGTCCTAACTGTACAAAAAGACAGGCCCTGTTGGCCTGCAGAATCAAAACTGCTCGTAGGTCGAGTTTGCCCAGTGACTCAAAAAACCCCCCCATCATCACCCCAAGATGTATCATACCCGCGTTAGATCTCCTCAGTCAGGCGGAGGCTCAAACGTCCGTCATGGCGTATTTGAGCCAGAACGCCGCCACGCCCCTCGGCACGGCCGCCATTTTCAGCAGATTCTCATCAGATCTTTCAATTATGAGATCCAGCTTTTATGGTTCGGTGAGGTTCGGCATCATCGACGCCAGCTGGCAGTCCACGAGGCGGAAGAACCTACCAGCAAAATCGATTATGAGAAAGTTTGAACTTTCGTCACAATGAAGAAGTCCAATCTCGCGTGTCTTGCCGTCCTCGTCCGCAAATGAAAGGGCGCAGAAATGGTCCCCGCAACCCGAGGCGAGCTGATCTTTAATTTGTTGCGTGCTTGATCGATCCGAGTCGCCAAGAGCAGCCGCCAGCTTTCCAACTGGGAGCTCTTGGACGGCGAGCTGCGCCTCCGGTCCGAGAATGCTACCGATGTTCCAATTCTCTCTTGGGGCATCAGGCATCGCACTCTCAATATAGCGGCAAAGTTCGCAGACCATGGTCGCGAGCAGTACTCTTCTTGCGCTCAAGACGCCCCTGCTGATTGTTGGGCGGAGACTCGTCATCGTCTCGACCAAGGCTATTGCCGCCTGCGGCGGCGAAGAATAATCTGCGGACATCAACGAAGTAACAAGCTCAGCTATTGCTTGAAACGGCCTAACCTAGTCCTCATCTTGTAGGAACGGTAACAATAGGCAAAGCTGCGCGAATTTACCTTCGAGACTTGGCTCCAGCGTCATTGGTGTGATGCGTGCAGGACTCCACGATTCCCGGGCCTTCCAAAATCCCGGCAGTTGAGTTGCGTCGGTACGAGGGGTTGCAGATCTGCGTAACCTGAATTGTGCAACAAACTCAACAATGGCTTTGTTATTAGTCTGCCCATTGATGCGAAATAGCTTTCCCAAAAAGCTGGCCAGCCCAGAGCAGAGCTTATCGAGCCTCTCAGTCGGATCTGCTAACTGGACGCCATCGCCCCAGATCTCATCCACTGCTTTCTCTTTTATATATGGTGTAAGCGCTGGTGATTGAGGCGGAGCGATAAGAGTTTGGGATGAGTGTCTTTGCTCTGTGAGCGCCTCGGTGGGTTCCTCCGGGACCGGGTTTGGGACTTCGGCGGCGTCGCGTTCCTGAGTGAGCCTCTTTACTTCTAGATTCATGAACTCGCAAGCCTTTGCCAGTGCCATGAGCTGCTTCATAATAGTGGCGACGGGGTTATGAGACTGGTGCAGCTGATGAGAGTCACCCAGGGTATTCTCGATCTCTCTTAGATCTGAACAGATTGCGTTGATGGATATGCGGATGAAGTGTGGAAGAATAAGATCTCGACTGAAATTGTCTTCGCCACTCCGGCTCTCAGAAACTCTCGGCTTGGTAGGATACTCAGACTTGGAGCGGCTACCGAGTGCGCTCTCAGCAGGGAAGTGGACGGTATAGTGACCGAGACTGAGAGTAGGGCGTTCTGGTATGGAAGCGCGGTCTCTTGTTGAGGCCTGATTGAAGACGCGGCCTGTGGTGGGTTCAAAGCCGTCATCATCTTGCGCCTCAGACCCCGAAGAAGTATAGCCGGGTGTCAAGTCTTTGCGTGCCCCCTTCTTCGGTCGGGCTCTCGTCGATGGTGGCAGTGGGCAGGCATTCCAACCAGCACCAGGTCTCTCCATTCTGGCAACCCTGTCGGTGATTAAGGCGCTTCAACAAATGTCAATTTTATGAACGCAGTATTTGCGCCGCATGCTGGCAAAAATCGCTTAGTAGGCCAAAACTCACCGTGTGGAGAACAGTCCTCGCGCTTTCCCTAACCTGGGATGCTCCTGCTGGGGCTGGGTTGAGCTCAACGGGAAGGCTCCTGGGATTCCCTGCTCCCCCTTGTGTGCCCCTGCTGCCTTACTTTCCGGGTGCCCGGGTATTGGAAAAGAATTGCATCTGTTAAAGTATGGCTAGTTACAGGGGTTGTAGGGTCCTAAGGTGTTGGACACTACAGTGGTGTGGTTGGTGTTGTGGACACTATTGTTAACCAAGCCCTACAGCACCCCCTACGAGCCTCGGCATACGTAAGGGCCACTTACGTAGTCTATAGACCTCTAGAACCTTCTAGAGGGCCTGCCCTAGGTCTATATTAAAGCTTGTCCTTTCCCTTAGATATGAGTTCTACAGACCGGTAGCAGCCAGCCTGCTTCCCTCAAGCCTGCTTCCCTCAGTGCCCTACACAAAGCACTGTTGTAATGGTCGGCCTACCCTGTACTTAGTCGAACTACCTGCACTTACCGATCTACCAGGCCTGCACTTGGCTCCCGCCTTCGCTGCCGCTACCGCTCCGCCAGCTACAGTACCGAGCCCACTGTAGCACCCTGCACAGGTGCCCTCTTACAGGCCTGTCACGCACGCAGTTTAACAGCATCAATACAGACACAAGATGTTCGTGACGTGGATTCGGTAAATAATACTAGAACTACATAGAATGACGGTTCTGGATGGGTTGAAGATGCTGTTTTCGTATTGATACTGGCTTCTCAATGCAGCCTTCCAAAAGGTGGGGAAGAATATCTCGTGAGGCACCCCGCGCAGAATCAACGCTTGGACCACCTGCTTTTCTCCTGGCTAATAACCAGAGCCTCGCAAACTCCATTCCCGCCACGTTGGATCATCTGGGTGGGGGAAGTCCCAGGTTGCTAGCCAGTGACTTTTATGACCGATTGGGGTTTTGGCAACTTGATTACATATGTACCTTCAAGGTTATTTATACTAATTACCCCGAACCTCATTATACAAAGACCCTTGCAGGCTTCTGTAAACATCTGGAAGTCACCTACTAAGCTTCCGAAAGATGGGTATCCCAGATACCGTGGCTTGCTCTTCATCATGGAATGGCAGAAGGTATGATCTTTTCCGGAACACGTGTTCTATATCCTCAGCGACAAAGCAAATGCCTGAACCCCTTGAAATGCCAAAAACGCTCCCCTTGCTACGTAACCAGGCCCTGGGTATCCCGCATTCTAGCCGTATCGTGTTTTATCTTCACAAACAAACCAAGCTCTTTCCGATCCCCCGACTTTATCTCATCCCTTTCCTCTCACAGGCACGCATAGGCAGTCTGTGTGCCAACGGGAAGTGTAGTCGTCTTCGTAAAAATGCCTGGGGGCCCGTAACCAGCAAGTGCTGTGCTGATAACCAGGGGACAGCCACCGCAGTTCAAGAACAATGTAGTTGTCGTGTATCTTGAATATCTCGTCAGAGTCTTCCCTGCCGACTGCTGCGGCTGCACCACGTATGTCGTCGGGCATGCCGCGACTGCCTGGTCAACCTGCGGGCTCCGGCGATCCGCCTCCCTCGGATTGAGATCGGGTGCTGTTGTAGATGTTGGGAGCGTTGTGATGATGGGAGAAGGGCCAGGGTTTGACATCCCAGAAACTTGAGGACCGCCAGCTGTCACGGACATAGGCGAGCCCCTCTCAACTAGCTCATCTGCGGCCGTCGACAGGCCGCATAGCGTGCTCCAGTACGTGCTCGGCGCAGCCACCCGCTCCGAGTGGTTTATCCTTTGGTTCGGGCAGAAATAAATGTCTTTTTTGACGTAAATATTATCACATCCGTGACAGTCAACCCGCTTGTAAAGTGTTGTCGTAGAAGGGTAGACTGTTTGAGTCTCGTCCCAAGAACATGGGCTCACAATGTTTTCTGTCAATGTCGTCGTACATCCTTTGGCCTGAGGGAATGCGAGACCGTAATTAGGCGTCGGCGTGAGAGTAAGGCCAGGCAATATAACACTGTTGCGGCCGGGAAGGGATAATAATGTTTGGGATGACTGGTGATCGCGAGATGCCTCTGGAAGCAAAGAGGTCGCTAGAATTGGTGGGGAAAGTGAGGTGGACATTACGATTTCGGTCACGCTCGCCGTCATCAACACCTGGGTGTGCTTTGGCGGCGATGGTGCCAGTCTTGTTGATGCCGGTTTCACTGCCCCTCCAGAGCTAAAAACTGTGGACGTTGGTATTTCCTCTGTGACCCAGAGAACTGGAATATCTGAAGGGAACGGCGGCGCCTCATCTTGTTGCACTCCACGCGCAGCAACGGGAGTCGACGAGACGCGGGCTATGATTGCCGATAGAAGAAGGAGCCTTGAAAACTCCATAGTTGGCCGACAGCTGCAGATTCTGCGTAGCAGAGGATGCCGACTCTGCCCGTTATCGAATATGCAGGTGAGCCGTCTCGTGTCCAGCCCATAGACGTTGTCTTCGGTGCAGCCCGGGTCTTTATAAAAGGGCGGCGCACTTCGCCGAATGAGACTCGGACAGAGGTTCCCGAGTCAGCAGACTAGGAAAGAAACGACAGACGTAGGCGGTTGGACCATTGCAACACAAGCGTCCCTCGGGGTGTTACAGTCGCCTTTGAGGCGCATCTCTCAGTGGCGTGGAATGCTCTGGCGCTGCACTGATGCGGTACACCGTGGCGTGCTTGGTGCGGCCAGGGGCATGCTGAGAACCCGGATGGTGGGCCGAGGAGCGAGAACGGCGAAAGCACCGGGGTCGCCCTACGGGTTGAATGAGACAAAGCCTCTCGACGCCTGCTGATGCGCTTTCCTCTTCTTTTCGTTGGAAAGTTTGTTTAGAGTCCGGCCTTGGGAGGATGCAGCGACGCAGTCGGTTTTGGAACCGCAACTAGGGTAAAGATTCGGGACCGAGGCCAGCCATATATTGCACTACTATCAGTATTTTGGATTCGACAGGGGGCATTTTCGCCGCAAGAAACAATGGCCAGCCAAGCCGTTCCCTAGTGTCTAGGGACGCAGGCGGGTAGAGTGGAGGGGAGGGACTGCCTCTGGAACCTGCCGATGACGGGTTCCCGCCAGTATCCATGGCTCACATTCAACACGTGAATAGAAGCAGTACTGGGCAAGACAAGTAATATCGAAGCGAGGCCGCGATAATGGGAAAGCTTTGACAGAACAAGCGAGAGGGAGAGGGCAGCTTGCCCTGGCGATTGGACGGATAAATTGGTGGCGCGAAACACCAATATCGAAATGGCCCAATTCTGTCTCAGTTAATAAGGAGATATTAACTACCTACGTACACCTACCCACGCCTTCAGATAACCTTGATATGGCCCAAGTAGACAGGAGACTGGGAGAAGCGACGGTGCGAACATGTTCCTTTGGCACGTGTGTCTGCGATTAAAGAATGCGCGTCATTTGTCTTGGAGGCACCTCAATCGCGGATTGCTCCGAGAGCGAAGAGAGGCGAAAGAGCTTCATGACGATGAAGGTCACCAGCATCTCGATTCTCGAGCGAGGCAAGGCCAAACGGCGATAGCAGACATCAGCCGGCCACGCTTCCAGGGTGCGTAGTATTCACCAATTTGAGTGGGAAAATGGATGAAGTGTTTTGAAGAAATGGAAGCTGGGGCGATGGGAGAAGCCTCCGATAGATGGAGAGTGGTGCATGGAAGTCTTGGGGAAAGGTTCTGCCAAGACCGCCCGCAAAGTGCGGGGCCTGTGGCACCTAAAAATAGCAGGTTCGGGTGGCCAAGGCTCCAGTGCAACGGGTGAGATGGTCGAAATACAGGGGTGGGCCGCCCGTGGATGGATGCCCCGTCCCATTCAAGCCCAGGAGTGTCTGCTACTGGATGAAGTAATGGTAACCCCTGAAGATACCCAAGCTCGCCCCATCAAGCCTGGAAAGGTGACGGGGGGAAAACAGTGGTGGATCGAGCAGGGAGAACTGCATCCGTAATACGGGCATACTCTATGGATTCATCGCGGCGTGCCATGGATCGCTCTGCCTTAAAAATTAAAGCAGGATTAGGTACTGTATGTATGTAAGTACGTAATCCGTACCTTCGTTTCATCTAGGAAACCCAATCTGCTTTCCCAAGATTTCTTAACCACACATCCAATGCCCGTGCCCAGTGATATATATTTCTAGGCGATGTGCACCCGGGATTTCGTTTGGCGAGTCTCCATGTCCCTCCCGAGCAACTCCGCAGTCAAAGGCCGAGCCATGGCATCCCTCCGGCCTGGCTAGCCTCGAGAAGAATAGGTTAGGCCCTGGCCTACGGCACCAAACGACCGAGAATGCTCCCGTCAGGTCAGTGGGAAGGCACCTTCCGCTCTAGTCAGCGGACCTTTGCTTCCAGGACGGACGGGACGCTTTCGCCCAAAATAACACTGGAGAGCCCGAATTTACCAAATCGCGACTCAACCTGGGCTAGGATGGAAGCCAGGATTTTCCATTGTCCAGACACTAGCCAATGATGCGACTCTGGCTTTTATTCGTAGCCTACCTTCAATGCAGAATACCTACCTACCTGATAAACAACTCTGCAGGTCCCACCTGCCCCCTGCCTACGTGCAGTATCCAACGCAAGAAACATGGACGGAACCACCCAGAAGGGCAGAGGGATTTGAACATCATCACAATCAAGAAGCTGGATCATGGTCACAAAACCAGAAAGAAAATAATTGCGGGCCACCCATTGGTAAGTGGTATCTCAATGTACGTACACATAACCTCGGTTATTAACGACGACAACAACCACTCAACAACCTCCCAACGAACAGCCTTCGTATATCGATAGCCGCTGGAACAAGTGTCATAACAAGCCCCAAGCTGTAGTCCAGCTCGGCGGACGCTAAGCACCTAGGTAGTATTCCACAAGTGCGCCCATGCTTTTTTGTATCCAGTTCAAAATTGCGTGGGACTGCACTGCAGTTCTGTCGTGGTTTTCGGCTCAGATTCGGTGATGGTCACCCGAGGCCTGATGACTATGCCGGGTGCGCCGATGCGTTCAATCTTCAAGTTTGGGCAGGTGCACTGAACCAGCATGGTTGCGGTTACAGTTCCCGGAAACACGGTAGATGTGTAGAGGTTGCTCATCCTCACGAGCGTCCTTATTGTCTCGGTGCAGCCGCTGTGTTGGGTAGGCGAAGGATGTTGATTCAAATCAGGCCCGGCAGGCAGAATAATGCTTGGTACTGGGCTTTGAGTCGGACCAGATGTCGAACCAAGGGATAAACCAACGGCAGGCCCAAGAATGGTATGAGCTGGTGCATGGTGATATATCGTAATGACGGTGCAACCTTGCTCGGGTTCGTCTCCATTTTGGCCGCCGCCTTTTTTCCATGGGCAGTCCAAAGGCGTCTCATCTTGTTTCTGCGAGCTTTGCGCTAAGTCGGTAATTCCCGCCTTCAGTTCCTTGACCTTGGTTTCGAGTGTAGTTGGGTATTGGTTAGCGGCCGTGGGAAACCTCTCCCTGTTTGCAGTCTCTGTACACTGAGACTTGGAGTCAGAGCCACCTTGGCGTGTCGCCAAACTGGACTCAAAAGTCGCAGTTGGAATATGCTGAACCGTAGCGGAGACGTGGCGAATGGTATCTTCAGCTGAACCAGACGACCTAGTGGCTACTGGGCCTGGCGTCTTCAAGGGCGATGCTTCTGAACGGACCAAATCCTCTGGATTGCGACTCATTGTGATCGGCGTTTCCTGCGTTTCGTGATCTGGTGGCCACCAAATGATGGGGTCCACGCCTGAGCCGACCGCATCGAGATGCTCGCATATCTCGGGATACATGGACGCATGAGGCCCGGCGCACAGCTGTCGGAGTTTCTCGATAACTTTGGGAACATCTTGCTCGCTACCCGCCAGCACGTCGATGCGATTCGAATTCACGGTTACGACGGTCCTTATTGGACTCAGTGTCCCAAACGTGGCATGGACAAGGACTGGCGCGGATGTGATCGGATGTGTCAAAGATTCGCCGCTGACCGTGGCCGAGGCCGAGGCGATGGCTGCCAGGACCGCAAGGCCCAAAGCCTTTGCGAAATTCATGAGAGAGAATCGGCCGCTAGGCCCTAGGTAGGTAAAAGGACTCCCAAGTAGTTTTTTTTTTTTTGCATTCCAGACAAAAAGCAACAACCGTGTGGGGACAATGAAAGAGGAAACCTGGTGTTATGCACTTGTAGCGGCATCAATGCAAAGCTTTGCATGCTTTGGAACGTTGCCGGCGGTTATGGTCACAGGACGTAGGCGACAAACTTAAATGACAGATGCCTGTCGGAATACAATAAATCGCATTCTAAGCCAAGTTGAGTTTGAAGAATGACACGGCCTTCATTTCTCGTCACTTGTCAGCGGAGGATATCAGGAGGCTGAAAATCGGAAGCTTACCAAAGCCGAGGTTCAAGGGCAGGTGACACACTAGCCCGCTAAAAAAAAACGCTCCGGAAGGCAGACATCCCCCAGCTGGCTTGTCAAGCGCTTTAACTTTCAGTACGCCGGCAACTCTTAAGCAGCCTAGATGACCTCATTAGGGGACAGATTAAGAACCCCTCGGGCTTAGCCAAAGAAGTCTACATCGTCGAAATTAAAGATGGATTTAAAACCATAGCACTCCATCTAGAAAGGGTCAGTCGAAGATAAACCGGGGGGGGGGGGGGGGGGGTTGAACGTGAGAAAAACAGCGCTTCACGTCTTTCTTGACTTACAAGAGCCTCCGAATCCCACTCGGCCCACGGCTCCAAGCTCAAGTCATCAAGCCCAGTGTTGAACCCCTCGCCCATGCTCGCGGTCAGCGTAGAGATTCCCGTAGTCTCCTTGAGGAGATTGTAGCAATACCTCAGGTCATCAGCCACACAGCTCAGAACTATTTTCTCCACCTCTGCATCTGATGCGCCCCGCTGGACGGCCTGGGCCTGAGTTAAAAGCGCGGAGCACATGATATACCCCTTAACGCTTGTTTCGCCACTTTTAATGCGGCGCTCAGTCCAGCCAATGGAATACTTGACAGCCTCGAACAGATCTTGACGCGGCGCCGCGCCGCTGCCAATGCCGCCGGACGCGCCCACATCGGCCTCGTTGGCGGGCCCCAGCCGATCAAGCTGGCTTTCCATATTCAAGCTTTGCCGGAAGGACCGGTCTTCCTGAGCTTGCCACAACAACTCGAGGCAAATCGTAAGAACCGCCAATATGGGAACCGATCGGAACGCCCCGTTGCCGCACGTCGTCAGTCGTGTGAAATCGTCTGTTTGGCTGGCCGTACCAGAATCACCCGCGGGTGACCCGGTTGCAAAGGCTCGGTAAAATTTCAGCGAGGTCTCAACGCACATTTTCCGAGCAAAATAGTAAGCCGGGTTGCTCTGCGCCAAGCATAGCCATGGGTGATTCAGAGTCAAGAAAAACCGATGGACCATTTGCTCTGCTATACGCAGTTGGAAGAGGGAGAGACGATTTGGAAGGACTCCAGCGGGATCATACGCTGGTTGAAGGGCGGCCGACAGTGCTCGGCACGCAGTCGTGAGCTCGGTATTCCACTTCAACGTCTCCTCGTATGTAACAGGGGAGTTGAAGTGGTTAGCGTACTGGGCAATGGCTAAGCGTGTCGGGAAAGACCGGAGCAGAGCAATCTGAACAGTTGTCTGAGTAAATGTGCTGAGGGGCCGGGGTGTCGTTGACAAGTTGCCATTCTCGGCGAGTTGGTCGTCGTCGTAATTTGCCGGCTGGTGCGTGTCGAAGTCGGAGAGAGATATTAGAGGCGGTCCACCAGAGTCTAAGCTGGATTGTAAGACGATCTCCAAAATCGTGGCCCAGAGTCGTCGTCTTAGCTCGGCGTGAAGCGTAGACAGGTTGGATAAGACGTCGGGATCGCGGTGCAGGCCCATGTGCATGGCCGTCCGCAGTAAAGACCCGGCTGAGATCCAGACAAGGTCACTTCCAACTCCGCACGTCTCCTTGGCGAGATGCAACAGACACATTGTCTGCAAGCCAGCAAAGGTCATGCGCGACTTCTCGGATGGCGAGACGAGCCATATCTGCGCCTCGTATATCCACTGGGTGGCGTAGTGGCGAAGAGCAGCAACATCGTCCTGCAAACAGGTCCCGATTGCCATGGCGAGTTGAAGTTGAACGATAAAAGCCTTACTTGCAGCTTCAGGGTTGTCCCAGTACTTTTGGTACTCCTTCCAGAAACTTGGGACATGGACGATCCGATAAACGCCTTCCATTGTCCTAAAGTACGCCTCGACCAGCCGCCGAGACGTCTCTTCAGAAATCGGCGTAGCTTTGCCAACGTTAAAGGAGATGTGAACGGGAACCCGTTGCGTCTTGATAGACCGCGCGATACTCTTACAATTTTGCAGGAGGGAGTAGACTTCGGACGTCTTGTCTGACTGCATTTTCTCGGCAACACCCATGACCAACGGGAACTATATCTAAGGAATCAGCTTCAGCTAACCACAGACGGTTAGGGCACATGGCAGTCAAGAATCCTCCGCCTTTCAACTGAAGAAAGACAGCAGCCCGTTACATTACGGCTAAACAACACCAAAGAGGGCTACGAGAGAAAAGGGGGTAGAAGGGAAGAAAATGGAAGGAAAGGAAATGGAAGTGAAGGGGGGGAGGAGGACAAAAGGAAAGGGGAGAAGAATTTGACCTACAAGTTTGGTCCCGTTTATCCAGTGACTCGAGCCAAAATACATGGCTTTGGACAGAACCCCTTGGCTAGAGATGAGGGGCGGTTGGGATAAGCGGGAGGGCCGAGGAGCGGAACTAGGGCCGGAGCGGTGACGGTCTAGGGCATCAGCCAACTGCTGTTCTAGTTGGCGTACGCGGTCGGCAAGGGCAGGTGTGGCCCGGGCCGGCGAGTCAAACTGGGCGGCGACAGGACCGGGGAGGGATGCAGGGTCCGAGGTCCTCGCGGGGGTGCTGACACTGGCACTGGTACTGACACTGGCCAGCGAGGCAGCAGAACTGGCGTACTGGAGGCCGGCACCGCTGGAGGATGGGTGCGCCTCTCTAAAGGTGAAGCCAGAGGTCAGGCTGAGGCGAAGATAGGGGTCCTCGGTGGCAGGCGGTGGGCCGGGAGACATGTCAGGGGGCGCAGAGCCAGGGGCAGGGGACAGCCTCCAGAGACGAGGCTTGGGACGGCGGGCTTCCTCGTAAGTGCAGTTGACGATCTTGGACTTGATGCAGCTAGCGCAGGGCTCGTTACGGTCGCAGCGGATTTTGCGAGTGCGACACTGGATGCACGAGAGAGCTGGGCGGTTCCGGCGCCTGGGCTCAGCGAGCTTGATTAGGCCCGAAGTTGTGGCGCCCGCCGAGTTTGCCGACGACGTGGGCGTGTCCATGTCTACGTCCATATCTGCCGAGTCCGGGTCCATATCCACGGGCGCGGGCGCGGGCGCGGGCGCGGGCGCGGGCGCGGGCGCGGCACCGGAACCGGCGCCGGCCCGGTCCATTGGCTGTGCTTCGTGCGGCGCGTTTTGTTGCGTCTTCTGTCCGTCCGCGTATTAAGGTCCCGCGGGTACTAGGATCGGCGCCGGTTTTGAGCGGCGCTGGGCTGCCCGTCTCTGGTGTCTTTCGGTTGTTGGTGGGGGGAGCCAGGTAACCTAAGGGAAACTTGGGAGCCCTCGTCCAAAAAGAAGCTGCACTCGCTGCACCTCGGGGTAAAAAACGGAGAGACCTGGCAGCGGTTCCCAATTAGTACCCCACGATGCCGCCACCCATTCCCAGGGGTTACCAACCCAACAAAGCGGAAGGCAACCTGAAAGCTCCGGAGTGCCGGTAGGTATCTAGGTACGGTACGGGTGTAATGTGGGCAGGAGAGCCTCAGCAGCAGGTTGCCCTGTCTTTTAGGTTGTGGTCACCTTACGGTACGTACGGTAAGCTAGTTTGGTTGGTTAGTAAGTTATAATCTAGAATAACTTGGAATGATTCCCGCAACGCACGCACACACGCATGCACGCCCACCAACAAAACACTCTTCTGGCGCGCCGTGGGCGTGTTGAGTGGGCGTGGGCGTGGGCGTGGGCGTGGGCGTGGACGTGGGCGATGGATGGTCGCGTCCGTTTCTCACGACGACGGGACTCAAGCTCCAGGTTGCCCTGGTCATGAGGCGCGACGGCAAGATGCGACCGGTGAATCGACCCGTGAATCGACCCGTAAATGGCGATTTGATCAGTAAACTACCTAAAGGCAATAAGCTCGCTGACGTACGAAATAGGTGAGCATCAGCGAACAAGACCCGAGCCCGGTATCAACTGGGCCAACCTTTCTGCGGTGCCGCGGCCGATAGAGCGTGCTCGTCGGAGTTAGGTAGGTGGCCCCTCTGTAGTCTGTCCGGCGCAACACCAGCCCGCTCTCTCAACTGGGGAATTGGCACTATTTCGTCAAGATCGGCATCTCGGGGAGAATGCGGGGGCTGGGAGCTGGCGGCCGACATTTTACCCTTCTGGGGCCCACCTGAGGGTCGAAGGCCGGGCGCAACATTCCGGGATTTGGGGAACGGACAAAGTGCGAAGTTCACATTACCCAAACAGATCTGACACCTGCCAGCATGCCAGATAGCTAGCAACCAATGCAGTCCGGGCCGTCCGTAGCACTCCCGTCGGGGTCCATTTCTACCTACACTTACGGATACCTCCATACCTTCCTTACCTTACCTTACCTACTGTAAGTGGAGGTAACTTAAGGTTGGTAGGTTCCCAGTGGTAAGGTAAGTTTCGGGTTCGCGGTCGGTAAGGTACCTACACCTTCGGCGCAGTCCAGCTAGGTTCCATAGGTCCTTCCTTATCCGTCCGTACATGTAACTGCAATGCGTCCGCTATCCAGCACAGGCCTGGTTGGTCCCTGAGCCTTCCCACCGTGGGCTGCGTCGCCTGGATCAACAAAAGTCCATTGACATTACTCAAGGGTGCGGCCGTCCTGGTGTCTGGTGCCTGCTTGGGTGACGTGACTGGCGATTCGAGTCTGGCGAAATGTCCGTACAGTCTGTCGCAATCTTTAGTTCCTAGTGGCTAAGGCTGTCCGTCGTGGGAGGTGAGCGACATAATGCACAACCTAAGCCAGTGAGTGAAGGAAGTGACATGACATCCCGCGCATCCTCAGACGATTGCATCCGTAGATCTCCAGTTTCTCCGGACCTGGAAGCAGTCAGCCTGAGTTCCATCCATTTTCGCCCCAGCCGCCAAACGGCCCTTTTTGGCATTCACAACGGCTGATCCGAGGGACTTCCGCGAAGCGATAGCGTACCTTAGTGGTTTATCCCCGCTCTCAACCGCTAGGTCCGAGGAGGGCAAGGGGAAATATAGATTCCAGAAAGGAACCAAAATGAAATACTGTCAAACCTGACGACCGCATAGCCGCTGCGCACTCTGGAATCGTCTCCTGCTCCTGGGACCCGGCAATTTCGCGGAGATGGAGGCGAGTCTTGCTTCAACCCCTATCCCATCCCCAGCCTACCTCATAACACAGTAAGTCGCTACTTTCCCAAAGCTACAGTAGCTCTTCAATCGGCAGTCGCAGACGGCGTAATTCCTTATCCGCCGAGAGTTGCCACGACAGTGGTGCCGTGCCTGTCGGCCGTCTTGAAACAGCAATGTGTAGTGCGGCACCGCCATGACCGTGCAGCAAACAGGTGGTAGCCCTGTTGAATCTTGAGTGAGGGTATCCCGAACGTGCTCCACACGTGGTTCTGGGAAGAAATACATGGAAACTTCAAATTCGGGGGAGTATGGGGGGGGTTGGAGTTTGGAGACGGCTGGTCCGATCCACGGACTTACACAAAGCCCCAGCAGATTACAAAATCGCAACTCATGAGCTTGGTGACAGATTTCTAATACGGCTGGCCACACGCGACGCGGCGCTGTGTCCGAACCAGATATTGATGGGGGAATGACCCAAGCCCCCAGTAGCGCAGCTGAGGCCGTGGCCGGAGAAGATCTCCAAAGTCGTGCTAAGATGCTATCAAAGGTACTATATGTATGGATACGAAGTACCTATTTACTATAGGTTGTCGTCTCTACAGGAGATATCGTATAGCCGCCGCTCGCAAGTGGCGATAGACGATGTCGGAATCGAAAATAAAGCTACCACTCTGGTTTTCGATGGCGTGTTTCCCAACTTCCAAAACAGGGTACGAATAGAAGGGGAAAGGCCGGAAAAGAAACCTTCAATTTGGGTGGCAGCAAAGAAGGAAGGAAAAGATAAGATGGACATATCGGGCTCGCAAAGATAAGTCTGTAAACCTTGGATGGGAGATGCGTCCATCTGAAAAGGCATTGGGAAACAAAACACAACAGGAATGATCCCTTTTTTTTCCTCTGGTAAAAAGGTTAACAGCCCATCTCAAGTTTGTGTTTATTCGTTGTCTTGAGGAATATGGACCTTATGACCTGCCGAGATTCTCATGTACGCAGAACTGCGTATTCACGGAGACAATTCTAGGCGGTACGGGCTGAAAATTGGTCCGCTCCGGATACTTTACCCCAGCTTCCAAACCCAATCTTGGGCTTTGATAAGCAACAAATCAACGGCTAAGCTCCACTTTTGCTCTCAAGTCCAGTTTCTGTTCGTGTGATTGGCTCAACACCAAGAAGAATCACAACGAGAGCCAAGTCTCAGGACGGTTTACAATGTCATTTCAAGAGCCTCTTTTCCAGGTCAGCTTACCAATGCCTTCTTGAGCCCCCCAAAGTAGATTACGAGACACACTTCACAATTGAGTCTCGCTAACTTAGTTTGCAAGGAGATACGGTGTCATAACAAGGGAACGTATCAACGAGGCTAGGCCGCTTCATCTCCATTGTATATAATAGAAGGCAGCCGGTCATGGCAATGTTTGCGTACTCGCCATCATCTAAGCTTCATAGGCAACCCAACATCTCGAATACTCAAGTGCTTGGGAGATAGTGAGGCAGATCGGCTTTCCAAGTTTCCCAGTCACCGAATTTCACACCCTTTTTTTCGCTCAACCATGGCCCCAAAGACTGTACTCATCACGGGCGCGAGCGAGGGCGGCATCGGAAACGCCCTCGCACTTGCTTTCCAACAGCGCGGCCTTCGCGTCTTTGCAACGGCCCGAAGCCTGTCCAAGATGGACAACCTGAGCAAGCTGCCCAACATAGTACTGCTGGAGCTGGATGTGACGTCCCGCCAGGGCATCGAGGCAGCTGCTGCCGCGGTAAAATCCCACACGGGCGAAGAGAAGCTCGACATCCTCGTCAACAACTCGGGCCAGTCGTACGTCGGCCCCGCTCTCGACACGTCCATCGAGAAAGTGCGAGGCCTGTTCGACGTCAACTTCTTCGGCCTGGTCGAGACCACTCTGGTGCTGGGCATGATGGTCGTCGCCGCCAAGGGCACCATCGTCAACATCAGCTCCGTACTCGGGCACACGCACATGCCGTGGCTGGCGTATTACAATGCCTCTAAGGCGGCCGTCGACTTGTTTGGCGAAACGCTGCGGCTCGAGATGGCGCCGTTCGGCGTCAAGGTCCTGACAGTCGCCGTCGGCGGCGTAGAGACCAACATGAGCAACACGGCAAACGTCGCGCCGCCTGAGCTATCCGAAGGTTCTCTCTGGGCCGTCACCGAGAAGTACCTGGCGAAGCGAGCTGCCAAGGAACATCGGTGGGCAACGCCGCCCGCGGTATTTGCCGAGCGTGTCGTGCGCGATGTCCTGAACGGAACAAACGGAAGAGTTTACCGAGGAGTTGGCGCTACTGCCGTCTGGATCGTTACAACTTTGCTTCCTGGCTGGCTCAAGGTGCGTGTTTTTTCATGGATGCTTAGCCTATCTTCTCGAGGTACAGTCAAGGCCAGTCGACTAACAAATATCATAGGACAAGCTAGTCGCCAACAACGAGGTGGCCAACAACAAGTTTGACATTGTCCGAAAGCCCTAGCTGAGTGGTTGTAGAACGTACAAGGATGAGGTGTGGGTGGATGGGGTCTCTTTTCCGTTCACGAGAATTTCGTCTGGGGGATATTCTCAAGTCAGAAATTTCTAGATCTATTTTGAGTTTGATCTCGTCCTGGCCACTTCACATCTGCCTTAATGGCAGTTTCCAACCATCATCTACGGCCAAACTCCGTACCCAATTACACAACTTGTTAGATAATAGCATGAATACAATGTACAAAACAATAATAGAAACCTGTATTCCAGCACCGAGATGACGCACTGCCTTTAGGGGTTCATTATACACGTCTGTGGTGGTAGGGACTCGTGCTCCGAAGGCCCGCGTTGTTTACCGGCCCCTAATCCACCGCCAGCCACTGACGTGGTCTGGGGGCCATCTCAGCGGACCACCTCTCAGCTATGGGGGCACTTGTCGGCCCCGCAGCTACTCAGTCTTCCTCTCCATTTGCCGTCGCAATGGCCCTACCCGCTCCCTTCCCCGATACCGCTTGCCACGGGATGTTTGTTTAGAGACGATCAAGTTCAAGTGCGCTCTAGAGTAGCAGCTCTAGAGGATTCTCGATGACCTTCTTGAGTTCCCGCACCCACTCGGCACCAACGGCACCGTCAACGACTTTGTGGTCAAAGCTGGCAGTAACAATGATCTGGTCCTCCCACGCGACGCCGGTCGTTCCGTCCTCATTCTCAACCGGAACAGCAACCTTGTTGGCACTTCCGACAGCCAAGATGGCCGCCTGGGGAGGATTGATGACCGCAGTGAAGCGCTCCACCGCCTGATTCATGCCCATGTTGGAAATGCTGATGCTGCCACCCTGGTACTCTTCGGGCTTGAGCTTGTTGTCGCGAGCCTTCTTAGCAAGCTCCTTGACGGCAGCAGAAATGCTTTCGAGTCCCTTGCCCTCAACACCCTTCACGATGGGGGTGATGAGGCCATTAGGAGTGGCCACAGCGACCGAGACATCAACCGTGTTGTGCTGGCGAATGACATCGCCACGCCAGGAGCTGTTGACAGCAGGGACCTTCTTGCAAGCGACAGCCATTGCCTTGATAAGGAAGTCGTTGACCGAAAGCTTGTAGCGGCCTTCGGAAGAGCTGTTGAGCGCCTGGCGAAGCTTAAGAAGCTTGGACACCGACAGAGTCGACGAGACGAAGTAGTGGGGGTTCTCCAAGACCGACTCCTTCAGTCGGTTGGCGATAGTCTTGCGCATGCCGCTGATTGGGATATCCTCGTACAGAGCACCAGAGGCAGCGGCAGAGCCAGCCGCGGGAGCGGATGATGCTTTCTTAACATCTTCCTCCGTGATCTTGCCTCCAGGCCCGGTTCCCTTGAGACCGCTCAAAAGCACGCCCTTCTCGATGGCCAACCTCTTAGCAGCCGCAGTAGTATTTGGCTCCCGGTCGAGAGCCGACTCGAGCTTGCCGCTGGGTCCGCTATATTCAGGCTCGGGGGCCGGGGTCGGTGCCGGGGGCTCCGACTCCGACTTCGACTTCTCTTCCGTCTTGGGAGGTGGGGGAGCAGACTCTCCACCAGCATCTTTGAGCGTGAAACCCTCAAAAGCACTGACATCGGTTCCCTCTTCGACCATAACCGCAATAGGCTGGATAGGCAAGATTTGATTAGTTTCCATCAATTTCCCACACCGAGGTCGGAATCCATCGAAGCTTACGTTACCGACGGCGACATCCTTCGCGCCACTGTCCTTGAGAATCTTGGCAAGCACACCCTCCTCTTGAAACTCAAAGTCCATTTGGGCCTTGTCCGTCTCAATTTCTACGAGAACCTCGCCGGGCGCGATGGAATCGCCCGGCTTCTTTTGCCATACGCCGATATTTCCCGCTGTCATCGTCGGCGATAAGGCGGGCATCTTGACGACGGTATGTGGCGGATACGAGGCGTACCATCTTGTGAGGCCGGGGATAGCGATGCGGACGAATCTGGCATGTTGAAGGGCTTGCCTTCGAAGGGCCGGAACAAGCATCTTGGCGGTTAAAAATATCTCGCAGGGGGCTGCAGTGCCGGAGACGAAAAAGGTTGAGACCGAGCGAATTGGATGCAAATAACGGAATGTCCCAATGTGCGAGTAGCAAAAGCCGGGATGGTCTCTTGAGGTGACCAGGCAGCGCCGAGGAGGTCAATTGGGGCGGACGGTGAGGATGGAGGAATATAGTTTGGCAAGAGCCGGAACTGGATCGGCGGGAACGCTGGTGGTGATGCACCTTTCAGGGCCAGGTTTTTTTTTTTCGCGTGGGATTTTCTCGTTGGGGAAGCTTAGCTCTCCCGCCTGTTCATCAAAAACGGGACATGCGGTTTTGGGACGGCCGAGGGACGCAATACGAGCCTAAGCCAAATTAGGTTCTCTATTCCTTGCTAGCACGCTAGCAAGTCTCTGAAGATCAGACGCTCCTCAATATGCTAGCCCTAAACAGGCAGCATTCACTCAGTTGAGGATTTGTTGCTAGATCATGTGCTGTACATACAAGTACTCTGTATGCGTGAAATACCTTATGTAAGATAGAGTCGACCTAGCAATTCTGCAAAATCGTTAGGTTTTTCCAAGTTGCTAGGTTGTTATTGTCTCGGAAAAAATATTCACAATTAGGGATTTGAACCCGGCTGCCGTCAACACGTTGATGCGGTGCCAACCTGGAACGTTTCTTCGAACCCCGATATCAAGGTTATGTCAGCATCCATTTCTCGTCTAGGAACGCTAAGCCACAGGCTCCAAGCCGAAGAAAACTGTCCGTCGGGCGGCGTGCAGCGGGTAGCGGAGTGCGGCTGGTTGGAAAGGGAGGCGTACGTAAGTCCAGGTACATAAAATACCACAAAGCAAGGGTCTGTCCGAAGATGGCAACCAGCTGGCAACGCCGCCACGGCAAGTTGGGAACCTGGAACCCGGAAGGCACACCTCGAAGTTGAAGGTTTGCTGTCAATTTGTCAAAAGTTTTGAATCCCCAGCTCTGCCGAGGCCATCGCGCAAAGCAGCACACGCAACAATTCAAGCCTTGTCTAGGGACGCTATATATACAGATTGCGCGCCCGTTTCAAGCCCATTTGCCAGCCATTTTCGACCGCTGCCGCAACCAACGAAAAACGAACGCACTGATCTCGCGGTACCGAAGCAAGCGGCCTGGTTACACAAAGGCACTGTGGCTGCACCCGAAACATTTCAAGACCGTCTTCGAGATCCCCTCTCTCTATGCGCTAATCGACGTAAACGGATGGACCTCTGTCCTTGTGCCGGCCCACCATGAGCTCCCTTAAATTCGTGGTGTCCTCTCTGGACATTATTGCCGCCAGTGCTGGTCGGAACAAACAGCTTGCTGAATTGGTCCAGAAAGCGCTCGCCGCCATCGAGAAAAACGACCATCAGCTCCCCGACCCCGAGGTTATCTTCGCGCCACTGCAACTAGCCACCAAGTCTAGCACCATTCCTCTGACGACGACTGCCCTCGACTGTATTGGCAAGCTCATCTCGTACTCGTCCTTCTCTACGCCATCCGAGCATGCCTCGAGTCAAGATGGGGCCGAGCGAGCGCCCCTCATCGAACGAGCCATCGATACCATCTGCGATTGTTTTCAAGGCGAAACTACCCTCGTCGAGATCCAGTTGCAAATAGTCAAGTCGCTGCTGGCTGCGGTGCTGAATGATAAAATTGTCGTCCATGGCGCGGGGCTGCTCAAGGCAGTGCGCCAGGTCTACAATGTCTTTCTTCTGTCGCGGAGTACGGCGAATCAGCAGGTGGCTCAAGGGACGCTTACCCAAATGGTTGGCACCGTGTTCGAGAGAGTTAAGACGCGCCTACACATGAAAGAGGCGCGCGCCCATCTCGGTGGCAAGCTCAAGCCCAGTCAGACCAGCATGGCCATGGACCGTGCAGACGACCAGAATTTCCAGGCCGGCCATGGTGAAAGCGAAGAGGGCAATGAGGATGCCTCCGATGCGACACTACTGGAAGTATCTAGCCCAGGAGGCGCCAAGCTCACCTTGAAGGATCTGGAACACCGAAAGAGTTTTGACGATTCTAATATGGGCGATGGACCGACCATGGTATCGCAGCTTAAGCCAATGAAAAAAACAGCCAGGTCAGTGTCCGAACAGAGCCTTGCAGAGAGCGCGCATGAAGATTCTTTTGAGTCTCTGGAGGCTGAAGACGAGGTTTACGTCCGTGATGCATACCTCGTCTTCCGGTCTTTCTGCAATCTTTCAACGAAGGTCTTGCCGCCAGATCAACTCTACGACCTCCGAGGTCAGCCAATGCGATCGAAGTTAATCTCCCTTCATCTCATACACACACTCCTTAACAACAACATAGCTGTTTTTACATCGCCCCTTTGTACTATCACCAACACCAAAACCGGCGAGGCCACCAACTTTTTGCAGGCCATCAAATATTACCTGTGTCTGAGTATCACACGAAATGGCGCTAGTTCTGTGGATAGGGTGTTTGATGTCTGCTGCGAAATATTTTGGTTAATGCTCAAATACATGAGGGCTCCCTTCAAGGTAGGTTGCTGCCTTTCGAACTTTCTAGAACTCTGCTGACATGTGATCTGTAGAAAGAGATTGAGGTTCTCCTAAACGAGATCTACCTTGCTCTCCTGGCCCGAAGAAATGCACCCTTGTCTCAAAAGCTCAGCTTTGTGGGCATCCTCAAGCGGCTCTGCGAAGATCCGCGGGCCTTGGTGGAGACCTATCTCAACTATGACTGCGACAGGAACGTTGACAATATCTTCCAGACCATTATTGAGGATCTGTCCAAATTTGCCACAGCCTCCATACCTATTACAGCCACCCAGGAGCAGCAGTACGAGGACAACCATTCCAAATACGGTGGCGGCGGTGAGTGGCAGATCAAGAATGTTCTACCACCGCCGTTATCAGTTGCCCTCATCAGCACTCGCCACGAAACTGATGCCGAAATCCCCAAGGAGTACGTCATGAAAAGGGCAGCACTCGACTCTCTTGTGGAGACATTGAGATCTTTAGTCAACTGGTCGCAACCCAGGCGGCCGGAGACCAACGGTACAAATGGCGATTCTGAACGGAGAGCGTCGAGCGACGAGCTCAGATATTCTATTGATCCATCAGCGAGCGAAAACGTTTCACGGATGGAGACTCCGATACCTCCGTCAACACCGGTGCTTGACGACGATCCTGACCAGCTGGAAAAAGAAAAGGCCAGGAAAACGGCCATGACGAACGCAATCAAGGTGTTCAACTATAAGCCCAAGAACGGGATAAAGCTTCTTCTCCAGGGGGGCTTCATTCCCAGTGACAAGCCCGAGGACATCGCCCGCTTCCTACGAACCGAGGACAGATTAGACAAGGCTCAGATTGGCGAGTATCTGGGCGAGGGCGATCAGAAGAACATTGATATTATGCATGCATTTGTGGATACGATGGACTTCACCAAAAAGCGTTTTGTGGCTGCCTTGAGAGAGTTCCTTCAGTCGTTTCGTTTACCAGGCGAGGCGCAGAAAATCGATCGATTCATGCTGAAGTTTGCCAACCGATACGTAACGGGAAACCCGAACGCCTTCGCCAACGCCGACACCCCCTATGTGCTCGCATATTCTGTCATTCTCTTAAACACCGACTTGCACAGCACCAAAATCGCAAAGCGCATGTCCAAGCCTGACTTCATAAAGAACAACCGTGGCATCAACGACAATGCCGATCTCCCGGATGAATACTTACTTGGCATCTACGATGACATTGCTGGCAATGAGATCGTCCTTAAAAGCGAACGGGCAGCCGCCGCTGCTGCCGGGAGCATTCCAAGTCAACCGACCGGCCTGGCCGCTGGCCTAGGCCAAGCGTTCTCCAGTGTTGGCCGTGATCTCCAAAGAGAAGCCTATGTCCAGCAGTCAGAGGAGATCTCTCTGCGCTCAGAGCAGCTCTTCAGAGATCTTTATCGCAGTCAGCGTAAGAACGCGGAGAAGGCGGGCTCTAAGTTCATACCGGCAACCTCGTTCAAACACGTGGGTCCCATGTTCGATGTGGCCTGGATGTCCTTCTTCTCTGCCCTATCAACTCAGACTCAGAAGACTCACAACCTCGAGGTCAATAAGCTCTGCTTGGAAGGGATGAAACTTGCAACCAAGGTTGCCTGTCTCTTTGATCTTGCAACCCCACGAGAAGCTTTCATCTCAGCACTTAAGAACACTGCGAACCTCAACAACCCCCAAGAAATGCAGGCTAAGAATGTTGAGGCTCTGAAGGTGATACTGGAGCTTGGTCAGACCGAAGGCAACCTCTTAAAGCAGTCGTGGAAAGACGTGCTACTCTGTATCAGCCAGCTAGACCGACTGCAGCTGATCTCGGGTGGCGTGGATGAGAGCGCCGTTCCCGATGTCTCTAAGGCCCGTTTTGTCCCTCCGTCAAGGTCCGACGCTGTCGAGTCTCGAAAGTCCATGGCCTCGGTTCGGAAACACCGACCACGGTCTCATACGGGCCCGCAGGGTGTCTCAATGGAGATTGCTCTTGAAAGCCGCTCCGACGAGGTCATCAAGAGCGTTGACAGAATATTTACGAACACAGCCAACCTGTCTGGAGAAGCAATCGTCCATTTTGCCCGGGCCTTGACGGAGGTCAGCTGGGATGAAATCAAGGTTTCCGGATCCAATGACTCCCCTCGTACATATAGTCTGCAAAAGATTGTCGAGATCAGCTACTGGAACATGACGCGTGTCCGCTTCGAGTGGGCCAACATTTGGGCTGTCCTCGGCGAGCATTTCAATCGTGTGGGCTGCCATGCCAACACGGCAATTGTCTTCTTTGCTTTGGATTCGCTGCGCCAGCTCTCGATGCGTTTTATGGAGATTGAAGAGCTGCCCGGATTCAAATTCCAGAAGGACTTCCTCAAGCCTTTTGAGCATGTCATGTCCAACTCGAACAATATCACTGTCAAGGATATGATTCTCCACTGTTTGATTCAGATGATTCAAGCTAGAGGAGAGAACATTCGGTCAGGCTGGAGGACGATGTTTGGCGTCTTTACGGTTGCGGCAAGGGAGCCATATGAAGCCATTGTTAATCTGGCTTACGAGAACGTCACCCAAGTCTACAGGACAAGGTTTGGCATCGTCATCTCGCAAGGCGCATTCACGGACCTGATTGTTTGCCTGACCGAGTTCTCCAAAAACATGAAGTTTCAGAAGAAGAGTCTACAGGCCATGGAGACTTTGAAGTCCATTATCCCCAAGATGCTCAAGACACCCGAATGCCCGCTCTCTCAGCGATTTAACTTGGATCTGAAGCCGGCTGAGACTAGCATGTTGTCTCCTGGCCCCCAGACGCGCACATCAGTGGAAGAAGGGTTTTGGTACCCTGTTCTCTTTGCGTTCCACGACGTTCTCATGACTGGCGAAGATCTAGAGGTGCGGTCCAATGCCCTCAATTACTTCTTCGAGGCTTTGCTGCGTTATGGCGGCGATTTTCCTCCAGACTTTTGGGATATTCTTTGGCAGCAGCAACTTCGCCCCATCTTCATGGTTCTGCGTTCAAAGCGCGAAATGAACAACGCGCTCAATCGCGAGGAGTTGTCAGTCTGGTTGTCGACCACCATGATTCAGGCCCTCCGCAACATGATCACTCTCTTCACTCATTACTTTGACGCACTTCAGTACATGCTAGACCGGTTTCTTGAGCTTCTCGCGCTTTGCATATGCCAGGAAAACGACACTATTGCCCGAATAGGCAGCAACTGTCTGCAACAACTAATTCTTCAAAACGTTACAAAGTTCAACGCGGATCATTGGACGAAAATTGTTGGAGCGTTTTGCGAGCTGTTTGAGAGAACGACGGCTTATCAGCTCTTTACTGCCATCACAATCAACTCGACAGCGTCGCTCTCTGCCCCGCCTAATGGGTTGGAGCTGGGTGGGCAGCTCAGTCCAACAACTGAGACAGCGCCAGTTGACGAGAAGTCCCTTAAGATCAACGGCGCTGACAAAAACGGACACGTATCGGAGTCAGAGGTCCCTGCCTCTCACGCAAACGACGGGGATGAGGATAGCCTTGCTACGCCTACGGCCGGCGCAATAGGTGCTGCAGCGGCCACGTCACAAACCCCCTTGACGCCACAGTTAGAGGAGTTCAAGCCGAGCAACACATTGCAGCAGCAGCCCGTCGTGGTGACAGCCGCACGCCGCCTCTTCTTCAACCACATCATCAGTCGCTGTGTATTGCAGCTTCTAATGATCGAGACAGTCAACGAGCTCTTCAGCAACGATGCAGTCTACGCGCAGATACCCTCGTCCGAACTCCTTCGCCTGATGGCGCTTCTAAAAAAGTCCTTCCTCTTTGCGAAACGCTTCAACGCCGACAAGGATCTTCGCATGCGCTTGTGGCGCGAGGGCTTCATGAAGCAACCGCCTAACTTGCTGAAGCAGGAGTCTGGTAGCGCCGCCACTTACGTTGCCATCCTGTTTCGCATGTTCAACGACACTGCCCCAGAACGCCAAGGCAGCAAGGCTGATGTCAAAAATGCCCTGGTTCCGCTTTGTCAAGACATCATCCGGGACTATATTTCTCTGGAAGAGGAAAGCCAGCATCGCAACATTGTCGCCTGGAGGCCCGTTGTGGTAGACGTTCTAGAAGGCTACGCGGCATTCCAGAAGCAGGCATTTGCAAGCCATATTCCCAGCTTCTACCCCCTCGTCGTAGAACTCCTGAGCAAAGAACTCGGCAGCGATCTCCGGACGGCATTGTTGCTTGTGCTGAGACGCGTCGGTGAGGTTGGACTAGGAATTGAAAACATGGCCGCCTTAGCCAAGGGTCCTAGCCCTGAAAGGAGGACTAGCACTGTGACTACAGCGTCGTTGGGGCCGCGCGCCTCGCAAAGTATAGACAACTCGAGTGATGACCCCTCAAGCCGTGTCATGGGCAAATAATGAAAAATGGAGTGGGTTTTGGTGGCGGCAAGAGGGAGGGAGCGTGCGCAAATATATGTGACCTATAGATTACGGATGGTCTTGGAATCCGCTTGGCATAAGCGTTGTGTGTATACTTTTTTCTATCTTACCGTCTTCGGAAAAGCAACTTGCATTGAGACTGGCCCATCAGTTCATTGAGGGCTGGGGTGGTGAAGAAGTTTTTGTAGGTTCGACACCTTTTAGGTTGATGTATTAGTACCTTCCTTGGTTTGAAGCAACTTGATAGTTCCAGCCTCTTGGTTTACGAGTACGTACTGTGCGCGACATGCACGCCCTACTATTTATTGTACGTACAGCGCTGAGCTCACGACACCACTCAAGCGCGGCCAAACCGAATTGTGAGTCTTACCTTTTCACTCGAGGGAAAGAAAGCTTTTTTCCAGACTTTAGCAACTCGTGGATATTGTGATTTATTAAAGACAGGCCTTGGGCCCATCACCGTAATGGAACTCTATTAGTCTCTCTGGGCATCACTTCCTGGAGCCATCGCCGCAAGTCGTCGGCCTCTTCAGGAACAATCCGTTCTGGTAGGCTTAGCAGCGCCTCCTTCAACACCAGATCATCCTCAATCGCCTCACACAAAAGCGCCCGGACTACCTCTACCTTGTGAACGGAATACTCAGTCACACGCATCAGGCTTACAAACGCCTCGAAGAAATCCACTAGGCTCAAGTGCATCAGAGCATCGCTTTTGTCCACCATGCGCAGTGCTGCAAACTGGAGAAGCCCCTCGCCCTGCTTGGGTTTCGGGATGGATCTATCAGATTCTCCGTAGCCATTCGTAACACTCACAGCCGTGGTCGCCATAATACCTGACTGGCTAACGGCCCGAAGGTTCAGAGCTGCCAGCCGAGGCAAGATCCGCAACACCCGGCCCTGCGCCAGAGACAGCTGGTGCACGTTCGCACTCGTGTCCGCGTGACGGCCAGCGCAGAGGGCTACCAGAAGCGTGTATATCGCCCGGTCGGTAAAAAGCCGCCGCCATAGCTTGCCCTGTCCGGGGCTCTTGCGCAATACCAGCTCGGTGTGTGTCGCGGTGCGCCCTGGTACGGGAGGCATGGGCAGTTCGCAGTCGACGTCGAGCAAGTCGCCAAGAACAATCCCACCCTTCTGTCCCACCTCGACCTGCGGCGCGGCCAGCCACCGCCGGATGAAAGACACTACAACTGACGTCATGGTAGAGAGAATAGCTACGTCGGCCGAGCTCACAGCAGCTTTGTGAATAACGGTCATCGCGAGCAGGTTTGCGGCCGGCGCGGGGGAGTCGAGGGCCTGCACTAAGGACTCTTCGGAAGCGAGCGAAAGGACTTGGGTGAAGGACACGGGGCGGAGAAGCTTGATTGCTAGACTGGCGAGGACGGTTGGGTCTTCGGTATATTGCTTCAAGATCGCGGTGAGTTTCGGAAGAAACCGGACGATAACGGCCGGGGTATTGCTTTCTGCGCTCGATGTGTTAGCAAAATGGTTCACGCGAGGCTTGCGCGCCGCCCCCTATCAGTGGAACAACTTGCCTGTGAGCTGGAGCTCGACATCGTCAAAGAGCTTTGCATCAAGAGGGATGCTGGGGTCCTGAACGAGATCATCGACATGTTTCTCGAGCTCGTCCAGGCCGCTTATCGGTGTTGTGTCCATTGTGGTTTAGCGAGCGCCTAGGTCGGGGTAGGAATCTCGAGAATTCAATAACGAAGAAGTTCAAATAGTCAGGGCAGCAGTTGGGATGCAAGGAGGGGCGGGTGCAAGAGGGGCACATTCATATCTGCAATGCCTGTCTACATAAGCATTCTTGGAGAATGCGGGGAATTTGGAAAGCGTTCCGCTAATAATAAGTGGTGGAGGGCTCTCAGCGGGGTAAATTGCGACAGGGGCCGAAGCTCAGCGAGCTTCTACCAGTAGCATGCCGCCCTAGCTAGCACAGAAGCTCGCACGATGGTGGGGCACGAGTGGTGTATCCCTTGCAGCCACGAATTTGCGATTGAAGAGCCCCGCCAGAATTTTGCTGTCGCATCTTCAATGACTCGGACTCGAATTCTCATGAACGGCTCACTCACCTCCCTAGTCTCGCCTCGCTTTTCCAGCCGTCTCCAACCTACCGAGGAATATAACGGCCAGTTATCGACACAATTTTCCGCTGATTTAAAATGTCTCGAGGAGGTGGGCGAGGAGGCCGCGGCGGCCGCGGTCGCGGCGGCTTCGGCCAAGGCAGTGCTCGAAGTGTTGGGCAGAATAATGTTCCTTGGACCATGGACTCCGAAATAGTACTAGACGGCAAGCCCTCAGAGCTCTTCCCAGTAAGTCACATGCTATGGAAGCATTCCTATTCTATGCCGGTCCTCAGTATGCTGACAGTTGGTTCCTTCTCTGTCTACCTTTCCAGCTTTACGACGTTCCTCAAGCACCCGCCCTCTCCAAGAAAGAAGAGAAGCAGGTGTCATTTTTCCTCCTATTCCGCGAGCAGTGCCACGACGGACCGCTCTATACACAGGCACGTACTCAGAATGGCGGCAGGTCGGGACGCACGTACGGCCAGGACCAAATCAACAAACGATACGGCCAGACAAGCAAGGCCACAGTAGACCCCTTTTTCGCGGTTCCAACCTACTCTCAGAAGTTCAAGCAAGTCGAGCGGACATTGCCTGACCTCGACACCCGACCTTTTGCGAAAGAATTCTTTCCCTCCGAGCTTCACGCGACACTGGACGGCGACGATGGTCCGACGAGCGGGCCAGCCAATAAACGGCGCAAGACTGGACCCAAGGTACTGGCATTATCCAACATCACTTCCCTCAAGACAGCGGAGGAGCTATTCCTCCCCGAGACACAGCAGTCTGTTCTGGACGCCACTGCTAGTTACGACAAGGCGATGCAGGTCCTGAATGCCCTGGAGAAGCGTAACGAGGATGGCGACGACGAAGGCTTCTTGTCCAGCGAGGACGACGATGACTGGGTCAAGGCAGCAAACGAGGACGATGAGGCTGAGGCGAACGTCGAGGATGAAGATCAGTATGACGACGAATCCGGCGACGATTACAACGCCGAGGCGTATTTCGAGGGTAACCAGGATGACGAAGATTATGATGAGGGAGGTGATGACGGTGGTGATTACATGTAATCGTGGGCAAAGGAACATCATTTCTCTAACCAATTCTTTTTTTCTTTCTTTTTTTGTTATTGGCTTGTTACGGCGCATCACTAAGATACCTAGCCTTACCTCGGTTCATGTACAGGAAAGCAACAACGGAGAGGGTCAGAGATACCATTTTCAATTTTTATGAGGGCATTCCGATGAAAAGAACGAAGAGTGTACCATCGCAACATGAGACTGTTGCATCTAAATTAAGGGAGCAGCCCTCATGCTTGGATACAATCAAACCATTCGTTGGGGTATTCTTAAGGCACTAGATGAGGCCCTACATGTTTTGTACAAGAATTTCACTACCAATATCCTACCCTGGTGGCCTCGTCTCTCGCCTCGAGTCCTTGCCCCCGTGCTCTACCGTATTTATCAGATGCCGTAACCCATGAAATCCTTAAGTTGCAATCCTGTAATACCCTCCTTTACGCCTCCAACTACCCCAGCAACCTTAAGAATACCCTCTTCAAAATCGCGGAGCACCGCAGCCAGCTCGACAACCCTCTCGTCCAACCCTCCCTGGCTGCCATTTTTGGACTGAGCAACCACTCGTTGCAGCTGCTCGAGCATGTTTCCTTGAACGCCATGCAAATGCACCTCGATTTCGCCGAGGTTCCTCTCAAACTTTTTCATCATCTCGCCCATCTCATCGGAAGTCTTAGAGAAAAAGGTGATCAAGTCCGAGTTGCTCTCGGCATCAGCGTCTGCCGATCCTGCGCCTGTCGCGGCCTGTTGGCCGCGGGTCGACCATAATCCTGACTGATGGTACTGTGTCGGTAACCGCAGGTTGTCTATCGCTTTAAAGGACAGGCGGGCGTTGTCTGCGTCCTTTTTCACCAGGTCCCGAAGTTGGTTGATGGCAGCCAAGTCACCCGACAGCGCACCGTCTGCTCCTTCGGATTTTCGAGTTACAAAGTTAACGTCGGCCGGGATGGCTGACAGTTGGTCGCCATGCGCCGGCAGGAAGGCATCCACCGCCTCCTTATCCCTAATACACTTTTGGATGCCCTCGTCGATCATGGCGATCTGCTTCTGAAGATCCTCCTGCAGGTCATTGAACCGCGTTGTCGAGCGAATATTGCTCACATCTATGCGTACGCCTGGCACAACCTGTGGTTGTTGGTTGGCGGACTGCCCCATGGTCAGTCCCACGCCTTGGTTTGCCTGCCCAAAGCCTGGATTCTGCTGCTGCTGCTGCTGCTGAGGCTGGGCATTAGACTGGCCAAGGCCAGCACTGGAAATTTCACGGTCAGTACAACGGTCACGAGGAAGTAATTGCCGTGGGGAACGCACAAGAGACTACCTTGGGGCTTGGCACCCTGCCCGAAGGCTCCCGCGGCTGCGGGACCAAACATTCCTCCTGTGTTGGCCGTCGAGCTGCCAAATAGTCCTCCTCCTGCTTGGGGTTGTTGCTGTTGTTGCTGCTGAATTGAAGACGTTCCAAATAGGCTGCCAGGTTGTGCGGGCTGCGATTGGGGCGCTGCGCCAAATAATCCTCCTGTTTGCGCTGGCTGTGCAGGAGCGGTTCCGAAGAGTCCACCAGCCTGCTGCTGCTGAGGCTGTGTCGTGGTATATCCAAAAAGACCGCCTACTTGCTGTTGTGGTTGAGAGGCTTGCTGATTTCCAAATAGACCTCCACCGACTGTTTGCTGCTGCTGTTGCTGTTGAGGAGCAGAACCAAAGAGCCCGCCCGTCTGCTGAGGTTGCGCTGTCGACGCTCCAAACAAGCCTCCACTCTGCTGGGTCTGCTGGGGCTGGGTGTTTGTGGTGGCTCCGAATAAAGATGTTGTGGTCTGGGGCTGCGAGGCTGTTGTGCCAAACAAAGAGCCTACCTGTGCTGGCTGGGATGTTGAGCCGCCAAAGAGTCCACCGCCGGCCGGAGCTTGGGTGGTGTTGCTCCCACTGTGCAGAAACGGTTAGCTAGTGTATTCGGGCCCAGAAGCGGCATGCTCAGGTGCAATCAGAATTGAACGCAGGGATGGCTGCTGCTGAGGTCGGAAATCCACAAAATACACATGCATGGATAGAGTCGAAGGAGGGTGATCGACCGTCCAGTGTCACCAACACCTGAACGCGTTCGGCGCAAACTTACAATATGTTCGCGTTCCCGGTGTTGATGCTCAAACCACCAGGGCCGCTAGCTGACCGTGCGAGAGCCATTGTTGGCAACGTGTTGCCGCAACTCGCAAGGTTGTTTGGCGAGGAATGTGGAGTTTGATAATCTTTTCTCACTGCGTCGCGATGTGTTTTGGCTAGCCGACCAGGCCCGACGTTTTTCTGCCCCACAGTGTTGCCGCGGACTCGCGGTTGTCGGTTGCTGAAGTTGCGCCTGCCCCCTGCACCCTGCCCTGCACCTAACCCTGCTAGTCTCCGCAGAGGTGTAAAAGCTCTGACCGCCTGCCATTTCGATCTCGCCTTGGGATTGGGCCGTTCTTGTCGCAAGAACTATTATGTAATCGGGCTTTAACAACCACACCTTGTACCTTTGAGCCCTTGACGATCTTGTTCCGCCTCTACATTACACCCGACCGCTAGACTACCGTAAGAAGTTTACCAACCATGGATATTGACGAAGAGGACGATTTCTATGCGCCTGAAGAGCCAGCAGCTCCCCAAGCGCCCGCAGCATCCACCACTGCGCCGGTGCCCGCAGCAAAAGCAAAGCCCGATGCAAATGATGAGCTTGAGGAGGGCGAGGAGGAGGACGAGGGTGGCGAGATGGATGAGGACGACGACGACTCTGTGCGCGCCCACCATGCTTTCTCCGAACCCCAACATCTCCCTTTGAGGGGGCTTGCGCCCTCGCATACTAACTAGGTACTCTGTTTCATAGGATATTGACATAATAATCGAGAGAAAAGATGGCTCTAAGGCTGCCCCTCCACCGTGCGTATACCCGCCACGTATACCTGCCGCATGCGTGCTGATTGCTCTTCGTTTCCAGGCAATCACGATACAGCGAGATCAGGAATATACCCCAGCGCTCCACCTCAAACGAAACAGCCGTGAAGGCTGCCCCCGTCCAGAAGGAAGAGCCTAGGCCGCCGGCGGCGAACCTGCCGCCCGTATCGACTTCCAAGATCAATGTTAACGCAATACCGACATATAAGCCACTTGGCAAGCCGTTAACACAGATCAACATCGACGAAGGTCTGCCATGCTGTCTTCCCCGGGCCCGTTCCCGGACTCTTGATAGTTGAGCTAACCAGCCCTCCCCCTTGCCAGACCTCGGCGAAGGCGACAAACCGTGGCGCAAACCAGGTACCGACCTGTCAGACTATTTCAACTACGGCTTTGATGAGTTTACGTGGGCACTGTATGCGCAAAAGCAAGAGACTATCCGAGGCGAATACAGCCAGGAAGTGGTCGCCCAGAATAACAAGAAGATGATGGAGGAAATGACCAACATGATGATGATGGGGGGCATGATGCCAGGCCTCCCGGGAGCTGGTGCTGGTGCGCCAGCCGGAGCAGCGGCCGGCGCGGCCATGCCAGGCATCGAGGGCATCTCGCCGGACATGCAAGCCATGATGCAACAGATGATGGCTAGCGGTATAGATCCGAGCCAGATGGATATGAACTCCATGTCGGCCATGTTTTCTGGGATGCAGAACCCAGCTAGCGCCGGAGGTGCTGGTGGCCAAGGAGGCCAAGGACAGAACTTTGGCCAGGGATTTGGCGGTAATCAGGGTCAGGGTTACGGCTACGACCAGCAGATGGGCGGTGGCGGTGGTGCTGGTAGTGCTGGCGGAGGAGGCGGCGGTGGAGGTGGGAGAGGAAACCGGGGACGTGGTCGTAGGTGGTAGACGCCTTTATTTATGGCGGCTCTCCTAATGCGTTGGGACATTGTCAAAAGCGATACTGCACCAAGGTAAGGCCCTTTCATCTGGCCCCATTGTTAGTCCCAGCGTCTCTTCAATATTGAGACTCCGCTAATGGATGGAAGTCAGGGGGCTGCTCAAGTCAATCACTTGTTACCACACTGCCTTGTCCAATAACCATCACGGTCTCCGTGGGTTACGGGTATGTTGTGTTGTTGGCTATAAGTTGCCGTATATGTATTCTACCTGTTTTCTTTAAAATAGCTTGTCATGGAATAAGACAAGTCGGCAGTCGTGAGCCTTGTCAGTCTGCATTCTCGTCTTCGGGCTCTCGCTCGGATGCTGAATTTAGATAGCCGCCTATCAGCCCTCGTTCACGATAATTGTCTGTTCTTGTCTCCTGTATCACAAAAAAAACATCTTCAATCAACGGTGCTCACAACGCCATCGCAAGCGAGTCCAACAAATTCTAGAGACTATTTTCGTTAAGGGCGAAAGTGGGAAATCAAATACGTACTTGAGATGGAGGCCAAATATCGCAGCCATTGATATTGTTTACCTGTCTTCTGTACAAGACAGCTTGCATTGGAAACGTGTCAGACGCTTGCCGTGGCCCCAAATACTACCTAAACGATACGCAATGCTCAAATTCTGACCGCTAGGTTGTTCATAGGTAGCCAAGCCAGCCAGTTAGCAGCGACAAACACGCCCCTCGTCTTCCCGCTATCGTCCAGTCAGATTCCAGTCTTGTCTCTGAATGGATCACTCCTTGTCTCCTGGTGCAGGAGGCTCCGTTGTCCAAAACGAACCCTCACATGTTGACATCCCTCTGCATATGGATTCGTTGGCGTCCTGTATTGACTGGACCAGGTAGCTCCTGACCATCCGAGCCCCGGCCTACGCCCGGGAGATAGACCCCAACATCGATGCCTTCGCGCAGCAGAATAGAGCCCGTATCTCCGATCTCTTTGATACCCTCTCTTTTCGGTTTGTCCTCTCGAAGCAGGCCGAAGGCATGTTCTCTAGGTATCGACTATGTCAACCCCAAGCGATCATGCAATGCTGCGGCAGCTCTCTCGTTGCTCCGCCACCGTGACAACTCGGTCGTGTCCGATCGGGCGTCGATATTCGCAAATCTCTGCGACTATGACTACCGCCTGGACATGGCTAAAGTATGCCAGCCAGGCTGCCCGTTGAGCGCATCTATTATTGCTCTCTGCGTTCTCAATGGCGACTCTCCATCTTCATCCCCGAGGTCTATGGCCCAACCCGGGGCAACAATACCGCGGGCTCTGGGCATCAAGAGGAACCCAAACCGCTATTTCCGACGCCATCTCGCCTGCGTAATATTCGCCATTTTGTCCCCAGTGCACCTTTCCCATCCGTGCCGCAAGTGAAGCACTATTTTTCCCTGTCCCCGGACGGTGTGCTCGCATTTCCGGGTCTCCTCTGGAAAGTCAACAAACCCCTGGGTCTCACTTGGCTTCGGGACCGCTATGGCCAGCCTTGGACGCTCTATAAGTTCTTCACCTCGTATTTCCATGACGTTCAGCGGGGCGGGCAGAAGATGGCGGATTTTCTGCGATTCTGGGTGTCGTTTTTCAACAGCGGCATCACACATCCTGCTGCTTTTGACCAGCTCAACTCCCTTGTCGAGAAGATTCACGCCTCGCCCGATCCCGAGAGCTGAAGGCCGCCCTACGATAGACGCGCACTAGAGATTGAAATCTTTGCCCTGCACTTTACGATTCTGCTAACGCTAATCCTCGCTCTTCGCAAGGGCAACAAGATTGGACTGGCAGATGCTTTGTGGAACTCGACACAGGGACACAGTTGGCCAGTTGAAGGCACCAGTTTCAAAGATGACGGGGACGTGCCGTCGTCTGTGAAAGACTTTCCCGCCGAGCTGCAAGCTACTCTCAAGGTCGCTGAGCTTTTCAGGTTCGAGAAAGACAACTAAGGGAACTGGCTCTATCCGTGGCTCGTCTACCGGATCATGACAAACGGCTAGTTGTGGACTGAACGCCTCGTGCGAAAGTCGAGCGACGAGGGGTGGCCGACGTCCTCCGTCACAGACACCAGGGCTCCGCAGAACGCCGGTGACCCAGCCACGACTGGTGCAGACTCTGAGGATATATCTGACATTTCAAAGACTCGGCAAGCCCTTGTAGTCTCGGGCCTGGTTGCTAGTGCAGGTACGGCTATTGCAGACGCGGCGTGTACCATCGAGGTCAACGAGAAAACGCCTCCCCCAACCCGAGGGAGGCTTTTCGGGCAAATGGTTACATCGGTATTGGTCAGGCGGGTCATGCAAACAATTGTCGAAGCACCCGGCCACAAGGCCGACCGAGACTTGTTTATTGACGACCCTGGCAGCTGGGTGCTGGCCGCTCAGCTGGCGTCAAGAGACTCCGGCGAGATGGATGTGCAACTGCGGAGAGCGAGAAGGTGCCGATCGAGGAGGTGTTTCGCTTTCATAGCACAGTGCGAGGCATGTGGGCCGTAGGCGAGTTCTCTGTCTCTCGGTATGCTGTGATGAGCACCCGTGCGGTTCTGGGAGAGGAGTGATAGGTACTTACTTGTGTGGAAAAGATACAAATGCAAGTGTGTCTGTATTACAACAAAACAAATGCCAATTTTGATGTGACGAGACATGGCCCCCCTCTCAAGTTCTACATCCTTAGAGATAGACATGATTGAACATCTCGCATAGGCGGTAAGGCAACAATCTAAAAACAACAAGTCCCAGGTTAAGTATTAATTGCATTTGATCTCGGAGGAAGAGGTCTGTAAGAGTGGGGTAGAGGGACCGGTCATATCATCTGTGGTTCAATGGAGAGACTCGGCGATAACGGGGCTTAGTGGCAGCTTATCTACCAGACTTTCTTTTCCCTTCCACAAGATTACAGACGTGGCTAATGTGCTCCTATAGACGTTTAGGTTAGATAGCCAGAGCCGCCACTAGCTTCATATCATGCCCTTTGATTGTTGTGTCCCTTTATTTACAATAGAAATCAAATCTAGAGCGTGAATCAATATGTCTTTCGGTTCTGGACGGTAAGGGGAATTGCCATCTAGAACGCCAACCAAAGCCGCCTTTCTCTCTGAACCCAATGCCGCCCTCAGACTTTCTAACCCCGGATCCATCCAGACACGATCCTCCCGGCCGAAGACGACGCAGCGTCACAATACGAGGAGAACCTCCACGTTGCGCGGATAAAGGCATTATCGAACATCGAGGTTGAGATGCTGGCTTGGTCGCTCTTGGTAAGAGAGATTATAGAACGAGATCCCGCCGAGTAGTTGGTTGCCTTGCTAATACACTAGCTGTGAAGTACGCGCTGAGGGCAGCCTAGAGCGGTTATATCGGAATACCCAAGTGGAGCAAAAGCTAGAAGTACAACCAGTATCCCAGCTTCAGAGCACGCTTCGATGCTGCCGTGGAGACTTGCCGGGTTAGTCGACTACTACTCGGGATTCCCTGTTCAGTTCTTGGTACAAGATGCTAACTGCCCGCTCTCCAATATGTTTCCAAGGGAATGGTTCACAGCCTGACTTTGGCTCAGCACTTAACCGCTTTGCCGCAGCGCCTGACGGAGAAGCCAAGGTGAGTGACAAGAATTACCTTCCTGAGCTTGTGACTTGATTGGTGGCCAAAAGGCTGACAACAGGGTTCAATAGACTAAGCGGCAGAATCAAGCCTGCAACAAACACAAAGTCAGAGAAATCGCCGTCGGCAAAGAGGCCATCAAGCAACGAGCCACTCCGTTGATAGCTGCCTCTCCTTGGACGACAATTACATCCACCCAAGCGTCGGCTGAACGATGCCTTTGAAAGCGAGGCCGCAAGAACCCACAAGCGAAGGATTCTTGAGAACGTGGATAGTGCCATCAATGGTGCCTAGTCCAGTGCCAGCTCTGACAACGGGCTAGGTAGTTCCAGCGGTGCTCTGCTCGGGCTGTTGGGAGCCGAAGCACCGAGCTTTGTGCCCCAAGCAACTGCCTTGACGGACTCTTTAGCAGCCCCAGCGGATATTCCATTGGCTCCGACACATCCGGCAGCTGCAACTATGTGAAAAAAACCCTGACCTCAACCTTCCGGCGCGGCTTTGGCGAGGATAATGGATTTGTCTTTTACCCGCGGTTTTTGCCGTAGTCTGTTGCTTCTCGGACACAGGAGCCACCGAGACATGAAAGACAGCTCGCATGCTCAAGGTCATCACATCCTATACTATCTATCAACTTCTCGGTGCTCTTCTGAATATGGCCTGCTGTCTCACGCCGCTTTCTTTTCTAACCATTTGGCAGTAGCCTCATTTCAGCAACTCATTATACAGTCACGGTTTGACTAAAATGAGCCTCACATATAATATTTGAACTTCGAGATGCTATAAAGAGCAATATTAATAATAGCCGCTATTCTGAGAGATGTCACAATCGTGTATATATATATAAGAAACCCATGGTTAACCATACCTGAGCCTGAGCTTTGCCGTGCTCGCTAGTCACCTGAGGGGCCCAGAAATGTATAGCGAGACGTCCAAGGGGCTCATATTGCTTACGAGCAGTATGAAACAATAGATAAGGATATGCTGGTTATTTCATAAACAAATAAACAAATAAATAGTTACATAGAAAATATTATTGCATTATGTCGCCCAGAATGGACCCACTTTTCAAGGAATTGAACCACATTTTTTAGGCCCTGGTTAGCACGCCTCCGTACTCCCTTCATTCTTTATTTTTCCTTCATTTTTGGCTTTGGAATGCTCCCATTTCAGGCTGATTACATCACTTCCCTTGCCCTCTCTCAACGAGTATAAGGAAGTGCTCTTTTATGTACTTATAGACCTATTTGGCCAGACAATTCAATGGCTGTCAACTTCGTTCGCATGCAACACATTACAAAGTATTCGTAATTATAAAATATATATACTCGTGTAACTAGGATTTTAACTTCTCTTTGGAAGCATCTCGTAGGTACCTTAATCGCCTCAAAGGCGGCTTCAAAATTCTCAACGACCCGGCAATGACTGTAGATCGTCATAACCTGAAGTGTGTTCGAGCAACTGCCATCTCAGCCAGTCTCTTATTTGGGACACGCAGTTACGTGTAATAGTGGGGTTCAAGTTTCAACAGCTGGCCAAGCTCCACTGTTAAATGGCATGGGTTCGGGGGCAGGATCCCCCCACGTGGGCCTCGGCCCGCCCAGCCCAGCCCATGCAATGGCGTACATAGACATAGACAGCGAACCAGACAACAGAAATCCTGCACGAGGGACCATGGACAGCGTGGAATGAGCGTTGGACTATTCTGAGGATAGAACTCTCTGTTTATATGCGCGATGGGCGACCGAATGGATGCTGGAAGCGCCACGGCACAATAGCTGAGGGGTATTCGTGTATGCCACATACCAAGTTGGGCAGGAAGGAACGGTTGGAACTGGCAACTGATGCCGGATGCTCTATTAGGCATCATACATCCTAGGTACCTTAGTTTCCAACAGGGGCCAGAATATATGGGCCAGGCCTGTTCGTTTCCAGCTTTTTCAGTGGAGTCGGAACGTGACCCACTGTTGCGATACAGTAACAGTGGCATCCCATTTCTCGCTTCTAAATACCCACCCTCCCCGCCCGTCTCTCCTCCTCGTATGCCAGGGATCTCCTTAGCGAGTCGTCAGGCATGCGGTCCTAGAATTGTTCAACACGCGCAACCGGAAGTTTTTCCTAGTTACCTATACTATAACTCGGGTTTTCGGCATCATGGCCATCCTCAACGCACCAACAACAACGCCAAGCGTCTCTCTCTCAATGAGATCAGATGTGAAGTGTACCACTTATAACCGCCACCATCCGAGTCTTCCACTGCAATTTCGGCGACTTCTCGGCCTAGCCTTCCTTCTGCTCTCAAATATCTGCCTGGCCGCCGGCGTAGTTGGTCATGCCTTCTGGGTGGGGGTGCTCAAATTTCTCCTCGCATCCAAAACATTTGCCATGGCATCTTACGGCTTGACAAAACAGCTTTGTTGGACCGTGTGGGACAGCAGACGGTCCCGGCGGGTCAGAAAGAGAATCGAGTTTGAGTTTTTTGCCCTGGTTTTAGGACCAAGCGGGAATATATTGCTCCAGTTGCTCTTTTGGCCTGGGTGGCTCGCCCCGGCCCTGGTACTCGGGTGGCTCTGGGTACAATCCAGGTGATAGTAAGTTGGAGTCACCACCTAGAGTACCTCCAGAGCTAAAGCTGACTCCAAAGCTGGACAGCCTATGAGCCGATTTAGCAGATGAGCAAGCCGCCAAGCACAGAGTAACCACGAGCCGCGATCCTTGGGGTTGCTTCATTTGGAAAAGAAGAACGCATTGCCGCCGGTATCGCGCGGGATCTCTCTCTGGTAGTCCTTCTCGGGCTCGAACTCCTGCCACACGCTGGCCGGATATATGTGCTTGTTGCGCTGGTACCACCGGCGATCAACCACCTTGGTGAAGTTGGGGTCGTCAGACGCACCCTCTAGCGTGGTGATATCCGGCAATCCTCTGCTGCTAGCCTGGCCAGGTCGGGATAGGGCATCCGCTGGCGCAGGACTTGTCAGGGGCGCCTCGGCGCTGTAATCAAACAGCAGTTTGTTTCCAGGGCCAACCGTTTTGTTCATAACGAAAAAATAGAATTCATAATGCTACTGATTGTCAGCCTTTTTTTGCCCCCTTTTTTGGCCGTAGTGACTCTGGGGTGGAACTTACGTGTGGAATGATGATGGAACCCCGAACAAGTATCAAGTCGTCGACGCCCACTCGAGCCCAGTCGCGCCTGGCATTCGAGTTTTTGTCGCCTCCCACTCCAAGCACAGCCCCGACCTTGCGGCTCTTGTCGAGGAACAGCCAAACAAAATCACCCTTCTTGACCCTCACAATACCACCGGGAGTGTTGGTGCCATCGTAAAACACAAAGGGAACGGCGATCTCGGTGGCTTTGATGGCAGTTTGTAGCAGGAGAAACTCCTTTCGCAATGCCTCTCGTTCGGCAGCCTCCCGTCGCAGGGCCGCCTTGGTCAGCGCGCGCGGCACGATCCCGACCGAAGTATTCGCCGAGAGCTTTGCCGCAGGCTTCTCTTCCGTACCTTCCTTGGCTGTGGTGCTGCCGGTGGCTGCGGGGGAATTGCCGGCCGTAGGTTCGTCGTCCGTCCCTTTCGGCTCCTCCTTCTCAGCAGTCAAGGGCGCGGAGGACAATCCATCTGCGCCTCCGTCCTCGTCCTCGCCGAAGGACACGAGCGCCTTGATCCGCTTCTTCTTCTGCTTCTTGCTCTTCAGCTTCTCAGCTTCGGCACTGTCGCTGGCATTGTTTGGCGTCGCAGTCAGGGATCGATCGGGAGTTGACGCATGTGTGCTTGACAAGACAGCCTCGCGTGCTTCGCGCTCTTGTTGTTCGAGGACCTCGGCCCTCCGCTTGCGGAAATCGGAGAGCGCGACGAGCCCGACTGTGTGGGTTGAGAGCCGTTCGTTTGTTGTCTTATTTTGTGGCGTAAATCGTGATGTTGGCTGGTGAGACATTCTGACAAGACTATATCACCAGAGTGCAAGTCCAGGGCCGGCGTAGCTGGTTTTCTGGGTCCAAGTCGCCTCCCAAGGATGTGCTTGAAATCAATCACCAGAAAGTGTTTGGGTGAAGTCGTCAAGGTCCGTGCCTTAGTGCGTTACGGCGTTAACACTGGAGCCCCTGTAGGTAGGTGGATGCATAAGCTTCAGGCCACCTGCACCTGCAGCCACGGGCCCCAATGGTTGTAAATTGCATACAACCTACCAATATGTACGGGGTATATTTATATGCAAATGTATAAGATTCCAAGGAGGGTTTATTCCATGTAAACAAATCGACCTAGAAAAGCATCTGCTAGGCATTTTAATGAAAATAATAGGGCTTTAAGATTCTATATCAGGGGCTCTGATAGCCACCGCTTCCCTTAGAGAAAAACTTTGAGGGTCACGTCCAACGTCAGGGGATGAGGTTTGTACATGTACATACATATACAGTACATTTTCGGTAGTTGTATTAACTTACACTAGTGTACATACCAAGTGTGGTCAGTCATTACTACTCAGGCATCCAAAGCCTCCTCCTGTAGGACTATTTACTCTATCCCTCAATTCCGTCACGATTCTCCTGAACATGTCTCTCCTGAAAAAGTCGTCCGAGCCTTCCTCTCAAAAAGTCTGCCAAGGCCACAAACAGGGGCTGGTCGTGGCCCTCGAGCCAGTTAACCGAGAAGGTGGTTTTATCCGTCCCTACTCGGACTGCTATAGCAAATCCGAGGCGGCATTCTTCCGAGTCCGTGGCCTGTGATTTCGGCACAACCGCAACGCTTGCGTCTGCTGTCTCACGTGGAATCTCGCGAAGTTTCTTTCTTCTCCAAGATCGGCTCCAGACATTTTGTCTCGCCCTACCTACGCCTCTCGACGCTTCCATATCCCATGTCCAGGATATCAGCTCCAACGACCCTATGACGACAAGGATCAACTCGATAAATGGGCCGACTTCGTTGCCCACCGGTAACTTTAGTACGTCCTGCTTCGTAGGGGGCGGGACGAGGTTTTCCCAGGATCCCGCATTGATTCCCCTTGCCACATGGTCGGCAGGCCTCATCGGCGCGAAGCTCCAGCCAAGCGCCCAGCGTCGAGTCTTCTTGCCCTGGGTAAATTCCGTGACAGCGAAATTGTCGATGTTGTTTTCGCGGAGCTGGCCTACAAGGGCGTCGAGGCTTGAGGCTTTCCCGACCATTGTCGTGTACCATCGAACTTTGTCGCGCAGGATCAGTGACTCCTTCAGCATGCGTCCAACGTGGCCCACCTCGCCCCCTTCGCAGATCATTTCCACGGGCGCGCCAGTGCAGGCAGAGTTAGGTGGCTGTGATTTGTTCTCGGCAGACTGTTTCAGTTCGTCCTCGGACTCGTAAAATGGCGGGTTCATCATGACGAAGTCGATTGACTGAACGCCGATATCGTCAAGCGGCACCAAACTATCGGAGGCCTTCCGCTCCATGACCCGGATTTGCTTTTCAAGCCCGTTGAGCTCAACATTCTTTCGGGCATGGACAAGGCTCTTGGCGTCAATATCTGCCAATCGTTAGTAGGCCATCACTTATACATGCCGGAGGGTTTGGAGAGAGGGGGCCAACCTGTTGCCACGAAGTTCCATGGCCGCTGCACGGCTCCCAGAAGAGGGTAGATGCAGCTTGCACCCGTGCCGACGTCAAGGCCACAAAGTTTGCCGCCAGGCTGTTCATAGGATGTCGTGTCCATCAACTCTTTCAGCCACAAGATGTAGTTGTGGCGATTTGTGACCTGTATTTTTCGTATTAATAGCTAAGAGCTTTTGATACACAGTAAGAGGGACTCACCGGGGGGCAAAGTCGATCGTCTGGAAGCTCGATCTTCAAGCCAAAATCTGCCTTGAGCAGCGTCTTGGTCAGCTGCATGAAGGCAGCAGCGTCGCTGAAATTCAGCTTTCCACCCTTCTTCACCCTGACAAAGGGCGAAGGTATCGGCATCAGCACAGGCCACATGCACGGAGCGGGGACAGACGTCCGAGCAGATTCGGAAAGCGAACGGGGATAGTAGGGGAACGCTTTTCGGAAGAGCGTGACATACCAGACTGCAAAGTCGGGATCTCTTGCCGCCAACGTTTTGAAGTCGGGTTCGCAGCGGTATAGGTCACGAAAGTAGCGGTCGGCCTTTGCTATTAATGCCTCAGTGGCATCGCCAAAGTAAGGTTTGGGGACATGATGGGGAACGTTGTGGTTTGGTTTGGGAGCAGTGGGGGTGGTCGGCTCTGCGTGAGCCTCGGCTGGTGCGTCGCACTCATCACAGGACGCTTTTCTTTTCTTGCTTGCCATGGTGCTGCAGTGCGACCTTGAAGGTCATGCGGGAAGACGGGAAGAAGAAAATGAGGTGGTGTGTGGTGTGGTTGTTTTGACAGCGTCTCCCGTCTGAGGTGAGGAAGGCACGAGAAATAATACACAAATGGATGTGGTATAGTGTGTACATGTACAGTGCAATACCGTACATACATTAGGCGCTGGGCATTGAAAAAGGTGCTAAAATTTAGAGGCATAAATCACGTGCAGTAGGCAACGTCCGGAACCCGCTACCCAGCGAACACTGGCTCTTTTTATCCCATACGCAGTCTACGAAATACCTCCAGCTAGCTCTAACCGGGTCAACCCATTGCAACGTTACCGTTTTGCACTGGTGACCTCAACTTCTCTAGACTACATGACCGGAGTATGCGCCTAAATCTGATATGGTGAACTTTGTTGTCTTCTCGCCGTTGGTTCGGGGAAAGCGAGTGAGTAGGCCGGGGTGTAAGTGGGTGTCTGGGTAAGGTATGTAATGCACATACATGGGTATAATGCCTACGTCCCCGAATCTTACAGGAATACCTACTTTAGTGAACCTGCCGCTCGCCGTTGGGTAAGGTCAGGTGGTTTTGAAGGAGTACTGAACCTGATGTAACCTACTAAGACTAGGTCCCTACCTACTTACTGCTCGCGCGAGCAACTCCCGGTTCACGACCCACCTCCGATGGCCCGAGTGCTCATGCTCGTGCTGTCACCGTTTCTATCGCACGGGCTTGCTTCCGTCGTATACTTATTACACACACCCGTGAGCTGTCTATCCTTTCTTTCGTGAGACACTCCTTCTTGCAAGACAAATACAATGCCCAAGGCGTAATCGGGGCGAGGTAGCTCGCAAGCTTCCTAGCCAAGAGAGTGGCAACTGTGTGTCAACCTAGACAGGAGTACCTATGTGGTGTTCTTCTCTTTTACGGAAGGATGTCGTATGAACTCATAGTCGCAGGTAAACATATATGTTACTATCTGGGTAGCCTCGTTCTATTGTCTTTCTTGCCCTATCTCACTTACCGGTCTTGTGTTCTCCTCGTCTTCTTGCTACCGTCTCCCCTCTTTTTGTCATTTCCTAGCACCATCGGTGGAGTGAAGAGTTTCACCAAGTTATAGAGCACGTCTACAGTTTTTTGTAAGACCTGTAACTTTCCGCGCTGTCAGAAAAAACGTCCTCCTGGTTCCATCTTCAAGCCTTCCAGACAGTGAAGAGCCTCAAACTGTGATAGGTGTCGTTGATCGGCGGGCACTGTGTACCGAGGGCCAGAACAAAGCTGTATCTCTATGCTCGTCGATAAGCTCGAGATGGAGTTAGTTGCTGGAAAGTTGCTGGAAAGCTGCTAGCCAGCGGAAGACGAATGTGCCACAGTGACATGACACCGGTCCGGGTCGGGAAGTTGTTCCTAGTCTCTCTCAGTCTCAGAGATGAAGACCCGTACGCCGGTTCTCAAGGACTGCGCTGTCGAAGCCGCCCTAATTTCTTCCACAAACCACCCTACGTGCCGAGACTTTATTCGAGCTCTTGCCTGGCTACCGTACCTACATTGCTTGCTTACCTGCCTGCCCGACTGCAATACCACCACGTCTGCTCATGAGAGAGTCTCTGACACCGGGGCATTGCCAGCGCAGGGGGTACTACCTAGACAGGTAGCTAAGGTCCGAAGGCCTTGTCAACGTTTCACCTACTTCTGCACCTTTCCTGCCAAACAGCTCACATTGACTGCAATTCGGCCTCTGGCTACCTAGTTACTGGCAGAATGGCATTTTGTGTCCTCCATGGCCGTGACGAGACGTGGCAGATAACTGTTGTGCTCGTTCCCCCAAGTGTTTCTTGTCTGTTAACAGCCTGTACCGCGCTGCTACCGCCTGCCGTGTTTGATCCCACTACCTCATTGCCGCCACCGCTCTTCTAGGTACCAGCCCTTGATGAACCGTTGGTTCTTACCTACACACCTATTCAGTCAGGCGCCGAAAAAGCCACCGGATAGACCCGTAGCACAACACAGCAACAGCCTCTGACTTTGTCGGGTCCTACCTACATCTTTCCTCCACTCGCCGACTGGCCCACGTTACTCCAACAATCGCACACTCCTGTTAGGCGGCTGCTCTTATAATAACTCCCACCCACCGCAGACAGACTCCCCAGCCCATCCTGCCTGCCTCCTTCTCTAGCTTTCTTATATCCCAAAGAAGCCTCGACTTCCCGCAAGACAACAACCTGCATGTGAAACCCTTGCACTCTTGCTTTGCTTGCCAACAATGGACTCCCTAGACAAGAGACCAGACACTGTAGGCGAGGGAAGCCAGCCAGCGCCTGCAAAGAATAAGGATACCGAAGCCCCTGCAGAGCCTGCCGTGAAATCAGAAAAAGTGGATGCCAAGAAGCATGACGAAAGAGAGGAAAAGAAGAAAGCCGTTGAGGGGAAGGGCGCCAAAAAGAAGGGCGCCAAAAAGCAAGGCAAGAGCAAGCTGAAAAGGTCTAAGAAGCAGGTTTCTGTCTCGGGTGGCTCTTTAGACTCGGCGAGCGACGATAGCAATGGCAGGTCCTCATCCTCCTCCTCTGCCTCTAGCGGTGACCTTCCGGGTTCCGGCGAGTCGCCCAGAAAAAGAACCCCCAAGAAGGGCCGGGGTGTCAAGAAGCAAGCCCCCCCGAGAAAGCGGGAAAAGGCCGTCAAGTGGAAAAGGTCCAAAGTCTCAGACTCGGGCTCGGACTCAGACTCGGACTCGGACTCGGACTCGGACTTGGATTCGGCCTCAGCTCGATCTATTGCCGGTAATAATTCCAAGAACAATTGTGGGCAAGAGCTCTCGAAGCAGCTCCAGCTCGTCAAGCTTCAGCAAGTACAATAAGACCGGAATCCTCCCCAGTACAGCAATAGCGAGCACTGGTATGACAATAACGGGCATCGCCAATACGGAAATTCCAGTTATCAATCTCTAGGCTCTCAGTTTGGTAACGCCGGCATTATGGGTGGTGTACCTGTTGGGGTATATGACCTGAAGTATCGTGCCAGTCCGGCTGACCCAGCTGGTGGCCGGTTCGGAGGCTATCCAGGGTCTAGACCCAATTTTAAAACCGGTAGCACCGACGCCAATCTTCCCCCCGATGGAACGAAGCCCCGGCCGAAGAAGGAAGACAAAAAGAGCACAGCAAAGCTAGACTTTAAGCGCGTCGACCACGTTTGGGACAATAAAGTCCATGACTACAGGCTCCAGGACACGGCCAAGAGTACCTTGGATGCTCAGTACCACCAGTATCTCTTCCACGTTCGCCGATCAATTGACTAGGAGGGCAAATACAAGACTACTACTGTCGACATTAAGAGCAATCTCCTTGCCGAGTGTCTTCGAACCGTAATCGGGAGCGTGAGGGGCGTCAGCTTGGTTGAGGACACGCCGAAGCTCGATCCCAACATGCTGTTCCTGTAAGTCTAATATAGTTGCTCTAGCCGGGGTCGGGTTCTGTCGGGAGAGATGGGTAGGTGGTTTCTGGCGACCGGGGCTAACACATGCTGTAGATATCTGGAAGACTTCCGGAGATACCTTATGGAACTCAAGGCGACAAAGATATCAAAAGAAGACAAGCATGACCGAAAAAAGGAGCAGAAACACATCAATCTAAAGCGCCAACACCTCAAAGTTCTCGTCAGGTACATCGACAAGGACTTTGCTGTAGTAAAGTCGAGGTAGGTTGACGCCGTAGCCTGGGTTCAGAAAGGCTGCCGACGCCCCTTGCTGACGCAGCCTGCAGTCTGTATCCCATGCTGGAGAATTGCATCATCACCTTTGATCTCCTCTGGGCCCTCTGGAAACCAAACACTCTGGCTTTCACCAATACTTATGGGTCCCAAGACGAGCCCCGCGCGTTCAGGGCCGAGACTGCAGAAAGGCACTCTAGCATTGTGAGGGACGACTTCTACCTCATATATGGCAAGGTATGAAACTACTAGCTTACGCGTGTCTCCTTGACAGTGTTCTTTGCTCACAGTTCTTCAAAAACCAGTACTTTGAATACGACGGGAAGCAGTTTGGTTACGGTACCATGCACAGCGAAGTGAAGGAGTTCCGCGGGACGCGTAGGATCACGAGCCTTAACTATTACCCGCAAAAATACCACAAGCACGAGACGCAACTCCGCAAAGATCTTATAGAGCGGGGGAAGAAGTTTGTATCGTTGAGCGGGGTGCAGTACAAGAGCCACCAGGGCCTTGCTTTCTACAAGAAGAGAAAGTCGGTCGTTAAGGTCAACGTCAATGGGCGTATTATGGTGGACCCAGGAATGCACCGATGGATCAACCCCAACTACCCAATCTCCCACATCCGGCCCAGGGACCGCGGTGTTATATCCGACGACAGTGAAAACTCGGGCGACGAGTCCTGCGGCTGCGCAGACAGTGACGGCGACGGCGACGGCGATGGGAATGGGGCCAAGTGCGTCACTAAATTCACCCGCGATGAAAAGGGCAACGTGTATCAGATCTGTACGCCCGAATCACCCGTCGGCGACAACGACACCAGCAACGAAAAGCTCGACCGGGTTTTCGGCAGGAACAGTACGGCGGTACGGCAGAGCAGCAAAGACTCAGCCACCGATTCGGACAGCACTGGCGAGATGAGCCTAAGTAGAATCAAGGATGAAGACTATCTGATATCTTCTCCCGTGGTCCTAGGGTTCGCCTTTGCCGAGAAGATGTGGCTGGAGTTCACCGTCTCGGAGGTGAAAGAAATACGCTGGAACGAGGGCGCCTACGAGTCGCTGGTCCTCGAGCCGAAGACAAAGGATATCGTCCAGGTATTTACGCAGCCTGAGAATACGGGCCTTCCAGCTGTGACTAACACGGAGGCTACCGGTTAGGCGCTGGTTGAATCGAACAAGTACCACGCTGCTGAAAGTATCGACGATGTAATTCATGGCAAAGGAAAGGGCCTTGTCGGTATGAGCACCAGCACAATAACCCCACGGCTCCTTGCCCCGGAGCCAGCCTCGGAAGCGTGTATGTACTGACATGGCTGGCAGCTGTTCTTCACGGCCCCCCAGGCACTGGAAAGACGCTGACAGCCGAGGGTATCTCGGAGCTCCTAAAGTGCCCTCTGTACATGGCCTCGGCCGGCGAGCTTGGGACTGACTCGCGATACCTCGAGAGCGAACTTAGGAGAATACTGGACATCTGCCACGTGTGGGGTGCGATCCTGTTACTGGACGAAGCCGATGTCTTTCTCGAGAAGAGAAACATGCATGACATACACTGAAACGCCCTTGTCAGCGTCTTCCTCCGACAACTGGAGTACTTTCAAGGGATTCTCTTTCTGACCACAAACCGTGTACAGGTAAGCAGGCACGCTCCAGACGCATTGATGGCTGCTACCCACCATTTCACTACCATGCGACGTGCTTGATGTTATTGTGTGTTATTGCTGACAAGGGCGTGTTGTGTCTAGACATTTGACGATGCCTTCTAGTCGCGCATCCACATTGCGCTCCGGTACGACATCCTCAACAGGCGGGCCAGGATGGCCATTTTCAAGATATTTATCGAGCGTGTCCGGGCCCTGGACAAGGCCGTCGACATACTGGTCTTTACTAAGGAAGATTACGAGAGCCTATCCAAACACGAGCTCAACGGACGTCAGATCAAGAACACGGTATGCACAGCCCAGGCCCTGGCTGTGAACAAGGGCGAGCCCTTATCAATGCGCCATCTCCGGCAGGTTCTCGAAGTCCAACGGAATTTCGACCACGACTTAAAAGGGGGTCCAGGCTTCGAAGACGCCATGAAGATTTACGCCTGAGCAGAGTCGGACTTCACGGCCGCCGCTCAATAGTCCGAGCATGGCCTGGATGCAAATTTCTGCTCGTGTGTTTTGTTTCGTGCGTGCAGGTCCAATTACGAGGCTCAGCAGGTCCTGGAGGTCCCCGGCGTGGTCATGGTGAGGGAGGCACAAGCGGCGATCAAGTGTGGAGTAGGCTGCTTGCGAGTTCATTTTTTTCTGTTATTTTTTTGGTTGTAATGGCAGCTGATCCCGGAAATTTCCGACCTTCAACTGGGTGGGCTGGCCTAGGGGCCTCGGGGCCTTGCGAGCTTTTTGGTATCGAAAGAAGGCTGGGCAGGTTGGAATCGCAGGTTTTCCCCACAGGGCAAAGCCCAAAGTAAACATGAGCAAGTCTCAGATCTGTCCAATTGAAGGACCCACAGTTTACATTACCATTCACTCATTATGAACCCTTCCTCGAATTGTTTGCTGTTGCGTGCATAACCTGTTCCCTCACCTCACCTTACCTTCACACGACTACCAGTACCGGCCAGTCTTGGTGTTGTCTGTGGATCTTCGAGGTATGCATGCAATGTCGATGCGATGCGGTCAGCTTCGTGGGCCAAGCTAAAGCTGGTCCCGAGAGACAGACCTTTGGCACAGGATGAAACAAACTCGGCTCTCTGCAGCTTACCCTACCCGACCTGTTTGCGGATTATGCACCACGTTTCAGGGGTTCCCGGGTCGGTTGGGTCGGATCGGGCCCCCTCCCCCACACTTCTCGCCCTACTGCCGGGAGGGAATGACGTCGACTCCTGCAGGTTGAGAGATCCGCCTGGGTTGTTGGTCGTGGCGCCAAGATGTTCTGGGCCGGGCCAGCGCTAAATCCCGATCGATTAGTAGAAACAGGGAAAAGCCGGGGCGACCTGCCTACTACCTCCAAGGCAGTTCCATTCTACTCCCGCGAATTAAGTTTGGTGTTTTTCCAAACTCAATCCCGAGCTCGACCCACCAGTTCGCCGTCCGCACCTGCCATCACGGAGACAAGGTCAAGGAAACGAGTTCGAACTCTAGGTAACTAGAGCGCACGGCTCCGCAGCGCACGGGGCAGAGGTAACCTAAAGCTACTGCGGGACTGCGATGGGCAGGTTCAATTGGAGACAGCTTCTAGGCTGGGACCAACACCCAACCCAAGATCATTGGTGGGACGAATCTCGTCGGCGACGTAAGTTTAACACGGTTGGCTACTCGCATTCGGCCAATGCCTCAGTTCGCGGGTTGGCAGACTGAATGTTGACCGGCGGCTCTCTGCGGCTGTTTGTCTAGTTCTCCCAAGCTACCATGACGAGCCCCTCGAGTCGGCGATTCCGGCTGCGGCAGTCACGGAAGTCGCGCTCCGCCTGCGCCATCTGATTGAGAAATGCATCCCGTGTGAGCTGAACGTGGAGCAGGTTACAATGGCTCACAGCAAGATCATAACCAAGAAGGTGATACAGGCTGCTAGGGAAGCCGGTGGCCAAGAGCATAGCGCCTGCGTCATCTTCTGCCTCCTCGTCAACAAGCGGTGGTGGCGCCACCAGGCCCTGCTCGAGCTTTGGGATGCCGACCTTCACCAGGTCCGCTCCGTAGCTTGCGAGGTCATTGCAAAGGAAATGTAAGTCCCCCCTCCGCTCCGTCTCCGTCCCCGGCACAGCTACCACACTCGCTTGCTTCGGGCGGCTGAAATTCCACGACATCTTGCTGACTATTTGCGCGTGTCCCCCGAGCCAGAATCGAGTCCGATGACAATCCGGGCGACCTGATGCACTCTTCTTTACTCACGCGCTACTCCATCATCGTCGACGGCCACGCCACGCTGCCGACCAATGTTATCGAGAAGGCTGTCGACTTGCATGCCTTGCGTGTCATTGGCTCTTCAGGCTATCAAAAATGCATCAACTACCTGTGGAAAGGCTGGTTGGTGCAGGACGAAAACGACGCCGCTACCTTTGTCGACTACAAGGGCAAGGACGACACTTCGTTTATTTCCCACCTGGACCCGGATCGCATGAGAGTTCCCATGTACCAGAACGCCACACAAATGCTCATCTCGTTCCTCTACCTGACGCTCTACACCTTTGCCATGAATACGGTGAACCCGGGCGGAGATATCGATATTGTTGAGGGCCTGCTGTATGCCTTTACACTGGGCTTCATCTGCGACGAGGCCTCCAAGGCCTGGAAGGCAGGATACCACATCCTCGGCTTCTGGAACGCCTTTAACTCGTTCCTGTACGGCCTGCTGGCTACTAGTCTTATTCTGCGTTTCATCGCTCTCAGCTACCCGGCCGAGGACGTAGACGGGTCCCGAAAACGCTACAACACGCTCAGTTACAACTTCCTGGCTGTGAGCGCTCCCATGTTCTGGACTCGGCTGCTCCTGTACCTAGACAGCTTCCGCTTCTTCGGTGCCATGCTGGTCGTTCTCAAGGTCATGATGAAGGAGTCGTTGATCTTCTTCGCCCTCTTGGCTGTCATTATCATCGGTTTCCTACAAGCCTTCATTGGACTCGACTATGCCGACGACCAGGTCGCAGGGGACGTCCTTTACATCATTCAATCCATGGCAAATGCTATAATGCAGAGCCCTGACTTCAACGGCTTTGACAGGTTTCAACCTCCCTTTGGCCTGGTCCTATATTATTGCTTTACCTTTGTTGTCATGGTTAGTAATTCCGTGTTCCTTTCTTGACCCCTGTCGTGGCTGTTGGCTCAATTTTCCTTTACCTAGGTCGTTTTGCTCAATGTCTTGATTGCCTTGTATAACTCCGCCTACGAGGACATATATGACAACGCAAACGACGAGTATCTAGCCATGTTCGCCCACAAAACCATGATGTTCGTCCGTGCTCCCGACGAGAAGGTTTTTATTGCGCCTTTCAATCTGCTTGAAATCTTTTGCCTGGCTCTACCATTTGAATGGTGGCTCAACAAAAAGCACTACCAGTGCCTCAACGATTTCGTCATGGCAACAATATACTCTCCTCTGCTTCTTCTCTCTGCCTACTTTGAGGTGCGGGTGGCGCGCGAAATCCAGGCCAACCGCGCCAGGGGCGATGAAGACGACGACACAGTCGAGGAATGGGAGCAGATGGAGCACTCGATTGACTTCAGGGCCGATGGCTGGGATAAGCTGGTCGAATCCGCCAAAACAAATCTCGACGAGGATCCTGCTGTTGTGGAAGTACGAAAGCTCAGGGAGGAGGTTGAGAAACTAAGGGAAATGATTGAGCAGTTGCACAAAGCTATGGGTGCAGGTGACGCCGGGAGTAGTCAGGCTTGAATGCACAACCCTGTTGCTCTTACGGCATGGAGCTCAGCGGGACATGCTGGTAGTACTCGGCGCTGCCGGGTTCTGCCTGGGAGGTTGTGTCCCCGATTCCCGGTTTAGAAATAGACCCACGGCTCAGGTAGTCATGTATAAGAAGTCTTAGGACATTCCAATCAAGATTGCATACGTTCCATTGTCTCACAAGCCCGTAAACCCGGGCCGAGAATAGTCATCCTCCACGGCCCGTGACGGTGGTGGTGAAACAAGGTAAAAGACGTGAGGGGTGGCCAGCAAGTCAAAGAGCTTTGGTACAAGTAAAATTCCCATCAATTCTCAATGTATTAGCCCCGAGCGTCTATGCCACGGACCTTGTATAGATGGCTCTCGAAAAGACAGCTTCCCAAGCAACCATGACGAGTTCTCATTAACAGCAAAACGCCCCAAAGGCGCCCCGATCAACACCCCAATGTGTTGCGTGATAAAGAGCAATAGTTGGTGGTGTTACATGACGCTTTTTCCTGACCTAAAATCCCGACTCCTTTTACCGACCGATGCCCAAGGACTATCGTACAAAAACATTACGATCTCCACCAGGGCTCCAAAGCTCCCAAGCTTGCTGCTCAGAGCAAGGTCCATAAATCCACAAAAAAAGAGAGGACGGCCGCAAGAAATGCGCACAAAAGGCTTAGCTAGGAGCACTGGGGAATACTTAGCCAAACAGCGCATGTGACCGTATGGCGAGCGAAAAAAAAGTGGGAAAGTCATACTCACACTCCACCTCCCATAAATGCGGCTAGGTCGTCGAGCTCGAGGAGCTGTCGCTCAAATGCAGCACAAAGCTCAATCGCTGTCATGTCGACATCCGGACCTGGATGAGGCGCCGTTGGTATTCCAGTTACTGACGCCGACGACGCCGCGTCGGGCGAATCAGCCTTCAGCTGTGCGGGGGGAGGGCTGGCCGTCGCCGGAGTTGAGGCTCCAGCAGATCCGCCATTGATGGTAGTAACGCCCGGCCGTCTCGGAAGAGGAGGCTCGCTATCCCGGCCCTCTAGACGTGAAGAAACAGAGCCCTGAGGTGCGTGAGGCTGGTCATAATCCATGGCATCAGGGTTGGTGTCTGGCTGGCTAATGGCGTCATCCTTTACCGAAGGCGAACGGTGGTTTGCCTTATTATCCTCCCGCGAGTCAGAGTCTCGATCGCGAGACGCGCTGTTTACTTCACGCAGCACCTTAGACATAACTGAAAGGTGCCGTTGCCACGGGACGACCAGGGGCCAGGATTCGGACCCTTCTTGGCAAAGTCGAAGACTGTCGCGAACAATACCCGAGGCGGACTCGGTAACATTGGACGGAGACAATCCTTTGAGTGTGAGGTAGGCTACTGTCGAGCCCGCGGTGAACGCCGAGAAAAGCATGAAGATGGGGAAACAGAGAATGCTGTCTTTATCCGCCCCATGCTCGAGGGACAGCAAGGAGTGGATGATGCTATGTGAGGCAGCAAAGATGCCATCAACAGACTGCACGTGCGCGTGCGAGGACATTCGCCAGGCTTCGATGCTGAAGTTTTCGTCCGTTACCACCTGAAGGATGCGCCGGCGATTGACAAAGATGGTACCGCAGTTGAGGAGGCAGTGGATCATGGCGTATGTGTAGCCACTCCCCATCGTGATGTGAAGATTGATCTGGCCAGGCTTGTCGGCGAAATGCATTGGAAGTGACTGTCGAATGGCTTCAATGTCTTGCTCAAGCGCCAAACATTGGTCCTCGGAGAAGGTTTCCAATGTGGTAGTGGTCATCATCTCAACCACGTTACGCCAAGCCTTGGTCGCCAGTACAATGTGACCAAATTCGCCAACCTCGCCCAAGGAGCTGGCAGACTCGGTGATGACTGGTGGCGCAGGGCCATTCAGGGTGCGGACAACCACGGGGCTGCCGAAGTGGTAGTTGACGTCGAGGCATGGCAACGAGACATCCTTCACATCATGCGACGACAACGCGGGATGGCGGCCCGGGCTGCTTGTGAGGAAGCAATCAAGGATGTAGATGAGCCAGAGAGTTCGACGGAAAGACTCGTCCTGGAGAAACTGGTCGGGATCGGACTGGTGGTGGTGCGTATGTACAACGCGGTACATTTGGGCCATCCGGGCAGCCTGGCCGAGGTATATGTACGCTCGGACGGCGTTACGGCAGCCCCACTCGTGAACGACAAGCAAACAAAGGGCTTGGATATCGGCGAGCCCTGGCTGATCCAGAGCTTGCATGACGAGATTTATGGTTTTGCTAGCAAAGTGTTCGGCAGCCGCAGAGCCACCTCCGTGACCACCATAGCGGCGGATCATAGCCGGCGAGTGTCTACCACAATCCATGTTAGATGTGTGAAGTACATGAAGTTGTGTCTCTTAAGATTAAACGGGGATAGGTTCTTTCTCCTTTTCATACCTTGCTGCCGTGGTAAGAAGTGCGTTCACCATAGTGGGATCCATTGATGTGTTCTTCAGTTGTTGAATGAACGACGGCTTGTGGAAAGCCACGCACGCAGGGAGTGTCTTAGAGATCACTCGTTCGCATTCCTGCATCAATTCGGGCGTGAGTCTATTTTGTGGCGGACGCCATCCTATATTAGCCCAACTCGATCGCTAGACTCCGCAACAACAGTTGCTCAGTGAGATGACATAAAATTAAAAGAAACGAACAAAACAATAAGGGAATTGAAGGCGAGAAAACGACTGCACGCATATTCGATGCAATTGCATCGAGCGCGCCGAGGCCCGCCATATTGGAGTCGCCGCAAAAAAGGCCGCAAAATTGCAGCGATGGTGACAGCGACAGCGGCAACACCAGCGGGAGAGGCCGGTTGGTACACGGAAGGCGCAGTTCAATTCGTGCTCGGCGGGGGAATTTGCGAACAGGAAGGCACGGGAAGCAAACAAGGTTGGAGTTGGCTGGTTGAGACGTGCCGCGCGCCACGCTATGTGTGGCACGGAGCTCCGTTTGAATGAATTGGGGCAAGACGCCAAGAAAATCGGGATTGGCACGGGAAGGAGCGCACGGAGCAAGGGAAAAGTGAATGGACGGGTTGGGAAATGAAGGCCGGGCGGAGAAAACTGGGGCTTGGTGGTGCTCCGAAAGGCAACGCTAGAAAATGCAAACTCGGAGGAGAGGAGGCGACCGGGTGCGGGCAGCCAAAAACGGCGCGTTGGCCAAAAAAATGATATGGGAGACATGCGCAAACAGCGCAAGGGAAAAGGCAGCCGCAAACAAAAGGAAAAGGGCCCAACGACAAATAGATCCATGAAGCAGCGCGCATTCGAGTAGAAATGGATGAGATTGGGGATGAGATTAGAAAACGACTTGCACATACTTCTCAGTGGTGGTCGAGACGTGACGCAAGACGCTCGAGGCGGGAGGGACCTGTCGCTCGCCCGACGTGCCCGAGACGGCTCGCTCGTTGGGCAGAGACTCGCGTGAGCGCTGCGGAACTCGGGCAGGCGACACGCCATGGCCTCCGTGGCTCATGGACTCTGATGGCAGATAGCATTCGTGCAGGCCCTTTGCGCAGTTCTTGCACGGCGCGCGTCCGTTTTCGTAGACGCATTTGGTCTTGCCTTTGCGACAACGCACACAGGCGCCGCCTGCGCGGAGGGCCGTCGATCGCACCACGGATGCCATTGTCGGCAAGTTGTCGTATAACTGTTGTTGCGCTGGTTCGGCGCGCGCAGTCGTCGGCGGCGACAGTAAGTGGCGGCGGCGACAGTGATGACAGTGAGTAAGGAAAATATGTGACGGGGTATGGTTGAGGAAAATTGCCCGGACCAGGTGAGGAGCGAGAGGAGTTGAAAAATTATGACGACGCGTTTAGCCTCGCAACGCGGGATGTAGGCGGGGACGGACCCAACCGGCGCAACAGGCAGTGATGGCCGGGGCTGCGCCGAACGCTGTAGGGGTCGACGCGAGCGGTCAAGGGCGATAAAAAATAGATGACGGCAGTGACGAGGCGATTCAACACCATGCAACTATCTTTGTGCAGCTCGCTCGGTCGGGAAGAAGGGAGGAGGGGAGGAAGGGGAGGCCAGGAAGGACGGGGGAGCGATGGGGTAAAAAAGGGCTCGGGCGGACTTTGGACCCTCCAGGAAGCGAAGGGCGGCGGCAGCGCTCCTAACAAGAGGCCACAATCGAGCGGGCGGATCGGCTGTGGTGCCGGGGGTTTTAAGGAAGACGTGGGCTAAAGTGGAGAACGCACCTCAGAGGGAAGCAAAGGCAGCCGTGGGCAGGCTCAGGGCAGGGCAGCCACAACCAGCGCCCGCCCCCAGTGCTCAGCGGGGGTAGCAGCGGGCGGGCAGCAGCGTGCCCGCCCATCGACGCCCGGGAACACTGGGCAACTTCACGCGAGACGGCCCCCAGTACCATGGCACAAAAACGGTAAGTATGAGAGGGGGCAACATGGAGACATCACTTCCATTCAAGCTCTAGCTTGCATCTTATATTAAACTGAGCCCAGAGCATCCGGCGAAGAAAGCGACCAAGCCTACAATCGCGGCCGCTAGGCGCCCCCGTCATCGCCGGCGATCGCATATGACGGGAAACACCCAGACCCCGCGCCTGCCTAGGCATGCACGGAAAAGCATCCGTTCCTCAAATATCCGTACATCCTGTACATAGGTAGGGTACATACCTTTACATAGTAGGTAACGAGTACCTTACCTACCACCTATTAATAACATTTGGCATCAGAATGTATTTCGCCAACAAGTAGACGAAGAAGGGCGCCTACCTACCTTCATACTATGCCTTCAATTCGTACTCATGAATAAATAATGACAGGTGAGAGAGAAATAAGGAAATCTGCATGCAATGGCGTGTGCAAAGAAAGCCCTGGCCGACCTTGCAAGGAAATGGCAAGACCGCCTGTCTCCAGGATGCCAAAAAGCATTGCGCTTGCTTTGAAAACACGCCCGCCGTTAACGGCAGTGAGTTGCCTCGACGCCTCAGCCGAAAATGAAAAAGGGAGCCGGCTCGAATCAGCCGCCGACCGCTAAATTCGGACGGACACAAACCGAGTCGTAGTCCAAATGCGCAAAGACATAGACCGTACAGCGCCACCTAAATTGCGCAAGCCTCTTTACCGCAAAGAAACCGACTTAAAACTACCTAGAAGTTGGAGATTCTTGAAAGATTAGGAAGACAAAGAGGACGCACATAGAGCCATCACGACAACCAAGGCCTTTTGGCGTTTTCCTCTCACCAAAAGAAACTACCGCTCGTTGCCAGTCACCTAACCGGGTCGGTCCCCTTCGGTTGCGAGTTTGAGGTGACACTCCAGTTGGGGGTGCTGACCAGCTGCACTCGGTCGGCCTTCTTGTCCGGTCGGGCCCTCCAGGCTGTTTGTCATGCACGCCAGGTGCCGTGTCAGGGGATGAAGCGAGCAGCCTCGGCACACCAAGAGGACGGCTGTGTTGGTGGCGGCCGCCGCGAGCCCCCGTCGGCACCAGCATGGAATCTGTGACTGCTGGGCGCTGTTCCCGCCATTTCATGCCATGCCTTGACCTCGCAGGTCGGCTGGTCGGCATTGAGACCGGAGGTTGGCTCCTTACCCGCTGCGCACGCAGCTGGGAGGACTCAGAGAGACGGGCGGCACACGCCGTTGGCTCGCCAGGTCGCTTCAAAAATGGTAGAGACTACCTACTTACCTACCAAGTCGTTATAGTCAATCCGTACGGTATCCGTACATTCACACGAACCTACTCAGCATGCCAACCTCGTATGAAGGGCATGGAGGGACGGAGGAGGTATGTACCGGTACCTGCCTCTGACCAAGCATCCCGCGCGGCCACCTTGGTGCATCCGGGCCCTTGGGCTGCGGACCTGATTCTTTTGCCGCTGAGGCACAATCGAATGGACTGCTTGCTCTGGCAGCGCCGTCATCCTTTGCTTGGCGCCTCACTGCGCTGCCTCCGTCGGCCAACTTGTCGGTAGTGCGTATGAGAAGAAGGGAATGATAAAGACGAGCCACTGACAAAAATTGCAAGTAAAGGAAATATAATGAAGTTTCCGCGCATACACACTCACTCGCCGGCCCCCCCCCCCCCCCAATATCCACTGCGGTTTCAAGCGACGCACTCGGGCAATGGGGCCCGCGACTGGGGGGGGCTTTAGGGAGGGTGGCTGCGCCGCCCGACCGACCGAGTCCATCTCACCTGTAGGGTACTCCGTACATGTCTCGATGCCGCACTCGGCAGCAGCCATTGGAGAGTGCCCCACATTTCACGAAACAACCCGACCCTCGTGGGACGATTCTCACGGAGTTGCTCAACTGCCACCCCCCCTGGAACCCGGCTTTCCGCCCGCCCCCGACGGCAACGCCCAGGCCTGGCCTGGGCCAGTCTTATCAATCCGACGCTTCAACACTGTATTCGAGCCAAGGCTCTCTCTACTCCGTACTGCACAGCCAATTCTACAAGAGCATCCCTAACTCGAGTTTGGGCGACGCAACAAGGGGATAATAACATGGAAGATGAGAGTTGCCGCCTTTCTTTCTTTGTTCACTCCTCGCGCTAGAGGTGTGGCTGTCCGACAATCTCGGACGGAACCCCCGCAGTAGAATAGCAGGAGCAGCTCGGGTGGGCCGCGAAAAACTCGGGGAAACACACGCAGTCAATGATGGCGACAGCAACGCTTCTCTCGGGCGAAGTGGAGCCGCCGGGTCTGCTAGTGGCAAGCCATTCCATTCCGCAGACTTCACGTAGACCAGGCTAGCTACCATAGCTGTCTGTAGTACCTAGTAGCTCAATCGGTATGACGGTCCATGTCCTCCCAACGCACCTCGTCGTCGGGCCACCCTCTAGGGACCTAGTAGAGCTGCGCCCGACGCCCGTCGCCCGTCGTCGTCGCCCGTCGTCGTCGCCCGTCGTCGCCGCCCCATGTCAACTCACAGGCTAAAATGCCACGCGCTATATTAATGTATGAGGCCGTCTCGCCGGATTTCATTTAGCCCGGCACCTGCGTCGCATGGGCACCTTAACCTTTAACCCCAATACACCTGCTGCCGCGCATCGTATACCGAAGGTACTGAGAAGCGTGGTTGATCCCGCCTCTGAAGCGGCCCTCGGCAGGGAGGGAGGGTGCATGCCCTGGCCGGGCTCTACCGCCGAGTCCCCACCCCCAGTTGAAGAAGCTGGCGGGGCTTTCCATCTCAATCGGCCCCCCCCCACCACCACCTCTGCCCTACCCCTTCTCCCTCACAGGCCTCACATTCGGGCGACCAGAGGGACAAACACCAGTCTTCTTTTCCATCTCAAAGCAGCTGTCAAATTCGCGATCGACAAAGCAAGATCCCCCCCTAGACGCATCTCCTCTTAACTACGGAATACTCTGTGCCTTCCTTGGTAAATAAGGTAAGGTGGGTTGTACTGACTCTGGACACATTCGTAGTACTCTGTACTGTACGGAGTACGTACATCGCCCTTTGGATTCGTCCCCATTTGTTTATTGCATCCGCCGGGCTTCCGGACACAATCCAGGAAAGGATCTCTCAACAAATCCGGGCTTGCCGACCGCCTTCAATCGTGAGTTAAACACGAAGCTCTTTATTAGCTCCCATGACAGCGCCCTACGGCCAGCAGCAGTATACAGTGGACTTAGGTGTCGACTCGCATGTATGGGTTATTAACGCATGCCACAAAATCAGTCGCGGCCTGTCCCAAGTAAGCTGTCGCAAATACAAATGCGCTGTCGTGCTGCGAACGTAAACAAGTCCAAAGAGGCCGGCTCTCGTCTAAGGCGACCCCCCACCCCCGTATTACCTCCCGTCTCAGGACGAAGGGGGTGGTTTCTTTACACTGCATAATATGTTGGGACTGCCTTCGAAAAGAGATAACCAGGGGAAGGAACATTTACACAGTACATACCGAGAGCGATGAAACCACTAAAAAGATCATTCATGGCCATCATGTCCGTGTGTGTAGGACTGCACAAACATCGCCGTGCTCCGTGCTGTTCTTGAAAACCTGCCGCAGCGAGTGACGATGGAGAATGCGGCCAGTCTGAACGGCAGCCCCAACATTCCATCCTCCACCGTGTCATTTGGCGTCAGTGCTGTGTTTCGAAACCACGCTGCAGAACAAGCGTGTCCAAGGGGCAAGTCGAGACCGCCAAGGCCTGCACCTTGCCGCAGCCGCCACGCGCAGCACCTGTCAGACTCAGGCTGTTCACTGTCCGAAAGTAAAAATAGGCGCGGCGACGGCGTCTCTCGGGCTCAGCTCGCTGCTGTCACCTCAGTTAAAAACTGCAACACAAGTAGGCAGCCGAATACTTGACCCTCTAAATGTCTCAATTGGCCTAGTCTCGCATTGGTACGGTAGGGTAGGTATGTACATGTATATACAAGAGACGAGTAAAATTAAGTGTACAGAGAATGTAGAGCATTTTATCAATACTGCAGGCAAGCGCAAGCGGTCTGTCTAGGCCACATCTCAAACTCGGCACCAATTCCCAGTGTTAGAAACCCCACCGAATAGAAAACGGGGGAAAAACGGAGAGGGAGGAGAAAAAGAAAGAAAGAAAAAGGGGTAACAGTCCCATCACGCTCTTTCTAGTGGTATCAATGAAGCCTTCAGCTCCTCGATGCATTGCCGTCCCTCTGATTCCGTATCGCTTATATACGCCCCAAGGGCCTGACTCCGGGTCCATTCATCTTTATTGGTCGCTTTGCGTCAGAAAAACGCCGCAAGCGCTTGTCGTGGGGCCGGGCCGGGTCGGAAATGCGGCGATCCGCGCGCGGCCTCCGTCACTGTCATTACAAGCAGGCCGGCCAGCTTTGTGGCCTGCATGTGCACTTGTAACTCCATCGCTCGGTCAAGGTAGGTGCCTGCATGTTTCTTTCGTCTAACCTGTCAGCCCCGAACCCCGGAAGCGCCAATATACGGCACCATCGCACAACGCCTCTCGCTCGGAGTAACGGTTATCACTAGAGAAAGGGTCCAGAGCAAGCCTCCCTCCCTCCTTACGCATCAACCGTGGGCTAAATCACCCTGCTAGCACACACATCCCTTTTGCCTTGCCATCTAAGCTCTTGATCATCTTGAATCATGCTGGAGGAACTCTTTTGTGAAGGTATAAAGGTTTCCGAGGGGGTTCGGGGTGTTTAGTAAAAGAAACTTCGGCCTGTCGAAACTCGAAGGAGAATTAGCTTGCTTGTTTTTCTACTCGTCCACCTTTTTTAAACTATGCTATCACTTCCCGTCGTAGGTACTGACGGCACTAGGTGCCCCTACCGAGAACTATTTTCCAGGACCCCCCCTCTCTTTTGGGCGCGTTCTTCTTCTCCGGGCCAGGGCATGATTAGCTCGCGCGCAGAGGGGTTGATGTTAAGAACGATAATCAGTATCATGTGATCCACGCGCTGTCGCCTCGTTCTCTTCCGCTATCTACTCCAAGTTCAGCCGATGTCACTTTTCACCTCGACAGTACCATCCGCCATGCCAAAATACGCGGCCACCGGCTTCTGGCCGCCACTTTCAACCTGCAAACCGTTTTTGCCGTAAAACAGGCCGATCTCGGCCACTCCGGGGATCTTGATCAGTCGGTCCGCCAGTGCGTCCACAGCCCAAACGCCATTGTCTCCGTTCCCAGCTTGAATCCCGCTCTCGCTGCTGTCCTTTAGCAGGTGGAGCGGCATGAATGGTGCGTCGATGATCCACAGGCCGTTGTCTGTGACGATGGCGCCGGCCTTGCCGGGGAGCCCCGGGCGGATGCGGGGGTTGTGAGAGCCCATCTGCTTGAGCTCGTCCAAGACCCGCGGGGCAGCCATGGGCAAGACCTCGATGGGGATCCCCTTCTTCCAGTTGGTCCCCAGGCGTGGGGACAGCTTGCGGAAGTCGGCGACGCAGACAAACCTCTTGGCGCTAGTGGCGACGATTTTCTCCTGCCATAGACAGGCGCCACCGCCCTTGATCAGGTTGAGGTCGTCGTCCACCTCGTCGGCCCCGTCAAAGGCCACATCCAGCAGCTGGCCAGCAGGCAGCTTATTGATGAACTGCAGAGTCAGGCCGGCCGCTTCGATAAGTTCCTCGGACTGCGCGCCGGTGGGATAGAATTTCATGTTGGAAGTCACGCCGGGGCCGAGTGCAGCGATGGCCTCGACAACATACACGACAGTGCTGCCGGAGCCGATACCAATTCTCGTATAGCTGGCGACCAGGTGGTCCTTGACGGCCTGGTAGGCGGCGGAACGCTTGGACTCCTCGACCAGCCTCGCCTGCTGCTCAAGCGGAATCGCAGACTCGGACGTGGACATGGCCATGTTGCTCGACTTGGCAAAAATTGCCTTTGGAGAGCGATTGTATGGCAGTGAAATCGCGCACCGGGCGACGATGTCGGAAAGCAGCGGCCTGCGGGTGGGGTGACTGGACCTGGAGTGAATAATCCCACAGTGCAGCAGCTTCGGGCTGCCAAAGCTGCCACGGACAGTGCGGCGTACAAAACGGGGGCCCGCCGCTAACAGCGCCGGGTTAGGTCCGCACGCAATTCTGTTTAGGATTGCCGTGGGGCCCAAGTAAGCCTTTGTCATGTGACGCGGCCAAGACGCACGCATCTCCACAGGCCCAGTCTCCAGGCAATGACGCATTTAACCTGTCCGCTGATAAGGCGGCGTGGCTAGAAATACGGCCAAACAGAAGACGCTTAGGAATGGCTATCTTTTTCCTTTCGTGGTTTAACAAGTTGGCCACGGTACTGATTCAAAACGCTGGCTTGCTAGGTTGACTGGTGTGAAAGGAAAATACGTACAAGCTTACCTTCGGTACTTTAACCGCTGCCTATCACGTGCCTTTGGCTCCCCCTGTATCCCCAATCTGGCAGTCTTGGGCCGCTTAATACTGTGCTTCTTTTTTTCCCTCACTTTCTCTTTAATTCTTCATGTTACGGAATTCTTCAATGTCGTCTATCAGTACGGTTTACTTGCTCGTTATCCGACTTTGTCGATTCAATGGGAATCCCCCCAGTCTCACTTCCAATTAAAATGCCCAGCCCAACATATTACACAACACAGCCCCTTTTCCCTCCCAGATTCTTCGAACACTCACTCAACCATCTCGTTTGTTTTGAAAGTCGAGAAAAGCCAGTCTAGCTTCAGTTCCATCCCAGCACAATGCGCTACCGACAGCTAGCACTACTGCAAGCCCTAGCCACTAGACATATGCAGCTGAAGCGCAACCCACCCCCGCCTTCGCCCCTTCATTCCACCGTCTTTCCGTGCCTCGGTAGAGACCTGGAGACCTGGAGACCATACATCAGACGCCCCCTTTCCACCCCGGCATCTCTCGTCTGCCAACGCCGCCCCTGCCTCTCTCCAAGGTGTGCGCAGACGCAGGTCTGGTACCGCTCGCCGTAGATACAGATTTAGTGCTGGAATCTGAAGTCGAGTCTCTTGTTGCCCTTGTCCTCTGTCGTCGCAAGGTATTCTAGCCGCTCGTCTGTGCTCATTGCATTCCACTTTCTGTCTCTACTCTTGTTCCGTTGGATATAGTAGACCTTCACCAGGAGATACAGAGCTATATTCATGCACGTGATGGCGAGAAGTTGCCGGTTACCTCGCCTGTACAGAGGAGCGTCATCTGCAGAGTGGTCAGCCGCTGAAGTTCTTTCTGGGTTTGTCTTTGGCGTTGCCACGCCGTACCAGATCGGTAGATGTTGGACGAGATGATGCCGCTCGCCTGGACAAACATGTTGTAGCAGGCAGCGGATACGGTGCGAGATCTGACGGTGTTTGAGTTGCGGGAATTCCAGCCGACTTGGATTGGGTGAGCTGCAGCCACAGTTAGCCACCCGGTGACAACAACACTTGGGACTTAAAATCAAACTCTCACCATTCGGGTAGCTGAGGAGTAGGGAGGTGACCGCGAAAAGCACCCATCGGTTTGCCTGCCCCGTATTGGCAACAGACAGGTAGATCAGAAACGGGAGAATCCAGATCTGCCCGGACAACGAGACGAGCGTCAACTCGTTGATAATCTCGGCAAGGTAGGTAATTCCAAGCATGGATATCACTGTATGTTGTCAGGCTTGCTATTATTCGCGGTAAATGGTTTAAGGGGGGGGGGCGGGTGCTGTTGGATTTTCACCCACTGTGAAGCACATTCCAGGGAATTGAAAGTAGATTAGACTGAAAAGTATCGAAGCCCAGCCCTCTTAGAGAGAGGGTAAGATACTGCTGCGGGGGGGTCGCGGGAATCTGGAAGACGAGTCCCAGGATGTACAACGGCCTGGCCAAAATCTATTAGACCGATCCAAGGCAGCCATGTGTGGGGGGGGAAGGGTCTTTTCTTACCAGAGGTCATAGTCCTTGAGGCTTTGCCAGAGTAACCTAGGCGTAATTGGCTCACGGTTATGCATGCCGCTCTTGCTCGGGTCCTCTCGCAAAACACGATTCACAATAATTTTCTCTTCTCTGCGCAACAATAGACATCTTAATTAGTAAGAAAAATTTGAGATGCGCGCAAGTAGGGTACGTACCGTTCATCGAACCAACCCTTTTTCCCCCGGAACCAACTTGCTGTCTGGCATGGCCCAGCAGGCATGAGCAAGAAGGCAAAGATTCCAATGACAAGTGTCAAAAGGCCCTACACGTACAGCCATATATCAGCTCAAACACCAAACTGGGCAACCGAGTGAGGGTCAAGGGACACCGTAATAAATATACCTCGATCAGAAACAGCCATCTCCAGCCTGACTTTCCCTGGACTCCTCTCAAGTGCAGGAGGCCGGCACCAAGGAGAGCCGAGATTATGTCGGCTGTACTCATCGCGGTCCAGAAGAAGCCGAGGCGAAGCGACATCTCATGGTGTTTGTAGAAATACGATAGGTACAGAATTACCTACCCAGCGCAACAAATACCATTAGTAAAAAGTGCAGATTGTCGAGATTGGGTAGCAGGAGCAAACAAGTTCCGTACATCAGGAATAAAGCCGCCCTGGAGGAGGCCCAGAAGCGCTCGGCAGGCCAAAAACGAATCGCGACCAGACAACCAGAACTGGCTGCTCGCCACCAAGCTCCACAGGACCATCTGCGATGGGATCCATCGATCCGGGCCCATCCACTTGGAGACGAGCTGGGACGGCAGCTCGGCGCAGAGAAAAGATAGCTTGAACACGGTGTTCCCGAAGTTGTAGTCTTTAATACCAGTCAGCTATTCTGTAATGGGCTGCTAGGCATATTCCCAGAGTGAGCAACAAGGGGTTTTATCTCATACCGTCTGTTGTCAAGTGGAGGTCAGTCAGGAAGTTGTCTGTCAAGGCCTGCGAAATGTTGGCTCGGTCGAGTTCGAGAGCCATGAACATGATGCAGGCCCACACCATGATTCGAAGGTCGATCTTGCGCACCAAGCGGTGCTCCTCGGCCCAGGTCCTATTGAAGAGTTAGCTCCTCTATTCTCTACCAGACTACCTAGATAGGTCACAACTAATCAGAGACCCCGAGAGAACATTTTCTGCTGGACATACCATCGGGCAAGAGGGTCGAATCTACCGATGTTCTCCCTAACCAGCACTGTTAGCCAATCGAAGTGTTTCTAGAAGGGGTTTCCTGGGATGGAACCTCACCAGTCGACCCGCGGGTGATATTTCTCTGCGGTCTCTGGGTCGTCGAATACGCTGGCCTTTATACCACAGAGTGAGCTTCCTCTCATGAAATAAGCTAAAAACAAAACACAACCAAGGGGAAAAAACTCCCGACCGGGCTGGAAGGAGACTCACCTGGGTTGCAATTGCATCGGGGTCGTAAGATTTGGCACGTTGGAACCAGAACCGCCTTTCTTCAATTGGGGCGCCGAGAGGAGGGATACTGGTGACCGACCTGGTCGACGCATCCGGGTCGAGTTTGTTATCCGAGTCTCCCTCGCCTCTCGAGGCCTTCTCTTTGGTGAGCACGGTAGCCATGGAGATTGCTGGGGCCTCGAATTGGCTCTATGTCGGGGGAACAGCAAAGGGGGGCAGCTGTCCTGTTGAAGGGTTGCGAAATCGCGTCTAAATATCCATACCACGATCGTCCACCTCGAGCTGGAGAGACTCGCCTGAGAACCTGGTCGAGAGGGGTGCCATCACACCCCGGCTATTAGCCCGGAGTTGGGTGCCGGGCAAAAGAACAAGGGGGGTGTTATGGATGGCGAAAGGTGTCCGCATTATCGCGTTTTACATGCGTCGAAGCTCCTCCAATACCGATCAAGAAAAGGTGGCCACTCGAGGCGCAACGCGAGCTGTCCACCCCCAGTGGCCTCTCTGGTGTAATTAATCGGTAGGCACCTTTATTGCCGCGGTATCAGGGATAGGTCTCCATTTGCTCTCTGCTCGTCATCAAGTTCTATAATGACTCTAGCTAAGACCCGGCCAGCAAAACACGATAGTGGCGCTTTTGTAGACTGGCCAGACTGGTCTGGCCCCTGGGTTATCGCTCCTCCTCATCGTGGGAGGGAGCAGTATCTAATTAGGTAGCCACGTAAAATGTTGGGTGGCGGCGATGGCATCGTCAAACACCTCGGGCGAGACCTCGACCCAGGGTGGTGGCAAGGCAAGCTGCATGTCAGATCCCACAATGAAGCCGGCCCGCAAAGACACATTGTGTGCAATGCCCGTGTAGGTACCTAGATTGGCAGTCGTGGAAAATCAAAGCTTCTAGCAACCAGGGAGTTTGTGATCCCAAAGCCACGTCCTCGGGATTTTCATCTAGCATCACGAACATGACCCCACGTCCCCGAGAAAGCGGCCTGTCCTCCCGGTGGGTGTGCAAAATTGGTGAGCTGATTGCCAGTTCTGGCAATCCGGCTAAGCCGTGACGGCGAGATGGCGTGATGATACGTGATTCTGCCTGTCCTGGCGCAACCTTCCAATGGCATTCCTGGACAGCCTAGGTGAGACATTCGATTGGCCAATCCCCCATTTCATAACGCCACATGCCAATGACGACATGCCCAGCTCCCGAAAACTGCTCAGCCAAAACTACCTACCCAATACCGCGTCCTACCCTCTCACCTACCCGATACGGTCCAATCCCTGAATTTCTGTTAGATAGGTACCTAGCGGGGGACTTTCCAGGATCTGAAAGGCTTCAGTATTAATTATCTTACGGCTCGCCATAATTAACTCGAGGTTTTTTGCAGCGGGAGATAGTTTCTTCTGGAATTTCTATTATTTGGGAATCCGATTAGAGGCCGATCTCTTTCCTGGTAACAATCATCAGAGGCTTTTCCTAGCCAGTTTATTTGCTATAATATTTCCTTGTCCCCAGGTACCCACCTACCTAGGCTCTACGCCAACAAAATATTCATAAATGGGACTACAATAGGTCTAGGTCACTTTGCCACCTTGCCGCACCTGGAGCCTGGATTGAGTCTGCCCGTACACTTGCGTGAGTGAGGGTGCTGACAAGACAGGAATCTAGAACCAACATGCATACATAGAATGCAAACGTCCGGACCACCAAGCGTGGGGGCTCGACCATGAGCAGCACCCTCGTGGACGCCACGGTAAGCAGTCAAACATTCGAGCCTTGTCATTGATTGGGTTGGGAGCTCATTATTCTTGATTCCTCTGAGGGTGTGGTCCCACACTCGATGCCACGGCGAGGTAAACGTGTGCGGGGGCGGCCGGCAACCGGCTACTGATATTGCTACCTCTTGCTGCCATGCAAGTATCACGGCATACATGTCAAGAGACTCGTCATCCTCTGTGGCTGAACGTGATTCGGCCATCGGGGAACAGTTTGCCATCGCAGAGGGTCGTGGAGAGGATAAGGTGTTGATCGATGTAACATGATGGCATGCCGAGGTGGAACATGATATCTTGGACGAGTCTCGTTGATTAATCAGTATGCAGACGAGGTAGACTGTTTGGGCCCTTCTATTAAGCGAGTGTGGGGCCGCGGCCGAGTAGGGGGGCCGGCTGGGTGGTCGGTGGTTTGAATATAAAACCCGTAAGGATCTAATGATTGCCCTGACCCCGTTTGAGCTGAGTTCAGGCAGCTTCGGTTCCCACCCATCTCCAACATATCGTATAAGCACCGGAAGCACCGAGCCCACCAACAAAGACATCATGGCTCCCTCAGCAATCGAGAGCGTCTTGCCCGTCAACACAAAGGGGGCTGACCGGACGCCGCTTGTACTCTCTGGCGCCACTGACTCATACGAGTCGTTTGACGTGACTCCGGTCATTGGCCGCGAGTACCCAAAGGCCAAGCTAGTCGAGTGGCTGGATGCTCCCAACTCAGATGAGCTCATCAGGGACCTGGCAATCATAAGTTAGTTTCACACCACGGACTTGTCAAACGGACGAGCTAACCAAAAGAACCAGTCTCGCAGAGGGGCGTTGTCTTTTTCCGCGCGCAGGACGACTTGACGAATGAGCTGCAGAAAAGGTTGATTCTGCGGCTCGGGGAGCTCACTGGGCGCCCCGCCACATCAGGCCTCCATATCCACCCCATCCTCAACTCGGAGCGCGAGCTTGGGGGCAGCGACGTGGAGATCAGCACTATCAGCTCCATCCAGACCAAGCAATTTTATTCGCAGTCGACCCCTAGCGAACTGAGCCCCAAGAAGCAGAACAGCGCTCAGTGGCATAGCGACATTGCTTTCGAGCCGGTACCCGCTGACTACACGTCCCTGCGTCTCGTTGAGCTGCCAACTACCGGGGGAGGTGAGCGCCGCTGCTGGTCATGCATGTCCCGTGCACAGAGAGGCGGCTGGGCCGTAGGAGCAACGTCGATGGAATGTTGCGGACTGACTGACAATGGCTGTGTTGTCTAGACACGCTCTGGGCCTCGGGCTATGAAATATACGACCGCATAAGCGAGCCTTACCAAAGATTTCTCGAATCTCTCACGGCCACCTTTGAGCAGCCGGGTTTTCAGAAAGTTGCCGAGCGCGCCGGGTTCGCTCTCTACGACAAGCCCCGAGGCGCCCCCGAGAATGTAGGCACGGAGCTGAGGGCCATCCATCCCGTGGTTCGCACCAACCCCGTCACCGGCTGGAAGAGTATCTTTCCTGTTGGGGGCCATGTCAAACACATCAACGGCCTCACCAAAGAGGAGAGCTCAAAGCTCCTAAATTGGTTTTTGGGTCTCGTGTACAAGAATCATGATCTGCAGGTGCGGTTCAAGTGGAAAAACCCGAACGACATTGGTGAGCAGCAACTCCACTATCTAACTAGAAGCCGATTGCACTCTTCATCCCCTGCCTCTTACTGTTGCTGACAATACGCCTCTTCAGCAATCTGGGACAATCGCTCCGTCTTTCATACCGCTACATTTGATTACCTAGAGGGTGGATATGGCGATCGGTTTGGCAACCGGGTTGTCGGGCTAGGAGAAAAACCGTTCTTCGATGTAAATAGCTCTTCGAGAAGATCCACAATTAATAATAGTTAAACTGAGATTTTATGTTATATTTCGTCTGCTTCAATAAGACCTGCTTAGTTTAATAAGACTTACCTTGAGTGTTGCAGTGCGCGATGTGAGGTGGAAATATATTACAAACTACTCGACTGTTTGGGTCGTCTGTCTGTAAGGGAGCACCGGCTCCACAGAATGCTGGGGTAGGTAACTATGAAGATAGAACAAAGGGCAAGCTCCTATTGCACGGGTAATTGTTACGATCCTGGTTCAAAAGTGCAGAGGGCGTTGCCCGCCTTCTGTGGATTGGCTGGAACAGCAATTAAGGTGGGGGGCTCTCGCTTGAGGGTGCATCCAATAAGGAAGTGCTCAGTGGGGCCATTGCCGAGACCCACTGAGCGCACTAAGCGGGGAGCTCAGTAGGATCAGTGCCGAGACCCACTGAGCGCACTGAGCGGGGAGCTCAGTAGGGATCAGTGCGTCTAGGACTGAGCACGACTGAGCATGTGAGTCAGGAACTCTGATTGGTCCTTCTTAAATAGATATATACGACGACCGTAGCCACGGTCCTAGATAGTTCTTGCTTGGTTCTTCAAGCAAGCAATACACATTCACTGCACTCATACACTTTGAGTGGCATTCCGATTTGACTGTATTACCCGTGCGGAAGGAGCTTGCCCTTTGTTCTATCTTCATAATTACCAACCCCAGCATTCTGTGGAGCCCGTGCTCCCTTACAGACAGACGACCCTAACAGTCGAGTGGTTTGTAATAGTAATACAGTCAAATTAGAATGCCACTCAAAGTGTATGAGTACAGTGAATGTGTATTGCTTGCTTGAAGAACCAAGCAAGAGCTATCTAAGACTGTGGGTACGGTCATCGTATATATCTAACTGTGTAACCAATTAGGTCGTTGCTCTGTTGCTCCCTGGCAGAGCTACAGAGCGTTGCTTCGTTGCTCCCTGGCAGAGCTACGGAGCAACCCCGTAGAGTCAACCAAACCGTTGCTCCGTACCCCACCGCACAGAGCAAATGCGGGTCCCTGCCCCACATGTCTGTCTCGTCATCCCTATTGGCCAGCCCCACTTTCAGAGCTATGACTAGCCCAAAATGGGCGCGGTTCATCACATCAGGGCACTAAGGCAACTATACGTAGCCTGTATCACGTCAGTAGCCGACTACGGCGTCCAACTATGGTGGAAAGGCTATAAAGACAGCCAAGGCCACTACCACCAACAGCAGCTAGTCCAAAAATACCAACGGTTACAGAACCTAGCGGTAAAACAGATGCTGGGAGCGTTCAGAAACTCTTCCTACAAGGCCTATGTCAGAAAAAAGGGGGGGTTCTAGAAGGTGCTGGAATTATGGATTTGTCACTATCAGAAAGAAGGGAGATTCTAGAAGGTGCTAGAATCATGAATTTGTCACTATTAGCCACAGACGCGCAATAACCTCGCCACCTGGCCATGGCTATAAGAAATGCTTTCTGGCAGAGCCAGAGAGCCTAGAAACAGGGCAATACAATTAAGCAATTACAACCCGATCAATTCCACAAGATCCAGTGTGCAGTGTTTCTGACAGCCTACAAGGCCTTAAAAGTAGAAGCAGCTATCCTACCGCCACAAATTCGATTCGAAAAGGCTTGTATCAACTATAGACTACGAATACTACTATTTCAAGAAAGTCACCTTATAAAACAAGCCATCTACAAGGAAGTAAGAGACGAGCTACAAGAAGGGGATGACTATGGCCTACTGCCAAGCATACAACCCACCACATAGCTATTTACACTCGTCATAAGGCTGGATAAACTAGTTACAACAAGCTGGAATATTGAGAAACCCTTAGCGCACTGGGTAAAACCGTGGGAGCAGAAGATCCAAGCAAAATCACTATTAACGAGGGTGGAAAAAAATAAGCCAAAAAGACCACCTACAACTACTACAGAGCCCCAAAACAACCATGGCGCCCACTGCAAAGGCTACTACGGTAGTATTCTACACAGACGGGTCACAAGGCTTTATAGAGGGCGGAATCACTAACTCAGCCGGCGTATGCCGACTGAGCGCGAACTTAGCACCTATAGTGGCCAGATCGTAGAATCTGAGCTCAACCATCGAAGTGGCAGACGCAGAGGTCATCGGGATTATTAAAGCCCTAGAAGAGGCCCAAAGAATTACCACTACTACGGCTACTACGTCTACTACCACGTCAACCATCTTCTATATCTTCGTGGATAGCTAGGCGGCAATCCAGGGGTTAGAAGGCTACACATACTGTGAGGGCCTGGTCCTCCAGGCCTCCCAGACGCTCTGACTAATCAGACGCCAGTTGGGTGGATCCACCCGACCAGCCAGAGCCCCACCTTGAGACGCCCTGGAAGAATCTCGCGAGGGGAGGCTTTTGAGCTTCTTTTCCCTTTTCCCTTTAGTTTAGAATCTTCGTCTATAGCGCCCAATAGAGGAGTTCCGCCCTCATTCCAAGCCGGCCGTGACACATACCATGCAAAAAGGGCCCAAAGGCTAGTTAGGCTACTAGTCCAAAAAGGCCACAAAGTCGAAGTCCACTGGTGCCCTAGCCATGTTGGAGTTGTTGGTAACGGGATAGTGGACCAATTAGCTAAGGCCGGCTGTCACGAATCCCTGTGGATTCCCTGTGGTTATGCACAAAGATGGGGCATGCACTTTTGGCGCGAGCCAATCAGGAGCGTTCCAGGATTCCGAGCTCTGGAGCTCGGGGACGCGGGACAGGTCCGGCCGGGCGGTGACCCGGATGTTACGATCCTGGTTCAAAGGTGCAGAGGGCGTTGCCCGCCCGCTGCGGATTGGCTGGAACGGCACTTAGGGTAGGGCTCTCGCTAAGAGAAGGTGCATCCAATTAGGGAGTGCTCAGTGGGGCCATTGCCAAGGTGCACTGAGCATGGCTGAGCTCAGTAGGATCAGTGCCGAGACCCACTGAGCGCACTGAGCAGGGAGCTCAGTGGGGATCAGTGCGTCTAGGACTGAGCACGACTGAGCATGTAAGGCAGGAACTCTGATTGGTTGCTCATAGTTCTATATAGGAGCTGGCAGCACGCTCTCTCGGGAGAACGGTTCTGCAGCTATCAATGCATCTGGTTAAGCATACATTGGTTGTGTGTTGAAAGCCTGTCTTTCGCAATCTGTGCACGATACTCCTTGTCTCCTGTCATCTCCTACCTGCCGTCCAGACCCCCACAATCCTAGGCCGGGCCTAGCTCCGTGGACCTGTTGTCCAGATTGTAACACCGGACGCGGGACCACGGGACAACGGAACCACTGTTATTGGTTACGTAGATAGATATATACGACGATCGTGTCCACGGTCTTAGATAGTTCTTGCTTGGTTCCTCAAGCAAGCAATACACATTCACTGCACTCATACACTTTGGGTGGCATTCCGATTTGACTGTATTACTCGTGCGATAGGAGCTTGTCCTTTGTTCTATCTTCATAATTACCAACCCCAGCATTCTGTGGAGCCCGTGCTCCCTTACAGACAGACAAACCTAACAGTCGAGTGGTTTGTAATAGTTGTACGTGGCTTTCAAAGGTAAGTTGGATTTTCTGGCCACTGCAAAACGAGTCTACCCAGCTAAACAGGCTTTCTGGTAGGCCACGGTTCTTTAGTACAGTTATCAGCTGTAGTTTGGATACGTGGTCAAACGCTCCCTTCACATCTAGGAAAATTGTAGCGGTTACAGTTGTTTTTTTCTTTGTTTCTGTTGTTGTATGTGATGTAGTAGTAGTAAGACCGTGTCTATTGCAGACCTTTGTTTCCGGCTACCTAACTGTGTGGGGTTCAGCAGGTTAGAGCCATTGTTGGCTAGGTAGCTCAGTCTTCTTGCGTAGATCTTTTCTAGGGTTTTACTCAAACAGTTGAGTAAAGTTATAAACCTATAGGCCTTTGGTATAGTATAGTCTCTCTTTTGGGGTTTAGGTAGTATAATTCCAACGCCTTGCTTCCAGGAGTCTGGATGGGTTGCACAGTTGAAGAGAGATTTGTATATTTGGTTAAATAACGTTGGTATGGCTTTGTAGGCCTGTTGTAGTAGCTCGAAGTTCAATCTGTCTGGGCCCGGTGCTTTAGTAGGGTTTGAGCTGAATATTGCTCTTTCCACACCTATTGCCTCTAGTTCTGGCCATTCCCATTTTGGATTTTGCTTAGGCTGGGTAACAGGCTGGGCAGTGGGCTAGGTGACAGGCTCTGGGAATAAGGTAGTTGTGAAGGCCTTGCACTTCTCTTCAACGGTATTGGCTTGTTTCTTCACGCCCTTTTCCACGTAGTTAATAGTGGGTATTTTGGTATTATTTGTAGCCTTCGTATATCTTAGAGCCTTGAACGCTTCTTTTCCCTCTGCCCTAGTCAGGAACTTTTGCCAGTGTGTTGTTTTTGCAGCTCTTATATGTGATGAACCGCGCCCGTCCTGGGCTAGTCATAGTTCTGAAAGTGGGGCCGGCCAGTAGGAATGACGAGACAGGCATGCGGGGCAGGGACCCGCATTTGCTCTGTGGAGCGGGGCACGGAGCAACGGTTTTATTGGCTCTACGGAGTTGCTCCATAGTTCTGCCTAAGAGCAACAGAGCGATGCTCTGTAGCTCTGACTGAGAGCAACAGAGCAACAACCTAATTGGGCCGCTCTAGATAGATATATACGACGACCGTAGCCACGGTCTTAGATAGTTCTTGCTTGGTTCTTCAAGCAAGCAATACACATTCGCTGCACTCATACACTTTGAGTGGCATTCCGATTTGACTGTATTACCCGTGCGATAGGAGCTTGCCCTTTGTTCTATCTTCATAATTACCAACCCCAGCATTCTGTGGAGCCCGTGCTCCCTTACAGACAGACGACCCTAACAGTCGAGTGGTTTGTAATATTATAGCATTGAAGTACGTATTCCGGGCCGTTTTATAGGTTTGTTCCTGGTTAGGGTCTTTTTTATAGTTTCCTTGGGCATGATGCAAGCTCTTTCGTAGAGTTGTAAAGTCGTTAGTGTCACGAACTCCCCTGGGACTGGGCGCAGCGCGCTCTAGTGGGGCACCGGGATCGGGAGCGGGGTAGTGGGGCCCCAGGCCACCACACGCTAGCGGGCCCGAGGGCATACGGGGAGCAGTTCGGGCCTGGCCCAAACTGGGGAAACATCACCTGCGGGCCTGCCCTCATTGGCCAGTCATAGATAGATATATACGACGACCGTGGCACCGGTCTTTGATAGTTCTTGCTTGGTTCCTCAAGCAAGCAATGCACATTCACTGCACTCATATACTTTGAGTGGCATTCCGATTTAACTGTATTACCCGTGCGATAGGAGCTTGCCCTTTGTTCTATCTTCATGATTACCAACCCCAGCATTCTGTGGAGCCCGTGCTCCCTTACAGACAGACGACCCTAACAGTCAAGTGGTTTGTAATAGTTAGACCACCAAGGTTTTGATCTTCCAGTAATCTTAAGCTTTGGAATTTCCTGGTTTGCAGCCTCTGTGATTACTGCACTAAGTGTATCAGCTACAATATTCCAATCTCTCTCTTGTATAGCAGTCTGGACTGCTTTTGCGGCTTCTTCTTCATTGGTTTTCAACTTTGTAGTAAATATATCCCAATCAGCCCTTTTGTAGTTGTTAGACGGTAAGAGATTGCCTGTACTAGTGTGTTTGCTAGTGGTCTTTGTTGACTTTGGCCAGCCTTGGAAGCTTATAGTTTCGTGGTCAGATCCTGTGGATTCGGCATAGTCCCAATTATTCCAGGTAATCGATTTAAAGGGTGTAGTGAAGGCTAGGTCAATAACTGAGGCCGTTATAAGGTTAGCCCCATGGTATGTGCCTCCCTTTTCCTTTATTACTCTAGGATCTACTAGGATATCCCCCTTCTGTATCTGTAGCCAGTCTACTAGTATAGTAGCTTTCGTAGCCTTTGTGGAGTCGTGTTACGATCCTGGTTCAAAGGTGCAGAGGGCGCTGCCCGCCTTCTGTGGATTGGCTGGAACAGCATTTAAGGTGGGGGGCTCTCGCTCAAGGGTGCATCCAATGAGGGAGTGCTCAGTGGGGCCGTTGCCGAGACCCACTAAGCGCACTAAGCGGGGAGCTCAGTAGGATCAGTGCCGAGACCCAC